ACCTTGAGAGAGTCATAGTTACTTTAGCCGTTTACCCGAGATTACTCGAATCAATATGATTCATCCCAACGCTTGGATAAATCTGCTTTCAAAGCAGTGCTTTGTAATGATAGCAAGTGCCGAGATTAAATGATAAACGGTATTAAAAATACGATAATGAGGCATTTGGCCACCTTGAGAGAGTCATAGTTACTTTAGCCGTTTACCCGAGATTACTCGAATCAATATGATTCATCCCAACGCTTGGATAAATCTGCTTTCAAAGCAGTGCTTTGTAATGATAGCAAGTGCCGAGATTAAATGATAAACGGTATTAAAAATACGATAATGAGGCATTTGGCCACCTTGAGAGAGTCATAGTTACTTTAGCCGTTTACCCGAGATTACTCGAATCAATATGATTCATCCCAACGCTTGGATAAATCTGCTTTCAAAGCAGTGCTTTGTAATGATAGCAAGTGCCGAGATTAAATGATAAACGGTATTAAAAATACGATAATGAGGCATTTGGCCACCTTGAGAGAGTCATAGTTACTTTAGCCGTTTACCCGAGATTACTCGAATCAATATGATTAATCCCAACGCTTGGATAAATCTGCTTTCAAAGCAGTGCTTTGTAATGATAGCAAGTGCCGAGATTAAATGATAAACGGTATTAAAAATACGATAATGAGGCATTTGGCCACCTTGAGAGAGTCATAGTTACTTTAGCCGTTTACCCGAGATTACTCGAATCAATATGATTAATCCCAACGCTTGGATAAATCTGCTTTCAAAGCAGTGCTTTGTAATGATAGCAAGTGCCGAGATTAAATGATAAACGGTATTAAAAATACGATAATGAGGCATTTGGCCACCTTGAGAGAGTCATAGTTACTTTAGCCGTTTACCCGAGATTACTCGAATCAATATGATTCATCCCAACGCTTGGATAAATCTGCTTTCAAAGCAGTGCTTTGTAATGATAGCAAGTGCCGAGATTAAATGATAAACGGTATTAAAAATACGATAATGAGGCATTTGGCCACCTTGAGAGAGTCATAGTTACTTTTAGCCGTTTACCCGAGATTACTCGAATCAATATGATTAATCCCAACGCTTGGATAAATCTGCTTTCAAAGCAGTGCTTTGTAATGATAGCAAGTGCCGAGATTAAATGATAAACGGTATTAAAAATACGATAATGAGGCATTTGGCCACCTTGAGAGAGTCATAGTTACTTTAGCCGTTTACCCGAGATTACTCGAATCAATATGATTAATCCCAACGCTTGGATAAATCTGCTTTCAAAGCAGTGCTTTGTAATGATAGCAAGTGCCGAGATTAAATGATAAACGGTATTAAAAATACGATAATGAGGCATTTGGCCACCTTGAGAGAGTCATAGTTACTTTAGCCGTTTACCCGAGATTACTCGAATCAATATGATTCATCCCAACGCTTGGATAAATCTGCTTTCAAAGCAGTGCTTTGTAATGATAGCAAGTGCCGAGATTAAATGATAAACGGTATTAAAAATACGATAATGAGGCATTTGGCCACCTTGAGAGAGTCATAGTTACTTTAGCCGTTTACCCGAGATTACTCGAATCAATATGATTAATCCCAACGCTTGGATAAATCTGCTTTCAAAGCAGTGCTTTGTAATGATAGCAAGTGCCGAGATTAAATGATAAACGGTATTAAAAATACGATAATGAGGCATTTGGCCACCTTGAGAGAGTCATAGTTACTTTAGCCGTTTACCCGAGATTACTCGAATCAATATGATTAATCCCAACGCTTGGATAAATCTGCTTTCAAAGCAGTGCTTTGTAATGATAGCAAGTGCCGAGATTAAATGATAAACGGTATTAAAAATACGATAATGAGGCATTTGGCCACCTTGAGAGAGTCATAGTTACTTTAGCCGTTTACCCGAGATTACTCGAATCAATATGATTCATCCCAACGCTTGGATAAATCTGCTTTCAAAGCAGTGCTTTGTAATGATAGCAAGTGCCGAGATTAAATGATAAACGGTATTAAAAATACGATAATGAGGCATTTGGCCACCTTGAGAGAGTCATAGTTACTTTAGCCGTTTACCCGAGATTACTCGAATCAATATGATTCATCCCAACGCTTGGATAAATCTGCTTTCAAAGCAGTGCTTTGTAATGATAGCAAGTGCCGAGATTAAATGATAAACGGTATTAAAAATACGATAATGAGGCATTTGGCCACCTTGAGAGAGTCATAGTTACTTTAGCCGTTTACCCGAGATTACTCGAATCAATATGATTCATCCCAACGCTTGGATAAATCTGCTTTCAAAGCAGTACTTTGTAATGATAGCAAGTGCCGAGATTAAATGATAAACGGTATTAAAAATACGATAATGAGGCATTTGGCCACCTTGAGAGAGTCATAGTTACTTTAGCCGTTTACCCGAGATTACTCGAATCAATATGATTCATCCCAACGCTTGGATAAATCTGCTTTCAAAGCAGTGCTTTGTAATGATAGCAAGTGCCGAGATTAAATGATAAACGGTATTAAAAATACGATAATGAGGCATTTGGCCACCTTGAGAGAGTCATAGTTACTTTAGCCGTTTACCCGAGATTACTCGAATCAATATGATTCATCCCAACGCTTGGATAAATCTGCTTTCAAAGCAGTGCTTTGTAATGATAGCAAGTGCCGAGATTAAATGATAAACGGTATTAAAAATACGATAATGAGGCATTTGGCCACCTTGAGAGAGTCATAGTTACTTTAGCCGTTTACCCGAGATTACTCGAATCAATATGATTCATCCCAACGCTTGGATAAATCTGATTTCAAAGCAGTGCTTTGTAATGATAGCAAGTGCCGAGATCAAATGATAAACGGTATTAAAAATACGATAATGAGGCATTTGGCCACCTTGAGAGAGTCATAGTTACTTTAGCCGTTTACCCGAGATTACTCGAATCAATATGATTCATCCCAACGCTTGGATAAATCTGATTTCAAAGCAGTACTTTGTAATGATAGCAAGTGCCGAGATCAAATGATAAACGGTATTAAAAATACGATAATGAGGCATTTGGCCACCTTGAGAGAGTCATAGTTACTTTAGCCGTTTACCCGAGATTACTCGAATCAATATGATTCATCCCAACGCTTGGATAAATCTGCTTTCAAATCAGTACTTTGTAATGATAGCAAGTGCCGAGATCAAATGATAAACGGTATTAAAAATACGATAATGAGGCATTTGGCCACCTTGAGAGAGTCATAGTTACTTTAGCCGTTTACCCGAGATTACTCGAATCAATATGATTCATCCCAACGCTTGGATAAATCTGATTTCAAAGCAGTACTTTGTAATGATAGCAAGTGCCGAGATCAAATGATAAACGGTATTAAAAATACGATAATGAGGCATTTGGCCACCTTGAGAGAGTCATAGTTACTTTAGCCGTTTACCCGAGATTACTCGAATCAATATGATTCATCCTAACGCTTGGATAAATCTGATTTCAAAGCAGTACTTTGTAATGATAGCAAGTGCCGAGATCAAATGATAAACGGTATTAAAAATACGATAATGAGGCATTTGGCCACCTTGAGAGAGTCATAGTTACTTTAGCCGTTTACCCGAGATTACTCGAATCAATATGATTCATCCCAACGCTTGGATAAATCTGATTTCAAAGCAGTACTTTGTAATGATAGCAAGTGCCGAGATCAAATGATAAACGGTATTAAAAATACGATAATGAGGCATTTGGCCACCTTGAGAGAGTCATAGTTACTTTAGCCGTTTACCCGAGATTACTCGAATCAATATGATTCATCCCAACGCTTGGATAAATCTGCTTTCAAATCAGTACTTTGTAATGATAGCAAGTGCCGAGATCAAATGATAAACGGTATTAAAAATACGATAATGAGGCATTTGGCCACCTTGAGAGAGTCATAGTTACTTTAGCCGTTTACCCGAGATTACTCGAATCAATATGATTCATCCCAACGCTTGGATAAATCTGCTTTCAAAGCACTATTTTATAAAGATAGCAAGTGCCGAGATCAAATGATAAACGGTATTAAAAATACGATAATGAGGCATTTGGCCACCTTGAGAGAGTCATAGTTACTTTAGCCGTTTACCCGAGATTACTCGAATTAATATGATTCATCCCAACGCTTGGATAAATCTGCTTTCAAATCAGTACTTTGTAATGATAGCAAGTGCCGAGATCAAATGATAAACGGTATTAAAAATACGATAATGAGGCATTTGGCCACCTTGAGAGAGTCATAGTTACTTTAGCCGTTTACCCGAGATTACTCGAATCAATATGATTCATCCCAACGCTTGGATAAATCTGCTTTCAAAGCACTATTTTGTAATGATAGCAAGTGCCGAGATGAAATGATAAACGGTATTAAAAATACGATAATGAGGCATTTGGCCACCTTGAGAGAGTCATAGTTACTTTAGCCGTTTACCCGAGATTACTCGAATTAATATGATTCATCCCAACGCTTGGATAAATCTGTTTTCAAAGCAGTACTTTGTAATGATAGCAAGTGCCGACTGGTTGCAACACGCCAGTCAAAAATGGTTGAGCTCTATAATGCGTCCACAAAAGTCACCGCATTTCAGAACAAACGGTTCGCCAAACCGCAATTCAACCGCTCGACGCAAGCGCTCACAGCGACGAATGATGCGGCGGCAGACAGAAATCGATAAATTGACCGCGCGGCGCAAACGCAACATATAGAAAACAGCGGGCGTTCTTTTGATCTACACATTTCTCAGCGCGGCGCAGTGCAGATCGGACCAGAGTACTCTGAAATTGAAATTTAAGTTGTTTTCACGAGATGGTTTGCGCATCCGAAATATCCAGTCAACAGTGTAGGGTAAACCTGACCTCCAGCTCATGATGTCTATCCAGTTTTGCTTTTCTGTGAAATCGGAATCTTGCGAAATTGTTTGTCGTTTGAAATCACGTGTATATTTTTGTCTACGAGTAATACTGATAAATGACAGAGAAAAGAGCAAAAGTCACGGCGACAGCGACGGAAATCCATTTGTAGACGCGCACGACGAATTCTTCGAGCTCGATGAGCACATCTTCGATCTTCTTCTGATCCTCGTCCTTTTGATTATCGAGTGATGTACGTGGCTCGGCCTAAATTCAACTTTTTGCTTAAAAAAAACGTTGCAAAGTTATTACCTCTTGGTTTATCGAAGCATTGTCGATTTTTTGCTCGGCGTCGAGTTTTCCAGTTTGTATCGATTGCGACAGTATTTTTTTGAAACAAGGCAACTCTTCCTCCTCTAACGACGACATTTTTCGAAGAAATTTCTTCAAGGCCTTCCTCGAAATCGCAGAAATGTTTAGTTTTCAAAAAATACTATTTTTCGGAAATCCAGTCGGCCACGTCATTCATAATGGCAATTTTTTCGGCTTTCTCAGAATTCGCCTCACAAATTTTGTAAACGAAAAGGAGGAAAATGAAGAGTGTGATGACGCATTAAGAGCCAATTATCGACTTTTCCGCAGACTTGCAACGGGCCGGGCCGGGCCGGGCCGGGCCGGGCCAAAATTGGAAATTTTCCGGCCCGGCCCGGTCGGCCCGGGAGGATGCATCTAAAAATTCAAAGCGAACTAGAACCAGCAGAAATAGAAAAAAAGACAAAAAGGCAATGTTATAGCATAAAAACCTGTTAAAAAATAGAAATTGCTGTTTAAAGTCGCAAAATTTTCACAAAAATTACGAAAATTTTCTCAAGAGTGGGCGGAGCGATTGATTGCAACTCTGGCACGCCATTTTAGCAATTTTGCCGCACGCGTTTTCCTCTTCCTTCATATTTTTTTTGCATATTTTTTTTTGAGGTCTAACTTCCGGGCCAAAACCGGGCCGGGCCGGCCCGGGATTTGGCAAGTCTGCTTTTCCGGAGCCTCTGCAATTGTCACCATCCGATTGTGAACCAAATGGGCATTCCAGCTGTCATAACTTTACCTTCCGTTCGTTCGCATAGCAATTCCGTCAAACGAGCACACGAAATTGAGAGTCAGCCGATGCGGATCGCCCTCAGAGATTAGCAAATCACGAAGATCTCCAAACGCCATCGTTTCCTTTGAAAATATCTGCCTGACAGGTGAAGATACTTTCACCGTACGTATCGAGAAGATTAATAACGTAGTCAATTGGGTCGGATATGCTAATCTGCGCGGCCCGGAATCCACGGGTGCATTGACACCTGCAAACAAGAGTTTTTATTCAGTGAAAAACGATCGCAGCCCGACAATTCCTTCTATTTTTCAGTTTTTAGTGATAAAGTTAAAAATTTAACCTACACATTTCTGCGTGTCGCACAGGAGGAGCAAAGTTCGATGCTTTCAATGTGCGAGGTGCCCATCAAACCAATTTCTCGGAGCGAAAGTACAGATTTGCCGCTGAAAACTGTTTACGATTACTCAACTGAAACGGTTCATTCACCTGCTTTGGTTGTGACAGAACTGCTTATGAAAAACAGTCTGTTCAGGTCTTTGAATGACAACATCCTCCAGAGTTGGCCTACAAGCGAAAACAATCATTTAATTTGTTCAATTTTAACAAAGTTCTCTTATCCACTCACTCCTTCTTGTAGACGTCGTGTCCGTTGAGAAATCGTTGAATTCGATCAAGTTATCTTCTCTGAAAGTGATCACTTCTTCACTTCACGGTTTTGGAACTGCAAGAAGCGCGAGACTTCTTGTAACTTTTGAGTTTCATTGCAACATTTGAAAATCTCGTTGTAACTTTCGCACTTTCGACAACATGCGAAACGAAATTGCCAGAGCCGTCGCCAATTGGCTCCTCTTGAGGGTCAAGATATTTCCGTAAACCAGCCATCAGTTCTTTCTTTGAACGTTGGTACCAGAGTTGAGCGGAAATGGAATTTTGAAATACGGAAGACGGCAGACGGCAGACGGAAGAAAATTTTTCTTACGGAACACGGAAAACGGAAGACGGAAGAAAATTTTTCTCACGGAAGACGGCAGACGGAAGACGGAAGACAACTTTTTTCCCGGAAAACGGCAGACGGAATACGGAACAAAATATCGTCAATTCAGAGCCTTTTTTCCGGTTTTTTTTTGAAAAAAATAACTAATGCAACAAAACTTTTGGATCTGGGTACTGCCCGTGGAAATTCGCGTTCTTCGGGACTAGTAAATGGCTTTTGAAAAGCTATTACTCTTTTACGGTAAGAAAAAAAAATCCCGGAAGACGGCAGACGGCAGACGGAAGAAACATTATTTTACGGAAGACGGCAGACGGAAGACGGAAGAAAACTTTTCTCACGGAAGATGGCAGACGGAAGACGGAACAAAAAAAACCACGGAAGACGGAAGACGGAAGACGGCAGACGGAATTCCGCTCAACACTGGTTGGTACTCTTTTTTCGTCATTTTTGAATTTTAAACTTCAAAAGACGATAAAATGCTCGATTCCGACTCGAAAAATTGAAAACAAAATTATTATGACGCAATTTCAGCTTAAATTCGTGGAAATATTGTGCTGGTCTAATTTTTTTGAAGCAATCAAACAAACTATCGAACATTTCATTGCTTGCCACGAGCTTCGAGCATTCCAAATACATCCGAGTGACCAGATCACGCACTCGGAGCCAGTAACCGTGTTGCGAGAAACTCCTCTCGGGTCACAAAGATGATTTTCGGTTTGCGCGGACATCGCTTTCTGCTCGCCATTTTTCTGAATGCTGAATTTTATACTAATTCCGGTGCATACCTTTTCTAGATAAAACGATCGAGAAATTCGCATTTTTGCTCGCTTTTTTATATCGAAATAAACCGTGGCCTAGTCAAAAAAAACTATACAATAATCATCGGGTTTATTACACACACAAAAAGAAACGAGTTCGATACAATCACGTTTGTGGCAGCCGGATTTTCAGTCCGAGTGCGACTCCTCGGAATTACCGATAGATTGGAAGTGCTCCATTCTCGCTTTCTCGAATCCGGCGACAAAAGAGTAGACGTGGCTCGTCGCGTCCGTCTTGACACTGTCGCCTGAGCGGCCGTGCAGCAGCTCGGCGAGCACCCGCTTTCCGAACGAGTTCAGCTCGGTTGACGTCATCAGTTGGCCGTCACGTCCACGCATTTTCTCATCGTACGCGCTTTTGGCGAACTCGTAGGCGAATTGTTCGGCCGCCGGGTTCTGGCTCACAGTTGGCATACCGAGCATTCTGAAATGAAAGCAGATTTTTGCGTTTGTGTGGGAGGAATACCTTCTTCGGATGGAAATCAGAAGTGACGGCGGGACTCGAAGATTTCGATGATTCTCGATTTCAAAGTTGCCACGTCGAAAGGTCAATGAATCGAAAGGACACGTTAAATTTTATCGAAAACGTAGCGTAAAAATTTGCGGCTCTTTTCTGTCGTTCATTTCTAGATTTACTAGTGCTTTAGGAAACATGTTATTATTATGGTCATTCTTGAATTTTTTGTTTTGAGCAGCTTCTGAACGATGTAAAATTTTCCGAAAATCAGTGAAAAGAGCTTTGCGCGTAAGATTTGGTGTTTAGTACGCAGAGCGTTTCCAAGGCCCTGGAGCTGAAAATCAAAGTTTGTCTGGAAAATGTCTGGATTGGTATCGTTTTTCAAAAACTCAATATCGATCATGTGACGGGAGCGATCACGCCAATCCACGAGAAAGTTTGGAAGCCACAGGTGATTGGAAAAATCGAGAATTCGACGGAGATTGAGCGAATCAATGAAATAATCGCTAAATCGGCAAAAATTTATCAAATTCCCGAAACAGTCGATAATTCGACTGAAGAGATCAAGCCGATTCACGAGAAAGTCGAAAAGCGACTGGAGGCGATCAAATCACCACCCAAAACAATCGATGATTTGCCAGAACTGAAATCAGGAGATTTGCCAGACAAAAAGGTACTATTTGTTTCCGGAAAAAGATTTTACCAAATTGTTTCAGACTCCCTTGTTATCGAAGGAATCAGTGGAGAATCAGACGAACGAATCGATCGAAAGTGCCGGAAATCAATCGATAGTGTCCGTCTCCAAATGGGCGCCCATCGCCATCACCGTTCTCGTCGCCGTTTTTTCTGTCGTTTATCAATTTTTGTTGCAAAAACGCAATAGATTTTATTAAACTAATAATATTAATTAATTAATGCACGTGTACGATGCTCTGACGTTCGAAATGTCCAAGTGAACGTGGCAATTGGAAAGAATCAAATTATTTCAGGCTAAAACGATGGTCGGATGGAGTTGTCTTCCACAGGAAATGCACATAGAAGTCATTCAATTTTGCGATCTCGAATCGAGGTTCTCATCGAGAGAATTTGTTGATGAAATGCACATTTTTCTGCAGACTTCGTCTACGTCAATGCTCGAAATACTGGAAATTCGTGGTCGACGCGACCGCGTGTCACATTCCGCGAGTCCGATTTCACGCCAGAAACGGAACATACAAAATACTGATTTTTACGGGAATCGAACAGAAAATAAAGTTGGAATTCGATCAAATCGACATCGAAACTGTAAAGTGTCGACGGTGAGTTTGGAGAAAACGCCTTTTTAATTATTTTCCGGAACAATCAGACTTAAAAAGACACATTCCAGAACTCGCGAACTCAAAAATGTGTCGGACACTCGTGAATTCACAATTTCCCACCCAAATCACGGCGTTCTCGCCACTCGGACCATCAAAAACATTGTTGCGACGGCGCGTCAATGCGTCGGCGGTTTCGAAGTGTACCTCGGTCGAATGACGATCGGTCAACTCGAGCGAATCGACAAAGCACTGGGCGGATGGGAATTCCGCGCGAGACTGCTCCGAACCGATCCGGACGTGCGCACGGGCCTGCCGTTCTTGTTGCGTTGTCAACGAGCTCATTTGGAGGAGCTGCAAAAGTTCTCGATAAGCCCCGAGAACGACTACACGCCATACGAACTGGCGGAGGCGGACGCACGAAACGTCGAGCTACTACAAAATGGCGACGATCTACGAAAGCGCATGTTCATTTCATACGTGCCCGCCATCAAATACACGACGTTGGACGGAAAATCACCGGCAGAGAACACGATTTTTTCGATCGGTCAGTTAGTTTTTTCCCCCCGTTTGAAGACAAAATCACGGTTTTGACAGGCTACCAATACGAGACGAAACTCAGCGAGCATCTCGATCCGATGGTATTTTTGAACACGTTCGAGAAGCCGATTATCGAAATGTGAGAGCGTTTTGTGTGAAATAATTAATTCTTAATTGACTTGTAGCGCTCCGAACGTTCACTTGATGCATTTCGAGCACGAAACCCATTTGTGCTGCTATACATTATCGCCATGCGGTCTTTTGTTGAGAACGAATGCCGACTATTGCACCGATTTTATGGTCTATGAAAAGGTTTCCGTTTTTGTGTTGTTGAAATTGTTGACTAACATTTTTGCAGCCAGAAAACACGTGCGACTTTCGCTGGACCTGCGAGAAGTGCGCCGATCCGTTTGAATATTGGTACAATGTGAAACGCAACAAGGTACGGTCGTTTGCAAACACCCGTCACGACAAAAGCGCGTTGATTAGGAATCGGACTGGTTCATTTCGGAGGAGCACCTGAAATTCGAGACGATCTTTCCGACGGTGAACGGCCGCAATCCGTTGCAGAACGAGTTTGCGATTTGGGAAGCGCGTTGGTCGAACATGGAAAAGGTGTTCCGGTACGGACCGTCTGTACTTTGGGAGTCTGAAGAGGACAAGGCGCTGGAGAGACGGAGGCGCCAAGCTCTGGTAAATTTGATTGCTAACCCGTTTGCGCTCCGCTGTACTTTGCGTCGTTTTTCGATAAAGCCATGTGAAAATGTGTTGAATGCACGATTTGTGAACAAGAAAAGTGGTAAAAACTAGCATTTTTGATAAAAGTCGGCAAAAAACGCAATTAGAGCGGAAACTGAAATGAACAGAGTGCAGCGGTGCGCAATGTTTCAAATCGCAATTGATTTTCCAGAAAATGAAAGCGGAAGAGGAAGGAGTCGAACGAATCGAAGTGATTCGACGCCAGGCGCCCGATTCGCAGGACGAGTATTTTGAAATTCGTGCCAATAATTGGAGCGATAAAATCGTTTTGTCGGAACCGACACACAGCAAATTTCCCTATTATTTCAAGTGTTTTCTCGCTTTCTCGCTGGCTCTTCTCGTCGCCGACCTCGTTTTCGTCGTGCTCCCCACGTTGGAGGAAAACGAGGAAATTTGAACGGTCACAATAAATATGAAAGTATGGAACTTTATTATGGAACTTTATTATAATAAACTCTGAAAAATATGCGGAAGTTTGGAGTTTGCGAATTGAAAAAAATGAACACGTGTCCACGTGACCCTGTTTCTTTTTGGGAACGTGTTCAGTTTTGCCACATCTCAGTTTTTTCCTCGCAAAAATGGTAACTTGGTCGGATTTATCAATTGATTTAAAGTCAAAAGTCATCAAGGATTTGGATTTGCTCAGCCGGTAACTTTTAGGCAAAAAAATTCAATAAATTGTCGAAATTTCCAGTTTCCGTCTTCGCGCCGCTTCTCGATTGGACCGAAAAGTGGTCGATTTCAGCGAACACCGCATTCCACGTGTCAACATTTCGGAGAAAAACGGCATTTTCGACATGACCGTCTACTGGAAAATCGATCGATTCGTGCGGATCAGACTGGAGCAAGGCGACGCCGATTCGACAATTATGCACAGGCGGGAATTTGAATGCGTTTTTTTTTGAATTCTGTGGCCACGGCCATTGCCAATTTTTTTCCAGAACCCAACGCCTCAAAAACACGCACAAAAAGTCGATTACATGCGCGAAAACGACGCCGCTCAAGCTGTTCGCTCAAATATTCCGTCAAATCGTTTTCCACCGCAAAACGACGATCGGCACGCTCGAGACGGCGATTTCCGACCACATCGACGTTCGCGAATTGCTGAAATTGAGCGAGGAGCTCGCAAAAACCGACGACGACGATATTCGTGCCGAAGTATTATCGATCCACACGCTGGAACGTTCGAATTTGCCGTTTTTGGGGCGCTGCCATTCGGCAACACTTCGCGACATTGAGCTGTGTTACGACGGAATCGTCTACACGTTTTTGATGTGTGAAAAATCGACACTTGATGAGAAGAAAGCGGAAGAATTGACGGCGGCCGGATGTTGGGAATATTTTCACGGATGCGGACTCCACGTCGCCCGAAAATATAATGTGAATGGTCGCGAAGTGAAGGAGAAGTGTGAAGAGTTGAAAGAAAGGTGAGAAAACGCGCTGCACCTCACTTTTGACGCAAAATTTCCTGAATTTCAGCTCGCCCCTATCGGTTGCGGTGCAAAAAGTGAGTCGTTCGGTGCGGATCAAGTTTACGGGATGCGGAAGGATTTGTGAGAAGGTGGACGGAAAAGGAGGAGACGATTATTGCGAAGTGACCAAGGTGACTAGCGGTTTCTTTTTTTTTGGGTCTCGCCCGCCACGAAAACTACAGTATCCCAATCCGAGTTTGTTTCAGTCCACGATGCCGTGCCTTCTTCGTTGGGCGTGTCCGACGCACGCGGATGCGTTCACGCACTGGTACTACCGCAAAGAGCGCCATCGCATTCTGGGCCCGAAATATTGGACGAACAAATTGGACGAGGTGGCGATTCCAATCGCGGTGAGACCCGATCCGATCCGTCGTTTCCATCACATGTGGCGTCGAGTTTTTGTGGAATTTTTCGTAATTAACGAATTTTTTCACTTTATGCTGTCCGTCTTCCTCCCGATTTCCCTCATTTTCGCCGCTTTTTATGTGATTTATTTCCGGGATATTTTCGAGTTTTTATCGAAAACTTTAGATGGATAAATACCTTATTTTAGTCTTTCAATCATATTTTTTGCTGAACCTAAACAGTCATTGAAATTCGATTCGGGAACGAGTGGTCGAGAAGAGCCGCATTCTGGGGTTGACACGGAAGCACGAGCAGATCCGTCGACCAGGAGAACGATTCCACCGGCACATCTGCAAATGGATTTTTGTGACTTTTTCAGGGCTGGGCAAACTTCGGACCAGGCTTTTTGAGGCCTACATTTTTAACCCACTTGCAATGATTTGATCGGGCCCAAGCTTTGCAGACTTCTTGGACCTCGATTGAAATATGTTGGGACCAAGCCCAAAAAGCGTGCAAAGTTTGGGCCCGATTGGATCATTGAAAGTGGTCCAAAAGTTCAGGCCTCATAATAAGCCGGCCTTTTGCCTGCCAAAATTTTTTACCAATGGGAGCGGCGGAACTGGCGACGTCTCCGTTCAAGTGCACATTGTACGCCAGTTCGGTGACGACGAAAACGAATCGGAGACGCCATTTTAGTTGAACTGCAATATTTTTGAATTCTCAGAAAGCACTTTCTTTCTCACCCGAATCCGTGGAAAAAGTGGGCGTGGCCGTGAGCGGAATGCTCAATCGGAACGTGGAATCCGGCGAGAATGTGCAAATTGGCGCCGTTTGGGAGTGCACTTTTATTACTTTCTGGAAGATGGCTTTTTAGAGCCAATTTTAGCGTTTTTTTTTCCCTAGAACGCCTACTTTTCTGTTATTGTCAGCTTCCTCGACGTCCGCATCGATCAAGTGTTCCTCCGTTTCGATGGTGGCCGAGTACTGAACGCAAGGCGTCGTGGCTCCGTTGAAATCGAGGAATCCGCACACGTCGTCGCCCAATTTGTACGCTTTTTTGGGCAGGATCAGAAGGGCGACTCGGGCGCTCGACGAGTTGTGAGTCAGCGAGAAGGCGAGGGATTTACGCGCCTGCGTCAGGTCGTCCACCGTACCCATTACTGTCTGCAATTTTTGAAACGGCGTGTTTTGGGGTCTGTAATTACGTGGCATGTTGGCCCGCTTGGCCTAGAAAACTCCATCGGATCCTAGGCCAAGTTTGTCAATTTGCCACTTTCAGCGCTTTTTCCGAGCCAATAAGGTGTCGTTCGAATTGAGTCCGTATTTGAATCAATTTTCGGTTACCTCAATAACAGAAGGTCTGGCGGTGTCGGAGGCGAGAAACGGATTGACGGGAAGCGACATTTTGGTTTCTAATCCGACGGACGGAATGATCCGAATCGGCAAATGCACGGATTTGATGTGCTGCTGCACGTGCGACACGGCCACCGTAACCCGATTCGAGTACTTGACGAGCTGCCCGCGGAAAGTCGGCGGGATTCCGTCGCGAGACAGAGGAATCTGCAAAGAAACCACGAATCTAACGGTACAGAGCTTTGGTCCCTGACAAAAAAGTGAATGAATGTACATACACATGCAAATGTATCAAAACGAGACACAGCAATTCGATTCAAACTGACAAAGTTATGAGTGGTCACATTTTTCTGTAAACTTGTCGAATCAGGGTCATTAAAAAACGAAAATGTTCCTCTAGAAGTGCTCTATGCAATCGGCTTTACGATTAGTAGCCGTTTCCTAACGTGAGCGTACAGGCACTGTCTAAACAGTCATTCGTAGCAAGCTCTTGTCTATTACTTCTGAGTCAAGAATTGAAATCCCCTGCATGACCTTGTGGTTAGCACTGATAAAAGCCGAAACGTTCCCAAAAAAGTGCGTACATCGGAAACGAATTGTTTCGTCTGTCCGGGAGCCAGTTGGAGCTCACAAAAAAGGATATTCGGAGGCGATGAGTAAACGGTCGACGCGGATTTCGTGACTGAAGTGGTCGGGCGCGGGCGGGACGAAGTCGAAGAAGCGGAATGCGAGGAGGCGCCCATCGTTCGCTCTGAACATTCAAAAGAACTCATTCAATTGCAAAAAAGTGCTTCTTTACCAGAAATTAGCTGCAGACTACCCCAGGCGAGTTGCTCGGCGCTTCCCTGTTTGCCACGTGTCAAATTTCGCACCGTTACCGTAATCCGCACCGTTTCGCCGGCCAAATAAATTGCCACATCACGATCCAGCGTGGCGGACACTTCGAGCATTTTTCTGGAGTTTATAAATAAATCATTTCAAAATAAATAAATCATTTCAATTCGAACAAATATTCTTTTCAGGTCAGCAACCATCAAAATCAGCATCTTCTCATTGCACAAAATTGCAGAACGTTCATTTGAATACACAAAAATTCCTGGAATTTTTTCCGCCACTTTCTAGTAACAAAAAACACAAAAGTTATGGTTAAAACGAGCCAAAAATGCAAAAAAAAACCCGAAGGAAAACGTCAGAAGAAACAGGAGATCTATGAGTGAATTGGGCGGCAAAAATGCGGAAAATTAATCGGAACTCTCCTCGGCGATCCGAATCGCGTTCATCTCGTCGGTTATGTGCTGCAAGTACTTGATTCTGAGCAGTCCCTCGAAAGACGGTTCCGAGAACATGCACTTTGGATTCTGGGCGCGGTAGTTGTCGACTGGAAAACAAACGTATATTTTGTTTATGGAAAAGCACAGATCACGGATTTTAATGGTAACAAGGAATTGTAAAATAGATTTTTTTTAACCCACCAAAATGTTTGAAACGGGCGGTGCACGCCTCTTTCGAAGTGTCCCAATAGTCGAATCCGTCCACCGACGGCGGTTTTTGCACGTGAAATGGGCCGCCGGTCCGAGATGTCGGAGCCGTGGCGGTCAGAGACGGAGTTGGACGCGTGGGCCGACAGAGCGGACGTTGCGCGGATCCAGAAGACGAGGACGACGGCGAGGCGGCGTCCTGCAGTCAAAAAAGTGTTTTTGTTGTTTCCACTCAATTGGTGACATTGACGCTAAAAATTACACAGACAGGCCATTTTCTTCTTAGTAACCGTAAAAATCGATTAAAAATGCCAGGATCCTTGAAAAACTCTATAAAAATTCAAGAAAATCGCTTACTTTCGAGGAAGACGCTCTGGACGACGAGTCGGCATTGTTCCAGACGGAGCTAGCCGTTTTCTGTCCCATCGGCGCGAATTTGGGTGCACTCGGAGTCGCTCCCGCCTTTGGGACCACTTTGTAATTCTGACGACCGTACGGATTGCACGTGTCCAGCTGAAAGAGCATTTCCGAGATTTTTGTGATTTTTTTGCACTTGCCAGAAAAAAAAAATAGCTCACCGCAATTTCGTGGTTCTCGTCGGTGACGACTATGCTCCGCCAGCACACGCCCCGCTCGTTGGGCGCCTGTTCGCGCGCCACGAATTTGACTCTTTGGCCGGCACGGAACAGCTCTGTCAGCTTCGTAACAGGAGGAAGCACCGCCGCCCGCGTCACAAATACGTTCGTCGTCGTGTTCGACTGAAAAATCGGTCATTGGCGGGAAAATCGGTTCAGTAATGATTGTCTTATTAGTTTCTTACAAAAAATGCCAAAACTGGTTGGTTATCGCTCGGTTTTTCACAGAAACGGCTGGTCTTGATTTTCGTGTATAAAATCGCCCGAAAAACGAACATTGAGCGCTTTGGGCGGGTTTTTCGTGAATCTCCAGTCGACGAACATGTACTGAGCGCTGTTGCTCTCCTCGGGAATATTGATAATAATTCCCTCGCCGCGCAACCGTCGTCCCACTTTTATGAATTTGATCTCGGTGCCGAGCCAGCCGATCTCGTAGCCGGCCATTTCGCTGAGCCGAGAGCCCACCTCGATGTCTGGCTTAAATGTTTGAAATTCCTAATTTTTTCTAGAAATGTGTTCCCTTACAGCTGTGGCTTTTTTAGCGCTGAACTGCACAATATCGTCGTGTTTGTAGTGGCGAGAGAGCAAATTGTTCTTGAAAAGAACACCTTTTCCGTCGTAGCGCACTAGAATCATGTCGGCGAGCACCGCCACGACGGAGCCTTGTTTTTGAGAAATTGTTTGGACGGCCGGTTTCATTCTGAGCAAGTAGAGCCGTTGCACACGTCACCAGAACCGAACTAAATATGAGGCAGTGAGTAGGGCTACAACGGGGTTGCTTGAGGTCACGTAGAAGAGCGGCGTCATTGTCAACAATTTTATAATACCAAAACAAAACAGATTTGTGCATGGAATTAGTTGTATCCAAGAGCCTCGATGATCTTCTGGTATTGAGCGATCTTCGGGGCGGCGTTGATCTTGGCCTGGGCGGTGAGCTTGTTCAACTTCTTCTTCTGCTCGAAGTACGCGGCTCCCTTGACCTTTCTCTTGGCTTCAAGCTTGGCAACCACATCCTGGTATTGCCATCCGACCTCGTGCGAGAGACGTCCGACTGAAAATTGGTATTTGTTGAAAGAACCCAGAAAAGTTGTATTTACCTTTGCAGAACTTCCTTCTTGGCTGAAGACGGAATCTGCTGGCAGATGGGGCGTGGAGGGTCTTGGTCTTCTGGTATTTGGCTGGGACTCCTTCGTAGGCACGGAGGTTCTTGAGGGCCTCGTTTCCTCGGATCATCTTGTGTGGGAGCATTCCTGTAATAACAAAGTAATCAACTGCGTTAGGGTGAAAGTAGGTTACCTCTGACAGTACGCCAGAAGATCTTGCTTGGGGCGCGGAAATGGAAGGCTCCGCGGGCTGGGTTGATGTTACAACGCTTGCGGAGGAAGCTCATGTACTTCAGCTTGGAGCGGTGGAAGTTTCCGGAGATGGTAATCTCCTCAGCTCTCACGACGACGACCTTCTCTCCCTGGAGGAGTTTCTTGGCCACGATCGAGGCCAAACGGCCAAGAAGGTGGTTCTTTCCGTCAATGATGATTGCTCTGTTCGACAGACCCATCGTTTACCCTGGAAATAGACAATTGAATAAGGAAAGAGAGGGAAGAAGAGAGATAATGAGAAGGGAAAGAACGAGAAAGGTTACAGGTATTCGGAGCGAAAGAACGCGCGGTAACAGGTTATAAAAGAAACTATGAGCAGAATTTATTAGTGGCAAGGACCAGCCAAGGATTCTGACTATCTACAAGTTCAATTGTTCCTATTTTTGTCTATTTCTCAACACGTTTTTCAGGTAAAATTCTCCGGCCTTGTACGATGACCGAACGAGCGGTCCGGAAGCAACATAGAGGAAACCAAGCTTCTTGGAGTACTCTGCCCACTCGTCGAACTTTTCAGGTGTGACCCATTCTTTGACCAATAAATGCCGTTTTGTTGGCTGCATGTACTGTCCGAACGTCACAACATCAACGCTGCTAGCTCGGAGGTCATCCAAACACTGCTTGATCTCCTCCTCTTTCTCTCCGAGACCGAGCATGATGGACGTTTTCGTTATCAGCTTGGGACTGACGTCTTTGGCGTATCGGAGTGCTAAAAAGAAAACGTGAGTACCTACAAAAATAGCACATTGATCTACCTTCAAGAGATTGTCTGTACTTGGCTCGAGGATCCCTAACCCACGGCGTGAGGCTTTCCACAGTTTCAATGTTATGTGCATACACGTCAAGTCCACTTGTTGCTAGCTTTTCGATACTAAATTTATCCCCGGCGAAGTCTGGCAGTAAGCACTCGATGAGCAATTCCGGTTTCTTCAGCTTCATAAGTTGGACTGTCTTCCGAAGATGATCGGCTCCTCCGTCTGGTAGGTCATCTCTGAAAACGAATAATGAGATTACAAATATGGAACTCTGAAATTACCTGTCAACAGAAGTGAGAACGATGTACTCGACTCCCCAAGAAGCGACAGCGGTGGAGGTGTTTTCAGGCTCCATGGGATCCAGAGGTGGCGGAGCACGAGCAGTTTTAACCGAGCAGAATTTGCATCCACGGGTACAAGTGTCGCCCATCAGCATAATTGTCGCTGTCGCGAGACTGTCCTCTGATCCTCCCCAGCATTCTCCTAGATTTGGACACCTCGCTTCTTGGCAAACTGTCGCCAACTTCAGATGCTTCAACTGCTTTTTCAGACGGCTCACATTCTCATTTTCCGATGGCAGAATCTAAAAACTACAGAAATTATACAAAATCAACAAGAAAATTGATTTACCTTTTCCTTCTTGAGCCACGGCGGCAATCGAAGTCTTCTGTCGCCTTTCTCAAGCTTCAGCTTCCCTTCGAACTTTTCAACGGCTTCCGCAACAGAGGCTGAACAAAAATCAATAGAAACCGGTAGAAAAATGAGTTTTTACCTGAAGACACAAAGTCCTGAAGGGACGGGCCGTCTTTGAGGGCAATCCGCGGCTTTTTCTTGGCAGCATCTGCAAAACCGCGGGTCCACGCCCTAGTGAGCATGCTTAAACAAGAAACCCATCAAAAATCGTACTTTTCCAACCGGAATTAATTTTGAAAAACTTTTCATGGCCAAAATTGGAAAACTGTGTTGAGAAATCGACAAATTAGGAACAGATGTCTAGTTAGCATAATTTTACCCTACTTCTTCAGCATTTTCGGTGACGAATCACAAAGAAATCAGGCGTTTAATGCAAGAAAGGTTTGAAAGAATGATTTTCAGCAATTTTTTAGAAAAAATTACGCGCGGAAAGCCTTTAATTTAAACGGAAATTGATGAAAAAATTTTAGGGCAACGCAAAAATTGGCGCATGCCGGTCGACGGGTCTCGCCACGATACGCAGAAGTGCGTCGAGGTGTTTGCAGAAAATTGACTACCGTACCTTGCGGCGCGTGTTAATTTTTCGGTGAATTTTCACGGAATAGTAGGGGAAAATGGATTTTCAGATGGAAAGAAGTTTATAAATGTAGCTAGGACAAGAAAAGTTTTGAATTATGTCGTTTTACCGATTTTTTGCTAAAAACTGTCAGGAATACTGAAAAACACGTTTTGCCAAGTTTTCAACACAGACACATTTTCCGATGAAAAATGTCTCAAAAACCAGATACTCGCGGCAGAAAACCGATTTCAACCAAAACAATCTCAAAGCTAACGATTTTATTATGAAAAATTGAAGAAAACATGCAAAACGTTCACCAGCGGAGGCAAGAACCGAAAAATACAGTAGATAACTGGGCGGCAGTGGCTAATTAATACATTTTCAGTGCAATTTGACATTGCGCGGGGAGGGAGCCGGGGTGTAGAGCGCCGAAGGTTTCACGTGTTGAAGGTAGACGTTGACGAGGACCAGGCAGAGGCACAGAATGATTGGTCCTATGATTGCGCCCTAGAAAAGTCAATTTTTACACATTTCTTCGCTCAACAAAATTGCAAACCTGCAATCCGAGCCAGTACATGCCTCCAATGATGGCCAGACCGGTTACGTAGGGGTGCGATCCTTTGACTTCCTTATAAAAAGTCGCATCGGCGAACATAACCGGCGCGAAGGAGGCCAAAGTGAAGACGAGCGCGGCGGCTCCTTCTCCCCGGACCAGCCAGAGTTCGACGATTCCGAAAATGGCCACAATGTAGGGCGGCATTATTGGGATGGCAGCGAAAAGTGAGGCGAGCACTGAAAATTGCAAACAATTTGGATTTACATTTAAAAAGAAGAAGCTCACTCGAAGGCACAAAGACAATATTCAAATCGAAGAGACTGTGCACAAAATACGTGTAGAGTCCGTAGAAAACGGCCATTTTTGCGGAGAGCACGAAGACACCGCTGAAATGTCTTTAAATTTTTTAAAAATCCCCAAAAAATCACTCACAAAATGGCGTGCTCAATGGCTGCAGTAATGTGGTGCTGATCGGTCGGAGAGCTCGGATCCTCGGTCGTCGTCACTGCGGAAAGATCGGAAGCCCACTGGAGAGGCAGCCAGCGGGTACGGGACGCCGAGAGCAAGTAGTAGACCATTGTCAGGAAGACTATCTGCAAAATGTATACGTTTGATAATGAATCTGTTGAGACGCGTCTCTTTTTTGTAAATGCTTACCAACTCGATAAACGTGTTGAGTAATTCCATGCCGAAACTGAGAATAATTCCGGCGAATTGGACGAGAATCGACGAGAAAATCGACACGTTCACCGCCAAAACCGATCCGATCGATTGGGCTACCTGAAATGTACTCGCTTACTTGCTTGTGTCGAATTGGAACAACTCACTCCCATAAGAGTATCCAGATTTTCCTTGACAATCAGTGTCAATTCGTCTTTTAGGGCCGTCAAATCGGTCACTCCTTTCAATTGCTGCCACCAATCGCCACGGGACCCCTCTTGCACAGCTGAAACTTTTTTATGATCGAACATTGAGAATGAAAATCGGTTTCAAGTACCTTTAACGTCGTGACTGTTGCGTTGTTCCCAGATATTGTAGAGTTTGTCGACCACCTGCTTCACCTGATCCTCCAGCATATCCGCTCGTTTCGTATCCTTCGCGTTCGCCAGGGACCGCACATTCGAGGCGAGCCATGCGCGGCCTTGTTCGTACGCCTACAATATTCGTTTTCTAATATAATTCACGTTTTTGCTGCTACAAATGATGTAGATATTCATAGGGACCGCTACGGGTTTGGAGTTGAGTCTTTAGGGACCACGGATCCCGACCTAATATCCTTTTTGGGTATCAGTGTCATGGGAGTAACTAATGGTTATTCTGAAATTTTGATGACTTTGCGTCTTCCAGAAAGTGCGTCATAAAGGCTTCGACTTATTTCCACGCGCACTGTCCGAGTCCCAACTCTCACTGTTAAAGTTGTGGCCGTGGCCTAGAAAAATCCTAGGCCATGGGATCGTACCTGCTGCACATAATCATCAATGTCGATATTGTTCTCTTCCAGCTGATCCTCCGTATAATTCATTGCGGCGGCGACCCAATCCGGCCGCGAACTGACGACATTCGAGGTGAGCCGCACGAGATGCACCGTCTCGCCGTGCAATTGGAAACCGACGAAAATGAGGGCGAACAGGGCGGAGAACGCCAGAAAAACCATCACGATCACGGAGGAGAGCACGTCCATTTTGTCATGCAGCGACTCGACGATGTACTTGTCCGACGTGAAGAGCACCTGAAGAGACGTTTGAAATATTTTTCGAATCTTCTTTCGAAAAATACCTTCACAAACTGTCTCAACGGTCCGGCGACCGTAATTTCCACAATTTTCGTGACGGACGGCTCAATTTTCTGCCACGTCGCGTCGAGGAAATTGTGAATTGCGGCAATGATTCCGAGTTGTTCGGCTGCAAAAATGAGGGGTCTTTGAAAATAGTTCGTGGAAATCAGTAGACGTACCAGCTCTGGCCAAAACGGCCAAAACGAACGGAATGGCGAGGAGAATGAGTGCTCCGTCGTGCCGCACGACCCACAAAAGGGCGCAGAGCCCAAAAACGGCGCGAATGAGCCAATCGCCACTGATCGCCTCGTCGACGGTCGACGTGGACACGATCGAGTGGTCCAGGAGCTCTTGTTCGGTCGCGTCCACTGAAAAATTGCCTTTTCGAAATTGTTGAAAAACCCATTTTCCGTACATTTCTCCTTGGCCGTCTCGAGAATCTCCTCGACTGTTGGTGGTAGGATCGACGATTCTTCCGCATTTTCCTCGGGTTTCCCGTGATTCTGCGACTTTCCAATGATTCCGGCCGAAAGAGCACCCAAAATAGCGGCGGAAAGACCGAAAATACAAGCGCGGAACGGTCCAAAGTAGAGCGAAGCGTACGAAATGACGTAGATCCTGAAAAAATTTGAATTACAGCTTTAGCCAGAAAAAAAGTTGCTTCGCCGGGAAAACGGAAGACGAAACTATCTTAGGTGAATATTATAGGGGCGCGCTGTTCGCAATCTCGCTGAATTTCTAGGCCGCGAAGTAATTTTCCACTGAAAACGTGGCCTAACTTTTCAAACTCGGCCCCGAGGTCGCTCAATTTGCACTGCAAAAAGAGTTTCTCAACAGAGCGCCATTTCTGTGCGGCGCGCGCGCAACCATTTGTTTTCGGTTGTTTCCCTTGTTGTTTGTGTCATTCTTTTGTTTTGACGCTACACGGCACGACGTTTTTTGATCTTCTCTAAAGAGAACCAACCATATTGGGAGCGAAAAGCTTCTCGCCAATTTCTTATTGATTTGTTTCGGATCCTGAACGTAAATCCACGCGGCGTAGCAGCAAAAATAGACAATTATCAGAGGGAGGACCTGAAATTTTTCAAGTATTTAAAGAAGTATGTTCTTTGCGATTTTTTCAACTAAAATTGCGAAAAATCTGCTTGAAAATGCTCTAGGGCTGGGCAAAATCGGGCCTGGACTTTTGACCCACTTGCAATCATCCGATCGGGTCTAAACTTTGCAGGTTTCTTGGACTTGGATAGAAGTATATTGCAGACTTGCCAGATTTCGGGCCGGCCATGCGGGCCGGCCCGGGTCGGCCCGGGCCGGGCCGGGCCGGGCCGGTAAAGTGCCGGCCCGGGCCGGGCCGGGTCGGTAAAGTGCTGGCCCGGCCCGGCCCGGTCGGCCCGGTTCAAAAAGGCGGGAATTCAAATTTTCGAGGAAATTTTTTTCGTTATTACAAAAAAATTTTTCGAACTAAAGTTTTAGTGTTTCTTCTTTGTTTTTTTGCTATTATGAATTTTTTTATGAGAAATACATTTGTTTTTTTCAATGTTCGATGCTTGCAAAAAAACCCCTAATTCTACAAAAAAATGGCTTCATGCGATCAATAATTCAAATTTTGAATTCCCGCTTTTTGAACCGGGCCGACCGGGCCGGGCCGGGATCGGGCCGGGCCGGGCCGGAGTTTTGGAAATTTCGGCCCGGCCCGGCCCGGCCCGGCCCGGCCCGTGGCAACTATGGTATATTGGGTCCAAGTTTCAGATCGATCGGATCATCCAGTCCCGAGATACGCTAGTTTGAGGCCTTTGCGGTCTTTTCGGCTTCAAATCAGTATATCTTGGCAAGTGGGTAAAAAGTCCAGGTTTCAAAAAGACTGGGTCAAAATTTGCCCAGCCCTAAACTGTTCCGAACACTCTTTTCAATTCAACAGCAAAAAACCAGACTTGCCAGATTTCGGGCCGGCCATGCGGGCCGGCCCGGTTCAAAAGGCGGGAATTCAAATTTTCGCGGAAATTTTTTTTTTCGTTATTACAAAAAAAAATTTCGAACTAGTTTTAGTGTTTCTTCTTTGTTTTTTGCTATTATGAATTTTTTATGAGAAATACATTTGTTCTTCAATGTTCGATGCTTGCAAAAAACCCCTAATTCTACAAAAAATGGCTTCATGCGATCAATAATTCAAATTTTGAATTCCCGCTTTTTGAACCGGGCCGACCGGGCCGGGCCGGAGTTTTGGAAATTTCGGCCCGGCCCGGCCCGTGGCAACTATGCAAAAAACTCAACCCATGGTCTCGCAAAGAAAACGATAAAAGCGTCCAAATATCCGTAAAGTCGTCCGATCCAACTGATGATGCACATAAACGTGCGCTCGTAGGAGAGCACTTTCAGCGAAATGTACGCCACGCCGATGATTGCGCCGGTCGGGCTGGAAATTGTCGTATTTTAGAAGCTTCTCGAATTTTGTGAATTTCTACCTGGCAATAGTGCTGTAAATAGTCTCGGAAATGTTGGAAAATGCGGAAAACGGAAGAGTGATCACTGCTTTCGCCAGAGTTTGATTCGATTTTTGGAGCCCGCGGAGCCAGTCTGTGAAATTTAGAATGTTAGAAAAATAGTTTTCCAGAAAACTCACTTTGCACAGTGTCGGTGACCTTCTTTTTGAACGGAAACAGTACGGTCCCGACGAGTACCGCCCACAGCATGGGCGAAAGGAACATGTACATCATGTTGTACAGGGCAAACACTCCGCAAAGTGAAACTCCCAACTGGAAATGTTTTACAATTAAGTTAGGAATTCTGGCTTGAAAATTTACCCACCAAAACGAACAGGAGCACATTGTAAAACGCGAATTGGAGCGCGGTACGTTGTTCGTGGTCTCCACCGCCGAAATATCGTTGAATGACGGCCGAACCGCCTTCCGATGACATCTGAAACTTGAAACCTGTGACAAGTTTGAGAATTTTCTCGTAAAAACTACTTTCGTTTTCTCAATTTTATATCAAGAAATCGATACTTTGACACGCGAAACGTATCAGTTGTTTACCAGATGTCCGTTTTTTTGATTTCTTCAAAAATTGAAGCAAACAACGGAAAATGGAGGCGAGAGAGTGTGTGAAACGAGGAGACGCTAGAGAAAAGTGTGCAAACACCGAGCTGTCTACCGTACCACCGAGCGAAAATAATTTCCTCCGATTTCTCTTCATTTTGCTTAAATTTCCTCAATTTTCAGCCAATTTTCTCGGTTTTTCAGCGAAGATGTTGGCAAATAAATCGATAACGTCGTTGTGCGTGGTGCGGACTGCTCCGTTAGCAGTGGCCGCGCGTGGAATCGCCAATATTCCTGCGCACGAGTATCACATTCGATTCGATCAGCGCGTTGGACGGAAACGACCAGCCCAGGACGTTTTAGACAGGTTTGTCATGTTAGAATTATGTGAAAATTATGAGAGTTGGGCTTAAAAGTTTATTTTCAACACCAAAACTGATTTCTTTCAGATTCAAGCGTCTAAACAACGGAATGTGGATTCACGCGCATCCGGGACGGCACAAGCTCAGATATATGAAAGACGAAACGTGGCAGAAGACGAGTTTGTACTATGAGACGTGCACGAAAGTACGGTTTTCAAATAATTCGTTTTCCTATTTTTTTAAACCGAAATTTGCAGGAGCAATGCGAAATCTTGGATAAATTGATGACTCCGTACTGGTTGCGCCCGAAACACTACCCGAACGACCCGTATTCGGCGTACAACGTGCGTCACAACATCAACTCGCCACGTGTCGACGACCGCGGTAATTTTGTGCGCGAACGCAAGAAGGTGCTGATGGACGATTCGACGGCGCAACGATTCTTCAAAGATTTCTAGAAAATTGTCGACTTGTTCCCATTTGCTCCTTGTTATCAACCCCATTTTCCGTTGTTTTTCGCTGTATAGACTAGGCTTTTTCAGATAATTATCAGAAACGTTTATTATACACAATTGGCTGCAAAAAACATATATTATACATGAACCGGGATGGAAATCCGGTCGCTTCCGGAGTCATTTTAAAGCTTGACAAAATTTTTCCATTTTTGGCAAATTTAAAATTTAGTGTCCAGTGAGAGGCCGATCGAATTGCGATGTTTGCCCTGTTTGCTCTCTTCCAACACTTTCTGCGCCTTTTCTCGCTCCGATTTTGTCATGAACAACATTTCGACCTGAAAAATGAAATGATTTGGATTTCCAGGCCACGAAGTGAAATTTTCAGGCCATCTCGCAGTACAGAAACACTAAAATCCAGATTTTCAGGCCACGAACCTCATCAATCGAATATCCTTTCGTTTCGGGCACAAAAAAGAAGACGAACACGAGCGCGACTATCGTACATCCACAATAGATGAAGAATGTGCCTGAAATTTTATCGATTTTCTATTACTCTAGTGTTTTTCGAGGCGCATACCGTATTTGGTGGCCGCCTGTGACAAAGAGAGGAACGTTAGCGAGACGATGAGATTGAAGATCCAGTTGGCGGCCGTCGAAATCGAAGCGCACGTACTTCTCGCCCACAACGGATAGAATTCGGCGTTGAGCACCCAGGGAAGAGGCGCGTAACCTGCAAATGTTAAAGTTTCAGCCAATAAAGTTTGGAAAAGGCGCCTACCAGCAGAGAACGACAGCAGATAGAAGACCATAATGATGATGGGCAAAACGGTGAACTTTGTGTGGCAATACGTGTCCTCCCACTCGTACGTTTTGCCGTTTCCGGTCAGATTCGAAAATTGGCAGATGCCTGTCGCCGAAAAATCACTCGAATCGTCTTTTGGAAACGGTAGACAGTAGCCTTAATCAGTTTGTTTTTCGAATTTCCAAAATTCAAAACCTCTTACCAGTCTTGGCGGCCTTATTCTCGCAGAATCCGCAATATTCGTCGGTGACACAAAAATCGCAGTTACTGTATTTCATGCATTTGATCGCATCTTTAACGCTTGAATTGAAGTTGACCGTGTAGTCGCTTTGAGAATAAGTTAGAGATGAATCCTGAAAACAATTTATTGATTGTCTCAATTGGATACTCACGGTCTCCCTCTGGCAATTCGATATTAATCTAATTAGAAAGTTACTGATCTAAACGCGACCTAATTAGATTCGACTGTTTTTTCTTGGCGCAATCGAGATTTGAGCCAGCAGACGGTTGGCGTGAAACTTGATTTGAGCACATATCAATCTAATTAGAAGATTTATTAATCTAACTAGACAATTTATTAATCTAGTTAGGTGTCATATCAATCTTATTAGGCCGCCGTATAACTCGAGTAGACTACGAATAGATTAATAACGAAATGCCAGAGTACTCTGGCAATTCGATATTAATCTAATTAGAAAGTTACTGATCTAAACGCGACCTAATTAGATTGGACTGTTTTTTCTTGGCGCAATCGTGATTTGAGCCAGCAGACGGTTGGCGTGAAACTTGATTTGAGCACATATCAATCTAATTAGAAGATTTATTAATCTAGCTAGACAATTTATTAATCTAATTAGGTGTCATATCAATCTTATTAGGCCGCCGTAGAACTCGAGTACACTACGATTAGATTAATAACGCAATGCCAGAGCCAGAGCTGACAATGGTCAAACCCACCCAATAGAGCGATACATTGGCGCGAAATTCAAATTTTAGCAGCAAAATATGCGTTTTTTGCCAGATTAGCCACGAAAAACCGATAATTTCTCATTTGTCTCTCGACAGACCGATTGTATAAGCTATTACGAATTTTTTAAGCGCAAGAGCGTTAAATTTGGTCAAGTCGCAAATCACATTTATTCGTTTGAAGGTTTTTGGCTAAAACTGCGTGAATTTCAGTTGCTTTTCGGTAGTTTTCGCGGTTCGAGCGCTCAAAATGCGTGTATTTACGTGATTTATCATTCTCAAAACCAATTCTGTCTGAAAACGGTCAACAAAGCGCAAAATGAGAAGTGCGGTTTTAAGGCGGCGATCGGCGGCGAAGGCGAAAAAGCAAAGTCCGCGAAAAATGCGCCAAAACGTCATTAATTCTGAGAATTAGTGTTTTTTCATGTCCGCCAATCATTTTTCATCGCCGTTGACCACAAAAATCAAAGAAAACCTGCTCAATTCATGAAAACGCCATTTGGCCGCCGAGGCCACGCCCATATTGTCAGCTCTGGAGACCGTGCGATACTCGAGAACACGTGGTACGAGCAAAAAAGTCGGAAATGTGCGGATTGCTGGACTCGTCGTTAAGGGGCAGCAATCTGGACATTTCCGACTTTACCGCGATCGAAACTACTTACATTATTGATTAAAAGGAAGGAGACGCCCATGGCGATGAGGAAAAGAATGACTCCGACCATGGAAACCAACAAAAGAACCCGACGACCGACACGTTCGACCAAAGCGATGGGGATGAACGTTCCGATGAAGTTGATGGCTGCAAATGCGCAAAATTTCTACTAAAATTCTAGGTCAAACTAACCGGAAGTGCCGACCGATATCCAAATGGTGGTGTGATTGTCCTTGATACCCGCACTTCTGATGATGTTACCCGTGTAGTACCTGAAGAGCACGGTGTCCAAGTGAACCAATCAACACTCTTACATGACAGTATTGATACCCGAAAGTTGTTGGAACATTTGAAGGCACGATCCGATGATGAGCGCCTTTCGAACGTGCGGGGTTTTGAGAATGCGCACGATTGTGGGACCGTTTCCTGGAATTAGACGTGAGTTTCACGGGTCATAACTCAAGAATTAATCATTTTAGAGTAAAATTGTAAATCGAAAAGTTGTTCAGTACACTATTCTCTACAATTTTTCTGTTAACAACTTCCTGAGACAGACACTGGTTCTCGAGATGTACTCGGCAAAGACGCGCCACTTTTGCGTAAACTTTAAGAATTTTCGCAGATTTTGCGCAAACTTTAAGCGTCCTCGCAGCTTTTGCGCAAGCTTTAAGGCATGACGAAATTGTTGTGAAAACACTATAGGCCTTCAAAAGTGAACAACTCCCACCTGCATGCTCTCGCTTGGCCCTCAACTCTTCCTCATACGAGAAACTGATCTCGTTCATCTCGTAGTCGACCCATTCGGTGTGTCCGTTGTAGATCTTCGTGAGCACTTCGCGTGCCTCCACAGTTCTTCCGTGCTCGTACAACCAACGCGGCGACTCGGGGAGGAAGAGGAAGCAAACGAATTGGATGATGGCGGGGACGGCGGCGAATGCGAACATTAGCCTCCATCCGACCTGATCCGGATCGACATAACTGAAGGCTCCGCCGATGATGTTGGCAATCACGAGGCCCACAGTGATCATCAACTGGAATCCGGTGACCAGTTTTCCGCGGATGTGCGACGGAGACGCTTCGCTCACGTAGATCGGAACGATCATTGAGGCGAATCCTGAGAGAATATGTGGTTTGAGATCCAGGTGAAAGTAAACACGGCGCGGCTTTCGCAACATACGCAGCCAAATGGTATGCATTTTTGCGCGTCGGTGTGGCTCTGCGTACAGTGCATTTTATGTTACGCGCAAAGTTATTTTTTTTTAAGTTGTTGATGAATTTTCTCCAAATATTGATCTCTTTGAATCGTTTTTCTCTGCTTTCTACCTCAATTAGACCTTTTCACAGATTCCAGATGAAGTAATACGCGAAGAGAAGTCGATGCGATGAAAAGAAACGCGTAAGTAAATGGAAGTAATGTTTTATTCAGAAAATATACGATTTCTCGAAAAACGTCTCTAGATCTTCTAATCTTTTGATTTAAAAAGTTCACTCACATGACTGTGAATGTCTTCGAATAAAAAAAAGTAGAGTGACAGTTCGTAGAAGCAAAAAAAAAATTTTTTCAATGAAATTTCACTGTCTTCCGGCAAACTATCGGTTTTTCCGCGAAAGCGAGCCGTCACTCTACTTTTTTTTGGTTCGAAAACATTCTCAGAAATGTAAGAAAAGTTTTTTAACCAAAGGATTAGAAAATCTAGTCACGTTTTTCGAGAAATCGTGCATTTTCTGAATAAAACCTTACTCTCACTTATTTACGCATTTCTTTTTATCGCATCGACTTCTTTTCGCGTATTACTTCATCATCTGGAATCTGTAAAAAGATCTAATTGAGGTAGAAAGTGGAGAAAAACGCTTAAAAGAGATGAATATTTGGCGAAAATTCATCAACAACTAAAAAAAAAGAACTTTGCGCGTAACATAAAATGCACTGTACGCAGAGCAACACCGGCGTGCAAAAATGCACAGACTGAGAATCAAACGTTTGGTGAACGTCGCAAAAACCGCGCCGTGTAGAGTAGCCCCACACTCACCAATGGCTGCTCCGAGAAGAACGCGTCCGACCAAGAGGACAATCTTGTTCCACGCGGCCGCACAAACGATGGCTCCGACGGTAAACGTCACACTCGCCCCGATGATGATCTTCTTTCGGCCCAAATAATCGGATCCGGGCCCCGAGCACAGCGATCCGATCGCCGCGATTCCGGGCGTGATCGAAACGATGACCTCCTGCCAGACCGAGTCCAACGGACGGATCCCCGACGCGTTCGGCACGTACAGCATCGCCGCCGACACGATTCCCGTGTCGTAGCCGAACAGGAAACCGCCTGCAACTCGAAAAACGTGACTAGGTGCGAAAAACTGTGTAAATTTGCATAAACTCGCAAGTGTGCTATGCTAATTTCTAATCCGTTCCGAACGGTTTTACGAGTTATAGTTTGTGTGTTTCAGGTGAAAAATGACTAGAAAGTGCCCTCGTCGTAGTTCTTCCGAAAAGCAGCGGAAATGCGGAAGACGGAAGACGGAAGACGGAATTCCGCTTCACTCGGAACCTACCGATAATAGCGCACATTTGCAGAATATAGACATAGGATCCGATTTCAGGATTGTCTTTGGGCATTTCAAAAATTGCAGACGGCATTTTTCGAAAAACGTGATCACTGTGAACAGTGTCAAACAATGAAAAATGGGCGGAAACGGGCGCGGACTGATCGGAGAGAAACACACAGAAAAAAAGGGATAGGTTTTTTGGGCGAATTGGTAGAAATTTAGTGAATGTTCAAAAAATTCGGTTGTTTACAGTGATATGATACGGCCGAAAAAAGGATGTGGACATGTGACTGGTTTTGAATAGATTTCCAGCCTTCCCTCCCCCCAAACTGACCGATTACAGCCGAAAAAGCGAGCATGTAGACGAACCATCCCGTTTTCGGATCGGAAATTGGCCGAGTTTGACCGCTGCCCACTCCTGGGCCTGCCTGAAACTTTCAGATATGTTTTAAGGTTCGAGCGTTCCTATAACCGCGACAATCGCAAAATAACTGGTTGCGAGTCCTTTTTTGACGGTTTCCGAATGTCGGGTTGCAAAAATACGTGGTACCAAATCCCAGAAAAAGTTCCGAAAGTACAGTACTCCCGATCTTTTCCTCTTTTGATATTGGTCTCTTCTGGTTTCGCTTCAAAACATCTTTTCTTGATTTACTTCCTTGTCGTCAATGATTCGGCAAGAGGAAGAAGAAGAAGAAGAAGAAGACAGGGATTACTGTACCAGGTTTTGAAGACAATTCCATGATTATCAATTTTTGCATCACATGACGAAGTAGTGTCCAGACAGACACCCACGTGATTTTCAAACTTATAAAAGACACTAATAGTCAATTTTAATGCGATTTTATTGATAAAAAGTGAACAATCGTCTGATTCGATGATTTCTGATTTAAAAAAGCTCCTAGCGGCAATGGCCTAGAAAATCGGCAAGCGAGAAAACTCGGCCGTTTTGTTTTTTTCGCCTTTTTTTCAATTTCTCTTTTTTTTCTGGGAGCGCAGTGGAGAGAGGAAGAAAGATCGGCCTTCGTCCCGTGAACTGTCGGCTGCTTATTTCGCCGGCCGGCTGCACGCTCCCCAAGCCTTTTTCCGCGCGCCAAAACGTTTGATTCGTGCTGTTCGGAGAATACTCATTCATTTTTCCTAATTTTTTTTGGAAATTAGTTAATTAGGATGTGAACTAACAAAGAGACATAAAAAGCGCGCACGAGGAGCCATATTTCGAAAAAAAAGCTGTTTTCGTGCTGAGCCTTAGAAATTTTTGAGTTTTAAAGAGTTTTTTGTTTCTCTTTGCTAGTTTTGATCATGATGAACGCATTTATAAATAGAATGAATAAGGTGAATCGGTATTTCTCCGACGGCACGCATCTAAAGTTTAAAAAAACTACAAATTTGTACAAAGTCAGCAAAACGGCCGAGTTTTCTCGCTGGCAGATTTTCTAGGCCATTGCCGCCGCCGCCGTTTCGTTCATAGGCATTTCTGAGAGTTGCGGTTTGGACAGTAAATGTGGCAATAAGAGGCGATTCAGACAGACACGAAAACTCGGGCGGTCCTTTAAATACTGCAGATAATTCAACAAAAGTTTCGAAAAAACCCTTCCGACTCACCACAGCGACTTGAACCATTTAGTTCCGAGTTTCAGCTCAAACTTTTCGTCTCCAAACTGTCCGCTGTTATCAGTGTGTGTAAATTTGGCGAAAAAAATTTTCTTTGAAATTTTTTATCAATTCGTTGGAGCTCGTGGCGAGCACGTTGTTGCCTCTGAAAGCGAGGAAAAATTGACGGCGAGAAGGGGTCAAAAATCGGAGTTTTCTGGCACACACTGCCATTTTATTTATATAATCCGATCTATTGCGATAAAAAAAAATGGGTTTGTTTGGCGCCAAAAAGTGGGCGGAGCCTAATTAGAGATGGGAAAGAAGCAGAGAAAAACTCAAAGAATCAGAAAAACGATCGTTCCCATCGAAATCGCCGTGAAAATCCATTCAAATCTGGAAACTCCAGCAGGACGTATAAGCCCCGCCCATTGTGCACGGAAAGCATAGTGAGGCGCGGAACCCGTGTGGTGTCGGCTGCCTCCGAGCATCACCTTGCGCCATGGCGTAAGGGTGGGTTCGGAATTTTTAGCGAAAAAAGTGTCGAGTTTTGATTCCAAAATCGACACAATACAAATATCGAACAAAAATGAGATAAACCCGACCCGGACTACCTGTATTAATGGCGGATTATAGGGAAAACACGGTAAAAAGGTCAAACGGACTGGTTTTCCAGAGTAAAAGTTTAGAGAGGTGGAAAAATTGTTGTCTTATCACCCGTTTTATACTACTTTTTTACTTCTTTGTCACCAAAAACTACCAACAAATGTCGTAATCCTTCCGTTTCGAACCGGCAGTGACTGTTCAGGGCGGAAAGGAATTCATTGATGGCTTAGGCACTTTTTAGAGCACTCGAATTATTAAACAAATTTTTTTTTGGGGCTCAACATTTTCTCTTTAAAAATGTGTACAGTGCTATCAAATACATTCACACAAGCACAAAAACGTGACGATAAGAGAGAATAGGTGGGAGTATGTATTCAAAAGAATGTTGTCTTTTGTGCCTTTTGTACTATTGCGACTCGTTCTGGAAGGTTCTGGAATTGAATTTTCAATTAAAAATGGGAAAGTTATTCTCTATACCATTCAAGGCGTGATAATAGTGCAAAATTGGGGTGGTCCGATCAATTGTTACTATGTTGTACACCTTCAAATCCGAAATCTATGTCAAAATTCAGCTCTGCTAGTCGGTTCCCCGTAATTTTGACCCTCTGACTGTCCTAGACATTTTCTTTGAAAATTCGCTAGCCAAGGCCCAATTTTGTAAGATGTTATGTGGTTAGGACACCCCAGAGAAAGGCTTTCTTGGTTCAAGGTGTACCTTCCGAATGGCCTAAGCAACTTGATCACTGATTTTTCAGTTACATAGCCAAATTCCAGAAGCCATCGAACATTTACATCATAAAAAAAGAAATCGGGAAGAGAATGCCGTGGTGGTGCGTATGACAAACACCTTCAAAAGAGCCTGACTCGAAGAAGACTGATAAGAACCATGAAGAGCGCCGTGTCCACTCTTCGCAAATTCCAGCGTGCTCTTATCGAAGCACATGTTGAACTCTGCGGTCTTTTATATTCTATAGTACCGGTACCTAAAACTGTTTGTGGCGAAAGCAGTTGGAAGTTTATTTGAGACGGATCTTTCGGGTTATCAATTAATCGCCACGTGCTCTCTCTCTCTCTCTTCATTCTTGCTGAGAATGCGATAATATTTGTTCAGAGAGCCGGGTGCGAACAATTGGATAATGTTGAACTTTGAGAACTTTTCAGTTCGGGTTTAGAAATGCACAAGGTACAAAGAATAATTGCGGCTTAAAATTCCCGAAACTGTCAATCATAATCCCTCTTCTTTTCTCGGCGTCTCTTCGCGAAAATGATAAGAGAAACACGTGGTTGGCACACGAAATTTTGGGCAAAACGCGATAATTTTTGATGAGTTGGGAGGAGAAGTTGAACAAAAATTGGTTAAAAGGCTGAAAATAGCTGGAACAACTGGAAAGCTTTGTGAAAAGTGAGAAAAGCAATGTTTTCATTATGTTAATAGCTGAAAAGTAAATATTCCGAGCTGAAAACAAGACGAAACTTGTTTTGCTAATGTTTGTCCATGGTTTCCGGTGTTTTTGCACTTTTTGCATGGAAAAAGTATCTGAAATAGCATTTTTACAGATTCTCAACATTTTCAGACATTTTTCATCCTTCCACTCCATTCGCAACACCTCTTTCCGGGCCGTTTTCGAAAATGGCGAAAATCGAAACCACGTGCGGCACACTTGCAACATCACGCGCCGCACGTTGCGAACACCGACTCCGCCCCTTTCTTTATTTATTTTTCGCCAAAATCAGACAAATTCAAGCGAGTTTTAGCGTTTTTAAGCGGAAATGTGGCGCGGAAAGTACACAGGAGGATACCAGAATCGATTTGTGAGCTCGAAAAACTCTGGAACCTCCAGTTTAAATGGTATATTGATATTTTTTGTGAGCAACCGAAAAATGCTTTATCCAGACGGCCAAAGCATGAACAATGTGCCTCCGCCGGCGGCGTTAACGATCGGAAACGCTCCGGTACCGCCCACAAATCGAAATGTGTACATGACGAACCGAAAAGAGGAGGAAATGAAGAAAGAGCAAGAGGTTTGCTGAAATTTTCAAGTTTGTCGCTAAAAATGGCTTTAGTACTCGAATCTCATGGCCTACGGATCGACATCGGAGAAAAAAGCGCGGAAAAAGCGAATTTATGATGATGAGTAAGATTTTTAATTTTTCCCATCTGAAAACTTGCTTTTACCCAATTGTCGCCGAATTTTAGATATTTAGAAGGCGGATCTGACGAGGAAACCGAAAAAGTCGATAAAAAGGCGAAAGAGGACGAGGATGAAGACGAATTGGACGCATTTATGGCCGGAATCGAAAAGCAGGCGTCGAAAGACAAAAAAGTGGCGGAGCAGAAGGAGAAAGATCGGAAAGAGGGCAAAGAGAAGGAGGATCCGAACAAGAAGGGACTCGGAAGAGCCGATATCGACGAGGAGGACATGCAGGAGTCGCTTTTCAAGTTAGTTTTGCTGAACAATGCGAAAAAATCTGGAAAACGCAATTTTTACAGATTCATGGAAGAGTACAAAGAGAAGCACGAAAATGACGAGGAGCAGTACGAGTACGATGAGGACGGAAACATCATTTGGACGTGGAAAAAAGTGAGGAATCATCTGTTTTTGGATTCTTTTTTGTTTTTTCAGGTCATTGATCCACTGCCAAACATTGATCATTCTCAAATTGAGTATCCGAAGTTCAACAAGAATTTCTATGAGGAACACGACGATATCAAGTGGGTGTTTGGCAAAATTGAAAGCAATGGGTTGTTTGACTTTGCAGACGTCTTCATTACATGGACGTCGTCCGCCTTCAGAACACGATGAATCTGCGCGTGGGCGGTCTGAAACCACCCCGTCCCGTCTGTTCGTTCGCCCATTTCTCGTTCGACAAACTGCTGATGGAGTCGATACGCAAAAGTGAATACGAACAGCCGACGCCCATTCAGGCGATGGTAATTTTTGGAAACATTCTTCTGATTTGTAAGTCAAAATTCATTCCAGGCGATCCCAGCCGCCCTATCCGGTCGTGACGTGCTCGGAATCGCGAAAACGGGCTCAGGAAAGACGGCCGCGTATTTGTGGCCCGCAATTGTGCACATTATGGACCAACCGGACCTGAAGGAGGGAGAAGGACCGGTGGCCGTGATTGTGGTCCCAACGAGAGAGCTCGCCATTCAGGTATGCCATTTGCAGACGGGAAATGGCTGAAAACCGTGTGTGCTTGATAAAAAATGATAAAATTTGCAGGTGTTCCAAGAGGCGAAGCGATTCTGTAAAGTGTACAATATCAATGTGATTTGTGCGTACGGCGGCGGCAGCAAGTGGGAACAGTCGAACGAATTGCAAAATGACGGCGCCGAGATGGTCGTTTGTACGCCTGTAAGCCAAAAAAAAAGTTTTTGAGAACCTTTCTACATTCTTTTATCATTTTCAGGGTCGCATAATCGATTTGGTCAAACTGGGCGCCACCAATTTCCTGCGAACCACTTTTTTGGTTTTCGACGAGGCGGATCGCATGTTCGACATGGGATTTGGTAGAAAATTGATCACAGAAAAGAATTAACTTGAACAATTTCAGAAGCGCAAGTGAAATCAATTTCGGATCATGTCCGACCGGACCGACAATGTCTCATGTTCAGTGCGACTTTCAAGCAGAAAGTACGCTCTATTTTAAATTAGAGTATGATCCGATCGGGACCAAACTTTGCATGCTTCTTGTATTCGAATCCAAGTTTACTGGGACCAAGTTCCAGCCCGATCGGATCATCCGGTCCCGAGATATGTGGATCAGAGGCTTCTGAAAACGGAACAGCGCGCAGTTAAAGTTGTTGCCTAGAAAACTCTAGTGTGAAAACTCTTCCCTTACACTCTGACAATCTGCTAGTTCGTGTGAATGCTGGGCAACGTCTGAGGATTGTGCCTAATGCGGCCTAAGAGTTTTCTAGGCCACGGCCACAACTTTATCTGCACGCTGTTTGGTTTAAAGGCATTTCTGAGAGTTGGAACCCGGACAGTGCACGTGCAAACATACACTCGGAGGGTTCCCCGGACCTTTGAGTCAATGTCTCTGTCAATCGTCAACAACGTGGTCATTGGTTTGGGAGTCCTGCCCAAAGTGTTTCCGATTAGACTGAAATTTTTTGTGCGAACACCTCCATGGACCCCTTAATTTCAGGTAGAACGACTGGCGCGTGACGCCCTAGTGGATCCGGTTCGAATTGTGCAGGGAGAAGTGGGCGAGGCGAATGCGGACATTGAACAAAAAGTGCTAATTATGCCGAGCCAGGACGTGAAATTCCATTGGCTCATCAGAAATCTGGTCGAATTCGCTTCACGTCAGTCGTTTTCCTTGTTTCCGGCGATTTATAAGACCATTTTCCAATTTTCAGTCGGCAAAGTACTCATTTTCGTGACGAAAAAGCACGATTCGGAGGAGGTGGCGAAAAAACTCAAGCTCAAAGATTTTGATATTGTCCTGTTGCACGGAGACATGCTGCAGGCGGAGCGAAACGAGAATTTGCTGAAATTCCGCAAAAAGGCGCCAATTTTGGTGGCGACTGACGTGGCGGGTGAGTCAAATGTGTAAAGAAGAACAATGTTTGGCAAAAAACCAATTTGCAGCCCGAGGCCTGGATATTTCGGAAATCCGTACGGTGATCAACTTTGACATGGCCCGTGACATTGACACGCACGTGCACCGCATCGGACGAACCGGACGCGCCGGTCAGAAAGGAACCGCCTACACGTTGGTCACCGAAAAAGACACCGAAATGGTCGGACACTTGGTCAAGAATCTCGAGAGCGTTTCGCAGGAGGTAAGCACATTTAACACATCTTTTTTCAAATACCCCTCCCCTCCAGGTACCCGCTCAACTGATGGATCTGGCGATGAAATGTCCGTGGTTCCAAAGTCAGCGGGCCGGAAACTCTGGAGGCGCTCCGAGCGGCCAGCCACGTGGCAGAACGGGCCTCGGATACACTCCGAAAGTACGAAATGCGGGCGGAGCCAAGGGAGCGGCGCCTCCGCAATTCGATCCGCTCAAAGAGCAACGGAGAAGCGGAAATCAGACGGTCGAGGGAATGGTCAGGAGTGCACAGAGGTACGGTAGATATTATGAAATTCACATATCTCGGGACCGGATAATAGGATCGGTCTGAAACTCGGACCCAATATGCTTCGATCTAAGACCAAGAAGTCTGCAAAGTTTGGGTCCGATCCGATTATTGCAAGTGGGTCAAAAGTCCAGGACTCAAATAGTCTGGGCCGGCCTTTTGTCCTGCCCTGGAAAACATTGAACTTTTCCTACAAGAACGTTGAACAAATCCAATTTTTAGCTCTGCCACGTCAGCAACCGCCGGCTCCTCGGCGTCCGGAGGCAATCGAGCACAAATGCTCAAAAATGCGTTCCAGGTGAGAATGTTGATTCATCTCCAATAAAAAAGTTGGAAACATGGCAAAATTCTTTTTTCCATCCAGAAATCCTTCCAATCGACGTTCCAACGCCCGCAATCGTCATCTTCGACACTTCCGACGCAAGCGGCCTCGGATCCCCGTCCGGAATACAAAAAGAAGCTCGACGAGCTGAATGCGAAATTTGCGAGAGATCAGCAGGGACCGTCCGCGTCGAAAAAGAGCCGATGGGAGTGATTTTGGAGTCGACGATTGAATAATTCGCCTATTTTTACATGTACACACTATTTCTTTACCTCTATTTTATTTATTGATTTTCAAAACAACCTTTTAAATCCCATCTAACTTGTCCAATGTTCCAAGCGTGTTCATCGCCTCTTTCTCTATCTTTTTCTACCCTCTGTTTCTCTGCTCATCACCGAAAAAAAAATGGGAAAAATCACAACATTGTCGCTCTCGAATTGACCAACTGTTCAGGTGAGAAGCAGAAAAGAAGCGCGAGAAGAAGCAATGAGAAAATATTGATTTTCTCGATTTCTTTCGAATTTTGCGATCAACCGAAAAGAATGGAGCGAATACGAGAAAGCGGCCGCCGATTGCACCGAGTCTATCGGGAAACGATCGAGTGGAGAAATCCAATGACCGGACTCTATTTGATGGCCGTCAATTCAGCGTTCTGGTGAGATTTTGCAAGTGTTTCGACTGGAAAATTGAATGAATTCTCCCGCCCAGAATTAGTCGGGTTTGCAGGATCGGCGTGATCTACTGTGATGCGCGAATCCAGGAGGCCCTGCTCGCCACGTCATCGGCCTGTGTGCTCGCGTGGGACATTCTATTGTCCACCTCCAACGATCGATCGATTATCACGCACATTCTCATGTGGCCATTCCAGTCGCTCTTCAGGGTGACTATTATTTATGCCGCGTCCAATGTCTCGGAAAAACCGTAAAAACCGCAGATTTTTCTGTCCAAAGTCGGCCGAAATTTGCGTGAAAAACGGGGGTGTGCACAGCTCAATGAGTGTGACCGTACCCCTAAGACTACGGTATTTTTTGAAAATTTGTTAATTTCTTGAGGTTATTTGAAAATATTCAAATTTCTTGCGCAAATTTTCAAAAAATTCCGTAGTTTTAGGGGTACGGTTACACTCATTGAGCTGTGCGCACCCCCGCTTTTCACGCAAATTTCGGCCGACCTTGGACAGAAAAACCTGAGGTTTTTACGGTTCTTCCGAGACATTGGACGCGGCATTAGAATCTTGCGACCAGTGCGAAAGCCGAAATGCGTTGCGGGTCCCGCCACAATTTGAGTATCACTGAGTTCAGCTGTGCTAATTTTTCAGGGCATTTGAACCGACACAGCTGAACTTGGTGATATCGTTTCTCTTAAATCGTCGCGGGAAATGATTTGTTGTGTAGTTTCACGCTTTCATCTGTCTTTTTGGCTGTCTGGCAGAGACAGTTTCGCGTCTGCGTCTCTCTCTTTTGGCGCGCAAATCGCTTTTCCCTCGCCCAGCCGGTCACTTGCGGGTTTATCAATTTTTAGTGATATTGCTCGCGATTAGCGTATCATTGGCCCATATTAACGGATAATTAGCTCGTGATTGATTAATCGAGTACCCCAGATACATCAGTTCGCCTGTGTCATACGTCAATCGCCGTGTACAGTTGATCATTCGTCAATCATTGATCCCCATGTAAAATTGATCAATCGTCGTTTACCTGTGTAGCCTTCAATCACTGTGAAAAGGCGTTTTTTTTCTAATTCTGTAATTATTGCAGACGTTCTCAGTTGGCGGATCCATCTACAGTATCCATTTGCTGCGAGCCGAAGAGATCCGATTGGCGTGTTATACCGCCTACGCAACTTGTGAGTGAATATTCTGAAATATTGTGGAACGTTTCAAAAAAAAAAATTATTTTCGCAGTGGCGTGCCTCCTGATAAATCCAGTGTGGGAGCACAACGAAGTGAACGCGAAAATCGGAAATGCGACGAGAAAGACGGCGAATTGGATTGGAAGTTGGGTCGAGGTAACGCTGAAAATTGGGAGAGCCTCAACGAAATTGCTCCCCTTTGTTACAGTACCTCATAATCACTCCGATTGTGACCGTCTACAACTGGACCGCCTATATTGTGCTGTTCCGATGGGTGCCACGTACGTTCCTCTCGATTTATTCGTATGAATTTCCACACTTTTTCAGCCCTCATCGCCTACATCAAACATTTCGTGTTCAATTTCCGACAAGCGTGTCGGGACCTCGTCAATGGAATTAGAGAATGGTACATTCAAGCGGTGTACAACCGAACATTGCGAGTACTGGAACGAATAAAACGATTCGGACGATATTGGTTTTGTGCGGAATGGTGGCCGGCACTCAAAGAATGGCTCAAACTGAATGTACGCTCGAAAACACTTTCTTTTTCCAGATTTGTGAACGTTGAATTTGCACAGCTGGACACCAATTTTCCAATCAAAAAGTGTGGGGAACAAAAATGTTTTTGAAAAACCCCCGTACGCCAGTTATAAACGGATCATTGGATTTTTACAATTTAGCCCGCGGATTAACGAAATTCAACTGCTTTTGTTGAGAGAAAATTGGAACGTTTTCTATACTGACCAAATGATGCGATGGGTTTGAAACTACGTCTCAAAATACTTTAATCCAAGTCCAAGAAGCTTGCAAAGTCTGGACCTGTTTGGATAACGTCTAGGCGCAAATTTTTAACCTTAAAAAACTGGAAAACATGTTTACAGGTCGGCGTACCGCTTCGATACCTATTCGACCAGCTGTGCTTTGTGTTCGTGTACGTCTTCTGCGCCCACTGGTTCCCGCCGCTTTGGAAGTTCGCAGTCCGCCAGCTCAGGGCTCTCGGAGCAATTCTGAACCGGCACGTCGTGCAGCCCGTTAAAATGTGAGCAAAAATCATTTTTCTCAACTTTTTGGGTTTAGTTTATGGCTGGCCATTTGCCGGCCGCGGCTTTTTTGGCCTACTTCCAGTTGACCGATCGGGCCTAAAAAACGTTTGGACATTGTCCTTGGTGTGTAGCATCTTTAGGGCAATTTTCAGCTCGATAGGATAATCTGATCTGGAGATGAATTGAAATCTGACCGCAGCGGCCTAGTTTCAGTTTATCGCTAGATGAGATGATCCATTTGGGTCCAATATTGTCCTGAAGATACTTCACACCAAGGGCAATGTCCAAAAGTGTTCTGGGTCCGATCGGAGAACTGTTTTTCGTCTCTGTTCTAATTTTACACAAAAAAAAATGAATTTTTCCAGTTTCCTGCTCTGTCAATTCGAGCGTTTCCGCTGTTGGCTCCGCGACACGTTGCACCGTATCGCAATCGCTGTTCGGTAATTTGAAACAGTAATCGCTTTTTTTTGTTGATTTAATTACTTTTTCAGCGACTCAATAATCTGGCCAATCTGTTGTCTGGTGGTCGAAGTCGGCAAACAAGTCTCGATTTTTCTGTATCAACTGCTTCTGGAGGTGATTTTTGTTTTCAGACGTTTCAAAAACGTCAAGAAAATAAAATTTTGTTGCAGCCGGTTGTGAATTACCTATACGGACGGTACAAAATCATCGAAACAAGTGCGCTCATCTACATTTTGGGACCGGTTTGCGAGACGGTCATTGATCATATTCCCGACAAAAATCCCTTTTGTGGTTCGACTAACAAAGCGTTTGTCCTTTTGATTCATTTGTCAATTTTCAGACGAAAGCGACGCGGAATTCGACGGATTCATGCCGGAAGTCAACGCGGAATCGGATCTCGACGAGAATTACGAGGCGAATGAGGAGGAGGTGCAATCGCAGACGTCTTCTTCGCCTATTCCGGGTAAGTTATTTTGAGGCCTCTTCATTTCGCAACGTACGCTTTGCAACCTCGTGTTTCGCAACAGAGTTGAGCGGAATTCCGCCTTCCGCTTACCGCCAAAGTCGTTTATTTTGTCAAAATTTCTAGTGTTCTTTCGGAAAATCTAATCCTCTGGACCAAGGGTTTATAAAGGGTTCGGCGGAAAGTGGTGTTGAGAGCGAGTGACGCGGTGAAATCGGGAGCCAGGTATCACATTCATGAAAAATACAATCAAAGAGCACCCAGAAACTGCTTTGAAACACCCTTAGTTGCGAAATATAACGGTTGTATTTCCTTACAGTTGCGAAACATAGCGGTCTCGTTATTTTCGTTGGAAAAATAAATCGGTATTTTTTTGCAGAAGAAGAATTCGAATTCGAGCGAGGTCTCCAATTTTCGGCGGTCAACGGCTCCGAATCGAGCGATGATGAGTTTGATTTGAATGCTCCGAAGGTATGAAGGAATTATATTGTAATGCTTTTTTTCAAATCATTTTTCCAGAGATCCCAAGTACGCCGACGACGTCCGAAACGATCTGAAGTGGCCGGCGACGACGATTATGAGCTTTTGGAATAATTGTTTCGCTTTTGTTGTAAATTTACAGTTTCTCATCGGGTTCCACACCGCCTCACCTTTAATTAAAGCCAAAAATGCAAACTTTCATTAACATCAGTTGTCCATAATTTTAGATATTCTTTGCTCATAATAACTTGGCTTCCTGCATTTTTTTTTTGAATAAAAAACCGTTGTAAATACTCTCCCACGTCCTGCTCGGTATTTATGTCAACGTGTCAGATAAGACACCCCTTAAGATGACCGAAATGTCAAATTCCTTGAAAACCTTTTTTCGCTAAATTTGCTCTAGAACGCTTCTACTGTGTCTGTAGATGTCAAAAAACACGATAGGACCCACTGGAACCTCCTAATCTTCAAGAAAATTTTAAAAATTTCTTTCTTTTTGACTTGAAAAACGTCTAGAAAACAATATTTTACCGATTGGAAACCGTTCTTTACAGAATTTAGAGTTGTTCATGTTTTTAGCGTCTTTTTCGCATTTCGTCAAAACTTCAAACCTTTATATTTCAGCTCATTTTGCATTTCATGAGCCCAACGAACGATAAAAATGTTCGCAGAATCTTTCTTCACAAAATTCAGGTTCCGGCGGTTAGTTTTCTTGAGCAGTTTTCGAAAAATATTCGAAAAACATCAAAATCCAGGCCAAAACCTTCAAATCGAAATAACTCGGCTAATTCTCAACGATATGCGAGATTTCTGTTACCAAAACGTAGCTAGTGCTCTAATTATTCGAATCCAGGTTCCAGGCTTACGAAAAAATAGGTGTATTGTACAGAAAACATATAAAGAACGCAAACTCCCGTTGAAAGCCGCCGCGTAAATCGACACAGCCCGCCTGTTGCAATTGCGCCCCATTGAAATCATTCGCGCCGTGGGAGACCGTGACTTTTGATTTGGATTTTACGTCTTCTTGAAACCGTAAATTTGCGTTTTTACGGATCCGTAAAAATAAAATTTTACGCCCCACCCTGACGGTGAGAGAGCCCTGAAAAAGGCTCGGAAAGTTGTCCTGAAAAGGATTATCTTGTCTGGTATGGTCTGAGAGAGCCCTGACAAGTGGTGCGGCTCCATCAAAGGTGGAAAAGTCTGACATTCGAGATTTGAAAAAAAAACGGGGACGAAGAGCCATTATGAAATTGGGAATTTGAGCCTGCTCATTGTGTTTTGGTTATTTTCCGACTATTTCGTTTTTGAGACCGGGGTTCGAATACGGATCGAAGTGTGATCCCCGGATTTCAGACCATGAGATTCAGTGTGTCGGATTTTCTTTTTTGGTGGCGTTTCGTCAAGAAAATAATTGATACGCTCATCAAATAGCCTTCTTCTAATAATTTACATACATCGCGCATTCAATCTGTAGGGTGTAAAATGGCTTTCAAATTAAAGAGAAAAATAGAGGAATAAATTATTCGGGCTTCACGCCTCCGCGCATGGTGACGAGCTCCTCGGCCGAGGTCGGATGGATGGCGACTGTCGCGTCGAACTGTTTTTTGGTGGCGCCCATCGTGACGGCGACCGCGAATCCTTGCAGCATCTCGTCGGAGCCGACGCCGAACACGTGCACGCCAACCACTTTCTCCTCTTTTCCCACGCACACCAATTTCATCGCCGCCTTCTCCTTGTGCTTCGTCACCGAGAAAAGCATCGGGTTGAAGCGCGATTTGTACAGGGTCACTTCGTCTTTTCCGTACTTGGCCACTGCTTCCGCTGCAAGAAAATGGGTTTATCTTTGGAGAAGTTTTGAGAAAATTGAAGTTTCATGACTTTTGACAAACTTGCAATTATCCAATAGGACTTAAACTTTTCAGGCTTCTTGGACTTGGAGTGAAGTACACTGGGTCCAAGTTTCAGACCGATCCGGATCAGAGGCCGTAAAACCCGGCATTTTCAGCTCAAACCAGTACATCTCGGGACCGAATGATTCGATCGGTCTGAAACTTGGACCCAATATACTTCCATCCAATTCCAAGAAGCCTGCAAAGTCCGGGAACGATCGGCCCATTGCAAGTGGGTCAAAAGTCCAGGCCCTGCCCTGAATAACGAACCCTCAGTGAGTCCGACGGTGCCGATGAGCGGATGGCTGAACACGACGGTGGCAATGTTCTCGTAGACCAGTCTATTGTCGGTTTCGCCGTTGAAAAGGCGGTGCGAGAGACGGCGCCCGGCCGCGATCGCCACCGGAGTCAGCAGGAACTTTCCGGTGTCGTCGCCCACCGACAGGATGCCCGGCGCCGACGTGTTCTGGTATTCGTCCACGAGAATGTTTCCGGCGGCGTCCGTTTGCACTCCAACCTGCAAAATGATAAATTGAGGCAAAAAACTTAGAGACACTTTGAAATAGGGAAAAAGAACATCAGAAATCGGGAGAAACCAATTTCATAGTCTTTTTTCCAATTTTGAAAAGAAACGGATGACTAACTCTCTCCAAATTGAGCTCCTTGGTGAGCGGCTCTCTCCCGATAGCCCAAATGAGCGTCTGCACTTTTTCGATGGTTCCGGTCGTGGTTTTGACGGTCAAAAGGCCGTCGGCGCCCTTGATCACTTCCGTAACCTGAGTGTTTTTGTGCAAATGAAGCGGATTCGTCTCCTCGTCCATATCGGCCGTCAGCTCATCCTGAAGCATCTTGTCGAAGGTTCGGAGCACCTAAAAAAAAATGTTTAATGACAAACATTGTTTTGTCTGGAAAACAGCAACTTTCGATTGTAAATCATGTTGGAAGAAGATGCTGATAGCCAAAAAAATTACCCGATCATATCTGATGAGCAAATGCGTGTCCGAGCCGAGATTCGCCAACACTCCGGCGATTTCGACGGCAATGTAGCCGGCGCCGACGACGACCGTGCGGCTGAAAAAGTTGAAATCAGGCTTGGGAAGAAATTGCTTGCAAAAAGAAACAGGAGGCGACAGAGAACAGGAATCCAAACAGTTGGAAGGGAACCACGAGACGGGCCCACCCACCCCTGGTTGAAATTCAAAATTGTTATAGAAAAATTCTAAAAATGCAATTAAAAACCTCGGCAGATCCTCCAAATCGAAGAAACCGTCGGAATCGATGCCGTGCTCGGCGCCCGGAACGTTCGGGATCGTCGGTTTGCCACCGACGGCGATCAGCGTATTTTTTCCGCGATACTTCGCGCCGTTCACCTCGACGGTGCCGTCTTCGGCGAAAGAGGCACGTCCACGGATCAGCTCGACCGAGGACTGAAAAGAAAATTGATTTTTAGTCAATTTTTACGTCTACGCATTACCCCCTTGAGTCCGCCCTCGTAGAGTCCGTTCAAACGCTTGATGTACTCGTCACGAGACTTTTTGATGACTCTGAAAGTTTTAAAGTGAAAAATAGGCGTAAAAAGGTTGGGCAGTCCAGTCATTGCTGACATACTTCCAGTCAAATTTATTGAGTGTGACGTCAAAACCATAATCGGCATGATCGCGGATGAATTCGGCGTGCAGCGAGCAGTTGTACATTACTTTTTTCGGCACACATCCCACGTTCACCTGAAAAAGTGCGAATGTTTTGAAATTGTGACAGCAAATGTGGGAACAAGAGGAAAATCTATTGCTTTTATAGCTGTAGGATAGAAGGAAATTGAGAGAGCAAACTTTTTTGACGAAAAACGTACACAGGTGCCTCCGAGCCGTCCGGATTCGATGAGCCCGACCGAAACTCCAAATTCACGGGCTCGGCGAGCCGAAGCGATTCCTCCGGAGCCGCCTCCGATCACCAGATAATCAAACTCTTTGACGCCGGACATTATCGACCTGAAAAAATGAATTTTTGCGAATTTTTAGAGCTATTTCTTGAGGACAACGGGAAGATTTAGCCAAAACTCCTTCAAGCCTAAGATTCGGTAAATTATTCAATTTTTTGAAGAGAGCCCGCGAAAATTCCATTTTTCGCGCTGAATTGCTGTGTACTGTGCGCGTTGAAATTTGACTGAGTTTTAGTTTAATGCTTCGATTTTTAAGTGGAAAAAGGCGAAGTGTTAACGGGAAATACAAAAAAGCGGGTAATTAATAATAGTTGAATAGTCAAAAATCCACGAAATTCAGAAAATCCTAGAAAGAAATGTTTTCATTCAGTAAACCACGTTTTCGCACAAAATGTTGTATTTTTGAGTTGACAAACACGTTATGCGCACTATTCAAGTTGTGTCTGACGCAACAATGATGACAAATTGCAAAGATAACACAAAAACGCATGTGACCGCATTTTCGGGTCGAAATTCGAGACGATTATGGAAATTCAATACCGAAAAAGTAGAAAGCGTGGCAAAAAATGCAAACTCGATACCTAGTTGTGCTCCAAACACGATGAAATCGGAGCATTAGGCGGTGCCGCGAATAAATGGCGGAAAGTGAAAACGCGTGCGGCAAAGTTGCAGAGAACGCGTGCCACGGTTGCAGAAATGACACCAAGCTCCGCCCCTTTTCCCGCCAAACTTGAATTTGAGAGGAAAAATTCGAAAAAAGCGCAAATTTTTACAGATGAGCGATCAAAAAGAGCCCGAGCCACAGAATAAAAGTGTGAATGTGGAGGATTTAGGGCAAAAACCAGGTAAAATCCATGTTTTTAGCCAAAATCTATACAATTACTTTTTCTGTGTTTTAGAGCGCCGAAGCTTTCGAATCAAGGCTCGCAGCAGTTCTGACGTGCGGAACGAAAACAGAAACGCGGAGGACGACGCGGAAAGTGTAGAAATTGACAATTATATAGCAAATGTTGGTTTCTTAGATTTTGGGTGTAAAAACGTTAAACTCGATATAAATAGCCGAAAATAGCGACGAACTGATCAAATAGTCGCCGTTTTCTCGATTGTTCTCTGGTCAGCGCCGAAAAAGAGAGAACAAAAAGGCGAGAGAGGGCGCGGAGAAACTAGACGGTCAAATTAAGACCGGAATTTGAACGGAACTATTGTCATATTAAAAAAGGGAAAATTTCTAATTTTTCGGTTAAAAATTGACAGAACGACGAAAATTCCTATTTTAAGGGGGAAAATTGCAAAAAAAGGGTGACCGCCTATTTTGATGACAAATAAAAGAAAAATAATGACGTGTTGGCGGGACGGATGACAAATTTGTATTGGAGCGTACTTACGACTACGATTCGAGGCTGTAGGCTACAGTGGGACAACTGGTTTTGGAGGGGATTTTGAATTTCGCTCTATGAAGGAGGGATGCTTAATTTTTGGTCCCAACATGAAATATGCTCAAAGAGATGCGAGGAATCGAATAGCGTTGAGCCAGAGTCGCTAGGATTTTTTTGAACAAATAATTAAGATGTTTATTTTAGGAATCATCCTACAATTCACCTCCACCTACTCCTCCTAAATCGGCGAGTTTCCGGCCGTTGCGCACTTGTTCCATCGACAAATCAATTCGCCCGAAACGAAAAAATGCGTGTGAAATTCCGGTATTTTCTAAAAATATTCGTTTTTGGTTTAAAAAAATTGCAGACAACTTATGAGGAGCTGAAAAAGAAAACCGAGTCTGGGGAGATTCCGGAGACGGTTTTCTACCGGGCCACCAGCAATTCCATGTACATTCCCAGTATTACGGCCGAAATGATCGAGGATAACGGCACGTGAGTACTCGATTTTTGCCCTTGTTCTTATTTCTCAGCGACTATTCATTCAAAACATTTTTGCAGAAACTTGACAGTGACCACCTCGTCACAAGACTATTTCAAGTACGTCCGAGTGCGCCAACGCACCAAATCCGACCACGCGACGCCCGAAAAAGTGATCGCAATCATTGAGGCGGTCCGAAAAAAACCCAGTAATTGTTTCGACACTGTAGAAAAGTACCTCGACGTTGCGCCGGATCAACCCCAAAAGCACCGATTTTTCTCGATTTTTTCAGCAGCAATCTGCTGTTTAACGATTTCTTCAATGTTCCGAAATTTTGGCATTTCGATATTAATCTAATCGTAGTCTACTCGAGTTGTACGACGGCCTAATTAGATTAACATGACATCTAATTAGATTAATAAATTATTTTGCTAGTTTAATAAATCTTCTAGCTAGATTAATAAGTGATCAAGTCAATTTTCACGCCGAACCTTTGCTGGCTCAATTCTCGATTGCGCCAAGAAAAAACAGCCTAATCTAATTAGGTTGAGATAAGATTGTAACTTTCTAATTAGATTAATATTGAATTGCCAGAGAACTTATCATGTTTCCGTGCTCTAAGGGAATACGTTTTTCTGCTCCTTCACTCTCATCTTAGCATTTTTTGAAAAAGTTAGTTCGATGCTCAAAACATACTGTTAAAATACTGTTAAAATTTGTGATTTTGTGGTTAATACGGAACAACGTCAAGGTACATTTCTTCATTATTCTAACTAGTAACAAGCACAATGTTTTTTTTCAGTAATCTGGGACCAGCGCCTTGCGTGTCACCACAACGTCGGTCTGACACGTCGTGCGTGGCAACAGCTGGACAACGAACTGGGCGTCGACGAGGAGTATCCTTTGGCGAGACGCAAGCAGATTTGGAAGAGCAAGAAGGACTACTTCTCGTTCGCAGTCACCTCCGCACACGAGACCAAGTGGACCTTCTCCGAGTAGGCACAGCGCTAGAATTCTGGCCGGCCCGGGTTTTTCGAATGCTTTTTGAGACCTGGACTTTTTGCAATATTCCGATCGGGCCCAAACTTTGCTGGTTTTTTGGACTAGGATCGAAGTATGTTGGATCCAAGTTTCAGACCCATCCAATCATCCGGTCCCGAGATATGTGGATCAGAGGCCGACAAGGCCGAATTTACCTTAAACCAGTATATCTCGGGACCAGATGATCCGATCGGTCTGAAACTCGGACCCAATATACTTCAACCCAAGTCCAAGAAGCCTGCAAAGTCTGGACCCGATCCGATAATCGCAAGTAGGTCAAAAACATTTTAGCGCAATGGAATTCTACCGTCCGATGGTGAAGTTCCGCTCGAACGTCTGCCTCCGCCCGACAATACCCACATCATCGACCGAAGACGAGAATTTATTCGAAAAAATTGTTCTGCTCGACAAAAAGCTCATTTGTGGCCCCGGCGATAAGCTAAATGTGATGACGTTTGTGGATTTTCTTAAAGCATTTTTTGGACTCATTATTTTTCCCAGATTTCTGCTCAAATCGCTCTTCGAAGTCGGCACGGCAAACGGCGAAATGATGGCGGAGCACGGACTGAAAATTGTGGAAATTTTCCGGAAAAATGCCAGAAAAATTGAGAAAAAGTATGGAAATTCCATAATGGAACGTCATAATAAGGATAATAATGTACAAAAGAATGTTCATTCCAGAATTTGAGACACTTTTTATGCGCATGTTTGTGAAGATTTTTATAAAGTTTTATATAATTACAGAGTTGGCCTAAAAAGTCTGGTGCGAAAGAGCGGAAATTGGAATTCAAGTTGATTCTAAACGCGCATCGCTTCGTGACCCAACGAGAATTCCGGAATTATTTTCTCAGAATACTCGAATGTCTCTTGGGAAATCAGAGAATCGAAAACAAGCGCTTCATTTCATTGGAATTCATAATACCAACAACACATTGTTCTCAATTTTCACGTACACCAGTTTTTCGCTTCCTTCAAACTACCGTCATGTTTTTAAGGCGCCAAGCACGGCGGCTAACTCGCTTCAAAATGAACCAGTGCCCAAAAATGATGGGTTTGCCCTCGAACCAGAACTCTTTCTGCCTGTTCTCTGTTCTTCGTGACGTTTTCGAATCTCGTCACGAAAATGGCAGTTTGAAGAGAGCAAATAAATGGTGTACATGAATTTTTAGAGAACAAAAACGAAATTTGCCCAGTCTCCATTTTTCTCAGCTCAGCTGAAACAGCCCTTGTCATCCTGTGAAGCCTAATCAGATGAGTACATAGATTTTCGTGTCGAGACCCAACAATCAAAAATCAAGCGCGTGGGGGCAAACCAAACCCCTAATTTTTGCTGTTGTTGTTCGCAATACTAAACACAAATTCATACTTTACTAGTCCTTTTTTTTAATTCCAAGTTGAACGACATCAACCAGACCCGGCCCGTGTTGTTAGGGGGCTGAGCAATTGGCCGGCCCTTGACCTGGACTTTTGAACCACATGCAATATTCCGCTCGGACCCAAACTTTGCAGGCTTCTTGGACATGGGTTGAAGCATATTGGGACCAAGTTTCAGCCCGATCGGATTATTTGGTCCCGAGAAATGTTGATCATTGGTCGAAATTGGCCGGAAGCCCGGGCTTTTTGAAAAAAATCGGCCAATGATCCACATATCTCGGGATCAGACGATCCGATCGGGCTGAAACGTGGTCCCAATGGCCCTCAATCCAAGTCCAACAATCCTGCAAAGTTTGGGTCCGATCGGAATATTGCAAGTGGTTCAAAAGTCCAGGTCAAGGGCCGGCCAATTATTGCCCAGCCCGGGTTATTATGAACAACTGAAAGTGATTTTTGAAACTTTTCGAGCTCATAATTTTTCAAAGTTTTTTGGTTGACTGAGCTTTTGTCGCGTTGCCTGCCAAATTATTGCTATTATTTTCGAAAACCCGTGGTTTGTGCTCATGATACTGATGTTTGCGAGCATTTTTTTGGTTGTGCTCGGCGAACTTCTTGAATTTTGTAGCCTAACAACCTAGGGCCGGTTAGGACCGATTGCCCTTATAATGTGAAAAGTTAGGCCACAATCCAATTTGTGGCCTAACTTTTCTAAATGGCGGCCTTACTGGTGGCCTTATTGGCCTGACTTTATCAGTTAAACTTTCCAAATCCGTTTCTCCGAGTTCAAACACTCAACATTGTTCGCGAGCTCGTTAACAACCCCCTGGGACCGGACGACCTGTTTATCACTTCTCTTTTTTCGCCAAAAATGCGAGTATTTTGAGAGTCAAGTTTTCTCAAAAACGGGCGGCGCTTACGGTCGCCCAACTTTCTCCTCTTCCAGCAATGGCACAAATGCATCCGATCGCCGAAATGTTCGACATGCTGAGCGGAAGAGACACGTTCAGGTAAGCGGATACAGTAATCGCGAATACTGTAACTGTACCATTTTTCTTCCAGATACAATTGCTCATCAAAAACGCGCGCCGAATGGTACGAGACTGGGGAAGTGCGTACTGCGTGGGCACTCTACTACCTCGTCTCGGGCATCTTCTTCCAACTGATCGCCTGGCCGATTCTCTCGATATTCCACTTCAAGATCCCGCCGACGGACGCGCATTTTCGCGTCTTCAAACTGATGGAATTCATTGGATTGATCGAGAGCACCGAAATTTGGGGCGTCTCTCTGTTCCCCGGCTTTATGGCGTTGAACGGCGGCGTCTATTGTACGAACCCGCAATTGACCACGTTTTTCGGCAAACTGACCATGTGTGAGTTGAGAAGACGCGCGTAGAAGAAGCACGCAAAATTCGGCGTCATTTTCAGTCCAATGGCTCACCGGAAGCGCTTCCTCGGTTTTTTTGGGCATTCATCGAATGATCGACGTGACCAGGAAGGGAGTTTGGCTCGTTGATGTGAGTGAAATCAGGGAACCCTTCGAGTTTATGTATCTGTCTGAATTGGCTTCTTCACGGAACCCCAGCATTCGAATGCACAAGCGAGTTGTCAGTGGGGCGCGCTTGCAGGAGTTTCTTTTTTCAATTGAAAACCAGAATTCTTTGGTTTTTCTCTTAATAAGCACTCAAATTTTGTTCTTTCCGAACCGTAGGGCGATTTTCTGAGTTAAAAGCATCGATTTAAGCGCGAAACGGAGCAGATTCGTTCAGAATTGACCAAATTGAGGGATTTTGTCGAAAAATACTGAAAAAAACAGAGTTTTAACGATTATTTGCCGAATCGAGTTCGGACACTGGCATTCGAACCGTCTCCAGTCAACAAGGTGTTTATTGCGCATCTTTTAAGCGCTCAACCGTCGAAAAATATACAGAATTGAGATAATTGAGGCAAATTTTCGATTCCAAAAGGAAAAATTTCTGTAATTTTCACATAAAACGTTTCGAAATTGATAACGAAGCAGTTAAAATTTTATTTTTTATTCATTTCTAATTATTATCATAAGTTTTGACACTGATTGGTTCTGAAAAGATGGGGATAATGCAAAAAAAGGGGAAAATTGAAATGAATGAGAAACTCTACAACGACGCTCCGGAATTACGCGTTACGCGCCTTGTTTAGCGCACGCGAATTGCGCCAAGGGAATTTTTTTATCATAGTTGCCACGGGCCGGGCCGGGCCGAAATTTCCAAAACTCCGGCCCGGCCCGGTCGGCCCGGTTCAAAAAGCGGGAATTCAAAATTTGAATTATTGATCGCATGAAGCCATTTTTTGTAGAATTAGGGGGTTTTTGCAAGCATCGAACATTGAAAAACAAATGTATTTCTCATAAAAAATTCATAATAGCAAGAAAACAAAGAAGAAACACTAAAACTTTAGTTCGAAAATTTTTTGTAATAACGAAAAAAAAATTTCCGCGAAAATTTGAATTCCCGCCTTTTGAACCGGGCCGACCGGGCCGGGCCGGGCCGGCACTTCAACGACCCGGCCCGAGTCTGTTTTTTATTGGAAGGCTGGGGTTCCATGCTATTATTGCCACATATCTCAGAAATGCCTAGAATGGCGCGCAGCTAAACTTGTGGCCTAGAAAACTCTCAGGTGTGAAAACTCTTCCCTTGCACGTTGACCGTCAGTAAATTTTGTTCTAAATTGACCGAGAAATGTCGAGTTTGCAGTCGAACCTCAAGTGTTTCGTGTGGGAACTCGTCATCTGCGTGAACAGTGCGTACGGCTGCCTCTGGTTCGACACGGTCCTCTTCAACTCCCGCTTCATGGCGCCGTTGCTGGACCCGATGATCGGATCGGACGAGCGAATCGTCTACTCGAACGTGTTTCTGAACGCGCACAACTGCGCAGTCACCATCCTTCTCGTCGCCATCTACACCATCATTTGCGGCATTTGGTACCAGCGCACCGCGAAAATATCGTCGAAACACTTGAATCAGTTTCAGCAGAATGTGAGTTTGCATTGGTAAACGTTGGTAGGTCAAGACCTAGAAAAATGTAGGCCACGACCTAAAAATGAATTTTCTCTTCCAGATCCTGCTGCAATCGCTCGGCATCTCACTGACGTACGCCTTACCGGCCCTCTCGTTCGTTCTCGTCTATTTCCTCACCACGCCGCCCAAGTGGTTCGTGCTCTTCGCCGATTTGTGCTACCAACTCAGCGGAGGTAAGGGAAACCGAGAAAACTTTAAAAAAAAAAATCGATTTCTAGGCCTGCCATTCATAATGTACGTCTTCGTGAACAATCGAGTCAAGAGATGCATAAAAGAGAATCCGTGCCGTGCCATTCGCAATCGAAATCGTATCGCTGTCGCCACCGTCTCAACTTTTGTTATCTAAACAATTTATTTCTTTTTTTGGAATTTTATCTGTTACTATCATCTACTTCATTTCTCTGTACCTCTAAATCTCGAAAAATACCTCAAAATTTTTGGCATTTTTCCTATTTAAAACCCGCTTTTTCGAAAATTTCATAAAAATCAGTCATTTGATATCGTTATTTCATCCTAAAATTGAGCGCAAAATCAGGTTTATCTCTACAAAATTGCATGCAAAAATCGGCGAAAAACGATAAGCGGATATCATTGTTTTCGGTGACAATTGCCTCGAATAAATCGCCGATATTATGATTCTTCTGGCTAAAGTCAAAAATATTATGAGTTCACGAAATAGCGGCACGAAAAATGGAATTCCGGCGGAAAGAGGTTCGTTTTTTGTGCTAAATTTAGCGCGTTAAAATCGAAAATTTCCTTTTTATGAGTCGTTCTGCGCCTTTAAATTTTTCTACAGTAATCCACCGTATTTTAAAAGCGCATCACTGCTTTTTCAAATGAATTTCTGTCGTTTTTAGTGTTGTTTTTCGCTCGGAAAAGCTAGGTACCTCAATTTTTCGAAATCGGTCAAATTGAATTCGAGGTCTCTCTGTTGTTTTTAACTTAATATTGTATTCTCTGGGCCTACTGTACGTCAATTGTATTCGAAAAACAAAATATATTTTTTGTATCGGTGTTTTTCTTCGTTTTTTCGTGATGAAAAGTACTTAACTTCTTCTACACTAATCTTCAGTATTGTAAAGGCGCAAATCGTTCAGTCTTCATCTCTGCGTCTCTCTCTCTCTCTCTCTCTCTCTCGCCGGGGCTTGTGTACTCGGAGAAAGCCGCCGAAATTGAGCACGCTCTCAGTGAGAACACTCTTTTTCTCTCTCTCTCTCTTTCGCTAGCTGGAGAAAAAGAAGAAAAAGAGAGAGAGAGAGAGAAGAAAAGAGTGTCTGCGTGTCTGCGTCTCCGTCGACGAGAGAGCATGCGGGAAACGGAGGGCGGACGAGAGAAAGAGACGGTTTTCTTTTCGCTCGCTCGCCCCGCCGGCCCCCACGTTTTGTGTCTCTCTTCCCCTCCATCGGTCCGTTTATCGATTTTTGTGGATTTTACCCTCGAGACAACCATTTTCTCCCGCTAATTTCTGTCCATTCCTCTCATTTTTCACCGATTTCCCGACTCTCCGACCGCCTTACCGCTCCACAACTGTGCTGTGCCTTTAATTCGCTACAGTAACCCGGCGCAAGGTTGTTTAAAGGCGCAGCAGCACCCTTGTTTAATCGATTTTAGCGAGAAACATTGATTGTCAATGAGCGATGCTGAAACTTCCGGTTTGTACTTCAAAAATCACCTTTTTCTGCGTTTTCCGACCACATTTCGTTGATTCACAGTTCCTCTCGTGAACATTTCGCGATTTTTTAGCTTCTCAAGCAGCACCCGGGATTTCAAGCGGTTTTTGCTCATTTTTCGCCCTAGAAAAGCCGGTTTTCGTGTTTTCTTGCCGCCGTCGTCCGTCCGTCGTCGTTTTCCAGCAGTTATGCGTTTATTACTTTTTCCTCACACACACACTCACACACACAAAGATTACGGTAGATTATGGGCGCATTTCGCAACCCATTTCTTCCCTTTTTTGTGGAAAGTTGTAATCCGATAAGTGCGATCGTCCGTGTGTTTACGTTCAAGATTACGGTAGGCAAAAAAAAAAGTGTTTTGAAACGTTGTCTATTAGGACTACGGTACATTTTTAGACCCCCTCTGCTGAGTGCTAAGTGGCCGGGGGTTACTGTAGTTTTTCCAACTTTTTGCCTCAATATTTACACATTGTAAGTGGTGATAAACACGCACTTTTTCACTTTTCACCCCCCAATCTTTGGTTTTTTTGGAGGGTGGGTCTCGACACGAAATTTTTTTTGGAAAATCGGATTACGGTAACTATTGTGGAAGCGAAAAAACAATGGGAAGTCGAGAAAAAAAAACTGGTTGGTTCCCATTGTTTTTGACGTCTTTTGTGTGCGGGAAAGCGAAAAGTTTATATTTATTTTGTCGATTATCGATTTGCCGCAAAATTGTGTCACGCGCCTTTCAATTTTGCTACCGTACCCACACGACCAAATGCAACCTCCCTTTAATTTATGGGCGTACTGTCGAAAACCGTTTTCCGCGTTGGCGTCCTTGGAAACGTCCCCTCAAAATCATCACCACCCGTATTCAGGGACACGACGAAAATTGACAAAATTTGATAGTGCTGCACTTTTCAAATTTACCTACCGTATACTGTAATTCCCGACGTACTGTAATTTTAAAGGGCAGTCATTTCCGCTAAATTTCTCGTTCAGCGAATTTTGAGTGGAAAACTGCAAAGAGCACAGATTTTCGGGTCTCGACACGAAAATTATTCGCAAAATCTAGCGAATGACCTTTTGCGTCTGTCTGCCGTGCGGGTTTGGTGCGTATTTGCGCGCGGTACATATGCGGACCGGGGGTCATCTCGTCCGGAGAGTGGCAGTACCGGGAGACCCTGACCGTCCCGCCGAGAAAGAGAGAGAGAGAGAGAGAGTGGTCAAGCTTCTCTCTTTCTCTCTCTCTCTCGACGGCTTCCTGTTGAATGAATGTCTGGAGACAGATGGCTTCACTCTTTTTCACATTTTACTTATGAATATTTTCGCTTTACAAGTTAGCGCGCCTTTAAATTCTCACTGTATATTGTAGTTTAAAGGCGCATCACTCTTGTCTCGATTTTACTCTACTTTCGCTAATTTCTCGTTTCAATTCTAATACTGCGCCTTTAAAATAGTCTACCGTAACCCGGTATAATGTAGTTGAAAGGCGCAGCACTCATTTGCCTATTCAGACTCTTTTGACGCAAAAATTGCTTGTTTTTCCGGTTCTTTCTGCAAAAAAAGTGAGCTGATAAGATTGTTATTATGTTAGAGTCACCCATGGCCTAGAAGTTTCCACTAGAGAAAGTTAGGCCATCGACAGAAGTGACGGGTTTTGCGGCCCAAATTTTGCACCTGGCTCTCTCCTTTTCGCACTCAATGCCCAAAAAGACAGATGTGTCCTTGCGCGGTGCAAATTGCCGCTTTGACGACCCTTTTCCGTGACATTTTCGCCGATTTTTGCACGATTTTAGGCAAACTCGATTTTAGGCCAGAAATTTGAATTTAACGCGGAAAAATGCAATTTTGTGGACGCATAATAATAATTACCGCTTCCACCCGCCAAATAACCTTGAATTACCGTCTGCTGGCCTAGAAACCCAATTTATTCAATTTCCTATTGTATTTCTTGCATTTATCCATTTTTCCTATGGAAAATGCTAATTTTCTCTCCAATATTCAATGAAAAATTGATTTTTTGCCTGTTTGCTCGGAAAAATTGATTTTTGGCCCTAAATGTTTGTAAAGTAAATGTTCTTTTGCAGAAAGAAATCCGCGGCGAGTTGTCGAGGAAAATCGGCGAGGTGCGGTCATGGACGCCGCACAAATCAACGATGAAGTGGTCAGCAAAAAAGAAATTTGCAGATTGCTCTCCAATCGAATATTTTGCAGGTGTCGAGCGGATCGGCGCAAGCAATGGCGGCGCACGGGCGCTCAATGTCGCCGAGTCCGTCGATGAGCCACGGAGATCCGCTCCTTCCGGTCGCCGAAAATTGGTGCCATACACAGGTATTTTTCTCGATTTTTCTAATTGTGCTCCCAAAATTCGACTCGAAATCTTTTGCACGGCGGCGCGGAAGCGCACCGAAACGTGTTTTCTAAAATCTTCCGCAATTTCAGCACTTTTCCGCTAGTTCTGAGCCGAACATCCAAGAAAGAAAACATTCAAAGACATTTTTGAGCGTTCGAACAGAAAAAATGATCGAGAACGGACTGAAATTCGCAACTAAAAAATTTGATGTTTTTTAAGGTGAAAGTGGTAAAATTCAACTACATGTGGACGATCAACAACTTTTCGTTTTGTCGCGAAGAAATGGGCGAAGTGCTGAAATCGTCGACATTTTCAGCCGGATCCAACGATAAATTGAAGTGGTGTTTACGGATAAATCCAAAGGTTTGTTCTCTTTTTTTTGTTGTTGTGAAAACGCGATTCGACAATTCTTTAATCCTTGCAGGGTCTCGACGAAGAATCGCGTGATTATCTGTCTCTGTACCTCCTTCTCGTCCAGTGCAACAAGTCGGAAGTGCGCGCGAAATTCAAATTTTCGATATTGAACGCGAAACGCGAGGAGACCAAGGCAATGGGTTCGTTTTTCGCCCCCGCAAGAAGCCATCACTTCAAATCACTCGGAAAAGTGGTCTAAAACGCTGCAAAAGTTACAGAATCCCAGCGAGCGTACCGATTTGTGCAGGGCAAAGATTGGGGCTTCAAAAAGTTCATAAGACGCGATTTTTTGCTGGATGAGGCGAATGGACTGCTGCCCGAGGATCGATTGAGCATATTTTGTGAGGTAAAATCGTTTTTCCCGTTTCAAATGTGAATTTCCAGCAATGGCCTAGAAAAACACGAGGTGGCCTAGAAAACTCTGCTTCCCGAAAAACTCGGCCACCACTGTCTGTGTTCAGTTTCTGGCGTTTTTTTTCGGGTTTTTCGAGCTAAAAGTGCCGAAATTTCACGGTTTTTAGCTTTAGAATGGTGAAAATAGAAACATTGCTCGCAAAAACTCAACGATCACCCATAAAATTGACGAAACACGGATCTTTTCGCAATTTTTCATTTAGGTATCAGTTGTGGCCGAAACGGTGAACGTGACGGGTCAGACAAACGTGAATCAGCTGTTCAAAGTGCCGCAGTGTCGACTCGCCGACGACTATGCGAATTTGTTCGACAAAAAGCAATTTTCCGATTTTACCATCTTTTGCAAGTCCGACTCGGGAATGCCGTCGCAGACGTTTCATGTAAGTCAGAAAAATGTTTGAATTTGTGCAAAATAACAAATTCAATTATTCAGGTGCACAAATCGATATTATCGGCTCGATCACAAGTATTCGCGGCCATGTTCGAGCATCACATGCAAGAATCCGACACGAATATGACGACAGTTGATGACGTCGAGCCGGAGGTCAGTTTTGAGGGCTTCTGGAATTTTTTCTCAAAACCAATTTGTTGCAGGTAATGCGCGAGCTGCTATTGTACATTTATACGGGCCAAACGAAGCTGATCAACGAAATGTCGCAACTTTTGATAGCGGCCGCCGACAAATATCAGTTGGATCGGTTAAAGGTAAGACAGATTACGGTAGATTACTGTAGCATTGCATTTTTTCTGGAGTGTCTGATTATTTTTCAATGTTCTCCCCCCAGATGCCTCATTAAAAAATTTCCAGGTATTGTGTGAGCAACAAATGTGCTATTCGCTGAATACGGACAACGCGTGCGTGACATTAATGCTCGCGGACATGCATTCGGCCAATCAGTTGCGCGCTCACGCAATCAATTTTATTAATGTGAATGCCACTGATGTGAGTTCAAGCAACAATTTGTTCCAAGTTTTCGTTTATGTAAAACTCAGGGCTGGGCTTTTTGAGGCCTGGACTTTTGACATACTTGCTATGATCCGATCGGGTCCAAACTTCGCAGGCTTCTTGGACATGGATTGAAGTATGTTGAGTCCAAGTTTCAGACCGATCGGATCATTCGGTCCCGAGATATGTGGATCAGAGACTGTTTGCGAAAATTGCGGACTTCTCGGCTTCCGATCCACATATCGCGAAACCAGATGGTCCGATCGATCTGAAACGTGGACCCAAGATACTCCGATCCAAGTTCAATAAGCCTGCAAAGTTTGGGCTCGATGGGGTCATTGCAAGTGGGTCGAAAGCTCGACAGGCCGTCAAAAAAGTGTTTCTCCCAACAATTTCTTTTATTTTTCAGGTGATGGCGTCGGAAGGCTGGGAAGACCTGGTCCGTGAGCATCCGAAGCTTCTGGAAGAAGTGTTCCGCGCGCTCGCCACCCAACAAACCCCGCCGATCGTCCTACAACCACCCAAAAAACGGGCAAAGCATAATATTCCCTATTGAAAACTGTTTTTCTCCTCGCTTTTCCTCTCGATTTCCCCGCTGTTTTTCCACTCCTTTGAATTGTAGTCATTCAGAATTGGCGCCGAATTCTTTTTTATAAGCCTGTCTTTTTCGACGCCAATTGTCGCACAATGACGGGTCTAAACGTTTGTTTTCTTTTTTCTCTTGCTTCCATCCGATTCTTTATTAACTTTGTCCCCATTTTATTGATATAGTCTATTGGATGACGGTTCACTATCCCTATTTAGACGGTTTCGCTTGGTTCGTTGGAGAATAATATGAAAAAAGGCACTTTAGACGGTTTTGCACGCAATCTGATGCCCTCGTTATCAGTATGGAATTTCTTGAGTTTTTGAATTAAGGACATCTATCTTGACAGCGTTTTAGGTAGAAATGGATGACGACGAGCAGAAAGGATACACCTGGGAGGCCGGTTATGCGGAAGGTTTGAGAAAAATGGTGCATCACGGTCTCCAGAGCCACCAACTGGCGTTTTCATCGGCTGAGCGCTTTTTCTCGAATTTTTGTGGTCGAAGGCGATGAATAATGATAGTTTAACATGAAAACACAATATTTCTCGAAAATTCTGACGTTTTGGTGCATTTTTCGCGGATATCGCTCTTTCGTTTTCCGCCGAAAATCGCACTTGCGATTTTGCGCATTATTAACTGTTTTGCGACAAAATTGGTTTTGAGAATGATAACTCTCGAACAACAGAAATTCACGCAATTTTAGCGGAGCAACTTCAAACGAATAAATTTGACGGTCTTGCGCTTAAAATGTTCGTCTTGGCCTATTCAATTGTTAGAGAGAAAGAGATAAATGAGTAGTTATTGAATTTTCATGGCGAATTTCGCAAAAAAACATAAAATTCGCTGTTAACATTTGAATTTCGCGCGAAAATGTCGATTTATTTGGCGGGGCGCCCATTGCAGAGCTCTGAAGACTAGGGATGCAGAACAGGCGATTTTTGGCGCCTGTTCTGCCAGCCAAATGGAGACCATAAAGCAGATAATTTTAGCTGAAATTTCCGCGAAAATTTGCAACTTTATAGGCCTGAACATCAACGAAGTGCTCGTGGAGGACGAGGGCGGATCCATCGAAAAATCGATTGCGAAATATGTGGCGGACAGTAAAAAGAAGGCGAGATTGGCGAAACGGCCCGAGAGAATTCGGCTTGGAATTGTAAGAGACTCGGGAAATTTACTTTAAAAAAAGCGGTTTTTCCAGATGCGTCACGTGATGATCGTGATTGATTGCTCGCGGTTTATGACGAGCAAAGCGATGCCGCCCTCGAGATTCGTGGCCGTTATGAAGGTTAAAATCTCTGTGTTAGGCCAGCAAATATCAAAATTTAGGCCGTCCAAGTGTTCCTCGATCGGTTTTTCGAGCAAAATCCGATTGCACAAATCGGACTGATCACGTGCAAAGACCGGAAAGCGGAACGATTGACCATGATGACGGGTTAGCTCGCAAAAATGTGATCTCCTGAACATTTCTGATTTTGTCAATTTTTTTATTCGATCCAGCAAAAATAGCCGGTATCATTTTTCAGGAAATATCCGAGTGCTCAAAGAATCGCTGAATTCGCTGACAGAAGCCTTCTGCGGCGGCGATTTTTCACTTCAAAATGCACTTCAATTAGCGTGTGCAAATCTAAAGTGAGTTTTAGAAGTTTTTGTAAATTTCACTGAATAATTTGAATTGCAGAGGAATGCCCGGCCACGTGTCACGAGAAGTGGTCATTATAATGTCGGCACTTTCCACAATCGATCCGGGCAACATTTTCAGCACGATTGAGGTAATTTTTGACTGGAAAATCGGAAATTTTCAAGCGAAACTATTTTTAGACACTAAAACGGCTGAACATCCGTTGCTCGGCAATCGGACTCTCCGCCGAAATGTTCATTTGCAAAGAGATGGCCAAAGCGACGAAAGGTTTGTGCGGAGATTTCATTTTACAAAAAAAAAAGAGAAGAAATTTCAGGAGACTATTCTATTGCCCTCGACGCGGACCACCTCCAACTGCTGCTCTCGAAGCACACGCTCCCGCCGTCGTCGGCCAAATCGTCCGAGTGCAATGCGATCCACGTCGGATTCCCGTATCACGAACTCGTCAAAACGCGCTCCCTTTGTGTTTGGTGATTATTCTGAAATTTCATCTCGAATAACGGGATATTGGTCACGTTTTCCCCCATTATTCCATATTTTCAGCCATCCCGACTCGAAGCCGATCTCGTCGCGCGGCTTTATTTGCACACAATGCGGCGCCCGTCACTGCTCGATTCCGGCCGAATGTCCCGTCTGCAAACTGACACTCGTGGCCGCTCCTCAGTTGGCGCGCGCTTTCAGACATTTACAGCCGCTCCCCGCATTTGAGCAGACCGAAGTGGCCATGAAAGCGTGAGTTTTATGGAGAGAATTATCACCGAGATCATTGCGGTTTGCACTGCAAACAAGAGTTTCTCAACAGAGCGCGTTTGCAGTTGAATGAGCCAATGGACAATCTTATTTTCAGAGTGTGCTACGCGTGCGAAACACGTCTGAACGGCGAGGGCTTCCGCTGTGAAAAGTGTCGTCTCGTGTTCTGTCTGGACTGTGACACGCTTCTTCACGAGTCATTGCACGTGTGTCCCGGATGCAATTGATCGATAATGTCCTGCAAATTATCCACTTTTCTACAAATTTTCCCCATTTTTCTCCGATTCTTTACGCCGGGTTCCCATTACTTTTCATCTCTTTGTTGAATGATCGATATAAATTACATGTTTAATAATAGAAGTGCTTATTCTTAAAAATTCATTTGTGCTGTATCGGTGATCTGAAGTTCTTATTTTGTTGATTATCACAATTTTTTAGGTCAAAGCATTTTTTAGAGATGAGCGGAACGCCGATTCGACAAAAACGAGCGCATCAGCCGCCGAGTGTGAGTGGATCCCGAAAAAAGAAGAAGCACGCGTCGACGCCGTTCAGTGAGTTAAAAAAACAAATTTTCTAGCGTAATGAATCTTTAATTTAACCAATTTTTTGCAGCCATCTACAATCCGCCGGTGGCAAAACTGCGATCCAATTACGATTACGAATTTTACAAATTTTTGCGATCCGTCAAAGAAGTGACCGACGAGATGGATAGTGAGTTTATTGACTAAAAAAGAAAGAATAGACACGCTTTGACGGCCGCCGAGGAAAAGTGCAATTTTTTTTGGGCGGCGGGCACTTTTTGCCCTTTTTTTGGGTCGTCATTTCGACTAATTTGTGGAACAGCTCGTGGAGTTGGGGAGACGTCTGTAACAGCTTCAGTTCGGGTGTGTTTTGGCTTTTCACTTTTAGCATTGCTATAATAATTCATAGAAAAGATCGCATTTCGTCGGAACCAGTGTGACTTATTCGATGAAGTTTTCGAAAAGTCGTCACTTTCGGAGAACTAGGATTCCGAACGTGTTCTCGGATTTTGGTGGCGACCTCTGAAAGTCTAGTGTCTGCTCACTTGAAAACAATTTCTATGTTAGTGCAAAAGATGGCCTTAAATCAGGTTTCAGATTTTTGGAATCCGCTCGTTTAGATGGCTCAGGGACCGAGGTTTCCGCTCACCTTCTTCAGATGTTATAGGCTTTTACTAAAATGTTTGATGAAACACTTGGAAAGACTGTCGTACAAGATTGAGCAGTTTCATGGTATTCATAAGAAATGAATGCATAGAAGATTCGTGCATTTGCATGCGTTCATGGGAATTGCTTACTCACGTTTTGAAGCGATTGCTGATCCGTGCTCATCTCGGCGGCCTTTGTTTTTTGCTGCGCCGCCGATGATTTATCCATAATTCGTCGCATGAGCAATTCGAACGAATCCACTTTCCGCTCGACATTTTCTGCAACAACAACAGTTTCTGAACGTTCACGAGAAATGAAAGAATTGAGAGAAACGACAAGCTCGACGCTTTTTTTATACGCTGCCGACGGGATTGAATGTTTCAATTAAAAATGATTGAAAAAGTTGTGTGGGCGTAGAAAAGAATGTAAAAAATGATTTAAAGAGTTTAAGCTGTACAGTCGAACAAAATAGATATTGTGAGTCTTTCTCGCAGCAACAAAAATGACAAATATGCTACAAAAGCCTTGATAAATCCGTAAATTGCAGGACAATCGGTGAATCTGGTGATCCCGATGCGTCGTCAACTGCGTCGAAATCACCGTGACGCGTCGAACCTTCATCTGTACTTCAAATCGCTCGCCTACTGGAAATCCTTTTATTCCGGCTTCCTCGAGCGCGTCGACGACGTCATGGAGTGCTTCCGATTCGATGACATCCGCGAGATCCACGTCATCATCGCCGCGCACCGTCTGCCCGAATCGCTCGTCTCGTTCGTCACGCAACAACTCATCGATTGGCGACTTTTGTTCAAGGACGTCGAGTGGTACGGTTTGAAATATTGGACGTCCGACTATCCGATTTCCAGGCTTCGAGAATTCCGTGAATTGAGTCAAAAATTGGAAAAAGAGGAGGCGGAGCGAAAAGAGCAAATCGCTCGCGACGCGCTCCTTCGAGAAATCGCCTTGGAAATTGGTAATACTCGTTCTCTTTTGCTAAATTTTCAAGGTCCGTCTTTTCCAGAACTGTCGAACCTGAAAATCGCGGATTTCGCGGAGCACGCGACGGAAGAGCCGGAAGATTTGTGCGAGACGATCGTCGCGAAGGTCCGCGAGGCGAAAATGGCACAGGAAATGGCCGAACGGCTCAGAAAAGTGCCGGTTCTGTCGAAGCGGAGCAACACGAGGGAATGGTGCAAAAAACATTACGGTAGGCGAGAAAAGTTGTTAAAAGCAGGGCTGGGCTTACCGAAGGCCTGGACTTTGGGCCCACTTGCAATGGTCCAGACTTTGCAGGCTTCTTGGACTTGGATTGAATTATGTTGGGTTCAAGTTTCAGAACGATCCGATTATCCGGTCCCGAGATATGTGGATTTTGCGAAAATTGTGGCCTTCTCGACCTCAAACCAGGATATCTCGGGACCGGATGATCCGATCGGTCTGAAACTTGGTCCCAGTATACTTCAATCCAAGTCCAAGAGGCCTGCAAAGTTTGGGCCCGATCCGAATATTGCAAGTGAGTTGAAGGTCCAGGACAAGCGCCAGATCTGGAAAGATCGCGATTTTCCAAATAAATGGTTTGAAATTTCAGAATTGATACGCATCTCTTCACTCTCATCAGATGACGATTCGTCGTCGTCGTCTTCTGCGAACAATTCGTCGCTTTTCGAAAATTCGGCCAACTCCTCGATCGATTCGGATCTTTCGGCAACTTCCGAAATCGACATCGACGCGTTTTTCAACGAGCTATTCTAATTATCTTATCTTCGTCCCCCTTTTATTCTCGTATCCGATCTCATGTTCTATATTCCATTTTCACTTTTTTGGCAACTATTTTTAAAATTAATCTCTTATGGGTCAGGCAAAGTTACAATATTGAAGAAATGGATTCTAGAAAAATTGCCGATAAGTAAAAAAAACAATCAACAATCTTTCCTATATATTCATTATTAAAACAGGCTACAAGTAGAAATAAACCATGAGAAAAACGATCAAAATTGCCAAAACGATGACTCCGAGTACGCATCCGACGAAAACAAACGAGTTTCTGGACATTGTGACGCCCAACAGATCGGAAATGGCCGGCAATCCGGGACGCGTTCGTTCGTCGCACAAGCTATTTTCGCAGCCCGTCTCCGGCGGACATTCTGAGCACACGGAGCCACGCGAAAACAGACGATCGTCGAGCAGCAGGGGACTGGAAAGAAATGAGCAAATTCAGTGTTTTCTCAAACATTTCTCGTTCGATATCGATAAAAAACGAGTTTTCAGTTAGAATGACACAAATTCCACATTTTCAGAGCGTTCACGGTCTCCCACGGCGCGAATGATTTCAATGGGGCGCACTTGCAACAGGCGGGTTGTGTCGATTTACGCGGCGGCCGATTAATTAATTTTCAACGGGAGTTCGCGTTCTTTCTATGTTTTCTGTACACTACATCTATTTTTTCGTACGCCTGGAACATGGATTTGAATAATTAGAGCACTAGCTACGTTTTGGTAACAGAAATCTCACATATCGTTGAGAATTAGCCGAGTTATTTCGATTTGAAGATTTTGGCCTGGATTTTGATGTTTTTCGAATAGTTTTCGAAAACTGCTCAAGAAAACTAACCGCCGGAACCTGAATTTTGTGAAGAAAGATTCAGCGAACATTTTTATCGTTCGTTGGGCTCATAAAATGCAAAATGAGCTGAAATATAAAGGTTTGAAGTTTTGACGAAATGCGAAAAAGACGCTAAAACATGAAAAACTCTAAATTCTGTAAAGAACGGTTTCCAATCGGTAAAATATTGTTTTCTAGACGTTTTTCAAGTCAAAAAGAAAGAAATAAAGGTCGTAAACTCGAATTGAACTGCATTTTTAGACCTGCAAATTTTCAAAAGTTACAACGACACTCCGCAATTTACGAGCGCACTGTGTTTAGCATTAGCGCCCTGGGAGACCGTTTCGTTTGCGCCGATTTACATTGTAAAACACGAACCTCGGTCCAAAAACACACAAAACAATGAGCGCCGGCGGTTTTCTGTGCACAGTCAATTTTTCGACGCATCCGATTCGAATCGCGTCGTGGTTGATCGCCTGAAATTGAAAATTATTGAGACAATTGACGAGAAAATAATACCAAATTGTAGGGCCGTCCTAGCGTGTCATTATTGACGACATCCGAGTCGTGCATCGAACTTCTCGTGAGCGCGAACAGCAATTCTTCGGCGCGTCGACTCGGATCGCCGACTTCCGTCTCCATCCAAAAAGTCGTCGATTTGTCCGGTTCGACGCGTTGCTCGACGAGTTCGATCACTTTTTGCAGGGCCAAATTTCGGAACATTTCGTCCCAATACTGAAGCATTTGCATTTCGAGGGTTTTTCAGAGCTGGGCAAATTTCGCGAAAGGCTTTTCGAAGTCTTTTGGACCACTTGCAATTATTCGATCGGGCCCAAACTTTGTAGGCTTCTTGGACTAGGATTGAAGTTTATTGGACCCAAGTTTCAGGCCGATCGGTTCATCTCGTCCCGAGATATGTGCAATTTTCGCAAAAACCCGGCTTTTCAGCCTCAAATCATTGCAAGTGGTCCAAAAGTCCAGCTTAAACCAGTTTTCTTCAATAAATATCAGAAAAACCACAGAATTTTAAAGGCGAATGCCCAATTTTTTAAGTTCACCGACCAATTTCTGCATATTGGACGCCTTCAGCTCGTTGGCGCGTAGCCGTCGAAAATTATTGAGCTGATGTGTAATATCTTGCCAATTAGCCGATGCATTGGTTGAAAATTCTGAAAAAAAAAACATTTTAAAGGTTTTTGACCCGAAAACCTACCAAACGCAGTAATCAATAAGTGGAAAATCAGAAGTTTCACGATCATTTTTCACCGGCGAATTCAGGAAAACAAAAAAGAGTTTACAGAGCGAAAAGTTCAGATTTTCAGGATTTTAGGATAAGGTTAAGGTCATTTCAATTTATACATTTGCATTGTTTCAGGGAAAAGACAATGTGTCACCATGTAAATTTCTCAAATTTGTCGGCCCATGCACGATGCGAATAAATTTTTTTTTCGCAACCGCCATTCCAAAGTGACAGCCTTATCAGTCGAACTTTTTTCGCTTTTCTAATTCAAAAATTTGCTTCTATCACACATAATTTCTGTTTGATTGCCGAGCGGACGAGCAAAAAGGGAAAGTGCACCGAAAATGCGTGGAGCTCGAGTGCTGCGCCTCTAAATTTTCGGCAAAACTCGCCGGAATCGACTACCGTAGCTTAAAGGCGCAGCACTCGCCGGGGCGCGGAAAAAGAAAATGTAAACCCGAAAGTCTGGTGGCCCATCGAATCACCCACAATTGCAAAGAAACAATGATGTGCGAGGGGAGAGGGCCTCGCGGATGACTCACGGATATTCATCACTTTTCTCCTGTTTTTCTCCTCCTCGCTGTGAGCAAACATACCGTATACCGGCGAAAAGCGAAAGCGAAAACGAAAACGAAAACGAAAACGAAAACGTCGATGAAGAAATGCAGGGCCCAGGCTCCTGGTCTTTTGACCCATTTGCAATGATCCGATCGGTACCAAATTTTGCACGTTTCTTGAACTTGGATTGAAGTATATTGGGGTCAAGTTTCAGACAGATCCGTAGTTTTTGCTATGCTCCGTTGAAATTTGACCAAAAATGTTTCCCAAATGGGTCTCAACGACAAGACTGGTTTCTAAAAACTGTAAAAACGTACGGTCGCTCATCGCTCCTCCTCACAATTTGTGTGTTTGGGGTCCTTGCGCCTCGCTTCCCCCCCCCTCGCGCCCCGCCCCCTTTTCTGTGTCCCAATCCGCATTTCTTCGACTACATGCCAATCGAGAGTCAGTCTCGCCCGTCCTCTTCTTTTTTTCGTATTTTCTCTTTCCCATTACCCACCTCCTCTCGATTCTTATCACCGAATCTTCGATGTGGTAGTGCTCCTCCGTCGGCGCCCTCAATCATTCTCAACGCACACTTTGTTTAAAAAAGAACAGGTACTTTTATGGAAGTAGTGATGGAAACCAAGAGAGCTTTGAATAGTCGTTACTTTTTCCGGAAAAAAAAATCCTACAGACTCCTGTAAATTTATTGACATCTATTGTATTGTGTTGACTGCGCAAAATTGCCAAAATATCACTTGGACGCTGAGAAATCGATTGTAGGAGATTGTTTTTAAATGGTTGTGAAATGTCATGTACATAACAGAGTTGAGCGGAATTCCGTCTTCCGTCTTCCGTCTTCCGTGGATTTTTTGTTCCGTCTTCCGTAAAAATTTTTTTTTTTCGCCTGCCGTCTGCCGTCTTCCGGAATTTTTTCTCCCTACCGTAAAAAAGTAATAGCTTTTCAGAAGCCATTTACTAGCCCCGAAGAACGCGAATTTCCACGGGCAGTGACCCAGATCCAAAATTTTTGTTGCTTTAGTTATTTATTTTAAAAAAACCGGAAAAAAAGGTTCTACATTGACGATTTTTTTGTTCCGTCTTCCGTCTTCCGTCGTCCGTGAGAAAAATTTTCTTCCGTCTTCCGTTTTCCGTGTTCCGTAAGAAAAATTTTCTTCCGTCTTCCGTTTTCCGTGTTCCGTAAGAAAAATTTTCTTCCTTCTGCCGTCTGCCGTCTTCCGGATTTCAAAATTCCATTTCCGCTCAACTCTGGTACATACACACACGCACATAGAAAAAAGAGAAAAAGTTGGAGATTACGGTGGCTATGCGTCATCCGTTTCACAAGAATACCCGAAGCTGAGAAGCGAAACAAAACATTTCGTTTCAGGACATTCCACACATTTCTATCACCCTGAATTCTTTCACAAATGCTAGGTACTCGGTCTGGTTGCAAAACGTCAGTGTCTCGAAAACGGTCTTTGACACGGAAAAGCGATAGAATTGAACAGTTATCAGCTCGCACTCGCCGCCCCATTTTTGGAGATAACACTGAAAACTGGTGGGAGACGGAACAAAGTCCGCTTCTTTTTTCTTTGCGATCAAAGTGTAATCGAGGACGTTTTGCAACCATCCATCGGCTGTCGAAATAATTGGAAACTGAAAAATGGTCGCACTGTGTCAAAACATTGTCTTTGTCGATTCTCACTTTTTCTTCTTGTTTTCTTGTCGTCCATCTCGTGGCGGAAGAAAATGATTTCAGTCAAATGTCCGCCATAAACCCAGACGAGATATTCAAGAAGGTCTCGCCGGAAACTCGGAAAGTGCATATCGATGAGTGAGTCAGTGCATGGATACAAAAAAGTTTAATGGGGTTATTCAGGCTGTGAAAAAAACGATTTTTTTTCGTTTTTTTTCGTTTTTTCACGTCAAAAAACCCAATTCAGCGGTGTAAAAAAACGGAAAACAAACATACGCTGAATATATAGCCCCATAAGAAAATTATCATATTTTGAAGATAGATTTCAGGACCAAGTTTTTCTGATTTCCAGAGCAATCTCATCAGTCGTCAGAAAGTTATCGGCCAAGGTGAAATCTGGAACAATGTAAGTTGTTCGAATTGAATAATTTAAGATAAACTGCTGGAAATCCTCTTTCAGGTCATCCCCCCAATCTTCGCCGACCTCGTCAGACCTCCCGTCACTCGCACAGACTCCGACTCGAGAATATTCGACCAATCCGTCCCTTCCTCTCTCTCCTGCTTCTTCTTCTTCTTCTTCTGGTCCCCAAGATACTCCCGTACTCACCGTTCTCCAGTTCATCATCAGAGAAGCCACGGTCCGCCTTCAGAAGGAGCAGATTTACGAAAAGTGGATGTGAGTGTAAAGTCAACGAGCAACAGTACTTTTCCGGACGGTTTTGGCGAAAAGCTGTCAACTAGAAAATTACAGTACCAGACGTGAAATGAAATTTATTATTGTAGTTGACAACTTTTCGATCCAAACACTTCTAAAGACACTGTAGCTTGGCAAAGTAGGCCTAGCGTTTCAGTGCTAAATTCCAAGAGCTACACTACCTTTATGCCGCGTTCAAAGTCTCGAAAACTCCGCAAATCTCGCGGATTTTGCGGTCCAAAGTCTTCAGAAATTTGCGGGAAATCCGGGGTGCGCACAGCTGAACGAGTGTTACCGTACACCATAAAACTACGGTATTTTTTTTAAAGTTTTTTTCCCCAAGAAATTTGAAAAAAATTGCAAACATTCTCGAGAAATTTAAATTTTTTTCAAAAAAATACCGATGAAAAATTTACCCAAGAAATTTGAAAAATTGCAAATATTCTCGAGAAATTTAAATTTTTTTCAAAAAAATACCGTTGAAAAATTTACCCAAGAAATTTGAAAAAAATTGCAAATATTCTCGAGAAATTTAAATTTAAAAATACCGTTGAAAAATTTACAATTGAAAAATTTGCAATTTTTTTCAAATTTCTTGAAAAATTTACAATTGAAAAATTTGCAATTTTTTTCAAATTTCTTGAAAATTTACAATTGAAAAATTTGCAATTTTTTTCAAATTTCTTGGGTAAATTTTTTTAACGGTATTTTTTTGAAAAAAATTTAAATTTCTCGAGAATATTTGAAATTTTTTTAAATTTCTTAGGGTAAACTTTCAAAAAAATACCGTAGTTTTATGGTGTACGGTAACACTCGTTCAGCTGTGCGCTCCCCGGATTTCCCGCAAATTTCTGCCGACCTTGGACTGCAAAATCCGCGAGATTTGCGGGGTTTCCGAGACTTTGGACGCGGCATTAAGAGTGGTCGTAGAAAAAAGTCATCAACTGACAAAATCAAGTACTATTTTCAGGGATCGATCTGCAATCGTGAACAAGATTCGAACCGACACGTGGCTGGGTATCGTCCGAGATGCGAAGGAGTTGTTTCCGGAGGAAACGACAGAGCTGACTGCGGCCAAAGCGAAAAAAATGCACTCGAATTATCGAAGACGCAATCCTGAGCAAGTCGAATATTTGAAAAACAGAAATGGGAATTTGAAAAAAAGCAGAAAAAAAAATTTGAAAAACAGAAATTGTTCTTATCAATTGTTTGTGGAATTCCAGAATAATGCAACAAATTCTCAAGTGTCCGGAGGGCATCAACAAAGATAATTGGCCGGCAAAGGCGGCAGCTGCGAAGAAAAGACAATTCTTCGAGGAATCCGGAGCTCACGTGGAAGCTCCAAGCCGTCCGAAAAGAGAGTGTGTGCGCCAGAATTTGAAAACGTCGGAAGTTGCGTCGAAAGTCGAGATGCCAGAGTTATCCGTTCCAGTTCCAGCGCAAAATATTGCGTTTAGCGGGAATTCGGCCGAAGAAATCACTTTGGAGCAGATTCGACGCATTGAACTTGCCTTCGCCGCCGAAATTTCCGGTAAGAATATATATTTTTCAATTCTCTTGAATTATCGATTTTCTCGTTTTTTAGGAGGTCGCCAAAGCTTGAAGCCTGAAAAATTGGTCATCAATTGCATCCCGTGGAAATGTGAGTTTTCAAATAAAAGAAGTTGGCAATGAAAAAATGTTAATTTTAGGATTCTCCCAGACACGGATAAATATTGCAAACAAACGCAGGACGTGAAACATTTGTAATTCGAACTTTTTTCTAACGAGCTTTATCGAAAAAAGAATAAAAATTTCTGTAGTGACCTAGATAAATAAGAAGCACACGCGCGCACACGTTATTACAGACAACATCGAAAGAAAAAACACGGTCTCCCAGGAGGCGCTAATGCTAAACACAGTGCGCTCATAAGTTGCGGAGTGTCGTTGCAACTTTTGAAAATTTGCACGTCTAAAAATACAGTTCAATTCGAGTTTACGACCTTTATTTCTTTCTTTTTGACTTGAAAAACGTCTAGAAAACAATATTTTACCGATTCTTTACCGATTTACCGATTCGATTCTTTAACCGTTCTTTACAGAATTTAGAGTTTTTCATGTTTTTAGCGTCTTTTTCGCATTTCGTCAAAACTTCGAACCTTTATATTTCAGCTCATTTTGCATTTCATGAGCCCAACGAACGATAAAAATGTTCGCTGAATCTTTCTTCACAAAATTCAGGTTCCGGAATTTCCGTAGTGCTCTAATTATTTGAATCCAGGTTCCAGGCGTACAAAAAGTAGGTGCATTGTGCAGAAAACATCGAAAGAACGCGAACTCCCGTTGAAAATTAATTAATCGGCCGCCGCGTAAATCGACACAGCCCGCCTGTTGCAAGTGCGCCCCATTGAAATCATTCGCGCCCTGGGAGATCGTGAAAACGTCATTAATTCTGAAAATTAGTGTGTTTTCATATCGATTTATCACCTTTGGCCACAAAAATCAGAGAAAACCTGCTCAATTCATGAAAACGCCATAGGGTTTCGCAATTCAAATCTTTTTCTCGTTTTTATCTTTTAAAACATGTCGAAACGCAATTGCAAAAAACTCAAATTTGAATTTTCAGGACTCTTTGCAATAATTTGTGCAGTTGGAAGGGCGCGGCGCCGATGGAAATTCGAGCGACACGAAGTAGCTGCACGAATATACTGAGAGAGCCTGAAAAGAATGAAAAGAAAAAAAAAGAACAGTTGCTTTCTTCGCCGATGAATAATTTCAGACTCTCTTAACGAATTTTACATTTGAAAATGAGAAATTGTAAGAATTACATCAACTTTTTAGGCCCCCGCAACACTTTTTGATATCACTGAGAAACTATGAAACTCATATTGCAATTCCAGACACGATTTTGTGACGGCACACGGTCTCCAGAGCTGACAATGGGCGGGCAAGTGCGCCCCGCCCAATAGAGCGATACATTGGCGCGAAATTCAAATTTTAACAGCAAAATTTGTGTTTTTTGCCAGATACGCCACGAAAATCCGATAATTTCTCATTTGTCTCTCGATAGACCGATTGTATAGGCTATTACGAATTTTTTAAGCGCAAGAGCGTTAAATTTGGCCAAGTCGCAAATCACATTTATCCGTTTGAAGGTTTTTCGCTAAAACTGCGTGAATTTCAGTTGCTTTTCGGTAGTTTTCGCGGTTCGAGCGCTCAAAAAGCTTGTATTTACGTGATTCATCATTCTCAAAACCAATTATTTTTGAAAACGGTCAAGAAAGCGCAAAATGAGAAAAAAAAAACAAAAAAAAAGTGTTTCGATTTTTTGATGACATTGTGAAATGCCACGTATTGTATCGCCCCAAAAAAGTGTAGAATCGAATTCATTCCTTCCTCCCCCTCCCTCTTAAAAATGTCTGCTTATTCACTTTGTCTTCTTCTTCTTATTTTTCTTCTATTGAACGTGGCATGTGTGAAAATTGGTTTCCAAAAGCTGACGGCCGAGGAGAACGAAAAACTGCACGAAAATTGTGGAATAGCCGAACGAGGTGAGTGAAATCCGGCACAAAGTCTACGAAACATCGAAAAAAAACAACAAAAATCGGCGTTGCAGACCCGACAGAGGACAACGACGGATTCAATGAACATATTGGCGAAGCGCCGTGGGCGATCGGAGCTCATAGTCAGGGAAAATACTCAGGAGCGACTCTGATCTCGCCGAGACACTTTCTGCTGCCGGCCACACTAGTCATCGCGAAAACCGATTTTGAGAATTTGAACAGAACCGAATGCCGTGATGGGTATGGATGGAATCTTGTAGTATTTCTGTAGTCGATCACCTTTGTCTACCACCACTCCCTGGGGTACTGTAGCGCGTGGAAGTTGGTGACACAGTACTCTAGGGAGTGGTTCCAGAAAAAAAAAATTAGTGCCAAATTCCCAGCGCTACACGGTCTCTAGAGCTGACAATATGGGCGTGGCCTCGGCCAAACGGCGTTTTCATGAATTGAGCAGGTTTTTTCTGATTTTTGTGGTCAAAGACGATGAAAAATGATTCGCTTTTTTCGCTTTTCGCCTTCGCTTTTTCGCCGATCGCCGCCTAAAAACCGCACTTCTCATTTTGCGCTTTCTTGACCGTTTTCAGACAGAATTGGTTTTGCGAATGATAAATCACGTAAATACAAGCATTTTGAGCGCTCGAACCGCGAAAACTACCGAAAAGCAACTGAAATTCAAGCAGTTTTAGCGAAAAACCTTCAAACGGATCTGCGACTTGACCAAATTTAACGCTCTTGCGCTTAAAAAATTCGTAATAGCCTATACAATCGGTCTGTCGAGAGACAAATGAGAAATTATCGGTTTTTCGTGGCTAATCTGGCAAAAAACGCAAATTTTGCTGTTAAAATTTAAATTTCGCGCCAATGTATCGCTCTATTGGGCGGGGCGCACTTGCGCCCATTGTCAACTCTGGAGACCGTGCGCTACAGTACCTCAGAGAGTGAATTTAGCAAAAAAAGTTGTCAACTACGAAAAAAAAAAATTTTTTTTTCGAAAATATTCAGACTTCTAAGCATTTTCAGAGCGCTACTTCTTACTGATGCCATCATAAAACAACTGGATGCGATTTGGTGGAAAGGAAGTGTTGCATCGAGAGTCGAAACACTAACGTCGTACAAATCCGTGTACTACCTCGGAAACTGCACATCGGAAAACACGATCAGACTGTTGTTAGTGGAACTGAAAGAAGATGTGACCATACCGCCCGTCTGTTTGCCACGTAAGCAAAATGTTCATCAAACCGTTGTGCTACTATTATCGGGGCACCGGACAGAAAGGGCGCCGCGCTGTTCGCAATCTGGCCGAATTTCTAGGCCGCGAAGTAATTTTCCACTGAAAATGTGGCCTAACTTTTCAAACTCGGCCCGAGATCGCTCAATTTGCACTGCAAAAAGGCGTTTCTCATCATTCTGTGCAGTGCCCCTAAATATAATAAAAGAAATAGTGCTCTAGAAAAAAACAGTTCATAACTCGACCAACTACAAAGTTATTCACGAGCACGGCGACCATGAGTGTAGAAAGGGGCGTGGCCTAATCTGAGACGCGTTTTCTGAAAATTGCCGCAATTCCAGCACACTTTTCCGATATTTTTGTGTGTTGATATCGACGAAAGAAGAGACATTAAAGAGAGAAAACATTGAAATTTTCGTGAAAACGCCGCGTTTGAGACGTTTTTGGCATTTTTTTTGGCCGCCGAAATTTCGGAATTTTCATAGCGGCCGATCTGTATAATTTTGAGACGAAGTGAGTGTCGGAAGTTAAGCACACGTTAATACAAGTATTTTAAGCGTTCAAACGGCAAAAAGTATCGGCGAATGACTGAAATTCGCGCATTTTCAGCACAAAACTTGAAAATCGATTGAATTGATTGAATTTCTGAATGAAACCTGCTCGTTTTAAGGTCTCAAAAAATGCGCGATGATTAGTTTATTAAATTTATGCAATTACATCATCGAAACCCGTACAAAATTTGGGTAAATTTTGACGAATAACATGAAAAATGGGCTTAAATTTCGAAACCGTGCACGCTAGGCCCCACGCCCCTTTCTACGTTTTTGGTCGCCGTGACGAGATAATTTGTGTCAACTTTCCCGTAGACCATTTTCCTCATGAGCCTGCTTCTTGAGTTACTACAGGCCACAAAAGATGGGCTCACTTGTTTTCTAAAAGTCTGCGTACGCTCATCTCGCAGTTTTTTTCGACTTTTGTGACACCTCAATTTCAGTGAAAGGTCAGCGATTGTCATTCGGCGAGGAAGTTCGAACGCATCGGTGGTCGAGCAAACACGAGTTGAAGCCCGGAAAAAAGTACATGGCGAGAGAGAAAGTGCTCAACAAACTGAATTCGGAATTCATTTTCACGTCTCAATTGCCAGTGGCCCCGGACCAAATCAATTCGAGCGGAAGCCCGATGGTCAGAATGCGCGATTCCAGATACACGGCGTTTGCCATTTTCCGCTACAGTAGACAATGTTTGTCACACAGAAAAAAGAAGTGTCGGTTGAAACAAGAGTGTTCATTTCAGTCGGTACTTCCAACAACACAGCTCTGCGTGATATGCGTGACGTTTACTTCAAACTCAACTTTTATCTCGATCGGATTCGGCGTCTGACGGGGATTACTGAACCTGCCAGACCTCCTCAACTACCGGGAACCCGGTTGAGCATATTGGAAAATGTGAAGTTGCATGAAGAGTGCGGAGTGGCTCCGAAAGGTTTGAGAAACTAGTTAGAGTTGTTAAAACACTTGAAGAAAAATATCTGAAAATCCAACTTGATTATTCACAGATGAAAGTGATGAACCGAACGCGGCCGGATACCGGGGAGAAGCGCCGTGGGCCGTCGGGCTCGTGTTCGATCTTCCGGACCCGGTCGTTTACAAGGGTGCCACGCTCATCACGCCGAGACACGTGCTCTTTTCGGCGGACGCAGTGTTCGAGACGAACTGGGCGTTCCTGGATCGGCGATTGTGCGGCGACGGACTGCTCGCAGTGGGCGCCGAAAAATTGAGTGTCATCTCGTGGCTCGGTGACGTTAAAAACCGAACGGAAAAGTATTCGCCGGTGAAGACGGTAATGCCGCGTCCAAAGTCTCGGAAACTCTGCAAATCTCGCGGATTTTGCAGTCCAAAATCGGCAGAAATTTGCGGGAATTCCGGGGAGCGCACAGCTGAACGAGTGTTACCGTACACCATAAAACTACGGTATTTTTTTGAAAAAAATTCAAATTTCTCGAGAATATTTGCAATTTTTTTCAAATTTCTTGGGTAAATTTTTCAACGGTATTTTTTTGAAAAAAATTTAAATTTCTCGAGAATATTTGCAATTTTTTTCAAATTTCTTGGGTAAATTTTTCAACGGTATTTTTTTGAAAAAAATTTAAATTTCTCGAGAATATTTGCAATTTTTTTCAAATTTCTTGTGTAAATTTTCAAACGGTATTTTTTTTGAAAAAAATTCAAATTTCTCGAGAATATTTACAATTTTGCAAATGTCTTGTGTAAAAATTTAAACGGTATTTTTTTGAAAAACTTAAATTTCTCGAGAATATTTGCAATTTTTTTCAAATTTCTTGTGTAAAAATTTAAACGGTATTTTTTTGAAAAAAACTTAAATTTCTCGAGAATATTTGCAATTTTTTTCAAATTTCTTGGGTAAATTTTTCAACGGTATTTTTTTGAAAAAAATTTAAATTTCTCGAGAATATTTGCAATTTTTTTCAAATTTCTTGGGTAAATTTTTCAACGGTATTTTTTTGAAAAAAATTTAAATTTCTCGAGAATATTTGCAATTTTTTTCAAATTTCTTGTGTAAATTTTCAAACGGTATTTTTTTTGAAAAAAATTCAAATTTCTCGAGAATATTTACAATTTTGCAAATGTCTTGTGTAAAATTTAAACGGTATTTTTTTGAAAAAAACTTAAATTTCTCGAGAATATTTGCAATTTTTTTCAAATTTCTTGTGTAAAATTTAAACGGTATTTTTTTGAAAAAAACTTAAATTTCTCGAGAATATTTGCAATTTTTTTCAAATTTCTTGGGTAAATTTTCAAAAAAATACCGTAGTTTTATGGTGTACGGTAACACTCGTTCAGCTGTGCGCATCCCGGATTTCCCGCAATTTTCTGCCGACTTTGGACTGCAAAATCCGCGAGATTTGCAGAGTTTCCGAGACTGATGAGAATGAGTGTCGATCACGTTTTTGCTCATTTTACAGATTTATTACTTTGGAAACTGTTCATCGGAGTTGCCGGACGGACTGATAATGGCCGAAATGACGGAGGCCCTCGACATACCGCCCGTCTGTTTGCCACGTAAGCGAAAAAGTTTCCGTGTGTTGATTGAGCTCGTCAAAGGGTTGCAATGTTGAGATTTGACGCAGACTTTGTAGGCGTCAAGTTTCAGACCGATCGGAATTTCACGTCAAGCCCGAAGCGCTTGTCGAGCCCTAGAACACTTCAAATGATCTCTTTTACAGTGCACAAAGAGCAAGTGTTGGTCGGAGAAATTGTGCAAACGCATCGATGGATGCAAGTGGTGCACAAGGGAAAAAAATGGTTGGCGGAGACGAAAACGGTGGCATGCGCGAAGGGGTTTGTTTGTGCGGAGGCGGATAACAGAACGAGACAAGAAATGGATCCGTACGGAAATCCACTGGTCAGGACGGAAGGCGGACGGTGGATGGCTTTTGGAATTCAGAGAAAGAGTACCGATTTGACAGGGTGTCTTTCTTGGATATTGTAATTTCAGAGACGACAACGAACCAGGTGGACACGTTCTACAAACTGACGGACTATGCGGATCGAATTGTGAAAGTGATCGGGGTTTCGGTACTCAAGAAATTTATGACGGCAGCAACGAGTACGGTAGCCACGACTCGAGCAGCCACGACTAGACTAGCCACGATTACGGTACCCACATCCACGACTAATTTACCAACCAGTACGACGATGCCTCCGACAACTGAGTCAACATCATTTCCCTCTTCCCCTTCATCTTCTTCTTCTTCTTCTTCTCCGTCTCAACCAGCACGACCATCCACAACTACAGTAATCCCGCGAAAGTCGATCCTCATTCCGTTGGGTCCGGCGCCGCCGAAACAGAAAAAAAAGGTGGATAAGTGGTGGGAGCACATTCATAAGCAAAATGTCGAATCGGAACGGAAGGGTGCCGGTGCCGCCGGCTCGAGCCTCGCTTTCATTGCATTCTTTGCCTGTTTGGTGTGAAATAAACACATAAAACATTGGTTCTACCCCCATCCGTTGTTGATTATTTTCTGGAAATGAATAGTCGTTTTCAACCCGTCCTTATCCTTACAATCTTCTTGACTTCTGTAATTTTTGCCGAAAAACTTACGAATGAGTTGGATGATAAGTTGCGAAACACGTGTGAAACGCCTAAAATATGCTAGTATTGAAGAGTTTTCCATTTTTGACATCTTTTACTCTGTTTTTGTAGTTGAGCACTCTTTTCTAGGACAGCTCCTTGGGCTACTGTAGCGCTTGGAAGTTGGGGTTAGTTTAGCGTCGGCCAATATCGCAGTCAACTTCCAAGAGCTACAGTAGCCCAGGGAATCATCAGATCAAAACGTTTTTAACTACAAAAATAAAGCTCAAAGCTTGGACTATATTTTTGTAGTTGATTACATTTCTTGAAAACCACTCGCTGGGATACTGTAACGCTTTCGAGAAAATGCAACTCAAATAGGCCTAAACAGCAATTCGCTTCAAAATGGTTCCATTGTGGCTCTAGATAGCAAAAAGGAAAATTTGGACCCACTAGATCGTTCTAACCTTCGAGAAAATGCTTCCACGTTTTCCCCCCTTCAAAACGATTCATGGGGGGCTCTCTCGTGCTGTGAAAACCCCGAAAACTCCATAAAATCGCTGAGAAAGACAGAAAAACAGTGATAAAATCAACGGTTCATCAAAACGACACGAAAAGAGCGGGGAAAATGGGGAAAAAGAGATATTCAAACGGCGATTCCCTTAAGCTGTTGGATGGCGTTCTGCAGAAATTTCTCCTGGAAATCCTTCTGGAAAACCTGCTTCTCGACGCTCTCGTTGATCAGTTTCAGCAACTGATCCCGCTCGAATCTCGCCTTCGTCGCCTCCGTCTCTTTCAGGTAATCGATGCGACGCTTCAGCTCGCTCGCCACCGTTTGCACATTCTTTCTGCAAGAAAAACAGTGAGAAAACCGCCAGAATTCGAAAATTTTGCAATGGGACGCGTTTGCCTACCTGTAGGTGGCCTCCAATTGCAAATGCATCGTCTCCTTGAACGAAAGCGGAAGCGATTCCTTGAGAGCGGCCAGGGATTCCGTTTGGCGGGCCGACGTTTTGCGGAACTCGACAGTTTCCTTCAGATCCTCCTGGATGAGTCCCTTGAAGAATCCGACACGATCCTGATAGTCCTTGTAGAGTCCCGCGTCGATTTTGTCTGGAAAAACAGAAAATTTTCGATTATTTTTTTTCGAAAAAACTGTACATCCGGCAGTTCTGGAGACGAGCCAATAGAAAATAATCCATCCGACGGTCATGTGTCCCTGCTCCTCGAACACCCACAATTCCTTATTGACGAGGAACGCAAAGAGTCCTCCGAAGAAAAGATACGGTCCGGAGGTGCCGGTGACGCTCTGGAAGGCGGTGAACCACGAGTCGGGCATCATCAGAAGACGCGACTTTGGCGGGTACATCGGGCGAGACGGGTACGGATAGTTGGCGAGATCGCGGTCCGGATGCTCTTTGAAATCTTTCGGCACCGCCGGAAGGAGCTCCGGGGCCGACCATTCCTTGTTGCACGCGTCGAACATCGATTTCGGAGCCTCGGTTTCCGTTGGCAGCGGGATGCCTGCAAAAAATAGTAAAACTAACGATTTTTTTGGATTTTTGCCTTTGAATCTGTAAGCGATCTTCTCAAAGTAGCTGACGCTGTGGTCGGACGTCGTGGTTGCCGTCGCGGCTCCGCGGGCAACGACACACACGCGAGAGTAGAGCTGTGAGGAGGCGAGGCGGCTCAACGACATCTAAAAGTCAGAAAACTGTATGAATTCACAATATTCTGGGTATAAATTGCACTAAAAACGAATATTTGCAAGAGAATGAACAGCTTCGACCTTTACAATTAAGAAAAAGAGTAAGCATCGTCAGTTAATCCAACAATGTTGTGAAACCTTATGAAACAACCGGAATTCGACGGAAAATTTACTTTTGCCAATTTATCACCTAAAAATGCAAAATAATCATTGAAAATGGGCTCACTCGATAGATCTTAGCCTGAATATTATGAAATTCACAACAACTTTACACTTTACCCAATAAAAACTTGAAAAATCCGTGGAAATCCAGCGAAAATGAACGAGAATCAAAAGGGCGGCGCGAGGCGTCGGCTCGATTACTGTAATCGTGGCGAGACCCGGCGCTCGGTTTCGGCGAATGTTCCTTTAACTAAACATTGTTTTCACCGAGAAAAACGCAATTCCGCTTGAAGATCAACGAAAAAATCACAGTCAAAAGTCACTTTATTACACGAAATTTAGAGGGTTTTAGGAGCCATTTTGAGGAGAAAAAGATCCGTGTGTTTTGATAGGAAAGCTGTGAACAATAGAAAGAAAACAGTGAGAATTCAAAAAAATGTCTCATTTTTGCGGCGACGCCTGAGCCTTGTTCGTCGTCGTCTGCACATATCGATTCTTGTACTCGTAGTGCCAGCGGTTGAAGTCCGCGTTGAAAACGACGATGGCGCCCGAATCGAGTCCTCCGAGGATGAAACGGTGCGAGGCGACCACCGCCACACTTCTCACCGCGCTGTTCAGGGGCTGCAATATTTGAAAAATTAATAAAAATAACGAACAAATTGAAAAAAGCATGTCCAACCTGATAAGTGTACAATTTGCACAACGGGAACATTCTCCAAATCGAGATGCGTCCGTTCACCGCTCCCGTCACTGCGAACTCGCCGTCCCGAGTGATCACCGCGCATTCGATCCTGCAAAAAACACTTGTGGAAGGGTATCACTTTTTTAAACCGAAAAATTCCAGAAAACAACCGAAATTTCAGAAGGCCAGCTTAAAACCCCCCAAAAAGAACCGTACTTCTCCTCGACGTGTACTTCATTGAGTTTTCTGGCGGTGGCCGAGTAGGTGACGAGTCGTTTCGAGTCGAAGAGCGCCAGCAGGACGCACTCACGGCTCATGCTCAGATGGCTCACCGCGCCCGTTCCTTTGATGCGTCGAAGCAGATCGGACGAAGTCGTGTGGATGAGGATGACGCCGTCCTCGCAGCCGCTGATCACGAGCCCGTGCTCCGCCGACACGCACAGCGCCGAGATCGACGCCTCGTGGCCCGTCAGGATCGAGCGCGGCGAGGGCACTTCGCCCGGCTGGTTGTACTCGCCCGCGATGAAGCCCGTCTGCAAACAAAATGCATTTAAAAAAAACGGTTTTTCTTTGTGATTTCCCATTTCGAAACGAAATAATGTCATCGATCAATTTACTAAATCGTTAAACAACATAAAAAGGCCGTACAGTTCCGTTCCAGTGCCAAAGTACGACCGTACAGTCCATACTGCCCGTCACCACGTAGCAATCACTAAACAGGCTCGTCTCGCTGCGCGCGATGCACGTGACCACGTCTCCGTGACCGTAAACCGCTTGACGCACTCGTCCTGAAAAACAGCTTGAGGCAATTTGTTTTATTCAAAAAACGTCTAACCCGAATCAGTGTCGACAATGCGGAAGCTGTAGTCGGGATATCCGCACGCGAAAATGAACTTGCTGTCGGTGGTCGTCACAAAATTCGAGCATTGTACGGTGAGCCGCTGGTCGAACGCGTCGCCGAGGTGTCGGCGGACGGGCGGTGTGGCCGAGGAAGCGGTCGCCAATTGGGGGTCTGCGGTCAGAGGCAGCGACACTTGACCCTCCGCATTCGACGGATCCATCGACAGGGCACTTCGTTGGCTCGCGCCGTCTGCAAATAGGAGAGAAAATGAGTGAACGATGTTAAATTAACAAATTTAGACTTCAGCAGGGAGCCTTCAGAAATCTCTTCGGCTATTATATCGCATAGCTGTATGGTTAGGTACCGCAACGGGTTTCGCAAAACTCCGAATTTCCACAAAATTCTTGTTGGAATGTGTTCCCCTACTCTATATGAGTACGCTCCCAACTTTTTTCTCGAAAATTTTCGGTACATCCCGAGTTACACCCCTTCAAAGTTGGCCTGTTTTCTCCCCGGTCGGCGGTCGAGGAGGGGGCGGAGCTTCGCCAGCAAGTGCGCCGCGCGCGGTTTTTGTCCTTTTCTGACGGACCAAGCCAAATATGCAACAAAAAAATGAACATACATGATGTTCTTAAAAAGCTAAACAACTTTCGAGGACAAAAGTTTTGAACCCGGCACCTCCAGACTGCCGAGCGATCACTTTGCCACTGCGCCAACCGGGCGGAGGCGCGCCACCGCCATTGGCGTAGAGAAGCTCGCTGTGCGCGGCCCTTTCCAGCTGCGAAATTAGTGCCTTTGCGGGCTGAAATCCATAACATAACTGACTGTAACTTTTTTCGGGTACTAGGTAGAGGAGAAAGTTTAACATGGATCGGTCGGAAATTTGATGCTGAATCCGATTCTGTAAAAATTAGCCGCGTGTAAGGTACCTGTGACCCTCAAATCTCCCGAAAACTACAATTTCGGCCGATTGGGCCCTACTCAAACGAGCACAAATCTGGTCCTAGTGGGTCTAGAGCTCTGAAAATTTATATTTGGGTTCCCATTGACTTTATCTATGGATTCCAAAAATAAAAAAGTATGGTCATCGCTGAAAATTTTCCGCTAACTTTTCTGGCAGTTTGAGGATCTGTAAAAACTTTCGGGTACTAGGGAGCCCGAATCTGACTTCAAAAACGGATTCCCCATCCCTTAAACTGTCGGAAACAGTTAAAAGTAGGCGCGTGTAGCCATAAACTTGGCCACACAGGCTCTCAGACTGACTTCCATGTTCGTTTTCGCGGTTTTTCAAGAGAACGGTACGTTCTCACGTGAAATGGAGTTGTTCATTGGATTCAGCATGGTCGATTACATAAAGTTAAACTTTTTGGGTATGGTAATTCATTTGGGGACCTCGGTACAGACCGTCAAACACGCGCGCGCGAAAATCGGGAGAAAATTCGTCAGGCCACGCCCCCTTTGTTGCGCCCCCTATGTATGGTATACCGGTTTCCGTTTTCCTCCCAAAAAAAAAAAAATTTCCGGGAAACACCGGCTGATAACTCGCTTCAAATGCAAAGTTGTGAGTGGAACAAGATATAACGCATTATCTGTAAGACACGAGCATGGTCACAGTGAGTGTGGACATAGGGCCCGTAGAGAAGGCAGAGCTTAGAAATTTTATGGGCATGTATATGGGGACAAGTGTGACCCATGTGCACAATATTGGGTCCCAGCTCCGGGCTACGGTAGTACGGTAGGTGCTTAAAGGTGGAAAAATGAATTTTTTTGAAAAAAATCGTAGAAAGCTGAAATTTTTTTTGTGACTTGTAGATGTGTAGTGCATACTTTGTGCAAAATGCGAACACTTAAAAAAAATTTTCTCCGAGTTACGATGAAAAAATATCATTTTTTTGTGAATTTTTTGAAAAAATTCAATTTTAAGGGTCTTAGTAGAAGTTTCCCGCGGACATGACATACTAGAAAAAAAGGTGTATTTTTCATCTTAGCTTTCGACAAAAAAGTTCGAGTGATTTGAACTTGCAGCAGATGTCGAAACGTTCAAATTTGTGAGTCCGACTCAATTAATTTGATTAGTAAACTTCTGGATTCCGTATAAAAACTTTATAATAACGACTAGAAATTGGTTAGAATTGATTAAAAAAATGTAATCATTCGTTATTTGAAATAAGAATAACACCTCGAAAGTCGAAATTTAAAGTCGGGAAGCAAAAAAAAAAAGTTCACTTTGTAATGCAACTATTACCTTTCACCACAAAGGTTGCGTCTTTGGAATCATTTAATTTTATTTGTATTCACATTTTCCATGTTCTCTATACCCAGTGCAAGTTTTTTTGGTTGCAAGTCGTTTTTCTTTTTTTATGCTTTCACGAAGGAAACTGTCTTTCATGCCGTCAGGCCATCATTCTCAATTAAAAATGTATTTATTAGTACTCACAACTACAAAGTTGGAGAAATATTTTTCGGTCACCAAGATTGCAGTTGAGCGTTTTTTTGATATCTCTGTCCGTTCACGAGTTATGGTCGTTTCCGAGTGATCACTCCTAAACTGATATTATCGCATTTAAGGAGGGGTCCTAACATTTTGGTCTCAACATAAAATATGTTCAAAAAGATGCTAAATATCAAACGCCGTTGAGTCTATGTTGATCCGATTTTTCTCAAATTTCTTACGTTCTGTTCGGCAAAAGTTTGTTTTCTGACTAACTTTCCCTTTAGTGAAAAGTGGATCCAAAACAACCATGCAACGTAAAAAAAATTGAGAAAAATCGGATCTACACTGACTCAACGGCGTTCAATATTTAGCATCTTTTTGAACATTTTTCATGTTGAGACCAAAATGTTAGGACCCCTCCTTGAATGCGATAATATCAGTTTAGGAGTGATCACTCGGAAACGACCATAACTCGTGAACGGACAGAGATATCAAAAAACGCTCAACTGCAATCTTGGTGACCGAAAATATTTCTCCAACTTTGTAGTTGTGAGTACTAATAAATACATTTTAATTGAGAATGATGGCCTGGACGGCATGAAAGACAGTTTCCTTCGTGAAAGCATAAAAAAGAAAACGACTTGCAACCAAAAAAAAACTTGCACTGGGTATAGAGAACATGGAAAATGTGAATACAAATAAAATTAAATGATTCCAAAGACGCAACCTTTGTGGTGAAAGGTAATAGTTGCATTACAAAGTGAACTTTTTTTTTTTGCTTCCCGACTTTAAATTTCGACTTTCGAGGTGTTATTCTTATTTCAAATAACGAATGATTACATTTTTAATCAATTCTAACCAATTTCTAGTCGTTATTATAAAGTTTTATACGGAATCCAGAAGTTTACTAATCAAATTAATTGAGTCGGACTCACAAATTTGAACGTTTCGACATCTGCTGCAAGTTCAAATCACTCGAACTTTTTTTTTGTCGAAAGCTAAGATGAAAATACACCTTTTTCTAGTATGTCATGTCCGCGGGAAACTTCTACTAAGACCCTTAAAATTGAATTTTTTCAAAAAATTCACAAAAAAATGATATTTTTTCATCGTAACTCGGAGAACAATTTTTTTAAAGTGTTCGAATTTTGCACAAAGTATGCACTACACATCTACAAGTCACAAAAAAAATTTCAGCTTTCTAAAATTTTTTTCAAAAAAATTCATTTTTCCACCTTTAAGCACCTACCGTACTACCGTAGCCCGGAGCTGGGACCCAATATTGTGCACATGGGTCACACTTGTCCCCATATACATGTTCACACAAAGATCTTTCCCTATGTCCCTCATTGCTCGAGTCTTACAGAGAATGCGTTATATAAGATTGTAGATCTCGATCAGTTCTACAAATGTGTTTTTGCGACCGACATTTTGCCGGCCTGCGCCACAATACATGTGCATAAGCCACAACTTTGCATTCGAGGCGAGTTATAAGGCGGCCCGAAATCGGCCTGTTTGCAGAGTGCACTGAACGGTTTATAACAAAGTGAGTACTTCCCATTAAGAACATTTGAATGCTGAACTCACAACTGTAGCTATTGTCCCATTTGTTGAGGGTGAACACAAGATTGGCGGCCACTCCGATGACGGTCGGCTGCGGCAGTTGGTGGAAAGTATTGGCGGCCAGGTAGACGACCGGACTGTTCGAAATGTACTTCATCATCATGCACAGGTCGTCTTCGTGCCGTCTGCATCGTGTTTCATTTGAGAATTTACTTGCTACCAGGGCTCGGCAGAATTCGGCCCATGTTTTTTCCACTTGCAATAATCCGATCAGACTCAAGCTTTGCAGGCTTTGTGGAATTGGATTGAAGTCTATTGAGTCCCAGTTTCAGACTGAGATATACTGGTTTGAGGTCGAAAAAGTCGAGTTTTTGCGAAAGTTTCCGGCATGCGACCTGTATATCTCCGGACCAGATGATCCGGATCGGTCAGAGACGTGGACCCAATATACTTTATGTAATAAAACACGGATGGAATCAATATGAAATCAAAAACATCCCACGCGTGTGATAAGTCAATAAATGGGTCCAGAAAGACTACTCAATATACGTTAATCCAACTCCCCACAACGCCTGTAAAGTTCGGTCCGATCGGATTATTGCAAGCGGTCCAAAAGTCCAGGCCTTCATAACGCCTGGGCGGACTTTTTGCCTAGAAAATTCAAGAAACTTGGGAAGCAGTGGAAAGATTTCAAATCCACAATAGTCCATTGAACGTCTCATACAAAAACAAATCCATTAAAAATCACTGTACCTAAAAATGGCCGGTGCGACGCTCATAATAGAGTGTCTGGGCGGGTGCGCCTCGGCGAGCAACTGCGACGGCGTCTGCCCGAACGAGGAGATTTGCTGTTCGATCGCCGCTTTCTGTCCGGGACTCTCCGCCATTTTCGGGGTGACCGTTCCCTCGTAGGTCAGGTGATAGAATACGTTGGTGGCGCGGACCGCCTCGGCGCCCCGCTGTTTATATCCGAAGATGAGGTCGATCCACTGGTTGAGCTGGCACGAAACTAGATCCGACTCGAGCGCCTGTCGGTGCATGAGCACAAAATGCTCGGGAGACTCGGCCCACGGCGGCAGAACGACGTCATCGACGGGCGTTCCGTCGGCGCGGCGGCCCAGATTGAATTTCGACGAGTTGCGGAACATTTCGGGCAGGTAGAACAGCTCCGGAATCAGCTCTTTCACGTCGTGCGAGTCGCGTTGGCACCGCTCCCAACTGTCCTTGAGCGAGTGCGTGATCCGGTCGGGATGGTCGAATTTGCCGTCGTGCAGGTTGATGAACATCGACGAGAACGGCTCCTACAATTCGGTTTTTTTTTTTTTTTTTTGAATTTGAATTTGAATTTGAACGCGTCTAAAAATCGAATACCACTCTGAGGAGCCAGTTGAGCGTGAATGCGGGCGTCGAATAGTGTGTTCCGTAGTGGAATGCCGGCACTTCGTCGTCGTCCCAACTTGTGTAGCGGTCGTTGAAAAACTTGCGACGCGCCTCGCTCAGCGCTCCGATTGGCTGCAAGAAAAGTGACGTTGCCAACCAACCCGTTTAACGCTCCGCCGTACCTTTGACAAATCCCTAAAATTGCCGGGGATCGCCAAATCCAGTGTATCCGAGGTGTAGTTGGTGAGAATCCACGGGAACACCGGATACTGGCTCAGATCGTTGAACGTCCGTCCGGCGACCGTATTCAGGAACATGAGGTAGTCGAAATTCGAGATTTCCCGTTTCTGCCATTTCGTGCACATGTCCGAGTGCTTGAACAGTTGCCGCGGCGTCATTAACGACGTTTTACGCGATTGTGGCAGTCCGTATTTGACGCCTGCAATCATGTGTTTTTGTCTATAATTGTTTTTCAGCCGCTACACGTACCAACTCCGACTCTCGGCAATTGATAGACGACATTTTTGACGACGAGTTCCGATTCGAATGCGAACATGATGGCGGCTGCAAGAGGATGGTTAAATTTCTAGGAACATTGGAAGCATCGTACTTCTCGACGCCAAAAACAGTTCGAGCGCCGTGTTTTGGAGCAAATATCGGCGGAGGAAAATGGCGCGGATCTCCTGAAGATTCCATCGTGCGTGCAGAGATTCACAGTAGCGCAGCACCTGCAAAAATAGTTGTATTCCATCCAATTTTCGTCCACAATCCATCCATTTCTATTCATTCATCCGTAAAATGCGAATGAATATTATCCGGTTGCTAATAGCTCCATCATAATTACCATTATGATGATGGAGCCCTGCCCGGATCCGATTCGCTCAGGACCCACCCCACGCGGCTAATTATATTGTGCGTTTGCGCGAAAAAGGCGCACGATTATTGTTATGGAGGATGCGAGCGGGCAGAAATGAAATGCGAGGAGATAAACGGTGTGAAATGCGGGTGACATGTGCGTGATATTTGACACTACTTCCACACAAACATTTTAGGGCTTTTTAGACACAAAATCCAAAAATCTCATATTTTTCCTATAGATATCCCTCCAAACGGCCTTTCTTTCCTTCTTGCCCGTACAATATCCTTGGCACATCATTCGATTGCATAACAGCCGTCAAAGTTTGCGTATCACTACCGGACGTAGGAACAGATCGATTTTTGATAAGAAAACGAAAGAGATTGCCACGAGGTTTAGGGATTTTTTGCAACTGCCACTTGCAATGCTTTGATCGGTCTGAAACTTGGCCTGAATCTGCTTCAATCCAAGTCCGCAAAGCCTGCAAAGTGTGGACCCGAGCGGATCATTGCAAGTGGAAGACCCAGACCCTTCTCCATCCATCCACCAATATTTTTTTTTATCTCTCTTTCTCGGTCCCATCAACCAGGTACCTCCCTCTTATCACCTATATCAATTTTGCCCATCATATCCGTCCGTCTCGGGCTGCCAAATGTCCGTGTCATCATCATCATCTCCTTCCTCTTCTTCTTCTCATTTTCGGTGGTCGGCACGGAAAAGAGAAACGGAAAAAGAAAGATAGAGAGAGAGAGAGAGAGAGAGCGCGATTTGTGATAAGAGAGGAAAAAGAGAGAGAAAAATATTGTGGGTCCCCGAGAAGATGATATGATTGACACACTCTCCACCTTGTTATCTCTCCACTAATTTACCAATTTTTAGGGCAACGGCCGGCCGCCCAATTTTAAAGGAAAAACCATCACAATAGAGCAAAAATCGCAATATTCACACCTCAATCTATGGCTCGTCGCCTCACAATTCCACGCGTGTCTTTTCCCTAGGCTCCGCCCCCTTTTCTCTTCCTCTCACCAACATCCCCCCCTCTTTTCTCCTCTTTTTTCATCATCATCACCGAGACGGACACATTGTGTGTGTGTGTGTGTGTGTGTGTCGCTTCTTTTCTTCCGTTTGCGTGTGTTCACTCCATTCAAGGAGTCACTAGAATTATTCAGTACAAGAAAAATTCGCATTTTCGCCGGCAGAAAAGGACATCGAGAAACAACATGCTCGGGCACAATCAAAATGTCGTCTATCAGGTAGGGTGAACGTTTTTTTAATGCATTTTAAGAATGACTAATTTCCAGGTGAACACGTATTTCAACGAAAAAGTGCAGCAGAGAAAGGGGCGTGTCACAAAAAGTGTGTACCGAATCGCCAAAGTCGTACAGGATATTCTCAAGGAGGTCGAGGCGCAGGAGCCCCGATTTATCAATACACTCAGCGAAACTTCGACCGGAAGATACGATGGGGTGAGTCATTTAAAAAGAAAATAACAATTTTTTGAGCCAAGAAATCGAAAAATTGGGGATCCCGACGTTTCGCAACTAAAAAAAAACGCCGCGGTTACTAAAATTGTGATTAATTTTGATGCAAATTCGAACCCCTCATCAGTTTTTCGATAAAGTTGTAGGTACGCTACCTATAGAAGGGCCTGGCGACTATCAAAATCCACCTTTTCCACAGTACAACCGTTTTTTTTTTGAATGCCGAACAAAAAAGTGTTGCAGATAGTGGTGCACTCGCCGTCGGAATACGAGGCGGTGCTCTACCTCAACCAGATGGGCGTCTTCAATTTCGTCGACGACGGCACCATTCAGGGATGCGCCGTGCTCAAACTCAGCGACGGCCGCAAGCGGTCAATGTCGCTGTGGGTCGAGTTCATCACCGCTTCCGGCTACCTTTCCGCCCGCAAAATTCGCCATCGCTTCCAGAATATTGTCGCTCAAGTGCTGCAGACGCCTCAATTTAGGTGAGATTTAAAACATTCGAAGAAAAATCCTCTGAAAAACATTCCAGCGATTACTGTAAACTCGTCCAAGACAACACGGACGTGCGGGTTCGTGTGGACGACAAGTACACCGTCCAAATCACTTGCGCTTTCCGGTGCAACGGAATTTGGCCCCGTTCGGCCAGCCACTGGCCAATTGCCGGACTTCCGTGGCCGAATGCCGGTCTGGCCGCTCAGGTACGTTGAAAAGTTAGGCCACAGGCCTCGAAATAAGCAGAAATTGCGCGGAAACATCCCGAAAATTGTTTCCAGACAAAAGCCGAAGGATTCGATTTGACGAGTCGAGAAACGGCGATCACACAACAAGCGAATCCGAATAAGCAGGCGAATACGATGGAGGCGGATGCGTGGGCGATGAAAATGCACGGAGCCGAAAATATGCTCCTCAGTGAGTGCCGTGCAAACGGCCGGTCAAGGCTTTTTGGAGGCCTGTACTTTTGACCCACTTGCAATGATCCGATCGGGCCCAAACTTTGCAATCTTCTTGGACTTGAATAGAAGTATATTGGATCCAAGTTACAGAGCGATCGGATCATCCGATCCCGAGATATATAGATCAGAAAAGGCCCCAATTTTTGCGAAAACCCGGTCTTTTCGACCGGGACCAGATGATCGAATCGGTCTGAAACTTGGATCCATAATACTTCAATCTGGACCCGATTCGATCATTGTCATTGCGAGCGGGTCAAAAGTCGAAGCCGGAAAATTCAAAAAAAAAATCCAAAAAATCTTGCAGCCGGCGGTCGTCGCAAGACACTGTCGATTCTCAAATGTCTCCGCGATGCTCACATGGATTTTCCTGGCACTCCGGTCACCAATTACATTCTCAAAACGTTGGTTTTGTACGAGTGCGAAAAGCATTGCAGCGAGTACGAGTGGGAAGACACCAATATCGGCGATCGACTTGTCGGTCAGTTTTTGAAAAACATTTTCGAATCGCTTGGAATTCTGCCGGAAAATATTATAGTAGAAGGCTTCTAAAAAAACGGTCCTTTCCACCCATTCTTCTTCTAAAAATTCTCCAAAATTCCTCCAATTGTTGCAATGCATTACTAATGCATTCGCGTCCACTCGGACCCCGTTTCGGTCCCGAGAAAGCGAAAATTCCTCAGGGGCACACAACGAAAAACACATTGCCAATCAACGTTTTTCTCGGCGGCAGTGGGAAAAGAAAACGAGAAAAATCTATTCCTAATTCTAGAGAAACGCCGAGAGAAAAAGTGTCACTTTGAATTAGGCATCAATTCGTATGATGACCATCGCCGATGCGTTTTGAACCGTTTTTCTCGCATTTCAAATGGGGGGCGAAATTGAGGGAAGTTGCAAGAAAAAGAAAGGGATGACTGTAATTTGAAGGAACATTTCCAAGAAGATCCCAAAAAACCCCCCAATTTGCAGGAGTCCTTCTCCAACTGGTCAGTTGTCTTCAATGCCGTCGCTGTGCTCACTATTTCCTGCCGTCGCTGGACCTTCTCCGCTCGAAACCCGTCCATTCGGTCGAACATTCGTCCAAGTTGGCGTGGAATCTCGTCAGAAAGCTCATGATCGACCCGAACGCTCTGCAGACTTTATAGGCCTCTTTTCCCCGCTGTTTTCTCCTTCCCCACAAAAAGAGCTTTTTCTCTCTCTCTCACTTTTTCCACACATTTACAGGTCATAAGTTAATAAATTATTTCAAAACATTAATAATCATCAATCGATTACCTGAGCACACTGCTTCTTATAAAGCGGATCCGACTCGTTGGCGTCGAAGAACAGGTCCGTGGCGGTGATCGAGAGGGTTCCGGGCACGACGACGCCCGGAGCGATCAGTTTGGCCGATGTGGAGAAGCACGCGTTCTCTACAATTACTTTCAATCAATTAGATGCTATAATTGCTGCTTTTTTGCTGTTTTCAACTACAGTGTGTGTGGGCAACGATATAATCTCCGGAGGACAATTTTTGACGATCCCCTACCCACTCACTTTCCGAAAATCTGTTTAAGACAGCCCAAGACCGTTTTTTTTTTCATTTTGCATGCTCTTACTCCGTTCCACATCATTTTTATACGATTTCGACTGAAGGACTTATTCACTAAACGAGCAACAACATAAAATATGATTGTTCTGACAAAACTAGTAGAGATATCGAAAATCTGTGGATTTGGCATACAAAATAACTCTGGAAAGGCTTCGTTTTTTCGACCGCAAAATAAGTTTGTGGCTCTTTAAAACTGACGATTCTCGCAAGTCATAACGGATCGAAAATCTGTTGAAACAACTGATTTTGACATCGTCCGGCGATCTGAAACCTACTGTGAGCCCGATCGGATAATTGTTAGTGATCTAAAGGTTCAGGCCTCGGAAAGCCTTCAAAAATCCTGGGCCGGCCATCCTCGGGGGTCTGTGAGCTGGTCACTGTTGAGTACTGGACGTGAGGTCTACGAAATAAAGTATCCGATAGTAGAGACGTGTCACGTTATTTCTTGAAAACTTCCGAGATAAAGTGCTCTAAAGTGCCCCTCTTCGTGCCCACTTCCCCGGCCATGTCACTACAATTCATCTTCTCTTCTTTTCCTTTTCCTCATTCCCATCAAAATGTCCTCATAGATCATCGTCGTCGTCGTGACAAATGGGCACACCAAAACGAGCAATTATGCATTCGAAAGCTCTTCTCTCCAGGTGAATTTCGGCCTCTTTTTCCATCGAGGGAAATTTTTTGTGAAAAAGGGAACCCTCCGAGTTTATGTGTCCGTCTCAATTGCCTCCTATTGCCGCATACACTGCCCGAGTCCCAATTCTCAGTAATGTCTGACAGCGCGCAGTTAACATTGTGGCCTATAAAACTCCTAGGCCATGGGATCTTTTTGGCGTCCGGCACAATCCTTAGAAATTAACAGATTGCCAAAGTGCAACGGAAGAGTTTTCACACCCGATTTTTTGAGACAACACTAGAAACTTGAAGGGTACCCTAGTCATTCAATTTTTTGTGAAAAAAATTCGCAAAAGCCTTTGATCTCCTCTCCAAAAAATTGTTTTTGACAAAGGCGAACTCCGATCGGTCATCAGCGGAAGAAAAAAAAAGAGATTTGGAGACACGGGAGAATGTGCCGAGTGATGAATTACCAAAACAACTGACAGAGAGAGAGAGAGAGAGAGTGACTTTACGCGCCGAATGTTTGTGCACTGCTCAGAAAATACCAATTTTTCGGGACCAAAAATTGAAAAGAGGCGACCTTTCAGAACTGAAATTTGGTTAAACGACATGCTTTCGGGTCAGTAATTACGTGGCATTTTGGTAGCAAACTTGGCCGATTTTCCACCTCCGAAATCCGATAATTCTCATTTTCGGGCCATCTGTCGCTCGTGTCTCATTTGATCATCGTTTCACGCGAAAATCAGAAACATCGACTCATTTTTCGCCGACTGATCGGCTAATAATGGGACTCCGGAGACGATGGAAAATGCGAAAAAAAGACACTGATCGACAGGAAGCGTTTCGATGGCTTTTTGAGGCCTGGACTTTTTACCCACTTGCAATGATCCGATCGGATCAAAACTTTGCAGACTTTTTGGAATTGGATTACAGCGCAATGGGTCCGAGAAAACCTGCAAAGTTTGGTTCCTGTCGGATCATGGCAAGTGGGTCAAAAGTCCAGGCATGGGCCGGCCTTTTAACGACGACAGTTGGCTGTAAGGAATTTGGCTGTAAGGAATTCCTCTTTCGTCAGGGAAGATAAAAATCTCTCATTTTAAAGTGGGCTATTAAAAAAGTGGACACGAACATGGGTTCATGAAGAAATTACGGAGCGTTTTATGAGTTTCGCGCAAATTTACGATCTTTTCACGACGAAATAAACAGACTGTATCTTTTTTCGCAATTTTACAATGTTTCCCAGTGAAAAAGGGACCGAAATATCTAAAATTACGAAAAAAGCGAAGTTAAGGGAGACCTGTCACTAAAAAATGAGTGTGTGAGATATTGATACCATATCACTTTTAGGGCCACACGATCAGAGATGAGCGGAATAGATTTTTTGAAAAGGCGGATGGCGGTAAATCGCCAAAAAACTAACGACTGCTCGGCGTCGGATCCACCTCCTGCGCCCACTTGTCGATGTCCGTCTCGTCCACCAATTCCTGACTTCCCGTCGCGTTTTGCCGTTGCGCGAAGAGACTGAAAATTGGGGGGAAAATGTAATTGAAAACTGTAAAGTGCGTGTAAGTCCGGAACAAATGAAGAAATCAAGTGGAAACATCTCCAATAAGAGCTGCGAAAGTCACCGCCTCTCGCGTGATCACCAAAACACACTAGAAATTATGACAAATAGTGTGTTTTGCAGCCAATTAGATCAAATAGTACTCAAAATTCAGATGAACAACGTCTTCGTGTGTCTTGGAATTACACGACACAACAAAAAACGCTTCACTTTCACTCAAAATTCTCGGGACAAATTCCAAAAAAAAAGACGTACCCCTTTAGCACTTTTCGAATCCGCTCCAAATCCGACACCTCCGGCTCCTCCGTCTTCTCGCCGTCCGGCAGATTCGCCTCCTCGTGCCGACTTCCGTTGACATTCGGCACAAATCGTTTCCGGCGACGACTGTCGTCCTCCCAGACGTCCAGCTTCCAGAATTGCGTGCTGCTGAACATTTCAAAATGAAAATAGTTCAACGTAAATCAACGATAATCCCACTTTTTCTCGTCGTTCGGATCGCTCAAAATCGCCGACATCTTCTCGAGAAGACGTGCGGCGTTGAGCGAATCGCGCAGGCGTCCGGAGGCGATCAGAAGGTCGCATCGACCGTATTCTTCGTGACGAGCGGCCAGCTGCTCACGGGATTCGCTCTGAAAAGAAGAAAATTTACGTTTCGCAAAGAACATTTTACACATTTACGTTTTCGCAACCAGACACTTCGTAACTCGTACGAAGAACATTTACGTTTTCGCAACCAGACACTTCGTAACTCGTACGTTTCGCAACCAACATAATTCTTGCTACGTAACAGTTGCAAAGCGTCAGAAAGCGAAGCGTTAGAGTTTCGAAGCATCGAGTTGCGAATCCACCGGATTCCCCGAAACGCACCTCAAACTGCGCGTGCTTGCTGACGTCCTCTGCTCTCAGCCGATTCAGAATGAAGTCGGCCTCGTTGGCGACGCGCAGAATGTGATCCCTCGTCGCGTGGGCCATCAGCCGGCCCTCGTTGACCAGTTCGATGAACGCGAGACCCGCGTGCTTTTGAAGTGAAGTCTGCCATTCTTGCGAGCACAACAGCATGACCAACTCGATGACGGACGCGTTGCGGTCGCGTAGCGTCGCCAAAACTTTATTGTCGTTCATAATCTCTTGTCCGTGCGTTCCCAACAGTGTTTTTTGCAAATATCCACGGAAGTCGGACATCATTTCACGGAGCAACGGAGCACACGTTTCCAGAGCGGTTGTGAGCCTCGTCGTCAGGTAGGCTCTTCTTTCGGCCGTTTGTTGGACTGGCATCAGTGTGGACGGCCGGCGACCGGCCGTTTGAGCGATTTTCGCCAGTTCTTCTTCGTCGTACTCATTCCCGTCGCCCCGCTTCATCTCGGCAGCCGCCACCGTGATCGCCGCGATTCCCTTGGATCCGTCGTCTCCCTGTCCGCCTTCTTCTCCCTCATTTTCCTCGTCGATTTCTCCGTTCTCAGTCATTTCTTTCCCATTCTCAACGTCGACTTCATCGCCATTCGTCGTTTTTCCGTTCGACGTATTTTGCGGCGAGCCGTCCGTCGTTGACGAGTCTCCGTCGGAATGTTCGACGCGGTTGGTGTTTGAATTAAAGAAGGGCGAGGGAGAGACGGGCGGTTCAAGAATGTCTCGATATCGTGAAACCATGAGCACCGAGACGAGGTAGATGACGGAAAGAGCGAGGAATTGCGCCTGTCGGTTCTCTTCGACCATATCGCGATAAACGACGCCCTTGATGCGGGTGATGTCCGAGTCCTGGACGAGCCGTTCCACATCTTCCAGGCCTTCCGGCGAGCGCTTCTCGAGCGCCTCTCTGACGAATTCCATGATGCACTTGTTCTTTTTGTGCGACGTCGTCTCGTACTTGGGCGTGTCGGGGCGCTGAATGCGCGACGCGAGTATGTGCCGCACGGTGACCGTCGCCGCGATTCGAAGGGATTGCCGGAGCACACCGCCCGTCGGCATGTTCTTCTCCTGCTCCAGTTCAGCGAACGAGACGCCCGAGGCGAGCACGAACGTGTCGACGAGACGGGCGAATCGCATCAGAAAACCGGCGGCCACCGAAATCGGCAGCTGTTGTTGGCACGGATCCACTATTTCCATGTCGTTCTGAGCGAGAAAATGTAGAGCAATTCGGGGGAAAAAAAAAATAAAAACTCACATTGGGTGACGTGGCACTGGCCAAAAGCGGTAAAAGTCCACCGCAAGCCATAATTAGACTGTCGGCCAGCTGAGAAACCACGTGGACCACATTTCCGACGAACACTTGACTCTCCGAAGCGTTACACTGCTCAGAGATTCCTCCTTCGGCCCTGCAATCACATTTTACCCTCAATTTTGAAAAAACTAGCGACACTTTTTCACATACAAAAATTACACAAAGCAATGAAAAATTGCCAAATATACATTTTCTTTACAACATTTCACATAGCAAACGTGCCCTTTCCACTCCTCCACAACTCGTTCGACGCCCGACAGCAAATCGGCCAAAAGTCGAACGTGCACGTCGGACCAGACGAATTCCGGAGCACGATAAATCGGCGTCGGCTCCATTTTCGCTCTGAAACCATCGAAATTGTGAAACATGGTCGATTAGTACGAAACGCACTCCTCGCCGGCGGCGTCGTTTTTGTCGGCGCGCGCCTTCGCCTCCGCCAATTTCCGTTTGAACTTCTCGTAGCTGACTTTCGAGTGCGCGATCGCCAACGTGTCCACCCAGACCCGCCATCCGCCGTACTCGTGGCGAAGCGCGTGATGGAGGAGGATCGAGAAGGCCTCCCACGCGAGTTCCGACACTTCCAGCTGCGATTCCGACGCGGGGAACACGTAGGCGAGGCCGATCAGCCAGTCTTGCCACACCGACAGTTGCAGGATCGTTCTGCAATTTTGATTATTAGCAAATGTTGATGTTTTGCATTTGATTTTCTATTGCGCAGGTTGAAATAGAACTTTCGAACTTTCTAGAGTGATTGCACACTGCAAATGCTCTTGCGAATTTTGAAAACAACAAACCTCCTATTTTCCTTGCTCTCTCTGCACAAATTGATGATATCGATGAGGAAGCACTTTTTGATGTGCACCAGCGATTCCGTCTCCTCGCATTGGCCGATCACGTGCGCGATCACTTTCAACAGGTGCGGGTTTTCGAATCTGCAAATACGCTTATTTTTTTTTGGAATTAAAAAACACGCTACGAAGAACTGTAGAAAACGCAGGTGACTCTATTGAGACGGAAGGTTCAGAGGACGCAAAACTGTTGGCGATGATCCAACTATGATCCAACAATCTGGACATTTCCGACTTTACCGCCGCGCTGAATATCATGGACCCGAATTCGCATATAATAGGCCTATCGCAGGCCTATTTACCCTACAAAGTGCTCGTGATCTGTCTATGATGCGTCTATGTATTGAAGAACCCGCCCTGTGAAACTAAAAGTTGAAGAAATGCAAAAGAAAATTAGACGACAAAAAAAAACGCACTTCCAGTCGGGACTGGCCGGATTGTGTGCCACGTAGGCGAAATCGGTCGTCATTTTCTCGCAGAGCACCTCCAGAAGCACGTTGTACGTGGCCAGCGAGATCATTCTCTTGTGCGACAAGAGTCGTTCGCCGATCAACGAAAATAGGTTCTGGTTGCCCATCGACTCGGTTTTTCGTCTGCAAAGCAGTTTATCGATTTTCCAGAGCTTTCTCAAAAAATTGCTCACTTCAACGTGGACCTCGCCAAAAAGAAGCCGAGTATTTTGAGTGCCGGAATGCGAATCAGTTCGTTCGGAGCGGCCAAAAGGTTGAAGATGATGCCGAGCGCCTTGTTCTTGTCGATTGCCGGGATCATTATCGCCGGATGCTCGGCGAGCAACCGGGTCACCAGAGTCAGCACGTCGTACAGGTTGTCGTCCTGCAAATAAACATTGGTTTTTAATGTTCAAAGAGGCCTGTCACAAGAAAATTAGTCGGATAGAGCGTAAAAAGTAGTTACACACAGGTCCATTACACCATTATTCTATAAAATCACTTTTAGGGCCAGTTTTGAGGCCAACTTCTGTGACCCGCATCTCAAAAACCGTTTGTCCTTTTGGAATGTGGTCAACTGAAGAGTTGTTGTAAATCATCTGCTCAACAACTTTCCAGTTGACCACTTTCTTCCGAAACGTCTTATTTTCGAGTTATGAGCATCTTTTTGAATAAAGTACGTTGAGGCCTCAAATCTTGAGAAAAATCATGTACACAGGACGCACTTTGTAACTTTTAACTTTTTAATTGTACGCTCTTTATTCAAAACATTTCGGAAAATTCCAAACAAACCTCTCTGACGGTGGCGAGCAGATTCAAAAGTGTGTGCACTTCCTGATCGCGCGACCGATCGTCCTCTTCCGGCGACGAAGTCACAATGATTCGGTTGATGAACGTCAGAATTGCGCTTCTGGAAATGTTTCCACATGTCTTGTGCACCAATCTTTCTTTCTCTCCCCGTTTTCTCCTTCTCTCTGCGTCTCAGCGCGCACACACTCTAACTTGACGACACTTTCTCTTCTCTCCGTATTTGCCATGTCATCACGAACTCCCTCCTCTTTCGTCTTGTTCTTCTAAGCTTCTGATTATTCTTTTTCTATTTATTCGTTCGCCGCGGATTTGCCTCCGTCTTCTGCTTGAATAGGCAAAGTCAAATAGCTCTTTTCTTCTCACTGTCCCGAGTAATCTCTCGACTTTCCCGGGTAAATTCCCTCGGACCTGACCTAACTTTTCCCCCGGATTCTTACCGAATAGCGACAATATCAGCTGTTGCAAAGTGTTCGGGTCGTTCTTCGACCGTATAATTGGAGACGGTCTGCGGAAGGGCCAACCAGTAAAAGTGCTTCAGAGTGTGACACATTTCGATGACGGTCGGCACGCGGCGGAGCATTTGCGAAAAGTTATTGTTGGCGAGGAAGTCGGAGGCCAGATACTGGTAGAGATGGACCTGGACGTCCGGACGCGCACGGATCCACAGTTTCGGATTGAAGAGGATGTAATCGAAGAGATGCTTGAGCAGGGGACCGCCGGCCGGACACCTCAGCAGGAACTTTGCAATGTGGATCAGCTGCTCGAGCACTGCAACAAAAACATTTATTTAAAAACAATATTTAAAAAAAACAACCTTTCATGGATAAATGGGAGGGAGACGCCTTCTGGAGACACGAGGAAATGATGAGAAAGCCTTTCGAGTGGAAGAGTTGCTGTTGGGAGCTCTGCGAACTCGAGAGAAGTAAAGAGATGAGCGAGAGCAGGGTTTGGCTGAAAAAATGCAATTTTCAGGTCGGGGCTTTTGACCAAACTGAGCAGACTTCTTGGACTTGGATTAAAGTATATTGGGTCCAAGTTTCAGTCCAATCGGATCATTTACTCGCGAGATAGTGCTTGAGGGCCGATTCTGGCCCTTTATCCACGTATCTCGGGATCAGGTGATCCGATCGGTCTTAAACTCGGACCCAATACACTTCAATCCAAGAAGAAACCAGAAAAATCGCGCGGTAGAACAGACAGACGGGTCTCGCAGCGATTCGACACAATAAATGGAGTAAAATGAATGCGCCGTTAGTAAAAAGTTCAGGCCAAGAGCGAAAATCTGGAATTAAAGAAAAAAAAAGAGAGAAAGCATGCAAACTTCAGAAGAATTGTTTAACATTAAAACAATGCCTACCAAACGTCTCCGTCAATCGAATTGTCATGAGAAGAGGGCAAATCGAGTTGAGCGAAAAGTGGAAGGAGAATTTGAATTCCGCCCACAGACTGTAGCGATTTGTGGATCGAATGCGTCGTGATCACTTCGACGCCCTGCAAAAATAGAGACAATTGAAGGCGCTATTTTCAAAATTATCGATGTTTTAACATGGATCGACACGGGCGGAATGGAGAATAATCATCATCAACTACAAAGTTGATCAACCTAACATTTTTTTTAGCTGTACAGGCTGTTCAGAAAAAGTGTGTCGTATCACAAAAACGAGCAGACTTGCGAAGAAGTTGTCAACTGAAAAACTGTCCAGATAGTCTTTAGCAATGTTTCTTTAGTTGACAAGTTCTCGCCATTCTCATTGATTCTGGAGATACATCACGTTTTTACAGTAGGTAGTACCTCTTTCATGACGGCGTGCGGAATTTGCACAAAGTACGTGGAGGCGACCGCCGTTTTGGGCGGCGTATAAAGACAGAGCTGTCCGTGACAATTCTTCGGACAATAGGCGAACATTAGCGACGAGTGGAGGTGTCCGTCGAATAAATGCTGAAAGGTTAGGAGATTCCAAAAACTCTGAAAAACGCCTACTTTTTTGTATCCTTCTGGCAGGCTCGTCTCCGAGTCGTGTTTGAACGTCGACTGATAGGCAGGTCCGAGACAGAACAGCGAGTTGGCCTGTTGGAGGGAAAGCGCCTCGGCGAACAGGTACATGGCGCCCATTTGACCGCAAAACGCGCTGTTCACCGTTCCGTCGGCCGACACTCCGATCGAGCAGCGGTCCCAGTTCGTCGCCGACGTTACCACCCTGAATGAGACAAGTAGACGGCGGAATGGAGGAGCTGGCCGAGCCGTTTCTAGTTCCCCGGATAAAATTCCCATTTTTTTTCACGTACCACGATAATTCGATGGTCTCGGCGAGTTGTCCGTCGATGAAGCACTTGATATCGGATCGTCCCCAGCGAGAATAACAGTGTGCGATGGCAATGTGATGCCATTTTCGGGCGCCCAACTCTGCGCGCACACATCTCGACTGCTCCTTTCCCTTTGCTTTTTCCACGTTCACAACTAGACAGTTGCCGGTGAAATGGCACGAGTAGCCGATTCCTTTTGATGTGCGGAAGCTGCAAAATAAGAACTATTAGAAGCAGTGGTTGCGTGTGGCCGTGGCCCAGAAAACTCCTAGGCCATAGGATCTTTCCTTAGAAATTGTCAAAGTGTGCAAGGGTGTCGGGGAAGAGTTTTCACACCAGAGTTTCCTAGGCCACAACTCTAACTGCGCGCTGTTCCGTTTTTAGGCATTTTTACGAAATGTGGCAATAAGATGCACTTCAGACAGACACAGAGGAGTATACGATGTCAAAACTACCGATGGATTTACATGGATCGACGTGGAACGGAGAAAAAATTGAAAAAAAAAACCAAGTGCTTCTAACCTGTACAAAACGGGCTGCTCCTTCTCGAAAGTGACACTGTTGAGGGGTTCCATGCGGAGCCACGTGGCAAATGTCCATCCTTGCTGGTAGGGCATCGTTTTGATCGGCGGAAGGATTATTCCCTGCAAAACATTTTTTGGGTTATGAAACGTTATACACACAAAAAAAAAATAAATCTAAAAACATTTACCGATTGATCTTTTCCGGGAAACGAAAAGAAAACGTCGGCACTGTCGTGTTGGGGCATCTCTTTGAGCACGTGCAGCAATTTCAGCGAGTTGGGCGGCTGCAATTCGAATTTTTTGTTAATCTTCAGATTTGTTTTCAAATTACCCATTGCTCATTCGTGGATTTGAGTGCTCGGAGCAAGTGTTTCGTCTGTTTCACATTTATCGAATAAGCGACCAGAGCGGCGATTATTTGCACGAGAAGATCTGCCAAAAGGGGCGGAGCTTCTGGAAGCAGCTCGAGCACTCTGAAAAACACTTTTTTGTTTGGGAAATCGGTTAGAATTTGAGAAGTAGAAGAAACTCACTTGGAAATCAGTCCGACGCGGGTGCACGCCTCCAAATTCCGGTTGCTTTTTCGGATGACCGCCAGAAAAAGGCTCCAGATTTCGTTCTGAACATTAACATTAAAAAAGCAATGGGCAAAATTCCGGCCCAGGTTCTTTGACCCACTCGTGATAATCTGATCGGGCCCAAACTTTGCAGGCCTCTTGGACTTGGATTGAAGTACATTGGGTTCAAGTTTCAGAGCGATCGGATTGTCCGGTCTCGAGATATGCGGGTTTTTGCGAGAATTGCGGCCTTTCCGGCCTCTGATCCACATATCTCGGGTCCAGATGATCCGATCGGTCTGAAACTTGGACCCAGGTCCAAGAAGCCTCGGTCCGATCGGACTAAAAAGGCTTCAAATAGCGTGGCTTTGGAAAAATTCAAATAAGAATCACCTGCAGATCATAGTCACAATGGGAGAGCAGAGTGAGCATGTGGTCCACATTCGCCGCGTCCTCAATCACAAACTTCGATTCCTGATCGAATTGTCCGCCGACCAGCTGTAAAACATTTACATTTTCAACCCAATTTCTCCTCGAAAAAGAAAACTGACCAAATTGAACAAATTATCGACAATTTGAGTGCGATCGGCGGCGGCGGAGCCCGAATGCAAAGCGGCCACAAGTCTTTGGATCGTCTCGTCGGCGCCCTCCTCATTCGAGTGAATCAATGTCGTTTTTGAGAGAAGACGTGGCAGAGATGACGTCACGTCGTCCTGCAAATTATGTCTTTTTCAAATTCAACTGAAAATTGAGTTTATAATAGCGGGATTATCGTTCAAAACAGCCAATTTTTTTTTTTGCAAAATTGTGGTTCTAGCAAGTGAGTAACCCGGAAAATGATAAAAACAAAGCATTTCTGGCCATTGTATATCTGTTTTTTTAAAAGAAAATCTGGGTGAAGATGGTAGGTCAAATAGAGAGAACGCTGTCAAATTATGTGCAAGCCATGCGCTTTTTCAGAATTCTTTTCGATTTTTGAACAAAATGCAGAGAACTTGTCAACTAAAGAATTGGCACTTTGTTTGACCTACTCAATTATTATATCGTAGCACAAATTTTCAATCACAAATGCAAAGTCAGTACTTGTTCATGCGATGTTTAAAAAAAGTCGTGCATTCACGAACACCGAACGGAATCGAAATGTTGAACGATTTGGAGAAGGAGGCCAGGCTGCCGCGCCTCGAAATGTTTCCGATGCCGGTGGCCGAGTAACTGTCGCGGCGGGACTGATTTCCGGGCGTCGGCGGTTGAGTCAGGTCGTATTCGATGAAAAATTGAGCCGGAGTCAGCTCTTCTGGCTGCAGAATAATGCGGTGCAAACGGGGAAATAATGGTGGGGAGATAATGTACTTTTTTGAAAACTTTGACGCTAAAATATCAATTTGTTGCATTGAAATGAAATATTTCTTAAGCCCGGTACGGAATTCCGGAGAAATGTGGAAATTCGAACGGAAACTCATTTTTTTGAAGTGTTTTTCTTGCTCACCTTATAAGGGAACATTTTTTGGAGCTGAAGTTAGGTTAAATTAGAAAACTGACCTCCAACTCTAATTCTTTTCCTTCTGGAAGCGGCGGAAGCGATTCGATGGTGACGGGCGGCGAAACGTCTTGCGTGGGCGTCGAATTGACCGTCGGAGGGACCGAAATCTCGTCTGAATCCGACGGTTCTAGCCTATTCGGCACGTCGTCAACATTTTTGAAGACGTTCGACGACTGGGAAGCTTCTGTTGTTGATCTGGAATTTTTAGAGTATTTTTCCAATGAACTTTTCAAATTTCTCAAAAAAAAGCTTACGAATCATCTAATCCCAAATCCACAGTTTCCATATTCAATTCCTCGTCGTTATCCACCTCTTCTTCTGTCGAATTTTCCCGAATTTCGACACTTTCTACAACGAGAAATGAATTTCAGCGTGAAAAAATCGAGAAAAATCATTTTTCCAACCATTTTTCGTGTCGGGCGGTCCGGCGGTGTTGTGCGGTGTTTCGTCACCTTCCATTTCACCAGTTTTCTGAAAAATCTCGGTTTTTGACGATTTTTATAGCAAACACGGAGAGAAAAACTGAAAATTTTAGCGAATAGTGTGATTTTACGTGGACGTGTTTGCGGACTTGCGCGTGCGCGAAAATTGGTGAAGCGGAATTGAACGGGGAAAAGTCGAGAAGAATGATGGGGAAATTCTATAAAATTCTTTAAAAGTCTTCAAAACGTTTGGAGTACGATTTGAAGCAATAGCTCACAAAACTCACACGCCAAAAAATTGCGTATAAGCGCATAAAGCTGAAACAAAAATGTCTATAGTGCTCCAAACGAGCTCAAACTCGATTTTCGGGCAATGTTAACGATAAAAACTCTCCTCCTACCACGTCGATAACTATATATGGTTATGAAGATGAACGAGCGGCCCAACGGGCACGTCAGAACGCCACGACGAGGCGCAGACGGGGCGAAAACGAGAGGGAGGCCGAGTGGCGGGGGACGCAGAGAAGCCGGAAGGACGGAAATCAAGGTGAATGGGGGCAGAAAAGAGGGAGAGAGCTCCGCGAAAAAGGCAATATTTGAATAGCGAGCTTCTTTTGTCCGCACAGCTCACCGATTTCTTGACGTGTTAGTGGTGAATAGGCACGGGATTCAATTGAAAATCTCTCTTTCGTGTTATTTTGAACCTAAAAGGCTGAAACCTCTGAAAAATCGGTAACTGTCGGTGAAACTTGAGGAAAATGAGTTATGATAGCTTCGGAACAGTTCTGTGCACTTTTGCGTCGTGGTGTTTGCACACAAGTGCGAGTTTTGGGGATCTTGTGCAAAAATGACGTTTCCAAAGCGCCTACGCAAAAAAAAACAGGTGAAAAAGCGAAAAGAAGTGTGTTTGCACGTCAGGAAGTGTACTAGTCATAGAAGAACCGCGGAAAATGACTTCCTTAGTACGCTAGTACACTTTTAGCGCACTATTTTGGCGCAAAACAAAAGGAAAAACTTTTGGTCCAAAACATTCTGCTAAAGAAACGAGCGGACGTCACCAACACCAATTAATTTCGTTTCAAGGCAATTCGCCGCCGAAATGGAGTAAAAAACGTTCGCTTCGAAGGACGAAAAGGGAAAATTACGGGAGAGAAGAGGCAAGTACTGTTTTGACTGCTTCACAGGGACGAGAAAGGATACGGAGCGAAAAGTTTCTCAGAAATTTGGACATTCATATAAAGGACAGTTGGATCACGTCTCTCGTGCTCTCACAAATGCCAATCAATTTACAGAATGCCACTTGTTTGTACGTTCTGGAAAGATTTTTAGTCTGGCAGCCGACAGGGGTATTCCAGACGGCCTTACAATATCTGTTACGAGCACTACACCAGAGATGAGCGGAATTGGAATTTTGAAATCCGGAAGACGGTAGAAAATTGTTTTTACGGAACACGGAAAACGGAAGACGGAAGAAAATTTTTCTCACGGAAGACGGTAGACGGAAGACGGAAGACGGAACAAAAAAATCGTCAATGCAGAACCTTTTTCTCCGGATTTTTTTTTGAAAAAAATAACTAAACAACAAAAATTTTGGATCTGGGTCACTGCCCGTGGAAATTCGCGTTCTTCGGGGCTAGTAAACGGCTTCTGAAAAGCTATTACTTTTTTACGGTAAGAAGAAAAAATCCCGGAAGACGGAAGACGGAAGACGGAACAAAAAAATTCACGGAAGACGGAACAAAAAAATTCACGGAAGACGGAAGACGGAACAAAAAAAACCACGGAAGACGGAAGACGGAAGACGGAAGACGGCAGAAAACTTTTTTTTTCCGGAAGACGGCAGACGGAAGGCGGAACAAAAAAACCACGGAAGACGGAAGACGGAAGACGGAATTCCGCTCAACACTGCACTACACCCATAAAGCAGGGCCCTGGAATTCAGTCATTAGTGAGTGACTCTAGTGCTTGTAACAGGTTTTGTAGTGGCTCCAATTGAGTGGGAGCTGATTTCAGACAATTGAAACAACCTCAGAACTTGGTACAGTCGCGGTAAAGTCAGAAATGTCTAGATTGCGGTGTCTGGACATTGGTGACTGTAGTTTTTCGATTTCTGCGGATCCCATCGCTTCCGCACACTCTCCTAGCTCTATTTCAACAGTTTTCTATCAATTGGGCCCTTCCTTGACCTGCCAGACTGCCATTTTTTCCGCCATTCTCAGTTCATTCTTCAAAAGTCCAAAAATCCTCTTGCGTAACCCGAATAGTTGCATAATATCTCTCTCTCTCTCCATCTTCTTGTCGCTTCTCTCCGTCACCTTGCCAATCACAACCCAAATGACACCCTCAAACGGGTTCTTTTCCATTTTCCCCCCTTTTCGGACAAATGGCGTAAGAACCGGTCGGTTCTGTTCATTACGCATAGGCAGAAGAAGGCCACTCCTCAATTTACATTTCCAGAATCGGATAATATCGAAGAAGCCTTCTTTCTCACACTGTACATCTTTGTTCTTACCGTTCGCCAAAAAAGGAAACAGCAATGAAGTGGTAAGTGGGTTACTGTACCCTTGGGTACGCAGTTTGTCGTAAGGTCGTAAGGTCAAGTGTACTTTAAAGATACGTGACTTGTCGTAGCTATTGATGTCTTACTCACGTCACAAGTATACTGTAAGTGTGCAATTTGTCGTCAGATCAAGTGCCCAACTATTATCGTTCATTTTCAGTATATTTCTGCTGCTTCTGGTCCTTGTCTGCTCGCTAACACCCTCAAATGCCCAAAAATCGGGACCGCCCGGTCCGATGTCCTCGCATTTCGTCGATTGGCTCATTGCTCACGGGTCAGTGCGGAAAGTTCGTTTCAAAATGCATTGTTGCAGTGTTTGCAGGTACGAACAAGACGCGTTCGACCGTCCGGACGTCGGGCCTAACGGTTCTTTCGGCGGTAGGCGTCGCTCGTCGGATCGCGTCGAAAAGGAGCCGGTCGTGTTCATTCACGGCTCCGGCGACGCGGCTCTCTACACGCAACAGCCGTTGGCGACCGGATTCAGCCGCAGCATTCAGTACTTTTTGGAGCAAAATTACACGGAGGCCGAGTTGTACGCGACGACTTGGGGCGACACTTGGGGCAGTGGCAGCATGCTCGACACCTACTCGACCATGCACACTTGCGGCAACCTCATCTACCTCAGGAGGTATTAATTAATGTTTTTGAGTTGTTTTCAAGTAAAATCGCCCATTTTTACAGATTCCTAGAGTCGGTGATCGCGTACACGGGCGCCACAAAAGTGGACATAATCGCGCACTCGGTTGGCGTTCCGTTGATGCGAAAAGTGGTAAAAGGCGGCACTCTGATCGGAACCGACGGAAATTGCACGCTCGGAGCCCCGTTGGGCGCCAAAGTCGACACTTTTCTGGGCATCGCCGGACCGAACTACGGACTGTGCGTCTGCCAACTGGCGCAGACCGTTCCCGCGTGGTGCAATGCTCTCGACGGTCTCTATCCGGGATACACTTGTCAGGATCAGGTGAGAAATCTGTGAGCATACATCACGGCGCGGCTTTTGCGACGTTCACCAAACGTTTGATCCTCAGTCTGTGCATTTTTGCACGCCGGTGTTGCTCTGCGTACAGTGCATTTTATGTTACGCGCAAAGTTCATTTTTTTTAGTTGTTAATGAATTTTCTCCAAATATTCATCTTCTTAAAGCGTTTTTCCCCACTTTCTACCTCAATTAGACCTTTTTACAGATTCCAGGTGAAGTAATACGCAAAGAGAAGTCGATGCGATGAAGAGAAACGCGTAAGTAAGTGAAAGTAAGGTTTTATTCAGAAAATGCACGATTTCTCGAAAAACGTGGCTAGATTTTCTATCTTTTGGTTAAAAAACTTTACTTACATTTCTAAGAATGTTTTGGAACAAAAAAAAAGTACAGTGACAGCTCGCTTTCGCAGAAAAACTGATAGTTTGCCGGAAGACAGTGAAATTTCGTTGAAAAAACATTTTTTTTGCTTCTACGAACTGTCGCTCTACTTTTTTTGGTTCGAAAACATTCACAGTCATGTAAGTGAACTATTTAAACAAAAAAGTTAGAAAATCTAGAGACGGTTTTTGAGAAAAAAATTTTTTTCAACGAAATGTCACTGTTTTCCGGCAAAAGACCAATTTTTACGCGAAAGCGAGCTGTCACTTTTCTTTTTTTTTTTGATTCGAAGACATTCACAGTCATGTTAGTGAACTTTTTAAATCAAAAGATTAGAAGATCTAAAGACGTTTTTCGAGAAATTGTGTATTTTCTGAATAAAACATTACTTCCATTTACTTATGCGTTTCTTTTCATCGCATCGACTTTTCTTCGCGTATTACTTTATCTGGAATCTGTAAAAAAGTCTAATTGAGGTAGAAAGTGGAGAAAAACGCTTTAAAAAGATGAATATTTGGAGAAAATTCATCAACAACTAAAAAAAATAAACTTTGCGCGTAACATAAAATGCACTGTACGCAGAGCCACACCGACGCGCAAAAATGTATACCATTTGGCTGCGTATGTTGCGAAAGCCGCGCCGTGATATAGGAACGGTTTCATAAGGCCGTCTCCGGCCGAGCTTTTCAAAGGCGTTTCAATTTCAGCTGCTTTGCGGGTACACATCGGGAAGTTGCAAGCAGGAGAACTACTCGAATCTTCTCCAAAAGACCAATGACGATCCGACGAAAGAGGGCGATCACGTGTACGCAATGTGGAGCGACGTCGACGAAGTGCTCCTGAATCGAGGAATGGTTTGGGGAAAGCCGACGGCCAGAATTCCAGGTAAACTTATTCAGACTAGCCACGGCGACCAAAAACGTAGAAACGGGCGTGGCCTAATCTGAGACGCGTTTTCTGAAAATTGCCGCAATTCCAGCACACTTTTCCGATATTTTTGTGTTTAATATCGACGAAAGAAGAGCACATTAAAGAGAGAAAACATTGAAAAAAAAACAGTGCCTTGAGAATCTGGAGAAATCTGAAAATGCGCGTATCCAACAACTCTTTTTTTTTTGTGTTTTCAGGAATGAACGGAAGATGGATTAGCGATCGAAATGGCCACGTGGCAATGAAGGATTTGACGGAATTGCGGCAATTCGAAGCCGTCGTTCATCATTCGATTTGAAAATGGGAGCACAACTTACTTTGTTACTTTTTATAATTTATTGCTTTTTGTTGATATTAATTATTCCTTTTCTTTCTTTCAACTTTTGGGTCAGTCTCTTTGCAATAATGAATTTGATTCTTCTGTGAAATTACGCCCCCCTATGACCGTCCTGGAGCACATGGCGCGTTTGCGCCTGGTTAGCTCAGCCGGTAGAGCACCACACTCCGGGTTTTTTTTTTGCCGCGGGTTCGTGCCCCGCATTAGGCTCACGTCTTTTGCAGAATTTATTTCGGCTTGCACAACATTTCTTTTCTGTAGAAATGTTTTCCGTTTCAAAGACCAGCGATTTGTGATCAGTTGCGTGAAATTCGATGAGAATTTCGTTATCTTTTCACACAAAGTACTATTGGAAACTACGTGTGTGTCTTAGTCACCAATTGGTACAGGTTTCTTCAACAAAAAATCGGTGATTTTGCAAATGAGGAAGTTCAAACGTGACAAAACACACTGCACAAGCATGTCCCAACTCTCAGCGCACAGTTAAAGTTGTGGCGGTGGCCTAGAAACCTCCTAGGCCATCGGATCTTTCCGCATAAATTAACAGTCTGTCAACGTGTGCAAGAGTGTCATATAATCAGCGGGGAAGAGTTTTCACACCCGACTTTTCTCGGCCACAACTTTAACGGCGCCACTGAGAGTTGGGACTCTCTGAAAAAACCCCGCCCACGTCTGCCTCATGAAGAATGCGTGTTCTTGTCTTCTTCTCCCTTTCTCTCCGATTAGCCGCCCGAAATAAAATCCAAATCGTAATCATCACATTCCCATTTCTTTCTCTCTCTCTCTCTCTCTCTCTTCCTCATTTTCCCACCTATGCTTCATATTCTTTCGAAAATCGACAACTATTATTCAAATACTATCCGTCCACTATTACTATTTTCCGTATTTTTGTGGGCGGTGAGTACTGTAGCCGCCGCCACTGCCGCCGCCGATAATTCAAAGTCGGCGCAATCGCCGAATCTGAAATTGCTGGAGTGCTTCGAGTTCAAAAAGAATTACTGGATCGTCGGACACGCGTTTCACACCTCTTCTGTTCAGGTTCGTATACTTTTGTGCGATTCTCGTGTTTTCTAGAATTCTCTAAAAATTCCATTCCAAAAATCTTGATCAGAACGCGGTGTAAGTGTCCATTTTCTCGCCGCTATCATCAATTCGTCATTCATTTTCGTTGGCGCGCCGAAAATGAGGACGATCAGATGATCCGGAGGGCGGCAGCATTCCTTGAGAACGACTGTCGCCACACTGTTTTCTGATGTCCGAACCCTAGAAAAAGTGTACGAAGACCGCTCGAAGACCGACTATAAATCACTCCGCTCTACTCGTATTTGCGTCTTTTGAAATGAGACATTTTCGCGCTAGAATGTCTGTTCTAAAATTGGATCGGTTCGACGACGACATTACTACGATTTGATAAGAAGAAAATGGAAGGGAAGACGGGCGAGAATTGATGATTTCCTTTTGGAAAAAGTGTGTTGAAATTTGAGAGAACAGTTTGACAAACGTTTGGAAGCGCTTATTCTATCCATATTGAGCTCCCCAATACTCCTTAGATGATTTCAGTTCAAAGATGAATGCCTACGAATGTGTCTCACTTCGTCGATCCGAAAAGCCAAGTGTTTGTCAGCGATGCATGTGCCGAATGACGACGAGTGTGTAATATCGGATCAAAATCAGGTACCTACAATATAAGAGGCGCTCTCCCAGTAAATCGACATTCTACAGACACTTTTACACCCGCATGACTAGCTTCCAAACAAAAATAGAGTTGACTCCGGGGTGTTTCAGCCGAAAATACGTGAAAATCGGGCTACTTTTGCATAGCCTTTTTTTTCCAAATTCTGAAAAATCTGGGTTTAAAAAATCTGGTTTTATGAGACCGTTTTGAGACTTCTGAGCGTTGTTTTCATGCATTTCCAATTTATACAGTCTTTTTGGGACAGTTTGGAAAATTTTTTTTTTAAATTCGAAAAAAAATCGAGGTCAAAAACCTCGACAAAATTGAAAAAATTCATTTTAACCTAAACTGTCCCAAAAAGTGTTTATAAATTGGAAATGCATGAAAACAACGCTCAGAAGTCTCAAAACCCAGATTTTTCAGATTTTGGAAAAAAAGGCTATGCAAAAGTACCCCGATTTTCACGTATTTTGGGCTGAAACACCCCGGAGTCAACTCTATTTTTGTTTGGAAACTAGCCATGCGGGTGTAAAAGTGTCTGTAGAATCCGAATTCAACGTTCTTTTTTGGGGAAAAAGTACAAATATTTTCCAGAAAATCGAGTTTTTTCAAAAAATTATTGAAAACGACCACAAATCAATATTTTTCTCTATGAATGAGGGGTGCTAAATTTTTGGTCTCAACATGAAATATGCTCAAAAAGATGCGAAGAATCGAATGGCGTTGAGCCTGAGTTGATAGGATTTTTTTGAAAAAAGTTACAGTTTAGAGGCACTTAAGGCCAGTGCTCCGACCAGGGCTCGCGGAGCCGGGCCAAATATTATTCTTGGGTGTCAGTGTCATGGGAGAACCTCATGGTTTATCTGAATTTTTGAGTTTCTCATGAACTCTTCTATTATTATCATATAGGTCACAAAACCCGATTTATTCATCGAAAACGACACGCCCGGCTCGTTCACCGTCAACTTTTTCCGCAATATTTGCATCGATCCGCCCGATGCTGAAGGTTAGCAACACTTTTACAGAACTTTCTCTCTCAACTGTAAATCTAGGAGCGAACCGTTTCGAAGCACGTCTTCAAGGCTACAAAGGTGGCGAGGGAATCATCGAATTCGCGCAGCAGGACGGAAAACGCACTCAAGTGATGGTCGTCATTTCGGGGCTCAAAGAGAATGCGGTTCGTTTCAACATTTCAATGAGCTACGGGCCTAAATTTATTTTCTAATTCTTATAGGCAAAAGATATTTAAATACATAGCACGGTCTCCAGAGCTTACAATGGGCGCGCAAGTGCGCCCCGCTCAATAGAGCGATACATTGGCGCGAAATTCAAATTTTAACAGCAAAATTTGTGTTTTTTACCAGATTAGCCACGAAAAACCGATAATTTCTCATTTGTCTCTCGATAAACCGATTATATAGGCTATTACGAATTTTTTAAGCAGAAGAGCGTTAAATTTGGTCAAGTCGCAAATCACATTTATCCGTTTGAACGTTTTTGGCTAAAACTGCGTGAATTTCAGTTGCTTTTCGGTAGTTTTCGCGGTTCGAGCGCTCAAAATGCTTGTATTTACGGGATTTATCATTCTCAAAACCAATTCTGTCTGAAAACGGTCAAGAAAGCGCAAAATGAGAAGTGCGGTTTTTAGGCGGCGATCGGCGTCGAAGGCGAAACAGCAAAGTCCGCGAAAAATGCGCAAAACGTCATTAATTCTGAGAATTAGTGTGTTTTCATGTCGAACAATCATTTTTCATCGCCGTTGACCACAAAAAGGTCTGGTCTGATAGCCTCAGGTCCTTTAAAAATAGCCAAGGCCCCGTTTCCTTGAGCCAAAATGCCAATAAGGTCTCAAAAGTTGGCAAAGATCCTAAAAAGACGCTACCCTTCTAAATGTTCACGTTTTCCAGGAATACGACGTAAACTTCACGACGCAATCGAGCGATAAAAACGGAAAATGTCAAAGATCGCAAAAGTTGGGCGGGAAAACGTTGTTGAGCGTGGAGACGGACCATACCGGAATGGCCGTTCAGCCGTGGACCGAAATCGATTTCGAGTTTTTCGATGAACAAGTTTTGAGCAAGGTTTCGCTTCAATTTCCGCTATAAAACGTGAAAAAGACATGTTTTCAGACGGTGATCGTCGTCGAAAAGTCGACCGACTCAATTGTGGATTGTGGAGCGATTCGTGTGGCTACCGTATCCAATAATCCAATTATACTACAGAAAAAGTTCACTTGTAGAAGACATTTCAATGCAGGTCTCATTGCTCCCCTCATTCTTTCAATTGTTCTGTTATTGTTCTAGAGTTTGAAGAAAAAGTGTTTTATAGGAATTCGATAAAATAAACATGTATATAAATAGGAAACATTTGTGAATGTGAGAGAAATTAGACAATAGCTACAGTATACTCGAGTTTGAGAGTGAAATAGCCGGAGAGATTCTGGAATTCGAACGAGATTTCCGAGTCGGACACGTTCTCCAGTGTGCCCTCCTCGTTCAGCTTATTCGTGATTATGTGCAGGCTCGGGAAGACGAGATCGTGCGGATTCTGCAAAAAAAAAAAAAAGTAATTTTCGGCAAGGGTGGGGCGCGCGAGCGGCAAGCGAACAGCATGGCATCAGCATGGATAGAGCGTGCAACAGGACAAAGTGGGATGGGCGGGGAGCAAGGTTTTTGAGCGGCACGGTACAGCAGGGGTTCAGCGCGTGGCAAGCACGGAATCGGCACAGGCGGCGCAACAGTTTTGTTCGGAAAGCACTCACATTTTCCCGAAAAATGGCGAATTGGACCTCGCCGCTGGCCGTAAAATCCCACAGCAGCTTTTTTCCGGCGGGCACCTGAATTTTGAAAATGAACTTTTCGGCCGGCGAAACGTCTTTGTGGCTCGGCTTCGGACGGTCGGTTCCGTGGATTTTGTAGTGCTGAAAGGGTTTGTAATAGTCCAGCGGCGTGATTTTCTGGCGGATCGAGACGCCCGTCTCGTCGCCCGGCGGCACACTGTTCACGAATTCGCCTGCAACAACAACAACAACAACAATTGAGCAATGTTTCGAAAGTTTATCACGGCGACCAAAAACGTAAAAAGGGGCGTGGGGCCTAGCGCGTGCACGATTTATCACCATTTTGGCGCGAAATTCGAAATTTAACCACATTCACGGTCTCCAGAGCTGACAATATGGGCGTGGCCTCGGCCAAATGACGTTTTCATGAATTGAGCAGGTTTTCTCTGATTTTTGTGGTCAAAGGCGATGAAAAATGATTGTTCGACATGAAAAAACACTAATTCTCAGAATTAATGACGGTTTGGCGCATTTTTCGCGGACTTTGCTTTCTCGCCTTCGCCGCCGATCGCCGCCTAAAAACCGCACTTCTCATTTTGCGCTTTCTTGACCGTTTTCAGACAGAATTTGTTTTGAGAATGATAAATCACGTAAATACAAGCATTTTGAGCGCTCGAACCGCGAAAACTACCGAAAAGCAACTGAAATTCACGCAGTTTTAGCGAAAAACCTTCAAACGGATAAATGTGATTTGCGACTTGACCAAATTTAACGCTCTTGCTCTTAAAAAAATAGCCTATACAATCGGTCTATCGAAAGAAAAATGAGAAATTATCGGTTTTTCGTGGCTAATCTGGCAAAAAACGCAAATTTTGCTGTTAAAATTTGAATTTCGCGCCAATGTATCGCTCTATTAGGCGGGGCGCACTTGCGCGCCCATTGTAAGCTCTGGAGACCGTGCCATTTTTCATGTTTTTCGTCAAAAATTACACAAATTTTGTACGATTTCGACGATGCACTTGCATAACTTTGTTAAACTAATCATCGCGCACTTTTTGAGAGCTTAAAACGAGCAGGTTTCATTCAGAAATTCAATCAATTGAATCGATTTTCAAGTTTTGTGCTGAAAATGCGCGAATTTCAGTCATTCGCCGATACTTTTTGCCGTTTGAACGCTTAAAATACTTGTATTAACGTGTTCTTAATCACTTCCGACACTCACTTCGTCTCAAACCGATCCAGATCGACCGCTATGAAAATTCCGAAATTTCGGCGGAGAGCGTATTTCGAAATATGCCAAAAACGTCTCAAACTGGGCGGCGTTTTCACGAAAATTTGCAATTTTTTCTCTCTTTAATGTCTCTTCTTTCGTCGATATCAAACACAAAAATATCGGAAAAGTGTGCTGGAATTGCGGCAATTTTCAGAAAACGCGTCTCTTTCCACACTTTTGGTCGCCGTGAGTTTGCAGAAAAGCCTACCTCCGTATTCTTTGGGAACCATCCAGGCGGGCAAGTGTTTCGTCGCCAGATCCGTTTGATTTCCGATAATTTCAATGCGTTTCAAGTTCTCTTCGGACAGAAAAACGCGCGCGATTTTCCACAAAACACTGATCAATCGAGGCGGATTTGTCAGGTAAATTCGTTGAACCATTTCGGGGTACCTGCAAATTGTCTACACGGTGGCTTTTGACTATATACACTGTTTCAAGACGTTTTTCGTTGTTCTGCCGAGTTTCAGATCAAGCGGCGAGCAAGTGGATCTTTGTTTATCGAAATCGTCAAGTGAGGATTCATGAAACGACTCGGAGCCGAATTGAGCATAATTAGTTTACATCTGCTCTTACTAGGGAATGGCCCGCACTTACCTTTGGCTTTTTTTAATGGAATCTATATGATTCGAAAGAGAATTTCACGGAGAATCCGAATCTGCTCTCCATTTTTGCTAAAGAGCACTGGCTGGCGAGAAAATCTGCCTGTTTCTGCCACATTTTCTAGCAAGTTCATCTTCGGCGACCTGTATCTCAAGAACCACACGTCTGTTGCAAAAGTGGTCAACTAGTAAGTTAACGAAAATTATCTCGTGAATAACTTTGTAGTTGATCGTCTATTTTTAAAAAAATTAGTTTTCGAGTTATCGTCGCTCTGACCCCAGCACTAACTTTTTTCTTGCCGCTCTAGGAAAACAGTTCATAACTCGAAAACTAATTCTTTTTAAAATAAACGATCAACTACAAAGTTATTCACGAGATAATTTGCGTTAACTTACTAGTTGACCACTTTTGCAACGGACGCGTGGTTCTTGAGATACAGGTCGCCGAAGATGAACTTGCCAGCCAGTGCTCTTTAGCAAAAATGGAGAGCAGATTCGGATTCTCCGTGAAATTCTCTTTCGAATCATCTAGGTCCGATTCCAAAACCAAAAATATTTTGTTGATTCTCAACTCGATCCTACTCTTACTTTTGAAATTACGGCGGTCAGAACGAACGCGTCGAAGCTTTCAAAAAAAAAAAAAATTTTGCAAAGACCCACCAATCTTGCCACAATTCGCTTCTAATCTGCCACAATTTCATGTATCCGGACATTGGATTCACCTGAATTTTTCGATATTTTTCGATAAAAAAAAACAAGGAGGGCTTACATAATCCGTAATGTTGACAGTGTTCAAATCGAAAATCACAATAAATTGGACGGGTCCTTTGTCGGTCGATTGCTTTTTTTCGCGTCTTGACAAAAATGCATTCATGGCTACCGTTGCTTCGTTATTTTATGGATAAATACCTCAAAATGAGCTGCTGGAGCATTTCCGAATATCCAAAGCAATGGAGCAGGTAGTCGCTGGTTTTAAACGTTTTGATAAACTGAAAACTATCGATAAACTATGGATACAATTCCGGGGGGTTTTGGCTTACAATAACAGAAATCGTGTGGAGAATTGCAAAGAACAAAAGGTACCTCTTTGGGTTGTGACCAGGCCCTCTCGACAAAAAGGAACGCGTTATGATCGTCGGACCACTGCCGATCCTGCAGTCGCGACGAGGCGATGAACGGCAGGAACGGCGCGATACTGTCCATTTCGAAAAACTTGTCGGGAAACTCGTCGCCGACGAATCCGGCGGCTTTACGCGACGCCAAATAGATTCCAAAGTTCTTCACAATTTTGTCCATGTCGCCGTGATAGCCGCGGATCCAGCGGCACAGGTTCAGGTCGGTGTCGACGTCTTCCGGGATGCCGTCCGGCAGTTTTTCGCGTAGAAGCGCGCGGATCGACTGGATCAGCGGACGTTCCCGCTCGGATATCGGCTCCGACGAACGAAACTCCGTTTTGGGCGCCATTTTTCGAGGGAGACGGAGACGTTGGTCTGAAATGATTTCAAAATTGGAACGCTTAAAAGATAATAAGTGCAAAGTTGAACAAAGTCTTGAAGATTAAGAGGCCAAGAGCGATTCGAACTTCTGTGGCCCGTATCTCAAAAACCGTGTGTTCTTTTGAAATGTGGTCAACTGAAGAGTTGTTGAAAATCATCTGCTCAACAACTTTTCAGTTGACCACTTTCTTCCGAAACGTCTTATTTTCGAGTTATGAGCGTCTTTTTGAACACAGTACGTTGCGGCCTCAAATCTGGCCCACTTTTTTCAAATAAAAAGTTTGACACGGGAAAAAAGGCATAGAAATCGTGTTTGACGTCAGACTAATGGAAAAATGGGCAAAATGGGATTGGAATGGTCAGTTTTAACGGTCGAATTCGGATGCGAAAAACTGGTTTTAGGCCGCCGGTATACATTAGGTTACCACAATTTCTTTAGAAAAAAAAACTACAGTAACCCGGGTTAAACTATTGTGTGGTCAAAAGTCGAATAAATGTGAGAGAAAGAGAGGAATATGTCCTCCTTCTTCTTCTTCTTCTTGCCCAATTATCGAAATCGACCATCTTTCGGGATGGCCGGAATCCGGGTCATTGAGAATTAGAAGCCGAATTGCAAACACTCGAAAATTAGAGTGCGTGGGCGGGACGGGGAACGTTGAAAATGACATTTGAAACAATTTGGACTTTTTTTGGGGGGATTTCAAAAGGTGCCGCGGCGACCCACACTCACACCATCGCCATGCGCCACACTTGTCACCGCCCGCAGCACCCTTGTGAATTTGTGCTCGAGTGGCGCATCTGGGAAGCGGCGGGTGTGGTCACGGTTTCGATGCCCTCTTTTTGCTTTTTGTTGCCTCCTTCTTTTGCCATGTCTTTTTCGACAAGCTTAGATTTTTTTTTTCTTAGATTTTTGAAGAGACAAAAGTCATCAAGCGGATATTTTTCATAAACACATGAAAAACTTTTCAGTTGATGTTCAACAAAAACGGGACCAAAATCAGAAATCTATATAGTCTTATGGTCAAACTTCGTCTGATAAAACCAGGCAGAAAAAGTGTCGAATGGCAAAGGAGAGAGAGAGAGAGAGATATTGTCGATCCACACGAAGAAACTGGTCATCTTTTTGCCATCATTTTCCATCACGAAATTCCTGTTTTACCGAGAGAGAGTACGGCAAAGGGAGGAGGGGGGCGAGAGAAAGAGAGAAAAGGCATCTCGAAACTTGTTGGCCGATGATAACGGGCAATTGGATGGCATTGATTTGCATATAATATAGCTATTAGTAGTCGGGTAATGTGCAGCCGAAACTAAAATCCGAAATCGCTGAGAGCTAGCCGAAAAGCGGAGGCATTGTTATGGAGACGCGCGAAAATCCGAAGCCATATTAGTAATTGACGTGAAATTTAAGCCGCTTACGAGCGTTAGCTCGAGCCTGAGCCAGGTTCGGAGTCTTTGGGAACACTTTGATGAAATCTGAAGAGAGATTTGAGGAATAGAATGAACGAATAGTCGAGAAAGAGGAAAACGGCGGAGATTGGAACAGATTGAGGAGGCATTCAAGGTCAAGACCCTCCTCCTTTTCAATGAATCTTTTGACGGAACCGATATTATTATCCTATTTGCATTGGATTCAGGCGACAACGGAAGCGACGTTTCAAACGTCTTGCTTTTATTACACATCGGCGGTCAATTAGCTACAAGAAGAAGATAAAGATAACGTAAACGGAGAAGGAGTTAAGGGGGAAGAGAAGGAAATGAGAAAAATTACACGGAAAAACACGGAAAACGGAAGACGGAAGAAAATTTTTCTTACGGAACACGGAAAACGGAAAACGGAAGAAAATTTTTCTTACGGAAGACGGAAAACGGAAGACGGAAGACGGAAGAACATTTTTCTTACGGAAGACGGAAGAAAATTTTTCTTACGGAAGACGGAAAACGGAAAACGGAAGAAAATTTTTCTTATGGAACACGGCAGACGGAAGACGTAAGAAATGTTTTCTTACGGAACACGGAACACGGAAAACGGAAGACGGAAGAAAATTTTTCTTACGGAACACGGAAAACGGAAGACGGAAGAACATTTTTCTTACGGAACACGGAAAACGGAAAACGGAAGACGGAAGAACATTTTTCTTACGGAAGACGGAAGAAAATTTTTCTTACGGAAGACGGAAGAAAACTTTTCTTACGGAAGACGGAACACGGAAAACGGAAGACGGAAGAACATTTTTCTTACGGAAGACGGAAAACGGAAGACGGAAGACGGAAGAACATTTTTCTTACGGAAGACGGAAGAAAACTTTTCTTACGGAACACGGAACACGGAAAACGGAAGACGGAAGAAAATTTTTCTTACGGAACACGGAACACGGAAAACGGAAGACGGAAGAAAATTTTTCTTACGGAACACGGAAAACGGAAAACGGAAGACGGAAGAACATTTTTCTTACGGAACACGGAAAACGGAAGACGGAAGAACATTTTTCTTACGGAAGACGGAAGAACATTTTTCTTACGGAAGACGGAAGAAAATTTTTCTTACGGAAGACGGAAGAAAACTTTTCTTACGGAAGACGGAACACGGAAAACGGAAGACGGAAGAACATTTTTCTTACGGAAGACGGAAAACGGAAGACGGAAGACGGAAGAACATTTTTCTTACGGAAGACGGAAGAAAATTTTTCTTACGGAAGACGGAAGAAAACTTTTCTTACGGAACACGGAACACGGAAAACGGAAGACGGAAGAAAATTTTTCTTACGGAACACGGAACACGGAAAACGGAAGACGGAAGAAAATTTTTCTTACGGAAGACGGAAAACGGAAGACGGAAGAACATTTTTCTTACGGAACACGGAAAACGGAAGACGGAAGAACATTTTTCTTACGGAAGACGGAAGAAAATTTTTCTTACGGAACACAGAAAACGGAAGACGGAACAAAAAATCGTCAATGCAGAGCCTTTTTCTCCGGTTTTTTTTTTTTTGAAAAAAATAACTGAACAACAAAAATTTTGGATCTGGGTCAGTGCCCGTGGAAATTCGCGTTCTTCGGGGCTAGTGAAAAGCTATCACTCTTTTACGGTAAGAAGAAAAAATCCCGGAAGACGGAAGACGGAAGAAAAAATTGCTTACGAAAGAAGGCAGACGGAACAAAAAAAACCACGGAAATTCTCACACTTCAGAGAATTCAAATAAAAAATCTTTATGCAAGTGTCTACAGGCCGCGCTGAAGCTGCTTTCCGACCTTGTAGACGACGTTCCACACATCCTGCTGGCTTCTCACATCTTTCAGGCCATGAATATCCAAGGTGGAGGTGTGCTTGAGTCCGAGCCGATCGGCGGCCACCTTCGGAAGATCTCTTCCACTGTCCGCCGCCTCTCTGAGCTTCTCGCCGACATTCGCCACCACATCCATCACATCGTTCCACACGTCCGCCAGATCTGTTTGACATACACGTTTAAGCCTAGGCTCTCAGGCTCACCATCGGCCACCGGTTCGACAAACTCGGAAAAGTCGCCGAACACGGCGTGGTCCAAGTCGCGAGCCTCCAGCTGATTGGCCAATTTCGACAGCCGGTTGCGTTGCGATCCCAGAACGATTTCGCCATTCTCGATCGCTCGCATCAAATCGCCAAATTTCAGAGGCATCGTGTGGGCCGAGATGGATCCGAGGATGCAGAGAACGGCGACGACGAGTCCGAGAGTGCGCATTTTGGACGGTGCAGTGCAGTAGTTGTGTTGCGGTTTCCAAACTGATGCCGAACGTCCGGCAACTCCTCTATTTATAGCGACTCTTATCGGTTGCCGATTAGATTTCACCGACTGATTACTCCTTATCAGCTACTGATAAGCATATCCACATCAGAGAATTTTTATCTTTTTTAGAAAATTTTTTCATGAAATGTGATCAACTGACGAAATGTAGAGCAAAGTGAATTCTGCTCAAAGAAAAATAATTGTAAATTTAGCGTTTCATACAAAAAAGTTATTCGAGACGGAAGACGGAAGGACATTTTCACGGAACAACTCTAATAACTTTTTTGTATGAAAAGTTAAATTTACAATTATTTTTCTATGTGCAGAGTTCACTTTGCTATACATTTCGTCAGTTGATCACATTCCATGAAAAAATTTTCTAAAAAAGATAAAAATTCTTCCGTTGAGTTATTCCGCTCAACTCTGATCCACATGTCTTATCGGTTGAAACGGAAACTTTGGAAGCGCTTCTTTTGAAACAAAACAAAATCGCGACACGCCAATTTTTAACGTTGACTCTTCGCGTGGCCTCTTTCGAATCTAATCCAAGTGACACAATTGAAGGCACATTCTAATACTGAAAGCCAAAAAAACAAGCAGAGGGATTAAAGAGGCGTGCTTTTGAGAATGCACCTTTCAGTTGATCACTTTTTTCTTCAATTTTTCGTTCGTGCCACGGTCTCCAGAGCTGACAATGGGCGGGCAAGTGCGCCCCGCCCAATAGAGCGATACATTGGCGCGAAATTCAAATTTTAACAGCAAAATTTGTGTTTTTTGCCAGATTAGCCACGAAAAACCGATAATTTCTCATTTGTCTCTCGACAGACCGATTGTATAGGCTATTACGAATTTTTTAAGCGCAAGAGCGTTAAATTTGGTCAAGTCGCAAATCACATTTATCCGTTTGAAGGTTTTTGGCTAAAACTGCGTGAATTTCAGTTGCTTTTCGGTAGTTTTCGCGGTTCGAGCGCTCAAAATGCTTGTATTTACGTGATTTATCATTCTCAAAACCGGCGGCGGCGGCGAAAAATGAGCCAAAACGTCATTAATTCTGAGAATTATGGGGCTATTCAGCGTATGTTTGTTTTCCGTTTTTTTTCCGTTTTTTTTACACCGCTGAATTGAATTTTTTGACGTAAAAAAACGAAAAAAACGGAAAACAATCATTTTCCTCACAGCCTGAATAGCCCCATTAGTGTGTTTTCATGTCGAACAATCATTTTTCATCGCCGTTGACCACAAAAATCAGAGAAAACCTGCTCAATTCATGAAAACGCCATTTGGCCGCCGAGGCCACGCCCATATTGTCAGCTCTGGACACCGTGAATCATCCAATTGAAATGCGGTCATTAGTCGCTTTACTGATGGTTCCCGTGTGCTCGAGCAATTCCGGATCCGGCTTGGTGGATCTTGACGTCCATGCGCGTTCCTTTTTCGATTGCCGTTCAGGTACCGCGTTGACGGCGACGAGGAGGCAGACCCATTGGCAGACCCAATTCCAACGTCAACCGTTTATAGGCGCTCGGAAACCTTTTTCCAACACAAGCAACAAAAAAATCAAATAATTTTCATTTTCATTATTTTTTGCCGCCGAAGACAGTAATCAAGGGGGGAGCTATGGAAAGAGTCTCCGTGAGCTCTTTGTCGAGCCCATCAAGCATGTCTCCGGCCTGATTCGCGGCTCTTGTAATCTCGCGTCCGGCTTTGATGAGCTCATCGAAAATGGGGAAGGCGGTGTGCTCGAGTCCGACCTCGTCGCCGTCCTTGTTCTTGTTGTAGCGGAGGCTCGCCTCGAGTGGCAGACGCGCTTTTTGGAGATTCAGCTCGATTTGACGCAATCTCGCAGCCGTGTCAGCGATCTTCGCAATCGCTGTAAAATTGAAAAAGTCTGTATCCATCATTTTTCATCGTCTCTTACCCATCTCCTTTTTGAAGACGGGAGCGGCGTGGATGATGGCCACAAGAGCGAGGGCGATGAGGACGATTCCGAAGGCACGCATTTGGAATGAGATTTGTCGATTCCAAACTGATTTCGTCTCGCTCAAAATTGCCCATTTATAGGGACCATTATCAGTGAGTGATAAGATAAAATCTAATCAGTCACTGATAAGGGTCCTTATAAAAGGTTGGCGTTGGATTCGGAAGACTTCAGTTTGGAAATCGCCTCTGCACCTCCACCACTCCACTTCCAATGCGTCTCGCCGTTGGACTCTCTCTTCTCTTCCTCCTCGTCGCCGTCAACGCATTCAGCGCTGATTCCGAAATGAACGGTTACCGAGAAAAACGTCGACAAAACCAACAAAAAAGTGTTCATTTTAGTGCCGCGAGATGAGGCGATCAAGTCGGTGATCCAAGGAATGCGCAAGGTTCAAATGGACATCAAGATCCGCCGTCTCCAACTTCAGGATTTGTCCGAGCAACTCAAGAAGGATCCCAACTACAAGCCGGATCCGGAATCGCTCGAGCACACCGGCATTATTGGCGTCATCGTTCAGAGCATCAGTGTGGGAGGAAGAGTGATCGAGGCTGTCGGAGTAATTGGGAATAAGTTGTAGAAAGAGAAGAAATAAAAGTGTTTGATTGTAAATGCGTTGTTATTATTGCGTTCTCAACTGGTCTGAACGCCGTCTACAAGGTGATCCAATTCTATTATAAATTCGCAATAAAAATTACAAAATTCTATTCCCTGCACCAGTCGAACGCATTGCGGAACATTCGAATCCAGGGCGCGAGTGCCACCTCGTGCGGCCCGAATCTCGTCTTCCACGCCACCTCCTCGTCCCCCACAGCCCATTGCCACGTGACAAATGCGCGGTCCGCGTGAGGCATCATTGCGAGATGACGTCCGTCGCGACTGCACACCGCCGCCACGTCACCCGCCGATCCGTTCGGGTTCCAGGGGTACGGTAGTTTCGGGCTATCGTAATCGTCGGACGTCTTGCCGCGATCGTCGCAGAATCGGATGGCGATTTGTGCGTGGGCGGTGAGGCGGCGAACGGTTTCCGAGCGGTTACGGTACGTGAAACGACCTTCGCCGTGCGACGACCACAGCCCGAGGACGGCGTTTTCCATGCCGGCGAGCATGATGCTTGCCGATTTTTCAATCTGGACAAAATTACGGTTACGACACTTGCAAAGAGCTCACCTTAACCGGCCCGAACGAGCTCTCAAAGCGGCCGCACTCATTTTCATCGAGATATACTGTAGGCCCACTTTCTTGCTCGTCCCCAATCCATCCCAATTGGGCCATCAACTGACAACCATTGCAGACTCCGTACGAAAACGTGTTGGGTCTCGAGCGGAAGTTCTCGAATTCACGCGCGACACGCTCGTTGAACAGCACTCCCGCTGCCCAGCCTTTAAGAAAAAAAGTGTCGTACAGTAACCTACAGGAATCCTTCTTTACCTTTAGCAGATCCGAGAACATCGGCATAGGAAAAGCCGCCAACAAATGCGACGCCTCTGCGAAAAAAAACATTTCAAAAGGAAGCCCGAAAATTTCCAGACGTACCTGTACGCTTCGAGTGAATGTCCAGCCAAAATATCGGTCATCGTGACGTCATACGTCTGGAAACCGGCCAAAGTGAACGCGGAGGCCATTTCTCGGTCGCCGTTCGAGCCTTCTTCACGGATAATAGCTACTCGGGGAGCTGGAATTGAAAGGGGCTTTTAAGGCTTGTACTTTCGATGGGGACCAAACTTTGCAGGCTCCGTGGACGTTTCAGACCGATCCGATCATCCGGTCCTGAGATATTTAGATCGGAGACCGAATGGGCAGCAATTTTCGTAAAACCAGTACAGGGTGGTCCACCGTTACCCGTACAAAAGTTTCACGCGGCGCGCGCAGGTACTGACGCAATTCTGGTGTGGCCCTAATTCAAAATTTTGTATATTATCATGTTCTTAACTATTTGGCCGAGTCTCAGACCAAACGGATTTGTTTCAGCCAAATAGCACCGATTAGTCTGCACCCCGTTCCCATTGTACGCTTTTTCACTGAGGGGTGAGCAGACAAACTATCATGAAATGTGATGTGGAAATGAGTCCAATATCCGTGTAAATCACTCTGAAATGCAAACTGAGTCCGTGCCATGATTTCTTGTCCCATCAGCTGAACATGCCAATCTCAACGCGTTTTCATCGATCATGATGACAAAATCAGAAAAGTACGTTATGTAGATGAGACGTCAACAAAGAAACGTTTTCTTCGGTCTCACAAATACTTTGGAGAACAACATTGGGTGTTAGATTAGGATAATACGCCTGCTCACACGGCCAAGATCATTTAGCAGTGGTTCCAGGCCAATTTGGCAGCGTTCATCAAGAAGGAAGAATGGCCCGATTTCTCGCCGCACCATTTTTTGTTGGACTATTCGTTGTTGGGGTCTTACAGGCCAATATAAAGGCTAAACCCCAGACAAGTAGGGGAGTGAGAAAAAAATTCCTTGCCAGGTAGGGGGTCAATTTGTTCACGGACTTCCCGCGTGCCGCGGCAAACGGTTACTTCGGAAGTCTTCGGGCTGTCATTGTTAGGAAAGGAGGTCGGGTGCAACACTATTAGCTTATAAATATTGTTAAACATCTTAGTAAACGTTTTGTTAAGTCTCATGTCTTTCTGACTTCTAGTTTTGGAATTACACACCTTTTATTTTGTACGGGTAACGGTGGACCACCCTGTATATCTCGGGACCGGATTATCGGATCGGTCTGAAACTTGGACCCAATATGCTTCAATCCAAATCCAAGAAGCCTGCAAAGTTTAGGCCCGATCGGATCATTGCAAGTGGGTCAAAAGTTCAGGCGTCAAAAAGCGTTCGAGGTCGAAATTTGCCCAGCCCTGGTGGATTTCAGATAAATTTCTCAACAAAACGTTCGACAAACCTGTCTTGAAATACTCCTGATGATAGATGAATCCAGTATCGTAGAACCAGTCGAAATCGCATTTGTACGCGATCTTCTGGCACGTTTTACGGACCTGAACATTAAAAATGCATTCTGGAACATTTCAGATAGGTTCCGACACTTCCCCAACCTTTTTCGCCTCGTCCAGACACTGTAATTCAGTCTGAAAGTGTCCTAATCGATCGCCGACGGCCTCCCATTCCTCGCGCAATTCCACCAGGCTCTCCGAGTCGACCACCGGCACCGCGTCCACCGAAATTCGAATTTTCGCCTCGCTTCCAAAAGTGGGCATGGCTTCGCCAATGACGTGGCACTCGATATTGTTGACTCCGAACTTTTGGAGCACAGTTTCGGGGTCCAAAACTTCCAGAACAATTCCGCATTCTTCGGCGAACAAGAGATTGAGAAGGGCGGTTTTACGGCGGTTCGGAATATCGATATCGATTGAGCAGTTTCCGGAGAACGCCATTTCGAGTACGGTCACCAAGAGACCGCCGTCCGAAATGTCATGACCGGCGAGTACGGTCCCACCCGCCTCGAGTAGGTCTTGCACAATTTCAAAAGTTCTGGAGAGTTCCGCCCAGTTTTCAATGTCCGGACACTCGTCGCCGATCTGAAAATTTAGCATTTCTTCGCTATTTTTGTGTAAAATTTCGGTGGAAACGCATCACTCTAAATTATCCATTTGAAACGCGATTCATTGAGAAATCGCTTGATCAAACAATACTTTTTCCAGAATATTACCTGTTTGTAAACTTGTGCCAGCGCGCTTCCGCCCAATCTCATCGCTCCTCCGGCTCCTCCGCACTTGATCCACACGATTTTCGAGCCGTTTTTCGCCGTCAACGCCGGATTTACCACTTTTGTCACGTTTGTGCATGGTGCGTAGGCGGACAGGACCAGGGTGCCGGGGCTCTGAAGAAAACATGGCAAAAATCGGTTGGCAAAAATCTGCAGAGCACAAAAAAAGGTCGCGGGTTACGAACCCGCGACCTTTTATCTGAATGTCAGCAACTGCGTTCCCATTTGAGCCAGCCGGCTGAAAGCGTGAAAGGGCCGCCAGGGCGCTGATAAACTAGGGCAGCAGCGGGGGCAGCGCGTCGGACGATTTCGATTCAAAATTGCACAAGGATTTTTGGTGGTTTTTACAATTTTTGCAACATTCTCCCAAAAACTCCCCAAAAAGCGTGTCAAACCTTCACCAGCTCGCCGCGCGCGGTCACCGCCATCGATAGCGAATCTTTTCCGCCGTCAATCGCGCATCCAATCTCGCGTAGGGCTCCGCAGAGTGCTCCGACGGCGGCGACGAGCCGAGCGCCTTCTCCGTCGCATTTCGCCGCCCACATCCAGTTGCCCGACATTTTTACGTCCTGAAATCGTGGTCGGTTGCGCTTTTATGCGTTTTCACATAAAATTGAGATGATGGAAACCTTTTTTTTCGGATCCCTAAACAAAAGATGTTCTTCTGTGATTCCAGATTTTTTTTAAATATACAATTTCAATGTATGGATCCGATAGGATCCGATGGAGGTTTATTTCTCGCGCTCACCCGTAAATCGGTAATTGGTGCCCAAACGAGGTTGGTAATCGTTTCGGCCACGCACATGCGGGCGCCTTTTTCCGGGTCCACGAGCATTTTGATGGGTTGCTCGCCGAGTGATACTGCTCCGCCGACCTGAAATTCAACAAAATTGCTTCCTTTTTTCTAGAACCCAAAATAAACTCGTCAAGAGATGTAAGCCCCGCGACAACCGACTGAGCTAGCCGAACGCCGCCGCGCCCCGCGCGTCAGGGCGGTGATAACACGGGCGGCGCCGCCGTCGTTTTTTCCCCGCTCGTTCGTACTCATTTCGAGCTAAAAGTGGCTCCGCAAGCGGGTTCAGCGATGCATAAAACGTGCCATTCTAAGCCACCCCCCTGGCTCGCCAATTGTTCTCATTTTCGGTTCTTTTGCCCCCCCCCCTTCACAACCTCGCTTTTCCGTACAAATCCAATTTTTTGTGGTGCATGCCTAGTAGTGCCTTTTGAATGCGAGATGGATGCGGAATTTGGGGAATTTAGGACAAAGAGAGCGAAAAAAGGAATTCAATTGGGATTCCGGAGGGAATCGGCGCCCTAATGAACTGCTATTGTCGTCCGCCGCGTCAAGAATGACAATGAGCGAAACGTTTTTGCCTCTTTTTTGAGGGTCCGTACCATATTAACAAATTTGCTCCAAATCCCGACAACTTTTCAAATTTTTGCAACTTTCTCTCTCTTTTTTTTCGTCTTCTTCTCTTTTTTCTCCCCATTTTGTTTCCTTCCGATTCTCGCTTTCCAATCTAATCACGCCGCTCTTTCGTCCCGGCTCCGCCCCTTTCTCTGCTCCAACGACTACTACTATTCTCCACATTTTCTGCTCAAAAAGTTCGCTTTCAAAGTTTGCAGCGCACAGAAATGCGTCTTCTCCTCGTGCTGCTCCTCTATTTTTGCCCAAATTCGTCGGCGGACCTTTGTTCTCACTGCGACTGCGACTTTCTCTCGCACTCGGTCGTCTGCAACCGCCCGTCTTTGCTCGTGCGCACCGTCAGCATGCTCGCGAACATTCGCCAACTTCATCTCTCCGGACTCAGTCTGCCCCAGCCGCCGCACTTTCTTTTCCATCCGAATTTGCGCATTTTGCGGATGAGCAAGTGCGGAATGCTCGAGATTCCCGGCAGTACGCTCCTTCCGCTGCCCGGTTTGGAGGTTTGATTCTTGCCTTTATTTTGAGCCAAAAAAAAAACGTTTCCAGGTCATCGATCTGTCCAACAATCATCTCGAAACGCTGCCGCCCACGCTTTTCCGTTCGCTCAAACTCTTGCGCGTCCTCATTTTGGCCAACAACAAAATTTCGAATTTGGACCAATTGGCGTGGATTTTGGCGCCGGGGATAGTTCTCGAACAACTCGATCTTTCGGGCAATCCGATTGCGATTGCCACGTCGATGACGACGATGCCGGCGGTTCGGCAACTGTTTTTGGCTGATACTCGCATGGAAAGTGTCAACGAAACGGCCATTATGTTCAAGGTAAGCGGATTTTCGAAAAAAAAATCGATTCTGGGGGGACTTTGTTTAAAAATCGGCAAAAATCTCAGGCTCTCCCGGGAAAATGCGAAAAGCAAGTGTGTCGTCACTTGCCGATGCACAATTTGAACACCTCGCTGCTCACAACCGTCGACTTTTCCTCGAATAATGGTCTGGAAATCGATTCCGGCGCTTTGGACGTCTTCTCGAACGCGACTTTTGTCGATTTGAGCCACGCACGCTTGCCGCTCGGATTCGAGGAGTGGCTGGAGAGGAAGAGCCGCGTCAAGAGCTTGAACATCAGTCACAGCCAGGTACAGTTATCCTTTTCTTTTTCGTGCCGAGACCTTTTTTTTTTAATCTTTTTCGCCGTTCAGAGTTTTCGGGTGGTGTAGTGGGTTTTTTCTATCAATCTGAAGATCAGGGTTCAATTCCCACTAAAAGTTTTTCGCTTTTTGTCAAGTTTAATTCAATAGTAGAAACTTTTTTGGTTAAGTTCGAGGATCTAATGAAATGTATTGTAGCTGCCACTTCACGAGGACACCTGGACGGCTTGCGGTCAATTTTTGCACAGTTTGGACATTTCCGCGATCGGAGCGAAGCGTATGCGGCTCGCCAGATTTTGTCCGATCAGGTACGTCGTAGTACTGTATAATTTCTTGAATTTCACCTAAACCTTGCAGAACAGTATTCGCGCGCGACAATCTGCTGTCGACGGTGTACATCGACGCGATCTCGGTGGAATCGCTGCATTTGGAACGGAACATGTTCAGCGACTTTCCGATTCCGCCGCCCGGAGTGGAGCTGACCGAACTGCACACGCTCGCACTTTCGCATAATTTGATGACGTCACTGCCGCCGCACGCACTCCAATCCTACCCCAATTTGCAACATTTCGACGTGTCCAATAATCAACTTAGCGAGGTAAACCCCCCATTGTTTCGTTTCACAATTTTACACCCAAAACCCTTCTAGATCGATCCGCAGGCGTTCCCGTCGATCGGACTGGGCCTAATCTCGCTGGACCTCTCCTCCAATCAGCTGTCCTCTCTGCCGCACCCGATCCTTCCGTCTCTGCTCCTTCTCGACCTCTCCTCCAACACCGTTTCCCATCTGGACCCCCACTTTTTCACGGGTCTGCCGATGCTCCAACAAATGCGAATCGCCTCGAATCCCACACTGTTTTCGAGGTGTCCGAATGCGAATTCGCCGTGTTGGAGCGATCATTTGGACGAGTTGACGAGTCTCGTCGATTTGGACATTTCCAATAGCGGACTCGAGTTCTCGCTTCACTTGAAACATTTGAGAACTTTGAAGGTACGCTACTCAATGCTTTTAGGCCAATTCTAAAAATTTGCAGAGCCTACTGCTACGTGGCAACGAAATCCGTACAATCGACGCGAAATCGCTGCCGGACAACTTACGAACGCTGGATTTGGGCGAGAATCGCATTCAGTTCACTTCGAATTTTTCAAAATTACAACAATTGAGGTATAAATCATGTGACTTGTTGTTCTAGAACACGTATTTTTCAGAGACCTGCGCGTGGATCAAAACCCGCTCCGTTGCGACTGTTCCCTCTACGATATCGTGCCGCACTTGCTCAATCAGACCCAGATTTCCGATCCGCTCCTTTATTACTGCTTTTCCGGTGAGTGAGGAGTCGCTCGGCGTTGTCGACACACATTTTCCACAAACAAAGTGTTTACAGGCTCGTGGCAGTACCCTCTACTCCCGTATTTGGCGTCGGTGAAGCCGTGCACCGACTCGACGCGCAACTTTTATTCCATTCTAATTTCCACGTTTCTCGTCGCGTTCGCCATCGTCGCCGCGCTCATTTTCGGCTTTTTGGCCTATCGGAAGTGGTCCGAGAGGGCCAATTTTGTATATAAACGCATTGCGCTCGTCGATTCTCCTGTCAGGCTTTGAGGGGAAAACATTGTTGAACTTTATGTATACGGGTTCTCATCTCTTGTTTTACCGCCATTTTACACACTCAAAAATAAACGTTTTCGCCTTCTACTGGTTTCGTATCTTTTTCTTGCATAATCAAGGCCGATTTGTCATCGGGCATGTCAGCGCGGCCGGAAAATCCGGATCCCCGAGGGATTTGTGTCCGCAAAAGTCAAAAATGTGACGTGCCACATTTCGACACTTACTAACCATCCTTTTACGAACAAGGGGACCAACTTTGAGAGCGACTTTTTCTCCGCAAAAAAAAAAAGAGTGGTTGTTGACTGTTTACCCCCCGAACAAGTGACACAAATCAAATTTATCCTTTTTGGGGGCTCACACACACACACACACGCACAAAAGAGATTTTTCTGCTCAAACAGACACAAATTGAATTACCAGTGTCACCACCACAATTGTGTTCGCAAAAAAAAAAGATTGGAGGGGGGGGGGGAGGAGACTAATTTCCGGCAGGAACAGAATTGGACCGATGAAAAACAATTGAGACCAGAGGTTTTATAGACTGAGACGTTTCGCAACCAAGACAAGTTGCTACCAATAGACCCAATTTAGGGACGTTTCGCAACCAAGACACTTTGCAACAGTCAGCTGAACTGACAAGAGTCAACTAAATTTCGCAACCAACTCACTTTGATTTGAGAGTCGAAACTTGGACATTTTGCAACTAACTGACTTTGTGACAAAAATCACTTGCAACCGGGGGACACTTTGCAACCAATTCACATCAATTTCCAAAATCAGGCTTGCATACGTAGCGGTACGTTAATGCTCAACAAAAGAAGCAAACTGTAAGGAAACTGAACCGAACCGCACGTAGGTAAGGACACTTTGCAACCGAGAAAATTTCGCAACCAAGACACTTTGCAACCAAGCGAATAATAAGAATAATTGTCCAGGAATCAGCCGCAATCTTAAAAATCTTACAGACGCTTCGACTGAGCCTTTCAGGTTTCTTGACAATTTCCCTTGACTTTGCAATACATGTCATACCAACGATAAGGGACACTTCGCAACCGAGACACGCTGCAACCGCCCAGCACCTACCGTATCGAAATGCGACAAAGCGACGACAGCAACATTGGCCAACGGCGTGTGAAGGGGTCCAACGCACTGTTGCTGGGCCACCAATCCGGTCACCGATCGGTCCACTTTACACGTCAAGTATCTGGAAGAAAATTCTAAGGCTCTATAAGCACTTTTCCTAATAATTTTTCAAAAAAAAAGCGCTCACCTCTTGCTGGCCACCGCCGGCAACTTCAGCACTCTTCCGAGCGCCTCTCGTGCCGTCAGTCCTTCGGGAAATTCCAATTTGCCGAATCCACGTGGCACCGTGCTCAGCCGAAACTCTTTCTTCTCGCGTTCGCCCAATTTTCGCGTGTCGAGGTCGACGGCCACTTGTCCGTCCGTTCCGATCAGTTTGACTCGTTGCGCCGCGGCGACCTCGCCCACCACTGACACGTGGCACTTTTCGCGACGCGCAATTTGCTGGAGCACGCCGAGAAGCGTCGGATCCACGAGCGCCGCGTCGTTTTCCTATTTTAAGCTCAAAATTATTGTAAGCGCACACAAAAAAAACGGGTACCTGATACTCGGCGGTCCATAATTCGCGCAACGAAACACTTTCGTCGCCCAATTGAAATTCGCCACTTCTCACCGTCACTCCACATCCTTCCACCAGCTCTTTTATCACATTTCCTGCAAGAAATTCAAGACGTTTATCTTATAAGATGATTGTTCGACATGAAAACACACTAATTCTCAGAGTTAATGACGTTTTGGCGCAATTTTCGCGAACTTCGCTTTTTCGACTTCGCCGCCGATCGCCGCCTAAAATAGGCACTTCTAATTTTGCGCTTTCTTGACCGTTTTCAGACAGAATTGGTTTTGAGAATGATAAATCACTTGAATACAAGCATTTTGAGCGCTCGAACAGCGAAAATTACCGTAAAGCAACTGAAATTCACGCAGTTTTAGCCAAAAACATTCAAACGGATAAATGTGATTTGCGACTTGACCAAATTCAACGCTTTTGCGCTTAAAAAATTCGTAATAGCCTATACAATCGGTCTATCGAGAGACAAATGAGAAATTATCGGTTTTTCGTGGAAAATCTGGCAAAAAACACAAATTTTGCTGTTAAAATTTGAATTTCGTGCCAATGTATCGCTCTATTGGGCGGGGCGCACTTGCGCCCATTGTCAGCGCTCGAGACCGTGCCCCCACCCCCCAAAAAAAGAGCTCACCGTTTCCGCCGGCTCCCTGATCGTGAATGGCGGTCAGCGGGTTCCCTTCGTTGCGTTCGGCGCACGCCCTCACCACTCTGTGCAATTTTCCGCCCATTTCCGCGTCGCCACGTTGTACCGCCGCGAAATCGAGGCGATTCTCGCGGCTGCCCTGCACGCACACCGAACTGGCGGCGCCTCCGCCGACGCCGATTCGGTACACCGGCCCGCCGATTTTGACGACTTTTTGCGCGGGCGTACACGGCTCCTTACGGACTTCGTCTTCGTCTGAAATTTAGGAAATTTTTCAGAGATTGGATGCACGTAGAAAAGAGCTGATACCAATTGCTCCAATTCCTCCGGAAAACATGATGGGCTTCAGGTATTCACACCGTTCTCCATTTTGCAATCTCTGTCCGAAACTACGAGCAAATCCACATATTACGGGCTCGCCAAACTTGTTACCATATTCCGACGCGCCATTCGACGCTTCTACGGCTATCTGCAACAGGAAAAAAAACGTTAGATCAATGTATCGCTCTTGTCCTTTTTATGTTGCCTATGAAAAACCCTGCGACGCGCAGAAGTGATCACTGTTTTGAACTCACTCTTGCCGGTTCACTTATCGAAGTGGGATACTCGAAACTGTCGTCCTCCCAGGGCAGATTTAGGCCGGGCAAGTTTAGATTTCCGAACGAGTAGCCGACGGTTCCTGCAAAAATACACAACAGAGTAAATGCGCTCTTTTGAAATAGTGAGAACAGAAGAGAGTTCTTCCAGAATTCAAATTTTCAAAGAATTGAGTTTTTCGCGGCTGAAGAACTAGCACTTTCTTTGTACAGTCGCATATTTGCATCCGTACCAGCAATCTCATAGGCGCCCCTTCCGGTCGCGTGAATATCCCGGATTCTTCCGCCGGTACCAGTGGTCGCTCCTTGAAACGGACACACGGCGGTCGGGAAATTGTGCGTTTCGGCCGAGTAGATCAAGTGTGTAGGCAGTGAAATTGGGACCATCGGGGAAACGATCGACGGGTCCCCGGGGCGGAGTCTCCAAACACTGTCGAAGCCACGAATCGCACTGGAATTTTCTTAAAATTTGTATTAAATTGTCAACAATTAAAACCAACCTCGAATTGTCACAAAAAGCGATCAAACTGTTGTCGTTCGAATGGTTAAGAGTGTCGCGGATGGTGCTCATCAGTGATTTATCGACTTTTCGATCGTCAATCCAAATTTGGCCGCGGAAGAACCAGTGGCGCGAGTGTTCCGAGTCCGATTGCGCCAAATCGAACAATTCGACGTCTGTCGGGTTTCTAGAAACATTTTTCTTCAATTATGCAGTTATTGTAATGGTCCATAAGTCTTAAAACTCACTTGTTGACTTTACTCACGAAAAAATCGTAATAAAAGTCGATATCCGACGCATCGAGAGCAAGTCCAAGGGTCTCGTTGGCCTAAAATTGTATTCTTAGAAAAAAGGTGAACAATTTTCATTTTTACCTTGATCAGATTGTCTTTAGACGCCAAAACATCAATTTCGAACACTTTTTCAACGAGATGAGCATCGTCGAATTGCACGTCTGTCGGGTAAATCGATTCTGAAAATATTTGTGTTGTAAAAATGACCTTTAGCGACACGTTTAAACGGAGCGTTTTTCCAAGCCAAATTGTGAAATCTTCATTTTTACACGAACACTCGGTCATATGGACAAACGTGAGGCAAAAGTTTTGAGGAAAAACGGTGCATTATCCCAGAAACTTGAAAAAACAGGTGTCTCTTTGCGAGTGCGCTCGTAAATTGCGGAGTGTCGTTGTAACTTTTGAAAATTTGCAGGTCTAAAAATGCAGTTCAATTCGAGTTTACGACCTTTATTTCTTTCGTTTTGACTTGAAAAACGTCTAGAAAACAATATTTTACTGATTGGAAACCGTTCTTTACAGAATTTAGAGTTTTTCATGTTTTTAGCGTCTTTTTCGCATTTCGTCAAAACTTCAAACCTTTATATTTCAGCTCATTTTGCATTTCATGAGCACAACGAACGATAAAAATGTTCGCATGATCTTTCTTTACAAAATTCAGGTTCCGGCGGTTAGTTTTCTTGAGCAGTTTTCGAAAACTATTCGAAAAACATCAAAATCCAGGCTAAAACCTTCAAATCGAAATAACTCGGCTAATTCTCAACGATATGTGAGATTTCTGTTACCAAAACGTAGCTAGTGCTCTAATTATTCGAATCCAGGTTCCAGGCGTACGAAAAAATAGGTGTATTGTACAGAAAACATGGAAGGAACGCGAACTCCCGTTGAAAATTAATTAATCGGCCGCCGCGTAAATCGACACAGCCCATGTTCTGGTACCGGTTGGTACCAACTGGCGAAAAATGCAGAAATTACCGGTCATTTTATCGGCGGCTACTTCGAAAAACGTCTCGTCGTCCACATTTTCCGACAGAAAAAAGCGTACACTTTTCTCGATTCTCTCCGTATTTTTGATGCCGGCACTCTCGAAAACGCTCAAAATATTGGTGCACTGAGCAGTTTTCACGGCCGTTCTTGGCCCGATTTCAATGATTTTCCCATTTTTTTCGGCGGGCGAAAATTGGGAACTTTTCCAAACGGAAATTTCGAACGGCGAGTGCGAGAGCAGGATTTTCAGTTTTTCCCAGTTGATTTCGATAAAGTCGGGCTGAAAAATGAGTGGTTTTCAACTTTTCACATCAAAAACCGACCTCCGTTCCGATTATATGATAGCAATATTCGGCTGAAATTTCCAGCGCTCTTCCATGTTTTTTCGCGAAATCCGCTCGAATTTGTGCGATTTTCCGTGTTTCCGACGCGCGAGCGTACAATTTCGCGTGGAATTTGGTCATCAAAATATACAGCAAAATACAGCAACTGTTTTCGGTCCAAAGTGTTTCAAAAGTTTCGAAAATGATAAGCGCGCAGCGATTTTATCATGCTGTTTTTGTGGTTGTCGACGACAAAACGGACAAAAACCAGGTCAACGTTGACATTTTTACTGATTTTCTAATATTTTTGAATGATAAGCATTTTACGGTTTTTCTGAGGTCATTGCAATTGCAAAAAAGTTGCTCAACAGATTTTGCTCTGGGAACTCGATTGCAATCTAATTAGAAAAAGCTTCATTTAGCAATCTGATAATGGGGTTAATCAGGATGTGAAAAAATGATTTTTTTCCGTTTTTTTCGTTTTTTTTTACGTCAAAAAATTCATTTCAGCGATGTAAAAAAACGAAAAAAAACGGAAAACAAACATACGCTTAAACAATTTTAGATGTACGGGAGAATTTTCATCAAAAGTGTACAGGAATAAATAATGAGAAAATAAAAAGTACACAATTCACAAGCAATTTTTGTGGGTGAGATTGACATGGAAAAAAGAATGAAACAGGCGGGACACATTGGGAAAATTTAAGCAAGAATAAGTAATTTTTTGAAAAATATTCTGTAACACATTTAGGGGAAAATCTCAAGGGATCACAAGTGGCCCCGCCGCCGCCACAGCGGCCACCATCTGCCTGCGAGTCTCGGCCTGATGTGCTTCTTCCGCGTCGCTCAGCTCCCGATTCGCGTCGAACAAACGGCGGCGCGCTTCTTCGATCACGCCATCATCGCCTTCGCCAAACTCGATGAGCTCCTCCAGCTCGGCCCTCCGCATCCTCCGTTCCCGTTCGGCCCGCTGGACCCGCATCAGCAACTCGGCCATCAAATCCCCGTTCGCCTGCCGTCTCACCGGCTCAACCACCGGCGCCGTCAGCCCTCCGTCGTCTTTCACGTGAAATAGGAAGTAGTCGTCGGCGATTATGAGGTCCGCCACGGATCCATTCGTCGAGTGCGTCAGTTGGAAGCCCGACGCCAATTCGAGCGGCATCGTTTGACAGTTCACCCGGTGGTATTGACAGTTTCTGCAAAATTTCAGTCTAATTATTGTGGAAACAAAAAAATGGGCGCTCACAAGTGGGTGGTGGACTGTCTCCACTGGCTCGGCACAAGTGTGAGTCCCTCTTTGACGGCGTCCTTCGCCTCGTCCTCTCTCAGGTCTATTTGCACTTTCAGCCACATGAACCGCTCGTTCTTCTCGCCGCAATGCCACTTTTTGACGAACGCGTTCAAGTGCGTGGGCGTCAGCACGTTCTCCACTATTATCGCCGTTCGTGTGTCCATTTTAAGCAAATCTTCGCCGCTCAGCCAGAACGCCTTTTCCAGACACACGTGGTCTTTGCTGAGGAGCTGAAAATTGCTAGTTTATTTCTCAAAGCGTCTCGAAACGCACAATATCGTATTTTTCCTGTTGAACGACCATCTCCATTTGCCCGTTCTCGCCAGTTTTGAATATTTTCTCGGCGCCCTCCACGTCGAAATGTATTTCATTCGTCTCGAAAATGCGCAAAATGCGTTCCAGATCCGGTTTGAAGTCGAACAAATCGCCGAATCCGCTTTTCGCAAGCACCAGAAAGTTGATCTTGCGGAAATGTTTGAAAAGTTCGACGACGGCTCTCGGCTCGGCGATCGTCGAAAAATCGATCGTTAAGTGCGTGATTTCTGCTTCGCAACAGTAGAAGATCGACAATAAATGGGCGAAAATGACGGGGATTCCGTGCTCGATGTCGTGGTGATCCGTGTGAATTCCCATGCGTGTACGGTAGCTGCAAACTGAATTTCACTTGAAACAATTTTATTGGGTTTTTATGTGAGAAAGCATGTCGGGAAAATTAGGCCTGGACCCAGGGACCACATGTCCCTTTTGTAGATGCATTTTTGAAAATCTACGAAAACAAATGTACCTTCTGAAGTTATATCGCCCAATTTTGCGAATATTGACCTCCGGATCGGGCGTCACGAAATAAAAAGTCCAAATAAATTTTTTGGCGCCGGCCGTCATCGCCACGTAGGATTGCTGCGAATCGAACGACACTTCGAACGAGTCAACTTTGTACTTGAACGCTCCGATCGCTCTTTTCACGTCCGAATTCGTCAGTGACAATTCCACGCTGCAATACATTTCCAATACATTTTTACAAACACTTTTTATGCTAACTTACATGTCCACCAGGTCTATTTCTCTCAAAATTTTGCCCAGCGACACCATGGTCATCTTTTCGATGGGAAACACGGTTGGATCTTGTTGTTCATCCATTTTTCGCTGTAAAATTTGTGTTTTGAAAAAATTAGCGGTAAAATGCAGTTTTGAAGCGGAAAAATCGAGAAAACAATCTAATTTTCTCTAACTTTCAATTTCCTATCAAAAAATCTATCCACCTGCTTCCCATGACAACAGAATACTATAAAGGCGCGGAGGATATGAGAAAGGCAGAAAAATCCCTATGGCAACGAGCGGGACCGCCGGCTAGCACACTTCGGGCTTTGTCCTCGTTTGTCTCACTTTTCTTCGATTTTCATTAGGTTTTTGCGGTTTCTTTTCACTTCTCACATTTATTTTACAATATTTTGCTTCGATAATGAGCGAAACACCGCAGAAATTGCATGGAGAATCGATGAAAAACAAGCGAAAACAAAATCAAATTTTTACCTAGCGCAACGGCCTAGAAAAATCCGCGGCCACGCGGGTTCGGCCAGCGATTTGTCGGTCTTTTGTACGCCCTGTCCATCTAGAAGCAGTATCACTTTTCACGTTCAAATCCTTGTCAGACGTGCTCAGCAGCTGACAGCACCTCAAGAACACGTTTTCGCGTCTGCGTCTCTTTCTCTAGATAGCACTCTCTCACTTTCACACACTCCCTCGCCCTTTTCGGCCACTTTACGACGAGAAATTGACGGGCAGCACGCGGAAATTTGCAAAGATGTTTAGGAATTATTTCAAATTTTTTAATTTCAGATGGAAGTGGATCCGTTGGATGTGCGACAAGAACGAGAAGAATGGCAAAAGGAGCGGATGCGGGTGCTCGACGAGTGGTGTGAGGTATTCCCCCATTTTTTCTGGACCTGTAATATTTTCCCCCAATTCTCCAGACGATTTCCGTCATTTTAAGCCAGAACTCGAATTTTTAGGATGCTCTTCAAAAAAGTTATGCATTTTTGAAAATGTAGAACGAATAGAACGAGTACGCGTAAAAATTGCAACGAAAAAATAATTTTTACACGTTTTCTGGATTCGACTAATTTCAGATCGAATTAAAAGGCGCGGAGGCTCTAAAAATGGACGTGACACACGAGCCGGGCTCCGCGACAGACGTGAAAGCGCCGGAGACGTCGCTTCAAGACCTTTTTCCGCTTTTGGCGGGTCCCGCCGCGATTTCACCGCCCGCACACTCAAATTCGGAAGAGAACGACGAAAAATCGCTGAAACCGATCGATAATCGGTCGGCGTTCGATCGACTAATCGACATTTGTCTGTGCCGCCCGTCAAAGGCCGAAATGAGCGCGTTGGCCTACACGCACAAGAGCCTCATTCAGAAATTGGCCCAAATTGGGTACGATCAGGCGAACGGCACGCATTGGCTGCTATTGTCCGACTATTACAACAATGTGCAGAGGGCGATGCGCGGCGCCGAGAGCCACGTCACAAATCCGTCCAGATGCGGAGCACATTGGGTCACTGTCGGCTTTCAGGTACGCTTTTTTTTGTAGCGATCGGATAGGTGCCTGAAAAAATCATGGTGCGTCGTGAAAAGATGTCATGTTTTGAAACTTCATAATGGATCGATGCACCAGCAAACGCTTCACTTTTTCGGCATTTTTCTTGAAAGAGTGCGGTGGAGCGCGTTTGCATAGCTTTTCCATAGTCTTTTCGATAGAATTCCAGGTTTGGGAACCAAAAAAGGAAGAAATCAAATTGTTTGCAGGGAGCGACTCCGGAGACGGATTTCCGTGGCTGCGGAGTCCTGGGCCTGCTCCAAATGCACACGTTCACGCAGAGAATCGCTCCGAACGTGTTGAGGGCCATCGTTTTATTGGCCACCACCGAGCCAAATGTGAGTATTTCACAATCGCGCTCTACCGAACACCATTGCCAAAAAGTATGTTTGTTTTTTCTAGGATTTCCCCCTGGCCGTCGTCTCCATAAATATCACGGCTCTCTGTTTGAGCCAGCTCAAAAAAGGCACTTTTGACGGGTAATTTTTGGATTCGAATGAACAAATCCCAAAAATCCTTACAGATACGGTACCGAAACCGAAGGCCTCTACCCGTTTTTTTCGGCTCTTCACGCCGCCGCAATGACTCGTTTCTGCTCGATTTACAAATCGAAAAAGTGCACAATTGCACACACTCAATCCATTTTCACTGGTAAGTATATTCTAGACTAACAATTCAGGGAAAAAATTGCCAGAAATTCCAGAAATCACACAACAACTGGAAAAAGCCCCGCTGACGCTTCTCTTGCTTCTGAATCCCGCCAACGACGAACTCATCAACACTCTCCTGTGATTTTCCCAATAAAAGTTGTTTTTTTTTCAACTTATGCACATCATCGATAGTATTTTTTAAGGAGGCGGGAAGAATTACAATAAATAGCGGGGAATACATAGTTTTGGCTCACATAATTTCAGCAGAGAATTTGGGCATTATGACGACGGATAAAAAGCGGTAAATGGCGCTGAAATTCGGGATGTGTGCTTTTTGAAGGAGTAGGCGTCGCCTAGGCCTCATCCTTGTCCTTAGTTCCGTGCTTGAGCATGCGCGTGAACTCGACGTAATCGAATTGTCCGTTCTGTAATCGAAAAATTGGAATTTTCCTACTCACAACTTTGCGTTTGAGGGCGAATTATCAGTCGGCCCGAAATCGCAAGTATGAGGAGATCCCAAGGTTGGGCAACGCCCTGGCTTTTCGAGGCCTGAACTTTTGAGTCACTTGCAATGATACGATAGGGCTCACATTTAGCAGACTTTTTGGACTTGGATTGAAGTATATTGAGTCCAAGTTTCAGACCGATCGGATCATTTGGTCCCGAGATAAGTAGATCAGCGGCCGAAAAGGCCGGGTTTTTTTTCGGCACCGAATAATCCGGTCGGGCTGAAACTTCAAGTCCAAGAAGATTGCAAAGATCCTGGACCTGATCAGATCATTGCAAGTGGGTCAAAATTCCAGCCCTGGAAAAACCCTAATTTTCCACATTAAGCTGCGCGGTACCTTGATGGGAGCGTCACGGAAAAGCTCGTCGACCTGCTCCTCGGTGTAGCGCTCGCCCATCGAGGTGAGCAGTTCCCTGAGATGCTCCTCGTTGAGTTTGCCCGAATTGTCCTCGTCGAAGCACTGGAACGCGTTTCGGATCACCTCTTCCGGGTCCGTTCCCGTCAGTTTCTCGCCGAACAGCGTCAGGAACATGGTGAAGTTGATCGGCTGCGCGCCCGGCGCCTCGTTGATCATCGAGTCGATGAACTGCTCCGACACTTCTTTGCCGAGCGAGGCGAACATGTCCTTCAGGTCCTCCTGATCGATAAATCCGTCGCGGTTCTGGTCGATCATGTTGAACGCCTCCTGCAAAAAAAAGTAATTCGTTTTAAAACCTTCAAAAACTGCAAACAAACCTTGAACTCTTGAATTTGAGCCTGATCGAACATGGCGAACACGTTCGACGTGGCTCTTTGCGGCCGTTGACGGCGATTCACAGTCTTGCGCGAGGCCATGGCGGATCGACGGTTTACTGCAAAGAGAAATGGATGAGAATAGGGACGGAAACTGTGAAGAAATGAAGAGGAAAAGCAGAAGGTGGGCGTGGTGATAACAAAAAAGCGGTGAGTCATCGAATGTTTTGTTTTTATTACGATTTTTGATTAAAAACTATATTTTTGCCCATTTTTTCGGTGGGAAACAATAGCTACAGTGAGAAGGGAAAATGCGAATAGCGAAGAAACGAAATTCATTTTCCTGACTTTTCCACAGGAAAAATGGCAAAACAGTGCGGAAAAGCGCGTTTTTGCGCGTGTTCTCACATGATTCACCGGCCGAAAATGATGACGACGGCGAATGACGGCAAACATTGGGGTGACTGAGAAAGGAGCGACCGATTATCGATCGATATTTGGTCGGGGGGAACGCGCGGAAAAGAGAGAGAGAGAGGGAGAGAGAGGACTTGTCTTTTGTGTATGTACGGGTGGAACGAACGCACTTTTCCGACAGAAATTGGAGCGATAAACACGGAAAGATCTGGTTGAGATACCCACTTATTTATCGGAAACGGATGGATAATAGTTGAGATTATGGTTGAGGAATTCTGGGGATTTTCAGTGATTTTGAGATTTTTGATGGGCATTTTTGATACGGAATACAGTGTTCGTTTAAAATTATAAAGCACAAAACAATGTTATAAACATTTCGCAACACATCTCCGTTTTAACCGATGACTCACCGTTCTCCACAATTTTTAGCAGAAAAACTATGAAATAGCGATACTTTTATACATTTTTGATTGAAAACTAACTTTAAAAGTTTAATTTTCACCACAAAACTCAAAAAAAATTGACAAGAAACGGTCGGAAATGGACAATTTTGGTGGTTCTTTTGAATTTGACATCGCGCCGTTTTAAAGGCGCATGCCATTTTCCGGCGGCGATATCTCACCACGAAAAGTCTTATTTGAATTTCTCTGTCCGCTTTTTGGAATTTCGAATGCGTTTCGGCTTGCTTTTGTTAGATTTTTGTGAATTTTCTAATAGAATAGTACATTTTATTAGCTTCCTATTGAATGTCCAATCAATTTGTGCTCAAAATGAGCTGGAATACTCGATTTTTGGACTATAAATGATGAAATCCTGATTGTTTGCATTTTTAGCAGGTGTCTGTTGTTTTCTCTTCAAATTCTTGTTTCTCACTGTAGCTTGTTGAATTCTAGAACGTTTCACGTGCAAATTCAACTTGCTTTATAACAGTCTAGCTTCTAACTCCCGAACTTTGCATCATTTTCAGGTAAAATGAACACCGCTTCGACTGTTGTCCGTTCGCTCTCTCGCGTGGCTCTCCGCTCCACCAACATCATCAGAATGACCGCCCCGCGCCACTTCTCGCAATCCACCAAGAGTAATTCCATCCGAAAATTGCAAATTTCTCTAAAATCCCCCAATTTTCAGTGCTTTCGGTGACTCCGGAGCTCCAACAGGCGCTGAGCCGCGAGATAGAGGCTGAGCAGCAGCTGAGCAAGGACAATTTGCAAGGAGACATCGCGCCGACCTTCCCGGGATTCCAAGTGCTCACCAAGGACGCTGAAGTTCGACTTACCAAGAAGAACGGCGCCGAGGAGTGAGTTTCCCCGCAATTTTACTATAATTTTTGTTTTTTCAGCATCTTGGTCGTTTTCAACGTCAACCACTCGGTCGACATGGAGGAGGGATTCGATGATGAACCATCGCAGGCTGTACGTGTGGAAAATTTCAGAATTTTCGCAAACTTGATTTTTCAGGTGGCTCCAGTGCCGGTGGCTCTTCCGCCGTTCACCGTCGAGATCACCAAGGGAGACCAGAGATTGTGCTTCCATTTGGAGCTCGTTCCGGTCGACGATCAGCCGGATGAGTGTAAGTTTTCCTAATTTTCGCTGTAAAAATAGAGACATTTGGCAGACGACTTCCGCGTCGAGGAGTTCTACGTGGCGCCGTCGGCGAAGAACGGAAACGAGGACGTGCCGTCGGAGGTGTACGCGAGCAGCGGAAAATATATCGATCCGGTAAGCAAATCAGGCAAAAACCGGCATTTTCCCCGCGTGCACGAAGAAGCAACTTATTTGGGCCACATACCGAATTTTTTGCGCACTTATTTAAGAATCGATAGCTTATCGAATTTCCAATGTAATTTTTCGTAAAAATCGACGTGGACGCGTAGCTTTCTAGTCCCATAGTCAAAAAAAAACGACGTGCCCCAAGAGAATTCAAATTTCGCGCCGAAAAAAATCGATGTATATTACAGGATCTCCACGACCTTCTCTTCGTGCGCTATTTGGAGGAACGCGGTCTCGACGCGCGATTCTGCAAGACACTCGTCGCCTACGCGACCCACTACGAGCACTCGCAGTACGTCGGTCTGCTTGACAAGATCAAGAAGTTCATCTCCAAATAAATTATCGTTTATCCGTCCTCTGCTGACTTCTGTTGACTACTTTTTTCCGTTATTTTTTAGGAGTTTAGGCCATTTGTTCCGTTTTGTTCTTTTTTAATAAATCGTCAGTTGTTTTTGATATGGAGCGCCCTGACGACGATCAAGCGGATTTTCCCAATGTTCTCGTATTTTTTATCACTTTCTCCTGCATTTTTCTTCCATCATTTCCAGATTTTTCAGTGTGCAAATGGCCGAAGAACAAGTGCAAGAGTTCAAATTAAAAGAGGACTGCGAGCTGCGATTCGCCGCCGGAGACGATGCGGACGTGTGTTTGGAACTGGTGCACGGATACGCCGAGGTGTTCGGCACCGAACTGATTCTCAACAAAAAATACATTTTTCCGGCCAGTGAGTCTTTCTTCTTCAGAAAATTACCCTGTTTTGTGAATTTTTACACGGAAAAAGGGCGTGCCAATTACCCAGCCCTGGTTGAACCCCCCATGAAAAGTCATCTTGGCATCGGAGACCATGAAATTGTATTTGCAGAATCGCGCGTGGCAGTGTTCACGTGGAAAAGTGCGGTGATCGAGCTGGTGGGACCGACGGAAAGTGCGTACGTGGCCGAGCAGACGCCGATGGTCGTGTACCTGAACACGCACGCGGCCATGGAGCAAGTGCGCCAGAACAAGGAGACACAGGCGCACAATAGCGGAACGAAGGCCAAGGGACCGCGCATGCTACTCGGTACTGTATTAGTTTTGAGAAGGAGTACTAGAGGGGGCCAACTAGAACACTGGCAAAGTTTAACATTTCTCTGTCGCCTCCTTCCTCGTTGACTTGAAAACATTGGCCAATTTCAATGTGAAAAATGATTTCAGTGGGTCCAACGGACGTCGGAAAGAGCACAGTGTCGCGGATTCTGTGCAACTACGCGGTCCGTCAGGGACGTACCCCGATCTACGTGGAACTGGACGTCGGACAGAACAATATCTCAGTGCCGGGCACTGTTGGCGCCGTTCTCGTGCAGAAGACGGCCGACGTCGTCGACGGATTCGAACGGAACAATCCGATCGTTTTTAATGTGAGTTTGCCGCATTTGCTCTGATTTTTTGAAGCAAACAAAATTACAGTTCGGCTACACGTCTCCGTCGAAAAATCTGTCGCTCTACGAGGCGTTGTTCAAACAGCTCGCCAGTACAATCAATAATCAGGTGATTTTGAGTTTAAAAAAATTGATTACCAATAAAATGGGAATATTTACAGATTCAGGAACACGACGAGGCCCGAATCAGCGGAATGATCATCAACACGTGCGGATGGGTCGACGGCGAGGGGTTTGTATATAATTTCTACGTTTAAAAACAAGGTTTTTCTTTATTTCAGCTACAAATGTCTGGTAAAAGCCGCGTCAGCGTTCGAGGTCGACGTCGTCGTCGTTTTGGATCACGAACGACTTTACAGCGATCTCAGCAAGGAATTGCCCGAATTTGTGAGAGTACGTACGCGGTTTTCTGGAAAGTTCTGAGCAAAAAGCTTAAAAATTCCTTTAAAACAAGCCATTTCATTTGTTGAGTTAAAAAGAAAACCACCATTTTTTTTGCAGCTAGTCCACCAGCCGAAATCCGGAGGAGTCGAGCAGAGGACGACGCAGATTCGGTCGAAAATGAGAGGAGAAAATGTGCATCGAGTGAGTAGGCCTTAAATGAGATTCTTGTTGATTTTTCCTCGTATTTTCAGTATTTCTACGGAACGCGCGCCAACAACCTGTTCCCGTTCACGTTCGACGTCAATTTTGACGACGTCATTTTGTGCAAAATTGGAGCCGAACAGGTACTTACTTACTTATTTACTAGGGAATGATCTTTAGGTAAGCTGGCGTTATGGGTCGTGACATACATGATTCGATAGCTTATACCAAGGGGATCAAATGTTCTGTTGATTAATTTTGCATTTCCTGAAAATCGATGTCGTCATTTTCTCGAATTCTAGAAGCGTTTTGGCGTAAGCTATCGAATCAGGTATGTCACGACCCATAAGGATCATTGCCTAGACAGAAATAGAGGCGTTTTTTTGCGATCACCGTTCAATTTCGAAGGCGGCGAAAATGGCCTGAAAACGTATTTTCTGCCACCGTTAGACATTTCTCGCTCTAATCGCTTCTCGGCCCCTTACTTAGGTATCCAAAGAGTTGGGACGCGGAAAGGCGGTTTGGACTGGGCACCATTAGACAGAAGTAAAACATGGACCCCATACATCCCCTGGTACCATAAGACGACTTTCGAAAACTCTCAATTTTGCAGCTGCCCGAATCGTGCCTGCCAATCGGAATGGAAATCGAGAATCACGAGACGAAAGTGGTCGTTTTGGAGCCGTCCGTCGACATAAAACACCATTTATTCGCATTCTCGCCCGCCCAAAAAGCCGACGAGAATGTGCTCAAATCCGCCGTTTACGGATTTTGTCTCGTCACCGAGGTGCGCGCGCGCGCGCTTTTTTGTATGCATCGAATATCGCCATGTTTTGCAGGTCGACATGGAAAAGCGCACATTTTCGATCCTGTCCCCGCAGAATTCGTTGCCGTCTAAAACGCTCGTCTACTCGGAAATCACGCATCTCGACGATCAAGTTCAACGATAAATTATTCAATTTTCACCCACAGCTATTTCTCTGTATCTCTTCCCTTTTTGGCCCATATAAATTAATTTTCTTTAACTTCGATTTTGGGGGGAATCTTTCACAATTTATTGTTACGATTTGAGAGGGGCGCGGTCTTAATAGATTACAAAAAAATGTGTTGGTGATGACGGAGCGAAAAAAAAATCTTAATTTAAATCCTGACCAGTTTTTGGCGGTCTTTTAGATAGATAGACATATATATATTTGGGTGGGGTTAGAGCAAATTTTTTGACAAAAAAGAACGGGAAAAAACTCGCTTTTCCAATGAGAACAATGGGTTTTTTGGGTGGGGAGGAGGAAGGGTTTTGGGGGTGAAAACGGAGACATTTTTAGAAAATTTCGCAAAAAAATTGCCCAACTATTACAGCAGTACTATGGATAACAATGAATTAGAAGGGGGCGGGGCCAAAAGAAAAACATAAAACAAAGATAAAATGGAGAATCTGCGGACGCGTTTACAAGTGCGATTGAGCCTCTTCGACGGCCTCCTTGAATGCGTTCGCCGTCGTTTCGTCGCGGAATTTCGCCGTGAAAATGGCCGTGTCAGCGTTCGTCGGGTCTTCGGAGAAGTCCTGAAAATAAGGGAAATTTCAGAACACTTAGGAAAAAATGAGCTTACGTTGCAAATGAAGGTGAGCACGTGAGGCATGTTCGGCTTCGGCGTGAACTTGATCGTCGGCTCGATGCGGAAGTTGGCGCACAGTTTGTGAACCTGTTCACGACGCATCACAATACGGTACTTTTCGTCGCTGCTCTTCAGAATCTGCAAATGTTTAGAGTTTTTGTGAGTAAAGTTTGAAAATTGAACGCTCAAATGTTTGCTTCAAAAAGTGCAAATTTAGGGTCATGTTGATGTAGCGTCGAGGCGGCTCCAGCCGCTGAGGCCGTTTTGAACGAAAACGACGGAGTGGTCGTGGAGGCACTGCCGAACAGCGACGTGGCTTTCGGAGTTCCGCCACCGAAGATCGAACTGTTCGCAGGCGCCGGGGATCCGTTCTTTTTTTTTCACCCACAGCTATTTCTCTGTATCTCTTCCCTTTTTGGCCCATATAAATTAATTTACTTTAACTACGATTTTGGGGGGAATCTTTCACAATTTATTGTTACGATTTGAGAGGGGCGCGGTCTTAATAGATTACAAAAAAATGTGTTGGTGATGACGGAGCGAAAAAAAAAATTTTAATTTAAATCCGGACCAGTTTTTGGCGGTCTTTTAGATAGATAGACATATATATATTTGGGTGGGGTTAGAGCAAATTTTTTGACAAAAAAGAACGGGAAAAAACTCGCTTTTCCAATGAGAACAATGGGTTTTTTGGGTGGGGAGGAGGAAGGGTTTTGGGGGTGAAAACGGAGACATTTTTAGAAAATTTCGCAAAAAAATTGCCCAACTATTACAGCAGTACTATGGATAACAATGAATTAGAAGGGGGCGGGACCAAAAAAAAAACATAAAACAAAGATAAAATGGAGAATCTGCGGACGCGTTTACAAGTGCGATTGAGCCTCTTCGACGGCCTCCTTGAATGCGTTCGCCGTCGTTTCGTCGCGGAATTTCGCCGTGAAAATGGCCGTGTCAGCGTTCGTCGGGTCTTCGGAGAAGTCCTGAAAATAAGGGAAATTTCAGAACACTTAGGAAAAAATGAGCTTACGTTGCAAATGAAGGTGAGCACGTGAGGCATGTTCGGCTTCGGCGTGAACTTGATCGTCGGCTCGATGCGGAAGTTGGCGCACAGTTTGTGAACCTGTTCACGACGCATCACAATACGGTACTTTTCGTCGCTGCTCTTCAGAATCTGCAAATGTTTAGAGTTTTTGTGAGTAAAGTTTGAAAATTGAACGCTCAAATGTTTGCTTCAAAAAGTGCAAATTTAGGGTCATGTTGATGAAAAGCACGCAACTTTAAGCCAAAATGTGTTCATTTTTGCACTGACCTTGATATCTCCGACTCCGCGCTCCTTGTTTTCGCGCGTCTCGGTATAGAACTTGAATAGTTTGCAGCGAGCGGTGAACACAACCTCCTCATCTTCCTCGCCCGTCTTCACCTCCACGAGATCGGGCAGCGGAATGACGGGCTGGAAGTCGACTTCCGGCTCGTACTCCTCGTCCTTTCCGTCGTCCGTCTCCTCGTCTTTCGTGCTCGTCACCGTCGAATTGAGCGTCGTGTTCTTTCCGCCGAAAATGCTTGTTTTTTTCTGCGAAGCGAGCTCTTGCTGCGCTTTTTGCGCATTTTCCGAGTCGAAAATCGAGGCGCCTTTGGATTTGGCAGCGAACGGATTCGAATCGCCGCCCGAGAACGCGCCGAACACGGTCTTCGGCGTCTCCTCTTTCTTTTCGGCGGCCGGCGAAGCCGTCGACGTCGCCTGTTTTCCGAACGTGAACGCCGGCTTCGGAATCTGCGCGTCGGACGGTTTGCTAAACGAGAAAAGCGGAGCGGGAGCCGAAGTTTCGGCCGTTTTCACAGCTCCACCACCGAAAAGAGCATTTCCCTGAGCCGGGGCAGCTGCTGGAGAGGCCGTTTTGTTAAAGTTGAACGTGGGCGTCGAGGCGGCTCCAGCCGCTGAGGCCGTTTTGAACGAAAACGACGGAGTGGTCGTGGAGGCACTGCCGAACAGCGACGTGGCTTTCGGAGTTCCGCCACCGAAGATCGAACTGTTCGCAGGCGCCGGGGATCCGTTCAGCGAGGCTCCGAATGCGGCGGTCGTGGACGGCTGAGCTGCGACCGCGGCGGCTCCCAGTCCGAACGAGACTTTCGGTGTTCCGGCAGCTGGCTGCAGGATTGAGGGCCTAAAAGTAGACAGTTTAGGCATTTTTTCGTTGGAAAGCTCGAAACAAGTGAAAAACGCTTATTTTAACAGCAAAAACGCGATTATCGAACTCACTTGAAGAAGATGCTGGTGGTCGAGGTGGTTCCGTCCTTGTTGGTCCCGCAGCACGAGCACTCGGTCTTGTCAGCCGGATTCGAGACGTAGCACGCCGTGCACTCCCACGATCCGGGTTTCGGTTTGAACTTGTCGCCGAATCCGTTCGTCTCCTTGTTGTTCGACGGAATTTTGATCTCCTCCTCTGCCTCCTCTTTCACCTCCTGCTTTATCTCCTTTTTCACCTCCTTCACCTTCTCGGCCGGCTTAATCTCTTTTTCAATGCTTCCGGCGCTCTTTTTGTGCTCCTCGACGGCCTTCTCGAACAGCTCCTTAAACTCTTTGGCGATTTCGACGGTGCTGAAACGAGCGGAGAGTTTGACGTGGGCGGGCTCATCCTCGGAGAAGTCCTCGCAGAACCACGTGTACGCCTTCTCGTTCTTCGCCATTTGCTGAATGCTCATCGACGAGACGATCGGGAAGTTGGCGCACACTTTCAGCACCTGCAAAGCGTTTCAAATTCACAAAAATTGTCGAAAAATTGTCAATTTTCCCAGATTCTCAGCGTCACAAAAATCGGATTTTCATTTCAGTTAAATCGGCAATTTCCATGGCTGTAGGAGACAACTGTACTCTATAAACACTACACCGCAACAATGCTTTTAGAAAAACGTTTAATTTTCCTAGATTTACAGCGCCTGAATAACCTGAAAATCCCAGAAAATCTCATCGCTGTTTTTGGCGGTCTCTTCCGAAATGGTCACCTGATCGCGTCGCATCACAACCCGCCACTTCTTCGTCTGCGGATGATAGAGCACTTTGAGGTCGCCGGTGCCGCGCTCCTTCCACTCGTTCGTCTCCGCGTAAATGTAGAGTTTCGAGCGGTTGCTGAACTTGACCTGCTCGCCCTCCTCGCCCGTTTTCACCTCAACGAGATCGGGCAGCGGGATCACCGGCTCGAAATTCGCTTCCGGCTCGTACTCCTGCTCCTCCTCCTCCTCGTCTTCGTCCTTTGGCGGCACTGGAACGACCGCCGCCGGCTCCGGCTTCTTTCCGAAGATCGACGAGTTCGTCGAGGTGCCGAACGTGAATCCAGTGCTGGCAGCGGCTGGTTTCGGCTTCTCCGGCACCAGCACAGGCATTTTTTCAGGCGTTTTCGCGGAAATGACAGAAGACGTGGCGGCTGGGGCGGCTGGGGCGGCTGGAGCGGTTGTGCTCGATGATGGAATCGTCACTTCGGCAGGCTGCAAAAATTGACAATTTTTTTTTTGCATTTTTGAGGAAAAAATCTGTTTCTTTTTCTGTTTTTCGGCCTCAAACCAATACATCTCGGGACCAGATAATCCGATCGGTCTGAAACTCTGACCCAAAATATTTCAATCCAGGTCCAGAAAGTCTGCATAGTTTGAATCCGATCGGAATATCGCAAGTTTCGCTTTTCCTCAAATTCTAACCTTTTGAGCGGCCGGCACGGGGACTGAGGGTTGCGAAAACCCGGCAAACGGTTTCGGGGCCATCGCCTGAATCTGCTGAATTGTCTGAGGATTGTGGAACGTGGCGTTGGCGGCAGCGAGGACTTGCTGAATCGCCTGGGGGGGCATGGGTGGAGCCTTGATCGAATTGCCGGTGCCGTTCAAAAGATTGGCCAGCGCCTGATTCTGGGCCGCATTTTGGGCCTGAGCCTGAGCGGCCATTTGCATTGCGAACTGCATTTGCATCTGCTGCTGTTGTTGCTGCTGTTGTTGTTGCTGTTGGACGAGTGGCGACGGTCCCAGCGAAACGGGCAAAGCGTCACGGAGCAGAAGGGTGTGGATCAGCTGGTGCAGACGCTCCATCTCCTTGTTGTGCAGCTGCGAAATTTCCGTCAACTGCTTCGCCGATCGATCGTCCGAGCGGCGGATCTCTTCGCGGAGCTGGGAGATGCCCGACTGCTGCTCGAGCTGAAAATTGTGAAGTTTAAAATTAGGAATCAAGCGGATAAAGTTTGAAAAATAGGTGCCGACGGAACTGGAGGCTATTTCGATGAATGTCCTAATTTTGCCGGTCATACAACTAATTTTTATTACAGTTCGACAAGAGAATCAATTATCCCACCTTCAACGCCTCCAATCCCTTGGAAAGCGCGTCAAACTGCAGCGCAATCGTCTGTTGAACGTCCACGACGCTGGCGACAACGCGTCCGATACTCTGCAAAGACTAGGAATTCATTAGAAACGGTCGAAACAGATTCGGAGAGCTTACCGTCTTCTGATCGCTCATTACGACAAGAAGTTGAGCTGAAAAACAAACGAATTCGAGATTGTATAGTCGGGTAAACAGGAGGAAGTAGGTGCGCCACACGCGAGATAACGCAAAAATCGATAAGAGCGCGCGGAAGGACGTTGTCAAGGGCAACTGATACTTGTTTTGAGTAATGACGACTGCAAGAGATGATGAGAGAAACAAATAACGCTATTTTAGCGTGAGTTTGAACTTGAAAACATCAACAACTGCTTACTTTAATCAAATTTCATTAAAAGTTGCAAAAATGCGAAGAGCTTCGGTTCTCGACCGAAAAGTGAGTGGAACAATGACAATTCAACCAAACTGCCTGAGTTTGCCGCCAAAATTCATATTGCGTCGATTTTTCGCGCCAAAATTGAAAAATGGGTTTCACGCCTATTTATCAACATTTTTCGATGGTTTTGGGTGTCAAAGCGTGTAAAAACAGCTGGAAAATGCGATAAAGTCAACATTAAATCGAAAAAATTGAAAGAAACTTTAGAGTTCAAGTCGAAATCGTTAAAAATTCGGGCGCGAAACCGCAAAGATTTCGAAAATTATGAATTTCGCAAGGCCGCGGCGAGACCCGCCGCGTAAAGTCACACATGCGCCTTTAAACATGAGCTGGCAATTAATCGGAAAAATGACCGGTTTTTGATCGAAAAACAGGATTTTCCGACGGATTTTTGGAATTTCTCCCTGTGTTATCATTTTTTAATCGGTTTTCGTGTATTTCTCCGAAAAAGTCTGCCGAAATTCGTTCATTTCCCTGTGAAATCGAATAATTCTAACATTTCTGCAGCACGATGGAGGTCGACTCGAGCTCATCGTCGTCTTCCGATGAAGAATGCGAGAATGAGGCACAAAATGCGATTTTCATCCACTCGGCGTGAGTTTTTTGCCTATTTTCACCGGAAAAAGCGAAACAACACGATTTTCTCTGAAAAACTTTGGTCCCCCCTGATTTTCTGCCAAAACTTTTAACTTTGTGTTTCAGAACCGTCAGATTATCTGTGGGAAGCGAGGAGAACGCGAAAACAGTGTCGGAAGTGATAAAAATCGATAAAGAGCCGAGCAGAAGCGGCGCTCGCCGACAAATCGGCTCTGAAGGCGAATTTGTAGTGATGTAAGTTGAAAATAGTTTTTCATTGCCAAAATCAACTCAAAAAGTTCAAGAAAGCACTGCAAAACACTGTTTTCACATCCAAAGTGAAACATCGTTTTTCAGAAGAATCGAGAGCAAAGATCCGAAATCTTTATCGAAATCCATCGCGAACGCCGTCGATATGATCGATTTGTCGCTGAAAACCATCAAAATGTGTGAGAATTACGGAAAAACGCCCGAAAATGGACTAAAACGGAAAATCGAACAAGGATCTCTGGCCTAAAATATGGAAACACTTGTTTTATTACTTTACCCAAAAATTTGAATAAAAACTTGAAGAAATACGTTTAACTCCTCAATTAATGGTTGAAAAGCCCAATTTGTACTTGAAATCTTTGAAATGATTCTGAATTCGGGGAAAAATGCGCAGATGTTCAAAAACCTGAAAAATCGACTGGATAGTGAAGCCGGAAAGCTGAAGCAGTCGGCGCAGCAGTACGGAGAGCAGCTCGCTGCCCAAGTCGGACAATATCGACAGGCCATGGTATGGTTTTTGCTAAAAATCACAGTTTTCCAGTGAACATCTGTTTTTATCGCCCTCAGAGAATGTTTGCACCGAAATTTGCTGAACATTATTGCAGAACGAGCCGGGGACGGGAAGTGACTCGTCCGCGACAATTCCCAAACGATTTCTAAACACGGTCACCGGAAATAACGGAGAAAAGAGCGCCGCCGATACTTCTATTGTGAGAATGAATTAGATTATGAAACATTCCGGAGAACTGCTCGATTTTAGCTTATAGAACTTTTAAAATGCTCATTTTTTGCAGGAATCCTCGTCGGCGATGATGTCTGAGATCCCGGAAGCGGACCTGTTAGGCCTGGGCCTGTCCTCCTCGGACCCCGCGCCCACGCAGTCCATTTCGGGCCGCCGCCCCCGCAGTCCGTCGGCCGAATCGACGCATTCGAACGAGAGCACGCTCGCATCTCTACTCCACTCGATCCCGAACGCTTTCTCGTCGGCCCTCGATCTGATTCCGTCCGATTCGGAAAGTGTCGCCAGCGAGGCGTTCTCCGTCAGATCCACCATTGATCCCGTTCGTTTTTAATTGAACTTTTGAACCACTTGCAATTATCCGATCGGACCCGAACTTCGCAGACTTCTTGGACTTGAATTGAACTGTATTGGGGCCAAGTTTCAGCCTAATCGGATTATTTAATGTCGAGATATAATGCTTGAGAGCCGAAAAGCCCGAGCTTTCGGCCAATTTTCCATTGATTCACATATCTCGTGACCAGATGATCCGATCGGTCTGAAACTTGGACCCAATATACTTCAATCCAAGTCCAAAAAGCCTGCAAAGTCTGGACTCGATCGAATCATTGCAAGTGGTTTAAAAAAAATGGAAATGTTCAAGCAAAGCTTGCAGGCGCACATCTCACGCCTCAAGCAGCGATTGACGACGTACAAGGCCAAGTACCGTGAAACAGTACACCGTCACAATAAGTTGGTCGACGATATCAATACGACGAAGAAGCTTCTCGAGACGACGCAAGACGAATCGATTCAGAAAATCGAGAAATTGCGCGGAGAAAAACGAATTTTGGCGGAGAAATTGCGCGAACATTCGGAAAAGAATCCGGCGGAGCTGGAGAAAAAATGCGAAGACTATCGGCGAATGTTGGAGCAGTGCAAGCAGAAAATTCGAGCGTTGCAGGAGAAAAAGGAGACGTTGATTGCGGTGGACGAGGAGAATCCACGTGTCAGAGAGCTCGAGGCGCGCATTCAGAAAACCGAGGAGGAGTGGACCAATCGCATCAATGAGGTGCCCTTTCGCTACTTTTTTAGTGCATCACACGCATTTTCAATTCAAATTTCAGAGCGACCAACAACACGCGATCAATTTGGCGACAACCAAAGCGGATATGCACGCGGCACTGGAAATTAAGGATGCTGAGGTGAGACAATTGTAATTTTTGAATAATATAAAAAGTTGCAGATCGAGCAGTGGCGCCGAAAATGTGGCGTTTTGGAGCAACAAGACGCGGACGCAAATCAGAGATGGCACGAAAAAGTGGAGAAAGTGCAGGCGATGAATAAGGCGCTCGAGGCGGAGAAGGTACGGGTGAACTTTTAGCGAGTTTCTTGTTGCTCTTTGTTAGTTTTGATCATAACGAAAACATTCACGAAGAGAATGAATTAGATGAATCGGTATTTCGCAAAAATTCGAGGCGTTCGGACCTTTTTGAGATGGCGGAATTTAAAGTCTCTGAAACGTTGCATGCGAGCATTCGTGGACGACCGGCTACCGTTGGGCCATGTTTTGGAACCAAAAGCTTTGGAATTGTACGGTCCAGGTTTTGAGAAAAATACGAAAGACTTGTTTTGGCCTAGTAAAACGGCGATGACCGCGGAGGTCAAGGCCTAGAAACCGCCGTGATTCAGCGATGTAAAAACTGAATAATCGCGTTGTATTTTTCAAATTTGAGGAGCGAAATATGTTCAATATTCAGAACGAAATGATCGAAAAGTTGTCGGAGGCGAAGGCGCAAGGAGTGAAAGCGGTGCTGGAAGAGGAGGAGAAAAAGCGAAAAACGGTCGAGACGGAGCTGAACGAGGAGATTGAACGGCTCAGGGAGGAGACGGAGAAGATGCGCCTCGAATTGGCCACTGCTGTTCGTTTTTGACGTTTTAGATCGAAATGCTCAAAAAAACTGGAAAAATTGCAGAAAGTTCAATTGGAAGCCAAAGAATCGAGCGAATTCGATGAGCAGAGGGAGGATGTCGAGGCGGTTCGCTTTTTTCTTTGAATTTTAAAAGAGGCATCCGTAGAGAAGATTGAAAAATGCCGGTCTTGACACAAAAACGTGTTATTGGTTGGCTCGTTCCTCGAGAACCGCTCCTCCGCCGTAACAATCGATAATTTTGCCCTTTTCTGAAAGCTTCTTCAATTTTGCAGCTCAAACTCGAGCTGGTCGCTGCTCAATCGCAAAACGCGGATTTGGAAGCGAAAATCGCCGACCACATTTCGAATTTCGATCTTTATCGATTGGAAGCCGAAAAGACGTTGGTAGCGGCGAAAGAACAGTTAGTTTTCCGTTACTTTCTTTGAAAAATCTTGATTTTTCTGCATTTTTCCCTCGGGAACTGGTGATAGAGCATGTGAACAATATTGAAAAGATTAAGAACAATCCCTGTGTCTCTAAAATATGTTGTAAATCTATTCAGCTTGATATCAAAAGTTGTGCTGAAAATCGGAAAAATATTAATCTTTTCCTATTTGTATTATTTTTAGAAAAATTTTTTTACACATGTCGGCTGGTCCGAATGTCCACAATTTTCTCAATCATTTTTTTGTGTGTGCAGCCCCTCAAAAAATCGCAAAAAATCGCCGAGTCAGATTCGAAAAGAAGATCGGCGAGTGTGACACGTGGCGCGAGAAGTACGAGAAGCGGGCGGCCGCCTCCGAACACATCGCCACCGTCGAATTCGAGACGCAGGAGACCGAGACGCACCGTGCTCAAGTGTATGTGGGGGCAAATTTCTGGAAAAACTTTATCGCAAGCCTTAATGGGTGTGTAAAAGAGTGAGAGTGTGCGATTTAGAGAGACGCGGACGGTCCCGTGAACCGTCGGCTGCTTTGTAGCCGCCGCGCGCTCCTTGGCTGTTCTGAGACTTCAGATGCGCTCCGTCGGCAGAATACTCATTCATTTTACTTGATTCCTTTGGAATGAGTTCATTATGATTAAAAATCGCAAAAATTTCCAGCGGTTCACTGTCACAACAGAATTTTTTGGAAATGTGAGGGCTGGTGCTTGCTTTTTGTGTCTCTTTCGTAGTTTTCATCATCACAGATAAAGCCAGGAGAGCGCGCCGCCCCGTCAGGTATCCAAACAGTCTTTGGCATTTCGTTATTAATCTAACGGCGGCCTAATAAGATTGATATGACATCTAACTAGATTAATAAATTGTCTAGCTAGGTTAATAAATCTTCTAGCTAGATTAATAAGTGCTCAAATCAAGTTTCACGCCAGCCGCCTGCTGGCTCAAATCTCGATTGCGCCAAGAAAAAACAGTCGAATCTAATTAGGTCGCGTTTAGATCAGTAACTTTCTAATTAGATTAATATCGAATTGCCAGAGGGTTGGGGATGCATTGGGAAGCATAAACCAGGATAAATGAACGGTCCCCATTCCATGCAACGCTTCCTTTGGTACTTCGAGACGGGACCACCCGCGTCACAAGCCGTTTGGATACCAGTGTATCAAATGCCGGGCCCTGATGCTGTTTTGGCAGTGACCACCTGTAGATTTTTGCCAGTTTCAATCATACTAAACACATTTTTCAAGAAAACGAGCAAGATGAATTACTATCCTTCCGACGGCACGCATCTAAAGTCTCAGAACGGCCAAGGAGCGCGCGGCGGCTAGAAAGCAGCCGACGGTTCACGGGTCTGTCTGTGTCTCGCTGCATCCCACACTCTCTCGCTTATTACAGCGCTCGCCCAGGGTATTTTTCCGATTGATCAAGTCAAAAACCAGCACGATTCGTAAATTTGTGTGCCATTGTTTTTCTGTCAAAAAAATATTGCACAATTATTGTTTTTATTTCTTGTAGTTGTGCTGCTGCATGTGCGTTTTTTTTCCACAATAACACGTTCTTAGGCTGGTCGAACAGGCGCCTGAAATCGCCTATTCGACCAGCCTACACGTTCTTAATAATAAGCAAATTATCTATTCGAACATTATATCTTTGCCCATTTTCCTCCCAAACAGTGGTCCATGAGAATCTCAATTAGTAATCCAATATCTTTTCGCCCCAAATAAGACAAATATCCGTGCGGACGAACGCGATTTCGCCTTGATTGCCTCCACAGAGCCTTGCTTTTAGGCACGTCATTTGATATTTCTGCAGAGAAAACGCATCTTTTCGCATAGATTTATAACATTTTGGCTACATTTCGTCGCAGAAACACCGTGTAAAAAAGAAAAAAACATGGAATTAGCAGTTGTTTATGGGAGGCGCCTCCATTTTCCCGCTCGGAAAATGTCTCCAAATTGTTTCTTTTCTCCCTCTCTCTCTCTCTCATTTTTCCGTCCATTTCTAGTGATGAGCATCTCTTCTCTTCTATCCAACTCCTCCACTCTTTTGTGATGCTCTCCGAGCACGTCGCCTACTTTTTCCTACTTTTTTACTCCCTTTTTTTTCTTCAAAATTCATATGAAAGCATGAGCATTTCTCTAGATTACTTCCTCACTAATTCACTAATTTTCACCAATTTATCCCTAAATTTCACAGAAAATTGTTTAAAAAGCCGTGTTTTTGCGATAATTTTTCTCGAATTTTGGGGGGCCAAGCTTCAGAGACCCGGCCGCGACCGCGACCTTTTCCAATTTAGCACTGATTTAATGTGGTGTGCGGTAGAGCGCGGTTACTGTCAAATTCACGCCAAATATCTCGGGACCGGACAATCCGGGCCGAAAATGCATTGAAAAATCCAACGTTTGCAAAAGTTGCAGATTCGAAGCCGAAAAGAAGGCGTTGGCTGAAAAATGTGAAGAATTGACGGCGAAATTCGAGAAAGCCGAAAAAGAAAAGGATGAGATGGCTGTAAGTGGCGAAAGAGAGAGAGAGAGAGAGAGAGAGGTGTTGCGAGCAGAGTTGAGCGGAATTCCACCTTCCGCCTTCGGCTCAACTCTGGTTGCGAACGCAGATTAATGAGAAGTGTGCGAGCAGTAGATCAAGTCGGTCACTGATGGATTAGATCGGTGCTGAATGTCTTCTCCCGTTCACAACCGACCTGATTTACCTGAAATCGCGCTGCGCAACAAGACAAACGATAATGTGAGAGCAGTAGGCAAAATGGAAAAGTAAGTAGCCGGGCCTTTTGACCATTCATTCGGCAACCCCGTTCTGTCTGTGCGAATAGATAAGCGAGCGCATCGAGAGCCTTCTTTGCATGTAACCAACTTTTGTGAATTGCAGCACCAAATTTCGAGCCTAAAACAAGAGATGCTCGAGAAATGCGATCGTCTTCAGTCGGAATTGGAAGCGGCGAAGGCGTTGAGCGAGGAGACGCAGAAAAAGTACGATGACGTGGCAGAGAGAGCCGAACGAATACAGTCGGAGTTGGCGAGCGAAAAAGAGGCGTTCCAGGTGATTTATTCGATTTTTTCATAGAAATTTCGCTAAGTTCGTTAGAAAACAACGAGACTTTCAGCGAGAAAAAACGCAGGAACAAATGGATCAAATGAGCAAAGCATTGGAAGAATTGGTAATTTCTTTTGTTGGAGGTTTTTTAACAATTTTTTCCCCCCTACAGACTCTGGCTCAAACCACTCTTGAGGAAGTTTCCAAGAAATTGGAGCAATCGGAAAATGAAGCGGTCTCAACTCGCGGAGCTCTTGACGAATTGGCCACCAAATTGAAGACGTCGGAGGAGGAAACGGTGATTTTGAAGAAATAAACAATTTTTGAAAAGTATAATTGTTCAGGCACTTGCCAAGACGGATTTGGAGGAGGCCAACCAGAAATTGCATAAATCCGAGGTACTTTTTTTTTTTGGCTGTGTCCGGAATGACCCGGAAATGCAAAATTTTCGTAGTTTTACTCCCAATCATACTTGCAAACGGGCCGATTTCGGGCCTTGACGGGCCGGCTGATAACTCGCTTCAAAATGAAAGTCGTGCGTAGAACGACATATCAGATTGTAGATCTCGATGAGTTTTGCAAATGTGACAACATGCGGGCCGGGATCTACAATCTGACATGTCGATCTACGCACAACTTTCATTTTTAAGCCCGTTTGCAAGCATGCGCCCAATCATTATCAGGCCTGGGCGAGCGCTTCGGTTGGCGTTGATTGAGAAATTTCTGACAATTTGTTAGCGAAAAAACGAGGAGCGAGAGAGGGGCGATTAGCGCGCGAAAAAGCAAGCCGCAGGTGCGCTAACCGCCTTTCTCTCGTGTCCCCAGAGTTTCTTCGTTGGACATATAGGGAATCGCTCTAGATTTGGTTGACATACCGTAAATACTGTAATGGAAAGGCACCCCGAAAGTCGTCAACTCAAAGCTGTGTATCTCGGCTGTCGGTGGTGATATCAAAAAGCTGTCAACTGGCAATTTGCTCAGGAAAACATTTTGCTCATTTTATCAGTTGACGACATTTCGATATCTCTACCGACAGCCCAGGTACGCTGCATTGAATATACGACTTTCGGGTGCCCTTCTATTACAGTATTTACGATAAGATAGAACACAAATGTTAAAGAAATTCTGAAGTTTCCAGACCTCGCTCGCGCAACTGTCCGAACTCGTCGAATCGCTCAAAACTCAAGTCGCGGAGGCGAATCAGTCAAAAGAAAAGGCAGTCGAGGTGATGGAGGGGAAATTAGTAGAAATGGACATCACCCTCAAAGAGACCCAGTACCGAACGGAAAATATTCAGGAAGCGGCGACGTCGTTCAATTTGACGCACGCGCAAGCCGTCGAAATGCTCAAACAGCAGCTGGAAAAGGCGGAAAAAGAGCTGGAAAATGAGAGAAATGTGAAAAACGCGGCGGACGAAAGCGAAGCGATTGCGGAGCTCAAAAAGCAGTTGGAAGCGGCGGAAAAGGCGGAGAAAGGTGGAAAAGAGGAAATCGAACGGATTCAGAACGAGTGGGCGGCCGAATTGACGAAAATTCGAAACGTTTCGGAGCAAGAGAAGGCGACGATCGAGCAACTATTGATTGATTTGGAGAACGCGCGGAAAGGAGAGCTGCAGGCGAAATTCGACGGCGAAAAAGCGGAAAAAGAGGCGAATAGGACGATTATAGAGCTTCAGGCCGATGTGCGGAAGGAGAAGGAGCATTCGCAGCTGGTGGCGTCGCAAAGTGCCGCCGATTCGAGGATGTACGAGACGGGCGTCCGAATTTTGCAGGACGACGCCGAGGAGGCGTGGAAGACGGTGGAGAAGCAGAAGAAGGAGAGAGAGGAGTTCGAGGCCGAGTTCTCGGTAAGTTTTAGTCAATTTTTCACTAGAAGCCTCCAAAAAAAAAAGATTTTCAGCTGCAAATGTCGACTCTGAAACAGGAATTCGCAAGACTTCAGTTGGAATTGGACGAGGAGAAGGCGTTGAACGAGGAGTTGCAGAAAAAGTACGATGAAGTGGCAGAAAGAGCCGGAGAAGAGCAGAAGACGTCGGAAGCGTCGAGCGAGCAAATTCAGAAGCTTCAGAAGGCGCTGGAAGAGTCGGAAACGAGAATTTCAGAGCTTCAAAAGGCTCGGGAAGATTCTGAAGCCGTTCAGAAGACGCAGAAGGATTCGGAAGTGGAACGCCTTCAAAATCACACGCGCGATCTGCAGAATTCGCTGGAAGATGCTGAAATGAAAGTTTCGGAGCTCAACAATTCGGTGCAAAATTTCGAAGCCGAAATGGAGAAATTGAACGGGAAATTGAGAAGCTCGACGGCGGAAAGTTCGGGAAAATTGGAGACGCTCGAAAAGGAAATTCTAGCGAGAGAACAGAGCGAAAGGGCGCTCACTGAAGAGGTGATATTTCGTTAAAGACATTATTTTTTCAGACAGACACAAAAAAAGTCGAAGCAATTGATAATTCCTTGGTGTTTTAAGCAAATTCGTTTTTTTTTTGCAGATAAACGTGCTGACGGCGAGTCTTTCGGAGGCCCAACTCAAATTATCGGCTCTCGAGCAAAAATCGGCGAAAATCTCGGAGCTCGAGTCGAAATTGCTCGAACTTGAGACGGAAAAAGAGGAAAAGGTGGAAGAGGTGAAAGTACAGCTGCAACAGGCGACGCAGAGCTCCAGCTCGGCGGAGCAACTCTCCGAAACGCTCAGAGCCGAAAATGAGCAGTTGAAGGCGAAAATTCGAGAGGAGGAAGAGGCAAAAGTGAGCATTTTCGGGGTGGAATCCGGTTGGAAGAGATGGAGAATTAATTATCTCTAACTGCACCACTACATGTTTTCTAAATTTCTACTAACTATCTTACAAAATGCACACACTTTTGTCCACCTCCGAATTTTAGATGCGATCGGCGGTCGGTGGCGAGCAGAAAGTGCGCGAATTGAGCGATTTGAATGAGAAGATGAGGGTGGAATTCATTGCAAAGGTCTGAGAGATTTTGAACTTGTTTTGGGGGTGAATTTGGCATCGCTTTTGAGCCCAGCAATCAGAGAAAAAGGTCTGGAGAGCGTGCGTGTGCTTCCACAGTAACCCTCCCGTTTTGCAGTGTGAAAAATGACTAAACCTGTTTTCTTTTCGATTTTCCATAAGAAGAAGCATATTTGCAGGAGAAGATAATATCGGATTTGCGTGCGGAGCTCTCTTCACTCGGCGCCGAGCTCGTCGTCCAAAAAGCGACGGTGGAAAAGACGAAAATGGATCTGGACGAGGTGGAGACGAAGGAAAAGAGGGCCGGAGCGGACCGCGAAAACGAGAAAGCCGAGGAGATGAGATTGAGGTGGGCGGCGCTTTTTTTATTGAATGAATTGAGAAAAATCGCGATATTTCAGAGAGACATTCGCGGCGGAGCTGGAGAATGTCTCAAAAGCGCTCGAGGAGAAGGAGACGGCGTACGCAGAGCTGAAATCGAAAGCGGAGCGAAAAATCGCCAAGATCAAGGTGGAGTTTGAGGAAAAACTGAAGGCGGACGCGGAAAAGCTGGAAATTTCGCTCAAAAACCAGCAGGAATCGGCGGAAAATGGCGAGAAATCGCTGAGAAGCGTTGAAGAACGACTGAAAACGGCGGAGAATGCGAATGAGCGGCTGCGGCAGGAGCACGAAAAATCGACAGAACACTGGGAGCTGGAGAAGGAAATGTTGGAGGGAGAGGCCAGGGAATTGACCGACAAAATGGAGCAGTTGGAGGTGGAAGTCAAGAGACTACAAGCGGCCAACGAGACGAAGGCCGCCAAAGCGGATACCGACTCGAGAAAGGCAAGTCTTTGGATGGCCTTTGGATCTACTCGCTCGGCCTCCGGCCACGAATGGTCCGCTAGTGCACAGGGTCTATGCAGAACTCGAAGTGGGCAATTTTTCTTCGCGATCGGTTCATGATGCGCATTTCGTACTCGGCAAACCTCTATAACTTTTGCGCAGAGCTTACGCAACTCTAGCTGGCAAGTTGCGCAAAAGTTACAGATGTTTGTCGAGTAGGCCTACGCTCTCAATAGACCCATAGCGAATCACGTATGCCTTCTTTCTGCTGCGCTCAGCGGACGTTTTAAGTTAAAGAAAATGAATTCCAGGTGGTTCGTGAGCTGCAAAAAGAGGTGAAGCAACTGTACAACGAGTTGAACGAGAAAAATCAGCAGTACGACGCGCTTCAGGACGAGATGAATCGATTGAAAACGGCGGGCGAGAGTGTTCAGAATGGACGGCTCCAAGTGCAGAAAAAGGAGGAGGAGGAGGACCGGCGCAGCGAATTCTCGGTACGATTTTTGTTATATTCAAACAATAAGATCAAATTGGGGGAATATTAGCGTTTTTTTTTAATGTTTCAGACAAAACAAATCATTTCTATCACAGGAAATAGCGTTGTTCTTAAAAATTCGCTAAGAATACGATTATTTTTGGAAAAGTACGCGAAAATCTTATAAGGCCGCCGTTAGATTAATAACGAAATGCCAGAGTTATGTACCATATAACTTTCTGCCCTACCCTCTTTTAGCATAATTACCCACCTATCGCAATTCTCCCTTTTTTGACATCTCTATTACCACGTACTGTCATAAAGTCGTGATGAATAATAATAATAATAATAATAATAATAATAATAAAGCGTATTTTTCTCTTTTTGCAGTTCCAAGAAGAGATTGCATCGCTGAAACAGAAGCTCAGCGCGTCGTTGAACGAAGCCGACGAGCTGCGGCTCCAAGCGTCCCGTAAATCGGACAAGGGCGCCGTCCGGAAGACGTCTTCGATGGAATTGCACGGAATTGCCGACCCGGCAGAGGCCGAGTACCTCAAAAATGTGCTCTATCGATACATGACGAACAGAGAGTCGCTCGGAAAAGAATCTGTGGTACGTTGGCGATTTGTCTGAGCTGCAATTCATCAATGCTGCACTGGGTACCAAGAGCCAGGGAAAGTAAATGGTTCGCATTCCATGCATCATTTCCTTTGGTACCACGAGTCAGGACAACCCCTCGTCCCAAGCCGTTTGGATACCTGATCCGGGTTAGGAAGTGTGTCCGAGTAACCTCCGTTGATCTCGCTACTATCCTCAAACTCGTGGCCTCTTGGACGCTCGCAGTCACCCTCAAAATGATTTAAAACATTTCAAAATTTCAGACACTCGCCCGCGTCATCGGAACCGTCGCCCGTTTCGACGATTCGCAAATGAGGCAAGTGATTAGCAGTGAGGAGGCGAGACAGGCGAGCTGGGCGGCCGCCGTCGGAGGAACTGTCACTCAGGCACTCAATCGATAAAGTTTATGGAATGTTCTACGATTCTCCCCACTTTTTCCCAATTTCTCTACGATTTTTCCCGATTTTTTGCTCATTTCCCCTCGAAGAGTGCAGCTGAAATTGAAGATTTAACAAAAATAGGCAAAGTTCTGAGACTAACCTCAAAAAATTGAATATCCACTCACCGGTTATCGTCAATTTTCTGATCATTTATCCAAAAATTAGACTGTGATTTCTAATCCTACCTTCGTCTTTTTGCCCCTTATTCGATTAATCAATATTGTGTTAGATTTTTCGTGATAACCTTCTCGTTTCGCTTCGCAATGTTCGCTTCTTGTATTGTTGTACATAGAGAGATGGAAAATGAATTTTATCGAATTTTATAGATTTCTTGGAACTTTTTGAAGCTTTCTTCTTGCTGATTATATCGATTTCCTCGCCGATTCCTTTCCGATTCCTTGTGAATATGTTTGCCTAAAAATTGCTAGGGGTACTCATGAGGGAGCGGTATCTGGAAGACATTTAAAGTTTCACAAAGACACGTTGTCGTCCGTTCCCTGTCAATTCACTTTCTGTTCATCTATTCCATTAAATTTCCACAATTTTTACGCAAAAGAAGCCTAAGATTGTACACACTCTAACACTTTTGCAAGTTTTGCGCAAACACAATTCCAGAATTTTGCAGAAAATGAACACGCTGAAATTGACTTCGGGCCGCGAAATTGCGTACTTGAATGAAGTGGAAGTACGCATCGGAATCGACGAGAACGACGGAGAGGCAAAGTACGGAAATGAGCTGAAAAGTGTGGAGAGCTCGGATATTACGGTGCACAAGTACGAGGGAGGATTCAAGGTTTTTAAGGAGCTTTTCTTTTGAACATGAAACTGTAATAATACTATTCAGATCTGGGAATGCACAATCGATTTATGCGAATTTATCGAAGAGAACAGTGCGAAATTCGCGGGCAAATCGATTTTGGAGCTCGGATGCGGAGCCGCTTTGCCGTCGGTTTTGGCCGCGATTCACGGAGCGAAAGAGGTTTTCGCTCAGGATTTTGTACGTTTTTCTTTCAGAATGATTCCAGAATTCTCAGCAATTTTCAACCTTTCAGAACGCCTCCGTCATCGAGTTTTTCACTTTGCCCAATTTCGAAGTGAACGAACATTCGGCGAAAATTAGCGGCGAAGCGATGGGATGGGATGAGGTGCCGGCGAAGTTGCAAGAAAAACAGTGAGCTTAAAAACGGTTTTTCGGATGAAAACTTTTGATTTTTTTGCAGATTCGACTTTATTCTCTCGTCGGAAACCATCTACAACGAAGACGACTACCCGGCCCTTCATGACGCCGTCGCCGCAACGCTAAAATACGACGGAATTGCGTTAGTTTTTGATTTTTCGGCAATTTTTCGGCAATTTTCGATAATTAGGCGAAAGCTGAAGTGAAGAAGCACCTGAAGATCGTTATGTGATATAATTTCTTCCAAAATTTACACACAGGCGTTTTCTAGGCCGCGGCCCATCGGCCACCGCTGATTTAGCTCAATTTAACCGGAAAATGATGTAAAAGTTGAAAGAAATTATTATTTTTGCAGATACTTCGCCGCCAAGTTCTTCTATTTTGGCGTCGGCGGAAATGTGCCGGCTTTCTGCGATTTTGTGAACAAAAAAGGGATTTTGACGGCTGCCGTCGTCAAAATCATTGCCGCATCGGTGCCGAGGAGGATTGTGGAGCTCCGTAGAAGAATTTGAATTTTTCGATAATTTTTCCTTGTTTTCTCGTTGTCTGTTGTCCAAAACATGCATTTTATTCTCGTTCTCCGGCTAGAAGAATCCATTGAAACGCGTTAGAATTGTAAAAAAAACGCGGGAGAAAAAGCAAAACGTGCGACGCCGATTTTTGTACTAGAACGTACCACGTTGAGGTTGTTCCTGTGAGGCATTTTTCATTCTGTCCAACTTCCTCACTTGAGCAGAAGCGGATTTTAGGATTATTCCAGACATGTGGAAAAATATTGCAAACGAACGCAGGACGTGAAACATGTGTAATTCGAACTTTTTTCTAAAGAGCTTTATCGAAAAAAGTATTAAAATTTCTGTAGTGATCTAGATAAATTACAAAGACACGCGCACACACGTTATTACAGACAACATCGAGCGAGAAAAAAGACACAAACACACACACACACAAAGAATTACTCGTCAATTGTTTGAAAAATTTGCAGCAAAAATTGGATAAATCATAGTGTCAAATGGATCCGGGATCTCGGAGGGCGGCGTTGTTGAAGCGGATCGTCGTTTGTTTGAACGTCCGCAAATTGCCAATTTCCCGGAACATTGCCGAGACCAATTGAGACGAGCCGTACGGTTCTCCGTTCAAAACTGCCCTGCAAAAATGTATTCATTGGAAAGGAGACTCGTCGGAAGCAAAGAGAGAGAAAGAGAGAGAGAGAGAAATCTCTGGACGATGGATGCAAGAACGGATCTCGAGAGACCGGTCGGAAGGCATGGTGTGCTGGCTGTGATCCGTTTTTTTTTTGCTCACCTCGTCTCGGTGGTGAATTCTCTAAAGTAGAAGAAGAGGACTTCGGCGAGCGCCTCGACGGTCGGCCGCATCAATTCCGATTGGATCCGTGCGAAAATGGCGCGAATGAGGAGGGGTCCGTCCTCGGCCAACGCCGATTTCTGCGTCAGATCCGTGTGGAGCGTCGTGTGCGTCGCCAGCGAGGCGAGGATCTGTGAGGCAGTTCGCACTTCTGTCGGCACGCCCGAATTCCGAATTATCTGCAATCATTTTGCCTACAAGAAAGATAAACTGGGAGAGAGAAAGAAATACGTCAAGAGTAGAAAATAAAAGTGAAAGAGCTGAGGTTGTTCCTGTGAAGTACGACGAAGAGGGAGAACTGACACATGCAGACCAGAGTTGAGCGGAAGAACTCAACGGAAGAACGCGGAAGAATTTTTATCTTTTTTAGAAAATTTTTTCATGGAATGTGATCAACTGACGAAATGTATAGCAAAGTGAACTCTGCTCATAGAAAAATAATTGAAAAATAATTTATTCGAGTTGTTCCGTGAAAATGTCCTTTCGTCTTCGGTTAGCCCTTTTTTCACGGTACAACTCGAATAACTTTTTTGTATGAACGGCTAAATTTACACTTATTTATTTATGAGCAGAGTTCACTTTGCTATACATTTCGTCAGTTGATCACATTCCATGAACAAATTTTCTAAAAAAGATAAAAATTCTTCCGTGTTCTTCCGTTGAGTTCTTCCGCTCAACTCTGATGCAGACCCAATCTTCGCCTCTGGGTCTGCTTTAAAAAAAAAACGTACATAACTACAAATGTTGATGGCGGATCGGAGCGCGATCATCGACGGTTCGTGGTACGTCCGAATCTGTTTCCAGCTCTTTTTCACGATTTGCTGCACCAGTTGGAGGTATTCGTCGATTTGCGGCGAATCGACTCGCTCCTCGAAAGCCCGCATCCATTGGGCGAACGCGTTTGCCATTTCGACGCCCACCAGCGGACCGCATTGCTGAAAAATACGCGCATACACATGAATTTTCTAGACGAGAAACGCTTACCAATGCGACAGATTTGGCCAGTCCACACGCGGCGGCCGCTGAATCGGGTACGAAAAGAGCGGTGTTGAGGAGGGAGACGACGAAGGGAAAAAAGAGCGAAAGGTAGAGGTCGGGCAGCGAGTTGAGCGCCGAACGGACCGCCTTGCACACCTCCTGGATCAGATTTCCCTCCGAGGTGGGCACGGAACTGTCCGCGTCGCACAGCGTCTCGAATACCGGAATCGCCTCGCGCAACAATTGCACTATTGTCGGCTCCTCGTCCGGCACCGCGTTCGAAGCGTCTGAATTTAAAAATGTTGATTTAAAAATCGAGAGTTTCTCTCAATTCTACCTTTAGATTTAGGCGTCACACTCGCAAAAAGCGCCGCGAAAGTGTTGATCTGAAATGCGTATCGTCGATGTCTCGTCTGCGCGTCGATTCCCGGCTCGTCAATGTTCTGCTGCGACAGAATTTGTCCGATTATTTTCATCGTTTCGGCGGGCGTCCGCCGCGACAGCACGTATCCGATGCATTTCAGTGCCGCCAGACGGTCCGAGTCTCGTGCTCGCGTCGCATTGAAGAACTCGTAGCACGTCGTCGAGATGCGATCTCCGATTATCTGCAGAAATTCGAATGTATCATCGTTTTTCCCTGGCTACACTGCTATTGATTGAGCACATTTCCAGCATTTTTCGGCAGCATATTAACAAGCACTCTGTGAGTACTTTTGAGCAGACTTTGGAAAATCCTGATGATACATTAGGTTATGCTGAATCGAAACGTGCTCCTAGAAGTTACAGAATAGTGTCATCTAATTTTGAATAAACTGTCAAAAATCATAGAGAACATATTTTTCAGTGTTTTTTGTTGCTTCGTTTCAACGTACTAACATCGAGCGATTCGGGTCGATCCTCGACAAACTTTTGCAGCGTGTCGATGGCTCGTCGCGCACACGGAATGCTCGCATCCACGTGGCTCAGAATGAGGGGCACGACGGCGCACTCCAACTGTTTCGCCTGTTCGTGCTCCTGAACGAGATGGGAGAGCGAGTAGAGGAGGTGCATGAGGGTGGTGCCACGTCGACACACATCCTCGGAGATACTCGAGGGTGATGACGTGGCGGATGGAGAGGAAGAGGATGAAGAAGAAGAAGAAGAAGAAGTGGAAGAAGGGAGTGAGAGACGGGAGGCGCACAGTTCCAGACACTTTAGGATTGGCGGGTAGTCGGTTTCGGACAGGTAGTCCGCCACGCATTCCCACTGGTACAGACACGCTTCGCTTCTGCAAAAAATGTTCCATTTGTCAGATATTATCTCAATTGTCAAATATTAACTCCACAACTAATGTTCACTATCCTTTCCTATTCATCTGCAGCCATATGCAGCCATGCAGCCAGAGTTGAGCGAAATAACTCAACGGAAGAGCACGGAAGAATTTTTATCTTTTTCAGAAAATTTTTTCATGAAATGTGATTGACTGACGAAATGTAGAGCAAAGTGAACTTTGCTCATAGAAAAATATTTGTAAATTTAGCTTTTCATACAAAAAAGTTATTCGTTGGCCCCCTTTTTACACGGAACAACTCGAATAACTTTTTTGTATGAAAAGTTAAATTTACAATTATTTTTCTATTAGCAGAGTTCACTTTTCTATACATTTCGTCAGTTGATTACATTTTATGAAAAAATTTTCTAAAAAAGATAAAAAATTCTTCCGTGTTCTTTCGTTGAGTTCTTCCGCTCAACTCTGCATGCAGCCATGCAGCCCCTTCTGGTGTTCCCCTCTTTTAACGGTGTTTCTTTCTTTTTTTTTGCGATGAATAAACGAAATTTGAATTTGAATATTGAACGACCTCCAACCGTACCTATTCACATCTCCCACATTCAACGCCTCCTCCAACTTTTCGTTGAGAAAATTCAACGTCTCCGCGGCGGAAAAGTGATACGAGTCGTAGGAGGTCTCCGATCGCATTTTCCGATACGAATCGAACTGCTCCTGCTCCTCGAGATTCCACGTTTTCCACGTGGCTTCCGGCGGAAACGTGAGTTTTACGATTGCCGAATCGAGCACTTGCGCGTAGATTTGAGCCAATTGAGCCAGAAACTGAGAAAAAAAACGCACTTTTAAAACATAGAAAAAGTTATGCGCAAACCTGTTTGTCGACTTTCTCACTGGATCCCATCGTCTGCATCACTTCGGAGCGGAGATTGATGAAAAAGACGGCGGGCAGGTCGGAAATGTACTCTTCTTGCGGATACTGTCCCCGAATGTTGGCGAGCACTTGCATCACTTGGGCGACACGGCTGAAATCAAGCAACACTTGAGTATTTACATTTTTCGAGCGTTCTGTGCTAATCATCCGAGTTGGCCACATTCTATCAGATGTTCAGTGTTCAAGAATCTTCTTTGATTCAAAAATAAAGTGCAAATCTTCAAAAAAAACATCCTGAAACCGCCTACACGATAAGTTGCTGATCTCCGCCGCGCGTGGCGCACTCCACAAGCGTCGCCACACTTTTGGCGGCCACTGAACACGTGGCGGCGACCAAAGTGGCGATTTCCTCGCTCGCCGCGTCCTCCCTCAACTCTTCTTCGATCTTTCCCGACACGTGCACACAAATGTACTGGCAGATGCTGATGATGAGTGTCGAGTGGCGGCAGAACTCGTCGTTCTCCGCGATTATGTCCAGGATGCTCGCGAGGGCCGTGCTGAAACGGAAAGCATTTACGAATACTTGCCTAGTGTCACTGTTTTCAGTAGGCGTCACTAGGCTAGCGAAAATTATCGAAAAACCAAGCTTACCAATCGTGCACAACGGCGGTGAGCACTTCGGAGAGCACGTGTGTCCACGAGTCGAGTGCCATTCCGGGCAATTGGAGCCACTGTTCGACACATTCCACGGCCGCCTGCTGCGTGATCGACGAGGCGTCGCCGCCCGGACGGAGCACCACCGACAGCACTTGGATTATGTTCTGAAAATTGTTTAATAAAGTTATTTATATGCCGTATAACTTCAACTAGAACAGTATGTCTCAAAAGTTGAGCTTTTATATGTTTACCAGAGATGTTGGGAATAAAAATTTTACTCTACGGAACACGGAACACGGAAAACGGAAAATTTTTTTTTTACGGAACACGGAACACGGAAAACGGAAAAAACTTATTTCTACGGAACACGGAACACGGAAAATTTTTTTTTTACGGAACACGGAAAAAAGCGTTTTCAAGAGAATTCCAGTGATTTTTTTAAAAATAATGTTTTGTTTAATTCGATTATCTGACTGACAAGGCAGCTGTTTGACTCATGTGAAAGTTTTACTGAAAATTTCATAAAAATAACAAAACCAACAACACAACAGTAAACAACTACAGTAAAAAACGACTGAAAATGGAATCCACTTGTGATCGAATTTTTCCGCGGAAAATATAGTTTATACGGAACACGGAAAACAAAAAAAAACTTATTTCTACGGAACACGGAACACGGAAATTTTTTTTTACGGAAAACGGAACACGGAAAAAATATTGAAAAAAACGCGGAACACGGAACACGGAACACGGAATTCCCAACATCTCTGATGTTTACATTAGAAAAAAAAGTCAACGACAAGCCTGGGCGGATTTGTGCTTGAAGCAGAGAAAAAATCTGGTCAACCCAAATGGTATTTGTCTCGCCTCGCGTTTGGTCGCTAAGCAATTTCTTAGGCAACGGGAAGCAAATGCCCAACAAGTGGTCAAAGCTGTTCTAATTTCGTACAACGCTTACCTCCGAGAACTCGTGCAATTTTATTTTCAGCGTACACCTCTGCGTCAGCGGCATTTGGACGTGCGCAAATTCGGCGGCCATATCGGAGAGCACTCTGCAAATGTGTCACTGCTGTTGAACCCATTTTTTTTTAATTAACGGAGGGAAACTTTTCGTCGCTCTATTCTAGAGGATATTGCTGTTTAGAAACGAGTCCATCACTCTAAGAGTCATAATTGCATTTCTCACTTGAGCAGAATTTCGGGAGTTGCGGCGAGGAGCGGAGTGAGGTCCTGAACGGGTGTCTGCCATAAATCCGGTACGCAGTAGAGAGCGAACAGAGCCAGAGTCGCAGACAACTGAAATCAGAATGAATGTTAACGAGTGTTTCTCCGTAATCAGCAGCATTTGAAGCACAATTTAAAGTTTCTTAGACTTTGCTTAGAGTCTGCTTAAACGTTGCTTAAAGTGTGCCCGAGTTTAAGCAATTTTTAAGCGAACTTTTCGGCAAAACACAGTCTCCAGAGCTATCGATTTTTCGTGGCTATCCTGGCAAAAAACACAAATTTTGCAGTTAAAATTTTAATTTAGCGCCGCTCTATTGGGCGGGGCGCACTTGCGCCCATTGTCAGCTCAACTGTCCGGTAATGTCCGCGCGGAAACGTTTAATTAGGAATTGCTTACACTGTGCGGCGATTTCAAATCTTCAGAACCTCCGTATGGTGTCAGTTTTCGTGAACAAAAAAATCGAATTACCTTGTTCAAAACCGACGTCGTTTCGGCGTAAGCTCCAGACGTTAGACTATCGATTAAAAATGTTTTTATGCTTATTTGCTGCAATGTTTGCATGTTTATCTTCAAAAAATGTTCGAGTCCAAATACCAAAGTCTCGTTGGCAATGCACTCGGCACTTCGTATTCGAATCACGTCGTACAGTGAAACGGCGCCGAAATATCTGCAAAAAATTTGTGAAATTCGATAAGCCATTTCAAATTTTCTCCCACCTAACACTGGGATTATTGTTCGACTCTCGAATCATCCGCATACATGTGCCTACGGTTAAAAAGCAGTCAAAGTCTGAAGGAAAAAAAAAGATTTGCAGAGGAATGCCAAAAACTCTAAACACGTACCACTTTTGAAGCGGCACAACACCTGATCGATTTCGTGCCTTCTCTGCTCGTCGAACGTCGCGTAAAACTCGTTGACCGCCGAAATGAGCTCGTCCGCGCTGAGCGGAGCAGCAGCCGCGCCGCCGCTCATTTCTGCAATTTCTATTTGAAACGATGAGAAAGTTTAAAAGCGTTTTCGCAATCCGACCGGGTCCACACTTTGCAGGCGCATTGCATAAAATTTGTGTCATAGGAAAAGCAGATAAAAAATCAGGCCAATACCACTTTCGTCAAATACGTAAGCATACATTTTCCAATGTCTTTATTCACTCTTTGCGTGTAAAACAGAACATTATCGATTGGTCACGATCGAGTGAAAGCCGGGGAGCGAGAAGAAGAAAAAGAGAGAGAGAGAGAGAAACAAATCAGAAAATCCTTGAGATGATGGAAAAATCAGCTTTTCAGGTGCTTTTCGCAAAAAAAAACGCACATTTTTGGGTGTGTGCAAAATCTTCGGAGAGAACGACAAGTGTTTGAATGAGATTTACGGGAATTTCGTCTTTTTTTGGGGGAAATGGGAGCGAAAAAAATTGTGAGAGAGAGAGAAAAAAATGGAATTCTTTCTAGACAACGATAGGGGGAATAATAGGGCGGAGAAATAGGAGAAAAATCATCATAAATTAATTAATTTTGACTTTTTCCGGAAAATGTTCAAGTTTGATTACAACGTTGGGAAAGCTGTGAGGTGTGGGGGAGAATCGGCGAAAATTGGAGAAGGGAGAAGATTTTGAAACTTTTTTTGGGATTAGTTCAGAATTTTACCAGCTTTTTCAGGTAAGTCTAACTTTTGAATTTTTTCATCAGGGCTGGGCAATTGACCGGGTCCAATCGAACCCAAACTTAGCAGGCTTGTTGGACTTGGATTGAAGTTCGATCAAGCTTAAACTTGGTCCCGATCCGATCATTGCAAGTGGTTCAAGAGAGCCAGCCAATTGCCAAGCCCTGATTCTCATAACCTAAAAAACATTCTGAATAATCCCAAAAAATCCGATTCTTCGCCAATTTTCCGATTCAGAACCGTATTCTTCTCGTGTATCCTCGCTCTATTTCGGCCTGACTCTGCTCGAGAATCGCGTCGAGCTCTTCGCAGCACAATTGCGAGTGAAGACGGACCACTCCGTCGCGATCCGTCCTCCACAGACGGCGCACTTCGCGGTGCAGCTCCAGAAGACGTTCGCGGAGAGTCTGAAACAATCGTTGAGTATTTTAACGTTAGTGGAATTCCTTTTTTGTTCCAGAGATGGGCGGCATCATCGCTATTCCGCGAACCGTCGGCTGCTTGGTTGGCGCCGCAAGAATACTGATTCATCTTCCCATTTTTCTTTATTAACGCCTTCATCACACCCCATACTTGCAAAGAGCAACAAAAAATTTGCAAAAAAGTCTCAGAGTCACTACGAAATCGGCAATTTTCGAGCGGCGATTGTGAGAATCGAATTCAATACACTAATGCTTATTGCTGTTTGGTGTTAGAAAGTGTATTGATCACTTTAAGCTTGAAATCGTTCAAAAATCAACTTTACTTCTCCGACGACACTCATATAGTGTCCAGAGACATGCGTTGGCTCACCCGAGTGTTAGAGCACGCTTCATTTCGGTAAAATTTTGATGTTCACAGAAAGAGAAACCCTCCGCCAACATTTTCATCATAAACTAATGTAAAATGAATTCGATTCTCACTTGTAGCACGCGCACTCAATCACTACTCGAAAGAAACCGATTTCGGTGTGACTCCGAATACTTTTGTTGCTCTTTGCAAGTACTGGTCATTAAGAACATGCTCATGAAGAACAATGGGAAGACGAATCGGTATTCGTTCAAAATTTCAGCCGGAAAGCCGCCAATCGGCGCCCATCTCTGATTTCTTCGAAAAACGCACAACAAAGACGTCCATTCCGTAGCTGTGAATGCAAATTCTGATGAGATCGACGGCGGCGCGACGCGAAAGGACACTTCTGTCGAGAAGGACAATGTTGTGGAGGGCGTGGAACAGTCGTTCGAGCCACTTCTCGAATCCCTTTCCCTCCGTCGCGCGCATCATGAATCCGATGCCTCCGCACGCCGACGCACGAAGAATCTCGTCTTGTTCACTGCAAATTCGGATTGTCTTATGTTCAGCAAAACAGTTTCTATAGACATTTTTCCAAAAAGATAGTGCACGCCGCTTTTAAATGTTGTTTTTCTCCTGAAACGTACCCCAACTGATCGATGAAAATTGGCGCCATGCGGTCGACGTGGTTGACCGTAATCGCGCCCTTGACGAGGAACACGCGGCCGAGCGCCTCCGTCAATCGGCCCAAACGGACAATTATCGGCTCGTTCTTCTCGGCCATCTTGCTCATTTCCTCGTAATATTCGATGGCGATTTCGAGGAGACGGCGGTCGAAAAGCGACATTTCGCACATCGCGTTGATTGCCGACAGGTACACGTACGAGTCGTCGTCTGCGATCAGTTCTGCAATACAAAAAAATTAGTTGTGAGGGTTTTTTCATTGTTATCGCTCAATTTCAGTCATATCTTCTCTCCTCTCTAGGCCTGACTCTTTCCTGCATATCCATCTGGCCAAGTTATTAGCCGAAACACTGTCAACCGAGGCGTCTGCGGCGCGCATAGAAAAGATCCCTCTAGAATTTTGAAGATGGATAGACGCGGACGGACGAATAGAGGAAGAGCTGACCAGAAGGACAAGGAGCCCACTCAGCCAAGCCCCTACTCGACATCATAGACAGAAGGAACAAGATCATTCTACTAAAGCTGAACATCCTCACAGCCATGTTCTACGCGCAGAAAGTTCAGAGGATTGTAGACGCCAAGCCGAATAACTGACTGGAAACTCGACTGCAGGGACACGTGGCACTGAGAGACGATGGGCTAAAGTCGCAAGTGCGCGTCCTCGGCCCCAGGAAGACGAAGAAAATGGTCCTCTTGCCCGAGATCTTCCTAAACGGACAGACTTTGTCCGTGTCAAGCTTCACATCGCTTGATGAAACAGACTCCACGTCACCAAGTAAGTAGGTTTTGCAGTGAAAAGCGTACCCTTGGCCATTTCGAAGACTCCGTACTCGAGCAGTCGCGGACACAAGTACATTTTGCTCCTGAACGTCTTCGAAATCTGCATGAGGGCGGCGCCTCTCACCGCCGGCTCGTCGTCGTGCAATTCTTCCATCAGCTCGTTGCAAACGTCGCCGTGGCTGCAAAGCATTTAATTTTTTTTTTCTGCCAAATAGAGAACATGTCTTACCTGTATCTGCGTCTGTCCATTCTTTGCGGTATATTCACCGGATTCACGTTTTCCACGTCTGAACGTTTATTCAATTGAGAAAAATTCGAGAAAATCTGCAAAACCGTACCAATTTTGAGGCTTCTCAGCCAAAGTTTCGCCTCGTCGATGGTGGCCATGAACGAGTGATCCTGAGAGGGAAACTGATCGACGGCCTTCGTCAAATTGGCCACCGATTCGAGACATTTGAGATGGAGCTCGTGCAGACGGCTCATTCCTTGCGTCAAAGCGAATACGGTCGTGACGAGAGGCACACAGAGGCGCGCCGTCGAGCACGTCAACTACAATTTTTAGTTTAGAAAAGGAAAAAAACGTATGTTGAAAGGGTCGTACTACTAGAAAAAGTTGTCGAGACAATATAGCATCATTCGATTCAGCGTCCTAGAAAAGCGACGAGGCCTGCTCTTTTTTCCAAGCCTTTCAGACAAGAGTACACGTAACTCTGCGCCTTGGCCTTATTTTTGACGCTGAATCGAATGATGCTATTCTCTGGACACCTTTTTTTTAGTGTGGTACGACACTAAAAAGATAAACCCACTTCAAACTCCTTCTGCTCGTTCTCCGACATCACAAAGACGTCGACCGAGCGCTTTCTGGTGCCAAGACGTTGAAGTTTTCCGGTCGCGTTGTTCAGAATGTTCTGGAAATCATTTTTTTTCCCCCGAAATGTTTGACTTGACAAAGTAGCAAAATTGCAGAATAATCCGCAAAAATCACCTCGGCCAATCTGAGCAACTGAACGCACTCATCAGTGCCGAATCCATATTTATCGGCAATCGAGACGAGACGCTCGAAACAGCAGCCGACAACGAGATGGGCGTGGTGCGCCGCAAAGTGCTTGGCTGCAAGTGTAATGCAAATTAGACCACCTTTGAAAACATTCTGAAACTTTAATTTTTACCAATTTTTACCTGTCCGGGTCCCAACTCTCCGCATAGGTGCCGGATGTTTGAGAAACGCCAAAACATTTTTGAACTGCCGGCGCTCAACTCAAAACACCTATGACTCTCAGAAATGCGTATAAACGGAACAGCCGCAGTGGCCTAGAAAACTCCTAGGCCACGGGATCTTTTCCGGAATCCTCAGGCGTTGCCAAACATTCACACAAATCCGCGGATTGCTAACAGGGAAGAGTTTTCACACCAGAGTTTTCTAGGCCACAATTATTACAGCTCCAGGCATTTCTGAGAGTTGGGACTCGGAAATTCAGACAGACACAGAAAGAATTCAGAAAGTTTCGAGGGTTCCATGGTCCTTCAATTTTTTTACAAAAAGAAAAGTGTGACGGACCTCCTTCCAGCACGACGAATCGTGCGCAATCGTCGTCGCGTTCCTTCTCGGCCGTCTTCAGAAAATCGTCGACACCGAGCGTCATCAATTCGATCATCGTGCGCACTTGCGACTGCGTCAGCACGTTGTCGACCACGAAGAACGCCGTTTCGAGGCGGCGCGCGATGCCCTCGTCCGCGTTTTCTTCGACTCCGTGCAGCCACATCTCGTCTGCAATTGTGGTTTTTTGCGCGTTTTCGGCAGACCTAAATTGCCGAGAAACCCACCGTCATCCTCCGCGTTTTCCTGCGCATTCTCCCCGATTTCCTCAATTTTCGAGCTCGTCTCTTCGCGCTTCTTGACAATTTGGACGGCACGCGTGGGCGTCATCACGTGCATATAAAGCGAGCAGCCCATGTTCTGGAAGCCCTCCAACGTCGCCTTGAGCACGTCTTTCACGAACGGAATGTGCTCGATGCACGCGTAGAGCACCGGGTAGATGAAACGAATGCGTTTCGGGTCCAGCGAGGATTGGAGCTGGCTCAGCAGTTGCAGATTTCGCACGTCTTTCGCGCAAAAGTCTGTCATTTTTTGCGAGTGTCTCACCGTTTTGTCGGCGATTCTTTGGTTCAGGATCTGAGAACAATTTGCGTTTTTTTTTTGTTGTTGGAGGGTTTGAAGGTTCATCTAACCTCCCAGAAGCGAAGAACTTTGTCGAAAATCGTCAAATCGCAGTTGAGCGAGAAGCGGACACGCAGCTCGTCCGAGTAGCTCACAAACACTCGCGTCACATTTTTCTCCGGCGTTTTCTGGAAAACATTGTAGATTGTAGATTCGCGATCGGTCTCTATCGAGAACGTAGGCCTATGGTATGCTTTTTCGCACTCAAATAGCTTCAATCACCTGTTTCCAGAGGGTCTCAAAAAACTGATTGGAGATGATCTCGTGGTACTGGAGCGGATGTTTGAATAGTTTCGGAACGGTGGCCAGGTGCCACGCCACTTGTTTTGTCATCGGCAGATTGTCGGTCCACGTGTCGCCGGCTACAATTGTTGTTGTTTTGGAAATTTTCGTGAAAGTCCGACAAGCGAGCCTTTAAACATGAGAAGTATCACAATTTTTCCCCATTTTCTCATGACAAATGATAGAAAACTGTCTAGTGGCTGTGAAATCGGTGTATTTGCCACAAAAATTGAGTCGAATTGTGATCTACAGTATCCCTTCTCAAGTTTAAAGCCGCAGAACTCCAAAGCGCATCGCCATCTCACCACGCTCGCGATAATATTGCATCAGGTGCGAGAGTCCGTCTTTTGCCACGAGAATCTTGGTCATGTGCATTCCGCAAGCCATTTTCAGCCAAAGCGGCGTTTTGTACTGTTTCTTGTCGGGCAACATGAGCATCAGCGAGGCGAAAAGGACGTCCGGCGGACATTTGGCAAGAATTTCCACAAACTTTGGCTCATTCTCCTTGACGCCCAGGTTTACCAGCTGAAATGTTTTAGAATTGCTTTAAAGGTGGAGTCCCAAGAGCCCAAATTAAAAAAAATATTCAAAAAATCAATGATTTCACCTGGAATCGAACACAGAGCACGTCATCGATGAATTTGGGCAAGAATTGGGCGGCAAGAGCGAGATTGCACTCCAGAAGCGCCAGAATCACTTTGGCGGCGTAGTCGAGCTGCAATTGTATGATATTTGCGAAAAAAAACTCCAAAACGTACTCTCTCGATGCACACTGGCTTGTTTCCGTCGTAGACCTTCCAGGATTTGATGAAAGTGCTCCTGGAAGTGGCTCCCAGACCGACTCCCGGCTCCAAAAATGGCAAAATTGCGGTGAGAACGAAGAATTCGAACGATTTTTTGATCGCCGAGACGTCTTGGAGCGAAAGTAGCTGAAATTCGTCCGGCGCCGACTCACGCGCCGATTTCAGCAGCGAAGAGAGCTGAAAAATGCGGAATTTTGAAAAAGAATGCAGAAATGTAGAAGAAAACGTACATCAAGATAAACGCCGCCCAGAACCTGCGAAAACTGAATTCTGACGTCCGCGTTGACGGTTCTGACGTCGTCCGAAGTAGACGGAACGAGATCTTCGGGTTGCACCTCCAAATACTTGACGATGAGCTCCTAAATTGTTCAAATTCACACTTTACCGAGTTTTTCCACTTACCTTCGGCGCCTGTTTAAGTAATATTTCGAACGGATCATTTTTCCAAGCTTCTCCTGCAAGAAAGATAATTTTTTCGAAAAAATCAAATGTTCGGGCAAAAAATTGATTTTTGCGCATTTTTGAGTGAGAAAAATGTACCTGGCTGTGCTATCAGTTGATTAATCACTTGAATATAGTCATCTTTGGTTAACATTGTGCTGAAAATAAGGGAAAATCGATAAATTTGATTCGAAAACGGCGGCAAGAGCAGACGTGCCACTTCTCCGAGTGAAGTACACTGCGCAATTTCTAGGCCACGGCCCTCGCGGTCATTTCGAAATCACTCAGTTTCCGGAGCTCCGCGAGCACATTCCGGCGCAAAGTTAATAGGAAAAAACGAAAAAGAAAAGCTCACTTGCGAAATTATCGATTTTCAATCAAAAGTGTGCCAAAAACGTGAAGAAAATGAGCGAAACGACGAGTTTTGCCATTTCAATTTTGCAAGTCAGCAGTTGGTGCGTTTTGTTTAAAGTCGGACGCTCATTGTGCTACGGAGTACGTGTACTCGCCGCCGGACAAGCCCGCGAGCCACGAGAGTGCGAAAAAGTGGAGAGACGCGGAGAGAAAACGGCGGAAAGTCGGCACTTTTGATGGATTTGACCAGCTCTGGGTGGCTTTGAACGAGTCCTTTTTGAAGACGGGCGGCCTTACCATCATCATTCTACGAGTTTTCAGTTTCCCCACACCGCTCCCAAGAAAACAGAGTAAAGCCAGCAGCCAGAGGCGACAAACGATGATTTCAGAAGAAGAAAAGCGAGTATTCCTGGAAGAGTTGAGCAGTTTTATGGAGAATAAAATTGAATCGTACACACTTCAATTAGCGAAACTTTCTGTTCGAGAATAAATAGCAACCTCTTCATTTTTCAATTCAATGCACCGAAAAAGCGCAAAGGCACGGTGAATCGCTCGTGCAGTCCAGGTGCCGCAACGCAACCGGCGCAGCGCTGAGAAATGTGTAGATCAAAAGAACGCGCGCTGTTTTCTACATGTTGCGTTTGTGCCGCGCGGTCAATTTATCGATTTCTGTCCGCCGCCGCATCATTCGTCGCAACTACGAGCGTTTGAAGTGCGGTTTGGCGAACCGTTTGCTCTCAAATGCGGTGACTTTTGTGGACGCATTGTAGTAGAGCTCAACCATTTTTGACTGGCGTCTTGCAATCAGTAGTCCATTGAGACATCTCGGCACTTCCTAACATTACAAAGTACTGCTTTGAAAGTAGATTTGTCCAAGCGTTGGGATGAATCATATTGATTCGAGTAATCTCGGGTAAACGGCTGAAGTAACTATGACTCTCTCAAGGTGGCCAAATGCCTCATTATCGTATTTTTCCTACCGTCTCGAGCCAGAAAAACCCCAGGATGATCGGCCCTGTCGAAGAGTTATGAAAGGTACGCTCAATTTCATTTTTATCATTTGATCTCGGCACTTGCTATCATTACAAAGCAGAACTATCGAAGCGTTGAAACCGAGTAACTATAACCCTCTCAAGGTAGCCAAATGCCTCTTTGTTGTATTGTTTCTACTGTCCCTAACAAGCACACGTGACGCGAAGAGTCGAGAAGGGCTCGGCCACCTCTTTGTTTTAAGCAATTGACTTGCGGAGATTGAAAAGAAACATGAGCTGGTTTTGCACGTTGACTTTGAGATCAGTTTTGCCCTACTGTCGACTCATCATTGCAAGAGAGGACTGGAAAAGAACGTGAGCACTTTCCATCTTTTGATCATTACAAAGCAGATTTATCCAAGCGTTGGGATACATTTTAAGAACTCGAGTAATTTCGAACAAGATAGCCAAATGCCTCATTATCATATTGATCCTTCTAACAAGAGAAATCACTATTGATCGTTTGATCACGGCTCATCCTATCATTCCAAGCAGAACTGACCAAGAACTCGAGTAGTCCCTATGACTCTTCGACATGCCCGGCTATTCCTATCGTAGAAGGCCAGTTTCACCCTACTTTTGATCGGATCGGTAGACATCCACATCTCGTGCCAACAACTTCAATTCAAATTTCAGAGTACTCTGGTTCAATTGGCACTTCCCGCTGCGTGCAATCCGTTGAGACTATCCTATGCGTGAGTTTTTGCTTCCTTTTCAGCTTCCTTTTCAAGTGACTAGTGCCGTTAATCAAACGAACACCGCTAGCTAATTCGATTTAGAAATTTAGTCTGGGGCGCCGAGTTTCAGTCAAGAACCTTCTCCAGAACTTGCGTATTCCGCAATACAACTTTGTGCCGACCCGTAGTTTCAGTTACAAGAATACAGATTCACAACTGCGAGTTTATGTACGTAGTGTGTTGCAGCTCGGAGCCGACGTCTTCTTCTTCTTTTTCTTCTGCGCTCCGTTTCCGATGCGGGCGATCTTCGGAAGATTTATGTGCCGTGTGGAAGACGCGCCTGTCAAAGAAGGAAAAGGTACTCACAGTCACTGGTGTGCTCCAAGTCATTCGTCTGCTTCAGAGACTTGCGCCGCTTTGGTGCTATCACTTATTATAGGGGCATCTCACAGAAATGGCGCTCTGTTCGCAATCTGGCCGAATTTCTCGGCCGCGAAGTGTTTTTCCACTGAAAACGTGGCCTAACTTTTCAAACTCGGCCCCGAGGCCGCTCAATTTGCACTGCAAAAAGAGTTTCTGAATAGAGCGCCATTTCTGGGCGGTGCCCCTATAATACTCGATGTAGAAAGGGGCGTGGCCTAATCTGAGACGAGTTTTCTGAAAATTGCCGCAATTCCAGCACACTTTTCCGATATTTTTGTGTTTGATATCGACGAAAGAAGAGACATTAAAGAGAGAAAATATTGAAATTTTTGTGAAAACGGCGCGTTTGAGACGTTTTTGGCATATTTCGCAATACGCTCTCCGCCGCAATTTCCGAATTTTCATACCGGCCGATCGGGATAGTTTTGAGACGAAGTGAGTGTCGGAAGTGATTAAGCACACGTTAATACAAGTATTTTAAGCGTTCAAACGGCAAAAAGTATCGGCGAATGACTGAAATTCGCGCATTTTCAGCACAAAACTTGAAAATCGATTGAATTGATTCATTTCTAGATTTCTGATTGAAACCTGCTCGTTTTAAGCTCAAAAAGTGCGCGATGATTAGTTTAACAAAGTTATGCAATCGCATCGTCGAAACCCGTACAAAATTTGGGTAATTTTTGACGAAAAACATGCAAAAAATGGGGTTAAATTTCGAATTTCGCGCCAAAATTGTTAGGCCACGCCCCTTTCTGCGTTCTTGGTCGCCGTATATTGTGTGTGATTAAAATGCCTTTATTTGATGGTGAAAAAGTCGGTCGACAGATGGAAAGATGGAAAATGGGGGGGGGAATAATGACAAACGGAAAAAACACCATCGGGGGGGAAAGTCATAGAAAACAATTTTTTTGCAGATTTTGTTTTGCAGATTTTGCAGATTTTTTTGCAGATTTCATACAAATAATTCTACAGGCGCAACATTTTTTTTTGTTCACATTTTGGACGATCAGATGGGCGGCGGAATGAAGGATTCTTCGTCGGAGCAGTTTGCGTGAGCGTGTGCGGCGTGGGCGGCGAATATTTGAGTGTCTTCGAGGTGGTGCGCCTCACGGAGCAGCTCCGCGACTACCGTCATTTGGAAGATCGCACCTGAAAATGGTCGAGGACAGTTGCGAAACGTCTCCCGAATGCACAATACCAAAAACAAACGTGTGATTGGTCTAATTTCAGCGCCCGGACTCACCCAACAACACGAGGAACATCATGCACTGTCCGCCGAGCGCCAACGCGAATCCCTGATAGAAGCGCTCGGTGGCGGTGTCGAGATGACGGACGGTGGTCGAGTTGTCACGTGGCGCCACGCCACTCGCCACGTAGCTTCCCACAAACGCCGGTGTGAACAGCATGAGAGCGACAGAGAAGAGGAAGAAGAGCCACTAAAATCGATGGTCCGTTTGCTTGTGTGTGTGTGTGTGTGGAAACTTTTAAAGGACCAAGGAACCCAAAAATTTTGTGATTTTTTTGTGAAATGTTTTTGTGACTGTTTGAATTGTCTCTTATTGCCTCATACACTGGTGAAATGCTGCCTCTCAAAAATGCCAATGAACGAAACGGCATGCAGTTGAAGTTGTGACCGTGGCCTAGCGCCAATGGCCTAGAAATATGCGCTTCTCGGCCATTTTATTTTTTCCGCTTTTTTACCGGTTTTTTTCCAAAAATTCACGGTTTCTCCCATTTTTCAGTTGATTGACATTTGTTCGGCACTTACTTATTTTTTCACTGCTAAAAAATTGTTTTCATTCAGTCGATATGAAGTGCCTTATATATTTTTTTATATATTTTTCGGCCATTGGCATTTTTGAGAGGCAGCATTTCACCAGTGTATGAGGCAATAAGAGACAATTAAAACAGTCACAAAAAAATTTCACAAAAAAATCAAAAAATTTTTGGGTTCCCTGGTCCTTTAAACTCACGGCGATGGCCATGGCGACACGACATCCGACGACGGTGCGCGAGAGTCCGGTGGCCAGAGTGACGAGGTGCAGAACGATGCACAAGCACATGTGGAAGGTGGGCTGAGCGCCGGTGAACTGTGCGAACGGACCCGGGTGCTCGGAGTCGATCGACAAAATGCCCAGAACGTTCGCCGACACGACGATGGCGATGAAGAAGATGAGCGTGGTCGACGAGCGGACCGTCGAGCAGTGCGCCTCGCGTTCGGCAGACGCACGCCGATGACGACGACGAGCGATCATGACGATCGCGTTGTTGCCGAGCGCTTCATCCGATTCCGGTGCGGTGCGGAGAAGGACACGGTGTGGACACGACGACGCCTTCGTGGCGCCTTTCGTTTGGACGGTCATTGTTATGACGCTGAATGCGATATTTGAGAGGAGAGCAGAACGATGATTCGAAAGCATAAGGATTACGATAATACACCGGTCTCCAGAGCTGACAATATGGGCGTGGCCTCGGCGGCCAAATGGCGTTTTCATGAATTGAGCAGGTTTTCTCTGATTTTTGTGGTCAACGGCGATGAAAAATGATTGTTCGACATGAAAACATGAAAACACACGAATTCTCAGAATTAATGACGTTTTGGCGCATTTTTCGCGCATTTCGCTTTTTCGCTTTTTCGCCTTCGCCGCCGATCGCCGCCTAAAAACCGCACTTCTCATTTTGCGCTTTCTTGACCGTTTTCAGACAGAATTGGTTTTGAGAATGATAAATCACGTAAATACAAGCATTTTGAGCGCTCGAACCGCGAAAACTACCGAAAAGCAACTGAAATTCACGCAGTTTTAGCCAAAAATCTTCAAACGGATAAATGTGATTTGAGACTTGACCAAATTTAACGCTCTTGCGCTTAAAAAAATCGTAATCGCCTATAGAATCAGTCTATCGAGAGACAAATGAGAAATTATCGGTTTTTCGTGGCTAATCTGGCAAAAAACACAAATTTTGCTGTAAAAATTTGAATTTCGCGCCAATGAATCGCTCTATTGGGCGGGGCGCACTTGCCCGCCCATTGTCAGCTCTGGAGACCGTGTAATAACATTTATTTTTTTTTGCTTTATAACTCTGTGCTTTCAGAAAAGGAGCCAGCTCACGAGAGCCGCCCGAAAAAGAGAATAATGGCGCCGAGCTCGTCGACTCATGGCTCCGCCCCTTTGAATCCGATTTGTTGGCGCCAAAGAAAAGGGCCTTCGCGTTTAAGTTTCGGTAGTTCAAACGACATGGAATATTGTAGGCTATTGTAGGAAGTGACGCATTTACATCGAATCGGATGATATCAGAATGTGGAGAAGACGTCCCGAGACGAAAAGAACCGACAATTTAGCAATTCATCTTCTCGTTTCTGACGGACGAACGGAAATGAAATGTGTGTGTGTGTGTATGTGGCAGTTGACGAACGGATAAAGGAAGTGCGGAGCCGCTTTTTGCGTCCACTTTTGAGGTTTCCCCCGTTTTATTTTCGAATTCGTGAGAGCTCGCCGCGAAAGACGCCGAAATTATAGGGTTTGGCGAGGTGCGAAGGCTACGCAAAAGGTTCCCAACACGAGGGGGAGTGGAAAGTCATGGCAGCGAAATTTTGCGGACTTTTAGAACTGGAATTGAAGAAATACGCGTGTGAGTGATGTGGAAGAGAACAATAATAGTCGAGAATCGTGCGGCGGCTCATTAGTGGCGATCCTTTGGGATTTCGATTACGCACGACCGTCTGATCTTTGAAAATAGTGTTATATGTATTAGGACACTTTGCAACTGGTAGACATTTCGCAACCAAATCTGTGTCCTCTGCGATCTTTGATGTTCTAGGCAATTCCCGTTTTTTGCAACAGATGGCCCTACTGGAAGCGTTCTCATTTCGCAACTCGAAGCCAGACAAATGTATTCAACTTTTGTTCCACATGGTGCGTCGGCCGTTGCCCGGAGCAACCACGGGTTGTGTCTTCTGATGAGAAAAGTACAATATCGGCAAATAAAAATGTATTGTCGTCGTGTTGTTGACAAGAGCACGAGATACTTGGCCCGCTGACGTGACTGGAAGACGGCGACATATCGAAATGTATCGATAAAACTATCGATAAACAATAATTTCGGCTCAAACTCCTCCAATATTGTCCATTTCTACCGTTTCTCGCCGCGCGAATCTGCTCGATTTCACAATTGCAAGTACGGACGCGACCAATTGGAGTTGTACGAAAAAATCTGAAAAATGCAAGCGATAATGCGTCTCGAATAGGGTAAACGCACAAAAACACGAGGCCATCAACATAATTTCCACAAAAACGCAATAGCCGAATCGCTGAAAAAAGCTCATTTGCACTTTTTTCGAAGAGTGCCGAAGAGCCGAACGAATTTCCTCGGGAACGCCATTCTGGAATTCCAGAAGCATCCAGAACGGAAAAATTATCGAGAGGACGGAGAAGACGACGACGAACATTGTCTGCAATTTTTTTCGGAATTTTTTAAAGGTGGTGTCCGACGTGACATACAACATGGTTTTAAAATAAACTTCGAAGTGGGGCATTCACTTTCCCAAAGTCCCGAATTACGAAAAAAATTCCCAGATTTTTAAGATTTTTTTCAAAAAAGTTAATGGTACCGAGAGAGAGAGCTGGCCTAGATTTTTCTAGTCCCCGGATGGAATTCCCCTTTTCTTCCGAATTTTTTCCGTTTTCGTGCAATTTTCTTAAATTTTCAATCGTTTTTTTCACTGAACACACTTATTTGCAATATTTAAAAACATTTATTATTTTATCTGTGCCGTGACGCCAAAAAAATCGATAATCTGAAACTTTTTTGTTATTTTTCCGGGTTTTTCGCTCAATCTTCGGTTTGCGCGCTGAAAAATAAATAGAAAGAGATCGCTCAATCATTTTCTGAGTCTTAATTAAAGTTTGCGAGTTACAGAAAGTTCTATTTTTCAAAGTAATGCGAAAAATCCAAAACTTTCTATTTTCAGTTTTACAAAAAGTGGCTGAATTTCTGAATTTTTCTGAATTTTGAAAGTTTCAGATTATCGATTTTTTTGGCGTCACGGCACAGAAAAAATCATAAATTTTTTTCAAATATTGCAAATAAATGTGTTCAGTGAAAAAACGATTGAAAATTTAAGAAAATTGCACGAAAACGGACACAAAATCGACGAACAGTGTCTGCAATTTTTTTCTGAATTTTTTCAGATTTTTTTCGGGTTTTTTCGAGGATGATGCATCGATCACGAAATTGCCTAACTGACCGTATAAAAATGAATCGTCTTGAGTGCTGCATAGCCATTGGTGATCGATGCGATGAATTGGAGTGTCGCAAGTGCCAAATTGAACGGAATGTGAATAGTTTCCAAGTTCAATCCATATGGGACGAGGTACTGGATCTGGTAGATTCTCAATCCGAGATTTCCGATCGAAAACGCAAAGAACCACACGCGGGAGTCGACATTTTCGAGGAGCGCAAACATTGGAATCGGATAATAAATCTCTTGGTCGGGCGGGACCGTGCCTCGGCCAATAGGCACCGGGTTTCGAGCAGTAGGGACCGACTGCGTGGGAATCAGAAAGCGGCTGATCGGGACCGAGTCTTCTTGGTCAGTAGGCATCAGGAATCGGCTAATCGGATTCAGGTCTGGGCTAGTAGGGACCGGGTCTTGGTCACTCATATTTAGTGCCTTTTCAGTATGTACCGACACCGCCGCAAAAATGTTTGACCTAGACGTTTTTGGGCGTTTTGAGAGAAGGCGAAATTCGGAGAATGCGATAACATTCAAAGCGAAAAAAAATTATAGAGTGGTCACGAGTACTATAATTGCGCGCCGACTCGAAATGTGTAATTATTGTGGGTGTCTGAAAGGTGTACATAATAAAAATGTTTTCGAGTTTTGATATCTGGTGCCTGTGCCAGGTGCCGTAAAAAGTGGGTTCAATCGAGAGAAGACTGAAAGGAAGATATTCGCACGGCGACCATGAGTGTAGAAAGGGGCGTGGCCTAATCTGAGACGCGTTTTCTGAAAATTTCCGCAATTCCAGCACACTTTTCCGATATTTTTGTGTGTTGATATCGACGAAAGAAGACATATTAAAGAGAGAAAACATTGAAATTTTCGTGAAAACGCCGCGTTTGAGACGTTTTTTGCATATTTCGCAATACGCTCTCCGCCGCAAATTCGAAATTTTCATAGCGGCCGATCTGGATCGGTTTTGAGACGAAGTGAGTGTCGGAAGTGATTAAGCACACGTTAATACAAGTATTTTAAGCGTTCAAACGGCAAAAAGTATCGGCGAATGACTGAAATTCGCGCATTTTCAGCACAAAACTTGAAAATCGCATCAATTGATTCATTTCTGAATGAAACCTGCTCGTTTTACGCTCTCAAAAAGTGCGCGATGATTAGTTTATTAAATTTATGCAATTACATCGTCGAAACCCGTACAAAATTTGGGTAATTTTTGACGAATGCTAAACACAGTGCGCTCGTAAATTGCGGAGTGTCGTTGTAACTTTTGAAAATTTGCAGGTCTAAAAATGCAGTTCAATTCGAGTTTACGACCATTATTTCTTTCTTTTTTACTTGAAAAACGTCTAGAAAACAATATTTTACTGATTGGAAACCGTTCTCTACAGAATTTAGAGTTTTTCATGTTTTTAGCGTCTTTTTCGCATTTCGTCAAAACTTCAAACCTTTATATTTCAGCTCATTTTGCATTTCATGAGTCCAACGAACCATAAAAATGTTCGCATGATCTTTCTTCACAAAATTCAGGTTCCGGCGGTTAGTTTTCTTGAGCAGTTTTCGAAAACTATTCGAAAAACATCAAAATCCAGGCCAAAACCTTCAAATCGAAATAACTCGGCTAATTCTCAACGATATGTGAGATTTCTGTTACCAAAACGTAGCCAGTGCTCTAATTATTCGAATCCGGGTTCCAGGCGTACAAAAAATAGGTGTATTATACAGAAAACATGGAAAGAACGCGAACTCCCGTTGAAAATTAATTAATCGTCCGCCGCGTAAATCGACACAGCCCGCCTGTTGCAAGTGCGCCCCATTGAAATCATTCGCGCCGTGCGAGACCGTGTCTTTCTACGTTTTTGGTCGCCGTGTATTCAGACAAATGAAAGCATGAAATCAGACAAAATTATCCATTTCCAAGGCCACTTGCTTCTTCTGCGTCTCTTTGAGAATTCGTTGAACGAGGTACAGCTGGAGAGCGTTCACTGCAAAAAACGACTGAAAAACTCCGCTCTACTTCTCGTGCCTACTTCGACACGTCCATTTTGTCGGAGAAAAACTTACGTGCGACAAAGTAGAGAACGTAAATCTGCCAGTAGACACAGTACGCCAACTTTCTTCCAAATTTCATGTGCGTCGTCTCTTGATTGTGGTCCAGCAGGGCGCTGAGCATCTCTGGGGCTCCCTGATTGAAATCGAACACCATCCAGACGGGACCGATTGTGGCGATGACGGAAAGGCTCAGCAGGAAGAAGATCTGAAGAAAAATAATTGGGTTTTGTTCGGATACTTGGTCCTGGACTTTTGGACCACTTGCAATGATCCGATCGGGACCAAACTTTGCAGGATTGTTGGACTTGAATTGAAGTTTATTGGGTCCAAGTTTCAGACCGATCCGATCATCTGGTCCCGAGATATGTGGATCAGAGGCTGAGAAGACCGCCATATCTCGGGACCAGATGATCCGATCGGTCTGAAACTTGGACCCGACATACTTCCATCCAACTCCAACAATCCTGCAAAGTTTGGTCCCGATCGGATCATTGCAAGTGGTCCAAAAAGTCCAAGCCAAGAGCCGGCCCTGAAAAAAATCAAAGAATCGCCTTACTGGCATAAAAACACTCAAAAGATTCCAAAAAAAAAAGCCTCACCGTAATAACCTTGACACATTTGAGCAGTACAGGATGATTCCAGTAGGCGGCCGCCAGATACAGTCCATCAATTGCAAAGTAAACGAAAATGATCGAGGTGTCGAGGGTGATTCCGTACTGGAGAAAGTATTCCACGTGGCAAATGTCCCAGAAGATCGCCTCGAGCGCCAGCAAAAAAAACCAGACGCGGCAGTCGAGCAGGCGCAGACGGTCCCACATCGATCGCTCATTTTCGGCCATTCTTTCGTAGGGAAACGTGCTCATTTTCGGAGTTTCTGGCAAAAAATCAATAAAATTGTGTGTTGGGTCGGGTCGAATGGTCCACAAATGACCGAGTGGACGAGCGGTCCTGCTGGGATCACCCTCGCCAACTGTTCGGTTTTCGTGAGCACACGGGACCGCTGGTGGGGAAGAGTGATTGGAAAACAGCCATATTTATGCCGAAAATATCACAATTTTAGTGGATGGAAATATTTACAATCGATTCAATTATATAGTCTGATTATTACGAAAATAGGTACTGAACGTAGGCGTCGCGTTTGCGACTCTCTCGAATTGCTTGCGGAACTATCCAGATTTGGAACACGGACACTGTAAAATCACGTAAAATCGGGTGAACATTTTCTCGAATTTCGATTACCGAGCCAAAAGTAGCACGAATAGATGACCATGTAGCTCGAGTCGGTCACCTGGTAATCCTCCTCTCCAAAATTCGCGTGATTGTAGAGTTGGACGAGACAACACAGTCCGATGGCGACCTAAACGGCAAAAAAACGACTATAATTGTAAACGGGCCGATTTCGGGACTTGAATTTTAAAGGCGCATGGGCAAATGTTCGTTTCTCGAGTGAACAGTTTGCAAAAATGAAACTTACGGCATGGAAAAGGGCGAGTGTCAGCATGCACATGTACGGAAACTGGGCGAGGAGTCCGAAAAACGCAATATTGACAAACGGGTACCAGATTGGCAGTCCGAGGCCTGAAAAATTGAGAATTCGACACACAATTTGCAAAACACAAACATACTGATGCCCTGGAACCAGATGACGTCGTCGGCGCCGTTGTAGAATATGCTGAGGGTGTAGAACGTCCAGAGGATCAGAAAACACTTTGCGTGCCATTCGATCCAGAAGCTCGGCGGCAGGTCCACTTGCCAGAAGAGCATGTGCGTGCGGGGTAGTCGGTACGGTCTCAGCGTTTCTGGCGACGGCGGCGGCGGAGACGGACGGTACCTGTCCCAGCTTTTTCGTTGGCGAGGCGTCATTTTGCTGAAATTGAAACGCAATTTAAAAGTCTGCAAATTAGTCTGACAGTCAAGTTGAACCCAAAATTCCTTTGAATTCAGATCAATCTGATCAACAACCTGAAAAAACCTCAAATTTCGCGGTTTCCGCTTGGCGCCAAAACCGCAAAAGTTATCAATGAAGCGCATTTACAGCGCTATCAATTTTGTGAGAGAAAATTACAGGAAAAACAGGGGAAAAGCCCTAAAACCACGAGAAAAATAGCAAATTAGTCAATATTAACACGATTTAGTTACATTACATCAATTATTTGATGGAAAATATTCAATTTAATGGGAAATTATCACAGATTTAAAGGCAACAAGGTTAAATACATTCAACGGATCCGATTAACGAAATCTCTTTGTGCTTGCAGTTCCTTTCTGTGCAATTCCACTCGTAGCTGTGGAACAATGATGAAATGTGCTAATGGAACTGAAAAAGTCAATAATTGTTCAAATTCTTCAAAAAAAAACCGACCCCAAATCATGTAGAAAATGGCGCAGAGCATGTTGACCAACGCGGACTCGGACGGAAAACCGCCTTGATTGTGGAACGCCTCGCGATAATATTTCACCGCCAAAATGAGACAGAGCAGTAGAATGAATGTGGCGTGGAAAAGTGCGAAATTCAGGACCACATTTGTGGGTTTCTTGAAGAAAACAAAGAAGATGAGGCACTTGAGCATCGGAATCCACACCGGAACGAGGGGCGCTGCAAAATTATCGATTGGCTGAGGAAACACGCGGAATCCCTCAAATTTCAAATGTCGCACTGACCAATGCGTTGCACCGAGACGCCGAACAGAAAGATGAGCCAAAAGATGAGCGTGGTGGCCGTGTGGACGATGAACGCGTCGCTCGGCGGTCCGTCGATCGAAAAACACAAAATGACCGTCTGCGTGACGGGCTGGAGCGGTGGCAGCGGTTTCTGCGGCGGCGATTGATTCCTGGCTTCCCAGCTTCTGTGTCTTTGGGTCATTCTGAAAAAATCTCGCTCAAAATCGGTGAGCATCGGGTGGAAAGCATGGACTCCGGATATTACGAACAATTTTCAACAGCATTTTTTCGGAAAACGGCTTAGTGGAGTGGGTTTGCACCGTTGATTTGAAAATATCAGGGAAACGACCCAAAATTCGAGACAAAACGGGCAAAAGCTGGGGAATAAGTCAATATTTATACGATTTAATCACATTATTTCAATTATTGGATGGGAAATATTCAAGTTCAGTGGAAATTATCACAGAGTTAAAGGATACAAGGTTAAATACACTGGCAAATGTGTCAACGCAGACGATTGAGGAGATCTCTTCGCGCTTGACGCTCGTTTCGTCGAATTTCCGTCTTCAGTTGTGGAATAAGGATGATTTGCGCGAGTGGACCTGCAAAACAACAATTTTTAAGCAAATTTTTTCTTAAAACTAACAACAAAAGAGGTATCCGAGATAGCCCCACATAAATTCAAATCCGGTCTCCGTCGGATTGTCGTGTAAGATTGTCCACGCGTTATACGCGCAAATTAGTCCGACGAAAACGGCGTGGAAGATGCAAAAGTTGAGGACGAGATTCGAGGGGTTGATGAAGAAAATGAAGAAGATGATGCACATGAGGAACGGAACCCACGTCGGGACTTCGACATCTACAAAAATATCGATTGATTGCTGCATTTTTCAACTGTTTTACTAACTTATTTTCTGCGTCAATTTGCCGATGAGGAACAGGAGCCAAAAAAGGAACGTGGTGAGCGAGTGATAGAGAAACGCTTCGCTCGGCGGTCCGTCGGCTACAATCCACAAAAAATTGGTCCGAGTTATGCGGCGAAGGGGTGGAAGTGGTTCAAGTGGTGCCTGCCGATTTCTGAACTCCCATTTTCTGCGTTGCGGCATTCTGAACACGAGAATTTTAGTGAAATTTCCAAAAACACGCTTTAAATCGGTCAAATCTGTGTGAAAAGCGACAAAGAATAACGGCGAATTTTCGCAGAAAGTCAAAAATTTGGCGCCGAAATTGCAGCATTTTGCGCGATTCTCAATGGAGCGCGTTTGCGCTGTAGACATGACAATATTAGGGAAACGACCCAGGACTCGAGAAAAAAGAGCAAATTAGACGACATTTATACAATTGGATCGAAAATAGTCCATTTCAAGGGAAATTATCACAGATTTAAAGAATACATGGTTAAATAAATTGCAAAATGTGTCAACGTAGCAGATATTCGAGTTCTTTTCGCGCATACCGTTCCTCTTTCCGTCTTTGCGCTTCAAATTGTGGAATAAGGATGAGTTGACCGATGGGACCTGAAAAATGCTAGAAGTTTTGCAAAAAGTGGCGAAAAAAAAATTCACCTGCGAGGAAGTAGAACAGAAGACCCGTCATGTAGGCCGTTCCGACCACGGACTTATTTTTGTCGCTATCCAAAGCTTGGTAAAAGAAAACGGCCGCATAATAGAGGCAGACGAGTCCGGCGGTGAACGCGTATAAAAGAGCAAACTTTAGGATGGGTTTTGAGGGTTTCACGAGGAAAATCAGATGGATTATGGAGTTCGTGATCGGAATCCAGCGCGGAAGATGGACAGCTGAAAAATCATCGATTAAACTTGCGTTTTTTCGGAATTTTTCAATTTCTCCACTTACATAAGTGTTTCAGCAATTGAAATGGGGCGGATCCTTTGAAAAAGAGGCCGAACACGAAGATGAGCCACAAAAAGAGAATGGCGATGGCGTGGCAGCGAAAATATCGTTCCGGCGGACCGATGTACGTGAAACAGAACACGTGGGTCTCGTTTATGCGTTCCAGCGGTGGCAGAGGCGCCTGTGGCGGCGGCTGATATCTGTATTGTGCGCTTCTGCGTTGAGTCATTCTGAAAATGGGAATTTTTAGGAAAGCTGGCGTAAAATCGGTGAAAATTGAGTGAGAAGCTGAATAAGTGCAATGTAACAAGTGAAAACAGTGAAAGATCGCAAAATTGGCGCAAAAATTGGATCATTTTGTGAAATTATCAATGTAGCGCGTTTGCAACGTTATCAGTTGTTTTTTTGAATTTTTGATCCGTTTTTGATCCGTTTTTGAGCAAATTTTGCTTAGAAAACGCGTTTTATTGACGATTTTAAATGTTTCAAGTTGTGTTTGTGCATATTTGCCTGGAAAATCAGGTTTCAGTTCAGCTTAAACGTTTTTTGTTGTTTATAGAACTGTTTTTGAAGGATTTCGATTTTACACATTTTATTACAAAGATTAAGTGTTGTTTTTCTACTATTTCACCAATTTTCTCTGTCGAAATTGCGTGTTGCTGCCTGAAAATTCGTCAAACTGCGATTTTCCCAGGGTGTCAGCAAGTGTGCTCCATTGATAATCTCTCTATTTCTCTGCACTCTCTTATTTTCACATTGTCTCTAAGTGTTTTGAGACACAAAAACTGTTTTTTTTTCGTTTCGACACCTCGTATATTATAGGGTCACCGAATAGAAAGGGCGCTCTGTTCGCAATCTGGCCGAATTTCTAGTCCGCGAAGTAATTTTCCACTGAAAACATGGCCTAACTTTTCAAACTCGGCCCCGAGCTCACTCAATTTGCACTGCAAAAAAGTTTATCAATAGAGCGCCCTTTCTGTTCGGTGCCCCTATAATATCGTAGATTTCAGCGTCTTTTCAGTGATTTCAGTGAAGTTTTCGAAATTTTGCGATTTTCAGGTCAAAATGGAACCAAAAAACGTTGTTTCGGCTCCTCCGAAAAATGACAAGTGAGTTTTCTCGGAAAATTGCAGGGAAAAATCGGTTTTTCACGATAGTTTTGTTTTTTAGAGCGAAAGACGGCCGTGAAGTCCGTTTCTGGTTCGTGCTCCACAGCATTCTCTTCTTGGCCGCTCTCGTCGCAATTCTCGTCCACTTCAACTTTCACCCGTTTCTCGTCGCCGTTTTCAGTGTCTACGCGTTTTTCCTGAACGCCGCCGCCATCGGAAACCTTCTTCCCGCTTTGGCGTTCATCGGATTCATGGCTGTTCGTTTTTTTTCTAATCTTTTTCATTGAAATTCGCTAGTACAAGCCGAAACGAAATTTACAAACGCAAGATCACGAAAAGTCACGATTCGAAACGCCAAGCACATTTTGAAGTTTCTTTTTCAGCTTTTCCAACTCATCGTCGGAATCTTTGCTTTTATGTTTCTCCCGGCCACATTTTCCAGCGAAGTGGCTTACATGAAAGGCCTGAAATGCGCGTTTGCGACGGCGGAGAACGCTACGCTCCAAATCAATTCGACGGTGTCTGAAAATGGAAATTTTGATGAGCTCTTTACGGATCCGTGCCTGATAGGAGTTCTTGTTGAAGCCGTTACTATGATCTACATTCTTGGTACGGAAGAGTTTTTTCAACTTAAAAATCCGGGAAAATGAGGAAATTTCAACTGAAACCTTTGAAAAAATGAAGCAATTCTATCGAGTTTTTCTACAATTTCAGCGATCACATGGCAAATGGTCCTCGTTTTCGAGATTATGGGTAGTATGCTCTACGGAAACGAGCTGGAACCGGCGAAATCCAGCAGTTCGTCGACCCGCTCGTGGTTCGTGACGCACAGTGTCTTTTTCGTGTCCGCGCTCGCCGTCCTCAACGTCTACATGGAATTTAATCCGATTTTCATTGGACTTTCTCTCGTTTACACGATCTTTCTGTACGCGGCCGCCATCAAAAACGTGTTGTTCGCTCTGAGTGTGATCAAAAAAATTGCTGTGAGTTTGAATCGTAAGATTCTAGATTTTTCGATCGGATCATCGGAACCAGATGATCCGATCGACCTGAAACTTGTACCTAAAATACTTCAATCCAAGTCCACGAAGCCTGAAAAGTTTGGACCCGGTTGGAATATTGCGAGATGCTCAAATAACTCGATTTTCTTTTTTTAGTTCGTCCAATTCGCTTTGGGCGCTTATATGCTCGCGACATATCCGATCTACGTGGGCAGCAGTATCGCCTACAATACAGGCGTCGAGTTCGGAATGAATGCGGTGGCTGCGTCGAACGGGACGTTTTCGATTGATCCGGTCAGCTTGAACCACCACGTTAAATGGAGCACTGTTGAAGCCAGAAACCAGGCATTCTTCGTCGCCATCGAAATTCTCGCCTACGTTTTTGGTAAGCAACACGAAAATTTACATCCATTACTAATCGATCTGCTCTTTTCAGTGGTCATACTGCAATTCGTCTTCGTCGGAAGTGTGAAAGATATCGTTAAGGACCAGAAAAAGGGGCATAACCGTACGGAACAACTCGCCTAACTCAATAATTTCTTCATTGTTGTTTTTGTTGATCCTGTTCTTGTTATTCTGAAAACATGTTTTTTCTCTGAGGGCTCTGGCGCGAGTTTGAAGTTGGGCCCAGTGAATCCAGCGTCGTGGGCAATGCGGTGCGCTTCACTGAAGCACTCCATCAACCCCTTTCGAGTCTCCTAATTTTCTGGCTTCTGACACTCACTCCCGGGCACCTTTTCCAGCAAAATCGCTTACAACAACGGCCTCGACGGCTGTGAAAATCGGAGTTCCGGTGCGTGCGAAGCAAATTATTAACGAAATCTTTTTGCAAGCGAAATTTTCGCTACTTTATGTCGAATTCCGTGTCGTTGTGTACATATTAGGTTTTCTGCACGCGGCCGCCATCAAAAGCGTGCTGCTCGCTCTGAAAGTGTGCGGAAATGTTTAGGACGTTCTCATTCAGCAATTTTGCTTCGAAAAGAGTTTGAAGCCATCGACGAGGCGTTCTTCGTCGCCATCGAAATTTTTGCCTACATTTTTGGTACGAATGGGTCAATTTTGTGCATTTTGTTTGACAGTCTCGAAAAATCAAATAAAAAGTCAGCAATTTTCAAACGATTCTTCCTTCATTCAGCCGTCTTCTTGCAACTTATTTTCGTTGATCTCTCTGGGAACTCGAATGCAATCTAATTAGAAGCGGATGCAGTCTAAGTGAAGCATATTCTATTTCAAACAAGTTCGTATTAGTTTGCAAAGTTTTCTAATTAGATTGCAAAATCTTCTAATTAGACTAATCTTTTTTTTTTTTTTGTTGCAATCTAACAAGATTTTACTGGAACTTCAATTAAATCTTATTAGATTGCGAAATGGAGCCTTTTCTAATTAGATTGCAATTGAGTTCCCAGAGGAAGGCGTGAAAACTGTCGTGAAGGCCGAGGAGAAGAAGAAGAACCGTCCGGAACAACTCGCCTAAATCAATTATTTCCCGTTTTTTAATCTCTTGTTTTTGTAATTGTTGTTGCTGTTATCCTGGAAAAGAAAAAGTTGTTGTTGAAATGGGATAAAAATTAATTTTGAATTGCTTCATTCTCAATGGAGCGTGTTTGCATTATTGGCTTGAAAATATCAGAGAAACGACTCGAAAATGGGGGAAAAACGCAAATTAGTCAATATTTAAACGAGTTAGACACATTATTACAATTATAAGATGGAGAATAGTCAATTTTAATGGGAGTTATCACAAATTTAGAGGATACAGAGTTAAATACACTGAGAAAAGGCTCAACGCAGCTGATTTTGCAAATCCCTCTGCGCCTGCTCTTCGTTTCGCCGCATTTCCAACATGTATTGTGGAATAAGAAGGAGTTGAGTGAGTGGAACTGAAAAAGCGACATTTTTTCTAAAATTGTTTCGAAAAAACGGTACCACAAATGAGATAGACGAGCGCGGTGGTCAAATTCGCCAATCCGGTGATCGACGGAGCATCGCTTTGCGTGTAAAACGAGTCGTGGAAGAATTTTCCGACGTAGAAAATGTTGAGGAGTGTGACGAAGACAGCTTGGAAGAGGGCAAACTTGAGCATTAGCGGCGAGGCATAGACGATGAACGCGGCAAACATCGAGATGTTGAACGGCGGCACCCACAGCGGAAGATCCACGGCTGAAATTCGAGAATGTTATCGACTGTTCTGTCAAATTTTCCACTTACCAACACCTTGAAGCCAGAGGAAATGGGCGGGTCCGTAGTACCACATGCCGAATCTGAATGTCGCCCAGAAGAAGAGCGTCACGGTCGCGTGGGAGACGAAATATTCGCTCGGCGGTCCTTCGATCGTGCAACAGAGGAAGCTCGTCGAGTTTATCGGGTCCAAAGGGGGCAGAAGCGGTCGGCGCGGCGACAGAATTCTTTGTGGATTGTTCGATTGCGAACCTCTGCGGCGAGTCATTCTGGAACTAGATCTGCATTTTTTTTGCCGCATCTAAACAGAGGTTTAACTACTTTTAATGTTTTTTGAGCCCCTAAAAGCTGCCAGAGTCACTGCCTCCCGCGTGATCACCAAAACATACTAGAAATGATGACAAACAAGTGTTTTGCCGCCGAGCAGTGTGTGATTTGGAAAGCAGTTCGAAAGATTTTTATAAAGAATATTGAAAGATCTTCCAAGCTCTAAGACTTTTGAAATTAAAAAAAAACAAAACAAAAATCTGGTTCCGCCCCCTTTTCCAAGTTCATAACGACACTACTCAGAATATACGCGGCCCCCAGTTTAGCGATTTCGCATTGCCTTTCTAAATTTATCCAAAAATCTTTCGAAATCAGCATTCTTTCGAATTTCACTTTTCCGAAAACACACACTGGCGCCAAGTAGATCAAATAGTACAGTAGGTTAAAATTCAGATAAACAACGTCTTCGTGCGTCTAAGAATTGCACGACACAACAAAAAACGCGTCACTATCATCGTTTCAAAACGTCTAAACATGATCGGGAAGCTTGGATAAATTCAATTTGTTTTAGACAATTTCAGAAAACTCCCAACAAGCCTTTCGGATTTCTGACGATGATCTTCTCTTCGAAAAATGTTTGTGACATAGGGGAACTCGGATCGATAGCGGATCGGTCATTACCGGAAAAGAAGAAAAAAGCAGAGATTTGGAGGCACGAGGGAATGTGCCGTGTCGATGAATTATCAAAACAACTGACAGAGAGACAGGGAGAGAGATAGAGACAATTTAAATATACGACATGAATTTTACGATTAATAATCAATTAGGGTCAAAATTATCACAGATTTCAACAATACAGAGTTGATTGCAATGAAAACCGGTTATGATCGGCTTCCTCTCCGCTGGTTCCGCTTCCTCTCCTCCTCCTCGCGTTTTCTGTCTTCCTTCTCCTGCACCTCATCGGAGTACCATTCGAGTTCGGCAATGTATTGCGGAAAAACCATGATTTGAACGGCGATTACTGCAAAAAATCGGTGTATTTGGCAAAGAAAACGAGCTCCGCTTCACTCGTCACTTTGCTTTTTACATTCACGTCTCCAGATGCATTTTTTAGACGAAAATGAAAAAGCAAAGTGGTGAGTTGAATAAATTGTCGAAAATTAGTGAAAAATTGACCGGTTATCAAGTAGACAATGACAATGGCCATCTGGTACGGAAGCAACGGACTGAAGAGCTCGTAGTCGTTGTTCACGATCCGATCGAAGCATTGGGCGATGAAGAACGCGGCCACGACGCTCTGCATTCCGGTCAGCACAAGTCCTAACTGCTGTACTCGCACGTCGGCCGCCAATGCCATTGCCGCGTGGAACACCACGTGGCCGACGGTCACCCATTCCGGAATTTCGAGCACTGAAAATTATCGGGTTTTTCTGGAATTTTTCCCGCTGAAAAGCATTGATTGATTGAGCCTAATTTCACAAAAAAAACATGTGTGAAAATTGCGTCGTTTTCGCTCACCTCTGTTATAAATGAAAAAAATGTGGGCGGGTCGATCGGGAAGCCAGCGAGGATACAGTTCTGAATAGGGAAAATGAGGTTGCGACGGAAAAAATCGGATTTTTACTTATAAAAAAGTAGCCGAAAGCGTGAAAGAGCCAGAGAAAGAGGAGGATGATCGAGTGGATGGAGAAGAAGATTCCGGGCGGCGTTTCGACGCTTCCCAGCACCAAATACGTGCTCCTGAAGTGGATCGGCCGCTGCGGCACCCATTCCTCCTCCGATTCGTCTGCTGACGATTCCTGACGCTCCGCGGCTCGCTGTCGGGCCGCCATCGCTCTGTCTTCCGCTCTTCTCTGCGCCTCCTTCTGCTTTCGCCTCTGATTCTTATTAAGAGCCATGCTGAAATGAACAATTTGCAAGTTTTGAGGGAAATTACGGCAATTCGGTGAATGATCGCTAAATTGATCAAAATTACTGTCTTTATTGCAAATGTTCAGGTGAAAAACAAGCAAAAATTCATTTCATTGCGAAACGTTCTGGAAATGACGAGAATCGAGACAAATTCGCGGAAACGGCTGGAAATTGGCGCCAAATTTGTAAATTCTCAATTGATCGCGTTTTCTCTATTTTTCAGTCGCGAAATTGAACGGAAAACATTTATCCAAGCAAAAAAAAATGGTGTGTTGATTTCAAAAGCGCGCCAAAAAGGCATCACTTTTTCGCCGACGGGTCTCGCCACGAAAAGTACGAAAACTGCGCTGGAAAACTGTTTTTTGTTGTTTTGACTTGTTTTCTGCGGCAAAATAATCGGCAAACCCGTTTTTTTTGCTGAAAAATACATTTTTCAGGAGGAAATGGGACAAAAGCAAGTCCGCGCATCGGCTCCGGTGCCGGAATACGGAAGGTAACGAAAAATTTAGTTTTGGCCTAAAAATCGCAGAATTTTCAGTTTTTCAAAGGAAATTAGGCAGTGAGCTCATTGTTTCCGCAAAAAATTTAAATAAATGCTGAATAATTATTTTTTCAGTTTAATGTCGCCGACACCAATTCCACCGCCTCGTTACAACAGAAAAGGTCAGGAGGAGGAGGAAGAACACCTCCAGAATCCGCTTCTACAGCCGGAAGTCGCGGAAATTGCCGTTTTGGAGCACAAATTGTGCGGAATCGACGTGCGCTCGTGGCTTCTGGCGCACACAGTGCTCGTGACGCTCCTTCTGATTCCCGCTATTATCGCCTCCGCCTTCTTCCACGCTCTGATCATCGTCCCGTTCTCCTACAATGCGCTCCTCCTCTTCGCCGCCCTGTGGAGAAAAATTCCGGCGCTTCAGGCCGTCAAAGTGTTCGCGGTGAGCTCATTTTTTCCCGAGAATTGAAATGTTTTTCATGCTTTTCAAATAAAGTTATCAATTTTTCAGTACATTCTGCTGGCAACCGGAATCTTGTCACTGCCTTTTCTGCCCTTTGCCTTGCTAGTTCTTAACAAGACGTCTAATTATTATGCATACAAAGGGAATTACGGATCGTGCAATTTCATCAAAGTATATTTGCTCGAACTGCCAATTATTTTCTCCATTCCATTGCACATAGTCAATTTTGGTGAGCAAAGGCGCTCTATTGATAAATTTCCAAAAAATCTTCATTTTCAGTGATTTTGTCGCAAATCTACCTGGTCAATAAAGTGCTTGACGTGGCGAAATCGGAGCAGAAGGCCAAGGAAGAGCAACGTCTTCGTCTCGAGCTTCGAATTTGAAAATTTTAAATTTTCTGTTATCTGTTACCGTTTTTCTACTTGTTTTCTTTGTTTTTATCGATGTGAAGAGTTTTACAACTTTATCGCAAATTTGCGTCACTTTTCTCAGTTTTAGTCTGATTTTATCTTCAATGTTTCTTTAAAATTGTCAATTTTCCTGGCAATTGCGCTCCATTGATAATCTCTCTATTTCTCTGCGTTCTATCATTTTCTCGTTGTCTTATTCTTTCCAGAAATTTTCGCGATTTTCAGGCGAAAATGCAAACCAAAATCGTCATTCCGGAAGCTCCGAAGCGTGAAAAGTAAGTTTTTTGTCGCGAAAATTGGGAAAATTTTGATTTCAGATCGATTAACACCCCGAAACCGGTCAAAAATGTGCAAATTTCCGCGGAAAGCGAGAATTTCGACGTGCGTCCGCTGTTCTTCATTCACAGCGTTCTCGTCCTCGCCGCTCTTCTCGCACTTGTCGCCCACTTCAATTATCACTGGATTCCCGTTGCCATTCTCATTTTCTACTCGATCACTCTGCTCATAGCGGTCAGCGGCGAATTCGAGGCTCTCAAAATGATCGAGACACTTGCTGTGAGCTTTTTTGGTCAAAAAACAATTTGTTGCTAAAAATTACGAAATTTCCGATTTTTCCAGTACTACCAGCTGCTCCTCGGTACCCTTTGGCTTCTCGCCGGACCGTCCGTCATTTCCAGCAGAATCGCGTACGACCAGGGCTTCGCCTTCGGAAATGCGACGGAGACGAACGAGACGGCGCTCTCGGAGTGGTTCATAATCGGTGCCACGGCGGAGGCCTGGGACCGGGGATTCTACAGCGGACTGAAAGCTTTGGCCTACCTTATCGGTACGGAAATGCTGAAATAAGACAAAACCCGGTTTTTTTGCGTTTTGACAGCTTACTAGAAAATTCGTTTTATGAAGCTTTACTTGGTCCCATATTATAACCGATAGTAACCCCCATGGCACTGATAACCAAAAAGGATATTAGGTCCCGTATGAGATCTATATATGGGATCAATTGAAGCGTTCTGAAATTTTCATGCGTCCGTGTGGTCGATCTTGGTCCCTAGCCAGAAAACATATCCTTCAATTTCCAGTGGTGCTCTCTCAAATCTACCTCGTCGGCAAGATGATTTCCCGCGTGAACCCCGCTTTGATCGCGAAAACCACTGAAGAACTGGGAGCCCGTTTCTGGTTGTGTGCCCACTCGGTCTTCCTGCTTCTCTCTCTCTCTTCGTCTACTTCTCCACCCTCCATCAAGTCGATGTGTTTCACGCCGCCGCCATGGCCGTCTATACGCTCATTTTGTGCGTGGCGGTCGTCAAAAACTCGTATCCGGCTCTCGAAGTGATCGCGTTTTTGGCGGTGAGTTTGGCGAGCGTTTCCTGGCATTTTCTGTGCCGTTTGTGCTGTTTTGCAATACGAAACACATGAAATATTATAAAAATCCGTCAATTTAAGTACTTTAACCTGTCGCTCGCCATCGCCGCCCTCATGTTGCTCCCGGTCGAAATCGCCGCGAAGGCCGCATACAAGATGGGATTTGATTGCGGAATCTCGAACGGATTGCTGACTGCGTCGGACCTTATCTGTGACTCGGCGAAAGCGGGCAACCACGGATTCCACGAAGCCATCATCATCTTTGGCTTCATTTTGGGTACGGTTAACAGTTTTATATGATTGAATCAGCATTTTGGCGCAAAATTCTAAATTTAACCACATTTGTCATGTTTTTCGTCAGAAATTACCAAAATTTGCTGATCATTTTTGCTGTTCGAACGCTCAGCTTTGGTCACGCCCACTTTTCAACTTTTGGACGTCGTGATAATAGTTTTTTTGTACAATTAAATTTTTGCAGTGATCGCCTCGCAACTCTACCTCGTCCGCAAGAACATTTCTCTTGTGAAGATTGAAATTCGTCAGGAACAAATCGTCTGAATCTCTTTTTTGTTGTCACCTTTGTTGTTATTTTTTAAATCTTGTTATTGTTCCTTGTTCTGAAAATGTGTTGAAAATGGTGGTCTTGACTGGAAATGCTCAAAACGGTGCCAGAAATGTATTCAGATACATTTAGTACAGGTCTGTGGAAGAAATTACAAAATTTGACCAAAAATTAAAGGCGCATGCACTCTTTTTGGTCGATGGGTCTCGTGACGATCTAAATTTTAGCGCGGGAAATTTTTGAAATCGGGTTCTGAAAGCCAAACCGCTTTTTTAGCAGATTTTTTGTGTGTTTCTCGATATTTTCATTTATGATTTGCCAGCAATTTTCCCAGTTCCAGAATGCAAAAAGTACAAGAAATCGCGACGCTGTCGGCTTCGCTCCTTCCGGAAGCCACGTCCATTCCCGGATATTGGAAACCGTCGCGTGGCTCCGGACCGTCAAAGTGCTCGCGGTACGGAAATTCTAGGCTATTTATTAGAGAAATCTATACAATTTCAGTACGCTCAACTCGTCCCCGCCGGAATCGTCTTCTGCATTCTGCCGCTCGTCGTCAGCACCTACACGGCCGTGAATCTTGAAAAATCGACGGTGGGAATCGAAACTGATTTCCGTCCGATTTATTACGGAATCGTGACTCAGACGCTCGCATTTTCGTATTTTATTCTCAGTAACCTTGAAAAAGGAAGCAAAAAGCAGAATTTTTCACTTTTCAGTGCCCTGCTACCAAATTGATCTCACCGCTCGGGTCAAAAACGGCACGCCCATTCACAAAATATATCGTCTGAATCACTCACTCTTTTACCTGTTCACCCCACACTGTTTTATCTGTTCCTGTTATTTTTTGCATGTTTCTAATGAATTCTGCGACATTGCCCATTTTTTGCCGTAATAAGTTGGTTTTCTTGCCGTTTCTACCTTTTTTTCCAGCTGCACTGTGATTACTTTGCCTAACGTTTCTATTGCAGAACTCGCGAGAAATGGCGGATCTGGCCAGGTGAGCAAATGGGAATTTAAGCTGAACTTGGCGGTTTTTGTGATTGTTTTAAGTAAAAAATAGGTGACAATTGAAATTATCAGTGAATTTTTAGATCGTTTTAGGCCGAAAATGAGCGGCAATAATTCGTTGTAAAACATTTGTAAAGCGTTTCCCGAAAAGCGGCTTTGACCGCCAAATTTGTTGAGCAATGTTTTGCCGTTGCAGACGGATCGTGCACGCGCTGTTCGACGTGTTCTACATCAACGGAGAGCCGTTCTTCCGCAGCGCCTTCTTCTGGGTCTACATTTCGTCTCTCCGCTGGCTCAACGACCGCAACGAGGCCGCCTACCGACATTTGACGCTCTTCTTCTGCTACAAAACCACGCGCAATTTCTTAATTATCTGGATTTTCCTCGCCATTTACGCGTTCTTTTCCAACTATATTGCCTCGTTCTGGTGTGCTCTCGTCTACTGTCTCGTCAGCGGAGTCGTCCTTCGGTTCTTGGACGTTCGAGCTCTCCGTCACCTCGAATTCCTCACGGTAAGGAGTTTTTGAGGAAAACTGTTGTTATATTTTATTTTCCCTTCCGAATATCGTTCAGTACACATCAGGTCTGGGCAATTGGCCGGCTCTTTTCAATTTGACCAACCTTCAATGATCTGATCGGGGCCAAACTTTGCAGGCTTTCTGTACTTGGATTGAAGTACGTTGGGTCCAAATTTCAGACCGATCGGATCATCCGGTCCCGAGATATGTCATTGGCCGAAAAGCCACAATTTTGGCAAAAGCCCGCATTTCCTCCACATATCTCGGGACCGGATGATCGGATCGATTTGCAACTTGGTCCCAATATGCTTGAATCCAAGTCCAAGAAGCCTGCAAAGTTTGGGAAAGATCGGAAGATTGCAAGTGGGCAAGATGAATATTTAAGAAAGAGTCATGGAGTAGGCCTAGAGAGGAGAGAAAAAGAACTTGATAATTTTTCAGTTCTTGCACATCGGCGTGAGCACCATTTGGATGTTCTCGGTGCCGGAAATAGTTCGGGATATGGTGCACGAGGAGCATAAACATTCGGTCCGCTACGTCCGCCTGATCATGACGTTCCTCGCGTGGATCGCCGCCGGACTCGGCGTTTTGTGGTACATGATTGCCGGTTTGTCGCGTGTTTGCGAAACAATTTGGAACAATCGCAACGTTTTCAGTAATTTGCCATTTATATTGGATCCGATGCACCATCGACGTGATCAGAAGGGTCCGAGCGGAAGAAGAACATGAGGCGGCCCAACAAGCCCAACAAGCCCAACAAGCCCAACAATAATTTGCACTTTTCACCTATTTCGAATGTATTTATTCAATTTTTCTCACAAATTCATGTATTTTCATAATGAGCGGGTTCAATTTTCGGACAACATTGATTTTCTTGTAAAATTGCTAAAAAGACGGGTTTCTGTGAATTTTTGTGTTTCTCAACTGTGATCGTTTCGACGAAAACGTTTATCTTTATGCAATATTTTGGGGTTATTCAGGCTGTAAAAAAAAATTATTTTTTTTCCTTTTTTTTTCGTTTTTTTTTTACGTCAAAAAACCCAATTCAGCGGTGTAAAAAAACGAAAAAAAAAAACGGAAAACAAACGTACGCCATTTGAAAATGTTGTCAAATCCAATCGTGCGCGGCGCCCTCTTCGTGATCCTCATTCCGAATCTCCTTGACGATGATCGAATGATATTGGGCGGAGATTATTTGGCAACGGAAGAGCTCCACTGAAAAATTTGAATGGACATTCGACCCGCTTGCAATGATCCGATTGGGTCTAAACTTGGCAGACTTCTTGGACATGGATTGAAGTAAATAGGGACCAAGTTTCGACCCGATTGGATCATCCGGTCATGGACCAGTGACCGTCAAGGATCCAGACAGTAATCCTAAACATAAACTCACAAAAAATGATTCCTCCGTAGACTAGAAACGTTTCGAGCGCTTTTACGAACGCCAAAAAATGTGTTCGCCTCGACATTCCGTCCGAAATCGGAATCCGAGCAAACGTGAGCAGTGCGACGAGTAGAAATACGAAAAACATGAGAAACGTGTAATAGAATCCGAAATTTTTCGCTTTTTTGATCGACCACGTCGTGTTGGCGAGCATCAGAAGCGTCGGCGGGACGTTGAGCAGAATTGCGAGCGCCGGAACGCCCACACGAATGTTTTCCTCGGGAAATTGGCGGAAAAAGACGTGGTAGTAGGTGGTGTTGGCGACGAACCAGAGAATTATCCACGAACAGCATCGGAAGCCCATTTCTGAAAGAATGTTTTTTTCAACTCGGTCCTGTGAGGTTTTTTCTGAGATTTCAAGACTCCAGACCACATTTTTCGAATTCAGCACGGAATGAGAAACGTTTTGACAACCCATAGTGCCGAATTTCGGGCGAATGCTCATTTTTCGGTCAGAGCTCCGCGAGCCGAAACACAACAATTTTGAAAATAGGCCATGTTGTGTGTCAAAACACGTCAAAATGAACGGAGAATTCAATGGCAGTATTGATTTTTGGTTTCGGAGCCCAATTTTCGAGCATCTTGTTGAACATTTTTGAGTTCAACCAAGAATATTCAAAAATTCAAAATGAGCGGGAAAAGGCGCTCAAAAGCATGAACCAAAAAGTGAGATTCCGATTGTCTCAAAACTACCGTAATCCTTTTCGCTCTCCCCAATTATATTGTGCACTTGCGAGAACAACCTGAAATTATCGATAAACCCACGTAATTATAGAGGAATGGAAAGTTTAGATGACGTTTGCTAATTTGGAAGAAAAAGTGATGGAAAGTGGCCATTTCGCAACTGACAGACACTTTACAACCAAAGAAATTTCGCAACTAGGACACTTGGCAACCGATTTTCTCAAAGCCAGAACGAATTTTTCTCGAATTTCCAAAAACTGCCCCGTTTTCTGGAAGTTTCTCACAATTTAGTGAAATCTGAAGAACCCTTGATTTAATAGTCCAATTTTCAGTCAATAACTCATTTATTCCATCGAAAAAACCAATCACGAAAAGGTTCAAATCTTTAGGCTGGAAAAGACGGCGCCGAAAAACGAGAGAGCGAGAATGTAGAGGGAAATGACGAGAGTGGTGTCGATATTATCCATCGTCCACAACCACAACTTCATTTTGTAATCGGCGAAGAGGAAAAGAGCGAGAAGAAGGAAAAGAAGGAGGACGAGAAGACCGAATATGTCACTGAAAACGGGTACGGATGGTGGCGGACTTTGAACGAGGATTGTAGAGTTCAAAGGCTTTCTATGGATCTGGTAAGTGTTTTTTTTTTTTGAAATCTTGATGTCTAGTACTACCTTTTTCTAGTTGACGACATTTCTGTACGATCACTTCGAAAACTACTGTAGCGCTTCAAAGTTGGGACTAGTTTGAAGTACTTTTAAAACAGCTCGAACAAAAAAGTCATAAACTACAAAAAGGTAGTAGATTTCACAGCAAAAAGAAAGTCTCAGAACTCTACAATACTCGTTTGAAGTTGCAATTGACTTACAAAGTGGTGAGAAACGGTTGCTCACTGGACTCGATCATGTAGAACGGCTTCAGAAAGGGCGTTCGCTTCGTAGTTTCCTCCTTCCCGTCCGATGTTGAATTTGAGAATTTGGCAAAGAAGACGTCGAGAGATTCCAGCGAAGAGATTGCATTTGTAAAGCTGTACTTGGCAAAGTTGAGGTCCATCTTCCGGAGTTTTTTGAGAGCGTCGAAGATCGGTCTGAGTTCCGGTTGAGATCCCAAACGGTCCTCAACGGCATCCTTCACCTTTTTCACGTTCAAATCGATGATCGAAATGTTGGCGGCCGCTTCGAACGCGTTCGAATACATTCCTGCTTCATCCATCGGAGCCAGAGTCCCTAGAAACTGTACAGTATCCGAGTAGATCCGTGTCAGTGCCGTCTTCAGTCCCTCCAGTTGATCCTTCACATTCGCATCCCTCACAAACGACAGATCGCCGAGCAACGGACCGAATTCGCCGAGGCGGTCCATGAGTGTCCGGATGGCAGTCAGTCCCTGCACGGCCAGTCCCAGGTCGAACGAGACCCTCTGCGCGTCCGGCATCGCCTCCTTCAGCGCCCTCGTCTCGCTGTCCATCGCCGCCCTCGCCGTCTCCAGAATGTGTCGGGCGTCTTCCATCCGATCCGACATTCCGAATATGTGCTTCAGAACCTCTTCGTACGTACCGATTTGCTCGCCGAACGCACTCAGTCTCCGCACCATTCCGACCAGTTCCCTCGTCACCGAATTGTCTTCCGAGAGTTGGACTTCCAGACAAGATTTGACTGGCGCTTGCTTTTTATAGAAATCTTCGATTATTGGGAAATTGTCGGTTATGGTTTTGATTCGTATCGGCACCTCATTGACAAGATTTTTAAGTTTATCAAGGTCGCTCCACATGCTACGAAAAAAATTGTGTGCTGTATCAACTTCAGGACTGCTCTTCAGGCGCTTGACAAATTCTGGTGTGTTGGAGATATTAAACTGAGTTTCGTTTGTGAATCCCATCACTTTTTGGAGCGTCGTCACGTGATCTCTTGCTTCTTGAAGATAATCGAATGTGCTCAGTGTGTTAAGTTCTTCCTTCAAAGCTTTTATAGGTGAAAGAGCTTTTTCATCAATCACAATTGACAACTGTGTGTTAGAGTTTATGCACATTGCCAACTTTTTAAACTTCTCCTTCAGAAACTGAGCATCGAGCACTTGTTGATCCATTCTCGGAGGCATCAGACTGGCAGAGTCCAAAAAGGGGCGGCTCATGTTGTTCCAGTAGTTATTCAAGGACTTTAGAGGTTTCTTGAAATCGATCTCCATGTAGAACAACGCTTTTCTCAATTTGGTGATAGCTGTCTCGGTGAGTTCAAAGATACTTCCCAGCCACTTATCACCTGCGTCCTCATAGAACTTCTCGAGGTCTTCTTGTCCATTCGGAAGTCCGATTGTATGCTTCAACTGTATCGGAATCCTTTTCGCACACGTTTCCAGTATTTGTTCAATCCGATGGAATGCAGGCAGGGAAGAGTTTATCAACTCCATGATTACTTTTTCAGACTCTTCAAATATTTCGATCGGAATTCTCTCTTCAAAATCTCTCATTTCGTTCTTGGGCATTCCCCAGTACTTGGTTTCATTGAAAAACAAGAACGCCGGGTGATTCGCAACGTTTTTCATTGCAATCACGTTGGCGACTCGAGGCTCGAATTGTATAGACTGAGACTCCAAGTCTATTAAGTATTTGGATAACGATTTCAGTATGTTGCTCTCATCGTTAGTCTCATTTGAATTTGTATCACTTGACCAGTCGGTTTTGATTGTTTCTGTGGATAAACGATACACAGTCCATTTCAGTTCGCTTAGTACGCTGTCGTTTCTGAACTCATTGGCCAACATGTCCAGTCCACGTAAATCGTTCCTTATCATCAGCACAAACCATCTCATCGGATTCTTGGCCTCATTGAGACGCCAAATGGCTCCGTCCAAGTGCTCGAGCCTTTTGTCCCCCATTATCATATTCCTCAGTCTTTTCAGCGCGTTCATGGGCGGTTCCATCTGATTCCTGAGCTCCACAAGGTCGACCGAAGAGACGTTTCCCATTCGGAGCACTTCGAAAAGCACCTCATCGAGGGGAACGGAGCCATCGAACAGTCCGATTTGCAGAGAGATTCCATTCGACAAACGGGCCAGCACGCGCATTTTCGAGATGAAATCGTCGAAGGTGCTACCTGGAATGAGACGGTATTATGTACATAAATCGCTATTGTAACATCCAAATCTCTTTTTTTTTCGCAAAATTTTCGATGAAAAACCCTACCGTAATGAGCAACAGAATCCCTGATAGTACGAATGGAAGTGATAACCGTCTGACTGACTGAAAAACACAATATTTGTTCTGGAAATTTCCTCCAAAAAGCTTACCCAAAGGTCTAGCAAGAAGAAGAAGAAGGAAGAGTTGTAGAAAAAGTAGAATCCTCATTGTTAGATTGGTCTTTTTCTATTTTCAGCCTAGCGAGAACCTGCAAATCATTGATATTATGAGTTTCTGAATGTTGTACTTACTTTTTGAGATTCAGTAGAACCTTCTCGAATCTAGCAGGGAACTGAAGTGAAGTGTATGTGGAAGGTCATTGGATAAAATTGGTTTAACGGAAAGTTCACGTAAAAATGTTCGGATGTGTTCAAAGATTTAAACTTTTTTCATGAGTTTTTTCGTGTCAGTTGCAAAACGGCCGTTTTTGTTAACACAGGTTTATTTTCCGAGAGAGAGGAGCACACCGAAAAATGAAGAAATGGTTCGCATCAAAGTGTCCGACTTCTGCACATGACAATTTTCCAGACATCTCCATCGTCATCATCCATTTCCTCCTCGTTTTCCAATTGATACGATGTCGCGTAAGGGCTCTGAATCCGACTGAACTCCGCCAACTCAATCAGCTCATTTTCGTGCTCTTTTTGCTCGAAAAGCGTTTCGCATAGGGCTAGAAGGGCGATTAGAGCTGGAAAATCATGTTTCGGGTTCCAGAAGGTCTGAAACTCTTACCTGAAACGTAAAAAACTTCGACAATAGCCCAAGTGCCGATTTTGAAGGCGCCCAGGAGGAGGAAGAGGGTCGCGGCTTCCAAAAACTGGAAATTTCGGGACTTTGAACGTTTACAGTATCTTTGGGAGTGTTTGTGGAGAGAAGTTGTCAACTATAAAAATAAAGTTGAGATTTAGTACTGTACTTTTATACATGACAATTTTTTTGTACAACCACTCCCCGGGTTACTGTAGGTCTTGGAAATTTGCAAAAGCTGTCTGCCACTTCCAACTTCTCGGGTCTACAGTACTTTTCATAGTAGCTGTACAAAAAAAGTGTCAACTACAAAAATACACTACCAAATGTCAAGAAACCATAAAAAAGTTTTCAGACTCCGGGGCATTCCTAGAACTCTACAATATCCGCTCAAACTTGCTCACCAGAGTTGAGCGGAAGAACTCATCGGAAGAATTTTTATCTTTTTTAGAAAATTTTTTCACGGAATGTGATCAACTAACGAAATGTAGAGCAAAGTGAACTCTGCTCATAGAAAAATAATTGTAAATTTAGCTTTTCATACAAAAAAGTTATTCGAGTTGTTCCCTGAAAAAAGGGCCAACGGAACAACTCGAATAACTTTTTTGTATGAAAAGCTAAATTTACAATTATTTTTCTATGAGCAGAGTTCACTTTGCTCTACATTTCGTTAGTTGATCACATTTCATGAAAAAATTTTCTAAAAAAGATAAAAATTCTTCCGTGTTTTTCCGCTCAACTCTGTTGCTCACCATAGCTCCACACGCGCACCATTTGAACAAAACGCGTCCTCTCACACACAAAACCATACAATACATTGGAAGAAGGCAGGCGAGACTGGCGGCCGTCAAATAAGTGCACAATATAATTGCGTGTGGAAGATGACGGAAACGGTAGTGGATTGTGGTGAACGCGGCGAGTTTTGCGACGATCAGCACGAGGAGGAGCAGGAAACAGACGGTTTTCTTCATAATTTGACGGAATTCAGAGTTGGGCGGATAGGAAATGGCAGGGGTGGGCGGAGGAGGAGACATTTCTGGAAAAAAAGTTGGACTCGAAGGCCTGTCACTGAAAATCAGGGCGAAAACCGGAAAAACCGCAGGTTTTTCTGTCCAAAGTCGGCCGAAATTTGCGCGAAAAACGGGCGGTGCGCACAGCTGAACGAATGTAACCGTACCCCTAAAACTACGGTATTTTTTGAAAATTTGCGCAAGAAATTAAAAAATTTTCGAAAAATACCGTAGTTTTAGGGGTACGGTTACATTCGTTAAGCTGTGCGCACCGCCCGTTTTTCACGCGAATTTCGGCCGACTTTGGACAGAAAAACCTGCGGTTTTTTCGGTTTTTCCGAGACTTTGGACGCGGCATAACTTTTTGCGCTCTTCAAAAGATTCACTTACAATATTTAGGACACGTACCTCAAAAGCTCGACCAGAACCTCTGATTTAAAAATATTTTGAGAGGGAAACAAACGGAAACATTTGTACCCGGCTCCTTTAACTTTTATACACGTTTCCTTGAAGCACCCATTCCATTACAGGCTTTTATGACAGCCGAATGATATTTTAATCGAATCGACACATTTTATGGTCCCATTATCGGCATCGCGTGTTCTCTTGATTAAACTAGTACCTGGAAATCAATTTTTCTGGAAAATTGCGTGTTTTCCTTCTTTTCTCTTCATTTTAATCGTAAATCTGTGCTTTTCGCCACGTCACTTCAAGTTTTCCCCGCTATTTTCGATGAAAATCCACAGGTTTCTCATAATTCCGTCAATGAGCAAAGTAAACAAACCAGCACTCTTGTTACGGGCATGTGCGGGCGCCGCTGCCGACGCCCTTATAGCTCAGTGGCAGAGCGTTGGTCTTGTAAACCAAAGGTCCGTAGTTCAATCCTGCGTGGGGGCAACTCGCTTTTGCTTTTTTTCTCCCACCTTCTCCTTTGTTTTTCGCGTCAAAAACAGGTTATTGGAGCTGAAATTCATTCAATTTCCCGCTTTGCTATTGTGCATTCTTTCTCTCGACACACACACACTCTCTCTCTCTCTCTTAGCTATTATGCATGGCGGCCGCCAGTTGCCCATCGATCTTCTTCGTTTTTTTCGTTTTTTTTTTTGCGTTTTCTCTGAAACTCTTGTAAAAGTGTTGAACTTTTCGAGAGCAGAAGCAGGGAAATGTGTATTTTATTCAGAAGCGGAATTCTTGGAAAAAAGTGCTCTTCGTCGTGCTTCTCTTGCGTTTTTGAGCACCAAAACACGGAAAATGACGGTGGCGACGCCGTTCGGAATGCTCAGCGAGGTAATTTTTAAGTATTTTTAAAACAATTTAGGATGTAGGCCGCTTCTATAAATTTGCTCTAACTTTGCTAGAATGTCAAGATTTCGGTGTGTCTAGCAGCTCCACAAAGGCGTCATTTGGCCCCAAATTTTTTTTGTGAAAACTTGACATCTAGTACTTGATTTTTGTAGTTGACACTTTTTTTGTACGATCACTTCCTGGAGTACTGTAGCTCGCTGAACTTGCCATAGAAAACCTCACGTGTTTAGCTAGACTCAACTTCTAAGCGCTACAGTACCCCAGGGAGTGGGTGTGCAACAAAAGTGTCAACTATAAAGTTACAGTACTTGACATGCTCTTCATTTTTAAAGTTGACAACTTTTTGTTTCAATCACTTCCTGAGGTACTGTAGCTCTTCAAAGTTCTAACTAGTTTTGAGGCATGTTAACTTTTATGCCAACTTCCCGGACCTACAGTACTCCAGGGAGTGGTCGTACAAAAAAAGTGTCAACTACAAAAATAACCCACTAGACGTCAAGATATCACAAAAACACTTTCTAGACCCATAGCACGTCTCAAAACTCTACAATACCCGTTCAAAGTTTGGCCATTCTAGCGAAATTCCACAAATTTGTTTTCAGTTGGACTGTAAACGCGAACATTTGCGTCTCTCCTTCTGGCTCTTTTTTCTCGCCATTTCGGTGATGTTCCTGATCCGTCACCTCCTGTTCATGTGGATTCTCGTCCTCTTCTGCACAATCAACGCCTACATCGCGTTGGGCATCTATTGGGGCACTCGGCGCACAATTTGGTGGAGTCACAAGGCTCACGTGAGTTTTTTGGGGGGGCGTTAGTACACGATTTTTTGAGCATTTTTTCCAGATAATCTGCATAATTCTTTTGGGCGCTCTATGGATCACCCTGCCCATTTATTTGGCCTATTACGAGTCGATTATCGATTTTTGTATGGCCCGTCCCGGATACTGTGGAGTCTATCATTTCGGACACGGACATCGCAAATGGCTCGTTTATTTGTACGCCGCTCTCTATTTTGTCGGCATCGGAATGATGGTTTTCGGTGAGTTTTTGGGATCCTAGGCCATTATTTGGGCTCCTAGGCCGTCATTTGGGATCCTAGGTCATCATTTGAGATCCTAGGCCATTATTTGGGATTCTAGGCCATTATTTGGGATTCTAGACCATTATTTGGGATCTTGGGCCATTATTTGGGATTCTAGGCCATCATTTTGGATCCTAGGCCATTTTTTGGGATTCTAGGCCATTATTTTGGATCCTAGGCCATTTTTTGGGATTCTAGGCCATTATTTTGGATCCTAGGCCATTATTTTTGATCCTAGGCCATCATTTGGGATACTAGGCCATCATTTGGGATCATAGGCCAGCAATTTGGGATCATAGGCCAGCAATTTGGGATAATGATACGTGCCGACTGTTGACGTAGGACCGACTTGTCGGATTCCAGGCCACAGGGCGTTTTTCATTGAAAATTTGCCGCTAACAACGTTTTTACCGGAACCTAGGCCACCAAGGGTTAGTTTTTGGGATTCTAGGCCATCTCATTCGACTCGTGTCGGATCCTAGGCCACCCAATTCAAGTTTGTCGGATTCTAGGCCATCCAACTTCCGCTTTTTCAGCCGAACTGTGCCGCCTACGCATGACCGCCTACCTGCTGGCCAAAGCGTGTCGCCACGAGGAACGGGCGGCTCACGGGCACGTCACGATCACGGTCGGATCGGAGTTGGAAAATGAGAAGGATCCGAGGGAGATCATTATTGTCGCCTGAGAATCTTTGTCGGATTCTTTGTCGGCCATACACACCTTGTTAATAAAAAATTATGTTAGCTCTCCAAGGCCCATCTAGTAGCGCATTTGTGCTCTTTTCTACCGTTGAGCCCTCAAATTGTGTCCATAAATCCATGTCTCCTTCTCTTTTTCCGAAACACTTCACGCCGGCTTCTCCTTCAAGCTCCGCCCCTTTTTACTCTGTTCGAGCTTGTAGCTCGAGGTCGAGGAGGAGAATCGCAAGACGTTTTTCCTAAGCACGTTTTGCCCGGCCTTTCTGTCGGTGAGTTTGGTGGGATTCTGGGCGATCCTATGCGGACTACGGAGGACTAGGTAGAACCGTAGGTGATCCATGAGGATCCTTGCGCGCTGCACAACACATTCTACCCGATCTTCGTGGCATTTATCGCCAGCAGACAATGCTGGAACCGCGAGCAGAAGAAGAAGAAGAAAAAAAAGAAGACTTTGTTGAAATGCCTGAAACTGTCTAGTACGCATACTTTTTCCAATGATCAGAATGCATTCATACAAAAAAAATTGAGTTCCTTCTCATCATTCCCTAAACATACAACCAAATCGCGTTTCTAGACTAAAGGAGAGTATTGTGAGGACATTTCGCAACCAAGCAGGTACAGCAGAGATGTTGGGAATTCCGTGTTCCGTGTTCCGCGTTTTTTTCAATATTTTTTCAGTGTTCCGTGTTCCGTAAAAAAAAAAAATTTCCGTGTTCCGTGATCCGTAGAAATACGTTTTTTTCCGTTTTCCGTGTTCCGTGTTCCGTATAAACTATATTTTCCGCGGAAAAATGCTCGCCTCGTAGATCAAATTTATCTCCGGAAAGATTAGGACAATTGACGTTTTGTGGTCAAAATTTGAAAATTTTCGGATTCGGACCATATTCGTGAAAAGTGGATTCCATTTTCAGTCGTTTTTTACTGTAGTTGTTTACTGTTGTGTTGTTGGTTTTGTTATTTTTTTATGAAATTTTTCAGTAAAAACTTTCACATGAGTCAAACAGCTGCCTTGTCAGTCAGATAATCGAATTAAACAAAAACATTATTAAAAAAATCACTGGAATTCTCTTGAAAACGCTTTTTTTCCGTGTTCCGTAAAAAAATTTCCGTGTTCCGTGTTCCGTGTTCCGTAGAAATAAGTTTTTTTCCGTTTTCCGTGTTCCGTGTTCCGTAAAAATTTTTCCGTTTTCCGTGTTCCGTGTTCCGTAAAAATTTCCGTTTTCCGTGTTCCGTGTTCCGTAAAAAAAAAATTTTCCGTTTTCCGTGTTCCGTGTTCCGTAGAGTAAAATTTTTATTCCCAACATCTCTGAGGTACAGTATGAAAAGGACAGTTTGCAACCAACATTAAAACATAGCTGTTACATTGTAAAGTAGTGGATTCAGTTGTGTAGGTACACGATAACATATTTTGTATAGAATGTACAATTGTGAGGCTGGACATTTCGCAACCAAGTATATACAGTAGGGTAAGGACGTTTTGCAACTATATGGGACATTCCGCAACCATAATAAATGTTGCTGTTAAATAGTGAATTAAATAGTGAAACATATTTTGTATAGAATGTACAATTTTGAAGCTGGACATTTCGCAACCAAGTATATACAATAGGGTAAGGACGTTTTGCAACTATATGGGACATTTCGTAACTGTTACACTTGTGGATTTGGCAATGAAGGTACAGTATAAGATATTTTGTATAAAATGTACAATAGAGAGGCTGGACATTTCGCAACCAAGTATATATAGTAGGGTAAGGACGTTTTGCAACCATAGGACACTTTGCAACCGGTACAAGAGTCTCACGGTTGCAAAACGTCCCTTAATCGATCAAATCAGCGAAGGATTGACTCGTCCGCCGTTCATTTTGATAATATCACCGAAATCCATAGGTGTTCGGTGTCGAAAGTTGGGTAGCGGCTCGGCAGCAAGTACCTGAAACGCAAAAAAAGATATTGTCGAACAAGGAATTGTTCGCTTACCGCCTGATGAAGACGAACTTGGCGTCGAACCCGGTCCGCTTGCATCGCAATTATTTCTGGAAGTGGAATGGGTCTGCGGTTTTCGTACGCGAATCTCGGATCGCCTTCAGTTTCGTCGTCCTTAAATCTGGACAATATAGCGACAAATATCCTCGATTTATTTTTTCTCGTTTTTTTTTGTGACTTACCGGTTGTGGAGCTGCTGGAGGAGGGTTGGCCTGAAAATTGAAGTTTAGTGACTTTGAAGAAGCACAAGTTTTTTTCAAAACTTACCGGTTGCGGAACGGCCGCTGCAGACGTTTTTCCGTTCACATCTGCGTTGGGGAACTTTTCTTTGAATATTTCGGCATGGGCTCTGTTTCTTTCGAATTCCCATGTATTTTTCACTGAAAACAACAATCTTTCTGAAGAATACTGGGGAGCTTTGAAGTTAGGGCAAGTTAGGACCATAAGCTAACTTTCGAGCGCTATAGTACCCCAGGAAGTGGTCCAATCGAAAAAGTGTCAACTACAAAAATAAAGTTCACACTTTTAACTTCATTTTTGTAGTTGACAACTTTTTGATCCAGCTACTCCCTGAGGTACTGTAACGCTCCAAACTTTTGAATCAAATTAGTAAACTCTGAATTTCCTCTAACTTCCCATCGCTACAGTACCCCTGGGCTTGGTTTTACAGAAAAAGTGTCAACTACAAAAATAAAGTTCATATTTTCTACTTCATTTTTGTAGTTGACAACGTTTTGGTACACCCATTCCCTGAGATACCGTAACGCTTCAAACTTTTGAATCAAATTCGTATACTCTGAATTTTCTCTAACTTCCCAGCGCTACAGTACCCCAGGAAGTGGTCCTATTGAAAAAGTGTAAACAGCAAAAATACAGTAAAAAATGTGAGGATTTCAAAAAAACCAACGGCTCCATTGTAGCCCTTGCATGAGCGCGGCGGCGAACATCGCAGCGAACAGTGCCCATCCGATCGGCAGGCTGTAGCGATTCACGGCGATGTAGAAATAGAAGAGAGTTTCGGCGTTGCGCGTGTAGTCCTCCGCCATGTGTTTCATTTTGTACACCACATCCGTCTCCACCATTTTCCAAGAGGTCAAAGTCCACAAGTGTGCATAAGTGTACAGGTTGCACACGAGTATTGTCGATTCGAAAGAAATGAGTGTGTACGCAATGGCCTTGGATTTTTCGCTTTCAAGTCGATGATAGACTAGGTAGATTGTGAGTTTTAGCATCGAAATGAACACCGAATATCCGTTTTTTCGGCGCATTAACTGCTGTGGTCGATTGGTTTCGGGCGTTCGCGGATTTTCGGGTTTCTCCATATAAACACTATAGTCGAGGCAGATTTTGCGCGGTAGATCCGCCGGACTCGGCGGTTCTTTCGGAACCGTGTGCACAATATTTCCAGTTTCACCCGCCAGAGCTGCAAAAAGAGTAAATGGATAATAGAAGAGGTGCCATACCGTTTGCGGCAACTTCAGGCTCCGGGTCCGGTGGCGGAACAGGGCAAATCGGGACGGACGTTGTGATTTTGTACATTCCAAGTGTACGAGTCAGAGTTGAGCGGAAATGGAATTTTGAAATCCGGAAAACGGCAGACGGCAGACGGAAAATTTTTTTTTTACGGAACACGGAAAACGGAAGACGGAAAAAAATTTTTCTCACGGAAGACGGAACAAAAAAATCGTCAATTCAGAACCTTTTTTTCCGGTTTTTAAAAAAAAAATAACTAAAGCAACAAAAAATTTGGATCTGGGTCACTGCCCGTGGAAATTCGCGTTCTTCAGGTCTATTAAATGGCTTCTGAAAAGCTATTACTCTTTTTTATGGTAAGAAGAAAAAATTCCGAAAGACGGAAGACGGAAGACGGAACAAAACTTTTTTCCCGGAAGACGGCAGACGGAAGACGGAACAGAAAAATCCACGGAAGACGGAAGACGGAACAAAAAAATCCACGGAAGACGGAAGACGGAACAAAAAAATCCACGGAAGACGGAAGACGGAACAAAAAAATCCACGGAAGACGGAAGACGGAACAAAAAAATCCACGGAAGACGGAAGACGGAACAAAAAAATCCACGGAAGACGGAAGACGGAAGACGGAAGACGGAATTCCGCTCAACTCTGGTACGAGTGTGTGACTCGACTGATTTCCAACGACGGAGCATTCTCGTTTAGTAACCAAGGAGACTAGCCGACGACTTCACCACCACCTCATACCTATCCTAATCCCGTAATTGCGCGAGCTATGGACGCTCTACCCGGCGGCGTCTCGACTTTTGACGCCGAAATTCACGCGCCCAGGATTCGAGAAATCAAAAAAACAATAATCAAATGGTTTCTCGTCCTAACCGTCGCCGATATTCCATGTGTGCTCGCCGAGCTGCACACTTTCCTCACGTACATCATCGCGCAGACCCATTTGACGCTCTCCTGCTCGCCGTTTTTCGTCCTTCTCCCCATCCTGCTATTCCTTCGCCTCACACTGATATTGTGCAACTATTGGGCGATTCGAGTTGTGATCCTTGAAAACCGGTTGGGCGTGCGGCTCACTCGCCAGAGTTTCGCGTTTCTGTTGAAAGTGCGAACTGTTCTGCTTGTGAGCGGACTCGTCATTGTGACTCCCTCCTACTTTTGTGCCCACGTTCCGATTGAGGCCACGGTGTTGTGGGTGGCCGACGTGATCGTTGTGACGACTTTGATGACAGAAGGTTAGTTTGGGGGAAATAGGATTCACAATAAAAAATTCGCTTGGCGGCGCAATTCACGTGCGCTAAACAAGGCGCGTAACGCGTAATTCCGGAGCGTCGTTGTAGAGTTTCTCATTCATTTCAATTTTCCCCTTTTTTGCATTATCCACATCTTTTCTGAACCAATCAGTGTCAAAACTTATGTCAATTATTAGAAATGAACAAAAAATGAAATTTTAACCGCTTCGTCATCAATTTCGAAACGTTTTATGTGAAAATTACAGATTTTTTTTTGCTTTTGAAAATTTCTGTATATTTTTCGACGGTTGAGCGCTTAAAAGATGCGCAATAAACTGCTTGTTGACTGGAGACGGTTCGAATGCCAGTGTCCGAACTCGATTCGGCAAATAATCGTTAAAACTCTGTTTTTTTCAGTATTTTTCGACAAAATCCCTCAATTTGATCAATTCTCAACGAATCTGCTCCGTTTCGCGCTTAAATCGATACTTTTTTTGCAAAGAACAAAATTTGAGTGTTTATTAAGAGAAAAACGAAAGAATTCTGGTTTTCAATTGAAAAAACAAACTTCGAGTTGACGGTGGATGCAAGCGCGCCCCATTGACAACTCGCTTGCGCATTCGAATGCTGGGCTTCCGTGGGATTGGTGGTTTCTGACGGCTTTTCATGTAGTTTTACAGTACAATATCAATTGCTGATCAAAGTTTGTCAAGTGAAGACGATGATGCATCCACATCGGCGGCCTTTCGAGAGAGACATCATGGAGACTGTGGTCTAGAGTTGAGCGGAAGAACACGGAAGAATTTTTATCTTCTTTAGAACATTTTTTCATGAAATGTGATCAACTCACTGTCTCCCCTTTGGCGAAAAAAATTTTCGCGCGCATTTTTGCGTGCGGCTCTCAGTGTCGATTTACGGGACACGGTTTTTCAACTGAAAACGATGTTTTTCCAAGTTTTTGGGATTATGCACACTTTTCCTTCAAAACTTTTGCCTCACGTTTGTTCATATGACCGATGGCTACAAAATGATCACAGAGTGTTCGTGTAAAAGGGAAAATTCGAAGAGTAATTTCGTTTTTTAAAATTTGTCTTGAAAAAACGAATGTTCGACAGATTTGAGAAAACAGTTGACAGAATCGAAAAACAGTTGCCTCACGATTGTTCAGCAGACAAAGGCGGTCATTTTGAGCACAGAGACGGCCCATAAAATGCAAAAATGACTGAGAAATTTCAGTTGTAGAGGTTCAGAACTGAAATTCACAGAAAAATGAAAAAATGCGCTGTTTCTTGTGGGCAAAACGCTAATTTCAGATCACAGCTGTCATAAACTATTCTGACAATCCCTGTTTTACCTAGTTTTCCTCATTTCGGGATGAAATTTCGGGTTTTCGCAGAAAAATCCAGAAACTTCAGACCTGCTTCTGTTTTCAACGACACTCCGTTTTAACGCGGCGCTCAATTTAGCATTAGCCATTGGGGAGACAGTGCAACTGACGAAATGTAGAGCAAAGTGAACTGTGCTCATAGAAAAATAATTGTAAATTTAGCTTTTCATACAAAAAAGTTATTCGAGTTGTTCCGTGAAAATGTCCTTCCGTCTTCCGTCTCGAATAACGTTTTTGTATGAAAAGCTAAATTTACAATTATTTTTCTATGAGCACAGTTCACTTTGCTCTACATTTTGTCAGTCGATCACATTTCATGAAAAAATTTTCTAAAAAAGATAAAAATTCTTCCGTTCGATAGTAACTCTAAAAATATGTTCCCCTCCTCGACGTTGTCTAGAATAAACTGAATCCCGAAACTCGAGCAACGCTCACTTCTTCCGGTCCCTAATCGCTCAACAGCGCCGAAATCTGCGCCGCTCAGCACAAATAATGCTCCCGAAGCGCTGAAAATTGTTGACACTTTTACCCTTTCCCGAAATGTTCGCACCTAATCAGAGATGCGCTGTCATGGCGCCATTTTGAGTACACAATCGACGGAGTGTGTCAACATTTTCAGTTTATGCCGCAAAACTTGCATCGCCATCATTTTTGCGCTCTTAACATCGGGTACGGTAACGCGCGGAGAGCTGTGAACTTTGCAGTTCCAACTTTTGCGACGACGTCAAACTTTGAACGAGTACGGTAGCGTTGGAAGGTGTCCGAGGGGTCTCGAAAATTTTTTGGACATAAACCATGTCTAGTACGTCATTTTTGTAGTTGACACTTTTTCTCTAAAACCACTGCCTGGAGTACTGTAGCTCGCGAAAGTTTGGGTGATCGCAAGGCCTATGCAAACTTTCAAGAGCTACAGTACTCCAGGAAGTGGTCGTACCAAAAATGTGTCAACTACAAAAATAAAGTGTTAGGTGTCAAGAACTCACAAAATAAATTTCAGACCCTTAGGTTAGCTCCTGGTCCTACAATACCCATTAAAAGTAAGCCATTATCATCGATGTCCGTTCGTTTCGAATCCTATGATTTTTTCAGATTTTCAGGTGTGTTCAGATGCTCATATTTGCACAATATCACGTCTCCAAATTGTACTGAATCCAAAAACCCAAAGCAAGGCCCTAAAACTGTTCCATGTCGGATCCTGAAGTCAATTCGGTCAATTTCTGTCAAATTTCAGCTTCCTACACAAAAATTGATGAAATCGATAAGTAAAACTTGTATCCTGCAGAAATAAGACGTGCAAAAGAGTTTTCCGCTCTCCAGGCAGCGAACCCACGACTAGCCGATTCGCGAATTCCAAAAGAGAACCACTACGCCACAAGAGCATCTCCGCCGCACTCGCACTTAGGGCAATGACCTTTTATTGGTTTCGCGTGCACTTTGAGCAGTCGCAAAAAGTGGTGGGGAAAAAAAAGGAAGTTTTTCGAACAAAAACCGTACATGTCTAGACGTCAATTCGACCGCCGCCTTTCCATTTCTTCACTCGTTTCGTCAATGTCGCAATTTCGGCTCGCTTATCAGTTGGCTCTAATCTTTGTGATTTGATTCTCGGGTTCGATTTCGGCACACACTCCGCCCGCTTTTTATCACAAGTCTATAAAACGGACCAAGCCGGACGAGCCAAGCGAGCTTGTGCCCGAAAAAGAAAAATGAAGTGCCACCTCATTCTTCTAGTCGCTCTCCTCGTTTTGTACGGAATCGAGGCTCGCACTCACCCTCATCATCACCATCACCGTCATCATCATCGACGTGCGGCGCCGGTGCCCGAAGTGGACAGTGGTCTCGACCGGACTCGCGTCAAAATTTGCGACATGAACGACTTGATCGATCGAGTCAAGACGGTGTGCCCGAAATTGTGTCCGACCGGATGTAAGTCGCTTTTTTGTCTGTTACTGACCATCTCAAAAAAAAACTTGCAGCGTTCCCCGAACTCGAAGAGTTTTGCTACGGAAAAGGTCTGTCGGATTGGCACGTCGAACGGATGTGCTGCCCCAAATACCAGATCGACGGATGGCCAGTCTGATGATGATTCGCAAAATCGGAAACACACGCACACATCTTTGTTTATTGTCTCTAATAAATGCACAAGTTCTCTCTCTCTCTCCACTCTCAGGTAATTTTCGGCAAGGATGGGGCGCGCAAGCGGCAAGCGAACAGCAAGTTGCTACGGTAGCATGGGGTGAGCATGTGTCACGCACGGATCCGGCATGGCATCAGCATGGATGGGACGTGCAACAGAAAGGAGTGGGATGGGAGGGAAGCAAGGTTTTGAGCGGCACGGGAGCAGCAAGGGTTGAGCGCGTAGCAGGCACGGAATCGGCACCCTTACAGCAATTTGCCGCGGAAAACGGCACGGATGCCGCTTCCAGTCGGCACTCATGCCGATTCATGCGGCAACTTGCCGAAAATTACCTGAGCTGTCATCGATCCTTTTTCTTGATCCGTTTTCCGTCGCCTCGTCGTCTTGGCCTTCTTGAAACTGACTAGGGAATGGCCCGGACTTCGGACCTATATGATTCAAAAGAGAATTTCACGGAGAATCCGAATCTGCTCTCGATTTTGGCTGGCGAGAAAATCTGCCCGTTTCTGCCACATTTTCTAGCAAGTTCATCTTCGGCGACCTGTATCTCAAGAGCCACGCGTCCGTTGCAGAAGTGGTCAACTAGTAAGTTAACGCAAATTATCTCGTGAATAACTTTGTAGTTGATCGTTTATTTTTAAAAAAAATTAGTTTTCGAGTTATAGTCGCTCTGACCCCAGCACTAACTTTTTTCTTGCCGCTCTAGGAAAACAGTTCATAACTCGAAAACTAATTTTTTTAAAAATAAACGATCAACTACAAAGTTATTCACGAGATAATTTGCGTTAACTTACTAGTTGACTACTTTTGCAACAGACGCGTGGTTCTTGAGATACAGGTCGCCGAAGATGAACTTGCCAGCCAGTGCTTTTCTCAAGCCAAGAAATGAACAAAAACTCTGCAATTAGTCAGTCTGAGAGCCAGTGTGAACAGAATTAGTACAACACGAGTGATTCCGACAGTTTAGGGGATGGGGAATCCGTTTTTGAAATAAAATTTGAACATTTACATGGCCAATCATGTTTCTCAGGCCCCAAGCCTTCAAAATGCCACAAAAGTTCGTCTCAACGAGTCTGTGGTCGTCCGTGGTCCGGAAACAATGAAAATATTGAAAATATTGAACGGACAGGCCCAGACACACTTAATGTGTCAACTCATAAACACCGATTCCTCACTCTTATCACCAAATGTTTGAAAACGTGTTAGTTTCGACGCGCACCCGCATCACGATGATGTTTGTCAATATTAGTGAACAAATTTTTGATTCTATAGTATACTATAACCGAAAAATTGGGCAGTCAAACTTTCAAATGGATATTGTAGAGTTCTCAGTGGCGGCAGTGCCTTGAAACTTCTATTTGTACACAAATCATGGCGAGCAGTTCACATTTCCAATTGATACTTTTTGAAAGTTTGCGTAGGCCATCATCCTTCAATTCAAAGTTCAAAAACGGCCGTTCAAAACTTTGAAATAAACATATTATAGTCGAAAACCGTAAAAAGTTTTGCAAGTTGCCGGACACGCCCATTTTGTGCACAACCTGCCAGTAGCCGTACAATCTGAAAAGGCGCCGACGGTGTAAAAGTGATAAGGAAACGTAAATGTGTAAATGTAAACAGAGGAGGAGATCAAATCGACAGTTCACTTCGTGTTGTCTGATGTAATTATGACGATGATTCTCTCCTCGGAGTACTGTAGGTGAAAACGGTGAAAAATGAGGTCGAACTTTGAACGAGTACTGTAGCGTTGAAAGACGTCTTATGGGCCCCAAAATTGTTTTGCACATAAACCATGTCTAGTCGATCATTTTTGTAGTTGACAACTGTTTGGTACGAGCACTCGCTGGGATACTGTAGCTCCGGGAAGTTACCATAGGAAATCGGCTCTGAGCTTGCCACCTCAACTTCCAAGCGCCACAGTACCCGAGGCGTTGGTTCTGGTAAAAAGTTGTCAACAACAAACTTAAAGCTTATAAATTTCGCCATCTTTTTCCAGTTGACAACTTGTTTCTACAACCACTCCTAAGAGAGGTGTACTTCAACAAAGTCGCGGCTAACTAACTTTCACAAAGGCTACAGTACACTAGAGTTTACTATTGTAAGTTCAGTTTGAACCCCACCGCTTTCGAAAAATGTGCAAAGTCTGCCGATTCGGAAAAGTTCAATAGTTTCAGGAAAAGTGAGTTTACTTTATTTCGATAATTTGTTGACGTTGTGTTTGACTAGTTTCAAAATTCCGTTTTGTAAACTTTCTAGTTTGGTGCCAAGAGCAGAAAGCAGCCGGAAAAAGTGATAAGAAGTGGGGAAAAGTGTTTGCGGTTTTCGGAAACCATTGTTGACGGCTCGCAACTCTGACTTTTCGCCACTGAATGCGACAATATCAGTTGGCGAGTGATGATCACTCGGAACCGAGCGTAACTCGTGAATGGTTGAAGATATCAAAAAGCGGTCAACTACAATGTTGTCGAGAAGAAGTATATCTTCAATATTGTAGTTGACCATTTTCTGATATCTCTTCACGTTAATGAGTTATCGAACCGTTTACTCATAAAACTGAAACTTTATTCAAAAATGTCATCAGAAAAGTGTGTGTTCAAGGGTCATCAGGATTTCAAAAGATGATCAATAAAATAAAGACGAGGAAGATGCAATTATTGTTCCTTTTCGGCGTTGGGACAACACGCCTCACTGACCTGTTCGTCGGTGTATCCGACCGAACAATAGACGCTCGGATTGACACTAGCTGCAAATTTTTTTTTCTCCAAAAATTTCATAAGACCTCAATTTACCTCCAATCTCACAGCCATCCGCACACAATTTTGCCACGTGTCTCATCGCCGATCGTCCGCATTTTCGATGAAGTTGTTGCGCATTCAAAAATGCGAGAATCGAGAAGACGAAAAGCACAAAGAACGAGTAGCAGTTCATTTTTTTCTCTCAGCCAACGGCGTTCTAATCGCACTCGGCGCCCGCTTTTTATGGGCGCCACGGAAAAGGGGCGTGGCCGTCGCTTTCTCGAACTTTTTTCATAAACAATTTTCGGCCGCGCCCACCACCACACAAGCGTAACTAATCGGCAGAAGCCCGACAAAATGCGGGGATTTTTGGGGTCCGCAAATGTCCAAAAAAAAATCGATTGAACTCTTTTGGCAGCATTTCGAAACGGAATTCACGTGCAATTCAAAAAGCTCGTCATCACTTGCTTATCACTTTTTCGTTCTCGTTCCCCCCTCCCCACGCGCGCGCGCACACATCGACAATATCGAAACGTTTGCCCCGGAAAGAAGGTGACAAACACTCGTTTTGTGGTGGAACTTTTGGTTTTTGGCTTCTTCAGAGGACTTTCGACCCGCTGTTGGACTTGTTGCACGCTAAACGGAAAACGGATAGAGCACAAAAATGTCTTCTTCCGGGACATGGCCACGTTTAAAATCATCAAAACGGACTGTACAGAAAGCGGCAGAGTTGACGAGCGGAAGAACTCAACGCAAGAATTTTTATCTTTTTTAGAAAATTTTTTCATGAAATGTGATCAACTGACGAAATGTATAGCAAAGTGAACTGTGCTTGTAGAAAAATAATTGTAAATTTAGCGTTTCATACAAAAAAGTTATTCGAGTTGTACCGTGAAAAAAGGGGGCCAACGGAACAACTCGAATAACTTTTTTGTATGAAAAGCTAAATTTACAATTATTTTTCTATGAGCACAATTCACTTTGCTCTACATTTCGTCAGTTGATCACATTTCATGAAAAAATTTTCTAAAAAAGATACAAATTCTTTCGTTGAGTTCTTCCGCTCAACGCTGGTGGTAACAGACCGATCATCTGGAAATTGCGGTCTTTCCGATCCGCTCCGGATGATCGGATCCGTCTGAAACTTGGACCCAATATACTTTAACCCATTTCCAAGGGCCCTGCAAAGTTTGGTCCCAATCCGATCATTGCAAGTGGCTCAAAAGTACGCCCACTAATCCTTTGGCATTTCTGTGAGTCAGAAACAAATATAAATGATATTATTTGTGGACAATATGCTAACAAGCTTAACCTTTTTCAGAGAATGATAATAATAATAATAATAATAATAATAACAAATCCTTGAGATTAGCGGATTTTCAGTGGTTTTATACTGAAGATCATGAAAAACCCTCTAATTTTTCTCCAGAAGCCACGGAAAGTGTACTTGTTCTGAAAAAGGGACAACGTCAGCAAAAAGTATAGAAATAAGTGTGTGACATTTGATTTTTGGTGTCAATCAAAGGTTTCCCCTCCCCATTTTTCGCTATGGTGCATGAACTTTTGGGGACGTCAGTGATGAGGTGGCACAAAAGGTTTCATTTATTTTGCAAGCGCTACAGTACTCCAGGGAGTGAGCGTACAAAAAAAGTGTCAACTACAAAATTAAAGCACATGTCTTGTACTTTATTTTTCTAGTTGACCATTTTTGTGTACAACTACTGCCTGGAGTACTGTAGCTCTTGGAAGTTAGCACACTAGTTTTGAGCCTACGCGCTTCTCAGCCAACTTCCAAGCGCTACAATACTCCAGGACGTGGTCGTACAAAAAAGTGGTCAACTACAAAACTGTAGTACAATTCGTGACCTTCATTTTTGTAGTTGACAACCTTTGCGTACAATCACTCACTGGGGTACTGTAGCTCTTTGAATTGTCTGATTCAGTCTCGGCTCCATAGTCGTTATTTCAAAAAAGTTCCACACTAAACCAACACCATTTCCTATGGGATTTCAAGGTCGTTTAAAAAAAAAAAAAAAAAATATTCCTTTCACATTATCTCACCTCTCATCATCACATTTCCGCCGCTATAAAAACGGCTCAACTCTGACCCGTTTCCGCCAAAAACCATGAAGATTCTCGTCGTTTTCTCCGCCGCTTTTCTCGTGCTCTCGACGCACGGATGCATGCTCAAAGTGAGCGGTCCCACTGGCTCGATGAGTGTCCTGCCGATCGCCTCCTCCTCCGATCGCATCGCCACCGCCACCTATTCGGAACAGGATTGTGCGAGTGCGTGCGAGAAAATGGCGAATTGTATGTACACGTTGTGGGCCGACAATCAGTGTAATCTCTATCAACCGCCGCAATCGGAAGCCATCTATCAAGCCGGAACTTATGTGGTTTGGAGCAAGGTACTTGAAATCACAACACGTCAACTTTCAAATGGATATTGTAGAGTTCTGAGGCGTTCTAGTACCTTGATTTCTTTTTCAACATCAAAATCATGTCTAGTACTGTATTTTTGCAGTTGACACTTTCTCATTACCACCATTCCCTGGGGTACTGTAGCTCCGGGAAGTTGGCATGGGAAACCCTAACGCTTTTTGGTGGTCCTAACTTCAAAGCGTCACAGTACCCCAGGGAGTGAGCGCACAAAAAAGTTGTCAACTACAAAAATAACGTACAAGATGTGAACTTTCATTTTGTAGTTGACAACTTTTCGATCCAACCACTCGCTGGGTTACTGTAGCACTTTGAAGTTGGGTCCATTCAAACGCTCAAGTGTTGCAATGCCAACTTCCAAGCGCTACAGTACCCCAGAGAGAGGTCGCAGAAAAAAACCGTCAACTACAAAAATAGTGTACTAGACGTGAATATTCTACTAAAACGCTCAAAAGCGTGCTACAACGTTTGCAAAGCCTACAATACTCGTTCAAAAGCCAACCACATTTTTTTTTTGCAGATCCTCGAAGGAATGTGCACGGCGGCAGTGAATTTTCTGAGCCAATCGAACTATGTCTACGTGAACGCGACAAGAAAGACCCGTTATTACAAGGACGCTTCCGGCCAGACCCACGTTGTTTCCTACGTTAAATAAAAATGATTCTTCACCGATTGAGAATTTCTCTGACCACTCGATATTTAAAGGACCCCAAATGGACATATAATACATAATAAAATCCAAGTTCAAATCCAAATCCGGCATAAAAAACGTCTAGCGACAAACTCCAAATTTATCATAGAAAATTTCGGGGTGAGTGAGCGAAAAAAACACACACACAAATGATGCCAGACAAGCCAATATGGCTCAGCATGAACAATTTCTAACGAAACTCTAAAGAGGGCTGGATGAGGCACTTGTTTTAACAAACAAAATTCGGGCATTTCTCTCGACACGACATCACAAAAAAGGTACCCAAATGAAAAATTCCGATTGAGAATTCCAGAGATTACAGTCGTATAAGGCGGTTTTTGAGGCGGGAAATGAGCATTTTTTGAGGAGGTGAGCACTTTCTTTCCAATATGGAAAATGAGTAGTAGTAGAAACATTGGTGCGGGGGGAAACGTGGAAAAAAGCATACAAAATGTACAACAGCGGCGGGTGGTGAGGGGGCGATTCAAAGTCCTTTCGGCGTTTCGGTATTGTTCGTAATGTGGTCGACCGGCATTCCGTTCTCGTATCTCTTCCACATTTGGTCCAACAACTCTTCCATATCGCGACAATATTGTTTCACGTCGAACAGTGTCGACGTCGTCCGCGCCATCCACACTTTGGCGCGCATGTTTTGCAAGCTGAAAGTTGAAAATTGCCCTAGACATTCTCTTCGGATTTATTCAAAAACGCTCAATTTTCCCCACAAATGTCGGCCGTTCACTTACAATTCGGCGTCGGTGCCCAGACGAACGGCGATCTGAACGTATTCCGCTTTGCTGCGTGCCACCAATTCCGGCACTCCGAGCGCGTACAATTGCGAGGCGGCCACGCGCGAAGCCAGCGTTTCCACTGCAACAAACATTTTAAAACTCTGGAAGAGAATCGATAATGACTGTATGCATCCTAAAATTAGATGGATCTCTATTGACCAGGTATCCAAACGGCTTGGGACGCGGGTGGTCCCGTCTCATGGTACTAAAGATGATGTTGCATAGGCTCTGGGGCCATTTGTTTTCTCTGGCTTATGGTACCCAGTGCAGCATCTTCCCCCCGTTCCCTTCGCCCGCGTTTCCAACTGTTTGGATACCTGTCTCGTCGACTCAGGCTCTTGCACTTTCAAAATATGGCCCTAATTGAAGCACTCTAAGATTTTCGGCTAGTTCGCTTATAAAGAAAAAATGCTTACACGGCATGGTGACCATGGGCGTTCCGGTCCACAAAATGTCCATTCCGGTGGTGTGTCCGTTGCAGAGCGGCGTGTCCAGACACACGTCCGCCAGTTGTCCGCGACGAACGTGCTCTTCCTGCAACGAATACTGTATACACTTTATTTGCTCTTTTTACTTTTGCTAATAAGAACAAGACTTCGAGCGAAGCTAACGCTCGAAAGCGGCTTCTTCACAACGTCACTCCAAAACGAATCGGCGAGAAACAAACCTTAGCGGCGACATTACTGAAAACGATGCGTTTCGGGTCGACGCCCCGATCGATACAGTACTTGCGAATGTGCTCCTCTCCCTGATAGGGGAACCGCAGCAGCCAAAGCACCGATTTCGGCACGCTGTCGATGATTTTGATCCACATATCGAGCGTGGACGGATCGATTTTGTAGAGTTGGTTGAAGTTGCAGAACACGATCGCATCGTCCGGCAGCTGGTATTGGGCCCGCGACGTCAGCAGCACCGAGTTCGGAATCTCCTCGCCCGTCGCCGCTTTGTGGTGCATTTGTGACTGCAAAACGTTGCACATATTTTAGGTTGATCAATAAGTTTCTAGATTTTTTGAAAAGCCATATTATAAAATTGGTCCAAACATTTTCTTGGACAGAGAAACGGTGATTTCGGTTCAATCTTACCTGCCCGAGTCCGTTCTGCACATTCATATCCTCCATCACGTTCATCGTCATCTGTCCCGTCATGATCATCTGCTTGATCGGCTCCGTCGGCACCTCCAGCACGGGAAACACGACTTCGGCACGGACGAGCTCCTTCGTGGGTCCCTTGACCACTTGCGTGTCCAGCACGTGTTCTTTGATCTCCGACTTTGCGAGAATCGGGTCCATGTTGGCCGTGTTCATGATGAGGCACGAGTCCCGTTCGGTCGCCTCCTTGTCCTTCACCACCACCTTCTCCGTCAGGTGCCGCAGCATTTGCGCGTGGTCGCCGATGAAGAACGTGTGCGGCATGTAGGCCAGCTTTTCAGTGTACGCGTTGGCCAATCGGAGGGGCGAAGTGACCGCATCCGTGATGATATAGTCCATGAAAGTGGCTCCCGAAGTGGACGGATACCCCAGCCACATGACTTGAATCGGAGCGGGCCGCAGGGCGAATATCTCGTTGCGCGCGCCCTTCGTGTAGCCGTTCATGTTGATCAGAATGTGGATTCCGTCCTGCGCAATCTTCTCCGCCGCCTTTCCGTTGCACGGCACCTGCGACAAATCGACGAAATGCTCGGACTCGGCCATCAGTTTCGAGCGGAAGTTGGTGCCATCGTTGACCGAGAGCGCGTAGCAGAACACTTCGACTCTCGTCCGATCGTGCATTCCCGGGATGGACTGCATCAGATGCGACGTCGGATGATTTCCAAAGTCCGACGAGACGTAGCCGATGCGGAGGCGTTGACCGTTCCGCACACTGAACCGATCCGCGTGGATCAGCGGCGTCTTGCCGAGCATTTGCACTTGCACCTTGTCGAAACACAACTGCGCGTGTTTCGCAGCGATGGCGATTCTTGTGGAGTGCGTCAGCGGGTAGAGCATCGAATGATGGGGATGGACTGATGGAAGACGCTTCTTTCCCAGCTGCTCTTCCACAATCATCACCAGTTTTCGCATTCTAAAACAAATAACTAGAATATAAAGAGAGATTGAGCTTCAATGATTGTCTCCCGACTAGACCTTGCAAATTCTCAAAAAGCGTATCCTCAAAAACCGACTAACCTCTTGTCGTAGTCGGTCCAATCGCAGATAATTTGAAGGCAGTGGGCGAGGTTGCAGAACGCGTCCGGAAAGTCGGGTTTCAGTTTCAAAGCGGTCGAATAGCTCTGAATCGCTTCGGCCATGTTTCCGGCGTCCTGCAAATAATTGACATCATCATCGAATCGCTACAGAAATACTCCGATCGGACTCGAATCGAAGCATTTTGGGTCCAAGTTTCAGGCCGGCTTCACCACGTATTTAAAGTTCACATCTATAGCAGATCGGGCCGAAACTTGCACCGAAAATATTTCAATTTTCAGTGGCCCCACCACTTCCCCCCTACAAACCTTGTGTATGCTGGCGAGGTTGCTGTGAGCGTCCGCAAACGCCGGGTTGATCTGAATGGCCCGATTGTAGCAGGCGATCGCCGACGTGCTGTCGCCCATCTCCTTCAGCGTGTTGCCCATGTTCGAGTAGGCGTCGGCGAACGTGGGCGCAATCCGAATCGCCTCCTTGTAGTGGAGGATCGCGTCGGAGAGTTTGCCCTGCTGCTGCAGTATCGACGCGAGATTCGAGTGCGCCGCCGCGAATTCCGGATAGATTTCGAGCGCCTTCAGGTAGAGACGCGTCGCCTCCTCGACACGTCCCTGTTCCCGTTTGATGTTCGCCAGATTGTTTTGCGAGTCTGCGTGCGTGGGACACAACTGCAAAACCCAAGCGTCCACAAGTGATTGAGGAGCGAAAGAAAGCAAAGTCTATGTTAGTACCAATAGTTTATTTTTTATATCAAAAATAGCAAAAAGTTCCACGGAACCTCTGTTGATGGGGGTATTTTTGGGGCGCCCCGTTTGGCACCGCTGACCCCGAACAATAGAGAATTTCCTGTAAGATTGAAAAATCATGCCATTTTTTTCCACGAGAAACGCTCGCGAGACCTCTGCTTTGGCTTAAGACAACGGAAATCTGTGTGTGTGTGTGTGTGTAGGTGAGTGAGTATGTGAAAAATACAGAAAAAATGACGGGAAAACAAAAGAGTTCACAACTTATTCCCCAGTTTTTGCCACACTCTCACCTCCAACGCCTTCAAATACATTTGCTCCGCCTCGGCGACACTGCCCTTCTCTTTCAGCGCGTTCGCCAGATTACAGTAGGCGTCCGGAAAGTGCGGTTGCAGCTCGATCGCCTTTTTGTACGTGTCGATCGCCAAATCGATGAGGCCCTGTTCGTAGTAGACGCACGCCAGGTTGCCGTGCACCACCGCGTGGTTTCCCGCCAAATTCAGGGCGCGAAGGTACGCCGACACGGCTCTGAATATTCGACAATTTCTTTGGGGCGACTCTACTCGCATGACTTGAAGAGAACACGCTTGCCCCGAGACGTTTCGAAATCGCGACACTTTGCAACAAACGTGAACTACTTGGCGATAAATTGCACTGCCAAAGTTGACGCGGTTGCGAAACGTCGGGGAGCCGATAGAAAGTGTAAAAGAGTTCCCGAGAGACTGAAAAAGTTGAAGTAAATGTTAATTTTCCGACAAACCGATCGAAAATCCTGGCCTCTTTGAGCACGTTTCCCAGATTGATGTAGGCGTCGAGGAAGTTCGGATCCAAAGTGACGGCCTTCTCGAAATGATGTATGGCGAGCCATATCTCGCCCTGACTGTTGAACACGCAGCCGAGGTTGGACCACGCGACCGCGAACTGCGGCTGAGTTTCGATCGCACGCAGGTAGCACGTCTACAATATTCATAGGTTTTCTTGGATTTTCTCTCGCTGGATGGATCTCGACTCTTTCAGTTTCAGTGTCACTAGAGGCGCATGCTCACACGGCCCGGCTCACAGTCAAACGCAATCACCTTGGCCTCCTCGAGCCTTCCCATCGCTTTGAACAAGTTTCCGAGGTCCGATCGAACACAATACAAGTCGGGCGATATGTTCAGTGCACTCTGGTAGGAGAGCACCGCCTGATCGAGGTCTCCGCCCGAGACGAGAGCCGCCGCCAGATTGATGTAGCCGTCGATGAATTCGGGCTTCAACTTGACCGCGATTCTGTAATTGTCGAGCGCCTCCGCCAACTGTCCCTTCTCTTTATAGTAATTTCCGAGGTTACTGTAGGCTTCGGCGCACTGCGGATTCACTTTTATCGCCAGCACCGAGTAGGTCATCGAACTGCAAAACGTAAAGACATTGAGATGCCTGATTTGATTTCAGAAAACATCAAAATCGTTAAAAAGTCACGGTGATACTGAATCGATTGATTGAAACAAACGTACTCCTCGTAGGATTTCGTCTGAAAATTGATCGCGGAGAGGAGAAGGAGCACGGACAAATTGTTGGGATCCTGGGCGAAAATCTGTTTGCACGTGTCCTCCGCCTTTTTGTAGTCGCCAATCTGGAACTGCCGATGCGCCGTTTCCGTGATTTTTTCTGCAAAAAATGGCATTGCTTTTTAGAAGGTCTCGAAAATTGATTCAGAAATACAAAATCATGCAACTTCAACAGGGCTGGGCAAATTTCGGCCCAGGCTTTTTGCGGCCTGAACTTTTGATCCACTTGCAATGATCCGATTGGGCCCAAACTTTGCAGACTTCTTGGGATTGAATTGAAGTATATTGGGTCCAAGTTTCAGACCGATCCGATCATCCGGTCCCGAGATATACTGGGTTGAGGACGTGGGCGGCTTCTTCGGCCTCAAACCAGTATATCTCGGGACCATATGATCCAATCGGCTTGAAACTTGAACCCAATATGCTTCAATCCGATCCCGAGAAGCCCGCAAAGTTTGGACCCGATCGGATCATTGCAAGTGGGTCAAAAGTCCGAGCCTGGGCCGAAATTCTGCGCAGCTCTCAGCTCCAAATAATCAAGTGATGTAAAAACGAACTAAGCGATTCGGTGACTCCATTGACGACCACAGTAGCTCCGCTTCCGGCTTGAAAAGAGATGGGAATTTGTGAAATGCTCTGCGCGGCCAGAAGATTCGCGGCGGCTCCGTTCAATTGAAATTGAGGATTCGCGGCCGCCAATTGTTGTACGGCCACTTGATTTTCCAGTTGCTGAAACCAAAATGATTAGAGGCGTTTGTTGAAATTTCAGAAAAACAAATGATTACAAACCCTGGGAAGTCGAAATCGGACAGTTTTTCGCGGAGCCTTTCTCATTGCAAAATGCCGCAAAAGATGGGTGAAATTGAGAGAAAACAGTTGAGAATTCTTCGATTTCCCCCCTGGTCACTTTTCTCGTTCTTAACCGGTTTCGCCTCTATTTCTGTCCCGCAATCACATCATGAACGTGTGTGTATTATGATTGTGTGGGCGGAGAAAGAGAGAGAGAGAGAGAGAGAAAAATAATGATGATGTCATTGTTTTTTTCACAAATAAACATTTCAATAAGAATGAGAGAATTTCGGCCCAGGCTTTTCGAGGCCTGGACTTTTGACCCACCGCGCTTCTTGGACTTGGATTGAAGTACATTGAGTCCAAGTTTGAGACCGGTCGGATCCTTTGGTCCCGAGATATGTGGATCAGAGGCGAAAAGGCCGTTATCGGCCTCCGATGCACATATCTCGGGACCAGATGATCCGATCGGTCTGAAACTTGGAACCAACATACTTCAACCAAATCCTGACAAGTCTGCAATGTTTGGTCCCGATCGGATCACTGCAAGTGGGTTAAAAGTCGACAGGCCCCCCTCCCAATAGAAATCCAGATTTTCATGGGAATGAAACAAAATTGAGAAGAACGAACCGATCGAAGTGCGTGAATATTGAGCAGGTTGACCAATTGCGGATTCTGCTGAAACTGCAGCAGATTGGCGGCAATCGACGCATTCGAGATGGAGGGGACGGCTGCGGGCGCGAGGACGGGCGCCAAGACCGGATGGGCGGGCACTGCGCCCGGAGCCAGCTGCTCTCCAGTGGCGCCGATCACCTGAGACTTGGAGGAATGTTAGAAATTGTATTTTTTTTTTGTCTGTCACATACACTGTCCGAGTCGCAACTCTCAAAAATGCATGGTATGGCGCGCAGTTAAAGTAGTGGTGGCCTAGAAAACTCAGGTGTGAAAGCTCTTCCCTTGCACTTTGACAATCTGTTAATTCGTGTGAATGCTTGGGACAACGTCTGAGGATTGTGCCGTGGCCTAGGAGCTTTCCAGGCCACGGCCACAATTCTAACTGCGCGCTGTTCCGTTTACAGGCATTTCTGAGAGCTGTGACTCGGACAAGAAGTGTGGCAATGCACCCAAAAATTCACCTTATTGTACGACTGAAAAAAGTTGGGTTTCTCCATCGTCTAACCCATTCGTTGTGGGTCAATTTTTTTTTGGGTTTTTTACGTTTTCAAATCTGCAAAAAAATCGATTTTTTAGAATTCAAATTGATTCGAAAGAGTAAACGATAAACGAGCCGGACAAAATAGAGAGATGTTAAATTCGAAGAAGACAACTTGAAGAATGAAAATATTGGGTTATTCGTACGAGAAAAATCATAAAACTACTGACAAGGCGCAATTTTGACACTTCACAAACAAATAATGTTCGCGACACTCCCCAATGTTCCGGTGAGCTGAACAAGCAAATTCAGCACCAAAAAATCGATAAAATACATCAGAACTCTTTAGAAAAAGATTGCACACAAATCAGGGATTTTGCAACAATTTTCCGTGTCCAATGGTCTCAAAAAAAGGCGGAATCATGCGAAAAAAAAATTTTTTTTCGCCGTGAACAATTGGAAAAGGGAGGAAAAAGAGAAGCGAGAGAGAGAGAGAGAGAAAGCGAGTTCCAAAGACCACTCTCTGCGTCTCTCCACTCTCTAATCCTCTCTCTCTCTCTCTTTCTTTCTTTTGTGTATTCACAAGAGTGGAGACGCGGAGAAACGAGCGGGAAACGGCCTTGGACGGCCCGAAAATGGCCCTTTGAAGTGCGACGGAATTGGAAGAAAGGACAATTAGCATTTCCGTTTTTTGCGGGAGATTTCCAGTTTTAAATATCTGCATTTAAGAGACTTGCAAAACTTTTCCGGAATTCCAGACTTCAATCGCTAGCCGAGCCGGTTGCGAAACGGCAAGTAGCGAATCATCTGGGGTTGCGAAATGCCCGGTTTCAAAGTGTCTGGTTGCGGGCGAGCCGCTTTTCTGATCGGATTCAGTTTGCTTCACCGATGATTCGCGTTTTTTGCACGACAAACATTTTCCAGGCGTTTTTTTCGATAAGAAAAGAATCTAGTGAATGTTTTCCGGCAATCAAACGCGAAGCATTTGTGCAAAACTGACTCCGATCAGCAAAACCCAATAAAAAGTGTCTTTGTGTTCTAACCGTTGTAGTCCGATCAGATTTCATCTTTCGTCTAGGCGTCTTGATGATTTTATCGAGAAAAAAAATCACGCCTGACCTATTTTTCTTTAATTTTCTCTAGAATCACCGAAAGAAAGCGATAATTTTCAGTCATTTCCGAATGCAGGCTACAGTTTTTGGTCGGACGAAGAAAAAGAGCGGGAAATTGCGATTTGCGAGGCTCTAATCTCTCATGTAAAAAGCTTTCGGGCGGTCCGATAATCCGGCATTATACGGAAGAGCGGTTAATTTGCACTACACTCGGACAAACCAATTTTGAAGCGAAAAACTGTAAGAAACAAGTGTAGAAGGAACGATTGGAAGCTGTAAAGCGAGTAATTGAAAGTGTGTAGACCCCTTTACGCAATCATAATAAAAATGGTGTCACTAGGCAAACAAATACACTTTCAAAGTCTAGAACGAACAAAAACATTTCATTAGCGTCTTCATAATGTGTACTGAAAATTCACAGTTTTTCAAATGTTTTAAAAAAGTGTGTGTGTGTGTGCCCGTTCTCGGCTCAGAGATGAATTCCTAGTATCTCGCTTATTTCTAAAAAAAATCTTCGTTGAAAACGTTGGGAAGAGATCAATGAGCACGACGAAAATAGACGGAGGAGGAGGAGGAGGAGGAAAACATTGCCGTGTCTTCGAGGATCACAAATTACCGGGGAGGTACTTGTATAGAAGGCACCTACAAAGAATGCATGACCGTACTCGGAACCTGATGTTTTAAAGGTGTCGTCAGTGTCGTGCGCTTTCGAAAAAAAATCGATTTTCCGTGCGGCACGACATTTTTGTGTCTTTATGGTTGGCCTTCGAAACGAAATTCGAAAATTTGACGGCCGAGGGACTAGCTTCTCCTGGTCTCCTTGCCTTTTTCGGAAAATGTGTGACTTTGGGAACATAAATCGCCCACTTTGAACTTCTTTTTGAAGAATATGTCCATTTTGTACTAGACGACATTTTTAAAACAAAAGGGGCGTGGGCAGTGAACTTTCAACTCACATATATTATACAAAAGTGCTCAACTTTGTATTTCTTCCAAAAAAAGAGCAAACAGAGAAATGTTCTTCTCGTTGAAGACGATAATAGGCCGAAACGTCACGAACAATGAACATTTGGGTCATTTCCAAAGTATTTCATGCTTCTTTGCATTTTTAATGCTCAAAAACCTTCGTAGAATTCTGAGAAGAGATCAAAAGATTACTCTTCTCTATTTCGGATAATTTTTGCATTGTGTACACGGAAATTGAGACGAAAATGACGGAAAAGAAGAATGAAATGAGCGAACTTCTCAAAAACCAATTCTAGGAAACGATGAATAGATCGGATTTGCGTTGATAGGTCAAAAAGTTTTGTAGGTCTACGATACTTGCTAAAATAAAAAACAAGGACCACGACCATTTTCCTGGCTAAAAAAAAGGACAAAAAAGGGAGCGTGGCGCCCAATTTCTCTCATTTCAGGAAGACCACTGAAGAGGGGTGTTTCCCAGTGAAAAGCGAGAGATTTGAAAGTGAAAGAGACGCAAAGACACTCTCTTTCTCTCGTTTTGAGTGGGGGAAAACTTGTGATCGCGCGGGGGGAAAAAGTGGAAAAACGAGGTTGGCGCCGTGCCAACAAATGACGCGAGCGGCGAAACTGTGAAAGAAGAGAGAGAGAGAAAGAGGAGGAGAAGACAATGTATTTTTAAAAGTCATGGCCACTTTCCGACGTTCATTCAACTTTTCTGTGCCACGTCGCATTCGTTGTCGGTCGCTTCCATGTCCTTGTGTCCTCTGACCCCAGACACGGATCCATTTCACAACTGATCGTTCCCTCCAGACCATGGTTGCTATGAACCGATTCTGTTCTATCCCCAGAGCTTTAAAGGAGGCCATCGTATGAGATATTCACATCATTGGATAGAACGCTTAAAGTTACACCCAAAAGTCAGTGGCGGCCGTTGTCAGAAATCACTTTTGGGGCCAGATCTAGGCCCTCAAAGTCACGTCGCTCTGGGAAACTAGTTCATGACTCGGAATCCAAATGTTTTCTAAATAAACTATCAACTACTATGTTTTACGACCGCAACAGACTTTTCGGAGTAACTTCGATCCAACGGTACCTGTCTTTAAAGCTCTGAGGATAAAACAGGATCTGTTCCCGGCAACCATGGTCTCTAGGGAACGTAGCCATCGTCTGTGAGTTGGATCCGCGTCCTTTCGAAACGATTCCATCGATTAACTAGGGTCACAGGACACAAGACAACGAAAGTGCCACGTGGCAGAAAAAGTACAAATAGATAAATGTGAAAAGTTTAATTGAAACCAAAATATATTGTCAAATCGCACTGCGACGCAATGAAAAATCCAAGAAACAATCCTCAAAATCTATTAGAAAAACCCTTTATTTTCGTCTTTTTCTCTCGTATTCTCCTAAAAAGTGTATAGGTTAAAAATGGCAAAGAAACGAGCAGAAAAGGTCTGAAGAATTGAAAATCGACAATAACTCTACGGAATCTACTAAAAAAAGATACGAAAAACGGACGGACACACAGAGAAAAGGGGGGGGGGGGATTTAGTGGTGATGGTGTACATAATCCGGATCGTACGAGTCGGAATCCAAATCCAGCGACGTCTCGTGAGACGTCAGATCGTCGTAATACGCCTCCCGGTAGTAGTACTCGTACCTGCAACATTTTCTACATTTTTCAGAAAGTGTCTGCCTGAATTGCACTGTTCCTTTTGCGCTCAAAAGTGCAAAGCAGTTTCCTTTTTCACTTGCAAATGCGAAAAAGACGTACCACGGCTCGGGAAGGTGGTGTCCGGTGTGCCAGGCGGTCAGTCCGTCCGGATGGTCGCCGTTTTTGGCAATGTAACCGTATCCGTATGGCGATTTGAGCACCTCTTTGCGCATTACGTGCAGGAAGTGACCCGTGTCGCGCGGATTCACGTACAGCTCTCCGACCTGCAACTTGTTAATGTTGTAGCTGAATGGAAATCGAAACGCGCCTCGTGCTTTGGAATTCCGTCAAAAGCGAGCATTCGGGCGTCGTATTTGTTGGTAACACTGCAAAATGTTCGAGTATTTCTAAATTTTTCTCAATAAATATATTGTTCGTTGCCGTACTATTGTCGCCATCCGTTCCATCCGATCGCATCGACGATCGTGTTCCACTCTTCGAGAACGTCTCCGCTGTGCCACTCGAAGAAATCCAGGTCCAGCCGTTCGATATCCTAAAAAAAATCGGAGAAAATTACAATTTACTAGGGCTGGCAAATTGGCTTCTTGGACTTGGATTGGAGTACATTGGGACCAAATTTCAGACCGATCGGATCACCTGGTTCTGGGATATAGTGGTTGAAGAAAGAGTTTTGCCTGTGATCCACATATCTCGGGACCGGAAGATCCGATCGGACTGAAAATTTTTCCCAATGTACTTCCATCCAAGTCCAAGAAGCCTTCCAAGTTTGGGCCCGATCGGATCATTGTAAGTGGTTCAAAAGTTCAGGCCAAGGGTCGGCCAATTGCAAGCGCTTTAATAATCATAAAAACAGCCAAAAAATTGGCGCGAATTCCAGTTTTTTTTTCCAGCTTTTTCACCTCAACGACGGCGTCGGTGTCTCCGGGCTTCGACCAGTCGTACGCCAGAATTTTCGAGTGATTACGGTACTCGCGCAGCGAATCCTTGTACGACTCCTCAATCGTTTTCAGGTAACGCTCGTCGACGACGGCGATCTCGTCGGTCTGCAATTAAAAAGTAATTTTTATTCAGTTTTTTTCAAAACCAACATTTCCGCGTCGCTTGATGTTCTCCAGACATTTGCTCGTCGGCGTGTTCAAATAAACGACCAAATGGGGCCAGAAGTGCAATTGCGGAATGGCTTGTTTGCGCACATAGTAGTAGTGCTTGAAGTCTGCCAAGAAACATCGATAATTACAATGAAAATGAGGGAAAAAGCTCGAGTTTTTTTTAAAATAAAATTATTCAGAAAAACGTACATTCGTGTCCAATGTAGCTCTTCTCTCTCATCGCGTTGGCAAAGACGAAATCCGAGTGCGGCGCACGCTCGAGCACCACTCCTTGGCCTGGAAGACGGTGAAAAAGTGGGAAGTCTCTGGAAAGAAACTACAAAAATTACCAGTATTGAGAATATGGGCGAGGGCGTTCAAATATTGATCGAATCGCGAGTTGAAGATGCGATCCTGCATCGCCGCCGACAATTCTCCCTTCGGATTTTTGTAGAACGACGAAATGTCCGGAAGACGGTAGCGGGCGGGGAACTGCAACAAAATACATAATCTTTGAGAGGCAAAATGTGTGTTCATGGGGCATCGAAGGCAAATCGAAAGATTCTGTCAAGGTCATCGGTATCTGACACCAAAACTGCCCTATTGAAATGCAAACAAATTCTGAAAGCTCTACTTTAATCAGTAAAAATAATGTGACCGTCTAAGCCAATCAAATTTGAACGCGATACTCCATTGACGGGCACTTCTTATCCTCACACCATTCCACAATATAATTTCTCACAAATACCATTTCCCCTCCCTAAATTTGTTCCGATCCCATGGCTTAGGAGTTTTCTAGGCCACAGCCACAACTCTAACTGCTCGCTGTTCCGTTTTCATGCATCATTTCGGAGAGTTGCGACTCGGACTCACCAAATGATAATAGTTTCTCAGGTCGTTTCCGTACCGATCGACGAGAATGTCGTCCATTCGGAATTCGGGGAAATGCACGAATCCGAGCTGATCGGCCAATTGCTTCGCCAACGTCGTCTTGCCGGATCCAATGTTTCCCTCGACGACGATCAGCTTCGAGTTCTGGTGCAAATGCGCCTGCGTGTCGTCTTTCAGGCCGTCAATGTAGTTGAATCCCTGCCGTTTGTAGTCCCACGGCTCCGGGTGCTCCGACGAAAGTCTACAATTATAGCCTTTTTTCTAACAATAGATGGAAGACAAAAATGAGCAGAAACATCGGATCTTTTTGCATTTTCTCACCTGAGCAGACTCTTGTGCACAATTCCTCTGGCCTGATTCGAGAGTGCTCCGGCTCGGGAGCACGCGAGCAGTGCTCCGCTCGCCATCCCACCCAATTTGCTCAACGAACCCGGCATTCAATGGTCTGCAATGCATGTTTTGGCTTTGAAACAAAAATGCATGAAAAAAATCGAGAACAAGATAACAAAATCGGTTGTAACCGTCAAAAAATGGAGAAAGGGGGGGGGGCAGAATTAAAATTAAACCAAACTTTATTCCATCGAAATTTTCCATTAAAAATTGGGGGGTAGGCGGGAAATAAATTAGACTTTTTTGGAAACCATAAGAAAAGCGGCGGTGGAGAAAAAAGAAACATTTTAGAAGCATCAGATCAAGGATTAGAACGGAAAAACGTCAAATTTTCATTAGAAAGTTGGAGGAGGAAAAGTGAATGGGAAATAGGCGGAAAATCATTTTTTTTTTCATTTTTCAACGGCGATCTCCTCCGTAACGTCCTCCGCCGCCGCCGCCGCTGCCTCCACCACTTCGGTATCCGCTTCCTCCGCCTCCGCTTCCGGATCCGTACCGTCCGCCGCCGGATCGATCGCCGCCTCGGTCGCCGCCTCGGTCCCCTCCGTGTCCACGGTCGCCACCGTATCCGCCGCTGCGATCTCCTCCGTAACGGTCACGACTGCAAATATTAGTTTTTACATGGACTGAATAACATTTTCACTCAAAATTTCGAGTTTTTCTCCCGAAACTCACCCTCCACCGCCGTATCCTCCGCCGCCGCCTCTCTGATCGCGGTGTCCGCCGTCGCGACGGTCCCGTTCGTATCCGCCGCCGTTGCGGTACGAGTCCTGTCTTCTGTCGCGACTTCCGCTTCTCTCACGGTCCCTCTCCTCGTATCCGCCGCCTCCGGATCCACCAAATCCGCCGCCGCCGGTCCCGCCGCCCGACGCCAGTTCTCGCTCCTCGATCGCCGCTTTCGATTCGCGCGCTTTACGCGTGTCTCCTTTTCCGCCACCTGCAAACATTTTATTGGAAATGTAGTTTGAAAGTGGTAAAACAGTATATTGCAGAACTGGGCATTTGCCGGCCGCGTCTTTTTTGGCCGACTTGCAGTTGACCAATCGGACCCAAAACACTTTCGGACATTGTCCATGGTGTGAAGCATTTTCAGAACAACTTTCAGCTCGAGAGGATAATCCGATCTGGAGATAAGTTTAAACCTGGCCGCAGCGGCCGCGTTTTACTTTATCGCTAGATGAGATGATCCATCTCGATCCAATATTGTCCTGAGCAGTCCTGAGCCAAAAAAGCCGCAGTTTCAAATTTTCCCCCTCAAAACTGACCAAGTCGTCTCGGAAGCCACGTCTTCTGAGTCCGTCCACGCTCGTAATCCACAACGAGCCGTTTTCCGTCCACTTTCATTCCGTCCGCCTTTTTGTAGGCGCCTGAAATGCAAACATTTACTAAGATTGCAAACACATGGGTCCAAAACCTACTAGACCGCCCGTTTTTCGCTTACCCAACCTACCCGGGACCGTCAAAATGTGCGCGGCGCGGCAATTCCACAGCGACTTACCCACTTACCCAATCAAAAAAAGTAATGACGAAAAATGACTTACACCGCCGAAAAAACTTACAAATTCCAAAAATAATCGCTTTTTCTGCCGGGAAACTTACAATTTTAGCGCTTACCCATTCAAAAATCATTTCTAGAATAGCATCTGAACGGTCATTTTGTCTGTTTTTTTTTGTTGCTAAAAGTTAACATGTTCGTCTAATTTCAACTACTCTTACCCTATTTTCACTCGAAACTCTCAATTTCTACACTAGACAAAGCCCAAATTTGCCCCCATTTTTTTTTCGAGCTCACCAACCACAAACAAACCTATCAGAAATTAATCAAATAGGAGAGTTGTGCGTTGCTCGCCGAGCCACATCGAGCCGCCGCTTCGGGGCTGTAAATAGGACGGGTTTTTGGGGCTAAATTTCTAGCATTTTCCAGCCATTTGTCTCGAATTTTTGAGAGGGGGGGGGGGCGAAATCGCCGATTTACTCGCACATACTATGCATTTCCGCCTTGTCGCTGTACTCGATGAACGCGTAGCCACGTGGCTTTCCCGCCTCGTCGTGCACCATTGTCAGCTGCAAAATTAATGAGGTAAAAGTGAGGCTTTATTTGAAGGGCATGGGAACCTCTTCAACTTTTTTGAAATGTTTATGTGTCTGTCTAAATGTCCAAGTGGCAATTCTCGGCAATGCCTAAAAACGGAACGGCGCGCAGTTAAAATTGTCGCCTAGAAAATTGCGTGATTCTAGTTCTCATATCAGGTATCCTAGTGGGTTGAAATAAGTGGAAACTGAACGAATATGAACCATAGAAGTAATTTGGGCAGTTAGAACAACTGTCCCACCTGTCCCGAACTGCCGGCGTTACGACACTCCGTTTCCCAGTCTGATCAGGAGATTTCCGAACCTAATCAAGCCACGCCAGGTCCATGCCAACTCTCGGATCAGATAAGGATCGATTTACCATAGATTCCTGAGAGTTGGAACTCGGACAGTGAATGTGGCAACTCAGACAGACACATAAACTCGAACGGTGTCTTTGTCCGTTAAAGAAATCCAAAATTCTGTAAACTTTGTCACAAACAACGGTAGTACCTTCTTGATTTTTCCGTACGTTTCGAATTCACGTCTCAGCTTGCTCTCCGAAGTTTCATAGTTCTGCAAAAGACGAATTTTTTTTCATTTTACTTGCAAAACCAACGCACAATACGTCCCACGAAAAGCGTGCGGTAGGGGTCTTCGGTAGCGCGCGAGTTCTCGGCCGGATTCCACGTGGCAATGCCCTGCTCCACCTTGTACGCCAACAGCTCCTCTTTTCGTCGCCGCTTTTCCTCCTTCGCCTGCGCTTTCGTGATCACCGGCGCTTTCGGCGGCGTATCTTTCGGATCCTGCAATTAAAAAACCTCTTTTAATGACAAAACGCGATGAAATTTCAATTTTCGAGACCAATAATTGTCAGATAAATCTAGTTTTTGACGAATTTTTCGAGTTTGAAGAGGATAAATCGAATCACCTCAAAAAGGCCGATATAGGCGGCGACTCCGGTCATCGGCGCTCTTTTCGCATTCTTGTCGACGAGCAGGTCCTCGGGCGGCGCCAAGTACGGTATCGGCGGTCGTGCTTCGAAAAGCGCCAGCAGATTGGGCGGTAGAAATTGGGTCATCCTGAAATTTGGGCCTTTTTTATTTTGAGAGGAAATGTACAAGTGACGAGAAGTAATTGAACGGAAAAGAGAGATGGACGGGAAAAAAAGAGTGGAAAAAAGAGATAATTATGGAATTGGATGGAGAAATTGAGAAAAATCGCTTTAAAAAAATCCAGGAAAATGCCGAATTCAAATAGCGGTTCCACGCTCCAGATCGTCCTTGATGTCTTCCGTGTACTTTCCGTAGTACTTGTCGAGCTTCTTGTTGAACTTTTTGTTCTTCTCGTTGATATAGTCGATCGGCGCGTCCGGATCGTACAATCGGCGTCTGTGGTACTGTTCGCGACGCTTCACCTGTCCGTGCACGTCCTTCACGAGCCGATCCATCGCCGCCGTCGTCGGATAGTGACTGCCTGAAAGGAAACGTCAGCTGGCTTCAAAATTTAAGATTTAGCTCAAAAAACGTGCTAGAAACACAATGTTCTCTGAAATTTCCGCCGCTTACCATGGATGAGCGTGTCGGCGGTCGGATAGAACTCCTCTCCGCCCACGCACTCTCTCATCCGCTTATACGACTCCAAATCGGGGTCCAGTGCGGCGGTGAGGCGTGTGTGTTGGCGCAGAGTCATGTCTTCGTACGAGGCGAATCCCTGGTCCGGGTTCTTCTTTCGCTTCCGCTTCTGCTCCAGCTTTTCGGTCACGTCGGCCGACAATTCCAGCGCGCGCACTCTGAAAATTGCAAATATTGGGTGGAAACGTGATTTTTCTAGCTAAAAATCGAGGAAAATGAAAGTGAATCTTTTACCTCTCAAAGTCCAGACCCTTGTCCTCGGCCTCTTTTCGGTCCTGCAACTCTTTCACTTGCCATCCGTCCCTCTCCTTCTTCGCCTCGTGATTCTTCGGCAGTTTACTGCGACGGTCCTCTTCGACAACCTGGCGAAAAAATCGATGTTTGCGAAAAACCATTGATTTTCATGAAAACCAACCTGCTCGTGATTCTCTTTGCGCGCTTTTTGCCGAAGTTTGTGGAGCGCTTTGAAGCGCTCGTTGAAATCCATTTTTGAGGCGCTCGCCAACGTCTTTTTGACGTGATCCTGAGAAGAATCCATCTGAAATGGGAAAAATATGAATAGATGAATGAAAATGATAATCTGCGATTAAAAATATGCAAAATTACGAAAGTATGAGTAGAGCAACAAAATCCGACGAAAAAACGACAATCATCGATGAACTACGAATTTTAAGATTGAAACCATTAAAAATCACATTCTGAATCACATCTTAAGCGAAAAATAAGGTACTAACAGCGAAAATTGATATTTTCGCACAAAAAATCGAAAGTCACAAAAAACACGTGGAAAACATCATTTATCGGGGAGAAATCAACATTTTCGAGTAATATATAAGTCAAAAATCAATATTTCTCGCATAAAATCTCGAAAAATCCCGTTTTGAGCTCGAAAAAGATCCAAGAACGTGTCGAAAACGAGTGGAGAAACCTGGGCGAGGTGTGCGGTGGAGCGCAGTTGCATAGTCGCGAGTTCCGTCGGCGGCGGTGCAGTCGCGTCGCGTGTCCTGCGCGCGTTTCTCGCGCATCGAACGCGTCAATTACGTGACGTTTCGGGCGCTTTTTGCACATTTCGGCGGTAATTTGAATAAATTTGGCAATTTTCCGGAAACTCAATATTGTTGACTGATAACTGTTGTCAATTTACGAATTTTTGCAGTAGCTTTACAGAAAAATTCGGTGGGATTTTCAATTTTCAACGATTTTCGCCTTTCTTCTCGGCTTAAAATGATGAATTGTCGTTGTTTTAGTGAATCTTCAAAGTTTCACAATTATTTTGCTAGAGAAATTCTCTCGATTTTTGAATTCTTACGTTTTTCCAGGCTAAAAATGATGCACAGCGCCGAAATTGTGGACGACAACATGGTTGTGGAGGGATACGAAGAAATCGCCGTCGATGATATCAACGACATGAGTGTGGGTCGTATTTTTATCAAATATCGCTGAATTTCACCTAAAAACACAAAAATTTCAGGATTTGGTGGTGACGAACGAGGACGAGGAGAGCATACAGTACGAAGAGGACCACGACGAGCAGGGTTACGGTGGAATGCCCGTCGATCAGTACAATGACATTGTACAGTACAAAAGGTCCGAATTTCTGGAGAAAATTACATTTCCGACCGTTTTTCTCGCGAAAAATTCCCCTAAAATTCGCCTAAAAAGTTCACATAACCGCAGAAAGTCTCAGGAGTTCTCTGGTGCCGCGAAGTGTGGATCGCCGTCTCGACAGAAGTGCGCCGAGCCACTGGAGAGCTCGTTGCAAGTGCTTTTCGATGGCCGACGACGGCGAGACCCTTTTGTACTACAATCCCGAGAATTCGGTGAACGCCGTGCCGAAAGTGGTCGTCAAAAAGGGAGAAGTACGGAGAGTTCTGGAGCGAATTCACGAACTTATCGGACATCTCGGACAGAAAAGAACGTAAGCGATTTTTCACAAATTTTTTGGGCGCAAAAGCTCTTTCGTTTGGCAACCATTTCCGCAACCGATGTGGAGCACCTACATTTTGAAAGATTTTGAAAGAGAAAGCGTCAAAATGCATAAAAAAAGGGTTGCGAGTTGTGAAACGAAGCGGTTGCGAAACGTATGAGGTGCACTATGAAAACAATCGATTGAAAAAAAGTGTTCAAAAATCGGTCTGACTAGGCACAAATACAGTGGAACGTTTTTTGTTTTCGTAGGGTATTAGTCAAACAACGCCGTGGCACATCATCAACAAAACAAGAAAAAGGAGAACAACAGTGAATTAATAGTTTGGCGGTGAGCGCGGTAGGTCGAACGGGTGTGTGACAGAATATTGGATGCGCCTAGAAGTGAGCGCGCGCGCGTTGCGCTCTTTTGGGTGGACGACAGAGCTGGGCAAAACATTGGCCGGCCTTGGCTGGCGGTCGGCCAAGGCTTTGGTCGGGCTAGTTGCAAGCGCGCTCCACTGCAAAAAAGCCTCCGGTACGGTAAGACCAATGGTACGGTAAGCAATTCGGTTCACTGAGCGGTGTTTGCACACAAATGGAATTAAATGACGACAAAATCGAAGAAATTATTTTAAAAGGAGAAGAAGACATGCTTGAAAGTAGAAAAAAGGTGAAAAGAAAATAAGTGAGTTAAATTTCGATAAAATGAAAGCTGAAAAATTTCGAAAATTAGCAGAAGTGAAGAGAAAAATAAAAGAGAACGAAACGAAAGAAAATAAAATGTATGGGAACAACGTTATGAATCGAGTTAATCGAATTGAGCATTTTTCTGTAAAAATATTTGATCATGAAGTGAAAAAACTTGGAAAAAAAAGAAAACCCTTTCGAAAACACGTTTTTTCTTTATTTAAAATTCTTTTTGTGCAAAAACCGCTCAGTGAACCGAATTGCTTACCATACCATTGGCCGGCTCCCTTTTTTTGCCAGAGTTTAGTCCCAACCAAATTATCATTCATTTGGGGCTTCAAAAATGTCCTGTTTTTCCAGACAAATGGTGGTGCTCCGTAAATTATATTGGCGATCGGTGCGTCAGGACGTCAAAACGTTCATCGCCTCGTGCGATTTTTGCGCGCAAAAGAAGTTGGAAGGCCGCAAAATCGTGAAGGCGCCGGTGGACATTACCTCGGAGAACTTTGACATTTCCGTGCTCGTCAGGGACACAGCGGCCGGAAACGGCGAACGGCTCGAGTTCCATTTGGTCGGGTACAACGAGGCAGAGGTGAAGGAGGCCGCCTACACGCGCATGACTTCCTACACTTTCAAGGAGACCGCCAACGAGTACAGGAGTCGATACTCGAATCCACCGCAGGTATGGGTTTGGGGGGAGAAACAGAGCTGAACTTTCGATCGGGACCAAACTGTGCATATCTCGGGACCAGATGATCGGATCAGTCTGACACTTGGACCCAGAGTACTTCAATCCAAGTCCAAGAAGCCCGCAAAGTTTGGGCCCGATCGGATTATTGCCAGTGGGTCAAAAGTCCGGGACGAAATGTGTCCAGCTCTGATGTTTTCTAAATTTTATGTAAATTTTGCAGAACGCGCATCACCAGAACGCGCCGGCGTTTCAGACGCCTGCATTCCGTCGTCAGCCGTACGTGAAGAAGCTGAACAGCCAGGCGGTCGGCTTCCTCGTTCCGTTTCAGCAGAGATCCCGCACGATGGAGCCCGAGTTCATAGAGGTGTTCCGCGACGAGCACTACGAACATCCGGAGATGCTCTACGACAGTGTCGTGCCGGAAATGGACGACGGAATGATGCGGACGCGCGAGGATCCGACGACCACTGCGGAATTGGAAAAGGCGGGCAAGGAGGAGGGCGAACAGGCGGTCCCGCAAGCCGTCACCTACAACGGACAGGTCCTTCAGTCGAAGAACTTCAAACAGGAGGAGCCCGATGAGGTAGCCATCTCATTTTCCAATCCCATAAAAAAGCCTCTTCCAGCCAATAATGATGGAGGAGAAAGTTCGCTACCAACGCCAACTCGACCCATCGCGAGCTGGTCCCTCATCGGCCGCAATTTCACAAGATCGGTACGCGTCGAAAAGAGGAATAATGGAAATGGAGGACGGACGGCCGGATTACGGTAGAAACGCATCGCCGCAGCCGACGACGACCGCCGGATTGGTAAAGAAGCGTAGGCGCGAGCTGCCGAGCATCCGCGGAATGGCCAATCGGTTCAGTATGGCCATCGGAGAGTCGGATCGCATTGGTAGGCGATTGTAGAGTAAATTACACCGAGTTTTGCTTGCAGACAGCACAGAAATGAACCACCGATCGAATCCGCACCTCATCGAATATCAGGACCCGTCGGCGGTGCTACGCGGAGATGCGTCCGGACTTCCGCCCGTCATCATGGCTCCGTCGACGAACGATGAAGTGTGCAAATTGCAGATTGAGGTGCGCGCCTTCTTTGTTGTTGTAGTTTTTGGATTTTCCACTTTACAGGCGCTCCAACGACACATCCACCTGCAAAAGATGCAAGAGAAAGTGCTGCAGGAGCAGTACGAGCAGTCGATGCGAATTCCGATCACGCGGTACATGCAGCAGGAAGAAGAAGTGCAAGAGGAGGAGGAGGAGGAAGAAGAAGAGCACGACGACGACGAACTGAACGTCATCGACGACCATCAAGTGTACCGCGAGGACCGGCGTCACATTCATCACCAGTGACGAGCAATTTGAATTTTTCCCGATTTTTCACTCCCCAAAAGTGGCCTTTTCCCACCCTATTTGTAACCCGAACTCACTTGTCGTCTCGTATTTTTTTATTCTCTTTTGAAATTTATGATTTTCTCATTCAACTGTGTGCCTAGAATTGGTAATTTTAGTCGTGCATGGTTGGTGGAGGAGAAGTGGTGCACGCTTTCTTCTTTTGTCTTCTTTCCAATGTCACATGAGCAGATGTGCGAGAGGCTCTGGGGGTCGCGGCAGAAAATGGCAACGTGGCAACAGTTTTAGCAAATGCATACTTGAAAATTAACAATTGCAACTTGTAATGTATCAGCAATGCCACTTTTTGCTTCGTTTTTCGTTAACGAAACATTTTTATATTAGTTTGAAAGGGGCGAGAAGGCAGCGACATTCAATTCGCCGATAATTATCATTTTCTGCCAGCTCGTTCGTTTGCAATTTTGGAGAAATGAAGAATAGAGCGGAGAGCGGAGAAGTACGAAAGGAAAGGACGGCGTCCGACGTGTCTGTTTGACAGAGTTCAAGTACGAAACGAAGCGATCGACGGCGAGGTAAAATCACCGCCCTGGCATCGACTATCACTGAACGACTCATTTCTAATATCCCGGGAAACTCAAAACAACTCAATAAACTCATTTGAATTGTCGTGTGAGAGTCAAAGAAGGCGTACATATCATTTTAGAATTTAGCAAAGAAAAAACTTACGCTTGGCAGCAAAAATCCGGAAAAAATGTGGAGGGAAAATACCAACTTATACCAAGAGTCGAAAAATGTTTCCACTTTCATGTGGAGTTTATATAGACCATACCAGACGGTCTCCTTGTAAGATAATCCTGTTCAGGACAACCTTCCGGGGCCTTTTTCAGGGCCCTCTCAGACCTTACCAGCAGAGTTGAGCGGAAGAACTCAACGGAAGAACACGCAAGAATTTTTATCTTTTTTAGAAAATTTGTTCATGTATAGAAATGCGTAGAATGTATAGAAATGTATAGAAAAGTGAACTCTGCTCATAGAAAAATAATTGTAAATTTAGCTTTACATACAAAAAAGTTATTCGAGTTGTTCCGTGAAAAAGGGGGCTAACGGGGAAGACGGAAGGACATTTTCAAACTTGGATTTCCAGCTGCTGGCGTTACAAATGCGCAATCGAGAATTTGGAGCCAATTTTGAGCGGAAAACTGTCGTTTTTTCGTCCAGAAATCTCAAGAAACCGTCGAGTTTCTTTTTTTTCGAGTTTTAGGTTACGGTTGACAAATGTGTGCAAATCGGCGTGTCGGTGTTTGCGTCCGTCGACAGGGCGCCAATTTTCAACGTGGTTCGAGCGGGAGAAAACCTCATTTTTCGTCGTGTTTTCTTGTTTTTCTGCGGATTTTTCGATTTTTTCGAATTTTTTCGTCTTGCCACTTGTAAATGAGTCCGAAGAGCGTGTTCTTCTGTTATTTTTCACATAGAACAATTGAAAATTTGTCGTTGCGCTCGAAAATCACCGAAAACCGCAACAACGCCGAATTTTGGTCCAAGTTTTGCTCAATTCCGCTTTTTCGTCTCGAGAACTTTGTATTTTCTCACTTTTCCTATAGAAATCCGAAAGTCGTCAATTTTCCCCTCCCGACACTTGAATTTCATCGCTTCGTTTCCCCCCTAAAATCGTGTTCAAAAGTGAGTCAGAGGAGCGAAAATAATGCGAATCAGCTGTTTTTGTTGACTTTTCCGAAATCACGCCATGTTCCCCGCTAGTACACGTGTAAAACGATTGCGAAACGGAACGAGCGGTCTGCACTCTCTCTCTCTCTCTCGTCTCAGTGCGCTCGGAATTCAAATTACGCGCGCATTTGGGCCGTCGTCGAGATGACCCCTTCCGACACACACGCTCGGTGATTAATGTGCATTTTTGTGCGCGGTTTTCCGTTTTCCTCGTCATTTTGTGCTCTTTCTATCGGCAAAACGTGACCAGGTGTTAAAAAGTGATTAGGAGCCCCCGGCGGGTGGTATGACGTCTTTTGGCGGACTAAATAACCCGGTTTAGACGCTTTTGTGCCAATTTTTGAGGTTAGACGCGGGTTTTAACGCAATCAAGTACTTTTTGCTCGAAAGTACAGCTTCAGACCCTTTTTGAGCACTTTTTGCAAGGAAAAAGAGCACTTTGCGATATTTGGTCCTCCCTTTGCCACTAATCGATCGGGCCCAACACACCTATATATTTTGACGTGAAAAAGAGCCAGATGCACCTGTTTTAGTTGGCTAACCACGATTTTTCTTTCAAAAATGTTTCAATTGTATCTCGATCCATGAGTGCCCCCAAAAACCAAGTTCTCCGTGTTATCCAACCTCGAATCTATGGGTCAAAAGTGGTGGTGCCACCATTTTCACGTTTTGTTCGTTTTCCTCTTGTGCGCAGGCGAGGCACAGCCCTCCATTCCTCTCGTTTTTTTTTTGCGTTTTCGCTTCCAACTCATCGCTCTCTCGCAGTCTTTCTCCGTCTCTCGTCGGCGTCTCTTTCGGGGAGGAGAGGGCGCGCGGAATGGAAATTTGGAAGAAGAAGAAGAAGAGAGAACGAGGGGGAGCCGCTCCTCTGTTCGGGGCAGAGAGTGGGAGAGAGAGAGAGGGAGAGTGTGCAGTCTCTCTCTCTCTCTCCCTCTTTTCCAATTCCTTCTCGTCGTTTCTGTCGTTTGTTCGCTGGTTGGCTGCCACTACCTCTGTTTAGGCGACGTCATGTTATTCGGGAACAGTGTGTTGTGAAATTGGACCTTACTTTCTATGGAAAATTTAAGGTTGTGACTTTTTCTCAAAAATTGTGTTTGTTCGAGTAAAAGCGAACATCGTAGATATTTGGAGTGTCTATCAGAGAAAATATGAACAGTTTACGAAAAATTCCAGTTAAAAAAACTTTACTGGAATTGGTTTGTGAATTGTTTGTATTTTTGTTTGATAGACACTCGAAATATCTATAGTTTTTGGCTTTACCCGAGCTTTTCACAAGATTCAATTTTTCGCTAAAAATCTGTTATTTTCTCCTTTCCGGGTCCATTTTGTTGCGATGCACCATGTGTTCCGTCCTCTGACACGCCGCATCTCGATAACAAAACACCTGATAATATTATCGAGGTGATAAGCGGAAAAAGAGCGACGAGACGGTTTTTATGGTCGAAATGAGCATAGTTTCAGTCCTTTTGAAGTTGAATTCTTCCATTTTCCCATTCCCATCTGATTCACCGCCTTTTGTTATTTTTTCCGCTGAAAAAAAATTTTCTGATGATTTTTGAATGTCCTGATTCAAAGAATCGCCGTTTTTGTGTTTGCCCCAGTTCCGGCCACGAAATGTGATGAAACTCATGTACTCACTTTCGAATTACTCTCCTTTTTCCACTTTGCACTAATTTTTCGGTGTAAAGCAAGACAAATAGGCGGAAAGAGGGGGGGAATTGGAGAAAAATTCAAATATTTGCACAATATTTCTTCTTAATTTTCCACCGCCGCAACGCTACTTTTTCGCACTGTACTGTACGTTTCGGGCGCTGGAAACAAATGAAAACGTATTTTTTGCCTGCATGACTCATCACGTTTTCGCTCGATGTCTTCTTCAATTTCGCCGTTTTCCGGATAAAAATCTCGCAATTTTTGCAGATGAAGCGGAAAGTTTCCGTGTACGATTCGTCAAAGGATAAGACGCTCGGCCAGGTACGTTTCGGCGGGAATTTGAGGAATTTTTTGCCCGGAAATGGAAAAAGTCGCATTGTTTAGTGGAAGATGCTGTAATTTCTGAAATACTTGGGAAAATTGACTGGAGTTCTGCGAAAATCTGTAAAAACGTGGCAATTTTTGCAGGTGGTCAAGGGCGAGTCACCGATATGGATCCGTGTGGCGATGGCCATCCTCCGCGTCTGGTTTTTCATCTACGACTGCCTCAACTACCTACCGTACCAGCTGTTCAACTCGCCGACGGAGAAGTTGCGCAAATCGGAACGAGTCAAGGTTTTTTTGCCCCGATTCGATTTTTCACGATTTTTACCGATTTGTTGCAGGCAAAATGGGTGGACGAACGAGACGGACCGATCCGAAACATTCACGGACACGCGTCGGAGACGTTCCCCGGAAAAGACACGATTGATAAGGTGATTGGGCGGAACGTTTTCGGGCTGTGTTGCGCTACTTTTGCTGATTTTCTGCAAAAAAACGTTTTTTGAGCTGAAACCGGAAATGGGTGGAAAATCAGTAAAACTAGCACAAAATCGTCCGAGGGCAGATCTTAGCGGTTAACATCGATGACTTTAAAAACTGTACATTTTGCAGGTTTGGAGACAATGTGTGGAGCTGTACGACGAATCGCCGTGCCTCGGAACGCGCCAACTGATTGAGGTGTTCGAGGACCAGCAGCCGGGCGGTCGCATCTTCGAGAAGTGGCATCTAGGCGAGTACGTGTGGCAGAGCTACCGCGAAGTGGAAAACCAGGTCGGACGGCTCGCCGCCGGAATCAAGGACCTCGCCAGCGAGGAGACCAACCCGAAGGTGGTCATCTTCGCGGAGACCCGAGCCGACTGGCTGATTACTGCGCTCGCATGCTTCCGCGCGAACGTGACCATCGTGACGGTGTACGCGACGCTCGGCGAGGATGCGATCGCGCACGCCATCGGAGAGACGGAGGCGACGGTCCTCGTGACCTCGTCGGAACTGCTGCCTAAAATCGAAACGCTCGGAAAGAAGTGTCCGTCCCTTAAGACGCTCATCTACTTTGCGCCCGTCAACACGAAGGGACCCGCCCCGGAACTGGCGCCGTTCCGCGAGCAATTCAAACACGTGCTCTCTCTGAACGGACTGCTCACACGCAACGCGGAACTCGTGCAGGAGTCGACGGCCGTCAAATCGGACATTGCACTGATCATGTACACGTCGGGCACGACGGGACAGCCGAAAGGAGTCATCCTGTTGCACCAGAACGTGGTCGCCGCACTGCTCGGACAAGGAGACGGAGTGGGCATCATTTGCAACACGGACACGTACATCGGCTACCTCCCGCTCGCGCACATTCTCGAGTTGGACGCCGAAATGACGTGTTTGACGCGCGGAGCCAAGGTGAGAGCATCGGAATATTGGGTGTTTCTAGAAAACGTGACAAAATAATTTGCAGATCGGATACTCGTCGCCGCTGACCCTGCACGATCGTGCATCGAAGATCCAGAAGGGCACGCACGGGGACTGCCACGCCCTCCGTCCGACGCTTATGGCCGCCGTCCCGGCCATCATGGACCGCATCTTCAAGGCGGTCTCGGAGGAAGTGGCCGCCTCGCCGCGGTTCATGCAGGAGCTGTTCAAACTGAACTACGAAAGAAAGAGGGCCCGCTACCTCGAGGGATACTGCTCGCCGTTCCTCGACCGCATCGTCTTCAAGAAGATCCGCCGTCTTTTGGGCGGAAAACTGCGTGGAGTGCTGTCGGGAGGAGCGCCTCTGAATGCGGAGACGCAAAGATTCATGAACATTTGCATGTGCTGCCCCGTGGTGCAAGGATACGGACTGACGGAGACGTGCGGCGCCGCGTGTGTGGCCGACATCAACGATTTGAGCACGGGAACGGTGGGACCGCCAGTCCGGTGCTCTGACATTGCACTGCGCGAGTGGCCGGAAGGCGGATACTCGCCGTTCAACGACCCGCCGCAGGGAGAGATCCTCATCTCGGGAGAGAACATCTCGCCGGGCTACTGGAAACAGCCGGAGAAGACGGCCGAGGACTTCATTCAATACAAAGGCAAGATCTACTTTGCGACGGGCGACATCGGACAGAAAAGGGACGACGGCTCGCTGCTGGTGATCGACCGAAAGAAGGACCTGGTCAAGTTGCAGCACGGGGAGTACGTGTCCCTCGCGAAGGTCGAGTGCGCCCTCCTCAACTGCCCCATCGTCGACAACATTTGCGTGTACGGATCGAGTCTCGAGGACAGCGTCGTGGCGCTCGTGGTGCCGAATCAGAAGCATCTGGAGAAGATTGCCGAGGCGGAGGGCGTCCCGACGGCCGAATTAAAGGCGATGTGCGAGGAGAAAAAGGTCGTCGCCGCGTTCAAGAAACAACTCGACGAGCACTCGAAGAAGAGTGAGTTTTAAGCACAAATTCGGGGGAAAGCCTATTTTTTGGTGGGAAATTTGTTTCGTTAATTTCGAATTCGCAGTGATTATTATTGAGCCTGTTACTATGAACATTTGTTTGCAGGCAAGCTGTCGCGCACGGAAATGCCGTCGGCGATCCATCTTTGCTCGGAAATCTGGACGCCCGATACTGGCCTTCTGACGGAGGCGCTCAAATTGAAGAGAAAGCCGATTCAGGTGGCCTACCAGAAGACGTTGGACGATCTGTACAAGCAGCAGAAAAAGGACTAATTGGCCCCTTTTTGCCCTCTTTTTTTTCTCCGATAATATTTGTTTGTTTTCCTTTTCCCCCTCTAACCCTACAGGTCCCTTTTTTCCGCCCACGCACATGTTTTCCACGTTTTTTTGTCTTCTTCTTCTCTTATTCTTCTTCGAGATACTCGTTGATCAGATTTCTCTCCCTTTCCCCCATTTTTTTCAAAGTTCCCCCCATCTCCGCATAATCTTTCGTGTTCCATTAGCCCCCCTCCCACCCATAGAAATGAGCTTTTCCCCCATTTATTTATTTTTCCCCCGCCCCCTGAAAATTGCTTTATTATCCCCCCGAAAAAAAATGCGGAAAAATTACAACTTTTCTCGCATTTTTCGCCAAAATCAATCGATCAAAAGTTTGTTTTTGCCCCACCGAAATGGGTCGTTTTTGTCTGTCCGCCCCCACACACTTTTTGCGAATGTTTGTGGGTGTGTGTGTGTGTGTGTGAAATGAAGACGTTTTGATAGATGATCTGATTCGATCGATCGACCATCTCTCGACGTCATCAGATGAAAGATGAAGAGAGAGAGAGAGAGAGAGAGAGAGAGAGAGAGAAAGGAGTCACACTTTTGATCTTTTCGCGTGATTTCCGACATAATTATGAATTTCGGCCTCGCTTTTCATCGAATTTGCCAACAATTGCACTTGTGGAGCCGGCATTTTAAGGTTATTTTCGATTCTTATGAATTTTTGAACAGTGTTTGGCTGAAAACGAGAAGGCGACGTCAAAAAGGGGCGTGGCGTGAAACTGGTACTTTGGAAGACGTCGTCAGTCTTCAGAAGCTTCTGAAAACTTTGGATAATCGAAAAATGACGAATTTTTGGAGAAAACTGTTCAAAAAGCGCAATATTCGAGAGTTTGAGGTGAATTTTCGGGCTCCACACATCGTTTCCGATCGATTCATATCGAATTTTCGTCAAAAAATTTCGACGTCTTCTAAAGTACGGTTTTGAAAAAGTCGCGCGAAAAGTGGTCATGACGTATGTCAAACTGAGCAGAATTGTCTGCTGAGCACGAATATGCGAATGAAATGCTGAAATTCTGCAAAATTTCAGCATTTTCAGACGCAACTTTTTGTTGCCCGAAACTTGAACGTTTCGTACATCAATCGATAGCGAATTTGACGGCGATCAAGATTGTCTCTTGACATTTTTCGATAGCTCTTCAGGTTTTCGAGAAAAATCGCATAAAAGAGCGTGTTCAGACGCGCCGTGCGTATTGCGCCATTTCTCTGCTAAACTACTCGGCGGATCTGATATTGATATCGTGGATGTTCAGCAGACAGCCCGTCTTTCTCGACGTCCTTTTTTGTGTCTCCTCCGCACTCATCGGCATTTCTATCACTGGTAAACCGGAAGAAAATAAAATTGTTTGCAAACAAGTTTTTTTTTTGCAGGCCTATACCTGAAACGACCGTCTGTAATGCTTCCCGACGTCCTCTATAAAGTGAGTTTCAAGAGAAAAAGTCGTGGTGTCAGCGAAAAAAAACTTGAGGTGATCGTCTCGGCGTGTGCTCTTTTCAATGCGATCCTTGACGCCGACAACGGCACTTCGGGAGCCGCCCCACGGCTTTGTATGGTATCTGTGGCGCTATTGTCGCATATTTACGAGGTAGCGTCGGTTTGCAGAAGTTTGTACACGTTTTGCCGGCGAAAATCCGCTGAAATTGAAGAATTCGGTGAATTGTTTGGAAAACGTTGTATATCTCGCTTCAGACGCATGATCGTGCATGAGTGACAAGTAGAATATTGTAGACCAGCTATTTTCCTTGCGATTCGTTTTTTAACCATTGAAAAATGATCGAAATTGGCCGAGTTACTGTGGCGCAAAGTTAGACATTCGAGTTTTCCAAACGCACTTCGATTAATCGATAATCTTCCCATGTTTTCTGTACAATACATCTATTTTTGTACGCCTAGAACCTGGATTCGAATAATTAGACAGCACTAGCTACGTTTTGGTAACAGAAATCTCACATATCGTTGAGAATTAACCGAATTATTTCGATTTGAAGGTTTTGGCCTGGATTTTGATGTTTTTCGAATAGTTTCGCGAAAACTGCTCAAGAAAACTAACCGCCGGAACCTGAATTTTGTAAAGAACGATTCAGCGAACATTTTTATCGTTCGTTGGGCTCATGAAATGCAAAATGAGCTGAAATATAAAGGTTTGAAGTTTTGACGAAATGCGAAAAAGACGCTAAAAACATGAAAAACTCTAAATTCTGTAAAGAACGGTTTTCAATCAGTAAAATATTGTTTTCTAGACGTTTTTCAAGTCAAACAAAAAAAAAGAAGTAAAGGTCGTAAACTCGAATTGAACTGCATTTTTAGACCTGCAAATTTTCAAAAGTTACAACGACACTCCGCATTTTACGAGCGCACTGTGTTTAGCATTAGCGCCCCCTGGGAGACCGTGAAATTCTCTATTTTTTTTAGTTTTTAACACTTTAAAAATGTCGAAAACTGACTGAAAACTTCCAGAACTATTTCCTCTTCAACGCCATCGCCGCTTTCTACCGCGAACAAGAGGGCGTCGAAAATAGTCGGCCGCCGCCGAGCTACAATTTATTCGCTAAATCTGGTTAGTTTCGGGCCGAAATCTCTCGCTAATTCTCGCTAATTTTCAGCTCCAAAAGCGTCGAACGTCTCGTTGCGAAAATGTGAAAATGCGGCGGAAAGTGTGGAGAACGGAAAATCGGAAGAACCGCCGCCGCCGACCTACGAGTTTGCGATGGAGAAAATTCGAGAGAAGATGGAAAAAGAGCGAATTGACAGTGTGTAATTCAAAAATATTCGAGTTTTCAAAACAAAGTACGTTTGAGACGGGTTGTACACAAATATATTTGTCAATAAACATCTTTGCAAAAATCGAACCCGCGACCTTGTGGGTGACGGCCAAAACTACAACCACAAGGCCACGCGACACACTGACGCCGTACGCGCGGCGGGCAGTGATAAGAGCGCCGCGCCACCGATAACGTTCGGATCGAAACACCGCTGAACACGTTTAACGTCGCCAGTTTGAGAGTTCCCCTCGAATTTTCCGCGTCGTTTTTCATATTTCATCTAAATAATACCCTTCCGAAGGGCATAATTTGAATTTTTCGCGTTTCGCCTCGAAACAACGGCAATTTACACGCTTTTGCCGTGGAACTGGCATAAATTCGAACGGAAAGCTGCGCGAATTCGTGCAAAAAAGTGGGAGGGGTCTGAGCAAATCCACGCACGGCTCAGTCGCATTAAACGCAGCCACGAGCCCATTTTCCGCGCATTTTTCGCTGAAATTGAGCGCAAAATGTGGATGTGCAGATCGGCACGGCGCCAAGTTTGTATTGTGAGTTTTTGAGGGGCTACTGTGCACGGAACGCCAGCATTCGAATGCGCAAGCGAGTTGTCAATGGGGCGCGCTTGCATCCACCGTCGACTCGGAGTTTCTTTTTTTCAATTGAAAAACCAGAATTTTTGCGTTTTTCTCTTAATAAATACTCAAATTTTGTTCTTTGCGAACCGTAGGGGCGATTGTCAGAGTTAAAAGCATCGATTTAAGCGCGAAACGGAGCAGATTCGTTGAGAATTGACCAAATTGAGGGATTTTGTCGAAAACTACTGAAAAAAAACGAAGTTTTAACGATTATTTGCCGAATCGAGTTCGGACACTGGCATTCGAACCGTCTCCAGTCAACAAGCAGTTTATTGCGCATCTTTTAAGCGCTCAACCGTCGAAAAATATACCGAATTTTTCAAAAGCAAAAAAATTTCTGTAATTTTCACATAAAACGTTTCGAAATTGTTGACGAAGCAGTTAAAATTTTATTTTTTATTCATTTCTAATTATTATCATAAGTTTTGACACTGATTGGTTCTGAAAAGATGGGGATAATGCAAAAAATGGGAAAACACGGCGACCAAAAACGTAGAAAGGGGCGTGGCCTAGCGTGCACGGTTTATCACCATTTTGGCGCGATATTCGAAATTTAACCCCATTTTTCATGTTGTTCGTCAAAAATAACCCTAATTTTGTACGATTTCGACGATGTAATTGCATAACTTTGTTAAACTAATCATCGCGCACTTTTTAAACTTAAAACGAGCAGGTTTCATTCAGAAATGAATCAATTGAATCGATTTACAAGTTTTGTGCTGAAAATGCGCGAATTTCAGTCATTCGCCGATACTTTTTGCCGTTTGAACGCTTAAAATACTTGTATTAACGTGTGCTTAATCACTTCCGACACTCACTTCGTCTCAAAACTATCCAGATCGGACGGTATGAAAATTCAGAAATTGCGGCGGAGAGCGTATTGCGAAATATGCCAAAAACGTCTCAAACGCGGCGTTTTCACGAAAATTACGATGTTTTCTCTTTCTAATGTCTTCTTTCGTCGATATCAAACACAAAAATATCGGAAAAGTGCTGGAATTGCGGCAATTTTCAGAAAACGCGTCTCAGATTAGGCCACGCCCCTTTCTACAATTTTGGTCGCCGTGGAAAATTGAAATAAATGAGAAACTCTACAACGACGCTCCGGAATTACGCGTTACGCGCCTTGTTTAGCGCACGTGAATTGCGCCGCCAATTTTTTTTTTTTTTTTATTGGGAAGGCTGGGGTTCCGTGCTGTGGGTTACGTTACGGTCAGTTGCAGATCTACATCCTCGCCACGTCCTCTTTTCGTTTTCGTCAAATGATCCAAGGAGCGTACTTGCCAGAAGGTACGTACTTTCAACACGCAGAATTTCTGCTCAACGTCTTCCTCGGCGTCGCCTGGATTCGTCCGACACTCTACGCCCACGCAATCTACCCGATTCTTCTGGAAATGTTCGTCCAATGCACGACCATCTTTTTGTCGTGCCGCGGAATGAGCGGTCAGTTTTTTGAACGGCTATTGTAGAGTTGCAAAACGTGATGTGGTCATGAAAATTTTTCCGTGAAATCTTGAGGTCTAGTAGAGTATTTTTGTAGTTGATCACTTTTTTCTAGGACCACTTTGAAGAGTACTGTAGCTCCGGGAAGTTGGGACTGAAATTTATAGGCTTTTTTAAGCTTCTAACTTTAAAGCGCTACAGTACTCTAGGAACAAGTTGGATCAAAAAGTTGTCAACTACAAAAGTAAAGGTACAAATGTGTACAATATTTTTGTAATTGACAACTTTTCCGTACAATCACTCGCTGAGGTACTGTAGCGCGTTGAAGTTAGGAACACCGAAAAGCTTACGTTTTTCAGTCCCATCTTCCCGGAGCTACAGTACTCTTCAATGTGGTCCTGGAAAAAAGTCGTCAACTACAAAAATACTCTACTAGACCTCAATATTTCACGGAAAAATTTTCAAAACGCTAGCCCGTCTCCGAAGCCCACGATATCGCAATTTTTGCAGAAGTCAATAAATGGGGCACCTACCGTACCAAATACTTTTTCGAGGCCCTCGAAAAATGGCCGATGGAGAAGGTGGTGCAGGCGGAGGTTTGCATGGACATTATGAGTATGTAAAATATTTGAAAAACTACAGTAATCCTCCAAGTTTTCAGTGAATATCGTGCTCATCAAGGCGTTGGAGGAGTTGGAAAAGAAGAACGTTGGGAAAATGGCTCCGAGAGCTGGAAAACGAGTGGCCAGGAGCTAGTTGCAAAGTGTCTTGGTTGCAAAACGTCTGAAGATAACAATTTTATCAATTTTTGTAAAATTTAATAAAGTTTATCCCATCTGTCATCGTTGTTTTTGCCGAAACAGGTCAGCGCCAACTTCCGCGAGCTACAGTACTCCAGGAAGTGGCAGTACAAAAAAGTTGTCAATTACAAAAAAAAAGTCCACGTTTTGTAGATCATTTTTGTAGTTGACACCATTTTTCCAAACCCACTCTCCGCGATACTGTAGCGCTTTGAAGTTAGGACAAACCAAACGCCCAGGAATTTCAATGCCAACTTCCGCGAGCTACAGTACCCCAGGAAGTGGCGGTACAAACAAAGTGTCAACAGCAAAAATGTAGTACTAGATGTCGAGTTTTCACAGAAAAATTTTCAGCCCAAAAGCATGCGTCGGAAGTGTACAATACTCGTTTCTGTGCTTCAAAAATACAAAGGTTGATTCGCGATTTGTTTCATGTTTTCCGACGCGTCGCGACTTCTCGAAATGACGATTTTGAAGAGCGAACGGAGCACACAGAGCATTCCTTCATTGTCTGGAAATTTCGAACATTTTTTTGCAAAAAAGGCTTGAAACCTACTGATGGCCATAGTGAAAATCGAAGCGGTAAGCGTCTTGTGACGGACTAGAACTCTATCTGAAACAATTAATTTTGAAAATGTTGCAAAATGGATTACTGTACTTACGAGCGATCAAAAACAGAATTACCGCTCGGCCGAACATCAAAACGTTCATTGCGTTCAATAAAAGACGCGGAAAACGGTGGATTACGGCGGGAATTGTCAAGAAATGCGAGAAGAAGAAGAATAGCTTTTCGTCGGCGTCACAGTCCCGACGGTAGAGCCACGGACAGCGGGTTACTGTAAGAATTGCGGCGACGATCTGCAATCGGTCACGTTGAACGAATATTGTAGGGTTTTGAGGCGTGCTATGCGTTTCAAAATTTTTGAGCGGTATCTTGACATCTTCTGGGTCATTTTTGTAGTTGATCACTTTTTTGTACGACCACTCTCTGGGGTACTGTAGCGCCGCGAAGTTGGCATTGAAACATCTGTCCATTTGAGTGGTCCTAACTTCAAAGTGTTACAGTACGCCAGGGAGTGGGTATAAAGAAAAATTGTCAAGTACAAAATTAAAGTTCAAGATGTGTACTACAGTTTTGTTGTTGACAATTTTTTGATCCGACCGTTCCCTGGGGTACTGTAGCGCTTTGAAGTTTGGTCAATCCAAAAGCGTAGGTTTTTCAATGCCAACTTCGCGGCGCTACAGTACCCCAGAGAGTGGTCGAACAAAAAAGTGATCAACTACAAAAATATCGTACAAAATGTCAAGATTACCCTCAAAAATTTTTAGACCCATAGCACTTCTCTGAACTATTGTAGTCGTCAAAATTCTCCGACTTGCCATAAAAAAATGCTCGTGCGTTATATTTCCACGCATGAAAATCATTAACACAAAAAACAAGTTGAGCATGGTAAACTGAAAAAAAGTGTGTAACTACAGTAATCCGTCCAACTCACTCACCATCAAAAGGTTCGATTCATTGATGAATCTCGCAAAGATCGGCATCTTTGAGCTCAAAGCTCGTGGAGCTCTGCAAAAAAAGTGGACAGACACAAATCTCGTAAATTTTACGAGCTCCTGAAGTGGTTTTCCATGGAAACCATGAACACTTTTTCATAAAACAACACAAACGACTTTTTGGAGATGAAAAAGAGGGAATTGGCTTTCCGGGGACGACTTGGTTTAGAACTAGGCTCATAACTTTGAAATTAGACATTTTGGGATAAAATGATCAACTACAAAGTTGTAGAGGACAAAATTTGCAACAATTTCTCAGTTGACCACTTTTTGATACGATTGCTGGTTCAAAAGATATGAGCCTTCAAAGATGGACCGCAAAATCTGGTACTATTAGGAAGCGCTACAGTGGTTACGGTACGTAAAACTTCATTTCTAGCCAATGTATGACTATGATATCGGTTGCCAAGTGTCCTATCGGTTGCCAAGTGTCCTATCGGTTGCCAAGTGTCCTATTGGTTGCCAAGTGTCCTATTGGTTGCCAAGTGTCCAAAAAATCCGAAACCCAAGCATTTATTCATAAAAACGGACGAGTTTCACTAAAGACAAACGATGGCTCCATCGAAATCGCGTTTCGACTGCTCTTCCTCGGAACTTTCCGCCGATTCCACCGGTTCTTTCGACTTTTTCTCTCCTTTTTTCGTATTTTTCACCGCCACTTTCTCGCCTTTTTTCGCGTGTTTCGCCGCTCTCTGCTTCGTCTTCAGCTTCCCGTTCCTCTTCTTCGTCGCGCCTTTTTTCGCCGCCTTCCTCGTGAAGAATTTGAGAGCGACGAGGCAAACGATGAAGAGAACTATCAAAAATCCGCCGAGCAGCGCGTATTTTAGGTATTTGCCGACAAAATTCGGGCTCGACGATTCGGAACTCGCTGGAGAAGGAGTTGGAGCCGAAGTTGTCGTCGGAAAAGGCGTCGGCGCGGTTTGTGCTCGAGTTTTGGGTATTTGAGGCGGTGGTAGAGTTGGAGACGTGTTCGGAATGCCGGAGAAGCGGGCGGTCGGCGTGGGTTTCGGTTTGGACGGCGCTGAAAAAACGGAAATCGAGTCGGACAACTTTGCAACGAGTATTATGGCTTTAAAAGTTTTTGAGGATAATCTTGACATCTAGCACTTTATTTTTGTAGTTGATCACTTTTTTCTAGGACCACTTTGAAGAGTACTGTAGCTCCGGGAAGTTGGGAATGAAATTTATTGGCTTTTTTAAGCTTCTAACTTTAAAGCGCTACAGTACTCTAGGAACAAGTTGGATCAAAAAGTTGTCAACTACAAAAGTAAAGGTACAAATGTGTACAATGTTTTTGTAATTGACACTTTGTCCGTACAAGCACTCCATGAGGTACTGTAGCGCGTTGAAGTTGGAAACACCGAAAAGCTTATGTATTTCAGTGCCAACTTCCCGCAGCTACAGAACTCTTCGGAGTGATCGTACAAAAAAAGTGTCAACTACAAAAATGACCCATTAGATGTCAAGATTTCCCGAAAACTATTGTAGACCCAAAACATGTCTTAGAAGTGTACAATACTCACTTGTCCTTCTCCATTTCGCGGATTGACTCGGCATTTTTGAATTCTCGCTGATAATTGTGAATCGCACTTTTTTTAAAGAATTGCTTTTTCGATAATATCAATTGCATTAAATTGTTATTCTCCTCAAACTATTTGGCCAAATTCCTCATTTGACCTTTGACCAGTGCTCCGAATACCCCATAAACCTTGTCGACAAAAAAAAGTGCGGTTTTTGCGGCGCCATACAATACTTTCCACTCGAGATTCACTACATTTTCATGTCTTCTTCATCGTTCGCAACTGTTACAAAAGTGTAGGCGGCACTAAAAATCGCTGAAATCATCGATTAGTTTCAGGGTGCAAGAATTCGAGGCGAAATGTGCGAGAGCGCCTGGGCACTGTGAAAAAGTGTACGAGAAGCTGGAGAACGAGTGTTTTCGAGCGATTTTCGGCGTTTCCGACACGTGCATCGACAATTTGCACGTTGCCAAAGTGGTCTTTTGTGGCAGGAGCCGGGCAAAAGGTGAACTTCTTTATAGATAAGCGAAAACTGGGGTCTGTAGCAGAGATGTTGGGAATTCCGTGTTCCGTGTTCCGCGTTTTTTTGCAATATTTTTTCCGTGTTCCGTGTTCCGCAAAAAAAAAAAATTTCCGTGTTCCGTGTTCCGTGTTCCGTAGAAATAAGTTTTTCCGTTTTCCGTGTTCCGTGTTCCGTATAAACTATATTTTCCGCGGAAAAATTCGATCACAAGTGGATTCCATTTTCAGTCGTTTTTTACTGTAGTTGTTTACTGTTGTGTTGTTGGTTTTGTTATTTTTATGAAATTTTCAGTAAAACTTTTAACATGAGTCAAACAGCTGCCTTGTCAGTCAGATAATCGAATTAAACAAAACATTATTTTTTAAAAAAAATCACTGGAATTCTCTTGAAAACGCTTTTTTCCGTGTTCCGTAAAAAAAAATTTTCCCCTGTTCCGTGTTCCGTAAAAATAAAAATTTTCCGTCTTCCGTGTTCCGTGTTCCGTAGAAATAAGTTTTTTCCGTTTTCCGTGTTCCGTGTTCCGTAGAGTAAAATTTTTATTCCCAACATCTCTGGTCTGTAGCAGAGTTGAGCGGAATAACTCAACCGCAAGAATTTTTATCTTTTTTAGAAAATTTTTTCACAAAATGTGATCAACTGACAAAATGTAGAGCAAAGTGAACTGTGCTCATAGAAAAATAATTGAAAATTTAGCGTTTCCTACAAAAAAGTTATTCGAGTTGTTCCGTTGGCCCCCTTTTTTCACGCAACAACTCGAATAACTTTTTTGTATGAGCAGCTAAATTTACAATTATTTTTCTATAAGCACAGTTCACTTTGCTCTACATTTCGTCAGTTGATCACATTTCATGAAAAAATTTTCTAAAAAAGATAAAAATTCTTGCGTCTCTTTTCTGTAGCATTTTTTCGAAAAAAGTTATGATTTTTGGAGATTTGAGTTCAAGTTTCCAGCACATTTTTTCCAGCTCCTCAATTCTGTGGTCCCCGTGCTCGACGTCATCTCCGCCAGGCCCCCAACGATCAAGATCCGGCACCAATCGGCCAGACTCCGGTGTCTCGAGCTCCGCCGCGTCCGGCACAGGTCCCAGCGGGTCCGGCGCCCGAACCTCCGGCACCGTCGCCGTCAACCGGTGGCACCTCGTCCAAAATGACGCTTTTTTTGGGCGTCGGCGCCGTCGGATGTCTGTTTTTGTGCGGCGCTCTCGCGCTCGCCGCATTTCTGTTCGTGCGGAAGCAAGCGAAAGAGAAAGAGGAAATGGAGGCGCGGAAAAAAGTGAAACAGCAGCCGACGGAGCCGGGCAGGATGACGAAGCAGAAGAAGAAGAAGGAGAAGGAGGGCAGGAAGGGGAGTCAGATGAAGACGGTCGGCGACGAGACACGCGTCGAGCGACAAGAAGCGAGGGAGAAGGAGCGACGCGAGGAGCAACACCGCTGGAACATCTTCCACGAGGCCAATCAGAAGGAGAACTCGTTCATTTCCTAAAAAATCGAATAAACTTGCTGGTTTCTCTAGTATTGTGCACTTCGGAGAGTTGCCAACTTCCCCGCGAGCTACAGTACCCCAGGGGATGGTCGTACAAAAAAAGTGTCAACAGCAAAAATGATCTATGAAATGTGTGCTCTATTTTTGCAATTGACACATTTTTGATACAACCCCTACGAAACGAACTGTGGCGCCTGGAACAGAGATGTTGGGAATAAAAATTTTACTCTACGGAACACGGAACACGGAAAACGGAAATTTTTTTTTTTACGGAACACGGAACACGGAAAACGGAAAAAATTTATTTCTACGGAACAAGGAACACGGAAAACGGAAATTTTTTTTTTTACGGAACACGGAACACGGAAAACGGAAAAAACTTATTTCTACGGAACACGGAACACGGAAAATTTTTTTTTACGGAACACGGAAAAAAGCGTTTTCAAGAGAATTCCAGTGATTTTTTAAAAAATAATGTTTTGTTTAATTCGATTATCTGACTGACAAGGCAGCTGTTTGACTCATGTGAAAGTTTTACTGAAAATTTCATAAAAATAACAAAACCAACAACACAACAGTAAACAACTACAGTAAAAAACGACTGAAAATGGAATCCACTTTTCACGAATATGGTCCGAATCCGAAAATTTTCAAATTTTGGCCAGAAAACGTCAATTGTCCTAATCTTTCCGGAGATAATTTTGTGATAGAATTTTTCCGCGGAAAATATAGTTTATACGGAACACGGAACACGGAAAACGGAAAAAACTTATTTGTACGGAACACGGAAATTTTTTTTTTACGGAACACGGAACACGGAAAAAATATTGAAAAAAACGCGGAACACGGAACACGGTACACGGAATTCCCAACATCTCTGGCCTGGAAGTGTCGTGGTCTCCCATTGGCCGTAGAAAATTTCACTTTTTAATTTTCACTCCGTGTAAATCAATCTTCTTCCACTTCTTCTTCTTCTTTTACTCCCTCTTTCCTACTCAATTTACCCGAAAATGCTTCCCGCCCAACCAACCGGAGGGGGGGACCGCTTTCCAACCAATTTAACGAATGGAGGGAGAGCCGAGGGACACTAAAAGAGACGAGAAAATTGAAAAAGTGGGGGGGGGGGGCATGGGCGGCAGATTCAGAAGACGGAGAAGAAGAAGAAGAAGAGGAGGAGGAGCAGAAGCTGTCATTTTCAATTTTAGAGCGACAAGAAGTTGGAGAAGAAGAAGAAGAAGAAGCACTTTCACTTTCACTTATTTCTACCCCTTTTCCTCATACTCTTTACTGTTATTTTTGATTATTATTTCTCAAAAAGAGCACAAAAATGAGGAGAAGAGTGCTGTTGGTCCTGCTGATTTTCGCGAAAATCGGAGAGACGTCGAAAAAGTTTCCGTTGAGTGAGTTTCTTTTTGAATCAAACAAAATGCTCGTCGGAAAATGAGTTTTGGAGCCTAAAAACCTTTAATTAAGCGCAGTAGAAAGACTTGAAAGTTTCGCTAGTTGACAATATTTTGATATCTCTTCCAGTTCACGAGAAGTACTACTTTCAGCAAGCCGTATCTCGTGAACGAACAATTTTTGAGGGAAGTGATCAACTGAAAAGTTGGAGTAAATTTTATGCTCATCAACTTTCTAGTTGACGTCTATTCTCTATAAACATTTCCCTTCGAGTTATGGATCAAAGAGTCCATGGCACTCGAACCCGTTTGAATCGCGCCGCTTTTTTTGCATTGCAGCCGCCGGGGCACGTTTTTTTCGTCTAAAACTAATGTTTTTCGACAGAAATCATGGACTTTCAGGAGCGTTTGTTCCTTCCGCCGATGTCGACAATGATACAGCTCACGCCATCATCGAGGTCAACGTTTTTTCCACTTTTTTCTCCATTTTACCCCACCGCGCATGCAAATTCACTCCTTATTTTTGCAGATGTTGCGTCTGGCGGAAATGACATTCAACGCACGCACCGACGTGGATTTCGACGTACTTTTGGGCACGCGAGACCTTCCGCCGATGGAGACGGCCACGATGATGTGGAATTTGAACAGGATCGGTCGGTGCTCTCGATATTGTCGACTTTGCAAGCGCGCTATCGTTCTGTTAATGGTTTTTGTGAAGTCTTGACATCTTGTTGGTCATTTTTGTAGTTGGTCGTTTTTTTGTACCAGCACTCCGAAAAGTACTGTAGCTCGGCGAAGTTGGCAATGAAACGTCTACACGTTTTTGCCGAGTGCTAACTTTCAAGAGCTACAGTATTCCGGAGAGGGATTTTTGAAAAAAGATGTCAACTGCAAAAATAAAGTACTAGATGTGGGCTTTATTTTTGTAGTTGACAAGTTTTTTGTATCATCACTCCCTGGAGTACTGTAGCTCCTGGAAATTAGAATAACCAAAAAGCGTAGGCGTTTCATTGCCAACTTCACGGAGCTACAGTACGCTTCGGAGTGATCGTACACAAAAATCATCAACTACAAAAATGACCCACTAGATGTCAAGAATTCACAAAACAAATTTCAATGCCACACCACTTTTTCTAACCCCACAATATTCGTTGCAAACTTCATCAGTTTTCTTGCAGTTTGCGACGAAATGAAGCTGGGTTTCATGCTCATGCTAGCCGGGACCAATTTCAAAAACTACGGTATCTACGAGGACATTTCGAATCACATGAAGATGCCGTTAATCGATTGGCAACCCTCGAAGACGGATAATAGCGGAAAAACGGGCGAGAGTCCGATGATATTCTCGGTGGCGCCGTCTTCCGAACAATTATTGATCGATTATATTCAGTACAAAGGATGGCGGGATATTGTTTATATTCACGACGGAAAAAATGGTACGTTTGCGAGAAAAACTTCCGAGAAAACTTCCGCATTTGATTTGCAGCCGACCAAACTCTGCGTTCAATGTTCTCCTACCTTCACCGCAAATCGCCAAGCTATCAGTTGTTCGTTGACAATTATATGGTAACTTTTTATGCTGTCTTTTGTACAGTAACCCCCGACACTACCGTAATCCTAGGCGCCGGCCGACGAGGAAATGTTCAAAGAGTTTCTCAACGATTTCCATCGACGCATTTCGACGCAACACAAAATGCGAACCAACGATAGCAGCGAGGAAGTCGATGAGCCAAAGTGGGAGAAAACTTGCGAGAAAACTTGCGAGAAAACTTGCGAAAAAACTTGCGAGAAAACTTGCAAGAAAACTTGCAAGAAAACTTTTGAGAAAACTTGCGAGAAAACTTGCAAGAAAACTTGCAAGAAAACTTGCGAGAAAACTTGCGAGAAAACTTGCGAGAAAACTTGCGAGAAAACTTGCGAGAAAACTTGCGAGAAAACTTGCGAGAAAACTTTCGAGAAAACTTGCGAGAAAACTTGCGAGAAAACTTGCAAGAAAACTTGCAAGAAAACTTGCGAGAAGACTTGCGAGAAAACTTGCGAGAAAACTTGCGAGAAAACTTTCGAGAAAACTTGCGAGAAAACTTGCGAGAAAACTTGCGAGAAAACTTGCGAGAAAACTTTCGAGAAAACTTGCGAGAAAACTTGCGAGAAAACTTGCAAGAAAACTTGCAAGAAAACTTGCGAGAAGACTTGCGAGAAAAACTTGCAAGAAAAACTTGCAAGAAAAACTTGCGAGAAAAACTTGCGAGAAAACTTTCGAGAAAAACTTGCGAGAAAAACTTGCGAGAAAAACTTGCGAGAAAAACTTGCGAGAAAAACTTTCGAGAAAAACTTGCGAGAAAAACTTGCGAGAAAAACTTGCAAGAAAAACTTGCAAGAAAAACTTGCGAGAAGACTTGCGAGAAAACTTGCGAGAAAAACTTGCGAGAAAACTTTCGAGAAAACTTGCGAGAAAACTTGCGAGAAAACTTGCGAGAAAACTTGCGAGAAAACTTGCGAGAAAACTTGCGAGAAAACTTGCAAGAAAACTTGCAAGAAAACTTGCGAGAAGACTTGCGAGAAAACTTGCGAGAAAACTTGCGAGAAAACTTGCGTCTTTCAGTCCCGTCAACGTTTTGGTCGATCTGGAGGGCAGCTACCGTACGCGTGCGTTCATCCGAGCTCTCGAGGAGAGTGTGCTCGTCAAGAAGGAGTATCATTACGTTTTTTCGAATTTTGTAAGACATCCACCTCTTTTCAAATGTACAATATTCATCAGGACGTCGACGAAACCGACCTTTCCGGCTTTCATTTTTCCCTGATTAACATTACAATTTTTCGGATTTTCGACAAAACCAACAAGCGATTTCAGTGCGTTTTTTTTTTTTTTGGCTCCAGCAAAACGTATATATCTGGCAGAGTTTCAGAAGGACGCGAGCCGAATTCCACGACGTCTACCGTGGCGGCTTCTCGAACACGGACAATATTCCGAGTGCGGCCGCGTTTGCGCACGACGCCATTTTGGTGGCCGGCGCGGCGATGCGAATTGCGATGCGCGAACACGGAAACGGCGTTTTCGACAAGTACGTGGCCGATTTCCGGATATTCTCGCGAAATTCTCGCGAAATTCTCGCGAGATTCTCGCGAATTTCTCGCAAATTTTTCTGCAGATCGTTCAACCGTCACCAAGTGTACAATCGCGGCAAAAAGGGATTGTATTGTCGGCCGCACGAGGACACGACACAAACGCGCCAATTTGAAAATTTTGAGCACGGCGCCAAAATTGCGGAGGCGATCCGCAAAGTGGTCCTTTCGGATCAGGACGGCACGTTGACCGGACGCATCGAATTCGATCGCGTCAGCGGGCGGCGCACGAATTTCTCGGCGGAAGTCGTCGAGATCAGGCCCGGCGTCAACTCGTTGAATAGTGTTTGGGAGGTGAGCGCTAGGGTTACGGGAAACGGGATCCGACATTTTCACACAGCGATTCCAATGGGCTCAAGGCGAAGGATTTTTGCTGGGCGGCGAGCGTCACGTTCAGGAGCGAAAAAAGGATTCGGGACAGACGAGAAAAGGGATTCTGGCGTCGAGACCCGGAAAACTGCGGTTTAACGTGGTTACGGTACTCGTGAAACCGTTTGTGATGCTCAAAAGACGCAATCCCGGAGAGCCCGAGCTGCAGGGTAACGATCGGTAAGGAAACGACGAGGGATTACTGTACTTTGACGCTTTTTTGTTAAGATTCGAGGGTTACTGTATGGATCTGCTCAAATTGTTGGCCAAAAACATTTCCGGATTCGAGTACGACGTTTTCATTTCGGACGGCAACAAATACGGCGCCAGACAGGCCGATGGCAGTTGGGACGGAATGGTCGGCTATTTATTGAACGAGGTGGGCGCGCGAAATTTTTTTGAGATGAGACTATATTTTTTCCCGGTTAACCGGATGATGCTCGTTATTTTAAGCTCAAACGGGGGTCTGTAGGATTTTTTTGAAAAAAGTTATGATTTTTTAAAGTTGCGGAAAATGTTTTTTTCAGACTGCTGACGTGGCAGTGGCCCCGCTGACGATAACGCAGGAACGAGAGCGAGCCGTGGACTTTTCGAAGCCGTTCATGACGACCGGCATATCGATTATGATAAAAAAGCCGGAGAAACAGGAGTTCAACATTTTTTCGTTCATGGAACCGCTCGGAATGACCATTTGGATTTTTACGCTCAGCTCGTATTTCGGAGTAGGTTTCGGCTTTGAACTACCGTATCTCGGCGATTTTTCAACATTTTTTTAATCTTAAAAAACGAATTGATAGAAAATTCTAAGCTCTACAACTTTGCTGTTGAACATTTTTCACAAAAACCCATGAGCATCGAGATATTATCGATTTACGCGCAAGCGTACTTTTAAAAAGCACTTTTCCGGCCTCAAAAACCGGCTGCAATTCCAGGTTTCGCTCACCATTTTCCTTGTCTCGTGGTTTTCGCCGTACGAGAAGCGAATCGAGTTCAAACGCGGCGAATTTACGGTGACGAACGAGTTCACCCTCTATAATTCCCTCTGGTTCACTCTCGCCGCCTTTATGCAACAAGGAACCGACATTTTACCGAGGTTCGTCTAATTTCACTTTCCTCCCCCAAAAATCTGCAATTTCAGAGCGGTTTCCGGTCGGATCGCCTCTTCGTGTTGGTGGTTCTTCACCCTAATCATTGTCTCTTCGTACACCGCCAATTTGGCCGCTTTTCTGACGCTAGGTACGTGAATTACGGTGGGCACCGAAAATGCGCCAGCAAATAGTACTGTACTTTCACGGCGCGGCCTTCGCAACATACGCAGCCAATGGTATGCATTTTTGCGCGTCGGTGTGGCTCTGCGTACAGTGCATTTTATGTTACGCGCACAGTTCTTTTTTTTTTTTAGTTTTTGATGAATTTTCTCCAAATATTCATCTTCTTAAAGCGTTTTTCTCCACTTTCTACCTCAATTAGACCTTTTAACAGATTCCAGGTGGAGTAATACGCGAAAAGAAGTCGATGCGATGAAAAGAAACGCGTAAGTAAGTGAAAGTAATGTTTTATTCAGAAAATATACGATTTCTCGAAAAACGTCTCTAGATTTACTAATATTTTGATTTAAAAAGTTCACTAACATGACTGTGAATGTCTTCGAATCAAAAAAAAGAAAAGTGACAGCTCGCTTTGGCGTAAAAATTGGTCTTTTGCCGGAAAACAGTGACATTTCGTTGGAAAAATTTTTTTTCTCAAAAACCGTCTCTAGATTTTCTAAGTTTTTTGTTTAAATAGTTCACTTACATGACTGTGAATGTCTTCGAACCAAAAAAAAGCAGAGTTGCCAAGGGCCGGGCCGGGCCGGGCCGAAATTTTCAAAACTCCGGCCCGGCCCGGTTCAAAAAGCGGGAATCCAAATTCTGAACTATTGATTAAATAAAATGTTTGTTTTTCGTAGAACTAACGAATTTTGCAAGTATCGAGCATAAAAAAGAAATGTAGTTCTCAAAAATAGTTTTTATTGGCATCAAAGCAAAAGTAACAATTAAAAAAGAAGAAAATAATAACTTTTCCCAATAAATTTCTTACAGTTCGAAACGCTTTTTCAGCGAGTTCGAGTTCCGTTTTTTTAAATTTTGATCCCCGCAAAAAAAAACGAAAAAATAGATTTCGTAGAAGCAAAAAAAATTTTTTTAAAACGAAATTTCACTGTCTTCCGGCAAACTATCGGTTTTTCTGCGAAAGCGAGCTGTCACTGTACTTTTTTTTGGTTCCAAAGCATTCTCAGAAATGTAAGTAAAGTTTTTTAACCAAAAGATTAGAAAATCTAGTCACGTTTTTCGAGAAATCGTGCATTTTCTGAACTAAACCTTACTTTCACTTACTTACGCGTTTCTTTTCATCGCATCGACTTCTCTTCGCGTATTACTTCACCTCGAATCTGTAAAAAGGTCTAATTGAGGTAGAAAGTGGAGAAAAACGCTTTAAAGAGATGAATATTTGGAGAAAATTCATCAAAAACTAAAAAAAAAGAACTTTGCGCGTAACATAAAATGCACTGTACGCAGAGCAACACCGGCGTGCAAAAATGCACAGACTGAGGATCAAACGTTTGGTGAACGTCGCAAAAGCCGCGCCGTGACGTACTTTGTTCCCAAATTTTGCTGTAAACTACTGTAGTAACCCGATTTCAGAGCGAATGACGCCGCCCATCGAAAGTGTGGAAGACCTGGCGAATCAGAATAAGATATTGTATGGAGTTGTGGAGGGAGGAAGTACCGCCGCCTTTTTTGAGGTTCGGAAATTGGTTCGGCGGTCTATATAATATTGCAAAACAATCGTTTAGGACTCGATTGTTCCGCTGTACAAAAAAATGTGGAACTTCATGGTCAGCTCGACACAAAAACAGTTGGAAGTGGGAAAACAGTCGAATAGGTACACACTTTTTCCCGATTCTTCTAGACCATTTCTTTTTTGCAGTACCGCCAATCGAATATTCGTGAGCTCGTACGCGGACGGCATCGAAAAAGTGCGCACGAGCAAGGGCAAATACGCGTTTCTCCTGGAGGAGACCACGAATAACTACGAATCGGGGCGACGGCCGTGCGATACGATGAAAGTCGGACAGAATCTGAACACGTTGGGCTACGGTATCGCGACGAAGATTGGAAATCCGTTGAGGTATACCTTTTCCGTTTATTATCTTAATGCCGCGTCCGAAAAGTCTCGGAAAACCCGCAAATCTCGCGGATTTTGCAGTCAAAAGTCGGCAGAAATTTGCGGGAAATCCGGGGTGCGCACAGCTGAACGAGTGTTACCGTACACCATAAAACTATGGTATTTTTTTGAAAAAAATTTAAATTTCTCGACAATATTTGAAATTTTTAAAAATTTCTTGGGTAAATTTTCAAAAAAATAAAAAAATTTCTGGACAATATTTGAAAATTTTCAAACTTCTTGGGTAAATTTTTCAACAGTATTTTTTTGAAAAAAATTTTTAAATTTCTCGACAATATTTTAAATTTTTTTCAAATTTCTTGGGTAAATTTTCAACAGTATTTTTTTGAAAAAAATTTTAAAATTTCTCGACAATATTTGAAAATTTTTCAAATTTCTTGGGTAAATTTTTCAACGGTATTTTTTTGAAAAAAATTTTAAAAATTTCTCGAGAATATTTGAAATTTTTTTCAAATTTCTTGAGGTAAATTTTCAAAAAAATAAAAAAATAAAAAAATTTCTCGAGAATATTTGAAATTTTTTTCAAAGCTTCTTGGGTAAATTTTTCAACAGTATTTTTTTGAAAAAAATTTTAAATTTCCCGACAATATTTGAAATTTTTTTCAAATTTCTTGGGTAAATTTTTCAAAAAAATAAAAAAATAAAAAAATTTCTCGACAATATTTGAAATTTTTTTCAAATTTCTTGGGTAAATTTTTCAAAAAAATACCGTAGTTTTATGGTGTACGGTAACACTCGTTCAGCTGTGCGCACCCCGGATTCACCCGCAAATTTCTGCCGACTTTGGACTGCAAAGTCCGCGAGATTTGCGGGGTTTACGAGACTTTGGACGCGGCATAAACAGCTCACAATTTTTCAGAGTCTCGCTCAATCTCGCCATCCTCTATCTGTCCGAGAAGGGAGAGCTGAAAAAGTTGGAGAACAAGTGGTGGTACGATCGGGGCCAGTGCGACACCGGCACGTCGGACGGCGGCACGAGTTCGAGTCTGAATTTGTCGAAAGTCGCCGGAATATTCTACATCCTGTTGGCCGGCATGGTGTTGTCCATGTGCACCGCGCTGATCGAGTTCCTCTTCCGAAAGAGCAAGGAGCGCCGGGAGAAGGAGCGCAATCGGCAGCGGAATTCGCGGCAGAAGCCCGCCATTGTGGCCAGTTGTCAACGCGCGAAACAGAAGCAGCAGAGGAGGACCAAGAGTGAAGAGACCCCCAGGAGCACACTTTTTTGAGCGGTTTTTGTGATTTTTTTTCGAGCCAAATGAAGTTTTTTTTTTGCTTTTGACGAGAGCAGCGCCCAAAAACTGTAGTGTGTAGTCTAAGCAGCGCCGAAACTCACGAGAGCAGCGCCCAAAAACTGTAGTGTGTGTAGTCTAAGCAGCGCCGAAGCTCACGAGAGCAGCGTCCAACACATTTCTAATGTTCATGTTCAGTTGCCGAGTGTGTGGCCGAACTTTTGCACAATCGCACTTTTCTAGGCCAGGCGGATCACCAATCGTATTTGGATTTTTATGAGAACGCGCCACATGTAAGGTTTTCTCATCTTTTCAAAGAAAAACAGCTATTTCCAAGGTTATCTATCACAAAAACCATTTGGAGCCGGGATTTCGACTGAATCGCACCACAAAATCCGCAAAATGTCCATATAAATAATAAATAATGAGAAACGAATAAATACATTTAGTACAAATCGATGCGTTTCTCCGCCAATGCTCGTTTTGTCATGCAAAAAATCGGATCCACCGGCTCGAGCGATTCGTCGCCGAACAGCGAAAGGGCGGCGATTCCGAACACTGTGTGGAAGGGGTCCGCCTGCAAAAATGAGAGTTATCAAAGTGCTTTTTGATCAAAAATTGACAATTTCTTTTTCGAAAAGCAAACCACGTAACCCCTCACTTCCGCCTACTCTACTTTTAAACTTTTTCCAATTAGGGGCTCATTTCGCTTGCCGTCCGCTGACTTTCAATCGATTAACCCCTCTCTCTCTCTCTCAATCTCTCTCTCATTCCACGGCGAAATGAGCCGCAACGACTCGCCAACTAATCGCCCAACTGGCAGGTACCGGACGTTTCGCAACCAAGACAATACGTTCTTCATTATTAACTCTTTGCAGCTACCTCGACGAGCTGATGAAAGAGCTTCGAACGATGGCCAACATATACCAGACCAATCACAGTGTCTCATTTCGAAATGCGCACGTGAGTCTGCAGAAAATCGATGAAAAGCGTCGAAAATTTGTCAGAAACTTTTGGTGCGTGAAATTCAACGCGTGTGGGAAGCCGAGATGATGAACCGAAGCGCGCCGTCGTTGGTCTCGGAGCACGAACGCATTCCGGCCGGCAGCGAAGCGAATTCGTCGTCCCCGCACGTCGAATTCTCGACGATCGGACGTCTTTTGCGCGACGGATCTCCCGAAGAGCGACGTCGTCACAGTTTCAGTCCGATGACGTACAAAATGAAGACGTCGTCGACGGTGTTGTCGCCGGCGGCGAAATCGGAGGACGGCGGAAACTTCGAGAAGACCGAAAAGCTCTTTTTTCCCGAGGACACTGCCGAGTCAGTCAATTCAACTGTCAATGATGGTTTTTACGGGAAATTTTCAATTTTTTTTTGCAGAAACTCGAATCCGATCGGTCGACTGATTGGTCCACGTGGAATGACGATTCGTCAGCTCGAGAAGGACCTCTCGTGCAAACTGTACATTCGCGGAAAAGGTAAGAGGCCTAGAAATCCCTAAACATGGCCTAACTTTTGCAGGTTGCACCAAGGACGATGCGAAAGAGTCCCGTTTGCGTGGGCGTTCCGGCTGGGACCATCTCGACGAACCGATTCACGTCCTGATCTCGGTCAGAGGGGATTCAGAGCAAAAGTAGGCGATTTTCAAGGGGGGATACCTATAATATTATGGTTTCAGGTGCTCGGAGAAGCTGTCTGTGATCAAGCCACGTCTTCAGGAATTTTTGGAGCACACTGACTCGGATCTGAAGCGCTCGCAGCTCATGCAACTCGCGCTCATCGAGGGAACACTCAAAAGTTAGAGCCGCCCAGAATAAATGATTTTTTCCCCCCTCAAATTCGTTTCGAAACTCACACAATCGCCGGGCCGATCGGCGAAACCGCCCGTCTCGTCGTCCTGACACGCGTAAATGAACGCCTTCATTGCGGCGGCGTCGATGAAGTCGAGACGGCCGAGGATGGACAAAGAAGCGAGCACCCACCACGAGTAGCACACGTCCGGCAGCTTTTCCGGGCGGCCTGAATCGCAAAAATTGAGGATTTTATAGGATCTGCAGGTTTTAAAAGCAAATTGAGAAAGAACATTGTTTTTAGAGGCCGCACAGCTCGTGAAAAGTCAGAAAATGTACCATTGAGTCCGCCGCTGTCGCATTGCCGAAAAGCGAGCCACTCGGCGGTGCGGTCCCGGTCGATGTCGTCCAAATGGCCGGCGATGGCCAGTGCGCCGACGCAGCAGTAGATCTGGCCGGAGTGGCTTTCCGAGCCGGGACGCGTTCCGAATCCCCCATCCGTATTGTAGCATTGCAACAGGAATTTCACGGCCAGCGGGACATTCAGGACGGGCAGACGGCCGAGCAGATGACACGTGGCAAGGGAGCACATTGTGAAGCGGGTGTCCACTTCGCCTGCAACATTTGAAAAATAATGGTTTGAATTCTACACCTCTAACGCTCCTCACCTCCAGAATCGCCGCAGAAGCTGCCGTCCTCCTGTTGGAGTCCTCTCACGTACTCACAAACCGTCTCGGCGTCCACTTTTTCGAGCGAATCATATATAATGAGTGTCTGGACGGCGCACAACGTGTGCAACAGGTGGCTGTCGTGTCCGGGCGCCGGGCCGTAGCCTCCGTCCGCATTTCGGCACGAGACCACGTACGCGACGATCTCTTCCGACGACATTCGGCCCAACTGCAAACGGACTGTTTTTATTGGAATTTGACAAAATTGGAAAATCTTTTTGAGCATTTTTCATGTGGAGAGCAAGAATTTAGGGCCACTTTTTGAAGGCACTTACCTGTTTGCTCAAATCCATCGCATTGACACACCAATAAATTCCGCTGACTCTCAAATGCTCGGCCATAATGTAATGCTACAAACAAATAATATAAAAAATCCCAAAAATTAGCAAGCTTACATAGCTGTTTTTGTCCTTCTCATACTGATGAATAAAGTCGGCGTGCAAATTTTTGAGCAATTCTTTCGGCGAATTTGTCGGCAAATCCACATCTTTCCGGGCGAAATCCAATAATCCGGCGAAGCTCTGCACGCAAAAAATCGATAATAATTTTGCGATAAAATTCAGTTGTTCCTTACCATTTTCAGCAAAAAATCCGAGAATCAGCGTTCGATTTCAGCTTACGAAATTGCAGCACAGAAATTGGAGTTGCGAAATTTCGCAACGACACTTCGAATTAACGGCAAGGCGCGCTGTTTAGCGGGAGCGGAAATTCAAATCGGGATTTTCGATTTTCACCGAAGAAACCTAAATTTCAACGGACTTTCACAGCTCTTTAGTGTTTTACATCAAAATTCACAATTTCAGAGCATGTCGTACGTGTACAAACGCATCCGAGACCTGGAGGCCAGCCCACAGCCGCAGCATTTCTACGGAAAATTGATTTTTCACGGAGTACACGATAAACAACACGTTTTGCTGCTCAAAGTACGTTTTTCGCATGATTTTCAATGGGAAATTTGATTTTCAGGACGAGACGGGTTTGATCTACGTGTGGGTGAAGCCGAAAGAGAATCAGGTGCTGCGATTTCAGCTCCGACAGGTTATTCGCTTTCATCGATGCGTTATTGGGTGGCAACACAGCTCGGTGAAAGGCACGGCGACTATCGGAAAAGCGGGTACGGTTTTAAAGGTTTTAGACATGTTTTTTTGCAAGCTTTCTCAATTTTCAGGCTGTCACTTGGTCGCGTGGCCTGCGTCTGGAAATCCGCTGCATCCAGTCATAATCAGTTCGAAAGAATGGACGAGAAGTCCGGAAGACCGGGAAAGAGTACGTTTTTGACTAGAACCGACCTGAAATTCGAATTTTTCACGAAAAATCACCCAAAAACCGTACATAAAAATCGGTAGTGGCCTAACTTTTCGGCCACACTTGTCATTTTAAATGTTTTTTCCATTACAGATTGAGACGCTGAGTAAAGTGGAACGAAGACCACAAGAAAAGAAGGTGACCGTCGAAGAAATGGCCAATAAATTGGTAGCTTTTTCGTTTTTGCTCGGAAAACGGTCCAATTTTGATTTCAGATCGAAGTACGCGAAGGACAGAGAGCGAAAGTGATCGTGTCGAGCTGGATAAAGCGAGTTCGGCAGGATGAGGACGAAAAATTGCATTTGACCACGAAAGAGCTGTACGCGCAGTGGCCCGGAACCCTGGTCGAGTCGAAAAGGTAAGAATCGATATAAAACATGCCAAAAATTACGGTCGCGTCACCGAGTACGAATTTTCGTGTCTTTTTGCAGTAATTTCCCGATCGACCGCTCGTTTTTCGACGAAGAATACGCGGAGGAATTTGTGCAATTTTTTCGAAAGTGCAAACACTGTTTTGATGACGTCAAAAAAGTGAAATACATCCGAGAGGACAATCCGATCAAGTGCCCCAATTGCAAAAGTTAGTTTTCGGGCAAAAAGGCCGGCCTATGCTTTTTGAGGCCTGGACTTTTGATTTCGGCCTTTGATCCACATATCTAGGGACCAGATGATCAAATCGGTCTGAAACTTGGACCCAATATACTTCAATCCATGTCCAAGAAGCCCTCAAAGTTTGTTCCCGATCGGATCATTGCAAGTCGTCCAAAAGTCGAGGCCTCAAAAAGCCTGGACCCAAAATTGCCAAAAAAAAAAGCTAGACTTCGTTCAAAATCGCCGATCTTTTCCGATTCAGAAACGATGAAAGAGCTGGAAGTGGCGGTTCGGGTGCGAATCGACGTCGACGGATTCAATTTCATTTTCACAATTCCCATTCGGCTTGTGGTAACTGATTTTTGGTGAACCTTTCAAATTTTCTCAACGCTTTCACAGGAAGGACACGAAAATCTTCCGAATTTGAGCGATTACTTGACAGAAATGGCAAAGGGAAAAAAGGACGACGAGCGGAAAATGATTCGGTTTTGTCGAATGGCGCAGGTACACGATTTTTCACAAATATACCTTAAAAATAGTTTTTTTTTCCAGAGAACCCTCTGGGACGCCACGTTGACCGGAATCCGTGGACGCATCATGGGACGATCGGAAAATTTGAACTTTGTCGAAATTTTCCTGTTCGAACTGCAATTCTTGGACCTTAGCAACTAATTTTTTTGTCGTTTTCCCTTTTTTTTAACCTCAAAACCATACTCGCTCACCTTTTTCCCATAATTTTGATCTGAAAATTCGAAAAATTTCAGATCTCGATCTCATTCGTTAATATCTTTCATTCTTCTCGCGAAAAGTTTATTTCTCTGCTTTTTTTGTCTCGAAAACTAATAATATTCATTTCTATTAGTCACTCCAATCGTCGTCGTCATCGTCGTCATCGTCGTCGTCGGAGCCCTCCGAATCGCTCGGATTTATGCCCGAACGGCGGGCGTCCAGAAAATTCTGGATCTGATCGATCATGGTGCCGCCGGAAACGGGCGAAGTGACCGATTGACGTGTGTCCGGCGTCTCGCTCACTTTTCGCAGCATTTTCGATTTATCCGCCGATTGAATTTGCTGAAAATTGGCAGACTTACGAATTTTTTGCGGCAAGTCGTCAAATTCGACGCAAGATACGCAGTTCGGTGTTTACGGACTTTACAGTTGAGGTTACGACAAATTGTGAAAAAGCTTGAAAATTACAAAGATTTCGTGAGTTTTATGGATATTTTCTTATAGGAATTTAAAGTTTAATAGTTTTTCTGCAAAATGTCGTAAAAAACGCGGCTCACCTCCAACAAACTCCTTCGATCCGAGCTAATTTCGGGAACAGCACTCAGCTTGAGCGGCGAATTCAAAATTGGCGGCGGCGGAGCCTGAGGTACCGAACCGCCAGTGATTATCGGCGGAAGCGGCGGCGCCAGGGGTACGGAAGCCGGCGGAAGTGGCGGGGGCGCCGGCGGCGGTGGTCCCGACGGGCTCGGGGCAACTATCGGTGGAGCGGAAGGCGGCGGCGGTGGCGGGGCGCTGCGCGTCGGCGTTTTCGCCGACAAATTGATCTCGGCGTACTCTTCGGCCTGACGGGAATTCGAAATTGCGGAGAAAGTCTCCGGTTGCGTCGCCCAGCGGTACGATCCACGATGACCGGGAAGTCGTGGTGCAGACAGTGATACTGCAAATCAGGGCAACTTTTGACGCACTCAAACTTTGCACACTTCTCAGGCTTTGGTTGAAGTACGTTGGGTCCGGGGGTCCAAGTTTCAGACGGATCCGGATAATTTTAGTCAGTTAAAAGTTCAGTCTTTTCTAAAACCGCTACATCTTGGGACCAGATGATCCGATCGGTCTGAAACTTGGACCCAAAATACTTCAACTAAAGCCTGAGAAGTCTGCAAAGTTTTGGTCGGATCCGATTATTGAAAGTGGGTCAAAAGTGCGTACCTTCCTGCACGTGTCGAGAAGTGCTCCGACTCGGCAGCTCCGGCGGCCGTTCCTCTATTATTGTTCTCTCGGCGTGTTCCTCCGTCGCCTCCGATTCGAATCGATACAAATTCTGCGGTTCCCGCTGGTTCACGGTCCCGTAGGTGTCTTTTCTCGGCGCCGTCCACACACTCTCCTTCAACGGATCCGCCGCGAACGTGTGACTGTGCTTGAAGGAGGTGGCGACGGTTACGGTGGACGGGATTACTGTAGATTCTGACCAGTCGGGATTCAGAGGATCCACGGGCGTGGAGACGGTAGGCGTGGGCGCGGCGACGTCTTCGATTTTGGCCTTGGAGAGACGGTTCCAGATTGAGGTCTGTAAACGAAATGTTGGCCTAGAATATTGCAGAGTTCAGAGTTGTTTTAGAGCCTCTAAACGTTGTTTGTGCATTTTTGACATCTAGTACTGTATTTTTGTAGTTGAACACTTTTTTGTAGGACCCCTCCCTGAAGTACTGTAGCGCTTGGAAGTTAGCATTGAAACTTCTACGGATTTTGGTAGTCTCAACTTCAAAGCCTTACAGTATGTCAGGGAGAGGTTTTAGAGAAAAGTTGCCAACGACAAAAATAGAGTACAAGATGTGAACTTCATTTTTGCAGTTGACACATTTTCTATAAAACCCACCCCCGGGGTACTGTAGCTCTTGGAAATCGGCAATAGCTAAAGTCGTTTCCAAGCGCTACAGTACCGCAGGAAGTGGTCCTAGAAAAAAGTGATCAACTACAAAAATACAGTACTACATGTCATGATTTAAAGAAAACCATTTTGGAGACCTCAGCACCGACTTACCCCCGATTTCTCCTTCTTCTCCTTCCGCTCCTTCACATCTTTCGGCGTTTGCGACTTTTTCTTGACCATCATCGACTTCCGAAACTCGTTTTCGTTCGTCATCACAATGTGCCTCACAATCTCCTTCTCCTCCTCGCTAGTCGTCTGAAAATTGCGTGTGTGTGGCCTAGAAAAACGTCGGCCACGGCCCGCAACTAACTTTAAGTTTGCTCATCACTTGCTGGTACAAATCCTCTTGATCCTCGGTCATTTTGACGCTATCCACGTGTCTGAAAACCGTTCTATATTGCAAAAAGTGCTCTAGCGCACAAAAAATCGATAATTCACCGGAAATCCGTGGGGCTTCCAATGTCCATCGCCTTTTTCTCCTTATTCGAGTGTAAGCTTCCGAAAAAATTCGAAAAAAAGCTCATCTTCTTCTTCTTTTTCTCCTTCTTCGTTTCCTCTTTCTCGAGTTTGGCGACAGACGGAATTTCAGTGGTTTTCGCTGAAAATCAATCAATTGGCCGCCGCCCGAAAACATTGCAATCTTACTACTCTTCCGTTTGCACACACTATCGTGAAACTTTGCGCACTCTTTGGAATCGTAGAAGTTTAGGCCAATCTCATGGTGATTCGACTCGAAAACCAGAAGATTCGCGTGGATTTGATCCGTTTCAAAGTGCTTTTCACTGCAAAAGTGGAAATATATTCAAAAAACACGCTCGAGTAGTCGTTTTAAATAACCCCGGTTTTTAGAGAGTGTTGATTTCTTGAGGATATTTGAAAATATTCAAAATTATTGCGCAAATTTTCAAAAAATACCGTAGTTTTAGGGGTACGGTTACATTCGTTCAGCTGTGCTCACCCCCCGTTTTTCACGCAAATTTCGGTCGACTTTGGACAGAAAAACCAGCGGTTTTTCCAGTTTTTCCGAGACTTTGGACGCGGCAATACGGCACGACGGTTTCTGTAATTGTTTTTTTTAATGTTTTTTTAAATGTTTTTTTATGAGTTTTTTTAAATTTTTTTAAATTTTTTTAAATTTTATTTATTTTAATTTTTTTAATTTTTTTAATAAGCGAAAGCTTCCCGAATAATCCCATTATCGATTTTTTTTTCAAATTTTTTTGAATCTCTGCCCTATCAAACCTGAAAGCGTGCTCAAATTGGACAATCGGTTCCCATTCGGTCTCTTTCGACGGTTCGATCAGAATTATTTTGTAGTAGCGCTCCGAACTGTTCTGAAAGTTTCGATATCAATAAATTTGCTAGAAAACTCTCGAACCTTTAAGAAAAGCGCGACGGCCGGCGCTGGCTGCGAATGAATCCAAACTCCATTTTCGACGGTCAAAAGTTGACAAACTCCAGAAGAAATTATCTGGAAATTTCTCGGTCGATTTTCGATATTTTCCCATAAGTTAATACATCAATCGATAGAGAATTTGAAGCTCTACAACTTTACAATTGACAACTTTTTACTGAAACATCGCTGAGCCGAGATACAGTCGTTTTAAAAAAGCCAGCAAAGTGGGCGCAGCAACGTTTTTGTGAAAAGTGATCGACTACAAAGTTGTAGAGCATCAATTTCTCTATAAAATCGTGTTTTAACTTGCGAAAAATATCAAAAACTTTTTAAGATACAGGGTGTCAAAGTTTCCTCCCAAAAAGTATAGGTTACCTTGTCGCTGGCCGAAATCGCCCTCAAAACGCTCTCTTTTTCGGGCGGCTCCAAAAAATCGCTCAATTCGGGACACGAAATCATTAGGATAGATGGAAAATAGAACAACAAAAAAAATGGGGGAAATCAATCGATATTCCAATGTGCCTCGAAGAAGGAATTTTCCTAATATTTACTCTGTTTTATCATCCCACTTCTTATCACTTTTGCACTCACAGGGGACGCGTGGCTCTCGATTTTTATTTGGCCAGGAATATGATACACTCCGAAAGTGTACCTACACAAAAATCTACATTTTTCTACTCGTAATCCTATAAAAATTGGGGAATGGTTTAGGGGTTCACAATGTTCACAACGGGTCGAAAATTTGGAGGGAAAAGTGAAAATGTTTGAGAAAATTCGGGGGAAAAGAATAGAACAAAAGCGAAACAATCCAGAAAATTATTTTCTGGCCTTATTGACAATTTCCTTGACGGATCCGTCGGAGTAGGCGAAGAAAACGGCGTCGACGACGTCGATGAACAGTCCGGTTTCGACGATTCCGGGCGTGTTGGCCAGTCGGCTCTGCACGGACCGCCAGTCGCGGCCGTGCACGTTCTTCTCGAATTGCCAGTCGATTATGAAGTTTCCGTTGTCCGTCACTATCGGTCCGCACTTTTTGACCGCCTGTCTCAGCTGACAGGATCCGCCTTCCGAGCGCGGAATCGAACGGAGCAGGGGCTGCGCGGCCGCCGGCAGAATCTGTAGACAGACTCAGTTTTAGAAGTTTTCCTTTAAGAATCTTGCAAACCTCAATGGGAACGACCGGATATCGCTCGCCCAAATGTTTGGAATCCTTCAAATAGTCGGCGATCACGTAAAAGTGTTTGGCGGCGGTTTGGACGATTTTCTCCTGAGCCAAACACCCGCCGCCGCCCTTAATGCACGTGAACTGTCCGTCCACCTCGTCGGCGCCGTCGATGCAGACGTCGAGTTCCGGGTGCGCGTCCAGGTCCGAAACGGGCAGTCCCGCCTCGATCAACCACTGTTTTGTCTGCAAAAATTGGCGAACATTGACGTTTTGTCAGGTTTTCGTGTTCGGCCTATTTTTAGCTGGAAAAATCGGATTTTTAAGTGAATTTTGGGGTGATCTTAGTACTTTTGAAGTTCCCTTTGCATTTTGAGCACTTACCGAGAAGCTCGTGGGCACACAAACGATATCCCTCAGATTTCCGGTCTGAAATGCCTGTTTCAGATACTCGACGAGATATTTGACTGTGCTGCCGGAGCCGACGCCCAAACGGCACCCGCTTGACACGTACTTCTCTCCGCAAGCGTAGGCGGCCTGAAATTCACTGAATTTCGGTAAAGAACTGAAAAAATTCGAAGAAGAACCCACTGTTTTCTTGGCCTGCTCGATGGGCGCCAATTCTGCCTCTTGTCCGGTGGTCGTGACCATTCTGACGGTCCGCACGATGCCTGGCAATGACATTTTTGTGGAAAACATTTGAAAAACTGAAAAAACAACTCAAAAACAGGCCTGAAAATGATAAGAAAGACTGAAAATTGTTGCTTTTATTAAATTTGTGCATTTTTACGTGACGGTGCGTGCATCTCTGAATGCGCTCTATCTTACGACACTCGGGAAAATTAATCTTATTCATTTTTTCGCCAACTATTTTCTTGATAATCGACCGTCTTCCACAGAAATTTTTGACTTTTTCAGGCGGAATGAGTAAAAGGCCAGTGATAGAGTCGGAAAAAGCAGTTTGGCACGACGACGACGACGATGATACCGTGGTTTCAGTGCCGAAAAAAGTGAAAAAGACTTTGAAGGTGGAATTGAAGCGGACGACCGATGAAGAGCACGGAGAACTCGATTCCAAGGTATTTTATGCAGAAATAGGGGCGATTTATTGATTTTTTGCAGGAATATGTCGGAAGATTGCAAGAGGCGTTCAAAAAACGACACGGAGCCACGCCAAAGTGGGCGCAAACTGCTGAAGGTCGGGATAAATGCAAAATGGCTCTAAATAAGTTATAAATGGTTCAGATGACGACGAAGAAGGATCTTTGCTCAAAAGCGCTGCCGGATACCTGGCAAAAGACACGAAATTGCCGAAAACCACGATTCAAACGTCGATTGTCAAAAATTTCAATATTGGACATCGATTGACGGTTAGCAAATTTTTGAAATTTGTGTCAGAATGTGAAAAAGTGTTGTTCAATGCTACTAAAACTGTTTTTCTGTTCAGCGCAGTATCACAGTCGTCAAGTTCCACAAAACGCGTCCGGTCCTCATTACCGGTGATTTAGGAGGAAATGTTCAATTGTTCGAGGTTTTTCTTTAAAAATTACCACTTGATTGTGGTAATTTTGTGCTGTTTTAGGTCAGCAACGAGGTCAAAAAAGATCATTTTTTGCAAAGCGCGACTTTTAAAAATTTCCCAATCGATTCGATGGAAATTGCCGAACAAGGACACGCGGTTATTTGCTCTTCCAGTCGACAGGTACTGTATTAATTTTGGAGAAGAAAAACCGAAAAAAACTGTTCAGGAATATTTGATGAAATACAATATGGAAACGAGAGAAGTGACGCAGTTGACAATGCCGAAATGTTGGTTTATTTTTTAGTTGTAAGCCCAAAAGTCATTGTTTCAGCGATTCCAAAGCAAGGAATCCGTCTTTTCGCCGTCTCGCACGATTCCCAATTTCTGGCGGTCGTCGGACACAATTTTCACGTCTACATCCTTCATTCCACTGTTAGTTGTCCAAAAATCCGACTATTCTTAATATAATCATAATAACAATCTATTTTGCAGTCTATGGAGCACATCAAGACGATTTCTCTGCCCGCCAACGCGGCGGCCATCAAATTTTTCCCGTCGCACAACAAGGAGATTTGGGTCATTTGTGGTGGGTTTGAAAATGCGCTTTTCCTGGGATATTCATGAGAAAATTTGCAGTCACCGGCCAAATCGTGATCGCCGACATTTCTCCGTCGGGAAACAAGCCGCAACACGCGTTCATCGACGACGGAGCCGTCCACGGAACCGCGCTCGCCATCAGCCAACACGGAGACTTCTTGGCCACCGGGTAATTGATTTACCCGATTTTTCCAGGGCCGGGCAAATTTCGACGCCCAGGCTTTTCGAAGGTCTGAACTTTTGGACCACTTGCAATGATCCGATCAGGACCAAACTTTGCAGGATTCTTGGGATTGGATTGAAGTATATTGGGTCCGAGTTTCAGACCGATCTAATCATCAGGTCCAGAGATATGTAGATCGGATGCCGAAAGGCCGGGTTTCTGCGAAAGATGCGGTCTCTTCTGATCCACATATCTCGGGACCAGGTGACCCGATCGATCTGAAACTTGGACTCAATGTACTTCCATCCAAGTCCAAGAAGCCTGCAAAGTTTAGGCCTGATCGGATAATTACAAGTAGGCCAAAAGTCCTGGTCTCGGTCGGCCTTTTTTTTTCTGAAACGTGCACGAATAGAATATTGTCGTGTTTGCAGAAGTGACACGGGAATCGTGAACGTCTACTCGGGACGTGACTGCCGCGCATCCGCGACGCCGCGGCCCCTTTTCAACGTCTCCAACCTGGTGACGTCCGTGTCGGCGGTGGCGTTCAACGCGGACGCCCAACTGATGGCGATTTGTTCGAACGTGAAGGAGAATCAGGTGCGGCTCGTCCACATGGCCAGCCATTCGACGTTCAAGAACTTTCCCGACCGAGGCGGTGGCGTCAAAAAGGCGAAGTGCGTCGACTTTTCGCCAAAATCCGGATTTATGGCTGTGGGAAACGAGGACGGACGCCTACATCTCTACAATATTCATCATTTCGCCGAGTATTGATTGATTTGAATGTGTTTTCGAATTTCTTCTGATTTGTTATGTTATTGTTCTTTTTTTCTCCCTTTTCCCCCTTTCAAATGTTTTTTGTTACTCTTTACTCTTCACTCTTTACCGCTTGTTGAGCACCGCTTTTTTTCGTATAATTCTTATGATATTCGTATTCTTTTTCTTCTTCTAAACCTACAATCCTGAAAATGCGGATTTCCCCGCTCGTCGGAAGCATTTTATCCGCGCCGTCTACTTTTGAAAATGAGAAAACGTTTGTTCGGTTATACCTTTATGCAAAAACATTTTTTTTTCCCTCCTATCATTTTCTTGCTCCCATGATCCAACTCTGTCCAGACCCGTTCGATTTCGAAATGATTGTTCTCTGTGTTCTCCCCCCACTTGTAGCCGCTTGGTCCCTGTTAAAAAACACAGAGAACGACCGAAATGACAAGAAAATCGCTGAATTTCACGTGAATTTGCTTTAGTGGCGAAATCAGTAAAAAATTATATAAAAAGGCACAGGAGACGGACAATTCCCTTCGATTTTTGACTCGAAACGTCATTTTGTGCGCTTATCAGACGTTTTTGCTCAACGCCTACCATGGTAAATACGAAAAATTGCAAAGTTGTTTTCGTTTGTGAGCTTTGGCGATTAGGCCAAAATGAAATTAGGATGTGTATACTTGGAAACACGTTGTAGTTGAGATTTGGTGCCAAAAATATGATTCTGATCTTTCTTACCGCACAAATAATATAAATATTGTGCAATTTGATTGGCACGGGAAAATTGAATAAGTTTGAATGAATGTTGTGGAGTCCAGAGAAGTCTTTTAGTCTCCAAAAATGTTTTGTGAACTCTTGACGTCTAGTACTTTAATTTTGTAGTTGATGACTTTTTTGTACAAGCACTTTCTGGAGTACTGTAGCACTTGGAAGTTGGCATTGAAAATCCGAGCGCCTTAGCTATTCTCCACTTCAAACAGCTACAGTACCCCAGGGAGTGGGTTTAGGAAAAAGTCGTCAACTACAAAAATAAAGTTCACATTATGTACTACATTTTTCATCTTGACACGTTTTTTGTACAACCACTCCCTGGACTACTGTAGCTCTTGAAAGTTAGGTGTAACTAAAACACTTGCTTGTTCAATGCCAACTTCCAAGGGCTACAGTACCCCGGGGAGTGCTTGTACAAAAAAGACATCAACTACAAAAATGTAGTACTAGACGTCAAGAATCCGCAAAACAATTTTCAGCCCTAAAGAACATTCTAGAATTCTACAATATCCGTTCAAAGTTGGCCGTTTGTTTTCTGCCCCCCAACTTTCGATCTTTGATCTCTCTGTCTGCTGTTTTACGTGTAATATTGTGTGTCGCTTCCCACCCGCTTATCAACTTTTTCTTGTTCAAACCTCAATTCGTCACCTTTCCGAGACAATTTTTGTGTGCTTTAAACTTTGTAAGCTCTCAACGCTTCATTTCCCCGAATTTCCGTGTTTTTTTCCGTCGCCAGCCCAAAAAAGCGGGATTACGATCGGCCCAAAACTGGTTTTTGCACAGTGTCGGCCCCGACCACTGACAGCCCAGGTTTTACACAATTTACATCAGTTTTTGTCACTTTTATCATTGATTTGTATGTAAAACGGTTCTCGACGCGATTTTTCAGGCGCTTTTAGAGTTAGTGATCATGTATTCCTTCCCAAATGTTTTCCAAGTACCTCTTTATTTTTCCTACATTCTAGACGTGATTTCCGTTTTTTTTTTTGCCAAAGAATAAGGGCTGGGCAAATTTTGGTCCAGCCTTTGTGAGGCCTAGACTTTTGGACCACTTCCAATGATCCGATGGGGACCAAACTTTGCAGGCCTCTGGGGATTGAATTGAAGTATGTTGGGTCCACGTTTCAGATCGATCCGCTCATCTGGTCCTGAGATATGTAGATCGGAGGCCAACAACGGCCTTTTCAGCCTCGGATCCACATATCTCGGGACCAGATGATCCGATCGGTCTGAAATTTGGACCCAATATACTTTATTCCAAGTGCAAGAAGCCTGCAAAGTTTGGTCCCGATCGGATCATTGCAAGCGGTCCAAAAGTCCAGGAGTCGACAGGCCTTTAAAAAAATCATCTCTTTGATTAAAGTTTCAGAACTTTTTGTTCTCAAAAATCTGAAAAAGATGAGGTAGTGACTAGTAAGTACATGTGCTCTCTCTCTCTCTCTCTCTCTCTCTCTCTCTCTCTCTCTCTTTCTTCCCCTGTGTAAACACCGTCTTTTGTCTCTTTTCTCTGCGTCCCTTCCTCTTTCTCTCTCTCTCTCTCTCTCTCTCTCGCTTTCCTCTCCCGTCTGCCCCGAGGCCAAGTGAAAAGGACCGGGAGAAGAAGTGAGAGACAGAGAAATAGTCCCCGTGGCGACCCCCTCTCTCTCTCTCTCTTTCTCTCCCGTTTTCGCCGACGAAACACCTTGTTTCAATGCTCTCCCCACCTCTCGTTTTCCCTTTTTTTCCCCTTGTCTGACACAATATGTACACTTTTTGCCATTTTGTGTGCCCTTATGGATTAGCAATGCCGAAATTTGCATGTTTTCCAACCTGGAACGGGTAAAATTTGGTCAGAAATTAGGTCAAAAACGCGGGAACTTTAACAGTTTCAATATGCCAACCCCCCAAAAAACCGATTATTTTTGGCTCTCCTCGTTTTTGCAAATCTTTCGAAAGCTGACGTTTTGCAACTGACTGCTCTACGTTTCGCAACTAATTCCGCAACCAATCACCACTTAATTACTGTGCGCCATTCGAGCAAAGCCGGGGAACAGAATCACGGCAATCTTCGCCATCCGGGCCAGATAATCATGGCCAGGCCGTGCTTTTTGGACATTTCGGGCCAGACTGAGATGTTAGAGGCATGCTGAGCCGGGCTGGTGGTTGCGAAACGTAATAGTTGCGAAAACCAAAAAAAGCAATTTCGATTTCGCTTCTTCTCACAGCCAACGAGGCCAAATTTCGAAAAAAACTCGAAACTTTCTTGTTTTTAGGTTATCGATCAGCTTCGAGAACGCTCCCGAAAACATTGTTCACAACTGTTCTCGGCAATTTTTCCCGAAATGTCTCAAAATTTCAACAAAAAAAAAAGTGTGTGTGTGTGGGGGAGAGCGCAGAGAAACGAGCGTGAAAAAGTGACGCGTCACGCGATTTGTTATCGTTTTTTTTTTTTTGGGCGACAAGAATACTAGGTGTGGCGCGAGAGAGACAACATTTTGGTGTTATCTATTTGCGCATTTGGGTTAATGCTCAATTTAAGAGACAATGTGATTGGATTGCGCGCGCACAGAAAAAAAATCGATACACATATTTTTTGCAGTCGGACCATGACGGGCGGTTCGTCGTCGGCCAACGCGTCGCAACCGGAAGAGGTGTGCTTCGTGTGCTCCGACATTTCGACCGGTTATCATTACGGAGTGCCTTCTTGCAATGGATGGTACGTTTTTTTTTTAATTTTAAACGGATAAAGCTCCAATTGTCATGCTTTTGCGCTTAAAACAATCGTTTTGGCGTATTTATCGATTTTTCCAAAAAATCGCAAAAATAAAAAGTTTCCAGCAAAACCTTCTTCCGCAGGACAATAATGAAGAACCAAACGTTTCAATGTCAATTCAACGGAAAGTGTCCGGTCGACAAAAGTGAGTAATCACAGTTTTGCCACTAAAAACCTCGAAAAATCGATATTTTTGCAGGTATCCGATGCGCGTGTCGTCATTGTCGCTTCGAAAAGTGCATTCAGGTGGGAATGGACCGGAACGCGATCCAACAGAACCGCGATCCGATCGGATACACGAAGAGAACGAGACGATATCCGCCGATCAAGAAGGTCGAGGCGAGCGAGGAGTGCTCTCCGGCTCAGGTAGCCTTTTTTTTGTTGGAATTGCTAAGCCAAAGCGGAGATTTTTGTGAAAAAACGTTGGGAATTACAGATTTCGGACAGCGACCGCAACGAAGACCTCTTTCTGTCGCACCTGGCGGCCACCGAGCAAAAGTGTGGAGCTCTGAGGCTCGCAGAGTTCATGCCCTCGCGGAACCTTCTCGAAGCCGTCGTCTCGCCGTGTCTCCTTTCCGATGAAGCGTTCATGGCCGAGCACGCGGTTCTGGTAAGCGTGTAACTTTGGAATGAGACGTTTTTAGACTAAATTATTAAATTTTATACATTTTTTGCAGTTGATAACATTTTGGCCGAAACATTCGTTCTCGAGATATAATGAGGCTATTCAGCGTATGTTTGTTTTCCGTTTTTTTTACATCGCTGAATTGGATTTTTTGAGGTAAACGGAAAAAAATCATTTTTTTCACAGCCTGAATAACCCCATAAGCCTTCAAAAATAGAACTCTATTGAGCTTATAACTCAAGAACGAAGCATTTTGGAACAAAATTGAACATTTTTGCAGTTGACAGTTTATAACATTTTGAACAAATCAAGGGCACCGAAGCAAAAAATGCAATTTCAGTCGCCACGTCACCGCATCAACACGCTCCGCTTCGCCACACAAACCGACTACCACTACTGGCACGAGCGCGACTGGTTCGTGATGATCGAGTGGGCGAAGACTCTGCCCGTCTTCCAGACCCTTCCCTTTCCGGACAAGGTAGGCGTCAGAGTTGAGCGGAAGAACTCAACGGAAGAACACGGAACAATTTTTATCTGTTTTAGAAAATTTTTTCATGAAATGTGATCAACTGACGAAATGTAGAGCAAAGTGAACTCTGCTCATAGAAAAATAATTGTAAATTTAGCTTTTCATACAAAAAAGTTATTCGAGACGGAAGACGGAAGGACATTTTCACGGAACAACTCGAATAACTTTTTTGTATGAAAAGCTAAATTTACAATTATTTTTCTATGAGCAGAGTTCACTTTGCTCTACATTTCGTCAGTTGATCACATTCCATGAAAAAATTTTCTAAAAAAGATAAAAATTCTTCCGTGTTCTTCCGTTGAGTTCTTCCGCTCAACTCTGGTAGGCGCCACAGAAACCTCTTCAAAAAAGCCGATCGTTTTGTAGCTGGCACTTCTCCGCCACTCGGCCATCACCTACCCATCGCTGGTTCACGTCTTCAACTCGCCGGACCACGGTCTCGACACGATCGTCTTCCCCGACGGCGCCTACTTTGACCGTACGCCCGAACCGACGAGGTACCTACCAACCACACTAGTCGCCTCGCTTTAAACACATTCCGGTTCCACTTCAGACCGCTGGGATTCAACAAAAAAAAGTACCAAATGCTCGATCAGTTGCTCAAACCGATGAGGTCAATGGACATTGACATCACCGAATTCGCCGCCTTCAAAGCCATCTTCTTTCTGAATCCGGATGCCGATGACGTGGATTCGGCGGCGAAAAAGCTGTTGAGCGACGGGCGATCGTCGATCACGAACGCGTTGTACCGGTACATGGTCAAAAAGAAGGGAGCCGAGGACGCCGGAGATCGGTACGCCTCAAAAACCAAGGATAAATTTTCAAAGACAGTTCAGATTCGGTCGTCTGCTCCTGCTTGGCACGGTACTCGCGACGATGGCCGTCGAAATGAAGGAGGCGGTGCTCGTTGCCGACTTTTTCGATCAAATCCAATTCTCCACGTTTGCAAAGCAACTTTTGTTCGGCATCAAAAATGAGCCTCAATAATACGTTGTCCACATTGTCGATAAACCTCCCGAGATAAGTGCCTTATACTCCCCAACTCTCTGGCAATTCGATATTAATCTAATTAGAAAGTTACCGATCTAAACGCGACCTTCTTGGCGCAATCGAGATTTGAGCCAGCAGACGGTTGGCGTGAAACTTGATTTGAGCACTTATTAATCTAGTTAGAAGATTTAATAATCTAGCTAGAAGATTTAATAATCTAGCTAGAAGATTTAATAATCTAGCTAGAAGATTTATTAATCTAGCTAGACAGATTTATTAATCTAGCTAGACAGATTTATTAATCTAGCTAGACAGATTTATTAATCTAGCTAGACAGATTTATTTATCTAGCTAGAAGATTTATTAATCTAGCTAGACAGATTTATTAATCTAGCTAGAAGATCTATTAATCTAGCTAGAAGATCTATTAATCTAGCTAGAAGATTTATTAATCTAGCTAGACAGATTTATTAATCTAGCTAGACAGATTTATTAATCTAACTAGAAAATTAATTAATCTAGCTAGAAGATTAATTAATCTAGCTAGAAGATCTATTAATCTAGCTAGAAGATCTATTAATCTAGCTAGAAGATCTATTAATCTAGCTAGACAGATTTATTAATCTAATTAGGTGTCATATCAATCTTATTAGGCCGCCGTTAGATTAATAACGAAATGCCAGAGCCGTCGCCCAGTTACAGTAATCCTCCCCCTACCGTAATCACTCTGAAATTATCAAATTTTATTGTCCGAAACGGGTCATTTTCTTTCATCAACAGTTACCCTCCCCCCTCTCGTTCAACTCGAACATTGGCCAAAATTATATTGTCTCCGAAGACTACCGTAATCCGAATTCACTGTATTATTCTCGCGCATCTCATTATAAATAGAATTGTTCGTATAATTTTTTTTTCGTCCGAATCTGTTTTCGAATTACCGTGAATGACCAGTGGCGAAAGCTGCACAAACAGACTGTAAAGCAACACCTCACCGGGCAAATATTATCGGATTCCGAGAGCGTCCAGACATTTCCCCGGTATAAAAGCAGCACCGATTCGCATGAAAATCAGCATTATCTTGCTATTTACCTCGAAAAATGCGAACCAACAATATCATTATTGTTTCCACACTAATTCTCGGCTTGCTGGACGCCGCCGCCGTGTTCGACAGAAACTTTACGAAACCCTATGTGCTGAAGAAGACGTGGGTACAGAATTTCATCAAATTCCAGTACATCTTCGAGGGAAAGCAGGGAAAAGCGAAAATTGTGCCGTTGGGTGAGTACACGACGATTTTGAACGAGTATTGTAGAGTTCTACGACATGCGTTGAGTCTGAAAACTTCTGAGCGCTACAGTAGTCTTAGAAGTGGTTGTATCAAAAATTGGTCAACTACAAAAATGAAGCGCCAAACGTGAACTTTATTTCGTCTCTTGACAACTTTTCACGAAAACTTCTCTCAAGGCTACTGTAGCGCGAAACGGAGCAGATTCGTTGAGAATTGACCAAATTGAGGGATTTTGTCGAAAATTACTAAAAAAAAAACAGAGTTTTAACGATTATTTGCCGAATCGAGTTCGGACACTGGCATTCGAACCGTCTCCAGTCGACAAGCAGTTTATTGCGCATCTTTTAAGCGCTCAACCGTCGAAAAATATACAGAATTGATTTCAAAAGCAAAAAAATTCTGTGATTTTCACATAAAACGTTTCGAAATTGATGACGAAGCAGTTAAAATTTAATTTTTTATTCATTTCTAATCATTATCATAAGTTTTGACACTGATTGGTTCTGAAACGACGGGGATAATGCAAAAAAAGGGGAAAATTGAAATGAATGAGAAACTCTGCAACGACGCTCCGGAATTACGCGTTACGCGCCTTGTTTAGCGCACGTGAATTGCGCCGCCAATTTTTTTGGGAAGGCTGGGGTTCCGTGTACTTGAAACCATGAAAATACTTGAAACCTGTTTTGCAGGATGCGCGCCGAACAACGTCGACAGCGAACAATATCTGAAGCCGGGAGAGGAGAGCGTCGAGCACGATTTTCTGTTTTCGTGCGAGCAAGGCGAGGATGGCGTCCTCAATTATGAAGCGATCGCGTGCATCGACGCGTTCGGCGACAAAATGTATCCGGGCGAAACGAGACGACTTTCAAACGGGACTGTAGTCCTCCACTGCAACATTTTCGGCGGCGCACTCAAAAAAGTGGTGGAGAGGGGTAAGCCTAGCGTTTAAGGAGCATTTATGCAACAAATTTTCGTCAGCCGCCGGTTGCTACTTCAACGAGACGATCTACAGCGAGGAGGAGAAGTGGGTGGAGCCGCAGGTGAACCCGAACGACGCGTCGATCGACGGACGTCTCATGCAGTGCTTCCGTCCGCACTACAGCTACTACGAGAGCCACGTTGTCGGCAAGTACCGTATCGCGTTCACACCGCCCTAATCACGAGTACTGTAGGTTGTGTGATCGGCAAACTTGGCGTGCTCGTCGACGAATTCGCGCAGCTCAACAACGGATCCTATGTGAAGTGTGTCGAGACGGAGGCCGGACACGTTTCTCTGAATGCAGCGAGTCTGGACGGTAGGCGACGGTAGTCATCAGGGGTGTGCGGAAAATATTTCCATTTCCGAAATTTTCCGATTTTCCGAGAAATTTTCGGAAAATTTTCCGAAAATGTTCGGCAAAATTTTCGGAAAATTAGTGTGGATTCAAGGTCAATTTGTCCGAAACCACCGTAAGCTTTTTAAAGGCGCATCACAAAATTTTTGCGGAAAATATTTCGATTTTCCGAAATTTTCCGATTTTCCGAGAAATTTTCGGAAAATTTTCCGAAAATGTTCGGCAAAATTTTCGGAAAATTAGTGTGGATTCAAGGTCAATTTGTCCGAAACCACCGTATGCTTTTTAAAGGAGCATCACAAAATTTTTGGAACGGTCTAGCAGCGAGCGTCTTTTTTTAAATTTGATTTTTAAATTTTACGCAATTTCTTTCGCGCGTCTCATTCTCACTGACAATCGGAAAATACTGGACCCGGAGAGCTTCTAATTTTTTTGCAAAAAAATATTCCATTGCTTGGCTTCCGCCCACTCAAGTGATTTCAAATCATAATAAGCATTTTTTTGTATTAGAACGTTGTTTAAACACTTTATTGAACCAATGAACAAGTGAGTTTTCCGATTTTTTTCCGATTTTTTTCCGAAATTTTCCGAAAAATTCGGAAAACCCGATTTTCCGAAATTTTTCCGAAAAAAATTCGGAAAAAAACCGATTTTCCGAAAGTTTCCGAAAAAAATTCGGAAAAAAACCGATTTTCCGAAATTTTTCCGAAAAAAATTCGGAAAAAAACCGATTTTCCGAAATTTTCCGAAAAATTCGGAAAAAAACCGATTTTCCGAAATTTTCCGAAAAAAATTCGGAAAAACCCGATTTTCCGAAATTTTCCGAAAAAAATTCGGAAAACCCGATTTTCCGAAATTTTTCCGAAAAATTCGGAAAAAAACCGATTTTCCGAAATTTTTCCGAAAAAAATTTTTCCGCACACCCCTGGTAGTCATGGTACAAAACAATGACCGACTATACCTAGATTTGTCGTGTAAAATGGACAATATCACACACGAACACGAGAGCAAATGGAGCGACGAGAAGCGGGGAGCGGTGATGCGATGCAATTTCGGACATATTGTCAAGGAGTGTGAGTGGAAGTAGAAGCGAATAATTGCAAAAATTCACAAAAAATGCGTTCAGCCTGTGTCATTGGCAACGAAACTCTGCCGATCGGCCAGGAAGTCGCAGTTTCGCGTGACTGCATCTTTCTGTGCCACCCGCAAACCAACGTCTACATCTGTGATAACCGCTTGGAAGAGTTCAACGTCGTCGAGGGAGACGTTTACGGACCGATTGAGACCCGAATCGACGTGTCGACGGATAAAAGTGTGCAGAAGAAGGAGAAGACGCTGAAATCACTGTTCAAGTTCTAGAAACTGATAATATCTTCTTTGTTTGTTTGTAAATGAATGATCGCGGGAGATTTGTGTTTGTATCTCGAAAACTACAAGTTATTGAAAAAAGTTGTCAACTGCAAAAATGTGCCAAATTTTATGCTGAACATTTTTGTAGTTGACCATTTTATCTGAAAATCCACCGTTCTCAAGTTATGATCATTTTTCTCAACAGTACACTTTATTCATGACGAGACCATTGAATATTATCCGATTCCTAGACTGGATACGGCAGTTGGTCCCAAGGAGTGTGGCTCGGTGTGCAATTCAGTTCATATCCACTCTCCAGATGATGTTTGTGATAAAGAACCTGACATTTTTTGAAATATTTCAAACAAAACATTGTTCTCACTCACATTGACCATATTCGCATAGTAATTCTCGTTGAGCGGATGATCCAGTTGGCCTAGAAATGTGCGATTGTGCAAAAGTTCGGCCACACACTCCACAATCGAATAGTCGAATGTGGGCATCATCTGGAAGAGAAAAAGTTAGGCCATTCGGGAATTCTAGGCCATTGGGAGGCGATTGTGAGGGCTTTTGGCCGTGGAAGAGAAAAAACATGAACATTTTAGGTCACATAGGCTGTGGAAGAGGAAAAGCTAGGCCATTTTCATTCAATGTAGTCTGAAACCTAGTTTCCAGGGCCGTGTCGCAATTCTAGGCCACGAAAGGTGATGGAAGAGGAAAAGTTCGGCCACCGACCTTATTGAACATCAAATTCGGAAAAGCGGCTGCGGTTCGAAAGTCCTCGATTCCGAAAATGCACGACCAATGCCGTCGTTCGCCAGAAGCGCACGGATTCGGACTGAAACGGCTCATTCTGAAAAGTCGCATTCAAATTTAGTTGACGTCTACAGTGTACTCGCTGCTTTTCCGTACTTTGTAATCGCTTCCGTACCACTTCCGCGCTCCAAACATTCGCGCGTGAAATGGCCGGGCATTCCGAGCGCCGAATTCGATTGAAACGTGGCAAACAGCAGTTCGTCGTTACCGTAACCCTAGAAACGGGTGCTGTAGATGAAAATTGGGAATTTGGGTACCATTTGATTCCAATTTTCAATGTAAACGCTCAAATCGACCGTATTCGCCATCCAATCGACGGCCGCACGGGATACAGATGATTCCACGTCACCTTTGCCGAATTTTAACGGCGTTCTCAAAAGTTCCGCGGAGATTGATGATTCTGGAAACGGAAACGATGGTTTGTTTGTCAAAAATTGTCAAATCTACCATTTCTGAAGAGTTTCAGCGATTCGGGATCCCAATTGAATGTGTGCGTCATGTGCAGTCGGTCCGGCGGCGGATCGCGGATCTCAATGTCGTTGGCGCCGTCCATAATCGCGTAGACGGTCTCCAATTCGAAGACCGTCTTCGTGATGACGTCGTGATTCTGAAGGAGCAGCAGATAGTTCCAGCCGTCCCTTTTCAGCACTTCTTTCATGCATCTGTAGTAGGCCACGTTGATGTTGTGTCCTTCCGATGAGTAGCTTTCCGTCACTGAACACAAACATTTGGAAATACACTTTTTTGGCTGTGCTCTCAAGAATTTTGCGGCTGCTTAGACTACAAACTACACCTTTTCGGAGCTGCTTAGACTACAAACTACACCTTTTCGGAGCTGCTTAGACTACAAACTACAGTTTTTGGGTGCTGCTCTCATGAATTTCGGGGCTACGTAGACTACAAACTACACCTTTTCGGAGCTGCTTAGACTACACACTACACTTTTTTTGGCACTGCTTAGACTACAAACTACAGTGAATTTGCGCTGCTCTCATGAATTTCGGGGCTGCGTAGACTACAAACTACACTTTTTTGGTACTGCTTAGACTACAAATTACACCTTTTCGGAGCTGCTTGGACTACAAACTACAGTTTTTGGGTGCTGCTCTCATGAATTTCGGGGCTACGTAGACTACAAACTACACCTTTTCGGAGCTGCTTAGACTACACACTGCACTTTTTTTGGCACTGCTTAGACTACAAACTACAGTGAATTTGCGCTGCTCTCATGAATTTCGGGGCTGCGTAGACTACAAACTACACTTTTTTGGTACTGCTTAGACTACAAATTACACCTTTTCGGAGCTGCTTGGACTACAAACTACAGCGTTTGGGCGCTGCTCTCATGCATTGAGTTTTTCCCGCCTGAATCAGCGCGTGACTCAAAAAAAAAACAAAAACAGTGGTTACCAGGAAGAACGATGATATTTGGGAAGCAACGTGGAAAGTGCTGAATGCGCCGCCGAAACGTCTCGTCGGCCTTCGCGTCGACGGCGAAACAGAAGAGATTGCGTGGGTGAAAGGAGGCGCGCACTTGCATTTCGATGAATTCGTAGTCGCGATAGACGATCCGCGCGAACGCCACGCCGTTTTTCAGCGGCGCCAGTCGATCGGCGCGCGCGGAGATTCGGAGACGGACCGCCGGACAGGACATGTCCAGGGACGGGTCCGGAATGAGGGGAACACGCGACACCGAGGACGTGTACTCCTGGAAATTTGATTGCGTTATGTCAAGTTTCTACATCTTTTCCACTTACTTCCAAGGCTACTGTAGCTCGTGGAAGTTGACAATAGCCAATATTGTATGTGAACTTCCATGAGCTACAGTACCCTGGGCATTGGTTTTACAAATACGTTGTCAACTACAAAAATAAAGCTTACACCTTGTACTACATTTTTTTAGTTGACAACTTTTTTCTACACCCACTCCTAAAGGTACTGTAGCGCTTGGAAGTAGACACTCAATAAATCAATTGCTCTGGTTATGCCTAACTTCCCAGAGCTACAGTAGTAAAAACCCTACTAGATGTCAAGAATTTGATAAAACAATTTTCGAAAACCATAAAACCCTTCAGAACTCTACAATACTCGATTTCCTCACCTTGTCCCCTCTGAGCACTCGTCCACAGTCCACATGCGCCGTTTCGGGCCTTTTCTCATAATAAATCGTGTCCCTGGTCACATTTTCTCGCTCACGTCTTCTGAATTCTTCGATCATTCGCTCATAGATTTCCACTTTTCTTTCCGCCGAAATTGGCGCATTCGGGTCTGAAAAACTAATTTAAAGACATGTTTAAATTACAGAAACATACCATGATCCGGTTTCGGCGACGACGGCTTCAAAAGCAGAAGAACCAATGTCAAGAATAAACAGAGAATTATTAAACGTTTTCGAATCAAATTGATATTCGGCGATTGCAAATTTAGTCGCATTTTCATGGAAAACTAATTTTCCATCGTCGAAAAAAGTGACAAAATGTTCGGAAACCCGTGAAAGTTCCGGTGACCTTTCTCTTTTTTCCAATAAACTGAGTGAGGCAAAACGATTTTTTTTCGTCGTGCACCAACTATAGTTGCCTCTTTTTGATTCTTTTCTCGACGCGAATGTGACTCAACGCCTTTATGTTGTTATTGTATTTTCAAAAGGCTACAACACACTTGGGAGTGGTGTTAGAAGAAAATGATCAATTACAAAAATGAAGTAAAAGACTTGTACTTTATCTTTGTACTTGACAATTTTCTTGTAAAATTAATCCCTGGGGTACTGTAGCTTGTGGAAATTATTTACTCACTTTTTAGGCGCGTCTAACTTCCAAGCGCTACAGTACTCCAACCAGTGGTTGTAGAAAAAAATTGTCAACTACAAAAATGGAGCACAAGACTTGTACTTTAATTTTGTAGTTGACACTTTTTCCCAAAAATCACTTCTAAGAGTACTGTAGTGTACTGTAGATCATGACAGCGTCCAACTGTTGCCAATTATTGCCAATTCCAACTTTCCCGTTGGGTCCCGAAATACAATGCGCTTTTTTTTGGATTAGGGGACAAGAGGGACATTGTGTGTCCATTTTTGATTAAATTTGGCCGCATCGTCTGCAAAATACGTCATGTTTCAGTGTTTGAGAGTGTTTTACCGAAAATAGTAGTCTGAAAATTTGAATAACTTTGCGCTATTGTATTTCTTCGCGTTTTGAGCGGAACTTCAAATGTTTCCAACCACATCGATATGGCCTCAAAACTCGCGGATCTACAATAGATCAAAATTTTGTACGTACCTGACAAAATCATGAGATGATCGATTTGGGACCAAAAGTGTCGCTCTAAAATATGATTCATCAGAAAAAAAGGTTAGACATCAAAAGACGCAAAAGACCCTCTTTTTTAGCGCAAAATGAAAGTGTTCAAGCGTACGCTAAACAAGGAGCCAACGCGGCATTTCGGAGTGTCGTTGCAAAACTATTTATTTCGGATTTTTCAGCAAATTCTCCACAATTGCTGGACAAAACAGACTCAAAAACGCAATAAAATGAATAGAAATCGGGGTGCGACCAATTTTTTATCGTAAAATTCGTGTTTTTGGTGAGATAATAGCGGCCACTAAAAGCGGCGAAAATTAAGAAATCAGAGCGCTTTTTATTCGTCTTTAATATTCATTTTTCAACGGTGAATTTTCAATTTTTTTGTGTACGAAACCGGAAAACAACAATAACAAGAATAAATGGACAGAAATGATCATTGTTTGCAATGACATCGATAGTCAAACTTGACGGGAGTTGTGCAGTCGGCACTCGTTCCGTACGTGTCCGCCCGCAGCACTTGTTCGAATTTGACAATATCCGTGTCTGGGGAATACGTGAATTTTGTCTCGAACATTGCGTAAATCGGCTCCTTCGTCTCAATTATTATATTGTACTTGTCGACGCCGTTAAACTTCAGTTTCAGCACCTGCAAAAAAAGCCAAACTTTTGGGGGCCTATATCTCGAGAGCCAATGAGTTTGTCAAAAAGTTGTCAACTGAAAAAATGTTGAAAATTGCATGCTAAACAACTTTGTAATTGATCATTTTCCTTGAAAACGTTTCATTCCAGAGTTATAGGCTTTTTTCTGAGCACTACTCAAAATTAGCAAGTTTCTAAAGGAAAAATTGCATTGAGGCCTCAAATCCTTCAATAAAAATTGTCTATAAGCTACCTCATGGAGTTCAAACTCATCACACAGCTGCGTCAAATTCGATTCGGCCAATTCTTGATGAACGTGATCGATGAGTCGCTGACCGAACTGCGCTCGCACTGCCTCACTGCAACACTTGAGATTGTCAACAAAACTTCACGTCTGGGAGTGGTTTTTGAAAAAAATTGTCAACAGACAAAATAAAGAGCATGTTTAGTTCTATATTTTTGTAGTTGACAACTTTTTTCCAGCATCACTCTCTGGCTTACTGTAGCTCTTGAAAGTTGGGACCAATTTGAAGATCAAGCCCAAACTTCCACGGGCTACAGTACTCCAGGGAGTGATGATGGAGAAAAGTTGTCAACAGACAAAGTATTGTTTGAAATTAGTAAAATATTTTTGTAATTGACAACTGTTTTCTAGCATCACTCTCTGGAGTACTGTAGCGCTTGGAAGTTGGGGCTAATTTGAAGGTTAAGCTCAAACTTCCACGGGCTACAGTACTTCAGGGAGTGATGATGGAGAAAAGTTGTCAACAGACAAAATATAGTACTATACATGTGCTTTATTTTGTTTGTTGACAACATTTTTGTACCGCCACTCCCCGAGGTACTGTAGCGCTTGAAAGTTGACACTACTCCAGACAGTCGACTCACTCGGTAACCTCGACACTTTCGGTGCGACAAATACAGTACTGCATGGGAATCGGAAGTCGGCCACACGTTCTCGGAGTGTTCGGCTGCGCGCGCACCAAAGAATGTCCCTTCTCGCCGTGCATCGGCAGCCAATCGCGAGCAGTGAAGTTGGCGAGTGGTTGGTACTGAAAAAGAGTGGTCCAGTCGGCGAGTGGACCGCTCGCACACCTTCACAATATCCAAAAGTGTGGCCCTTGTGTCAAAGTGCGTCTGCAATTGCGCCGAATTCGTTCGCATCGTCTCCAGAAGCGACGTCCGATACTTTTTCGGCACCGCAATCGACAGGTACGGATTATCCCGCTCCAGTGCGGCAATTTCGGACAGAAACATCTGAAAAAAGGGGGCGAAATATTGTCGAATTCGCAATATCCGCTCACCGCATTCGTGCCTTTTCGAAATCCATGATCGCCCAAAAAGAAGACAAACGACTCGTCCATCACTTTTTGGTTTTTCTCGAAAAACTCTGCGAGCGCTCCGTCCACCTGTCCGAGTCCGTTGAATGTGTCGTGAGCCGGATGGCTCAACCACATCCACGAGAACTTGGGAACGTCTGTGCCGGCAGGATTACTGTAGCCTCTCAAACATCCGCACTCACTCTCATAGGCGTCCACAAACTGCTCAAAGTGCTCGAGAATCGAATGGTGCAGCTGTCGACACAGGTCTCCTTGCAAATGCTCGCGTGTTTTTGCGGCTCCATAATATTCGTATATTTTCAAAAGATTGACAATATTCAAATCGGCGGGCGGTTTCTCGAATCCACGACAATTGGGGAATTTGTCAAGTGGGTAGATGAGCCAGTCGTCTTGGAGCATTGTCTGAAATTGACAAGCTACAGTACTCCAGGGAGTGATGATAGAGAAAAGTTGTCAACTACAAAATTAAAGTACTAAACATGAGCTTTATTTTGTTAGTTGACAACTTTTTTCCAAAACCACTCCTTAAAGTACTGTAGCTCTTGGAAGTTGGGGCAAGTATAGAGCATACCAATTTCAATGTCCACTTCAAAAAGCTACAGTACTCCAGGGAGTGATGATACAAAAAAGTTGTCAACTACAAAAATAAAGTGCTCAACATGAGCTTTATTTTGTTAGTTGACAATTTTTTTGCACCGCCACTCCCAAGACTACTGTGTAGCTGAGAGTGTACCACGTATCCGTGTTGGGCGTAGTCCTTGAACAAGTGTTGTCTGTCGTCCAACCTCTTTTTGCAGTGTTCCGTCTCATTCCAGTCGGCATTCAGCACTTGGCTTCCTTGTTTATTGTGCATATGAATGTGTTTGCCTTAAATAATCCGCTATTATGAATCGTCATCCATTTTCCACTCACCAAACCAGAGGGCGAACGCGTTCGGCTTCGAATTCTCGCCGATTTTGTTGACGAACGGGAACTCGACGGCCGCGAGACGGTCCCTGAGGATCGAGAGCGTGCGCGGCAGGTCCCGTCTCGCCATTCCCGTACTCATCGAGTCCATCAGAAAGACGAAGACGTTGGGAAGGCTCCGAGTGCGAGCGGTCGTGTTGTTGATTCGTCTGAAAGCGTCGATCGGTTGGGACCAGGGAGCAAAAGAAGAAGAAGAAAAAGAAGAAGAAGAAAAAGAAGAAGAAGAAGAAGAAGAGGAAGAAGAAGAAGAAGAAGAGGGAGAAGAAGAAGAAGAGGAAGAAGAAGAAGAAGAAGAGGAAGAAGAAGAAGAAGAAGAAGAAGAAGAAGAAGAAGAAGAAGAAGAAGAAGAAAACGTGGCGCGCACTTTGGAATGACTTGAGTGTGAATGTATCCGTAGACTTCTTCGGATCCCTCCCAACAAACCGTCTCGAGGAAGTGACAGTCCGTGTTGCCGGGCGGAAACCATCCGGATCTCGATTCAAAGCATCTGCAAAGCGGATATTGTCTTTCTATGCATCGACCGGAAAACCTCGCGGAGCAGTTGGTTCCCTGGCGCTCGTCCGCGATGCCCCATGTTCCGTTGACGAGCCACGTGTAGGGACGGAAGTGCCGATCGCATTGCGGCTCCGAATAATTGCTCCAGTGCTCCAAAATTGTCGGATGCCAAACGTCGTAGACCGGCAGAGCGCACACGTTCATCACATTGTTCGTCGCGTCCACGTGGCCAAAGATTTCACGAATTTCTGCTTTTTCCATTCGGACTCTTCGCCACGACGCCTCGTTCGTATTGTAGACTAAAACGAGAAAGAGCACGAGGCACGGGAGGAGCACAATCAGAAAATTGACATTTTTCCGACTGAAAAAGTGTGCATCGAATCGGTTTTTGATGGAAAACAAACTCACACTAGTTTGAGGCGCATTTTTGAGCGGAAGTCGACGTGGCACTGACGAGACGCGAAGGGGTGAAGGTCGTTGAGGAAAGAAACACGAGCACATTCATGTGCAGGTCACGTACTTACCTTTTTTGTTCATTTTTACTCTCCACACAAAAAGGTCTTTTCTGCAGACAAAAAATGCAAAAGTGTATGTCTCGGCGCTCGCAAAAAGGTGCACAGTTGTGACATGCCACTGGAAAACTTGATTTCGTTTTGAAAAATCGCCGAGCCACGTTGCGAATGTCAGTTTCGAAGTCTGCAAGTGCGCTCTATTGCGAATTATGTTTCTCATTTCAATTTTCCCTTTTTTTTTGCATTATCCCCATCGTTTCAGAACCAATCAGTGTCAAAACTTATGATAATGATTGGAAATGAATAAAAAATAAAGTTTTAACTGCTTCGTCATCAATTTCGAAACGTTTTATGTGAAAATTACAGAATTTTTTTTGCTTTTGGAATCGAAAATTTGCCTCAATTATCTCAATTCTGTATATTTTTCGACGGTTGAGCGCTTAAAAGATGCGCAATAAACTGCTTGTCGACTGGAGACGGTTCGAATGCCAGTGTCCGAACTCGATTCGGCAAATAATCGTTTAAACTTCGTTTTTTTTCAGTATTTTTCGACAAAATCCCTCAATTTGGTCAATTCTGAACGAATCTGCTCCGTTTCGCGCTTAACTCGTTGCTTTTAACTCTGACAATCGCCCTACGGTTCGCAAAGATCAAAATTTGAGTGTTAATTAAGAGAAAAACGAAAGAATTCTGGTTTTTCAATTGAAAAACGAAACTCCGAGCCGACGGTGGATGCAAACGCGCCCCGTTGACAACTCGCTTGCGCATTGCAATGCTGGGGAAGCGCTTCTATGTGATTGTGACTAAAACTGTCGCCCCCTCTGGAATGCTATCGTCATAAACTGTAATTCCTTTCTTTCCCCTTCCCAATTCTGGTGTTCCCCTCTTTTTACCGGTGTTCCCTTCTTTTTTTTTCCTGCGATGAATAAATGAATAAATGAATAAATGAATTGAATTGAATTAAATTGAATTTGCCACCTCATTCACGTGAAAATGACGTGGCGGAAGTTCCGGGGGATGGCACCACCACAAAAAGCGAATAGCTGAAAAAGTGCGAATCGAATGTCGAGACTTACCATCCGATACGGTATTCTCATCGCGTGTCTTCTTTCCTGTCTTCTCACAATAATAGTCAACCGAATCAGTGCAATTGTGAGTGGATTCGAGAACAAATGATGATTGCGCGGTAACAGAATTCGAAACCGACAATATCGGATTGTCGGAACGCGTCGAGCATTCGAACCGAAACGTATGAGGCGGAGTTTTGCATCGCTTTCAACTTTTTGGAAGCCACTGAATCGTGAGTCACACATACACGAAAGCTATGCGTTTCTGAAGAGAGAACTTCAAATCCGCGCACGGCGCGGCTTTCGCAACATACGCAGCCAAATGGTATGCATTTTTGCGCATCGGTGTGGCTCTGCGTACAGTGCATTTTATGTTACGCGCAAAGTTCGTTTTTTTTTAGTTGTTGATGAATTTTCTCCAAATATTCATCTCTTTAAAGCGTTTTTCTCCACTTTCTACCTCAATTAGACCTTTTTACAGATTCCAGATGAAGTAATACGCGAAGAGGAGTCGATGCGATGAAAAGAAACGCGTAAGTAAGCGAAAGTAAGGTTTTGTTCAGAAAATATACGATTTCTCGAAAAACGTCTCTAGATTTACTAATCTTTTGATTTAAAAAGTTCACTAACATGACTGTGAATGTCTTCGAATCAAAAAAAAGTAGAGTGACAGCTCGATTTCGCGTAAAAATTGGTCTTTTGCCGGAAAACAGTGACATTTCGTTGAAAAAAAAAATTTTCTCAAAAACCGTCTCTAGATTTTCGAATTTTTTTGTTTAAATAGTTCACTTACATGACTGTGAACGTTTTCGAACTAAAAAAAAGAAGAGTGACAGTTCGTAGAAGCAAAAAAAAATTTTTTCAACGAAATTTCACTGTCTTCCGGCAAACTATCGGTTTTTTCGCGAAATCGAGCTGTCACTCTACTTCTTTTTGGTTCGAAAACATTCTCAGTAATGTAAGGAAAGTTTTTCAACCAAAAGATTAGAAAATCTAGTCACGTTTTTCGAGAAATCGTGCATTTTCTGAATAAAACCTTACTTTCACTTACTTACGCGTTTCTTTTCATCGCATCGACTTCTCTTCGCGTATTACTTCACCTCGAATCTGTAAAAAGGTCTAATTGAGGTAGAAAGTGGAGAAAAACGCTTTAAGAAGATGAATATTTGGAGAAAATGCATCACCAACTAAAAAAAAGAACTTTGCGCGTAACATAAAATGCACTGTACGCAGAGCAACACCGGCGTGCAAAAATGCACAGACTGAGGATCAAACGTTTGGTGAACGTCGCAAAAGCCGCGCCGTGTCCGATTTCCAGATTTCGCGGGCCAGACGGTCTCGAACCGATCACACTGGCGGTGCACTCGACGTCGGACGCGATGAGAACGGCGGAAAAGAAGGCGTCCGAGTGGGACGGACCCATCTCGTGGGCACTCTTCATCGACGGCCACTCGCTCGAAAGTGTCGAGTACGTGGCAAATGTGCATCGGTGCGTGCCAGAGTTCCGCCGGAAAGTGCGTGTTGCACCATGCAACTATTATGCAACTCTTTGCAGGTAACCGTACACTTTGCCTTCCGACTCTCCCCATTCCAAGCACAGTGTCCGACTGTCGAACGACCGGGGACCGTGCCGGACTGCCAGGAGTTTTTGCAAAATCGTGCGCCGCGTGGCAATGCTCAAAATGAACCGTTTTTCAGGAGGCAAACTGCGGAACTCGCTGATCGGTCCATTCCAAGTCTACCCGATCAATGCGATGCGGAACGTGGCGAGACTCGGCGCCAAGTCCGATTTGCACTTTCTCGCCGACGTCGACATGGTGCCAAGCGGTGGAATGGCCGAGAAAGTGAAGAGAATCGCGAACGAGGTGATCGACGGGAACGCGAGAAATGTGCTAGTTGTTCGGTATAGCTCCCTCCCCCAGGAAACCGTTACTTTAAAAAAAACACGTACTTGCAGACGTTTCGAGAGCCAAGGCTCGGAAATTCCAAGAGATTTGCAACAATTAAAGTCGATGTTCGAGCGGAAAAAGTTTGTTTTTAGGCGGAAATTTTTTTGTATGTCTTGAATGCAGAGTCTTTGAATTCCATCACAAATTCTTCTTTGTCGGCCATCGAATCCCGGACATTGGTCATTGGTTCAACGTTTCATCACATGGAGTCGCTTCCTGGCCAATTCCATATCAGTAAGTACCAGAATTGAGCGGAAGAACTCAACGGAAGAATTTTTATCGTTTTTTGAAAATTTTTCAAAGGTGGAGTCCAACGTGACATACAACATATTTTTAAAATAAACTTCGAAGTGGGGCATTCACTTTCCCAAAGTCCCGAATTAGGAAAAAAATTCCCCGATTTTTAAGATTTTTTTCAAAAAAGTTAATGGTACCGAGAGAAGTAGACGGCGAAATGGAAGAGCTGGCCTAAATTTTTCTAGTCCCCGGATGGAATTCCCTTTTTTTCCGCTTTTTTTCCGTTTTAGTGCAATTTTCTTAAATTTTCAATCGTTTTTTCACTGAAAACATTAATTTGATCGCTCAATCATTTCCTGAGTCTTAATTAAAGTTTGCGAGTTACGCAAAGTTATATTTTTCAAAGTAATGCGAAAAATCCAAAACTTTCTATTTTCAGTTTTACAAAAAGTGGCTGAATTTCTGAATTTTGCTGAATTTTGAAAGTTTAAGATTATCGATTTTTTTGGCGTCACGGCACAGAAAAAATCATAAATTTTTTTTCAAATATTGCAAATAAATGTGTTCAGTGAAAAAACGATTGAAAATTTGAGAAATTTGCACGAAAACGGACACAAAATCGGAAAAAAGGGGAAATCCATCCGGGGACTAGAAGAATCTAGGCCAGCTCTTCCATTTCGCCGTCTACTTCTCTCGGTACCATTAACTTTTTTGAAAAAAATCTTAAAAATCGGGGAATTTTTTTTTCGTAATTCGGGACTTTGGGAAATCGAATGCCCCACTTCGAAGTTTATTTTAAAAATATGTTGTATGTCACGTTGGACACCACCTTTAATGGAATGTGATCAACTGACGAAATGTATAGAAAAGTGAACTCTGCTCATAGAAAAATAATTGTAAATTTAGCTTTTTTTTATAACTTTTTTGTATGAAAAGCTAAATTTACAATTATTTTTCTATGAGCACAGTTCATTTTGCTATACATTTCGTCAGTTGATCACATTTCATGAAAAAATTTTCTAAAAAAGATAAAAAATTCTTTCGTGTTCTTTCGTTGAGTTCTTCCGCTCAACTGTTCCCTCAAAGATCGAGTGCGTGGGAGGTGCAAGTGATATTGCACCGTCGTGCTCCGTACAATGCCGTCTATTTTCCGTCGCGCATCCGAGACATGCAGTCGTTGATTTACGAGCTTTGCCGGGCCGAGTACACTTTCCATTTGGTGGCGAATGTGTTCAATGTGCACGAGGGCGTCAAAACGAACGATTCAATGTACTCGCAAGTGGTGACCCGACATCAGAGGGCCTACGGAACACGGTGCGGCGAATTGAAGTCGGAACATCGAGTAGATTTGTGTTGCAGGGCGTACAAACGGTACGTGCAAGAGATGGACGATCGGTATCCGAGCACTCGGGACCAATGTGGATCGTTCAACATGTAATTGCTCTCAATTATCGATTGATTGTGTCCTTTTGTTTATCAATTATCCGAATAGTTGCTTTAATTTACTTGTTCCACTTTACTACTCTACTCTACTTTTTTCCTTGTATTTCTAACTTTTTTTTCATTGTTTCCGTCTACAAATGATTGTTTTCCTTTTCCTCGTTTATGCTCTCATTGCAACTTCTCAAAAATTGACAATATCGGAAAATGAGAAAGTGTTTCAAAGATGTGGCCTTGATTTTGTTGAGAGTAAGCGCATTAAATGCAATGTATCTCAGCTGTCGGTTGAGATGGAAAAAAGTGGTCAACTGGAAAAATGTACAGAATTTCTTAAGGAGTATTTTATCAGTTGACAACTTTTTGATAGCTTTATCGGCAGCCGAGATGTATCGTTTTGAATACACTTTTTTGCAGCCAAAGTTCTGGACGGAGAGGACCGGAAAGACTATGCTCCGTGGACTTTGATGGTCTCGCGGGCCGGCACTGAAAATCATCGAAATAGTGCGTTTTCGATCTCTCCGCGGCACGCAATTAGCGATTTTCGAGTGATTCTCACGCCCGAGTTCGAATTTGAAGCGAATCGAGTGAAAATGAATGGGCGCACGTGTGTAGATGGGTACGTTTCAGAGTTGAGCGGAAGAACTCAACGCAAGAATTTTTATCTTTTTTAGAAAATTTTTTCATGAAATGTGATCAACTGACAAAATGTAGAGCAAAGTGAACTGTGCTCATAGAAAAATAATTGTAAATTTAGCTTTTCATACAAAAAAGTTATTCGAGTTGTTCCGTGAAAATGTCCTTCCGTCTTCCGTCTCGAATAACTTTTTTGTATGAGCAGCTAAATTTACAAATATTTTTCTATGAGCACAGTTCACTTTGCTCTACATTTCGTCAGTTGATCACATTCTATTAAATTTAAATTTTTTAAATTCAGAAATTCAGCCACTTTTTGTAAAACTGAAAAAACGAAGTTTTGGATTTTTCGCATTACTTTGAAAAATAGAACTTTCTGTAACTCGCAAACTTTAACTTAGACTCAGGAAATGATTGAGCGATCTCTTTCTATTTATTTATTATATTATATCGCAAACCGAAGATTGAGCGAAAAACCCCGGAAAAACAAAAAAAAAGTTTCAGATTATCGAGTTTTTTGGCGTCACGGCACAGATAAAATCATAAATTTTTTTTAAATATTGCAAATAAGTGTGTTCAGTGAAAAAATGATTGAAAATTTAAGAAAATTGCACGAAAACGGACACAAAATCGGAAAAAAAGGGAATTCCATCCGGGGACTAGAAGAATCTAGGCCAGCTCTTCCATTTCGCCGTCTTCTTCTCCCGGTACCATTAACTTTTTTGAAAAAAATCTTAAAAATCTGGGAATTTTTTTCGTAATTCAGGACTTTGGGAAAGTGAATGCCCCACTTCGAAGTTTATTTTAAAAATATGTTGTATGTCACGTTGGACACCACCTTTGAAAAATTTTCTAAAAAAGATAAAATTTCTTCCGTAGTTTCTTCTCGAACTAGACTTGAGTCACCTTGACAATTTATCGATTAATGCGATGCACTTTGAGTGTGGCCGAGATTCCGTCAGAATTGGCCCAACAGATGATATTTTCGGATTGTGTGACGAGTGGAAATTGCACAAATGGAGCGGAGCATCGAGCCAAAAGGGTCTGGTACGTGGGCAATTGCAATCAGAGCGAACAGGCGTACGGGATCCTGCTGGCTGAGGTCGGGACGCCGTTCGGCTGGCAAGTCGGCTACGCTTGCCTACCCGGTAACAACGCATTTTTGTGGTCCCTTGACCGATGGATGCGACGTTACAGACGTGAACATGGCCGACGTGGGCGCCGGGCTCCGGCTCGACGGCATCGGAGCCCGTCGCGAGAATGTCACGGGCGAGCGCGACGTGAACGGCGCCAAAGTGACCGTCATCGAATGCGCCGCGAACACGACGCACTTTAATTGGACCGTGTGCACGCGCGGCGTTGTGTGCGACGGGGATTTTGGCGCCAATCTGGCAGCCGTACAAATGGATCGATCCTACGCGGCGGCGGTCGCAGTTTTCACGCAACCAGAAGCGCCGTGTGACGAGGAGCACACGAGTAGACACGTGAAAATTGACGAGTTTATCGACGAAATCTGCAAACTTTCGGGCGTTTGTCCGTTGTCGCGAGCCGACTACAAAGAACGCTATCCGATCAAGGATCCGATTGGGACCACTCATGATGCGGACCCGATGACGAGGTCTGCAAAAACTGTCATGACCGCCTTCTTCTACGCACTCCTTGTCGTATTTTCTTGAAATAATCGGATGGAGTTTCAATTTTCAAATCAATTATCAGAATATTCATTCAATTGTGTTGTCTTTTGAAATAAAAGTGTCTTCACTTCAAGTATTGTCTAGAAAAACGTCTATAACTCTAAAATTAAACGTTTTCAGAGAAAATGATCAATCACAAAGTTGTTTAGCACACGATTTCCAACATTTTTACAGTTGCCAACTTTTTGCAAAATTCATTGGCACTCAAGATGCACGCCCCCAAAGTGAGAACTCTATTTCACGTGACATTCGTTCGCGTCGACAAGTACAATATAGTTGACCTTTGGCGCAAACGTGTCAAGTGAAAAACATTTCAAAGTCTGCAAAAAAAAAATGTTTGAAAAAGTGTGAGTTTGTCCCAAAAATTCCATCGCAAAAAAATGGTGTTCAGTCTGAAAAATGTCAATTTTCTGATTGTGCTCCTCCCGTGCCTCGTGCTCTTTCTCGTTTTTGTCTACAATACGAACGAGACGTCGTGGCGAAGAGTCCGAATGGAAAAAGCAGGAAGTAGTGGAATATTTGGCCACGTGGACGCGACGAACAATGTGATGAACGTGTGCGCTCTGCCGGTCTACGACGTTTGGCATCCGACAATATTGGAGCACTGGAGCAATTATTCGGAGCCGCAATGCGATCGGCACTTCCGTCCCTACACGTGGCTCGTCAACGGAACATGGGGCATCGCGGACGAGCGCCAGGGAACCAACTGCTCCGCGAGGTTTTCCGGTCGATGCATAGAAAGACAATATCCGCTTTGCAGATGCTTTGAATCGAGATCCGGATGGTTTCCGCCCGGCAACACGGACTGTCACTTCCTCGAGACGGTTTGTTGGGAGGGATCCGAAGAAGTCTACGGATACATTCACACTCAAGTCATTCCAAAGTGCGCGCCACGTTTTCTTCTTCTTCTTCTTCTTCTTCTTCCTCTTCTTCTTCTTCTTCCTCTTCCTCTTCTTCTTCTTCTTCCTCTTCCTCTTCTTCTTCTTCTTCCTCTTCTTCTTCTTCGTCTTCTTCTTCTTCTTTTTCCTCTTCTTCTTCTTCTTCTTCTTCTTCTTCTTCTTCTTCTTCTTCTTCTTCTTCTTCTTCTTCTTCTTCTTCTTCTTCTTCTTCTTCTTCCTCTTCTTCTTCTTCTTCTTCTTCTTCTTCTTCTTCTTCTTCTTCTTCTTCTTCTTCTTCTTCTTCTTCTTCTTCTTCTTCTTCTTCTTCTTCTTCTTCTTTTGCTCCCTGGTCCCAACCGATCGACGCTTTCAGACGAATCAACAACACGACGGCTCGCACTCGGAGCCTTCCCAACGTCTTCGTCTTTCTGATGGACTCGATGAGCACGGGAATGGCGAGACGGGACCTGCCGCGGACGCTCTCGATCCTCAGGGACCGTCTCGACGCCGTCGAGTTCCCGTTCGTCAACAAAGTCGGCGAGAATTCGAAGCCGAACGCGTTCGCCATCTGGTTTGGTGAGTGGAAAATGGAAGGCGAAAAAAATGCGCCGCACGGTGTCTATGAGTTTTTAGGTAAATTCGATAGAAATTATCGAAAATTCGGACACGAAGTGCTGGCTGGCAACTCATCCGAGTTTTACGGTGGAGCCGATCTGAACGAGGGCGGACACATTTTCAAAGATTTCAGGCAACACGGATATGTGGTTTGTCGACGAGTTTGCGCAGAGTTTTGCGATGAAACCACGTTGCAGACTGCGTACCAGGACGACTGGATGGACTTCCGCGCCGACGCCGGCTTCAAAACGTCGCCAGTCGATGTGGAGATGGGACCGTTTCAGATTATCTACGAACAAGAAGGACTGAACGTGACTAGGACGCATTTGAACGGAACGCATTGTCGTGATGTTCATCACGCACATCTCGATCACTTTGAACAGTTTCTCGACGCTTACAAAGGTTTCCGACTTTCGACTTCCGACTTCCGACTTCCGACAATTTGTTCAGACGTTCCCAAGTTCTCGTGGATGTGGTTAAACCGTCCCACTCACGACACATTCTACGGACTCGGACAGGTGGACGGAGCGCTCGCAGAGTTTTTCGAGAAAAACCAAAAAGTGATGGACGAGTCGTTTGTCTTCTTTTTGGGCGATCATGGATTCCGAATGAACCCCTATGTAAGAACGTTTGTTTATCCGCGGAATTCCGACTTCCGACTTCCGACTTCCGACTTCCGCAGGTCACCCGAACGGAAATCGGCGCGTTTGAGATCAGTAATCCGTACCTGTCGATTGCGGTGCCGAAAAAGTATCGGACGTCGCTTCTGGAGACGATGCGAACGAATTCGGCGCAATTGCAGACGCACTTTGACACAAGGTCCACACTTTTGGATATTGTGAAGGTGTGCGAGCGGTCCACTCGCCGACTGGACCACTCTTTTTCAGTACCAACCACTCGCCAACTTCACTGCTCGCGATTGGCTTCCGATGCACGGCGAGAAGGGACATTCTTTGGTGCGCGCGCAGCCGAACACTTCGAGAACGTGTGGCCGACTTCCGATTCCCATGCAGTACTGTATTTGTCGCACCGAAAGTGTCGAGGTTACCGAGTGAGTTCACACTGTCAACTTTCAAGCGCTACAGTACCTCGGGGAGTGGCGGTACAAAAATGTTGTCAACAAACAAAATAAAGCACATGTCTAGTACTATATTTTGTCTGTTGACAACTTTTCTCCATCATCACTGCCTGGAGTACTGTAGCCCGTGGAAGTTTGAGCTTAATCTTCAAATTAGCCCCAACTTCCCAGAGCTACAGAACGCCAGAGAGTGATGCTAGAAAAAAATTGTCAATTACAAAAATATTTTACTAATTTTAAACAATATTTTGTCTGTTGACAACTTTTCTCTATCATCCCTCCCTGGAGTACTGTAGCCCGTGGAAGTTTGGGGCTCAAACTGTTGGCCTCAAGTCGCAAATTCTTGGAATTTTTTCCAGTCAAACTATAAAAGCACGTTTCGCACAACGACTAATTGATCGTGTTCATCAAATTCTTGCGGATTCCAATCTTACATCCATGTGCGAGCCATTTACATTCGACGAGGTTTCGTTGAAAAAAAAAATATCGCAATTCTCCACATTTCAGGAGAAGGTCGAATTGCACGACCACGGCGTGATCGACGGTCTGCGAACGTACCAAATTCAACTTTGGACGAACGAACCGATGAACGTGAATCTGGAGACGGTTTTTACGCACTCCGCCGCGACGGATATTATCGAATTCGAACAGATCGGACGGCTCGACGAGTACGGAACAACGGCCGATTGCACGAGACATGCTCGGTTTAATCCTTTGTGTTATTGCAAAAAATGAAGAGGAATGCCGACTTCGAAGACGAATGGTTGTATCAAAAAGTGGTCAACTACAAAAATAGAGTACATAGTGTGAACTTTATTTTTGTAGTTTGCACTTTTCCGATACGACCAGTCTCTGGATTACTGTAGCTCTTGGAACTTGGCGCTTCTCGAATTGCCACATATTTCTTTTGATGTCCACGAATCAAAGTACAACAAGTCACGGCGCGGCTTTTGCGACGTTCACCAAACGTTTGATCCTCAGTCTGTGCATTTTGACACGCCGGTGTTGCTCTGCGTACAGTGCATTTTATGTTACGCGCAAAGTTCTTTTTTTTTAGTTTTTGATGAATTTTCTCCAAATATTCATCTCTTTAAAGCGTTTTTCTCCACTTTCTAACGCAATTATACCTTTTTACAGATTCCAGGTGAAGTAATACGCGAAGAGAAGTCGATGCGATGAAAAGAAACGCGTAAGTAAGTGAAAGTAAGGTTTTATTCAGAAAATGCACGATTTCTCGAAAAACGTGTCTAGATTTTCTAATCTTTTGGTTAAAAAACTTTACTTACATTTCTGAGAATGTTTTGGAACCAAAAAGAAGTAGAGTGAAAGCTCGATTTCGCGGAAAAACCGATAGTTTGCCGGAAGACAGTGAAATTTCGTTTAAAAAAATTTTTTTTTTGCTTCTATGAACTGTCACTTTAATTTTTTTTGGTTCGAAAACATTCACAGTCATGTAAGTGAACTATTTAAACAAAAAAAGTAGAACATCTAGAGACATTTTTTGAGAAAACATTTTTTTTCAACGAAATGTCACTGTATTCCGGCAAAAAACCAATTTTTACGCGAAAGCGAGCTGTCACTACTTTTTTTTTATTCGAAGACATTCACAGTCATGTTAGTGAACATTTTTAATCAAAAGAATAGAAGATTTAGAGACGTTTTTCGAGAAATCGTATATTTTCTGAATAAAACATTACTTCCATTTACTTACGCGTTTCTTTTCATCGCATCGACTTCTTTTCGCGTATTACTTCATCTGGAATCTGTAAAAAGGTCTAATTAAGGTAGAAAGCAGAGAAACACGCTTTAAAGAGATGAATATTTGGAGAAAATCCATCAACAACTAAAAAAAATGACTTTTGCGCGTAACATAAAATGCACTGTACGCAGAGCCACACCGGCGCGCAAAAATGCATACCATTTTGCTGCGTATGTTGCGAAAGCCGCGCCGTGAAGTGTATTGTCAACAACAATACAAAGTTTATAAAGTGTCGCCGAGCGAGGGCAGAACGGTCCACGTCGGCACGTAATCGAAGATTCTGGAGCGGTCGGCGACGAGAAAGACACGGACGCCGTTCTTGAAGCACGTGACGGTGCCTGCGTAGGCGGTCCTCGGCACGCCCGCCTTGAAGTCGCCCATGATGCCGAGTTGGGCGGCCTTCTCGACAAAGTCCACGTTTCCGGTGTAGTGCACTCTGGAATCGCACGTCTATATCTCGAGAACTAACGATTGTATCGAAAAGTGGTCGACTGGAAAAATGTTGCAAATTTTGTGCTCAACAACTTTGCAGTTGATCATTTTGACGCAAAATGTCGCATTTGAAAGTTATGACCAATTGTTCGCACCTCACACTTTTTCCCGCGTTTTCTGGCATTGAAATGAAGTGCATCGCCTGCTGCATGCTCATTTCGACGGCTTCTTCCATCACTTTTCTCTGCATTCGTTGCTTGAACTTGTTCTATAACAGTTTTTTCGTTTATAAATTGGTTTATCGAAGAAACACGCACCGGCAACAAATAATCGAGATTGACGCGCGAAAAGTCCGTGCTCTTCTCGTTCAGCCACACTTTTGTCAGGTGATTCGAGAAGAATTGGCCGCTGAAATGGGTTAGATGGGTTATTTATAAGTTTATCCATAAATTTATCGATAAATAAACCTGCTGGCGCCGTGCCGCCCGTGCGCACTCATTCCGCTCCGACTGACTTCCGGCCGCACGCACTGGCGGCCTTTCCGACGCTCCGGATCGCGCATCCAGTCGTCCCAGAACGCCGCCGGCCAAATCGGACCGAGTTCTTGCCACGTTTTGCTGAAAATAGTTGCATTTTTCAGAAAAATTGGCAAGAGACACCTCGTTATCATCCATCCGAGGCCGGACATGAAATCGGTTCGGTAGAGAGTTGCACTCGCGTTTCGATCGATATTCTCTGGCTGTAGACGTCTTGTATCAAAAAGTTGTCAATTACAAAATTGAAGATCCAGATGTGAACAATATTTTGTCAATTGACAACTTTTCTGCACAAACTCTCCCAAGGGTACTGTAGCTCTTCGAAGTTGGCGTTAAAACGCCTAGCCAATTAACTAGCCCAAACTTCCGGTAGCTACAGTACTCTTGCGAGTGGTCGTATCAAAAAGTTGTCAACTACAAAAATAAAGGACCAAATGTGTGCTTTATTTGTGTAGTTGATCACTTTTTTGTACGACCACTCCCTGGACTACTGTAGCTCTCCGAATAGAACCAACCTGTCCATTGTCGTTCCAGGCACTCACACACCACAAAGTCGGATCGACGTCCAGCAAATGGCGAGTGTTTGAGAAGTAGGAGAAAAAATCGGGCGCAATGTCGAGGTCATCTGGATTTGCAAAAATATCCTTAAAAAAAGAGAAAAAAACCGCGGAAACCTTCCGTAATAATGACCGACGAAAAGTGTTTCTCGTTGAAAACATAGTCGAGCGCCAGTTTATAATGACGTGAAATCATGTAATACGTGGCAAAACGCTCGTGTCCCGATCCAATTGAAACGTTCGTTTTTCGGCCCGAAACGTGCTGAAAACAAGCGAAATGCTCGGAAATCTCTCGTGAAACGTACCTTGACGTATTCCACTTGATCTCCAAATTTTTGCACCTCCTCTCGCACTCGCTCATCGTCACATTCTTGCGTGACTATTATCGGAAACTGTCTCTTGTCGGGCCGCCGATATTCGACGAGTTTCCAGAGGTGGTCCCTGACCGCCCACGGACGGTCGCACGCGAAAACGAGCACGGGAATCGGAGGCGGCCGCCGTTTCTCGACGAGCTCGTGCACTCGTTTTCCCGCTCTCCGATTATTTTCCATCACTACTTCGAGCCGCTTCACTTTTTCCGTCAAAGCGGCCAACTCGTCAGAGTCCTGTAAATTCGTTGACAAGTTTTCCGGAAACGTTGCCGCTTCACTCACCTGTTCTGGAAAACGCGAAGAGAAAATGAGAAGAGATGAAAATGAGATGAATAAAACCATGAAAATCAGCGACACTTTTCGCATTTCGATTTAAACTTTCATCAATTCTTGAAATGAGAGTTGGGAGCGAAAAACTAGAAACGTGAAAAACGAAAAATAAATAAATCGCGTCATGTCGGAAGCCTTCCCAATAAAAAATTCGCTTGGCGGCGCAATTCACGTGCGCTAAACAAGGCGCGTACGCGTAATTCCGGAGCGTCGTTGTAGATTTTGTCATTCATTTCAATTTTCCCTTTTTTTTGCATTATCCCCATCGTTTCAGAACCAATCAGTGTCAAAACTTATGATAACGATTAGAAATGAATAAAAAATGAAATTTTAACTGCTTCGTCATCAATTTCGAAACGTTTTATGTGAAAATTACAGAATTGTTTCTTTTCGGAATCGAAAATTTGCCTCAATTATCTCAATTCTGTATATTTTTCGACGGTTGAGCGCTTAAAAGATGCGCAATAAACTGCTTGTTGACTGGAGACGGTTCGAATGCCAGTGTCCGAACTCAATTCGGCAAAAAATCGATAAAACTCTGTTTTTTTTCAGTATTTTTCGACAAAATCCCTCAATTTGGTCAATTCTCAACGAATCTGCTCCGTTTCGCGCTTAAATCGATGTTTTTAACTCTGACAATCGCCCCACGGTTCGCAAAGAACAAAATTTGAGTGTTGATTAAGAGAAAAACGAAAAAATTCTGGTTTTCAATTGAAAAAGGAAACTCCGAGTAACTCGCTTGCGCATTGGAATGCTGGGGAAGCGCTTCTATGTGATTGTGACTAAAACCTGTTCATTTCTTTCATTCTCTCAACCGCATCGCCTTTATTGACAAGAAACGATTCAAAACTTCATCAAAACTGTCGTCTTTTTGAGCACTCCGTTCTCGATCATTTTGCGGTAGACGTAGCAACGATTGATGAGGACGAATTGAAGGATGCCCACTGGAAAAAGCACTGAATCAACTTCAAAAACTTCGCAAATGTTCGATTCAAAACTCACAAAACACCGAAATGGTGCTGAAAATTTCGACGGAATAGCCGGTGACAAGGCCCAAAATGAATCGGTCTTCCTCTCGACTTTTCGCGCCGAAAATGATCGGAAATATCGGGTAGGTATCGTTGGATTCGTATCCGGACGCCGTCTGACTCGCAAAGTACACCGGGCTGACTAGAATTGTGCCAAAGTCGAACGTGAGATGGATTAGCTGAATTTCGTGCCGATTTTCGGATTCAGGATGGAAAATGTCGCAAAAGTATGACAATATGGGTATCAAAATTTTGCAAATCTCACGGAGATCCTGGAAAAAGCGGATAAAAACGTACAGAAATGTACATGGCGACCTTGAGCAGTCTCGGCCGATTCTTGACGACGCCCCACAGGAGAACGAGCTCGAGAAGGCCGGAAATGGCGCCGGTGGCTCGTGTCACGTGATCGTCGTTGGCCAGCACTTGCCAAATGCACACGAAGAATCCCATTAGCGAGAAAAGTATTATAACTGATCGCGCTTTGAAGCAACACACTTTTGGCTGCAATTTTAGCGGTTAATTTGTAATTTTTTTTTATTAATTAATAATTTTTTTTTTTTGGCGGTTAATTTGTAATTTTTTTTATTTTTGGCGGTTAATTTGTAATTTTTTTAAATTTTTTGGATTTTTTGTGCTTACCGGACCTCCATAAGTCATTTTTAGTTGAAAACGGGCGAGAGGGGCCAGAATTGATTGTTTTCGGGTCGGTTACCGGCGGCTAACCGGTTATCCGCCGACACGGATTTGTCTTTTACATCCCCTTTCTCTTTTTTTTCACAAAAACGAGAGAGATACAAATCGAAATATTGTCGGTTTCAGCGGAAAATTTGAAGATTGGAGTCGAAATTTCCCGTTTTTTTGAGTGTTGTGACATTTTTCGAGCTCCGGGTCCAATTGTCTTCGCTTTTCGTGTTGTATTTGTATGCCTCATCTTCTCCGGAGCCCCGTTCTTCTGGAAAAATAGTTATCGTGAGTTTTGGGCTCGGCGAGCCCATTTTCAACTTCGTCTAAACCACGTCAAATAGGAAGCGTCTAGACTCGTGTCAGAGCAATAATTCATTCGATAAAGACGGGGAGAAAAGAGGTGGTTCGGGGGACCGGACAAATGAAAAAAAAAGAAGAAAACAAGAGTGAGCTGAAGAGAAAAAAGAACGAGTTTGCGTGTTTATGTGTGTGTGTGAGGGAAAAATCGATTTTCACAGAAAATCTTTAAGAAAAAAACTGGGGGAGGAGAAGCGTGGAGAGACCCGTTTTCTTGATTATTTTCTCTTGAAATTCGTGTCCAAAAGTCGCCAATTGCAGAGGAAATTCCAATAATTCAGCAGTCTCGCGAGTAGGAGAACTCTGCGCCGGCGCTCTCCGACAGTTCGTCCATCGACGTTCTTCTTGACGTATAATATTCGTACGGCGTCTCTTCCTCTTCCGCTGCCACGTGCATTTTCGTGCGCACAAACAGGTGCGCCCATTCTTCGTATTCACGATCCACGTCGCCGAGGTTCTGCAATTTGATTTTCTCAAAATTCCTTTTCAAATTAACTGTTTCATCAAAGGACGAGGGGGAACTCTGGTTGTGGCCTAGAAAACTCAGGCGTGAAAACTCTTCCCTGTTAGCAATCTGCTAATTCGTGTGAATGCTTCGCAACGTTCGAGGATTGTACGAACGCAAAAAACGTTCCATGGCCTAGGAGTTTTCCAGGCCACGGCCATAACTTTGAGAGTTGGGACTCGGACAGTGTGTGTGGCAATAAGAGGCAATTCAGACGGACTCCGAGGGTTCCCTGGTTTAAAAAAAAGAAACGTACAACCATCCACTCGTCGCGTAGCAACTCGCCGGCCGAATACCGGTGGAATGGATCCGTGTGGATCAGGCACATGATGAGATGACGGACCGACCACGAGATCTGCAAAAGGGGACTTTCAAAACAAAACAAAAAAGAAGATATTATGTCTGAATTAAAGGACGTCTCTAGTATTCATTTTTCATCAAATCTTAACAAAACATCATCTTCACCAGAGGCGTCCTTTAAAGAAATAGATAAAAACGGCGACGCACATCGTCCCAACTGGGCGAGGGGAAGCAGAATTCTCCGCTCTGAATGGCGCTGAACAAGTCCTGCTCGGAGCCGTCGGCGCTTTGGAAGGGCGGAAATCCGACGAGGATGGCGTAGAGAATGACGCCGGCCGCCCAAATGTCCACTTTGCAGCCGTATCCCGTCTTGTTCAGCACTTCCGGCGCCACGTACGTCGGCGTTCCGCAGATCGTCGTCAGCACTCCAAAGTCTGACGGCATCTCGGCCGCCAGCCCAAAATCCGCCAGTTTCACTCCGAGCTCGCCGAACTCGTCTTTTACTATCTGCAAAATATAGAAGGGTTTTTCTCCTCAGAGATGGCGAGGAATTTCGACTAGTGCGAAATCACTGCCACGACTTGAGGGCTACGGTATCACTGAGTTCAGCTGTGTTCATTTTTCAGGCCATTTGAACCGACACACCTGAAATTAGTGATACCTAACCCCTCGAAGCGTGGCGAGATATTTTTGGGTGTAGATTTACGCCGAAACGTTTACAGATGCTTTCCTCACCAATAGATTCTCGAGTTTGACGTCGCGATGGACGATTCCCTGTTCGTGAATATACTCGAGCGCCTGTCCCAGACACGTCATCATTCGGACGGCGTCCCGCTCCGGAACTCGGCGCACGCGTCGGAGGTGCTCAAACAGATCGCCCATCTGCAAATATGAGATTTTCAAGACAAACAAATGCTCCGTTAGGCCGTAGGATTTCTTTAAGGGGCAGCAGGGGGAGGGGGTCCTATTGTTGCCGTTTCTCAAACATCCCGCACCTATGGCCCATAGAAGATGCGAATTCACGTACCTCGATGAGTTCGAGCGACAAAAAGAAGGCGTTGTCGACGAACCACGAGTCGTAGAGTTGCACAATGAACGTGTGGTCGATCTTTTTGAGAATCGAGAGCTCCATCTCGATCAGGTGCTCTTTTCCGATCACATTCTCCTGCGCAATCACCTTCATCGCCCGCCTGTCGTTGTTGATTCTGCAAAAATGACCGGCAAAATCCACAATTTCCTGGGAATTCATTTCCTCGTATCACATAGACTCACTTGTCGATGACCTCGTACACGACGGCCGTATTTCCGTCGCCGATCAGCCGCACCAACTGGAACTTCTCGTCGAGTGCGGGCGGCAGTCTCTGCTCGTCCTGCTCCGGAATCACACTGCCCGAACGATCGTGACGCAGCGATTCGTTGCGATTCGGCATTGCCAGCCGGCGACTCGTTCTGCAATTTCCCTCATCCATCTCTGGGGCCCTAAAAATGCTCGTACCTCTTAATTTTTGATGCTCCCGACGCGACGCACTTGTGCTCTTCGGAGGCGACGAGCAGATCGTCGGCCGCCATTTTCTCGTTTCCACCGTACGCCACGAAGACGTCGTCGTCGCGGAAAAAGTCTTCGAGCGTGAGAACGGACCGTCCCGAAAGGGTGAACAGCTTGCGGATCGCGCCGGAATCCAATTTGACGACTGAAGTCAGGTCACGCAACACTTGATCGAACGATCTGCAGAGAAAATATGAGCCGCTTTTCGGGGGCAAAAAAATGAGAGAGCATTCAGTAATTTTATCACACTTTCAGGTCAGTTCGGTTAGTTACCTCGCCGTTTTCTTATTCAACAAGTGGCGAATGATCCTTCGGGGTTTCACGCCGTTCCGAATCACTTTGATGATTCGCGGGAACACGTAGTCGGTTCGTTCCTGCAAAAAGTAAAGGATTGGTTCTGCGAATTTCCACTGTAACGTCCAACGCTTTTGACCAAAAAAAAATAGCGGAAAAAGGCGTACATTTGGAGGTTCGACGACGCTCAACGCCAACTTTTTCGTCTCCAAGTGCCGATTGTAGCGATTCGCGAGAGTGAGCCGCCAGTTGGGCTCGGATGCGCGCGAATAGTCGACCTGTTTGAAGAGGTCCGTGCTGGAGCACACGTATCCGCCGCCGTCCTCGAACTGATCGACCGAGGTGATGCGCTGTGTTCCGTCTACTGTGAAGATGTGTCGGATGCCGTGCGGAAGCGCCGTCGAGTCGCACATCACCGTCTGCAAATTGTTGGTTTTACAGATTTTCACGGAAAAAAGCGGTTCTATTAGGTTGCGCCGCCCGAACCTAGATTCTCAGAAAACGGGGAAAAAAAGAGTGAACCTTCATAAGATCCTCCATCAACGGCTGCATACTCTTGACTCGATCGCACTGGAGTGCGTACTGAATGCCCTTGAAGTATTGATCGCCGTTTCGGTAGAATCTCAGCCGTTTCGCCTTTACAAGATGCGGGTAGCCGGACGATCCGATCCTGCATCTCCTCTGCATCTCGACCACCATGTCCCTCGACTCGGCGAGCTCTTCCGCATTGTTGTTCCCTTCGCCCGTGTCCATCGCGCACACCGACGAACTCATCGACGCCTCGGCGGTGTTGGATCCGCTGTTCGGCATGCTTCCGAAGCACGACGACGACGACGCGGACGAGGAGGACGGAAACAGCGAGAGGTTGAAGGCGGATGCGCGCGGAGTCGTCGCCAACTCCTCCTCGATCACCACGGGATTCGGGTGCGAATTGAGATGATGGAGGGTCGAACGACGTGTGCCTGACGACGAAGACGGCGTCGAAATGGAATGGGAGGCGGCCGTCGACGGACTGTTTTTTCGGTGGAGCGCCGGAGACGAGGAGAGAATCGCCGAGTGCGGACGAGATGTGTGCGGCGGGTGAGCTGAAATATTTGAGTGTTATTGAACGGGTTCAGGGATTTTTTTAGGAGAATGATTCAAGGGAAATGCAAAAAAAAAGCAGCTTCTCACCCGACATTTCAATTTGTACGCAACGCAAGCGAACGAAACGGATAATGAGCGAATCGAATCATAAAAACCTTCACCAGAAAACCGTTTCAAGCAATTTCACCGCCAAAAAAAAGAAACCGAGTGATCCCAAAGCTTACGTCGTTTGAAACGTGGAATATTGGATGATCTGCCGCCGACGGCGCTCGAGAGCCGCTTCGTGACACGTGGCAGAGTGTTGGCTCCTCCGTTCTGTGCTCCGGAAGACGTCGTCGTCGTCGTCGTCCACTCTGTCGTCGTTTGAGGCATTGTTTCGTGTGTGTGTGTCTGTGTGTTTGTTTGTGTGTGCGTGCGTGCACCCGAAAATTAGGAAAAAAATTAGGGTTAAGGTGGTAAAGTGGGCGAGGAAACGGACGGAGAACTCAAAGGAAGGAAGCGATTGGACAATAATCGATTTGTTGCTCTACCAAAAACCCAATTTCCCCCCTGCAAAAGTGTAAATGTTCGTGCAACCGCATAAATAGTAGCTCGGCGCCTGAATACGAGTCGGAATGGATGAGAAAGGCGTCGGAAATGCATAGAATGCGGAATGCGATTCGAATTAACTCGCAAAAGGGGAAAGAGAGAGAAAGCAGTGCGTGGGAGGATTTGTCCCCCGAAAAGGGGTCTCATTCGCCCGATTAACATCCCGAATGCTCTTTTTCGCCACCTGCGTCTCTCCGAACGAAACGACCCACCGGAAGAGCGTTGTCAAGGTGATTTTGAGTCTCAAATTCGGAAAACTTGGGCCTTTAAAGTGGAAAACTGCAATTTTCCACTGATTTTTGCGGACAAAGACGCGGCTATGAAAGTTTGAAGAACACATGAAATTCTCAACTTCTTTGGCCTAAAAATGAAAGGTAAAACCAAAAATTATGTTGTTTTTCTCTGGTAAATCGAATCGATCCTTGGCGTGGCGTGCTTACTATTAGGTCTGGTAATCTCCTGTTCAGACTCGGATGTAGAAAAGGAGTGTCTTACTGACGAATTGATTTTTCTTGTTCCAACTATCCTAGACTCATTTTTTGAGGAAACATTCATTAGAGTTATAAACATTGAAAAGCTCAGATTTTGTAAGTCCGCTCAAAATGACTTCTCTAGATCGTCTCTTTGGAACTATGGGGATAAAAAGGTCAAAAAGCTCGGTGCGGAGCAGAAGGGTAAAATGGAACGAAAGAGAGAAAGAGTCTATCCGTCTGGGGTCTCTGCACGAGAACGCTCTCTCTCTTTCTCGCTCATTCCGGGCGGCGAAACGGATGAAATTGCGAAATGGAAGCGGAAAGAGCAGCAGCGGCGGTCGTAGCAGTACAAATGATGAGGAACATTGATAGGCCGGAGGGAGTGAGAGAGTGAGAGAGAGAGAGAGAGCGAGAATATTGCCATTATCCCAGACATTTTACGGAGGAATTCCGTGGAAAAAAGTGCATAACTTTTTTTTAAATCGATTTAATTTAGTTGCACACATTTCGTCAGTCAAATTTCCTTAAAAATTGCAATTTTAGTCAGACAACTTCGAACGGATGAATCTCAAATGCGCTTGATCTAATTAAGTGTTCTAACGATTTTTTATGGATAATTTTGCGAAGAAACATGAAATTTGCACTGAATTTCGCTACAAAACGTCACATTGGAAGGCAAAACTGGCAAAGAATTGGCCAAAACAGCATGCTCTCAACGACACTCCGCTGTTGCGTTGCGTCATTCCTTTGGGAAGGCAGTGGTTGGAGAAAGAAAACAAAAAGAAGATGGTTCTGGCCAGATGGGACCGTCGAGCGGAAAGGACCGCAGAACGCGACGCCAGGCGATCGAATTTTGGGAAGAAACATAGAGAACAGTCGTTTTTTAGGGAAAAATTGGGATGTTTTATGATTTTTGAGGCATTTTTCAGAACTTTTCATTGGTCACATCAAACACTTCCCTTTCTGGGGGAAAATACCCTCTACACTGAGTCACAGCGTGGACATGAGACCAAAGGAGACTGCTGGCGCATCTTGCACTCACTTGGCGCACTATCAGATTTTTTGGTTTCGCAATTAAAATCTTTTTCTCGTTTTTATCTTTTAAAACATGTCGAAACGCAATTTTTCGTTAAATATTTGTTGCAAAAAACTCAAATTTGAATTTTCAGGACTCGTTGCAACAATTTCTGCAGTTGGAAAGGCGCGAAGCTGATGGAAATTGCCGAGCGGCACGGAGGATTCTAGCGAATAGAATAAAAAAGAACAGTTATTTTCTTCGCCGATAAATAATTTCAGGTTTTCCCCATCATTTTATCGGATTGCGGCGGACACGCGAATAGAAAAAAGCACTATTCAACTGAAAACCAGGAATCTCCAGCAACAAATTTTTAACGGAACACTAAATTTGTTTGATTACTGAATGAAGCTCATTGAAAATATTCTTAGTTTTCTTTTATCGCTATGTTATCTCACTTCTACAATTCTAAAATTCGATCCTTGTGGCCGGAAGTTTGCCTACAAAGCTCACTTTCAGCGACACTTTAGATTTCTGACGGCAAAAAGACGTAACAATCGCGCACATAATCATTTATACGTTTGATAAAGCTCTCTTTCATCTCTACAACTTCTAATATTGACAAACTTCTGCTTTTCATGTATTTCAGCCAGAAATTCACGCTACTCTTTCATGGTTTTTAAAATCGGTCTATTTGCATTGAGTTGCGATTTTTTTCATCCGTACAGCGTCTCTAGCCATTATATAACAGTATTCAAGCGTCACTGTCGTAATAAATCTGCGAAACAATTCAAAATAACCTCAAACTTTTAAATTTATTTCGCATCGCTACACAGTTTTGCACAAGGAAACACGACGGCTGCACCGATTTGGCTCTGTGTGTGCTCAAAATGACCGTATAACTCCCAGCTACAATATAGCCTGTGACAAAAACGAAAAAATTACGGCGTTCAATTTTTACACGGGGAATAACGCAATTTTCGCCGAAAATTTATTATTTTTGAACTCCCGCGCGTGCGCTGCAAGTGCGCTTCAATGATAAACGTCCACGCTGTGACTCAGTGCTCTAGGATTCTAGTTCAAAATTCAAAAAAAAAAAAACATTTTTGAAAAACCTACTCAATCGAATCGATTGTCCGCAATGCTATTTTTGTGCTGAAAAAAACAAGTGTTCAGTTGAAATTAGTCAAAGAAAGAGGACAGACACAATTAATTGTATCACAGACAAAGAATCCGGTTTTTTCACATTTCCACGCATAAAATCGCGGATTTGCGACGAGAATTGCAAGCAATCAATAATTTTTACGTAAGCTCAAGCGGAAAAATCAAAAGCTGATGCGAAAATCTAAAAATATCGGAGAAAATCAGAGACGGCTAATGAAAAAGTGAGACAAAAAGCGGAGCATCAATTTGTCGTCAAATCGTGTGCATTGTACGCAATCTCGTCGTGACCGTGTTTGCACAGATGATTAATATCGGCGCCGATTAAGCCGAAAATCGATCGGTTCGCGCCGATTTTCCTGTATTTCCGCAGGAAAAGTTCACTTTTCTTGCGGAAAATTATTTAAATGTCCTAAAAACGCGCTTAATCTCACAATTTCAGGCCGGAAATGTCGTCAGGCGTGCCGGTTCTCCACTGGAATTTTGGAATCGGCCCGATCACGTGCCACGCGTGGAACAAAGACCGTACCCGTACGTTTTTCAATGCATCTTGTGTAAAATAGGCGACAAAATTGAGTGTAACGTTGAAAAAGTGCGAACAGTTTGGTGTGTATTGGGTTTTGAGCGAATTTTGTGTAAACAGATGAATCGTCACTTGAACGCTATTGAAAATTGCCGAGTTTCGCAAAAAATAACGGAAAAACATATGAATCCATGCTAGAAATGCTAAAACATTGCATTTTCTTCTGATCACTGCTCAAAATTTATTCTTTTTCAATGCAATTAGTCTCCTTGATTTGGCTCCGGAATCGGCGCGCCCTTCGGCAGAGTCACACATTTCCCCCAGGAGCAAAAATGCGTCGTCGGACACCATCGGCATCCGTCCGTCGGATCGCCGATGCGTGGGTGGTGACGGTCGACACACCGCCCGAACTGGCAATATTGTCCCTCTCCGCATTTGCAGTACGCGTCGACGGAGACGATTGAGCAGAGAACAACGAGAAGAATTATCTGAAAATTGGAAACGAGATAACTTTTTTTTCGATGTAGGGTGGGGTTTTGGACCCATGAAAAGAGTGGGAAATGAAGACCTACCGGAAGTGTTCTCATCCTGACGAATGATAGAGAAACGGAGCGATGGGAACCGTTTTATAGGCCTATGATTCGATTATGTGTTATGGGAAAATACGGAAAAATGTTTCGATGCCTTCGTCTGCTCCTTTTGAATTTTTTTTCCGCGCTTTGGGTGAAGTTTTGTCTTTCCAACTCTGCCTCCCGATCCAGGTGTTCCTCGGGAGGGCTCCCCCATCAGTTTCACCCAAAAAATGCCTTTATAAATAAATTTTCATCATTGGAAATTGCAGAAATCGCGGTGTCGGCATCGTCGAACGAAATCCAAATATTCGAGTGGCGCAACGGCGACTGGCAGTCGATCCACACCCTTTCGGAGCACGATCTGCCCGTCACCGGCCTGGATTGGGGCACGAAAACCAATCGGATCGTCTCGTGCTCGCAGGATAAAAACGCGTTCGTGTGGACGTTCGACAAGAACGTGTGGAAGCCCGAACTCGTGTTGGTCCGCTTCAATCGGGCCGCCACTTACGTGAAATGGTCGCCGCTGGAGAACAAATTCGCCGTCGGCAGCGGAGCGAAACTCGTTTCCGTCTGTTATTACGAGAAAGAAAACGATTGGTGCGCCGGCGTTAAGTATTGCTTTTACGTTTCTTCTATCAATTTGCAGGTGGGTCTCGAAGCAGATCAAGAAGCCGATTCGTTCGACGGTCACTTGTCTCGATTGGCACCCGAATAACGTGCTTTTGGCGATTGGATCCTGCGATTTTAAGGTTTAGCATACAGAAAACGGTGGAGAACGGCTCGTTTTGAAAAAAACAACAACATTGCAGTGTCGTGTATTCTCGGCGTACGTGAAAGAAGTGGACGAGAAGCCGTCGCCGAACCCGTGGGGCCAGAAGATGTCGTTCGGACAGCTGATGAGCGAGTATTCGGTCGGCGGATGGGTTCATCGCTGCGCGTTTTCGCCGTCCGGATGCCGATTGGCGTTCGTTTCGCACGATTCGTCCGTCTCGTTTGTCGATTCGAATTTGGTCAGTTTTCGGAGGAGTTTGGAAGCGTTTTTGGCTGAGAAATGGATACTTTTTTGTCGGCACAGAGCGCTCTGAGTTTCACTAAGAAGTATTTAGCCAACAGAAAGAGCCAGATGGCTTGTGTTTTACTGAAAAAACAAAACGATTCGAGTTTCAGGACAGTCAACGGGCGCAAAACTTGCGTACAATCCATCTTCCGTTCACCACCGTCGAGTGGATCACTGAAAATAGTATTGTCACGGCGGTGAGCCCTTTGCTACGTACCAATTAATTGTTTTCCCATTTCTGCAGGGCCACGACTGCTCGCCGGTGCTATTCGTCGTCTCGCAGGACGTTCTGAAGGAGGTGTGCAAGCTGGACGTGCCGTCGGCCGCCAAAGCGTCCACTGTCAGCAGTGCCCTTCAGCTTTTCAAAAATATCGATCGGTTAGACATTCTCGGCCATTTTTTTCCTACTTTTCACTTCCTTGTTTTCCAGTAATAACGTCGCCGAAAAAGTGAACGTCGGCCTGAAAACGCTCCATCAGAATCGGATAACGTGGGAAAAACATTGCAGCGTTTCTCTAAAATAATCGATTTCAGTCAAATCCTACCGCACTCTGGGTCGGCCGGAAATGTGGTCAAATTCACGACGTGCGGAACCGACGGTATCATTGCACTCTGGGATTTGAAGGTCCGTGTTTTTCTCCACTAATTTTATTGTATAGAGGCGGGACAAATTTTCGGACTTTTTACCCTATTTCAATGATCCGGTCGGGACCAAACTTTGCAGGCGTATTGTGCTTGGATTGGAGTATGCTGGGACCAAGTTTCAGACCCATCTGATCATTTGGTCCCGAGATATGTGGATCAGATGCCGAAATGACCGCAATTTTCACAAAAACCCGGCCTAGGGACCGGATGATCCGATCGGTCTGAAACGTGGTCCCAGCCTACTTCGATCCGAGTCTAAGAAACCGGCAAAGTTTGGTCCCAGTCGGATCATTGCAAGACGGGTAAACAGCCAATAAAAAAGGTTTGGTACATTCAGGAAACGATAGAATTTTGCCGAGTAAGTAAAAATGTGATTTTTTTGACTAATTTTGTGAAATTTTCATAACAAAGTGCATGAAAAATTGCCTAATTTTTTCTCGATCGTTTTGTGAACTTGTGAACTAAAAAGTTTGAATTTTATTGATTTTTCCCGACTAAACTCTATTTTTTTCCCGTTTCAGAATCATCCATCGCTCGTCTAAACTCTGGAAATCGTCAAGAAATCATCTAAATTACTGTCTTATGTGATGCTTTTTGTGTATATTTTTCACCATTATCCCCCCCGATTTTATGTCAAACAATGGCCCGCTTTAACCGATTTTCTCAATTTTTCCTCCGAAAATGTCCACATTCTACCCGATTCTCATTCTCTCGCTGAATTCCAGCGTTTTCGGCGCTTCGTATACTTTTTTTCCTCAATTTTTTCCACGTTCCTTTTTTGCCATTTTTTTGCGACGTTTCTCGCTAATCCGCAATTGTAGATGGCCACACACGTGGACGCTTGGCAAGAAGTGGGCGACGAGCACTACAAATGCATAATTTGTCACGATTTGTTCGAAATCGACGACGACGAGGGAATGACGAAGCACGAGCAGACGGAGAAGCACAAAAAAGTTGGAAAACGCGTGTGTTGTTTCGAAAAAATGCTCACCTCAAAAATTGCAGAAATACAATGGAATCTTCCAGTGGATCAAAGAGATGAAGAATCGAAAAAGTGCGGAAACGAAGGAGAACTCGCTGCTCTACGATCGATATTTGTTGTCGCAGCAGCCGATTTTGGGTTGGTTTTTTTTTCGAGATTCGAGCTTTTCAGATTGTCTCGCTGACGCAATGCGGCCGAGAGCTGGCTGGTTAGGCCACTTTGAGCACAGTTAGTTGCGTTGCTTTACACATTTTGCTATTAATTAATCCTTGGAAAAATTACTCTGGTTTGAAAAAAAACGCATTTTTTTGGAAAATGAAGCTTCGGAATCCTTGGGAACAATCACGAATTTGTGGAAAAACAGCTCGTGAAAAAAGTTTCATTTAGTTTGAATAATCAATAATTTCACCGTTAAAAGTTTCTTCACTAACTTGCCAGATCTCGGCGCCCTGCGGCTGTGCTGTGCTTCAAACGCGACTCTCGCCCACCTCTGCTCTTCGATTTTTTCCAAAAAAATCTGTTCAGGCCTCGAAAAAATCTACGAGATCAAGCAATTCGGACTCACGGACGATTCGGCTCATTTCTGGGTGTGCGGCACTTGTTTCACGGCCGGAAACACGTTGAATTCGGCAGACGCGCACCTCAACTCGATTCATCACATTATGAAATATATTGTACGATTTATGATAATTTGAGACGGTCTCCAGAGCTCACAGTAGCGGCGTCGCCTCCGCCACAACTTTTTTCTCGGATTTTTGTGGCGAAGAAAAACGATGACATGAAAACATGACATTTTCAGACAAAACAAGCATTTCGAGCGCTCGAACATCACAAATTACCGAAAAACCATTAGGATTCATGCATTTTGACGCTCTTGCGCTTAAAAAAATCCTTTTGCCCTATACAATAGTTCTTTCGAGCTAATTCCACCGCCAAACGTCGCCTATTGTAAGCTCTGGAAGACTGTGAAATTTAAACGCGTTTAGGACGATGAAAAGCCGGAAATTGCGGAGCAAATCAAGGCGAAAGCGTGTGATTATGTGCAAAAATACGATATCTATCGGGCGGAAGTGGCGGAATTGAGCCGAAAAAGCGTACTTTCGCGGCCGGTCGTACTCAATTTGGCGATGAGCACCGAGAATGGAAATGCGAAATTTTCGCTGGAGAAAGACGATAAAACTGTGATTTTTATACCGCTTCCGACGGACGGAAATAAGAGCATTTTGCACTGTCAGGTTCGTGGATTCTTCGACTTGGTGCGTCATATATTTTCAGTGCGAACAATTTGCAGATCTGCACAGAATCGCTTCCGATACACACGAGCGGAAAGTTCACGAACGAGAAAGCGCGTTTCGCGCACTGCGAGAGCAAAAATCATCAGATTTATGCGAAAATTCAGTCGTGCGTCAAAGAATGTTCGTTTCGTTTCGCTTTTTTTGTTGTTGTTGTTGTTGTTGTTTCAGTTACGCCTTTTTCGGTTGGTTGACTTTTGAGAATTTCAGTGGAACCGCAAGAGGTGTGGGACCAGTACCAATCGACGGAAAGCCAACAAAATCTGCACTGGCGGCAGAAAGACGACGGAAAATGGAGGCTGAGCCAGCCGGTCGGACTAAGATACGCGGTGATTGCGGGCGTGGACACCTACTGCAAACTGTGCTGTTGTCTACTCGAAACCGACGTTTTGGAGCATTTCAGCTCCGAATATCACGCGATGAAGTACTTGGTGAGGCGTGGACTTTTGGCCCGCTTGCAGCTTTGCAGACTTCTTGGGATTCGATTGAAGTATCTCGGATCATCCGGTTCCGAGATATAAACTAGTATATCTCGGGACCAGATGATCCGATCGGAGCGATACAAACGGGCCCATTTTTCATTCAGACATCGAGCGAGCCGGACAAATCCTACCAGATCCATCAGTTGCGCGGTTCGGCTCGACGTTCGGCCGCCGCCACTTGTCTCCACAACACTCTCCACTTTGAAAACGACACGAAACACTTTGTCAAATCGATTCGCGGCTTTCCGGAACACGTGAAGCGGCTAATGTACGAGGAGAAACTGCTGATTTACGCGGACTCCGACGAACGAATCGTTTCGGATTTTGTGGAGAGCACCGGAAAAATTCACGTGTTTTGCGAGGTTCGTACCCGTTTTTTTGCGATTTTTCCATCCTGTTTTTGGTTTTTTTGCAGTCCTGCCAAGATTATGTGGAATTCGACGCGAAATCCGTTGAGACGGAGGAGAAAAAGGACGAAATGTGGAGGATTCATACGAAAAGTGCGCGGCACTTTGAACTCGGCGCCCTCTTCGTTCGCACCGTTTTTGGTTAGAAATCTTTGATCCACTTGCAATGATCCGATAGGGACCGAAATTTGCGAGCTTCTTGGAATTGGATTGAAGTATATTGGGGCCACGTTTCAGACCCAACGGATCATTCGGTCCCGAGATATACAGTGGTTTCAAACAAGCATATATCTCGGGACCGGATGATCCGATCGGCCTGAAACTTGGACCCAAAATACGTGCAAAGTTTGGTCCCGATGCGATCATTGGGAAGGGGTCCAGAAGTTAGCTGGAGAGAAACGAATTTTTGAATATGTTCGTGTTCAGATCCGTCGTACTTTGTGCCGTATCCGCAGACGATCACGAGCCGGGCAATCACCGAACGAAAGGGAATTTGGACTTGTGATAAGGTCAGCGACCGTAGAGTATTCCTGAAAAATTGAAATTCAGCAACTTTTGTTTATCTTCACTTTTATTGAAAACACAAGAGTTGTACACCTCTGAGCATTGCTATTGTTTCCAGAACGAGCTGGTGCAAACGCAATGCGACGTCGGCCTGGAGTGTATGGTGGAGAACGAGGACGACGGCGAGGTCTATTGTCTGTGTTGTCTGAAATTGTTCAAAAACAATCCGGCGATCATCAATCGGCACATTCGAACGGTCGACCATTTGAGGAGATATATGGTGGGCGCTCGGTCCTTTTTCCCCCATCTTTTATCGATTTTTTTCAGCTCAACCAACACCCCAACTCGCCGCAATCGAAATTTCTGCTCGGACCGGCCACAGACACGCAAAAACGCGAAAAAATGCTGGAATTCTTGGCACAGTGCATTTTTCCGAAACAGATGGCGGTACACAGTTGAATTTTATCGATATTCCACTAAAATCATCATTGAAATAGGTGTACTCGAAGCAAAAAACGATGGAAATGGCGCAGTGGGAACGGGCGAGCGAACGCGACCTTCAGACGGTCAAAGCGATGAACTCGGGCATTTCCAGAGATGTGTGCGACACGGTGGCCGATGTTATCGATCGAATTGTCGAGGAAATTGAGCCGGATGGTAGGGGAACAACTCCTTTTTCGAATGAATCGTCCAAACGATTGCAGACGGTCCGCCGAAAGTGCACTTTGCGAATGTGGCCCTCAAACAGTGCGGACTGACTATTATCCGAACGATGAGGGGCGACGAGAACCGCACGAGTCAACTCATTTGCAGATGCACTGTACGCACCCCTTTTTCCCCACACATATTTCTATTCAATTCTTCTCTCTCGGGTTTTCAGTGCGAAAAACTGATTGTCGCCAACGTGGCCACGTGGATTCGCGACGTATTCGACGGCCACTTGTTGCGCGAAGAACACAATCGACGTCGGAACTCGCTGGCGCTCAACGTCTTCTATCCGTCGGGCATTCTCGACGAGACGTCGACGCACACGGTGAAGCCCGTCAAAGTGTTTGCGGCGGAGCCGGGAAAAGAGGGAAAAATGATGACGTGGCAGTGGAACAACACGACGAAACAGCACGAATACGTGGCGAACGTCGTCGGACTCGACGATCTCGTCGAGCGACGTCAAGTGTGCGGCGACGGAATCGTCCGAGCCGATTATTATTGCGAAATTTGCGCCGCCGAATTTACGAAGCAGTCGCACGCCTTGGAATCGCACGTTCGATCGTTGGAGCACTGTGTCAATTGGGTGGTTCGTTTCGAGACCCGTCTTGCAATTATCCGATGGCACTGAAACTTTGCAGGCTTTTCAGGCTTTGGTTGAAGTATGCTGGGTCCAAATTTCAGACCGATCCGATCACTTAGTCCCGAGATTTATCGATTTTAAAAAGACAGAATTTTTGCGAAAAACTTGGTCTTGTCGAAAATCAATGCATCTCGAGACTCGATGATCCGATCGGGCTCAAACTTTGCAGGCTTCTTGGACTTGGATTGAAGTATGTTGGGTCCAAATTTCAGACCGATCCGATCACTTGGTCCCGAGATTTATCGATTTTAGAAAAGACCTGAACCTTGGACCCAAAGTACTTCAACCAAAGCCTGAAAAGCTTTGGTCCCATCGAAAAATTGCAAAGAGGTCAGACATGATAAGCCTAAAAATCCTTTTTCTAGCACAAATACCGGCCCGGCGTGATTGCGGAGCTCCTCCAACACATTTCGGAGGCCGAGAAGAATGGGGCGCACAAAAAAACGGTGCGAAAATGTCTGGGAGCAATTCTGAAAGACGTGCACCCGTCCACCGAGTACTGTATCCGTGTGTTCGATCCGATCGGAAAGGCGGAGAGCATCGAGGAGGCGAAAATCAAGAATATACAGATTCAGGAGAAGCAGAGGCGCGAAATTGAGAAGAAGGAGCGGGAGGAAGCGGGTACGTAACTGATAAAATGGGCCGGCGGAACCATTTGCAATATTCTGATCGGGCCCTAACTTTGCAGGCTCCTTGGACTTGGACTGGAGTATGTTGGGACCAAGTTTCAGCCTGATCGGATTATCTACTGTCGAGATGTACTTGAGGGCCGATGCTGGCCGAAAAGCCCGGCCTCAAGCCAGTATATCTCGGGACCAGATGATCGGATCCGTCTGAAACTTAGACCCAACATACTTCAATCCAAGTACAAAAAGCCTGCAAAGTTGGGCGCCGATCGGATCATTGCAAGTGGTTCAAAAGTACAGGACAAGGGCCGGTCAAACGTCTAGCCCTGAAAAATGCTCATTTTTCCGCCCGTAAAAAATGTATTTGAAGAACGCTCGAAACAAAAGGAGGCGGCCCGGGAACGGCAACGAAAAGAGGACGAAGAACGGCTGGCGGTGCTGCAGAAAAAGCAGGAATCGGCGAGGAAGGCGGCCGACGAGGAGTGCCTCAAAGAGATGGAGAAGGCGGCGAGACGAAGGCTCGCCGAGGAAAACGTGGCGAAAATGAAGAGGGACGAGAAGAAACTGAACGATTTGGAGCTGCAGAGCCGCCTGAATCACGCCTCGATGCTCGAGCGACAGGTTCGCAATTTGTTTCAACTTTTCGCACAACGTTCCCGTTCAGAACCAATCGCGACACTTATTCGAGGCGAAACAGGCGGAATCGATGCGAACCGACGCGCAACGGTCGCGTCTGATGGAGGAAAAGCAGCGGTTGATGGCGAAGATCAAGGGGAAAATGGTGCACGAGCCGCAGTTGGTCGTCCTTCCGCAACTCAAGTCGCAGCCGCCGGTTCCGTCGGCGCCGCCCGCATTTAGAGGCCCTGGGACGAACGTGCTCGGCTACGGATTCGAGCAGCAGATGGGCATGCAGCAGCTGCAACAGGTGACGACACCCTTTTTTCGCTCGTTTTCCGATAGAAAGTGAAGGTTTTTGCGGTGATGTTTTTCACCGTTCTCTACGTATTTTTCACTATTTTCTGCCGTTTTTTTCTACGTTTTTTTCCACGCCGCCGCGCGTTCTTCGGGCGATTTTTGAAGGAAAATGCTAACATTTGAAAACAGAAATGCGTTTACCGTAACGAGACTGTTTATTTAACCTTTTGCCGCCGGGTGTCGATTTGACCTTTATCTCGGGCGAGCAGAAAGGCGCCAGTTTTTCTGTTTTCTTCTTTTTTTGGTCAATATCAACAGCGTTTGCGCGCTTTCGAACAAATAAAGTCCGTCTCTTCGTTTTTGCGTCAAAAATTGCAAGCATGTCCCTTTAAAGTACGGTAATCGTATTTTAAAGCGCGTTTTTGTCGGTTTCTTGAGGAGAATTAATTTGTTTTCTACGTGTTTCGGTTGAACAATTCGGAGTTTTTCCGTTTTTCAACGAAAAACAATGAATTTGTTACATGCAACGATTGCAGTGCCTTTAAACTACGGTAACCGTACTTCAAAGGCGCATATCAAATTTTAGCCGACACAAAATTCACATTTTCCGCTACAATCTACGCTTCAAATCAAAGAATGCGCGATTTTACACTTTATTTGCGATTATTCATTCATCGTTCCTCGAATTTAACACTTTTTTCAGCCACCGCCACAATATCCGTACGCGCCGCCGCCGAATTGGCCACCGAATCCGTACATTGGAGTGCCGCCCCCAGACACCCCGGCCGCCATGAAAAGGTATTTTTTGGAGAGGTTTCTATACAAAAATCTACAAAAAATCTGATTAAGACCATCGTTGAGAGGCGCGAAAATCGACCGGAATATTCACGATACTCGATTGATTAGCAGCAAAAAGGATTTGCTCGATTACAGTAAGAATGCAGGCCACGCCCCCGTTTTTTACAGATTTTTCTGCTCTCGGAACGATGGATTTATCAATTTCCCGCTTCCATATCGATTTTTCCAGAAAAATGAAATAATTCATTGATAATCATTGCTTTGCCCCCATATTTTCAAAAAAAAAAAACACATTTTCATAGCGCATGGCTAAGCAAACGCGCTCCCCTGGACTCGACACTGTTTTTTCGTCATTTTTGCTGAAATTCCATCAAAAAATGCATTTGGCGACGAAAATGAAAAAAAAACAGTACAGTGGAGCGCGTTTGCTTAGCTGATTAGCAATAACAATTTAATTTTTTCTTTTCCAGTGCGTCAAATCGGTGCGAAAACGATCGAAGAGCCGGAAATACCGCGCGATTTTAGCCGTCTCATTCACGCCGACGAAGAGACGTTCGGACTGGATTACGTGGCAGAGGTGGGCAGTCAGACGTTTCGCAACCGGCAAATTCCTTGGTTTCAGGTAGTGTGCCTGGACGATCCGCAACTCGACTCGTACCTGTGCACAGTTTGCGATGCGTGGGCGGCGCCCAACGGAATGCTCGAACATTTGAGACGGTCCGAGCACAAATCGACGTATCTTGTAGGCGCAGAAATTGATGGGAACGTACACAAAAACATTGATATTGTAGATGCACAAAAAGCCGTTCGAATACAAGCACTTGGACTCGGAGCGCGATCGAGTCGTACGCAAAAACATGTTCAAACAGTTTATCGCCGAATATAAGGTTCAGCTTTTCACACGAATTCTCACGAAAAGTTGATTTCAAGTGCGATTTTTCGCGTTTTCTCAATGAAACCAGAAGTGTTTGATGTGACGAACTAGCCATGGATTGATTCATTGAAAAGTCTCGAGAAATCTCGCAATTGCAATCCATTTTTCGCGCCATTTTTCCAGCTGGAAATGTAATTTTTCATCAAAAATGTCTAGGCGAAAGAGAAGGATCCGGTGATCAAGTTGCGCATGAAAACGTACGTTGACAAGGCGACGATCGAGCGGCTCTGGCCCGGATACGAAGACTATTTCCATCCGAGACGGGCGGCGGGCAACTGGTCGACGACCGGATTCCGACAGGTTTCCGGTCCCGACGGCGTCGAACTGCCCAAAGTGGTGCCGGTGATCAGTCTGATCGACGATGACGACGATGACGACGACGACGACGACGATGAAGATGAGAGGAGGCGCAAGGGTCGGAAGGGGCGCAGGGACAGGCGCCGCAGTCGAAGGTAAAACGCCATAGAAATCTGTCATTTTGCATTTCTTTTCAACAACAAACAACCCCGTTTGCAGCCGAAACCGTTCGCGTCGTTCCCGATCCAGATCCAGATCCCGATCCCGTGACTACCGTCGTCGATCGCGGAACCGCCGTTCCCGTTCCCGCTCGAGATCGCGCAATCGACGGGACCGTCGAAGAAGCCGAAGCAGATCCCGAAGCGCGGAGCCGAGAAATCGATCGCACTCCGAACAGACTTCGCACTTCCTCACGAAACTCGAACAGAGCCATCCGCCGGCGGGCGTGGCGAAACACGCGAAACACGACACTGACAGTCCGTCGGATTTTCTGGCCAAACTGACGACCGTTCAGAATCTGACGGCGAGCGGAGCGATTCAGGCGACACGGCTCGACTTTGAGCACCACACTCGGATGGGCTATCCGACGGCGGCGCCCGTGAGCACGGGCGCCGCTTCGACTGCTGCCGCGCCGGCGAACGATTGGAGAACGGCCAGGCAGAAAGCGGAAGAGGGCCAGGTGGGGCTTATCAATTAAAACTTTAAAAATCCGCACTTTTCATATGAGTGCCTTTCGACCACATGAGTTTGAGGCCGAGAAAACAGTGCAGAGCTCAAACCTCAGCCCGTAAATCGCGAAATAATTCCAATATTTGAGGCAAGAGAACGAAAAGTGATCGCCGCACTGGTGCTGCTCAACGCGAAAGTGAAGGAGGATGGCAATGTGCAGGAGGAGGAAGTGATGCGGATCTACGAGAGTGTCGGGCTGGACCCCGCCTCTGCCGACGATCTCATCAATGAGACACTCGAAAAGCTGCCCAGTCAACAGGTAAGAAAACGGTGCTTTCGGCGCTCGGATCCACACACGCGGTGACGAATTTTCACACAATTATGCGCAGTTCCAGACGAACAACGCGGCGATGAACAGTTTTCGCGAATCGCTCATATCGCTCGGGATCCGTCTCAACTCGAGGGCGCAAAGAAATCAGCAATATCCGCAAGGTATCCGACAAAACAAAATGCCTCATCGCGTAATGTTTCAACGAAATTTTCAGCAACGGCGCAAGCGTACGGAATACCGCCCCAACAAGTGGTGCATCCACAACACCAACAACAACAGTACGGAATCAGTTCCTCGTCGGCCGTCTCCTCCTACGCGCAGGCATTCCACCACCAACCGGCGGGACCGTCCCTGGTCAAAGGACCACCGCCGACTCAGAGTCAGAATCAGAATTTCTATGCCGAAAGTTCGGGCGCGCCTTCGGCGTCACCGAAACGGGGACGGGGCGGCGATCCGCCGCCGGATTCGTCGTCGGATTCGTCGGACGAGGAGGACTATAACGAGGTGCTGAGCATAGTGGGAATCAAGAAGAAGAAGGCAGAGGGAGAGGCGGAGAAACCGATGATACCCGGACAGAAGATGGCGCTCAAACGGACCATTCTCCCGAATGGCGCACGTGTTGGCGGAGAAGGGCAACAGGTTTGGCGGCGATCTTAAAACACTCTTTACAAATTCATATCTGACACTGCAGAAAAGTGTGTACGTGGAATTGCAGGCGACTCCTCTGACCGCATCGCCGGCCGTCTCGGACACTTCCGCCTCCCTGCCGCTCCCTCCTCCACAGCCATCGACGGCGGCGCCGTCAGTTGCTGCGCCGGAGACGTCGTTCGGAATGCCGCCGCCAGTGGCAGTCAACCAAATGCATCCGATCGGACACCAACACCAACTGCCACTACAATATCAGCAGTATCCGCCGGCGCCCTACCCTACCCACACACAAACGACGACGACGACGACGGTCCCGTCCGCCTATCAACAACATTTTGCCACGCCGCACTATCCGCAGGTAACGAGGAAAACGAGCGCGCTTTTTAGACGTTTCTAACTTTTCCCCCACTCTTTCCAGGCCTACCACCAACCACAGGCACCGCCGCAACTGCCAGTTCACATTGCGGCGCCGCCTCCGCAAATGCATTACGGTATCCAGCAGCAGGGATGGCATCAGACACCACCACAACAACCCATTCAACTTCAACAGGTTTGACTTGATACGCCAAACCAAAAGTGTTGCGAAAGGCGCAGTTTTGGTTCCAAAAAAATCAGCGTTTAGCCGAATTCGCCCTCTATTTTCAGCAGCCAATTTACCAAGGATTTCAATACGCGCCGCCTCGAACGATTCCTCCGCCGAATCCGTCGACGCAATTGTACGCACCTCTGCCGACGACGACGACGACGACGACGCAATCGAGCGGATCCGCCGCGCAGTACGGAATCGGAGGCACCGAGCAACAATTCTTTTATCCGGGACGCTAAATTTATAACCAACCAGGCTATCGTTGTTTTCTTTTTTTGTTTATTGAGAATTTGAGCAAGCCGACAATTGCCTCATGTCTTTTTTGTTTCTTTTCGCCTAAACTAATAGTAAAAATCTCTCTCCTCTCCAATTCTCTTTGTCTTTTTTTCTTTTTTGTGTGTGTGTGTGCAAAAATGTACAGATATTGTATGTTTTTGTATAGAAGCGACGATGAATCAGCGGTTCCCAAAACGAGAAGAAATATTGAAAATGTGGGTGTATAAAAAGAACGGTGTGGAGACGAAAAAGGAAAAAGAAGCGAAAATGGTCGTTTTTGTCGTGAGTTGATTTTTCCCTAAAAATGACAAGCTTTCAATGAGTATTGTCGAGTTCTGAGACGATCTAGGGGTCTGAAAATTGTTGAGCATGATCTTGACATCTAGCACTCTGTTTTTGTAGTTGACACTTTTTTGATACCATCAATAGCGGAGGTACTGTAGCGATTCGAAGTTGGAACAGAAACTTGTAGACGTTTTGCTATTGTCCACTTCCAAGCGCTATAATACGGTTGGGAGTGGTTGTATCGGAAAATTTCCAACAAGAGAAATAAAGTTCAAGTCAAGTACGTCATTTTTGTAGTTGACCACTTTTTGGTACCACCACTCCTCGGAGTACTGTAGCGCTTGGAAGTTGACGATAGCTAAACGCCTCTATAGTTCAGCGCTAACTTCCAAGGACTACAGTACCCCGGGGAGTGGTCGTATCAAAAAAGTGTCAACTACAAAAATGATCCACAAGACTTGATCTTGACGCAAAACATTTTTGAGATGCACAGCACGTCGTAGAACTCTACAATACTCGTTTTTCCGCAGACGGCCACTCCGTGCCGCGTCACGACCGCCAAAGTGCTCGTGTTGGCGCTCACCGTCCTCTTCTGCGCCATCTACATTGGCAGTCTTTTCTTCAAAAATGGCTATTTCGTGCTGAGCCACACGTTCTCGCTCACCGAAATTCTCGTCGTCGCCGTCGTTGTGGCGCTGGAAATTCTGCTCACCGTCATTGTGTTGCTCGAGTGCAAATGCCTAATTTTGGTGGCTTTGATCATTCTGGTAGGCCGTTTTCTTCTCAGTGTTTTCCAGTCGATTTCCAGCATTTTAAGCCGCCAAAACCGAACACTCAATGAGCCACGAAAACGTTCGATTTCAGGGAATCATGCTGTTCCTGACGACACTCGAAGCGAACTACGCCTTTCTCGTGTTTGCCAGTCAGTTTTAGCGATTTTTCGCCCGATTTCAAATCAAATTCGAACGTTTCAGTTGGATCGTACTCTGTATACGGTAGTGACGCGATATTCTATTGCATCGGCGCCGAAATCGTTTGTCTCATCATTGTGGCCGGTCAGTTGTTCGGGAAACGCAATATTGTAGGCTTAGAAAACACGTTGTGGCTCTAGAATGTATTCTCCTAAATTCTTGACATTTAGTACTGTATTTTTGTAGTTGACCGTTTTGTTGTACGACCACTCGCTGGAGTACGGTAGCGCGTTTTGCTATTGTCCGTTTCCAAGGGCCACATTGCGTCGGGTAGTGGTTTTACAAAAAAATTGCCAACTACAAAAATGTAGTAAAAGATGTGTACAATATTTTATCAGTTGAAAATTTTTTTCTAAACTCACTCCGAAACGTGGTGTAGGCCTTCAAAGTTGGGCCCGGCAAAACTTCCCACGCCTACAGTATATATAAAGTTGTGAGCACGAAAAATGATGTCTGAGATGTGAAGAATTCACAAAAACACTTTACAAAACGCAATGACGACGTCTTTGCAGTCTACTACATCCGCTACTATTGCATTCTGACCGTCTACCGCTGGACCCGAGTGCCACGTGTCTCCGCGCGTGCCGGACCGCCGAACATCAGTGTGCACACTGCTAATCTGCACTAAATTTGTGTGATAATGGAAATATTATCGTTCCGGCAAAAAGGCGCCAAACTCGTGTAACAGCGAATAAATTTATTTACAAACCTGCACGCGTGGGGGGGGGGGGACAAAGTATTTGTGGAAGGACAATATAATTGTATAACAATTATTACAGTTGTTCAGCGACGGTCCTTAGAGGATCAGCGGCTTCATGAAGATGCGCGAGTCGGCGCCCGCCGGATTGGCCGTCGTCTCGGCGCCACGTGGCGGATTGTTCTCGAAAAACTTGAGGACGGCAGCAAAAGGGTCGAGCTCCTTCTCGTGATCATCATCATCATCAGCGGATGCGACGGGACCGCCAGACGAAGAAGAGGTCTCAATTTCCTCGTCGGACGACTCCTCGACCGGCTCCGGAGTCGTGGTACGCTCCTCGATTCTCGGAAAACTGTCCTCGATCACCACCGCTCCTCCTTTTCCTTCAATCTCTGGCTCCGCGGTGCTCGACGTCTGCAATTCCTTGTTGGCAGCCTGAACAAAACAATTTGTGCTACTATTGTGAACTTCCAAAATCTAGACAGTAATCTTGAGAGTTGAAAAAAAAAGCGCGGACCTCGGAGTTCTTCTGCTCGTCGAACGCTGAGAAAATGTCTCTGAGGATCGTGTCGGAGACCTCGGCGGCATCGGGAATTGGCGTCGTCGTGACGGCAGCGGCGGCCGTGTTCACTGTCGCTTCTTCGGGCGCCGGCGTCGGCGTGATGGCGGTCCCTGAAGAGAGTTTCGGGGGTGAGAAATCGTGATGCAAGTCAGTGACAGCGGAAGAACTCAGCGGAAGAACACTGAAGAATTTTTATCTTTTTTAATAAATTTTTTCATGAAATGTGATCAACTGACGAAATGTATAGCAGAGTGAACTCTGCTCATAAAAAAATAATTGTAAAATTAACTTTTCATACAAAAAAGTTATTCGAGTTGTTCCGTGAAAAAAGGGTTAACGGAAGACCGAAAGACATTTTCACGCGACAACTCGAATAACTTTTTTGTATGAAAAGTTAAATTTACAATTATTTTTCTATGAGCACAGTTCACTTTGCTCTACATTTCGTCAGTTGATCGCATTTCATGAAAAAATTTTCTAAAAAAGATAAAAATTGTTCCGTGTTCTTCCGTTGAGTTCTTCCGCTCAACTCTGCAAGTCGCTCACAAATCTGTCTGGTCGGCGCGTTGACCGGAATGTTCTGCGACTTTTTCTGAAGCTCCTCATAGATTTTATCGTGCACAGATGGTTGTGGAGCCGGTTGGAAGAACGCCGGCACTTCCGGAAGTGGCTGCTGCTGCTGCTGCGTCTGCTGGGCGGGGAAGAAGAATTGGGTGGGCGGCTGCTGCCAGACGGACGGTCTCTGCCATTGCGTCTGCTGCGTCTGCTGCGTCTGCTGCGTCTGCTGAGCCATCTCCATCTGATGTTGCTGCCAGAACGCGTGAGCTCTCTGCAACTCGTACTGCCGACGTTGTTCCTCCTCGTATCGAGCTCGTTCGGCCCATTGCTGACGGGCGGCCTCCTCCTGCATTTGTTGTTGTTGCTGAAACGTTTAGCGCTCTCGGAGCAGCGCTCAAAAAGAACCGAACCTGGAAATAGGCCATCTTCATCTGTTGCTGAGCATAATACGCCGCCTGAACACGTCTCATTCGCCACATTCGAAGGGCGAGCGCTTGTTGCATGTACGCGCGTTGCTCCATAATTTGCTCAAATTGCTGACGCGCCTCCATCATTCGCCACTGCTCCATTTCGTCGGGATGCAACGGGCGGTCCGCGGACTTCTCCTCGACCGAATTGTCGACGACGAGCTGAACATTTATTGGAATTGAGTAGTAGAGAGAGAGAGAGAGAGAGAGAGAGAGAGAGAGAGAGAGAGAGAGAGAGAGAGAGAGAGAGAGAGAGGGAGTACTTACCGTCTTTTTCTTCTGCTCCGGCGGCTCCTGGTTGTTGTTGTTGTTCGTCGAAATGTCCTCGACGACGACGACTCGCGCCAGTGGAATCGACAATATTCCGTTTTCGGACGCGCTTCTCTCGGACGACGAAATCAACGCCTCCATTTGTGGTTTGTCAAGAGACGTCGAAGAAGAAGAGGTATCGATTTTCTGGAACCATTTTCGTAAAACAAACAGTCCGCTTCGCTTTTCGAGTGTCACACCTTGAACAGTTCGGGAGTGGCGGCCAAGAAGTAGAGGCCGAGAAGGGTGACGATCATGAGGCACGAGACGAAGAAAAGACAGTGAAAACAGGCGCGGAGGGCCGCCCATCCGGCCGATGCACCATGTTTCGGAGCGGCCATCGGAGCCGCCGGCATCGGGATTACCGTCGGTTGGAGGACGGTGAACACCTGAAAAATTGAAAAAAAAATGAGGGGATTGTCGGTTTAGCAAGTGTACATGCTTGGTAAACCGACAATATCTCAACGCCTGTAGGTTTTCGTGAAAACTTTTCAACTACAAAGTTGTAGAGCTTGAAATTTGCTATCAAATCTGCTATTTTAGAGACTCCCAAACAAACCTTTGGATCGATCTTGATTGCCTCCTTTTCGAGGTCCTCACCTCCGTGAACACCGGGCTGCGCGCCTAGTTTGGTCATCTGCAAACGCGGAAAAAAGTGGTTGCTTTGCTCTACAAACAATAGAAGAAAGAGAGAGAGAGAGAGAGAGAGAGAGAGAGAGAGAGAGAGCTCGCGGAGCAACTTTTGACAGGTTGGCATCGGAAATGCAAAGGAGAAAGATCACGACTTTTTCGGCGATTTCATCCCCAAAAACCCGACTTTTAATGAACTAGACACTTTACGAAAAGCGATAATATCTCTATCAATTTTTAGTTTTTCTTCTTCTTCTTCTTCTTCTTCTTCGTCTTCAACCCGCCAAATAACAACCAGAAAGAACAGGTTTTCAACAAAAAGTGCTTAAAAAGGAGGAGGGGGGGGGGCGGGGCCAGGGAGTACGGTAGTTGGACAAATAAGAGGCGAAACAAAGTTTTTTTCGTTGTTTTACCGAAACGTCGTCGCAAAAGGGGCGTGGCGTCGTCGATTTTTGAGGGAGAGGGGAAAAATCATTTTTTTCCCCGACTTTTTCAGTGGAAAATGGCCAAAAACGATGGAAAAACGATCGAAGGAGCGAGAAAAAGACGGAGAAAAAGACCTTGAGAACGCGAAAACGGTTCCACTTTTCTTCGTTTTTCATTCACAATAAGGCGCTTTGGAGATGCGAGACGTGAATGGACGGCGTCAAAATTGAAGGGGGAAAGACAGTAATTCTAGAATGATAAGACGGAAATGACGAGATGACAGAAGAGAAAGAAGAAAGAGAGAGAAGAAGTAGGAGGCCTTCTTCTTCTTCTTCTTCTTCTTCTTCTTCTTGTCTCTGTTTGCGGTCGGGCGCGGGAGGGGTCAGTGGAAAGACGAAAAAGTGGGCGGAGCCTCCACGTTCGCTATCATACGACCACTTTTCGGCCGACCCCTTTCATTATGTGATTGATAATAGTGGAAAATTGCAGAGAAAACGGTTTTTAAGACGATTTGGATGGCTCCAGATGATCGGATCGGTCTGAAACGTGGTCCCAATAAACTTGGAACCAAGTCCACGAGGTGTGCAAAGTTTGGTCCCGATCGGATCATTGCAAGTGTTGCTCAAATTTGTGCCCGGACTTTTGGACCACTTGCGGCGATCCGATCGGGACCAAATTTTGCAGACTTTTTTGACTTGGACTGAACTACTTTGGGTTCAAGTTTCAGCCCGGTCGGATCATCCGGTCCCGAGATATGGGGACCAGAGTCCGAGTTTGGCACCGCCAATTTGGACCCCCCTCAAAAAATTTGGTTTAAAGTGGACAAAAAGTGAGAGTAAACGGTGGTCATCGTTCCGTGACCCTCGTCAACCTATTTCTACATTACACCCACACAGACAAAGCGAAATTGACCCAAGTTGCTTCGGGGGGGGGGGCTAGACCCGAGCATTCAGGGTCCAAAATGAGTGGATCCACTTGTCGTCTCTCGTGTCATCGAAATTCGACGAAGAACAGAATTTGGCGAACTTTCTCGAAAATGACGCGCTTTTTTTGGCGCGTTGGTCAAGGACATTTTAGGCCGATTCTCTCTCTCTCTCTCTCTCTCTCTCTCTCTCTCTCTCTCTCTCTCTCTCTCTCGCAATCATATGACTTCCAATTACGAACAAAAACACATTTTGAGCGGCAAATAATTGGGTATAAATGGCGATAAAGGCACACAAATTTGGAAATTTCTAGAAGGGGGTAAAGAAGACGGAAGACGGAAGACGGAAGACGGAAGACGGAAGACGGAAGACGGAATTCCGCTCTCAACGAACACAAAGACGGCTTTTGAGTGAGTGAGAGGGGCTGGTTTCCGATTGGATCTGAACATCCCGCCCGTGATCGTTGCCACGTCATCAGAAACTTTTTTTTTTTTTTTGTGTGAAACACACGCAAACGATAAAAGATGAGTAGCAGAAAGTGGTGAGGGGGGACCTACAGTAATCGAATCGTTTTGTGAATGACAAATGACCACATAAAGTTCATTTTAAGGCATCAGGGCCCTGAAAACCGGTAATTTTTGCCATTCTCTCAACCCCTCCCCCCCCCTTTCACTAATCAAATCAGTTACCTTTGGTCGTGAAGCAATTTCAGACAAATGCGGTGAGGGTTCTGGAAATTGTTTTGAGAAGTGTTGACGTCGAGTGGGTCACTTTTGTAGTTGACACTTTTTTGATACGATCACTCGTTGGAGTACTGTAGCTCTTGGAAGTTGGCAATGAAGTTTAGAGCCATTTAGCTATTGTCAACTTCCAAGAGCTACAGAGCCCCAGGGAAAAGGTTGTAGAGAAAAACTGTCTAGAGCAAAAATAAAGTTCACATTTAGCTCTACATTTTTTTAGTTGACAACTTTTCTGTACAATAACTTCTAACCGAGCTATAGCGCTTGGAAGTTGACAATAGCGAAACGCCTCCAAGCTAAAGTTTCAAGAGCTACAGTACGCGAACGAGTGGTCCTATCAAAAAAGTGTCAACTACAAAACTGACCTATTACATGTGAAGATTCTTCAAAAAATTTTAGAGAACGCGCGCACCGTCTCAAAACACTACAATACTCGTTTAAAGTTTTGGCATTTCGAAAAAAAAAACAACTTGAAAGCGAGCGAGCGAGCGAGCGACGGGTGAGTGTGTGTTTCGGCCGATAATTTGCGAATTGTCCTCCCACTTTTTCCATAATTTGATGGAAAATGAGGCGCATTGTGTCGGAATCGGAATCCGAATCGGCGCGCCGCGCACCAAAAACCCGTTCTTCTGCCCAAACACACACACTTTGAAGGCGTCCGCCGTTTTGGGCGCCGACAAAGTATTGTAGGATTGCGCGGAGACGCCGACAAAAACGGAACCGCGAGAAGAAGGAGAAGAAGAAGAAGAAGAAGAAGAAGAAGGGGGTAAACCTGCGCGCGGAGAGGTCGTGACACTTGAAAAACGAAACGAAGCGGGGAGGGAATTCGCCAGCTTCGATTCGATTTTAAACGCGGCGCACGAGATGAACGATGACCCGCTGACGTCTTTTTTGTGAGTTGGCGCATTTTCGGTGCCTTGACGCAATCTAAAGATAATTGCCAAAAATAGAGAGAAACGCGAAAGACGATTGAGGTTTGCCGAACCAGTTTTTGACAAGAAAAGAACATCTGATCTTCGATTTAGCATTTTACTGGCAGAAATTTGTCTGGCACAAATTACAGTAATCCCCCGGACGCCTAGGGTACGGTAGCTACGGGTTACTGTAGCCGCGGACCGGAAGCTCGTTCAAGTGGCCTTTTGAGGCGAAATGAACAAATAGTGAGTGTCGAAACGAACATTTCGCCTCCAAAATCGGACAAAAAAGGCGAAAACAAGTGTTTGCAAGTGTTCAATCACCGATTTTCGGATTATATTGTACTTTTCCTCGTCTACAGTACCCCCCTCCCCTCTCAAATGTGGCAATGACCATGACGACCTTGGGCGAGAATGCAACAAAAAGTGGTAAACAGTGAAATCATGTGATGACGTGGCACAGAAGAAGAAGAAGAAGAAGAAGAGGGAAGAGGAATGAGGTGTGACGATGAATTGGAAGGGAAATGGGGTGGATCTAGAAATGGGGTGGATCGGGGAAATGGATAATAGCGATGGGAAATATTGTAGAGTTTTGCGAGACGTCCTACGGTTCTAAAAATGCTCTTAGAGCTCTTATAGAGAGGTGGATGAGGTTGGAACCTGGAGAATATCTTCGTGCGGTGTGACACAGCGGTTACGACCAGAAGAACGTTTGTAACTTGAGAAGGAAACGTTTTCGGACAAAATGATCAATTGCAAAGTTGTAGAGCACAAAATTTGCAACAATTTTGCAGTTGACAACTTTTTGAATCCGTCAATAGTTTGCGAGATTTTCTTCTTCACAAAATTCACCAATTTTTGTTGCTCTCAACACCATTTTTATTGACAAAAAATGCTCAAAATTCGACAATATTTCCGTTTTTGACGACGTGACGAATGACGTCGTGATGGGCGGCGATCCGATAGATTATGTGCTCCCACGAGTTGGCCGACAATATCAGAAAGTCGGCGTGCCTGAATTATTGTCGTTTTTTTTTTTTGGGAACGAACATTTGTGACACAGACCTTCCCGACGCGATTGCTCCGTGCGTTTTGCCTCTTCCGATCGAGTGCGCCGAGTTTAGGGTGGCGGCCGTCAGCGCTTCACACATTGACAGTTTCATCGTCACGCACGCTGCAATTCTCGCATTTTTTTTGCTTTTTCACAACGGAAAAACATCGAAAAGGGGGGAAAATCAGTGTTGAGCGGAAGAACTCAACGAAAGAATTTTTATCTTTTTTAGAAAATTTTTTCATGAAATGTGATCAACTGACGAAATGTAGAGGAAAGTGAACTGTGCTTATAGAAAAATAATTGTAAATTTAGCGTTTCATAAAAAAAAGTTATTCGAGTTGTTCCTTCCCCGTTAGCCCCCTTTTCACGCAACAACTCGAATAACTTTTTTGTATGAGCAGCTAAATTTACAATTATTTTTTTATGAGTAGAGTTCACTTTGCTCTACATTTCGACAGTTGATCACATTTCATGAAAAAATTTTCTAAAAAAGATAAAAATTCTTGCGTGTTCTTCCGTTGAGTTCAGGACTCCTTGACTTGCGCGGTACGCTGAAGACGGTCAGAAAACCCACCAAAATGCATGATCATGGGCATGGCCAGACAGTAGGCGTTCGGATTGAAATCCGAGCCCAACGCCACAATCACTCCGTTTTCGATCATTTTGCGAGCCGGTGGCGGTGTCAAACGGAGAATGAACGCGGTGGAGGGTAAGAGTACGGCCACGCATCCGGACTCGGCCATCGCCTCGATTCCCGCGTCGGAGATCTCTTCCAGGTGCGACATCGCACGGGCCTCAAATTGTTTTTGATGATATTGTGGGTTTAGAAGCTGGTGGAAGACGTTTTTGCTCTAATTTTGAATGATTCTGACTACGCTGGTTTTTGAACGCATATAACCGCGTTAAGAGTCGACTTTTGACGCTCGAAAAGTGTGAGCGTAATCTTCACGAATGGTACTGTAATTTTGTAGTTGACACATTTTTTGTAGCACCACTCCCTGGGGTACTGTAGCTCTTGGAAGTTAAGACTCAAATTTGACAGCTTTTAGCTATTGTCAACTTCAAAGCGTTACAGCACTCTTAGCAGCGACCGAATCGAAAAGTTTTCAACTACAAAAATACTTTTCGCATTTTGAACTTCATTTTTGTAGTTGACACTTTCATTGTAAAACCATTCCGTGGAGTACTGTAGCTCTTGGAAGTTGGCATTCAAATTTAGGCGCGTTTAGCTATTGTCAACTTCCAAGTGTTACAGTACTCTTAGCTGCGACCGTATCGAAAATGTTTCAACTACAAAAATACTCTACCAGATGTCACAAATCCCCAAAAAATTTTTCAGAACTCTAGAAAGTTTAGGAACTCTACAATATTCATTCATAGTTCGGCACTTCCACGTTCCACTTTCAACTCAAAACCAAAAGATCAGAAACCCCTCTCTCGCTCGTCAAGCATGTCCTCTTCCCTCGAATCGCTAATGAGCCAGTCGTGCGAAAATATTGTACACCTCATAAACATTTTTATAAATAAAGTTATTCTAAAAAAAAAAGTAGTCATACGCTCGCTCAAAACTAGAATGCAAATGAGCTACACTGGCTGCATTCCGTGGTCCGACCCGTTTTCCGAAAATATCCACTACATTTACCAGTTCTTCTATCTGTTCGCGGCCATCTGCCTCAACTACCGTATCCTCTACGTGATTTGGGTCTCGAAACGACAATTCTACAGTAATCAGTCGTTCTACAATCTCTACAGTATCGACTGTGCGCTCGGCATTCTCGCAATGTCTTTCGACCTCGCGTTCACCCGAGTTTTTCTCTTTTTTCCCCAATTATGCGAGTGTTTGTCGCGATTCGTCGGCGGATCCGCGGTTTTTATGCGAATTTTGTATGTAATCGTGGGCTATTTGAAAGCCGTCAAACCCATAATTCACATTTTCGTCGCGTTGAACCGAATGAGTTGTGTCCTGTTTCCGGTCACTTATAGTCAGGTTAGGTTTCAAGATTTACCATTGTTAGACATGAAAATGGTAGAGAATTTCAAGCTCTACAACTTTGTAGTTGAACATTTTTCACGAAATTGAATGTACGTTGAGATATTCGCGTTTTAGTAAAGCGTGTCATACTTTTGAGTGCGCTCTGGTAAATCGACAATATCTTCCTTCGTTCAAGGTATGGTACAAAATTGTCAACTACAAAGTTATAGAGCATCGAATTTTCTATCGATTCACTTTTTAAACAGCCAAAAAGATCAAAAATTGACCGAGATACAGTTAAGCGAAATATCGATTTTTTGCGGATTTCAGAATTGGGCACACCGCATGCGAGTCATGATTGTTATTATCGTTTTGGCGCCATTCGCAGTCATTTGGAACGTGGCCATCAGTGATAATTGGATAATTTACGAAAACGGCGGCTTCGCAATCACCTACACCCGTAGAGTTTCATGGGTAAGTGCTCTCAGAAAAAAAAAAGAATCTCAGCAATTTCAGGCATCCCTATCCCGAATGCAATTAAGTTTAATCATATTAACCGTGCTAATAACGATGGTGACGACTACAGTAACCTTCTACAAAATGCGGACGATGAAGAAGCGAATAAAGAGTTCGGAGCGGGCGCTCTGCCTCGCCGCCGCCCTCATTTCATTCGGATTTCTGTTGGAAGCCGTCACGCAGAGCGTTTTCGCGTTTTTCAAAGAAAAAGAATGGCTCGCCGATGTTATGGGCTACATTCAGTTCAGCACTTGGGACATTCTCAATGTCGGGTAACGTACAAACTTTGCCCAACATTTTTTTCTTCAATTTTTCTCGGATTTTTTCCCCATATTCTCCACATTTAAAGGTGGTGGGTGTCCAACATATTTTTAAAATAAACTGCGAAGTGGGGAATTCACTTTCCCAAAGTCCCGAATTACGAAAAAAAATTCCCCGATTTTTAAGATTTTTTTCAAAAAAGTTAATGGTACCGAGAGAGAGAGCTGGCCTAGATTTTTCTAGTCCCCGGATGGAATTCGACCTTTTTTCCGATTTTGTGTCCGTTTTCGTGCAATTTTCTTAAATTTTCAATCGTTTTTTCACTGAACACACACACTTATTTGCAATATTTAAAAAAATTTATAATTTTATCTGTGCCGTGACGCCAAAAAAATCGATAATCTGAAACTTTTTTTTGTTGTTTTTTTCCGGGTTTTTCGCTCAATCTTCGGTTTGCGCGCTGAAAAATAAATAACTGAATTTCTGAATTTTGCTGAATTTTGAAAGTTTCAGATTATCGATTTTTTTGGCGTCACGGCACAGAAAAAATCATACATTTTTTAAAATATTGCAAATAAGTGTGTTCAGTGAAAAAACGATTGAAAATTTTAGAAAATTGCACGAAAACGGACACAAAATCGGAAAAAAGGTCGAATTCCATCCGGGGACTAGAAAAATCTAGGCCAGCTCTTCCATTTCGCCGTCTACTTCTCTCGGTCTTAAAAATCGGGGAATTTGTTTCGTAATTCGGGACATTGGGAAAATGAATGCCCCACTTTGAAGTTTATTTTAAAAATATGTTGTATGTCACGTTGGACACCACCTTTAAGCCATTTTTTTTGAAAAAAGTTGCGCTTTTTCAAAGTTTACTATTCGTGAGCTTTCAGGTCTCCGCTGGTACTTTTGCTCGTGAGCCACCAATTCCGTGCGCACGTACTTTCGATCCGAACCCGACGGGCTCATCGCGTTTCCTCGATCAACACTGCCGCCGCCGCCCAACACCAGCATCAGAATCATCCGACTATGACGAGGTGCGCAAGAAAAAGTTACTTCCGCGTGTGCACTAGTCTTGCTCTTTGAGCTACAGTAACCCTGCACACATCCCTTAGTCGGTGGTCACACACACACAATTCTCAGAATCCGTGACGATCAAAAAGCGGCGGCGCGCGTGCTCAAAGTTCGAAACGTGTAATTAGTCGTCGCGTTTCTCGTGATACAAGTCTCGCGAGACTCGACGATATTATCCATTCGCATTTTCACGCTTTTCAGCTCACAAGTCGTCTCCTAAATGGCGCCGGTCTACTCGAAAAACTGCAGCGACGAGTTTAATCCGATCGTCGAGAATTTCAAGTTCGCCGCCCAGACACTCTACCTCGTTCCCCTTCTTTTACTCCTAATCTGGATGGTCATCACTATCCGCTTCCGGCATCGCAAGCACTACGCCTACGATCTCTTCTTTTGGCTCTTCACCGTCGATTGCGTGGCGGTAAGTGCAAATCTGTGCAAAGATTCGAAAAAAGCTCGTCAAAACGGGTCGTTTGGTATCAATCATGCCCTGGTTCGGAGTGATGCGCTCGGTGGCCTAGGTTTTGCAACGCATGGCCTAGAAAACCAAATTTCGCGAATACCCGCTTTTTGAGTGTCTAGAAGCGTGTTTTAACACTATAAGAGCCCAAAAACGTGAAAAAATGTGTCAAATGTTGCAGAGCATCCTCCTAATCCTGCAGGACCTGCTCGTGACTCGTCTCTTCCTCTACACCCCTCAACTTTGCCCGAAATTCTCGCGGATTTTCATCGATAACCCCATTATTTTGAACATCTACTTCCCGTTTTACAATTACGTGCGAGCGCTCAAACCGCTGGCCCAATGTGCAATGATTGTGGCCAGATATTTGGAGATTTTCATGTCTTTGCGAATTGACAAGGCATTTTTCCGGTCTTTTTCCCAAAAAATGCCAACTTTTTTAGCGTTCTCCTCGATTACCGACGATTTTCGCGTCAATTGTCTGCATTTTACCGCTTTTCGTCATTGCGAACACGATAATATCGGAAAAAGAGGTCGTTTTCTGGCACGGCGGATTCTTTGTCATCTACCATCGACATTTCACTTGGGTAGGTTGTCCAACTTTGCTCTACCGTAACTCGGTCCATTTTGAAGATTTTGCAATAGTTGAAAAACAAAAAGATAGATAAATTGATGGGCTACAACTTTGCAGTTGAACACTTTTCACAAAAACGCGCCTACTCGGAGATACTAGCGTTTTCCTGACAGATACGCAATTTTGACTCAACTAAAAGTGTCGCTTTAGAAACACGGTTATATCTCAAAATTGAAACAGTATCGCAAAAAGTGTTCAACGACAAAGTCGTAGAGAATAAAATTTTCTATCAATTTGTTTTTTAATCATCACAAAAGCTGTAAAATTGACCGAGATACAATAGCTCAAAGTTCAGTAATTTTCCTTCAATCACATTCCTATCAAACTTCTCAAAGAATCCGAAATGTTTGCAGATAAGTCTGTCAAAACTTCATTTCTCAATCCTTATCATCACTATAATCACAAATTGGATCGTTTCTATGCTCTACATACGCAACTTCGACGCGACCGAATTCGCAAAAACCATTCCGGTGTTTGTGGGCCCAACTCTCTGCGTTTCCGTCGGATTCTTCCTCCAAGCAATCTTCCACAGCTACTATGCCTTTTTCCGCGACTCCTCTTGGTTCCCGACCATTTTGCTCGATGCCCAATTTCTATTCTACGACCTCGTCACTATTCTGTGCGTTTTCCGACGGTTTCAGGCGCAAATTCGGGTTGTCCGTGTGATTTGAAAAGTTTTGATATACATCATGACCCAGTTTGGTCGCGCTTTTGATTTTGTGTACTTGGCGTGACGTGCTCCGCGAGCCCTGGAGCTCCAAAAATTTTTGACGATAAATGTTGACAATATGGGTATCAAATCACTGGGAATTATCTCAAGAGCTCAAAAAACCACGTGAAAGAGTGAAAATGTGAGGTTTAGCAGCATTTTTTCAGGACACCATTGTTCACTATGGAAAGGTCAAAGTTCTACGATCATCTTTTCGAGCCGAAGAAACTTGCGTACAATTATTTCGAGAATGAACCTTCGCGGGACATTGAAATGCACAATATTACGGGAACGGAAGCGTCGGCAGTGCTTGACGCTCCAACTATTGTCGATAATGATGTTTAAAAGTCATTGAAGCAAAAGTTGATATTATCCACCCGAAATTCACATTTTCGAGCTCATCTTCTCATTATTTTTCCGCTTTTTTGTTGCCAATATCATCTTCTTCTTCTTCTTCTTCTCCTCCTTTTTGTTTCTTGTCAGAATAAAGTTTTCACTTGAAACCGCCACTATTCATCGCCCAAAATGACAAATTCGACGGCGTTTTTGGGCTGCAGTCATTCCTATGACAATTTCATCGAAAATTCGAAATTCGCCGCTCAACTGGCCTATTTGATACCGTCGTTTCTATTGATATCGAGAATGATGTACGTGATTATGTGGTCGCATCGAGACGACTACAATATCAGTCCGTTTTGGACCATCTACACGATCGATTGCGTTTTTGTGAGTTTTCTGCGTTCCAATTTTGCGCCCCATCTTTGTAGGTTCATATCTTTCGAACCAGCAACCGTATCAAAAAGTGGTCAACTGAAAAATTGTTGGAAATTTTGTCCTCTACAACTTTGTAGTTGATCATTTTATCCCAAAATGTCTCCGTCTAAAGTTATGCGTCTAGTTATTGTTGTAACGGCGCTAAAGCCATTCTTGTCGTGAAAAGTGGACAAAAAAGGTGATTCAGGGAGCCATCCACATCTTCTTCGACATTTTCTACTTTCGTCTGACGATTTTCGTGCCGCAAGTCTGCGAATCCTTCTCGTTTTTCCTCCGCTCCAACCCGTTTCTCATCCACATCTCCTTCCCCCTCTGGTATTATCTTCATGTCGGACGAATGTTGACGCAAGTCTTTATTTGTGTCGAACGATGTTGTTTCAATTTGATGACACCCAAAAACTATCGAAAACTCTGGATATCCAGAGAGAAAATGATGAATTTCGTCGTTGCCACCATCTTCACATTCCCGTTTTCGATTATTTGGAACATTTTGATATCGGAAAAGTATATTCAGTACTATTACGGCGGATTTTCACCCGGATACGCGAGACGCGTCAACTGGGCGAGTTTATCCAAGAGTTTTCCATTTTTATCCCATAAATATTGTCGCTTCAGTTCAGCACAACCGCGTGGCAATTGTCGTACATGCAAGTGTCCATGACCATCGTAATCCTCACAAATATTGTGCTCATCTCGAATTGGGCACTCAAGCGACGAGTGCGTCCGGGTATCGAATGTCGGATAAGTTTATCGATATCCATCGAATATTTGTGTGTCGGTCTCGTCTTTTGCTACCTTCACATTCGAAAATTCGCCTTCGACGACAACAACTTCATCTACGTGCTCGTCTTTTTCACTTGGGACGCATTCAATTGTCTGTGAGTTCGGCTGCTCTTCGATATTCATCGATAAAAGTGTTGATAAGTGTGGATAAACGTTTTCAGAAGTCCCATTATAATGACAACGTTTAATGGTCATTTGAGGAAACAAGTGTTTTCGAGCGAGCCCATCGATGACGACATTTTCCATCCCCGCTAGCCCGGCTGATCACTTGAGATCCACCTTGGCTCATTATATTGTAGGACCACGTCATCTGGTTCCTCATGTCTAGCCATTTCTATGCCCTTTTTCACATTTAAAATGTTCCACCTGTCCCCAGCATGGGCGGAAAACACACACACACACACACGCAAAAACGAATTAGCCGGGTCAATGCAATTTTGCCGGGAAACCGATAATAGTCGAAAACAAAGAAAGCGATTATATTGTCGTGTTCTTTGCAAGAAATGTCCTCCTCGAACATGACGAGAATGTTCGGTGGCGACGGGTGTAGTCAGGAGTACAACGCCGTCGTCGAAAACTTGAAATACATCGGCCAAGTGTGCTATTTCCTGCCCGCCGCTATTGTCCATCTCCGAATTCTCGCGATTCTCCTCCATTTCCATCGAAAAATCTACATGGTCCAATCGTTTTTCGTCCTTTTTTCGATGGATTCCATTGCGGTACTCGCGTCTGGTCTGTCCGCGCTTCTCCTTTTCAATTTTTCAAATTGCAGAGCTTGACCCAAGTATTGTTCGACGTTGGATTCTCGCGAGTCTTCATGTACATTCCGCAAGTGTGCCCGATATTGTATGGCTATTTTGAGCGGCACACGGCGTTTCCGCATTTTCAATTCACACTATACAATTATATGCGAGCCGCCAAGTCGGTTATTCAAGTGTTCATGACGTTGAATCGAATGACATGTGTTTTGATGCTTTTGGAGTACGGACAGGTGCGCTCGTTGGAACCGTTGGTGGCCTAGCTTTTGCAATTGGTGGCCTAGAAAACCAAACTCGTCAAAAGCAGGCTCAACCTCTCGTTTTCAGTTCAAATTCGGAATAAGCTCGTTAGAAGGAGTGGATTTGGTATACCACTTGCCCTAGAAGCCTTGCTTTTCCACTGATGGCCTAGCTTTTGCAATTGGTGGCCTAGAAAACCAAACTCGCCAAAAGCAGGCTCAACCTCTCGTTTTCAGTTCAAATTCGGAATAAGCTCGTTAGAAGGAGTGGATTTGGTATACCACTTGCCCTAGAAGCCTTGCTTTTCCACTGATGGCCTAGCTTTTGCAATTGGTGGCCTAGAAAACCAAACTCGCCAAAAGCAGGCTCAACCTCTCGTTTTCAGTTCAAATTCGGAATAAGCTCGTTAGAAGGAGTGGATTTGGTATACCACTTGCCCTAGAAGCCTTGCTTTTCCACTGATGGCCTAGCTTTTGCAATTGGTGGCCTAGAAAACCAAAATTGTCAAAAGCAGGCTTAACCTCTTGTTTTCACTTCAAATTCGGAATAAGCTCGTTAGAAAGAGTGGATTTGGTATACCACTTGCCCTAGAAGCCCTGCTTTTGCACTGATGGCCTAGCTTTTGCAATTGGTGGCCTAGAAAACCAAATGAGCTCGTTTTGAGGCTCAATTTGATACATCACATGTCCTAGTAGCCTCAATTTTGCAGCATCAGTTTCTAGAAAAAGTGTTTCAGATGTGGCGTCGATTCATGCCAATCGCCATTGCCATCGTCCTCCTCACGCCGTTCCTCGTCATTTGGAACGTGATAATCTCCGATGCGTTTCCGGCGCCCATATTCGGCGGCTTCACGCTGACCTACTCGAAACGGGTGCGATGGGCGAGTCTGTCGCTGTTCCAGATGAGCCTCATGCTGCTCGCCGTCTCGATAACCGTCGCGAGCACTTTGGTCACTCTGCTCAAGATGAGACGGCTCGAAAATCGGCTGAAAAGCTCCGAACGGACACTTTGTCTCGCCTCCTTCTACATTTCCGCCGGTTTCCTCGCCGCCGCCCTTTTTCAGGCAAGTTTGCACGCATTTGTACAAAGATTCATGAACTTTGCATGTCCATTTGATTCTCTAGCTATTGTAGGCTCACAAAAAGACGTACAAGTACCCGTAAGACCCCAAAAGTGTGACAATATGGGTATCGAAACTATCCAAATCGGTATTTCTCATTCCAGAGCTACTTTGCGTTCGTCGGAATCACCGCCGCCTCCACTGATCTCTTCTATTTCCTTCAAGGATTCTCGTTCGACGTGCTCAACGTCGGCTCCCCAATTGTGATGCTGTTTCTGAGCGCTCAACTGAGATATCATGTGATTCCTGTGAAAATGATGGTCTCACGCAAGGCCACAGTAGTCTCAGTGACCTCTGTGAGCAGAATTTAGTGAATTTGTGATATTGTCAGTTGCGTTTTTGGCAAGAAAAAGTCAAACTTTGACCTACCGTAACTTGGTCCATTTTTACGATTTTTTGACAGTTAAAAAACGAATCGATAGAAAATTTCAAGCTCTTTAACTTTGTAATTGATCATTTTTTACGATTATCTATAAGCAGTGAGATATAAGTGTTTTACTGTAGCCCTATGATTTTAGATCATCTCAAAAACGGTACTCTATAATAAAACGTCTATATCTCAACGCTCACGAACTTTTGCGAAAATTTGTCAACAACAAAGTGATAGAGCATAAAAATATCTATCAAACCATTTTTTAACTGTTAAAAAATCTTTAAAACTGGCCAAGATACTGTAGTTCAAAGTCGGACCTCGAACTAATATTGTACTTTTCTCAATTTGATGACGGATTTGTTAATAAACGCTTATGATTCATTTATTTTTTCGCATTTTCACATGCTCACAACTATTGTTCACCTGTAGAGTTGTGCCAATTCTCAGGCGTTCCCGAAAAAGAGACGCAAAACTATTATCCTCTTTTCTGTTCGTTTCTCAACTTTGTAGCCTGATCAATTGAGATACCATGTGGTCCCCGTGAGACGGACGGTCCCACACAAGACCACAGTGGTCTCAGTGACGTCGAGCGAGCATAGTTGCACAATTTCAGAGCATTTCTTGCAGAAACCGTTTGATCGTTGAACCCCCGCATTCAACTGGAAACATCAAAAGAGCATTCACATCGGGTCACGCTTCTTTTTCTTCTGCTCTTTGCTCACGTCAAAATGAGCTGTTCGGACGTGCTCCAGGAGGGCTGCAACCCAGACTTTCCCGTGTTTTGGGAGAATCTGAAATACTTGGGCCAAGTGTGCTATTTCCTGCCCGCCGCTATTGTCCATCTCCGAATTCTCGCGATTCTCCTTCATTTTCATCGAGCAATCTACATGGTCCAATCGTTTTTCGTCCTTTTTTCCGTGGATTCCATTGCGGTACTCGCGTCTGGTCTGTCCGCGCTTCCCCTTTTCAAACTTTTCAAATTTCAGAGTCTAACCCAAATAGTTATCGATGTTGGCATTCAACGAATCGCCCTGTACATTCCGCAAGTCTGTCCGATATTGTATGACCACTTTTTGGCGCACCGCACTTTTCCGCACTCCTATTTTGTGATTTACAATTATATGCGAGCCGCCAAGTCGGTCATTCAAGTGTTCATGACGTTGAATCGAATGACATGTGTTTTGATGCCTTTGGAATACGGACAGGTGAGCTCGTTGCAACCGTTGGTGGCCTAGCTTTTGCAATTGGTGGCCTAGAAAACCAAACTCGCCAAAATCAGGCTCAACCTCTCGTTTTCAGTTCAAATTCGGAATAAGCTTGTTAGAAGGAGTGGATTTGGTATACCACTTGCCCTAGAAGCCTTGCTTTTCCACTGATGGCCTAGCTTTTGCAATTGGTGGCCTAGAAAACCAAACTCGCCGAAAACAGGCTCAACCTCTCGTTTTCAGTTCAAATTCGTAATAAGCTCGTTAGAAGGAGTGGATTTAGTATACCACTTGCCCTAGAAGCCTTGCTTTTGCACTGATGGCCTAGCTTTCGCATTGGTGGCCTAGGAAACCAAACTCGCCGAAAACAGGCTCAACCTCTCGTTTTCAGTTCAAATTCGGAATAAGCTCGTTAGAAGGAGTGGATTTGGTATACCACTTGCCCTAGAAGCCTTGCTTTTGCACTGATGGCCTAGCTTTTGCAATTGGTGGCCTAGAAAACCAAACTCGCCGAAAACAGGCTCAACCTCTTGTTTTCAGTTCAAATTCGGAATAAGCTCGTTAGAAGGAGTGGATTTGGTATACCACTTGCCCTAGAAGCCTTGCTTTTGCACTGATGGCCTAGCTTTCGCATTGGTGGCCTAGAAAACCAAATTTCCGATAAAATGGGCGACGCTTTCCTTCAGATCTGGCGCCGAATGATGCCGTTCACCGCTGCAATCATCGCCCTCTCCCCGCTGCTCGTCATCTGGAACATCATCATCTCCGACGTCTTTCCGGCCTCCTCATTCGGCGGATTCGGCGTGGCCTACTCGAAACGGGTGCCCTGGGCGAGTCTTTCACTCTTCCACCTCGTATTCATGCTGCTCGCCGTCTCGATAACCGTCGCGAGCACTTTGGTCACTCTGCTCAAGATGAGACGGCTCGAAAATCGGCTGAAAAGCTCCGAACGGACACTTTGCCTCGCCTCCTTCTACATTTCCGCCGGTTTCCTCGCCGCCGCCCTCTTTCAGGCAAGTTTGCACGGATTGTCCGGTTTGAGAGCATTCACAATTCCCAGAGCTACTTTGCGTTCTTCTTCGTGCCCGGCACGAACGTCGGAATCTTCTATTTCCTTCAAGGATTCTCGTTCGACGTGCTCAACGTCGGCTCGCCCGTTGTGATGCTGTCTCTGAGTGCTCAACTGAGATATCATGTGATTCCTGTGAGACGGCTGGCTCCACGCAAGACCACAGTGGTCTCAATGACCTCGGGCACCAGAGTTTTATAGAATCACACCGTTTTTTTGCAATAAAATGTGACGGAACGCTGAGAGAATTTGCAGAAGGACAGCAGTGAAGCGAGCAGAAATCAGAAGAAGAATCCCACACGTTTTTCCCCAATTTTCCCACAATTATTTCCCATAATTCCTCTTCTGTTTCGAATATTGTCCGTTCACAACATGAACGCCTCCTGCAACCCAGATTTTCCCGTTTTTTGGGAGAATCTGAAATACATCGGCCAAGTGTGCTATTTCCTGCCCGCCGCTATTGTCCATCTCCGAATTCTCGCGATTCTCCTTCATTTCCATCGAGCAATCTACATGGTCCACTCGTTTTTCGTCCTTTTTTCTGTGGATTGCATTGCGGTACTCGCGTTTGTTCTAAATTTCCGAAAAAAAACAAGTTTCAGAGTCTAACACTCATCATAATCGACGTTTTTCTAGTCCGAATAGCAATTTACGTTCCGCAAGTGTGTCCGATATTGTATGGCTACTTTTTCGAGCACACACTTGTACCCCATTCCTCTTTTGTCGTGTACAATTACATGCGAGCCGCCAAGTCGGTCATTCAAGTTTTTATGACGGTTAATCGAATGACATGCGTTGTTACGCCTTTGGAATATGCAAAAGTGAGTAAAAGGGCTTGTCGAGACGAGTATAAGGGCTGGAAGCGTTGATGGCCTAGGTTTTGCAATAGGTGGCCTAGAAAACCAAATTTGTCAAAAATAGGCTCTCTTTTCGAGTTCAAATTCGGAATAAGCGTGTTAAGAGGGAGTGCTTTGGTAAACCACTTGCCCCAGATGCCTAGCTTTTGCACCCATGGCCTAGAAACCCAATTTTCAACACATAGGCCAAATCTTACAGAACTGGCGTCGATTCGTACCCTACTCGCTCGCTATTATCGTCTTCTCGCCGCTGCTCGTCATTTGGAACGTGATAATATCCAACGTCTACCCGATTCCAGTGTTCGGCGGCTTCACGCTGACCTACACGAAACGGGTGCGATGGGCGAGTCTGTCGCTGTTCCAGATGAGCCTCATGCTGCTCGCCGTCTCGATAACCGTCGCGAGCACTTTGGTCACTCTGCTCAAGATGAGACGGCTCGAAAATCGGCTGAAAAGCTCCGAACGGACACTTTGCCTCGCCTCCTTCTACATTTCCGCCGGTTTCCTCGCCGCCGCCCTCTTTCAGGCAAGTTTGCACGCATTTGTACAAAGGCTCATGAACTTTGCATGTCCATTTCAACTTTTAGCTATTGTAGGCTCACAAAAAGACGTACCCCGAAAGTGTGACAATATGGGTATCGAAACTTTCGAAATCGCGCGGAGAACTCAAAAAACACCAACTCTTTTCAATTCCAGTGCTGTTTCGCCTTCCTCAACACCACTTCCGCACTGGCTATTGTCTACTTCCTTCAATATTTCGTATCCGACGCGTTGAACGTCGGCTCGCCGCTCGTGATGCTATTGCTGAGCGCTCAATTGAGAAATCATGTGATTCGTGTGAAACGCTCGCCGGCCACGACGTCTACAATATCCGTTTCGTCGGCTGCGGCAAAGTGTAGCTAATATTGTGTAGTTCAATAAATCGGTATCAGGCCCGAAAACACGTAGAACGCAACGAAGCGCGCGGCGCGAATCGAAGCGGAAACGTTATACTCTGCTCTCTTTTCCGCTGTTTTCTGTTCGCATTTTTCGATATCCGTCCACTTCCGTATCTTTCCAACAAAAAAAATGCCACGTTTCGACACTTCCGGACAGGTGTGCAACAGTTCCATCTTCAAAACGGCAGAGGAAAACGCCAGATATGTGTTTATCGCCGCCTACAGTATCCCCGGATTTCTGATGAACTTACGCCTTCTCTGGATATTGTCGGTGTCGCACAAAGATTTTTATATGGCCCAGCCGTTTTTTGTCCTTTTTGGATGTGATATTTTGTTGGTAAGTGTGACGAAAAGTTGAGTTACAATAAGTTTAACTTTCATAAAAGTTGACAAACTTTTAATTGATATTGTAGAGTTCTACAACGTTCTAGGCGCTTCAGAACAATTTTTTTTGAAATCTTGACACCTGGTACTGTATTTTTGTAGTTGACACTTTTGCTGTACAATCACTTCCCGGGGTACTGTAGCTCCGGGAAGTTGGAGTTGAAATTTAGGGGCGTTTGGCTATTGTCAACTTCCGAGCGCTACAGTACCCCGGTAGGTGGTGATAGAGACAAGTTGTCAACTACAAAAATATTCTTCACGTCTTGAACGTCATTTTTGCTCTTGACAACGTTTTTGTACAACCACGCGCTGAGGTACTGTAGCGCTTGGAAGTGGACAATAGCCAAAAACCCGCAGTTTTCTGTTCCAACTTTGGCGAGCCACAGTACTCCAACGAGTGATCGTATCAAAAAAGTGGCAACTACAAAAATGACCCGCTAGATGTCAAGATTTCGCTCCGAAAGTTCCAGAGTCTCCTGCGCACGCCGCTCATGCTACTCGTCAACCATCCGATCAACTACATTCCCCAACTGTGCGGCACCCTTGCCGATTTCTACAACACCCACGCGTTCCTCATCCACATCTTCCACCCGCTCATTTTGTATTTGAAAAACGCGAAAATCGCCGTGCAAATCGTGCTGAGCGTGAATCGAATGACGTGTGTGCTCGCGCCGGTGAAACACACAATATTCTGGCAGACACGATTGAGGATCGTCGTCTTCGCGATTCTCGTCTACCCGTTTTTCATCATTTGGAACGTGATAATATCGGAAAAGGGATTGGTTAGCACGTTCGGCGGCTTCTCGTTCGAGTACGAAAGAGCCGTGCAGTGGGTGAGTCGGTGGGCAGCAAGGCTCGGGCCGAGAATGCGCATTTGCAGGCGGCTCTATCCCTGCTAACGAGCGTCTCTCTGCTCGTCGCCGTGCTCATCATCTCGCTGTGCTCTTTTGTGACCGTGCTCCGAATGCAGACGCTCCAGAATCGATTGCAGAAGACGGAACGCCACGTGTCCGTCGCCACCGTCTGGACCAATTTCGCCTTTTTCCTCATCGCCGCCAGCCAAGTCTACTTTCTGTTTTTCTACGGAAACGTGGAGAGCGCGTGGCGAAACTTCTTCTATTTCCTCAACGACATCTCGTACGACGTGCTCGACTTCGAGGGCGTTCTCGTCATTCTGATAGTGCCCAAGCTGAGAGCGCACTTTGTCGGCAGACGTGTGGCCGCCGCACGTGGTGCGGTTCGGTCGATGAGCTCTTCCCAATAAACCGTTTTTTGTGGTCTTTTGTTGTTGGTTTGCAAGCGAGAATTTGCGAGAATTTGCGAGAATCTCCGGAACAGACACATGTTACAAAAGCGCGAGAAACTTCCGAGAATTTGCGAGAATCTCCGGAACAGACACATGTTACGAAAGCGCGAGAAACTTCCGAGAATTTCCGAGAATCTCCGGAACAGACACATGTTACAAAAGCACGAGAAACTTCCGAGAATTTGCGAGAATCTCCGGAGCAGACACATGTTACAAAAGCGCGAGAATTTTCGAGAATTTGCGAGAATCTCCGGAACAGACACATGTTACAAAAGCGCAAGAAACTTCCGAGAATTTGCGAGAATCTCCGGAACAGACACATGTTACGAAAGCGCGAGAAACTTCCGAAAATTTGCGAGAATTTGCGAGAATCTCCGGAACAGACACATGTTACGAAAGCGCGAGAAACTTCCGAGAATTTGCGAGAATCTCCGGAACAGACACATGTTACGAAAGCGCGAGAGTTTGCGAGAATCTCCGGAACAGACACATTTTACAAAAGCGCGAGAATTTGCGAGAATTTGCGAGAATTTGCGAGAATCTCCGGAACAGACACATGTTACGAAAGCGCGAGAGTTTGCGAGAATCTCCGGAACAGACACATTTTACAAAAGCGCGAGAATTTGCGAGAATTTGCGAGAATTTGCGAGAATTTGCGAGAATTTGCGAGAATCTCCGGAACAGACACATGTTACAAAGTTGACATGATTTGAAGAAAATTGAGTGCCAAGCGAGAAACTTCCGAGAATTGGCGAGAACCCCAAAAAAAAGTCAATATTGTCCGTTTCCGAATGCACCCAACCAACTTGCTCGTTTGAGTGTTCTCCGCCGTCAGCAGCATCCTCATTATCATTGAACCGTATCCGACGGACCGAGTGGAGCGGAAATCTCGACTCTTTCTTGTTTCCCTTCAAAAACTCGATTCATTCAATGATGCCCCGTCTGACTCGCATCGACATTTCCGAGCCGGTTTGCAACCAAACCGGCTACGATACGTTGACGGAAAATTTAAAGTATTTCGCAATCGCCGCCTACAGTATTCCGGGATTTCTGATGAATTTCCGCATGATTTGGGTCATTTTGGTCGTCGAACGCGGCGTCTATATGGCTCAACCGTTTTTTGTCCTTTTCGCACTCGACGTCGGCGTGGTGAGTGGAAACTTGCGAGAAAATGCGGAAATTTGCAAGAAATTTGCGAGAAATTGCGGAAATTTGCGAGAAAATGCGGAAGTTTGCGAGAACTTTCAAGAAATTGCGGAAGTTCGCGAGAACTTTCAAGAAAATGCGGAAATTTGCGAGAATCCCACTTCCAGAGCCTATTGCGAACATTTCTGGAGCTCCTCCTCAACCGACCGGCCCTCTACGTGCCCCAACTCTGCGAAACCCTCTCCCAATTCTACCGCACGTCTCCCTGGCTAATCGATATTGTCTATCCACTGTCTCACTACCTGAAACAGGCGAAAATGATCCTACAAATCGTTCTAAGCCTGAATCGATTGACGTGCGTCCTCGCACCCGTCCAACACACTGTCTTCTGGCAAAATCGATTGAAATGGGTCGTCGGTGTGGTCGTGTGCTATCCGTTTCCGATTATTTGGAACTTGATAATATCGGACAAGGCCATGTCGAGCACTTTTGGCGGATTCGCGTTCGTTTACAATCGAGCCGTGACGTGGGTGCGTTTTTGTGAGGACTTTTGCGCGAGACACCGTATCTTGATTATTTTTTGAGATTTTTTGACGGTTAAAAAATGAATCGAAAGAACATTTCATGCTCTTCAACTTTGTAGTTGACAACGTTTTACCATTTTGCCTGTACGCCGAGAAATGCTAAGATTACTGTAGGTCTTCAGATTTATAGACGCTTACAAAGAGTGAGGACAAGAAAAACGTCTATATCTCAACGCCCACACATTTTCGCAAGAAAATTTCAACTACAAAGTTGAAGAGCATAAAATTGTCTATCGATTAGTCTTTTAAACATTGCAAATTGTCAAAAATCGACCGAGATACGGTCCCTCAAAGTTGGGCATTGTTGTATGCGCCCAAATATCGATTTTTCAGGCCAGTCTATCGCTATTCTCTTCGATATCCCTAATATCCGCTTTGATAATCATTACCACGTCAACCCTGATTACACTTTTCAAAATGTCGACCCTCAAAAATCGATTGATCCAAACCGAACGTCTTCTGTGTTTCGCCACAACTCTAACCAACTTCGCCTTCTCCCTCATGGCCATTTCTCAAGTTTATTTCCTATTTTTCAATGCCGACTCGCAAAGTGAATGGTCCAGCTTCTTCTATTTCCTCAATGACGTCTCCTATGATGTACTCGATGTCGGGTAGGTTCTTTTTTCTAAATTTTTGAGTACAACCTAACATTTTGCAGTTCCGTACTCATCATTTTGTTTGTGAGCGCACAGCTACGCGGTCATTTCTTCCGCACAAATGCCGCTTTGATTCGCTCGACGACCGTCCAATCGCTCAGCACTTCCCAATGAGAAAACTCGCGGTATTTGTGAGTTTTCGAGTTCTCCAGCCGATTTGCAAAGTTTTGATACCCATATTGCTATAGTTTTGGAGTTTTTTCGGATTTCAGGGTCTTGGGGGTACATGGAAGCCTACAATAGTTGAAAAATACTAAAATTGACGGAAATGGGTCATGTGGTATGTCAAATCACTCGAAATTTCATCCTAAATTCGAATCCAACAATATCAAAGCTCTACAGCGCTAGGTTTTGTATTGTCAATTCAACTTTTGATCTCAAAAGATCTGCATCGAATCACATGTGTCGCTCCCATCACTTTCCGCATTTTTGCATTCTCACGCTCCAACAATCGCGTGTAGTTTGCGTGTTTTTGCTCAGATTTACTTTTGAAAAAGGTAGATGAACTCATTGAAACTTGCCGATATGAAAAGAGACGTGAAAATACTTCCGGGTCCCCGTTTCCTACATTTTCTAACGCATTTCTATTCAGTTTTCGAGATAATCGGATTCTTTGCAAGATTTCAAAAGTTTTGACACCCATAACGCCTCATTTCTGACAACTTTTCGGTTTTTGGTACTGGGGCCTACACCGCACATTTCAACATGACCCGACAATAGCGGAAACGTCAAGTTGTTCAAATTACGTCATGATGTATATCAAATCACTCCAAATTTCATCCTGATTCCGAATTTCACAATATCAAAGCTCTCCATGTACGGCAAACTTCAAAAATGTCAGTCTTTCAGCGCGCTGGATGTCATCAACAACCGAATTGCCGTTGATAACTCAAATTGCGCTTTTCGAGCGCAAATGCGATTCCACGTATTCCTGGTTGGCGGAAAATCTGAAATATTCGGTGCAACTCGTTTATCTGCTGCCCGCCGCCTGCCTACACGCCCGAATTCTCTGGATTCTGTGCTGGAAGTATCGAACGTTCTACATGAAACACTCGTTCTACGTCCTCTTCTTCATCGACTGCCTCGTCTGCTTCATTTTGGTGCTGATGGACATTTGTTTCGCGCGAGTCTTCCAGTATTTTCCACAGTTTTGCGAGCCCATGTCAAACTTCGTCAAAGTGAGTCGATTTTCGAGTTCTCCACGTGATTTGGAACGTTTTGCCACCCATATTGTCTTGCTTTCGTGGAGGGGGTGCATGAGCACGTTTAAGTGACGCTACAATATCGGAAATTAGAATCTGACGTCTAAAATCGATTCAGACGACGCCCGTTTTCGCGGCCATCTATTATCCGCTTCAACAACATCTCCACTGCGCCCAACCGGTCGTTCAAGTCCTTTTGACGTTGAACCGAATGTCGTGCGTACTGCTTCCGTTGAAATATAGTCAGGTGAGTGTGGAAAAGTGGTAAACAACGTGGGAATGCGTTTTTTTTTTTTTTGCAAAAGAAACTTTCAGATATGGACCGATTCTATGAAATACGCGATTGCACTTGTGATCTTCGCTCCGTTTCTGTTCATTTGGAATGTGATAATATCGAAAAAAGTGCCGATTTATACGTTTGGCGGATTCTATGTCGGATACGAGCGCGTCGTGTTGTGGGTGAGATTTTTGGATTCTCCGCGTGATTTGAAAAGTTTCGATACCCATAATGCTATAGTTTTGAGCAAATTTTGATTTGGCACTTTTTACGTGACCCTACAATATCCAAATTTTCAAGTTGCTCAACATCGGGCATGATGTATGTCAATCCACTGCAAATTTCCTCCTGAATTCGAATTTGACAATGAAAACTTATCAATTTCACTTTTAGGCCACCATGAGCTTGTTCCTCCTGATTCTCCGAGCAACTACGATCGCCATCACTGCCTTTTCGACACTAATCACCGTATTTCGGATGTCTCAGCTGAGCAAACGATTGATCTCGTCCGAACGAACACTTTGCATCGCCTCTTTTCTGATCTCGGCGTGTTTTCTGGGAACTGCGGCGGCGGAGGTGAGTGCAGAGTGAACTTTTCGAGTTCTCCACGTGATTTGCAAAGTTTCGATACCCATATTGTCGTATTTTCAAAAAAAATTCGGTTTTCTGTTTAAGTGACCCTACAATATCGGAAATTTCAAGTCTTCCAAACTAGGTCATGATTAGTATCAAACTGCTTAAAATTTCGTCCTGAATTCGAATTTGACAATGAAAACTGGTCAGTTGCACTTTTTGGCCTTTTTAGAACACTATGAGCATTTTTAAAGTGACCCTACAATATCGGAAATTTCAAGTCATCCAAACTAGGTCATGATTAGTTTCAAACCGCTTCAAATTTCGTCCTGAATTCGAATTTGACAATGAAAACTGGTCAGTTGCACTTTTTGGCCCTTTTAGAACACTATGAGCATTTTTAAAGTGACCCTACAATATCGGAAATTTCAAGTCATCCAAACTAGGTAATGATTAGTTTCAAACCGCTTCAAATTTCGTCCTGAATTCGAATTTGACAATAAAAACTGTTCAGTTTCGCTTTTTGGACCTTTTAGAACACTATGAGCATTTTTCAAGTGACCCTACAATATCGCAAATTTCAAGTCATCCAAACTAGGTCATGATTAGTATCAAACCGCTTAAAATTTCGTCCTGAATTCGAATTTGACAATGAAATCTGGTCAGTTGCACTTTTTGGCCCTTTTAGAACACTATGAGCATTTTTCAAGTGACCCTACAATATCGGAAATTTCAAGTCATCCAAACTAGGTAATGATTAGTTTCAAACCGCTTCAAATTTCGTCCTGAATGCGAATTTGACAATGAAAACTGGTCAGTTGCACTTTTTGGCCCCTTTAGAACACTATGAGCATTTTTCAAGTGACCCTACAATATCGGAAATTTCTCAAGTTAAGATGTATACAATATGGGTATCAAAACGTTCGTCTCAACCTCCCAATTCCCGTATTTTCAGAGTCTTTTCGCGTTTTCGGTGGTGCGCACCTCGACGAGCATCTCCTATTTTCTGCTGCCCATCTCGTGGGACATTCTCAACGTCGGCACGCCGATCGTCATGGTTTTCGCGTCGAAACAGTTGCGTCAACGCGTTTTTTCGCGTTCCCGCCGATCGAGGAGCAATAGCAAAGTGGACGAAGGGAACATTGTGACGACTTGGACCGGCTTCTAACCCGCAATTATTCAATTGTCCTCGCGCCCATAAAAAATAACGTTTTCCCGTCGATTTCCACGTCTTTTTCACTCGATTTCCCATCCAAAAATGACAATTTCCGGTGCCGAAGAGTCGTGTGACCCGAACTACACTCCAATCTATGAAAACTTGAAGTATATTGTCCAACTATTGTATTTGCTGCCCGCTGTCGTCTTCCAAGCCCGTGTGGCCTACGTAATCGCGTGGAAACACAGGAAGCGATTGCAGAAACACAGCTTTTTCACTATTTTCCTTGCGGACTGTGTTGTCGTGGGTTTTTCGGGGTTTTTTGGGCTCCGCGCGAGATTTGGAGAACGTTTTGATACTATTCATCAACTTTTTTCGGGTTTTCCCGAAAATTTGCTCAAAATAGGTCGTGTCATAGACCAATCCGTTCCATTTTTCATCCTGAATCCGAATCTGACACTGCGCACCCTCGAAACCGACGCCAAACGGCGCTAGACCCCGAAAATCTCATCCGTAGCGAACTGATTGTTTAGCAGAGTTGAGCGCGGAAGAACACGGAAGAATTTTTATCTTTTTTAGAAAATTTTTTCATGAAATGCGATCAACTGACGAAATGTAGAGCAAAGTGAACTGTGCTTATAGAAAAATAATTGTAAATTTAGCGATTCATACAAAAAAGTTATTCGAGTTGTTGCGCGAAAAAAGCGGGGCCAACGGAACAACTCGAATAACTTTTTTGTATGAAAAGCTAAATTTACAATTATTTTTCTATGAGCACAGTTCACTTTGCTCTACATTTCGTCAGTTGATCACATTTCATGAAAACATTTCCAAAAAAAGATAAAAATTCTTCCGTTGAGTTCTTCCGCTCAACTCTGTTGTTTGTGGCCGGGCCGCACAACAAAGAGCACACAAACGCGACGAGAGATTCAATTAATTAATTAAGCGCAAACGTCGGCGGGCGCCAAAATTGGCATCGAAACTCGCGAAAAATCCTCCAACTATAGCACACTTGTTTCAGGGCATGCTTCTCGTGATCTCGTCGATTTTCGTCTCGCGGCCACTCATGTACACGCCCCAATTTTGCCAGTTTTTCACCGACTTCCTAGCGTCCCATTCGATCCTTCTCGACGTGTATTATCCGATTCTTCGTCATTTGCAGGCCGTGCAAATTTTGCTCCAAATGCTTCTAATCGCGAACCGTGCCACGTGTGTCCTTATTCCGACGAACTATACAATATTCTGGCGAGCACGTCGTCTACGCGCAATCCTCGTTTTCTCCGCGCTTTTGCCCGTCCTGTGCACTTGGAACATTGTGATCTCGGCGAAAGTGGTCCGTCACGCGTACGGCGGACTTTTTGTGTCCTACAATCGGTGGGCCAACTGGGTACCTAGCGTACGCCCCCGTTCTCGAACTTTTCATTTCCAATTTAGGCCCGCGCATCGCTGTTTTTCGCCATTCTCCGCGCAATCTCGATGATTTTCATCGCCGTCGCCACGTTTTTGACCGTTTTCAAAATGTCGAGAATGAAAAAGCGAGCGGTCGCGTCGGAGCATCGATTGTGTTGGGCGTCGGTGCTGATGTCCGTCTGCTTTCTTGTTCCCGCTCTAGCCGAGGTGAGGGTTACGGTAGACGGTAGATATTGTCGGATTCGGATGTAGGATGAAAAATCGATTCGATTGATGCATATTTTGTCCTATTTCGCACAACTTTTTTCGAATCGATATTGTAGGTTCACGCATGCACCAGTGAGCACCAAAACCAAAAAAATGTGCTCAAAATAGGACAATATGGGTATCAAAACGTTTCAAATCACCCGGAGAACGCGAAAATCATACTCGATCCAAAAACTTGAGCCTACAATATCTCGAATAGTCTGCTTTCTTGTTCCCGCTCTAGCCGAGGTGAGGGTTACGGTAGACGGTAGATATTGTCGGATTCGGATGTAGGATGAAAAATCGGTTCGATTGATGCATATTTTGTCCTATTTCGCACAACTTTTTTCGAATCGATATTGTAGGTTCACGCATGCACCACCATGCCCCAAAACCAAAAAAAAAGTGCTCAAAATAGGACAATATGGGTATCAAAACGTTTCAAATCACCCGGAGAACGCGAAAATCATACTCGATCCGAGACACTTGCCGCTCCGACATAAAATTGAATTCAGTTCCGCTACTATCAAAATCGTGATTCTCTCAACGGCTCCAACTGGGAATACGGCCTACTTTTGGTGTCCTGGGACGTTCAAGACATTGGGTAACTTCGCCAAAACCGTTTATCGCTCCGATTACTCGACACTTTTCCCAGATCGACAATAGTCATGCTTTTCGCAAACGCGCCGTTCCGTCGTTTGGCGCTCGGCGCGTCGAGAAAACCGCAAAACGCGATTCAAGTCACTTCGATATGACTAATCTCTAGAGCCTCTCGATCTGTGGCCTTGTTAAAATAGTTCCGCATGACCGGAAACCGCACCTTTTTTCAGTTTTCGTGTACGTTTTTCGCTTCTTTCACTCGTTCACCTCGAGTTTTGCAGAGTTTCGATGAGTTGCAACGTGAATTACACGCCGCTTGTGGAGAACTTCAAGTTCTTCCTACAAACCGTCTATTTGCTACCAATCGCCGTGCTATACTCGCGAATATTGTACGTGATTTGGTGGAAACATCAAAGTGTCTACAGTCGACACCAATTTTTCGTCATTTACTCGCTGGATGGTGTTGTGGTGAGTTGACTCTAGCATTTTCGGGTTCTACACGTAATTTGCAAAGTTTTGATGCCCATAATGTGATCCGACAATATCGGAAATGTCAAGTTGCTCAAAATAGGGCATCATATATACCAAACGACTGCAAATTGGCCCCTGAATTCGAATTTGACAATATCAGAGCTCAAAACGTAACTTAACGTTGGATAAAATGAGTTAAACGTTCAGGGCCTTCTGCTAGTCCTTCTGGACATCCTAATCACTCGTCTCTTCGTCTACATCCCCCAACTCTGCGAATCCGGCTCTCAATTCTTCCAGTCCCATCCGTTAATCATGGATTTCTATTATCCGCTTCTCAATTATCTGCACTGTGCCCAACCGTTCATCCAAATATTCTTGACGACCAATCGAATGTCGTCGGTCCTGTTCCCAGTGGATCACAACAAACTCTGGTCGGCAAAACTTCCGCTCATCCTCATTTTCATCGTTTTTTCGCCGTTCGCCTTCATTTGGAACACGATAATATCGCAAAAAGTGATCGTCTACTATTTCGGCGGTTTTTTCATGATCGGATTGAAGAAGGTCGCGTGGGCCGACGTCTCCCTGTTTCTTTTTGTGATTCGAAGTGTCGCCGTCGGGATTACGGTATTCTCTACGGCTATTATGTTTTTACGAATGTCGAAAATGTCGAAGAGGCTCAAAAAGTCGGAGAAGATTTTGTGTTTTGCGTGCGCAATTCATTCCGCCTGCTTCTTGGTCCCATCGTTTTTCGAGGTGAGTTTGGATATTGTAGGCCCATAAAATTTGTTGACCATAATCTTGACATCTAGTACTTTGCTTTTGTAGTTGACGCTTTTTCTCAATGACCACTTCCTGGGGTACTGTAGCTCCGGGAATTTAGCACTGAAGTTTGGGGTCATTTAGTTATTGTCCACTTCAAAGCGCTACAGTACTCTTAGGAGTGGTTGAATCGGAAAGTTGTCAACTACAAAAATAAAGTTCAAGAAATGGACAATATTTTTGTAGTTGACAGTTTTCCGATCCGCCCACTCCTAAGAGTACTGTAAGTCTTTAAAGTTGACAATAGCTAAAAGCTCATAGTGTTCATGTTCCCGACTTCCCGGAGCTACAGTACCCCAGGTATTGATCACAGAGAACAAGTGTCAACTACAAAAACAAAGTACAAGACGTTAGCACGACTAGGAAGTCGACAATACTCATTCAAAGTTCACCTTCTCTGGGTGGCAAATGTTTCTTTTTTTTAAATAGTTTTTCGATGACCACAGTAATCCCAAGTGATATTCAGGCGTTGGCAGTGTTCAACAAAGAGTACGGTAGCTCTTGGATCAACTTTCTCATTCAACCATTCGCCTGGGACGTTCTAAACTGCGGGTAACATTGGAAAAAAAGCGTATTTTCCCCTTCGCCGAAAACCAAATGTTCAGCTCGCCGTTAATAATGATATTCGTGAGTTCTCAACTTCGCCGCCACGTCCTCGACAACAAAATTCTTCAAAAGTGCGGTCTAATTGTATCGAAAAAACGATCGACGTCATTGGTCCAACAGACGGTCACCGGGAACATTAGTCATCATCATGTGTGATCAAACATTCGTTTTCAAAGTGTTCAATGTTAGTTTTTCATCTCTCAATAAACTTATTTTACAATAGTCAGAGGTGTGCGCCGAGATCGTGCCGCTACAGTGCCCCACACTTTGAAAATCGCCAGCGAATAGCTCGCTTTTTGCCATTTTATCGGGTTTTCGCAAGGACACTACTTTTTTCACGTCTACAATATCAAGAAACTAAACTAACCCCGATTTTGGCGCCCATTTCCACTCCTCCAATGTATTTGAGCTCTTCGGCGTGAAAGTTCACCGCCATTCCCGCCGCTTTTCCGTTTTCCAGAATTTTCTGGCTAAAACTTTATTGGTTTAGGCGTTTCCAATAAGAAATAGTGGAATTTCGGAGCATCGTTGTGCTTTTTAAGCAGAATTGCTCAACTTTGAATGAATATTGTCGACTTTCTAGACATCCTAGGCTCTTGAAAATGTTTGTACGTATTCTTGACGTCTAGTACTCTACTTTTGTAGTTTTGATCATTTTCAACTTCCAAGGGCTACCGTACCCCAGGGAGTGGTCGTACAGAAAAGTGATCAACTACAAAAGTACAGTACTAGATGTCAAGAATACGTACAAAAATTTTCAGAACCCCCGGACGTCTAGCAAGTCTACAATATCCATTTGAAGTTGGCCAATTTCTTGCAAAGCTGTACGACGCTCCAAAATTCCGTTCCGACGAACCTTGATTCGATCTCGAAAACGCCCTTCTCGCAGAACACATCAATATTCTCCAGGTTTCTCATTCCGCCGCTCTTCTTCTCCGCCACAATCGCCGGAATCAGTTCGTCGCAAATCATGCGCGTTTGTTCCGATTCCGTCGATCCCTGCAATCGAATTTTGCAATTTCCGGTTAGCGTATCCTCGGGTTACTGTACTTTTGGAACCGCGTGAGCTCCACAAAACGTCGCAGAGATTTCCAGCGGAATTCGAGGGTTTTCGGCGGCCAATACTCGGAGCATCTGTGGCAGAAAAAACGTGAAAACAGTTGTTTTCTGTGGAAAAACCTTCATCTCGGCGTCCTTGTTCAGTCCGTATCCGCTTTTCGCCTCCAACGTCGTCGTCCCACTTTTCAGCATCTTCATCGCCACCTAAAAATATTGTCGTCTTCTGCAAATATTGTCCATTTCAGCGGCTACCTGCTCGAAATCGTCTCTCAACTGTTGCTCGCTCGCTTCTCTCGTCGCGTTCGTCGTGAACATTATTCCGCCGCCCGCCTCTTGTACCTGAATCGGTTTTTGTGTGTGTGTGTGTGGACCAGGGGTGTGCGGAAAATATTTCGATTTTCCGAAATTTTCCGATTTTCCGAGAAATTTTCGGAAAATTTTCGGAAAATTAGTGTGGATTCAAGGTCAATTTTTCCGAAACCACCGTATGCTTTTTAAAGGCGCATCACAAAATTTTTGGAAGGGTCTAGCAGCGAGCGTCTTTTTTTAAATTTGATTTTTAAATTTTACGCAATTTCTTTCGTTTTTCTCATTCTAATGAACCGATTGTTGCGATTTGTGTTGTTTTTTCAGAAAAGCTGACGTAATGGGAAAGTGTGACGTATATTTAACTGGGCGGCGGAAAAACGGTGAGAAAGCGTGTTTTTGCGGCCACAAGTTCAACGTGCTTTTCCGATTTTCCCGATTTTTCCGAAATTTTCCGAAAAAAAAAATTCGGAAAAACCGATTTTCCGAAATTTTCCGAAAAAAAAAATTCGGAAAAACCGATTTTCCGAAATTTTCCGAAAAAAATTTTCCGCACACCCCTGGTGTGGACCCTTTGACGCTCACGGTACCTCCATGTACGTGGCGCCGGCCAATTTCATCGCAAACTCGTGAACGCGGTCTCCGGCGAACACGGGATGCGAGTGTCCGTCGACGAATCCCGGTATTGCGATTGCGCCGCTCGTCTCCACCATTTTCACGTTTCCGCCGTTTTCCAATCGTTTTTCGGCTTCTTCAACGTCGCCGACATATGCGAATTTTCCATCGGAATCCACCAAAATCGCCAGTCCATTTTCCGGGTCGTTTAGAATCTGAAAAAAGGTGGATTTTTTTTTTCCCCCAAACCGTACCTTTATTCTGTTCATTCCGTCCTTCACCAAGTACTCCGTGCTGTTGTCGTCCACAATTTGAACAATTTGTTTGAGTCCTTTCACAAAAAGTCGATAATTCGCCATTTTCTCTGCAAACAAAGTGTAACAAGGGTAGAATCAATGAGAATCGTCCAGTTTGGTAGGGGAATCTCCATTTTAATGGGTTCCTCGCGCACGACAATCATATAAATGTTTACGATCAGCAGAGGACACAGAAGAGGAATCGATTGATAAGAGACCTCTTTTATTAGGGAACGGAATACACATAGAGAAACGGAAGAAAAAAAGCAAAACAACTCGTGCGTTCCTCTTCGACTTTGGGTGGGGGGAGGGAGCTAACGACAGAAAAAAATAACATAAATTAATTAAAACCATGAAAATTTACAACGCTTTGGCTTTTGTCTGGTAAGAGCGCAAGAGATTGAAGGGAGAAATAAATAAAGAGGCGAAAAAGAGGGAAAAGTCAATAAGTTACAATCCCAAATAGAATATTATCACATTGTCACAACAGTCGAACCTAACAGAGTCAATTTATCCGCTTTTTAGGCTGCTTTTGCGGTCGTAGTGGTGGTCGTCGCCGGTCGGATCACTCCCTTTTTGTTCTTGCCCTGAAAATAAAACATACGTTTGTATTAAATTGTTTCAAATTTCTAGAGTCAATTCTTATATTCTCCACTTGATTTTCACTATTTTAACAGGTTCCGGTAGTTCGCACAATAGCCTCCGAATTTCCCCTACCTGCGTCGCCTTTTTGCCCTTAATCGGAATCGTCGTCTCTCCGCTTTTGATCGTCGGCCGATTCGGCAACTTCTTCCGCTTGTAAATGCGGACGAGCCAGTTTTCGGTGGTGTACGCCTCCTCAATGTACTCCAACGTGATGTCCTTCTTCCCAATCACGTAGCCGCGAGTCCGATCGAATCCGCCCGCCTGATTGTATCCGACGCGCGTCTCTCCGAACCGATAGTAGCTCATTTTGTACATGAGGCAGTTGAGCATCGTCTCCGACGCGCCCGCGCCTGTCGAGTACTCTCCGCTCGCCGTGAAGTAGTTCTCCTCGCGAATGTCCTTTGGATGCTCTCCCTGCGCAATTCGGACCATCCACAGGAACTTGTTGATGTCGTCGCCCGAGTAGCCGATGACTCCGCCGAAAATGACCAAAATGTAGTCGACGTCGAGTTCGGTCATAATCTCGTAGGCGGCCGACTCGTTCGAAGACATTGCCTTTCCGACCAAAGCGATGTGCGAGTTGTTCCACGTGTTATTGTCGACCAGCGTGGTTCGGTTGGCCATTCCGGCAATCTGGTAACCGTAATCCCACCAGGACATGACACGCGCGTCGTCGGCCGTGTTCTCTCGGAGCCAGTGATACGCCTCGCGGAAATCGTCCATAATTATGCGATCTCCGTTTTGTGTCGACGATTGGAGCACGACTGACGGGTGCGAGTAGGCGTTCGAGGTGACGTAGGTGGCGTGGACGACGAACATGAGCAGGAAGATGAGCAGGATGATCGAGATGATTGTACGGACGTTCGAAGAGATTCCAGACTCTTCTCCTTCGCCAGAACCCTGAATAATTGAAATTTGTGTGGATTTCTACCGATTATCACACTAAAAACATGACAAAACACAGAGAAACAAGAACAAACAAGGACAAACACTGACATCCATCTCTACCTTCGATTTCGCGTTCTTCGCCGCCTTATCGTACAGCTTCTCCTCTTTTCCGCTCGTCGACGCCGACGTGGATCCCGATCGTTCTTTCACCTGCTCGTCGTCTTTCAGGTACTTCTCAAACGTGTACGAGAATCCGATGCCGGCGAGAACGCAGACGGCGGGCGTGAGTGTGAGCATCAGACGGACCATCACTCCGGCAAAGTAGACAGCAGAGACGGCGTACAGAATAACTGGAAAAAAACGCGATTTAAAAGGGATTTCCAAAGCAAAGACGCACTGAAAACACGTTCATCGTTGACTTTCTTGATGCAATACCACAGTCCGACGGGGAAAACGGCGGCGGTGATGTGGAGATCGAAGAAGAACGAGACCCACGTGGTCGGCTGGTGCTCCGACACCGACGCGATGATCGGAATGTGGATCTTGGCGTATCCAGTGTCCCAGAGCGAGTAGAACCGTCCCGAGAACGGCGCCACGTATCCGCCCCAAACAAGGGCAAAGTAGACGACGACGGCCAGGCCTCCGATGGCGGTGAGTCCGCCGACGAAAAGGGTCATAAACTGTTGGCGGGTGATGCGATTGCGCGCGTAGTGCATTGCGGCGACGATCTGGAGGAGGCCGAAGACGCCGAACGCGGGCATGTGCTCCGAAGTGCGGACCGGCTGGAATCCGACGAACGGCACCTGCATCGAGAGAATCGTCGCGAGACAGTAGAACGAGGTGTACGAGACGAACAGGCGCGACGAGTAGCGGCCTGAAATTGAATTTTTGCTGTAAATTTAATGCTGAAAATTAGCAGATTCAAGGCTCATGCAATTTTTCCCCTACTTACCCATGATGATAAGAACCAACGCGTGAAGCGGGATCAAATTGATGATGAAGACGTATCCTCCCCACGCGGAGACCATGTAAAAGTAGGAAAGAGCACACAACGACGCCCACATAATCGATCCGGTCTTGAGAGATTTGACCCACAAGAAGTAGGTGAATTGGAGGGCGAAAATGGCGATTCCCTCGTTGTCATAGGATCCGGCGACCGATCTCGACGTGTATCCGGGCGAGATGGCGATGAAACAGGCGGCGAAAAGGCCGGCGCCGGGGCTCCAGAGCTCTTTTGTCAGCAGATACGTGGCGATTGCGGTGAGGCCGGAGAAGGTGGGCGCGAGAAAGACGCAGACTTCGCGGATGTGAACGTGGAAGTTCAGCGAGTCCAGAATCCAGTGGATCAGGCCGGAAGTGACCATAAGACCCGGATAAACGGTTCCGCCCACAATGCGGCCCAGCGGATACCAGGCGCGCTCGTCGAACCAGTTGAGAAACTTGTAGAAGCCGTGCTGGACCATGTGATGAGTGGCGCGGTAGTTGAACCACGGATCGAACTCGTGAATGATCGACTCGAAGCGGACGATGGCGAAGAGACGCGAGGCGAATCCGACGAACCACGCCAGCGCCAGAATGACGATGGTGAGGAGCGTCGAGGCGCCGATCACGCTGCTCCGCGACGACGTGGCTGATGTCATTACCTGCAAAATTCGAGTTTTGAGGTGTTTTGTGGGAAAACGGCAGAAAATACGGAGAAATTAGAAGAAAAACAATGAAAGCGATTTTTTTGTTTGAAAATTGTAAGAAAGGATAGTTTTTGGGTGGAATTTGAATTTCTACTGTGAAATCGAGCAAAAAAGAACACAGCATCGGGGAGACATGAACAGGGCCTGAACTTTTCCTTTTTATCGACATTTTCGTTACAAACTCCTAAAAAATTGACATTTCCGCCTGACTACCACAAAAACGGTCAATTGGATGATAAACCAACGTCAGATAACACAAAAATGGGATATCTCCCGCTTTTCCGATAAAAAATCGATAAATCCACTGTCTTAACGCTTCTTCCTAATTTTCAGCTCATGGACACCTGAAATATACCTAGAACACCCTAAAATATACAAAATCCATCGAGAAACAATAGTTTTGTCATACAACACAAAAACCTCGGATTTCCATGATTTCTAGTCATTTCTCAACCCCCAGGGGTTTGAAATGGAGGTTTTCGGGCTCAAAAATCGCGAAAATCACGTCAAAGCAATCGGAAATGCAGAAATTTCGCCTGAAAACGGTACAAATTGAGCCAAAACGGAGCCATTCCGATCGGTTGCTGTCGTGGCAATTTGAAATACGCAAAATCGTGGCGAGACCCGCCGGCCGGCGGCTCCCGGCGTGTCGATTTACGCGTTTCGGGGTCGGTTTACGCCCGCGGGGGGTCACTATTTTTTGAATTTCTCCGTCTATTTTCGCTCATTTTCAGATGTTCTCGGGATGACAATTAACGGAATATGGGAGTGGGCGAACCAGATGGCCCAGAGAGTGCCGCCCGAAGTGCTACGTGGCAAAACGCTGTCGATTGGTGAGTCGAAAATCGATTTTTGCCAAAAATTCAAAAAAAATCGTTGCAGATGGTCACATATGGCTATATGAGAGCGTTAAAGGAAGCGAGGCACATCATTCGACGTGCGCACATCCGTATTTGGTCACATTTTTCAATAGGTATCTGAAGAATGTAAGCTTTCCGTTTTAAATTGATTTTTACAGAATTCAACACTTGAAAGAGCTCAAAATTGTGCCGATTGTCGTTTTTGATAATGTCTACAAGCATCACGAAGTGTTTGTAAGTCTAAAATCGCAGAAAATCAGTACAAATCAAGTTTACAACAAGTTTAGACCGATCAAAGCTCATTTCGCGGAAGAAAACGACGAAGTGGCCGGGATAGGTGGGGAGAAACCGTCGATTGGATCGAGCAGTGGGTCAATAACACCAGAGTATGTGTAAAAAAATTTAAAAAAATGGAGATTTTCCGATTTTTCAAGAGAAATAAGAGAATTCTGGCGTTAGTTCAAACAAAAAAGACATTTCTTCTCATGTTTTCCAAAATTCGCATGCATCAAAACAAGAGGAAATGTCTAGAAACCCGAAAAATCGGCCAAACCCCGCATTTGGGGCCAAAAGTCCAAGACAAGGCCCAGCCGTGATTTGCACTAAAAATATCATTTGCAGCAACTCTTGTACAGCCTGGGCGTGACGTCATTCTGCGGATGCGGGGACGGAGAGGCCCAATGTGCCCGTCTGGAAGAGCTGGGACTCACTGCCGGCTGCATCACCACCGATTTCGACTACTTCCTGTACGGAGGCAAGAATCTGTACCGATTCGATTTCGGTGCCAACTCGATTCGCGCCCATGACGTCACGCATCTATCAATGGGCAGAATGGTCATCGACAGAAGTACGGACATTTTCTTTTTTTGTTCAGTTTCCTTGAAAAATAGCGAAAAAGTTCCAGAAGTGAGTCGATGTCACCTCATCGTGGCGGCCATTCTGCTCGGATGCGACTACTACGAATCGGGCGTCAGAGGCGTCGGAATCGCAACCGTCTTTGAGATTCTGCACGAGTTCGCAGCCGAAGACGGCGCCGAATTTCATCCGCACGTCGTTTTGGATCGATTCGCGTTCGTTCTTCTCTATTTTTACACTATTGCTGTGGTGAACAACGTATTTTGTTACAGATCGTACGTGCGCGGCGAAATTCCGGCCAGATCGTCGGACGGAGAACGGAAATTGAGTTTTCGACGCAAAAACTACAGATTGGACTCGAGTTTTCCGAACGGACACAATATTGGGTTGGTTTTTCGTGTGCTCTCTTCGATTTTCTACAAAACGCTCCAGGCGGCATAGGCGTTTGACCCACTTGCAATGATCCGATCGGGACCAAACTTTGCAGGCTTATTGGACTTGGATAGAAGTATGTTGGGACCAAGTTTCAGACCGATCGGATCATCCGGTCCCGAAAAGACCACAATTGTCGCATAAGCATGGTCTCTTCCGTCTCTGGTCCTCATATCTCGGGACCGGATGATCGGATCGGTCTGAAACTTGGACCCAACATACTTCAATAAGAGTATAAGAAGCGTGCACAGTTTGGTCCCGAACGGATCATTGCAAGTGGGTCAAAAGCCCAGGCCTCGGCCGAGCCCATCTTCAAAAATCCGAAAATGTTTTGTGTTTGCAGAACGGCCATCCAAATGTACCAACAACCGCCGGTGTTTGATGCGATTCCCAGTCGCGCCATTCCGAAATCGTCGGCAATCGATATGCGAAAAGTCGAGGAAATGTTTATGCGAATGTGCAAATGGACGCCCGAACGCATGCAAAAAGAGCTGCGAACGAGTCAGAGACGAGCAAAAGTGCACGCGAATTTGGTGGTAAGTGCTGTAATCCAGCACAATTCCTCAAAACAGATTTTCAGTCGCAAACGCGAATTCCCGAGTTTTTTGCGGCGAGCCGAAAACGGCCGATTGTCGAGCCGTGCGACACCCTCGACGACTACATTTCGGCCAATAATTCGTGGATCGAAAAGAAGAGAAAGTCATCGGAGAGATTGATCAAAATCGAATCGCCGCCACGAAAAAGATCTCGTAGAATTGAGTACGGTTTTCCCGCGGGGAAAATGCAAAATTTTTTGGAATTTTTTGCAGACTCTTCGTCGCCACCACGCATCCAAGCGATATCATCGAACTCGGCGACTCGGAATAATTTTTTCAGAAAAATTCTGAAATTTACCCATTTTATCGCGAATTTTCTCACCTTTTTTGTACTCATTTTTTCCCATGCTTCACCTGTAAATTCGCCGCATTGAATACTCAGGAATACTGTTGAGAACGCACGTAGAAATCCGGTAAAAACCGATAATGTAAGGCCGGTGCTCGTAATATGATTTTGAGATTTTACTAGAACATAATAGCATTTGTTTTTTTTTGTTTCGAGTTTGAATTTTTTGTGATTTTTCTGGTGTCTCTATCACCTTTTTGTACCTTTTCTTCGGAATTGTTTGATTTTTTTAAGGGAGACCCAATTTTTTACAGCAGAAAATGAGCGACAAGCCGTTGGCACTGACTGCCGGTGGAGGAGCCACCCAATTGCACGATGAGCAGGTGAGAATTAGAGAAAAAGGCTTTTTAGACTTGGATTGAAGTATCTTGGGTCCAAGTTTGAGACCGATCGGATCATCTGGACCCGAAATATGTGGATCGGAGGCCGAAACGGCTGGTCTTCTCGGGACCAGATGATCGGATCGATCTGAAACTTAGACCCAACTAAGTCCAAGAAGCCTGCAAAGTTTGGTCCCGATCGGATCATTGCAAGTGGGTCATTTTCCATTTTTTGCAGGTACTCGTCGACGCCCTTCCATATCTGGACACTGATTACAACGAGTCGGACCGTCAAATGGCCATGAAATTGGTGGAGCACGAGTGCAAAGTGAGCTATTTGCATACATGGCACTCAAAATGGGGAAACAATTTGCAGACATTCCGACCGACGAAAAACTACCTGACGCATCTTCCGGTGCCGGATTACGACGCGTTCCTGACGCCGTGCATGCTCAAAGAGATGGAAAGAATGAAGAAGAAGGAGGAGATGCCGAAACTGGACATGAGCCGCTGCGAACTGCCGCCGCCGTCCGCTGTAAAGGGAGTCGACCGCAAGCTGTGGGCAAAGGTCGGATAGGCTTGGGCGAAACAGGCGAAAAAATGCACATTTTCCAGGTGCTCCGCAACGCGAAGGCGCAAAACGAGCACTTGCTGATGCGGCAAATCAATCTGGAGCTGATGGACGAGTACGCGGCGGAGAGCTACCTGCAACGCAACAAAACGATGGACTCGCTGCTGAGTTTGGCCGAGAAAGAGCTGAAAAAGACGAGAGAGGCGGTGATGGAGGTGCACGCGAACCGAAAGGCCGCGCAAATGAAGGCCGGCGAGACGGTCAAGCAGTTGGAGCACTCGTGGGTCAACATGGTCACCAACAACTACAAGTACGCACGCATCCACTTTTTTCCAGCAGCAAATTGCGGTTTATCGATTTTTTTTTTCCATTTTCCGATGGGCAAAGCTCTGACGTAGACGTGGAAGAGTTTAAAGTAGAGACGAGGGTTCGAGAAGCGATAGGCTTTCAGAAATTGTTTGCATTTCAATAGGGGCAGTGTTGCTAACCATTTCTACAGAAATCTAATCATTTCCAGTCTGGAGAAAACACGATTTGTTTCGAAACATTGAAAAATTGGTCGATAAACAGCAATTTGCTGCTCTCGAGCAGAGTTGAGCGGAAGAACTCAACGGAAGAACACGGAAGAATTTTTATCTTTTTTAGAAAATTTTTTCATGAAATGTGATCGACTGCCGAAATGTATGGCAAAGTGAACTCTGCTCATAGAAAAATAATTGTAAATTTAGCGTTTCATACAAAAAAGTTATTCGAGTTGTTCCGTTGGCCCCCTTTTTTCGCGCAACAACTCGAATAACTTTTTTGTATGAGCAGCTAAATTTACAATTATTTTTCTATGAGCACAGTTCACTTTGCTCTACATTTCGTCAGTTGATCACATTTCATGAAACAATTTTCTAAAAAAGATAAAAATTATTCCGTGTTCTTCTGTTGAGTTCTTCCGCTCAACTCTGCTCTCGAGGTTGAAACGCAACAACGTCAACGTACATTTCTGCTCTCACAAAACTGCGTTTTTTCGTCGAAGAAACAAAGTCTGTCTTGTTTGCAGAATGGAGCTGGCGAACCGTCAAATGGAGCACGACAACGCGGTGCAAATCAAAAAGCTGAAGGTGGATCCGTCGGCGCTCGAGGACAAGCACGACCGCGAAAATTCGTTCGTCTAACCAATTCTCCCTGAATCTGATCTTTTTGATGTCTCTCTCAATTATCTGTGTATTCCACCGCCCCTGCTTATTCCCAAACTTTTTCTGAAATATGTTATCGCTGAGAAACATGAATTTTGATTCGATTCGTCGACCCAAACACCAGTTTCCCGCGGACATAAAATCTCCCGATCTTTCAGAAATTTTATAGATTCTCCCCCGTCTTTTTCCCGCCCCAACTTCCTGGTTTTTTCGATCGAATTTCGGATGAAGGGTAAGCTGGCATTTTTTTTTAGAAATTTTTATAAAATTTTTAAAAAATTTCAGGACTCGCTGCTATTGTCGGACTCTTGCTTTTGACGCTTTTTGGATGTTCGACGGAAAAATCGACAGAAGATGGATATTTTGCGGCTGAAAATTCTGGAAACGGTAGGGTGGCCTAGAAAATGCTCGGCCAGGAGCTTGAGAGCGTTCTTTTTCCATGAAAATCCCCGAATTTTGTGGTTTTCAGTGCGACAAAAGCGGTACACGACGCCGAACGAGACGGCTCAATCGGTGCTCGAAGGCTACCGGTCGCAGCAGTTGAACATTCTCGGATTCTACGAAAACCTACGAAACTTGTACCTTTCGGGCGGTTTCTCGAAAGGAAACGTCTTGAATTCGATGATTTTGGACGAGAATATCATACCGCCCGTCGTGTGGGAACAACTGATTCGCGGCCTCGAACGCACGCGCTGGGAGATCAAAAACGGAGAGCTTGGACTGAAAAGGACCGCCGCGCTGGTCCTTCTCAACTCGCCCGAAGCGTTGCTCCGCGAGCCGTGGGCCATGATGTTGGCACAAGTCGTCCAGGAGCGAATTTCGGCGAAAAAGGACAGTGCACACGCGTTGCGCGACCTCGCCCACGCACTTTTGGCCGGCAATCTGACGAGGACCGCCTACGCAAACGGCACCGATCTTCGACAATTCCTAGCGGATTTTGTGGACGAAAACCTGAAAGAATCGAGAAAAACGACAGAGCAAGTGTTGGAACTGTTGAATATTGTGCATCATGTGGTCGGACCCGAGGACGAGTTTGGCAACATTTGTGGAATACTCGAGTCGATTCCGTGGCAAGTTGGAGGCATTTTGACGGAGGATTCAAAGGTAATGGAGGACGGATTCGGAATCAGCACAAAAAATGCAATGTTTTGATATATATTATGACCTATTTTGAGCATTTTTTGTGTCTAGATATTGTCGACTTTGCAGAATTGGTATTTTTGGGATTTAGGGCAATCTAGGAATGTTGAAAGTGTCAAATTCGAATTCAGCGAAAAAAATGCAACATTTCGGTACCCTGTTTGACCTATTTTGAGTTGGGTTAACAAATGTACAGGCGAGACCCGAAAATATGAAAAATCTCTCAAAACTATGACAATATGGGTATCAAAACTTTTCAAATCACCCGTAGAACTTGAAAATCATGCGGCGACAACGCAAAAAGTACAGTAACCCGTGCAATCTACGGTAGGCAAAAAAAATTTGTTTTTCAAAATTGGTCACAATGTATGTCAAAATGTTCCATGTGTTCTCCTGAACTCGAATATCACACTTACACCCTCATTAGAGCAAAAAACGATTATTTTCAGATCCTCAGCCTGTTCACTCGTGATCTATCCGGATTCGTGGTCGACGCGGACATCGGCTTCAAGTTGGCCAACTCGATTCGGACCAATTTTCAACGCCTCGGCAATTTTAGCCTTAATTCGACCGAAAAAAAGTTCATCGACGAGTTCACCGAGTTGGAATTGAGGGTCCCATGGACTATTGAGGTCCTTGGACCGAACGGGACCGCCTTGAAACCGACTAACATCACCCGAAAAGCAAAAAGTGGCCAGGAAATGCGTAAACTGCTCGGAGACTTCAAACTTTTGAATTCGACATTTCAAAGTACGACATTTGATGCTCTGGTGAATGGAATCGGAAGTATGGAAGATGTCAAGTCGACAGTAATCCTCATGGCTCGACTAATCGATAATCTGAATGGATCCGTCGAAAATGCGATCGCTATTGTCAAATCCGCGAAATCGGCGCTCGAAATCGATCCGCAATGGCTGACAAAACTCGAGGCGGCCTCCGATATTGTCGATCGTTTGTCGATGAGCTCGAAAGACACGGAGCGGTCGAACGGGACCGTGGAGGAAGGATCCGTCGGCTCGAACACCCCCCACCGAACCCTCTTCGATCTCTTCCTCAACGCGAATTTCACGAGCGGCGGTCCCATTGGCTCGCCGCTGTTCCCCTACTCGCAGCTGGTCGATCAGGAGGAAATGATCAAACTTTTTGCCGCGTTGAAAGTGGTCCCGAGCGAGCGGATCCACGAATTGTTCAATTTTGTCAAGAGGAATAAGACGATGGACTTCAAGGAACAAGTCGAAAGGATACAGGTTTTGAAAATTCATAACTTTTTTCAAAAAAATGCAACAGACCCCCGTTTTGGCTTAAAATGACGGTAGTTGATTGGAGAATGTAGGAAAAATAGTTTCATCGGGTTAATATCCCTCTATTCTCGTACAAAAAAGCCGATTCCAGGACGGTTCTCTCGTGTCCGACATGAACAAATACTTTGGGACCAGCATCTCTTCGGCCAGCCTGGACGAGGCGCAGAACGTCCGTTCGGTGCTGCGGATCATCGCGAACATCTCGGGACCGGCGCCCGAACCGCTCTCCTACCTCTACTCGTCGCTGTCGATTTTCCGATCGGCCGGCCCGAAGAACGCGGCCGCCTTTCTCGCGAAACTCTCCAATCTCACGGAATTGGCCCGCGACGGCGCGTGGTTGGACACGTGGCAAGCCCTTCAGGACATGAGTATTGTGCTTTTCGGACCGCGCGCCAACTTGGAAACATCACTGGAACCGTTTAAACTCGAAAAGTTCTCATCGGAAACGTCGAGTTACCAGGAGATATTTCTGGCGCTTCAAATGTTGATGGCGTCTGATTTGCGGAAAGTTGAGGCGAAACTCCGCTTCATCGAGGCATTTTTCGGTCCGCTAAAGTCGGCAGACGTGAAAACGGTGCTGAACGGATTGGGAGTGGACGCGCCGAAAATCAGAGCGATAAACGAGGCGACGAACTCGGTGGACGATCTGGTGGCACTGCTCCGCGCCTCCGGATCCTTTGACAAACTCGTCCGACTGCTCGTGTTCCACCAGTCGTTCACCACCGATTTCAACAGTCCCACCGAGTCGGTCCGCCTGATCACCGACATGATTGTCTATTTGCAGATGAACGGATTCACTAGCAAGGTGAGACTCTTCTTTCGTTTTTTTTGGTGACATTTTTGTTTCTCCAGATCCAAGGATTCAAGAAGCGAAAGTTCAGCGGGAGCCACGACGATTTCATGCTCGACAGCTACGCCGGATCCATGTCAAAAAAGTGAGCATTTTTGCCCCCGAAACCTCCAAAAACAACGTCCTTCAGATCCAAATCGAAGCAGTCCTCGTGAATTGACAATGTTTTCCTCAGGAATGAATCGTTTTTGCGAAAAAAATATCCAAAAAACACTTCATTTTTGACACGTTCCCCCCCCCACTACCAGATGGTTCAATTCTTGGATCTCAAGTGGCGACGAGCTTGAGAATGGTCTCTCCCTGCTGGGCGCCGGCCTTAAACGGCGCCTGCGGGTCCGTCTCCTCGGCCGGCACCTCCGCGTACTGCACCACAATCTTGTCCTCCTTCGCCGGTCCCGCCAGACGGTTGATCTCGAGCGCCGCCTTGCCTTTGCCGTCGACAAAGCCGTAGACGGGACGCACGCGGTAGTGCTCGTTGTTCGACGATTTCACCTGCAAAAGCGCAACGTTTTTGGCGCCAAAAAGCTCCAAAAAAAAAGGATACCTTGAAGGCGAGACGCGAGTCGGTCTCGGAAACGATGTTGTGAGTGGCGTTGCCCCCGGAGGCGGGGAAATTCGCCGTCGGCGGTTCAATGTTGATCATTTTCGGAGCTTTCGGGGAAGCCGACGACTTCTTTGCTTTGACTTTCCTTCGCTGAACGAGGCGGGAATGGACGACGGTCCCGCCGCTCGACGCCACGTTGACATTCCGATAACGATCTGCTCTGGTTTCCTTCTTTTTTGTCGGGACACGTGGATTTTCAAACGGTTTGGAATGCGATCGAAGGATGAAGACGGCGAACTCGAATAATTTGAGCTTGATACAGTATTTAACGCGCTCGATTCCATTTCAATTCATTCGATTCAAGTGGAAAAGTATCATTCATTTCAATGTTAGGTCAGTCGGTTCAATTTTGAGAAGACGAGGCGAGACACGAGTAGTTGGACCCCCGGAGACGAGCGGCGGATCCTCCACAATCTTCCACATCTTGCGGTCCAAGTTGGCGTGCCCCTTTGGTACCGATATTGTAGGATTCTGAGCATTCACTCGGTCCCCAAAGTCCAACAGTGTAATTGCATTATGCCGCGTCCAAAGTCTCGGAAAAACCGGAAAAACCGCAGATTTTTCTGTCCACGGAGTGCGCACAGCTGAACGAATGTAACCGTACCCCTAAAATTACGGTATTTTTTGAAAATTTGCTAATTTCCAGAGGATATTTGAAAATATTCAAATTTCTTGCGCAAAATTTTTAAAAAATACCGTAGTTTTAGGGGTACGGTTACATTCGTTCAGCTGCTCAATCATTGATGAGAATGCAAAGAGATCAGACGAGACGGATAATTTTTTTTATCTTTTTTAGAAAATTTTTTCATGAAATGTGATCAACTGACGAAATGTAGAGCAAAGTGAATTGTGCTCATAGAAAAATAATTGTAAATTTAGCGTTTCATACAAAAAAGTTATTCGAGTAGTTCCGTTAGCCTCCTTTTTTCACGCAACAACTCGAATAACTTTTTTGTATGAAACGCTAAATTTACAATTATTTTTCTATGAGCAGAATTCGATTTGCTCTACATTTTGTCAGTTGATCACATTTCATGAAAAAATTTCCAAAAAAAGATAAAAATTCTTCCGTCTCGTCTGATCTCTTTGCATGCTACTCGATGATTGAATGAAAATGAATGGCTTCTTGTTCTGTTTACTTTCTCCGCAACTTGGTTGTGACTTTTTGAAAGTGTTTCTGAAATGAATAACCTTTTCGTGACACCCCACTCCACTAATTGCATATCTAATCGTCCACGGATTCCCGAGCGTTCTTCAGTTCTTCGCCCTCCCGTTCAATTCACTGCATCTCGTCAAGCAATTGCAACAAAAACGTTCATTTGACACTATCGTGAGTTCGGCGTTGTTCGCGAGACACACTCAGCGCATTTTCAGACGCACTCGTCCAGCGATGCGTCTGTTCGCCGTTCTAGGCCTCATCACGTTGTGTCTGACTCCACAACCCACTTCTCTGAAAAGTTAGCTCTCCGCGTTTAGATCCAGCCAAGAGTGTAGCGTTAATTTCAGCAAATTCTTCTTCGCTCCGCCAAATCTGCGACGATCTCTCGATCCTTGGACGCATCGTGAACGCGATTGCGATCCACGAGGGACTCGCCACCGATTCCATCCGACTCGTGGATCTTCTCGCCGAACTCTTCGACGTGGAATCGGGAAACGGACTGCTGAGACTGAAGGAGCTGACGATCGACTCGAAATCGCTCACATCGGACGTCGATTCGATTCTCCAAAAAATTGGCAAGTTGAATGAGAATCCAGTGGCCGGCGCGTCTCAAGTCAAACTAGCGATTGAGCTGCTCACCTCAATGCAAGAGCATCTAGGCGAACTCGAGAAGGCAACAAATGCGAGTCTGACGTCTGCGTTCGTCAACGCCTCAAAAAGCGCCATTAGGGAAACGAGCCATTCGAGTTTGCTCAGTACTGCCAAGTTCAAGACACTTTTCTCTCATTTGAACGACATCAACACAATGAAACGTGTCGATGCGAGCGATTTAAGCAGTATCCAGATTGATATGGTGAAAAAAATTGGAAAAGATATCAAAGAAATGTGGGTAGACGTCGAGAATCAAATTCTTGATCTAAAAGACTACGAGAAAAAGCTGGAAAAAACGTTGGCGATCGAAGGAAATTTCAAAGTTTTAGAGCCGGTCGCCAAGCTCGCATTTTTTTCGCAGCAATACAAGCGAAACGAATTGCTTTTCAATTCGTTATCAGCTAAGCTGCAATTGCTGATGAACGATGTGAACAATCTTCTTCCGATCGCAAGCCTTCACACAAAGTTCTCAGCTGTCGGTTCCGCCCTCAAGGCCTGCCATCCGTACGTGACCGAGCTGACGTCTCCGAGGACGTCGGCACGTATTCTGACGAGAGGATTCGCAAGTGGAATCAAAGATTTTGCGCGCTTCCCGCACGACATCCAAAGTGAGTGGTTCAAGGAGAAGATCGCCGCTGGAAAGGAGGTAAAACGGTTGGAAGATGCGCTTCGACACTCAACACACTTCAGCGAGAAGGTTTATGAAATGGGGGAGAGCTGGAACAAGTACCGCAAAGTGCAGAATCCTTCCGAATTGACGAATGCAACAGTTCAACTGTTGGAAGGAATGGCCAAGGACGGAAAGCATCTGCACGGAATCGCCAATCTGCAAGATTCGATGAACGTGACGGCGGACATCTTCGAACGCCTCAGACCGATTCCCTACGCTCCGTTGTTTGCCGATTTCCGATACGTTGTCGAGTATAGCGGCAATTTTAGTGAGCAAGTGGGGCTCCTCAAAGCGGCTCTCGAGCAATACGCCGGAAAGGAGCACACGCAAATTGTGAGTGCGCTCGAAAAAGTACGTGAGCATTCTGAGGAATTTGCAAGGGACGATAGCGACAATATCACCACAGGCAACGTCTTTGACTACATAAAACGAGTTGCGGAGACGGAAGGTTTTCAAGAGACACTTCAATTTCTGAACGATACGTCGACTCTTCTGGAACCTTTCTTTCAAAGCAAATACTTCGCAAGCTTATCGAATCGCCCTAACTGGGAATCGGTTCAATCTGTCCAGTCATCTTTCGGAGAGACCAATGTCATGGAAACTCTGAAACGTCTCAAGAATGCCACGTATAACGCGCCAGGTGTCGAGAAAGCGATTAGGTTTGGGATCGACATTCGAAAAGCGGAAAAAGGAGTCTTTTTCGATGCGAAATCCCTGTTCAACTCAATGGGCAAGATGAAAAAGGCGGCGGTGGGCGTGATCAGTGCATCAGCAACGTCAGCGAGAAGACGTCGGGCACTCGACGGCAAGAAGACACTGAAGAAGTTGGAGAAGCCGGACGAAATGACGACGAGCGTTGCAAGAGGAGTGGATACGCTCCGGATGATGTCCGACGTGCTCGACGGCAAGGATCACGTGCTGGCGGCGGTCGATGCTTCACGAGAAGTGGATGCAGTCATCGGAGCACTTCCGACGATCAACGCATCGTGGACAAGGATCCGACGCCGAACGTGGCCTGGTATTACATCGTGATTGGCGTCGGCGGCGTGCTCGTCTTCCTGACGATTCTGATCGTCTTGATTCGGAAGGCGTGGAAGATGCGGAAGACAAGCAGAGACCATACTCGTGAGTTTTTGTCTGTTTGTTCTCTTTTTAGTGCCCTGTTTTTGTCGTCCACCTCGATTCCGAATCGACGATTTGCAGAGCCGGATGGAAAGAGTCGAGCAAAGATTCGAAAAAGCCGGGAAAGGAGAAGAAGTCGACGGACGGCCACTCGACACGAAAGAGCAGATGAAGACGCCGAACTCGAATAATTTGACCCGCTCGATTCCATTTCAATTTCAAAAATCGATTTGAAAACGTGTTTGCCATCATTGAATATCGACAATACTTGACTACCGTACATACTGTACCAGTTGGGCGCCCAGGCAAAGTGAGTTTCAACCTCGAGAGCTGAGTTGAGCGGAAGAACTTAACGGAAGAATTTTTATCTTTTTTAGAAAATTTTTTCATGAAATGTGATCAACTGACAAAATGTAGAGCAACGGGAACTGTGCTCATAGAAAAATAATTGTAAATTTAGCGTTTCATACAAAAAAGTTGATCGAGTTGTTGCGTGAAAAAAGGAGGCTAACGGAACAACTCGAATAACTTTTTTGTATGAGCAGCTAAATTTACAATTATTTTTCTATGAGCACAGTTCACTTTGCTCTACATTTCGTCAGTTGATCACATTCCATGAAAAAATTTTCTAAAAAAAATAAAAATTCTTCCGCGCTCAACTCTGCTATTTACGGTGTCTGCTGAAGCACACAATTCGAATTTAGTTGCGCGCAGTGAACGCATTCTCAACTATTATCCATTTTGCGTTCCGAATGCCCTCCTATTTCACGTCTTGCTAATGCTAAACATCACTTGTTTACCCCTCTCTCTCTCTCGGTCCCGATTTCTCTCTCTCTCTCTCTCTTCTTCTCTCCACCCTCCTCGATTTCACCCGCTTTTTGCCGCCGTCTTTGACATGTTTGTGGGGGGGCAGTGTAGTCTAGTTTTTCGAGCAAAATGCATTTAAAAAACCGTGTGTGGGGACACTGAAAACGTGTCGGAAATGTCGCTAATAATAGTGATTTCACTCAAAACGAGTGATAAAGTGAGTGGCTACGCAATTCCTTGAAAATTTTTGATAAATTCCTCTAAAAACAATATTTTTTCTTTTTTTTTCAGAAGCTACTTCGATTCTTCGACAAAACAATGGATACTCGACACGATGCGCACAATTTTGGGGATTTTGTAAACGAGCGAGCGAAAAGTGAACCGATAATATCGGCGGCTCTTTTCAGAAACTCAAGTTATTCGGTTTTTTATCGAGCGCTCTGACGGGATTCTCGGTTTGGATGATGAAGCGGCGAAACGACAAACAGGAAGAGGTGATAAGCGCTTTATTTGGCTCATTTTTGAGCACATTTTGTTGTTGGAAACTTCTTTGGAAACATCCTGGAAAAGTGTGTCCGTTTTGAACGACTATTGTAGACTTCAAAGAGGTTCTTTGGTTCTGAAAATTGTTGAGCATAATCTTGACACTTGGTACTGTATTTTTGTAGTTGATAACTTTGTTGTACGAGCAGCACCGGGGGTACTGTAGCTTCGCGAAGTTGGGATTGATGGCTCTGCGCTAGGCCCAACTTCCAAGAGCTACAGTAGCCCGGAGAGGCGTTGTAGAGAAAAAGTGTCAACCGCAAAAATAAAGCGCAAACCTTGTACTAACTTTTTGTAATTGACAACTTTTTGCTACAACCATTCCCTGGGCTACTGTACCTCAGCTGACCACCCAACATGCACATTTCAGAATCGTCGCCCATTGCAAGCACCACCACTTTTCTTTCAATTCGTTTGTACGCCTGTTGCTGATCAAATGTGCACACCGACCGATAAGGACTATTGGAAGAGCATCGAGGCGAGTTTTTGCCACTTTATCACATTTTGTATCGAAACGTTTCAGGAGGCGTCAACAATTGCGACGCCAACGCTTTCGAGCACTCTCAATTTGCTCATTCTTCTGTTCATAATCCCGTTTACGGGCAAAGTTTGCGAATTTCTAAGAAAATTGTGGAATTCGGCACCTAAAATCATATTCTGGCCTTTGCGACTATTCAAATTCTGTCTGAAACTGTTCTTCTGGAGAATTCCATTAAAATTCACGGCCGAAGTCTACGCAATGTTCCGGACTCTTTTGAAATACGTTCTTTGCCCATTTTATTGGTGCTTACGGATATGTTTCAAAGACTCTGGATCTAGAGGGTATCAACCGTGAGTTAATGAATAATTCGGAGTGATTCTTGTCATTTCAGACTCCCAGGAAACGATAATAGTGGAAATGACGGTGAGTTGTCGAGTCGAGAGAATCTTTGAACGAGTATTGTAGCCTTCACACTAGTCTTTTGGTTCTGAAAATCGTTTTGCGAGTTCTTGACATTTAGTACTGTATCTTTGTAGTTGATCACTTTTTTGTAGGAGCAAAACCAGGGGTACTGTAGCTCTAGAAAGTTGGGACTGATTTCCTTCGGCTCTGGGTTAGGCCAAACTTCCAAGAGCTACAGTAATCCAGGAAGGGGTTTAAGACAAAAAGTATCAACTACAAAAATATCAAACAAGGCTTGAACTTCATTTTTGCACTTGACACTTTTTCTCTACAACCTCTCTCTGGTGTACTGTAGCTCTTGGAAGTTTGGCCTAACCCAGAGCCGAAGGAAATCAGTCCCAACTTCGCGAAGCTACAGTACCCCCGGTTTTGCTCGTACAAAAAAGTGACCAACTACAAAAATACAGTACCAGATGCCAGGATTTCAAAATCAGCGGCATTCTCTAAAGCCTTCATGTTTAGACGGGGTAAGCGACGAAATCATGCGTTCGTTCCACAGACAAATGAATGAATACGGCAATTCGCTCGTACACTCCACAACGGAGCGGATTCGAGAGGATCAAGAGGCGAACCGAGCGCGTGAGGCGAAAATGAAGGCGGATTTGGCGGAATACGAGAAATCTCTCACAAAACCGACCGAACAAGCGTTGCGACGAGAAGACGAGGCGATGGAAAGACGGAGAAGAGTGCAAGCAGAGTTGAGAGCCGCGTACGTCTAACCAAAAATTGGAAGAAGAAGTGAAAGAAGACACGTTGCAGGATGAAAAGAATGACAGAAATGAGGGAAAACCGGTTCGAGAGCTTCAGCGACGATGGAAATAAGGCGAGAAGACGGGAAATGGAGGAGGAGGAGTTCCGGAAACGGCTCGCGGAGCAGGAGAGACAGTGTCAGGAGCGCGTCGACGAGTTGAGGAGGCAGACCGACGAAATTGAGGTTCGCAAACGTTCTTGGCGCCACCGCGCGGCTTTTGTGCATTTTTGCGCGTCGGTGTGGCTCTACGTACAGTGCATTTTATGTTACGCGCAAATTTCTTTTTTTTTTAGTTTTTGATGAATTTTCTCCAAATATTCATCTTTTTAAAGCGTTTTTCTCCACTTTCTACCTCAATTAGACCTTTTTACAGATTCCAGATGAAGTAATACGCGAAAAGAAGTCGATTCGATGAAAAGAAACGCGTAAGTAAGTAAAAGTAAGGTTTTGTTCAGAAAATGCACGATTTCTCGAAAAACGTGACTAGATTTTCTAATCTTTTCCTTAAAAAACTTTCCTTACATTACTCAGCATGTTTTCGAACCAAAAAGAAGTAGAGTGACAGCTCGATTTCGCGAAAAAACCGATAGTTTGCCGGAAGACAGTGAAATTTTTTTGAAAAAATTTTTTTTTTGCTTCTGCGAACTGTCACTCTTCTTTTTTTTGATTCGAAAACATTCACAGTCATGTAAGTGAACTATTTCAACAAAAAAATTCGAAAATCTAGAGACGGTTTTTGAAAAAAAAAATTTTTTCAACGAAATGTCACTGTTTTCCCGCAAAAGACAAATTTTTACGCGAAAGCGAGCTGTCACTTTACTTTTTTTTATTTGAAGACATTCACAGTCATGTTAGTGAACTTTTTAAATCAAAAGATTAGTAAATCTAAAGACTTTTTTCGAGAAATCGTATATTTTCTGAATAAAACCTTACTTTCACTTACTTACGCGTTTCTTTTCATCGCATCGACTTTTCTTCGCGTATTACTTCATCTGGAATCTGTAAAAAGGTCTAATTGAGGTAGAAAGTGGAGAAAAACCGCTTTAAAAAGATGAATATTTAGAGAAAATTCATCAAAAACTAAAAAAAAAAAGAACTTTGCGCGTAACATAAAATGCACTGTACGCAGAGCCACACCGACGCGCAAAAATGCACACCATTTGGCTGCGTATGTTGCGACGGCGCGCAACACGTTTCAGCCCACTTTTTTCCAGAGAAAAACGGCAGAAGACGTGGAGAACGCGCTTCGTGACTTTGAGCACAGATCCTCCGTCTATTGGCAATGCGTACGCATGCAATTGCGTTTCGAGGCCGAAGAACAGAAATGGTCCGACTTTTTGAGCGAATTGCGAAAGGCGCTCGTCAAAATCTCGACGTCCTACTCTAAACTACACGGCGAAGTACGTTTTTTGAGCGATTTGCTCTAGGTCCGAAAAAAAAGTCTATACACCGCTTCTTCTGGCTTTCAGATTTGCGAATACCTCAAAGAGCCGGACGATCGCCTGAACAAGGACTTTTTTGAGGTTTTCCAGCTGGAACATGTAAAAATGAGCACTTGTTTTGCAGAGAGAGGCAAAAATGTTTGGTAGCAAGGTGCAGACTGCTCAAATGATGCTCATCTACTCATTTGCAAACTTGAAAGAAGTTTCGGAAAAGTTTGAGGATAGGATTTTTGTGAAAATCATTATGGTACGATATTGTAGAATTCCCAGACGTCCAATGAGTCTGAAAATGTTTCTGTGAACTCTTGACATCTAGTACGTCATTTTTGTAGTTGATCGCTTCGCTCTAAAACCACTTTTTGGGCTACTGTAGCTACTGGAAGACGACAATAGTCAGACGCAAGTTCAAAGCGCTACAGTACCCCATGGAAGTGGTTGTACAAAAAAGTGGTCAACTACAAAAATGTTTGCCATTTCTTGTACTTCATTTTTGTAGTTGACCATTTTTTTGTACACCCACTCCCTGAGGTACTGTAGCTCTTGGAAGTTATAATCACTTTTTTTGCAGAAATCAGTAAGCCAAGCCGGGATTACATGTGAACAAATCGGACAGAAACTTGTGGAAATCATGGTGAGACATTCATTATATGAATATTTACGAGAAAAATTGAAATTTTGTTCAGAAAGACCCCACCCGCGAACCGGAATTGAGGAAAATAGTGTCCAACTTGTCGCCTCGCTCAATTCCAAGTACGGACAACCTAAAGAGAACGTCCGTGACTGCGAAACTGGAAGATTTTGAAGAATTCGATAATATTCCACTTTCTGATTGGTATGACCACTTTTTCCAATAATAATCTCTTCGATGTTGATCTCGTAATAAAGCTTTCACACTTTGAAACATACAAACAAATATTGTCCGACTTTGGCCCTATCGTATCTTTGTCAATTTTGAACGTTTTGCAATGGTTAAAAAACGAATAGATAGATAATTTCATGCTCTACAACTTTGTAATTTACACTATTTCACGAAATTGAGCTCGCGCCGAGATATAATCGTTTTCCTAGAACATGACTCATTCGAACAGTGCCCCTCACCTCGAATCGACAATAACTGACAAGTAGCTTTTTGTGTTCGAAAAAGTACAAAGAGCAAACAGAGACGGGCTCCTGGTGTGGACAAAATCAACAGAAATTGAATAAATAGTGGTGAAATGGGGCGAAACTGTCCGATTTTCTCTCACTCTCTCTCTCTCTCTCTCTCTCTGTTCAACATTCTACTACAATAGCCGTTTCACTTTAACCCTGTTCTATCAGTGTTCAAGATTTTTGCCCGAATATTATACTATTTTTCCCATACTCACCAGACGATTTCCGTTGTTTTAAGCCAACGCGGGAGCGTGTAGGATTTTTTTGAAAAAAGTTATGATTTTTCAAAGTTGGTCAAAAATTAAAAAAAAAAAATCCTAAAAAGTCCTACAAAAGTCCTACAAATCCCGCCCCGTTTTGGCCTAAAACCACAAAAATCATCTGGACAACAGGGAAACGTTTTAAAAAATTCATTTTTGCAATTTTTCGTTCGTTGCGTCTGCGTCTCTGCCGCCCGCAAATTGTGAATTTGCCCATTATTCAATGTCAATGTCATCTCCCGGTTTTCCCGCGTCCTCTTTTGTATATTTGTGGAGGAAACGTACAAATAATCGAGTTTTGCCATACTTGTCGTGAGTTTACGGCCCAACTTTGCAAATATAGTGAGGGGTTGTAGATGATGAGCGGCGCGGTGATAAGAATGTGTGTTTGACGGGGTAAAAGATCATTTGGCGCTTGGAAAATCGTTACTTTTCACTAGAAAATGCGTGCTTTGTTTCTGTTGGGGGGGGCGCAACTTCCTCCTCGATAGTTTATATGTACAATCATATGTTATCAGTGTCAACGTGTGAATCGTAAAGTGACAACTGTCTCCAATCTTCTTCTTCTTCCTCTTCTTCTCCTTCTTCTTCTTCTTGTTCCGCCTAGAACCCCACCTTCGAAGTTGACAATATCTCGTTTTTCGTCTCGTAAAATCCGAGTAATCAAAGACATGGTCCAGGTTTCATAATAAACAATAGGATCCGAAGAATACACAGGCTCCAAGATAGCTATATTTTGACCTCCTAAAAGTGCGTACCTAGCAGAGTTGAGCAGAAGAACACGGAAGAATTTTTATCTTTTTTAGAAAATTTTTTAATGAAATGTGATCAACTGACGAAATGTAGAGCAAAGTGAACTGTGCTCATAAAAAAATAATTGTAAATTTAGCTGCTCATACAAAAAAGTTATTCGAGTTGTTCCGCTAGCCTCCTTTTTTCGCGCAACAACTCGAATAACTTTTTTGCATGAAAAGCTAAATTTACAATTATTTTTCTATGAACAGAGTTCACTTTGCTCTACATTTCGTCAGTTGATCACATTTCATGAAAAAATTTTCTAAAAAAGATAAAAATTCTTCCGTGCTCTTCCGTTGAGTTCTTCCGCGCTCAACTCTGGTACAAACAGTCTGAACATAAAATCAATACACATATTCTCGGACACGAGTCCCTCTTCTTCTTCTTCTTCTTCTTCTTTTCCTTCTTCTTTACCCGATTCCATTGACAAAGTCACTCAAAACCGCTCTGTTTGTGAGTAGTCTTTGAAACCGTGCAATTCTTCTTTTTTCCAGGTTCCGTGACTCGTTGGATGAGCTCCAGAAGCTCAAGCAACCCGCCCGCCTAGAATCGATCCGTCGGGGGGTCTCAAATAGTACCCTGTGATTTTTTGGTATATATGGAACCGCTGGACCACGCTTTTAGAACCTCAACACTCGGATAGAGCTCATTATTCGATTTACACAAATTTGGATATCGCTTATAAAACCTGCTCAAAAAGATGGCCACTATACAATCGGGTAAGTGATTTTTTGTGCACAAATATTCGTTTTCGTTTATAATGTTCTTCCCGTCGCTTTGATGAGCACTAAAATGCACCGAAAAAGTCATTCAAAACCGCGTCCCCCCCCCCCTCTCGGCGTAACTTCTCGAGAAGAAGTTGTGCATCCCGTCTCCGTCTCCCCAATTTCCTCTCTCTCTCTCTCTCTCTCCCTCACCCTCTCCCTCTCTTTCTCGCCGCCGCCATTTCTCTCGTTTTCCCTTGTTTTTTTTTTCGTGGCCTCTTCTGATTAGAAACGCATGTTTTTTCGGCTCTTTTTTGCATTTCACACGGTTTTTGGGGGCAAAACGCCGAAAAAACGCCGGAAAAATCGGCGTTTTCGGTGGTTTTTGGCGGCAAATTCACACACTTTTTCAGGAGAATCGCCACCGCCGGACCTGATGGGCTGGCAATCGTACGTGGTGCCGCTGATCGGAAGTGCCCTTGTGTCCACTTGCACTTTTTTGCTGGGTTAGCAAGTGTTGTGGACATTTGTAGAGGTTAACACATGTTTTTTCAGGAAAATGGAACTACTCGATCGTCTGGGTCCTTCTGATTGTCGTCCTTTCGCTCGTCAAAAGCTATTTATGGAGGAAAAGAGAGAGGAGGTGAGATACAGTAATCCAGGGTGGTCTTCCTTAAAAATTCACCCCTAATTCTTTATTTTTTAGGCCAAAAAACCCCATTTTTCAGATTATTTTCGCTGCGAGCCACCGCCTATCGGGAACGGGAAGTCATTCTGGCGCAACTTCAAGATCTGCCCGCTTGGGTCCAATTTCCGGACACGGAACGCGTCGAATGGATCAATAAAGTGATTCATCAGTTGTGGCCGTACATTGGCGAGTACGCGAGAGTTTTTATGAACGATTTCATCATTCCGCAAGTGAAGGTACGCACAATTGGACGTGGTCGTGCTTTGAATGAGTATTGTAGAGTTCTCAAACGTTGTGTAGTTTTGAAAATTTTTTGGGCATTATCGTGACGTCTAGTACATCGTTTTTGTAGTTGAACACTTTTTTGTACGAGCAAAACCAGGGGGTACTGTAGCTCTTGGAAGTTGGCACTGAAATTCATAACTTCTAGGGGCTACAGTATCCCAGGGAGTGGTTGTACAAGAATTTTGTCAACTACAAAAATACAGTACACATTATGCGCTTCATTTTTGTAATTGACAAAATTCTTGTGCAACCACTCCCTGGCTTACTGTAGCGCTTGGAAGTTGAGACAAGCTTGTGTCAGTGCCAACTTCCAAGAGCTACAGTACCCCAGGTGTTGCTCGTACAAAAAACTTGTCAACTACAAAAATGTTGTACTAGACGTCAAGATTGATCTCAAAACTTTTCCGACTCGTAACACTTCTCAAAAACCTACAATATTCGTTTGTACTTTTGTACCAGAGATGTTGGGAATTCCGTGTTCCGCGTTCCGTGTTCCGCGTTCCGTGTTCCGCGTTTTTTTTCAATATTTTTTCCGTGTTCCGTGTTCCGTAAAAAAAAAAAATTCCGTGTTCCGTGTTCCGTGTTCCGTAGAAATAAGTTTTTTCCGTTTTCCGTGTTCCGTGTTCCGTAAAAAAAAATTTTCCGTGTTCCGTGTTCCGTAAAAAATTTCCGTGTTCCGTGTTCCGTGTTCCGTAGAAATAAATTTTTTTCCGTTTTCCGTGTTCCGTGTTCCGCAAAAAAATTTTCCGTGTTCCGTGTTCCGTAAAAAAATTTCCGTGTTCCGTGTTCCGTGTTCCGTAGAAATAAGTTTTTTTCCGTTTTCCGTGTTCCGTGTTCCGCAAAAATTTTCCGTGTTCCGTGTTCCGTAAAAAAATTTCCGTGTTCCGTGTTCCGTGTTCCGTAGAAATAAGTTTTTTCCGTTTTCCGTGTTCCGTGTTCCGCAAAAAAATTTCCGTGTTCCGTGTTCCGTAAAAAAATTTCCGTGTTCCGTGTTCCGTGTTCCGTAGAAATAAGTTTTTTTCCGTTTTTCCGTGTTCCGTGTTCCGCAAAAAAATTTTCCGTGTTCCGTGTTCCGTAAAAAAATTTCCGTGTTCCGTGTTCCGCAAAAAAATTTTCCGTGTTCCGTGTTCCGTAAAAAAATTTCCGTGTTCCGTGTTCCGTAAAAAAATTTTCCGTGTTCCGTGTTCCGCAAAAATTTCCGTGTTCCGTGTTCCGTGTTCCATAGAAATAAGTTTTTTTCCGTTTTCCGTGTTCCGTGTTCCGTAAAAAATTTCCGTGTTCCGTGTTCCGTGTTCCGTAGAAATAAGTTTTTTTCCGTTTTCCGTGTTCCGTGTTCCATAAAAAAATTTCCGTGTTCCGTGTTCCGTGTTCCGTAGAAATAAGTTTTTTTCCGTTTTCCGTGTTCCGTGTTCCGTAAAAAAATTTCCGTGTTCCGTGTTCCGTAAAAAAAATTTTTCCGTGTTCCGTGTTCCGTAAAAAATTTCCGTGTTCCGTAGAAATAAGTGTTTTCCGTTTTCCGTGTTCCGTGTTCCGTAAAAAAAAATTTCCGTGTTCCGTGTTCCGTAAAAAAAAAATTTTCCGTGTTCCGTGTTCCGTAAAAAAAAAATTTCCGTGTTCCGTAGAAATAAGTGTTTTCCGTTTTCCGTGTTCCGTGTTCCGTAAAAAAAAATTTCCGTGTTCCGTGTTCCGTAAAAAAAATTTTCCGTGTTCCGTGTTCCGTAAAAATTTCCGTGTTCCGTAGAAATAAGTGTTTTCCGTTTTCCGTGTTCCGTGTTCCGTAAAAAAAAATTTCCGTGTTCCGTGTTCCGTGTTCCGTAGAGTAAAATTTTTATTCCCAACATCTCTGTTTTGTACTTGCAAAAAAAAAACCGTTTTCAGGCTCAAATGCCCGGAATGTTCAAGAATTTCAAATTCACCAAAATGGACATGGGCGATATACCGTGCCGCGTGGGCGGTATCAAAGTCTACACGACAAACGTGGGTCGTGATCGAATCATTGTCGATATGGACGTGGCGTACGCCGGCGACGCCGATTTCACCGTCTCCTGCTGTGGATTCACCGGCGGCATGAACAATATTCAGGTGCGTTTTTAGGCATCGATCGATCCGCCGTTCGTAGTATTGCCAGCAGGGGTGTGCGGAAAATTTTTTTCGGAAAATTTCGGAAAATCGGGTTTTCCGAATTTTTTTTTCGGAAAATTTCGGAAAATCGGTTTTTCCGAATTTTTCGGAAAAATTTCGGAAAAATCGGTTTTTCCGAATTTTTCGGAAAAATTTCGGAAAAATCGGTTTTTCCGAATTTTTCGGAAAAATTTCGCAAAATCGGTTTTTTTCCGAATTTTTTTCGGAAAATTTCGGAAAATCGGTTTTTCCGAATTTTTTTTTTTTCGTAAAATTTCGGAAAATCGGGTTTTCCGAATTTTTTTTCCGGAAAATTTCGGAAAATTTCGGAAAAATCTGAAAAATCTGAAAAGCGCGTTGAACTTGTGGCCGCAAAAACACGCTTTCTCACCGTTTTTCCGCCGCCCAGTTAAATATACGTTCCACTTTCCCATTACGTCAGCTTTTCTGAAAAAACAACACAAATCGCAACAATCGGTTCATTATTAGAATGAGAAAAACGAAAGAAATTGCGTAAAATTTAAAAACCAAATTTAAAAAAAGACGCTCGCTGCTAGACCCTTCCAAAAATTTTGTGATGCGCCTTTAAAAAGCATACGGTGGTTTCGGACAAATTGACCTTGAATCCACACTAATTTTCCGAAAATTTCTCGGAAAATTTCGGAAAATTTCGGAAAATCGAAATATTTTCCGCACACCCCTGATTGCCAGTGCAGTTTTCCGGTAAATTGCGCGCAATTCTCAAGCCGCTTCTACCGTATCCGCCGATGGTGGGCGGAGTGTCGGCCACGTTTCTCGAGATGCCCAAAATGGACTTTAATTTGACGGGAATGGGCGAGATGGTCGAGTTGCCCGGACTCATCGACGCGATTCGCAGCGTCATCAATAGTCAGGTCGGTCCTCGACGCGTCTTCGAGACGACTCGGACGGATCTTTTTGCAGATCGCCGCCCTTTGTGTGTTGCCCAATGAAATTGTGGTGCCGTTGGCGCCCGACGTCGACGTCACCAAACTCTATTTTCCGGAGCCTGATGTAGGTTTCGATTGCTTCAGTTTTGCAAGCACTTTGCACACTTTGCACACTTCTTGCAGGGCGTCGTACGTCTCAAAATCATCGAGGCGAAGAATCTCGAGAACCGCGACATTTCGTTCATCAAGAAAGGCAAATCGGATCCGTACGCGGAGCTCCAAGTCGGCGCGCAGTTCTTCAAGACGCGCACCATCGACGACGAGCTGAATCCGATCTGGAACGAGCATTTCGAGGCGGTCGTCGATCAGGCGGACGGACAGAAGCTGCGCATCGAGCTGTTCGACGAGGATCAGGGACGCGACGAGGAGTTGGGCAGACTTTGCGTCGATTTGAAGTTGGTTCAGGCGAGAGGCACCATTGATAAGGTAGGTGGGACCAGAGATGTTGGGAATTCCGTGTTCCGTGTTCCGTGTTCCGTGTTCCGCGTTTTTTTGCAATATTTTTTCCGTGTTCCGTGTTCCGTAAAAAAAAAAATTTTCGTGTTCCGTGTTCCGTGTTCCGTAGAAATACGTTTTTTCCGTTTTCCGTGTTCCGTGTTCCGTAAAAAAAAAAATTTCCGTTTTCCGTGTTCCGTGTTCCGTAGATGAAAATTTTTATTCCCAACATCTCTGGGTGGGACGACGTTTATCGATATAAATGATGAATATCGATGCGCGTTGCAGTGGTACCCGCTCGAGGGCTGCAAACACGGCGATCTGCACATTAAAGCCACGTGGATGAACTTGTCGACGGAGCTGAAACATTTGGAGAAGCAGGAGTGGGAGGCCGAGTGGGGCCAGGCGGACAAGCCCATTCACTCGGCTCTTCTCATGGTCTACATCGACTCGGTCGCCGATCTACCGGTACTTTTTCTTTATAAACACAGCGGGCGCTCGTAAATTGCGGAGTGTCGTTGTAACAGGTCTGAAAAATGCAGTTCTAACTCGAGTTTACGACCTTTATTTCTTTCGTTTTGACTTGAGAAACTGATTGAAAGCCGTTCTTTACAGAATTTAGCGTTTTTTCATGTTTTTAGCGTCTTAAAGCTTCAAACGCTTATATTTCAGCTCATTTTGCATTTCCTGAGCCCAACGAACGATAAAAATGTTCGCTGAATCGTTCTTTACAAAATTCAGGTTCCGGCGGTTAGTTTTCTTGAGCAGTTTTCGCGAAACTATTCGAAAAACATCAAAATCCAGGCGAAAACCTTCAAATCGAAATAACTCAGCTAATTCTCAACGATATGCGATATTTCTGTTACCAAAACGTAGCTAGTGCTCTAATTATTCGAATTCAAATTCCAGGCGTACGAAAAAATAGGTGTAATGTACAGAAAACATGGAAAGAACGCGGCTTCCCGTTGTAAATTAATTAATCGGCCGCCGCGTAAATCGACACAACCCGCCTGTTGCAAGTGCGCCCCATTGAAATCATTCGTGGAAGACCGTGACATTGCCTCAAATAGCATTGCAGTACCCGAAATCGAAGCTCGAACCGTCGCCGTTTGTGGAAGTGAGTTTGGGCAAGGAGACGCAGCGGACGGCGGTCAAAGTGAAGACTGTCAATCCGTTGTTCCAGTCGAAGTTTATGTTTTTCGTGCGGCATTTGGACGGGCAGGAACTGAAATTCGAGGTGCGGAACGAAAGTCCCACCCCCCACCCCAACTTTGTTGTTTGTTTGCAGGCGGTCGACGACGGCACGCGCCGGTCCCTCGGATCGCTGAGCATTCCGTTGGCGGCGCTGCTGAAAGAGCCGCGACTGGAGCAGAACCAGCAGATGCACATGCTCACACTGGGCGTCCATCAGAGCCCCATCGTCATAACCGCCAGGATACGGGTGCGTGCCAGAGTTGAGCGCAACAACTCAACGCAAGAATTTTTATCTTTTTTAGAAAATTTTTTCACGGAATGCGATCAACTGACGAAATGTAGAGCAAATTGAACTCTTTTTATAAAAAAATAATTGTAAATTTAGCTTTTCATACAAAAAAGTTATTCGAGTTGTTGCGTGAAAATGTCCATCCGTCTTCCGTCTCGAATAACTTTTTTGTATGAAACGCTAAATTTACAATTATTTTTCTATAAACAGAGTTCAATTTGCTCTACATTTCGTCAGTTGATCACATTTCATGAAAAAATTTTCTAAAAAAGATAAAAATTCTTGCGTTGAGTTGTTGCGCTCAACTCTGGCACGCACCCGTATCCTGGCGGTTATGACGATGGGGCTCTGATGGACGCCCAGTGTGAGCATGTGCATCTGCTAAAAATTCTTGCGTTGTTTCCGCGAGAAAAGGAGGCGGAAACGCGCCGGAATACTGTAGTTTTATCTTGAAAATGTCGTAAAATATGAGACACACACGGCATTTTTATTGGATTTTCGAAATCTGCGCTTTTTAAGAGCGTTTGTCCAATCCAATTGTGTACATTTCCAGGCGCTCATTCAAGGAAAACCCAAGAAAAGCGCAAACAGCGAATTGGATCACGATGTACTAGGAGAGTACGGTAATGGTAAGTGTCGTGGAGTGTGATGCCCGGTCCGCAAACACCGAATTCTGCTTTCAGCTTTCCACATTGAGCGCGCGAGCGGAAAAGCGAATGGAGACGTGGTGGCGGTGGAGCCATCGAAAACGGTGAATCTGGAGGCGGCCGAGGACGATGTCGAGATCAAAATGAATGTGGACAATTATCAGGTGAACTCCTTTTTTGTCCCCCCTACACGGCGCGGCTTTCGCAACATACGCAGCCAAATGGTATGCATTTTTGCGCGTCGGTGTGGCTCTGCGTACAGTGCATTTTATGTTACGCACAAAGTGAATTTTCTCCAAATATTCATATTTTTAAAGCGTTTTTCTCCACTTTCTACCTCAATTAGACCTTTTTACAGATTCCAGGTAAAGTAATACGAAAAGAGAAGTCGATTCGATGAAAAGAAACGCGTAAGTAAGCGAAAGTTAGGTTTTATTCAGAAAATATACGATTTCTCGAAAAACGTCACTAGATATTCTAATCTTTTGATTTAAAAAGTTCACTAACATGACTGTGAATGTCTTCGAATCAAAACAAGTAGAGTGACAGCTCGCTTTCGCTTGAAAATTTGTCTTTTGCCGGAAAACAGTGACATTTCGTTGAAAAAAAATTTTTTCTCAAAAACCGTCTCTAGATTTTCGAATTTTTTTGTTGAAATAGTTCACTTACATGACTGTGAATGTTTTCGAACCAAAAAAAGTAGAGTGACAGTTCGTAGAAGCAAAAAAAAATTTTTTTCAACGTAATTTCACTGTCTTCCGGCAAACTATCGATTTTTCGGCGAAAGCGAGCTGTCACTCTACTTCTTTTTGGTTCGAAAACATTCTCAGTAATGTAAGTAAAGTTTTTTAACCAAAAGATTAAAAAATCTAGTCACGTTTTTCGAGAAATCGTGCATTTTCTGAATAAAACCTTACTTTCACTTACTTACGCGTTTCTTTTCATCGCATCGACTTCTCTTTGCGTATTACTTCACCTCGAATCTGTAAAAAGGTCTAATTGAGGTAGAAAGTGGAGAAAAACGCTTTAAAGAGATGAATATTTGGAGAAAATTCATCAAAAACTAAAAAAAAAGAACTTTGCGCGTAACATAAAATGCACTGTACGCAGAGCCACACCGACGCGCAAAAATGCACAGACTGCGGATCAAACGTTTGGTGAACGTCGCAAAAGGCGCGCCGTGCCTAATATTTCGCTTCCAGATGCTGCGCTCGGACTCGCGCAGTTCGCTGAACAGTCACGGACGCTCGAACAGCCGTTTGGGACGACTCTTTCGCTCGAAACACGAGATGAAGAAGCGCGAAACGAGGGCGGACGAGAATCGCGGTGAAATCGAGATGCGAATCGAGTTCGACGAGCTCTCCAACCAGCTTTTGATTGCAATTGTGCGCTGCCGCGAGCTGACCACGTTCGACAAAAAAGAGCAGTGCAGTCCGTACGTGTCGGTACGTTTTCGCGTCGAATTGACGCCCGTTTTGACGGCAATTTTGTAGGTGAAACTGGTGGCCATCGACGGCAACAAGGAGGTGTTCCGAAAGAGAACACCGACCGCCAAAAACTCGCGCAATCCGCATTTCGACAATCAGTAAGCCTCGATATTGTCGAATTCTAAGTTTAAATCGTTTCAGTGTCGAAATCGATGTGAATCCGTCGGATCTTTTGAATCATAAAGTGGTGATCTCGGTGAAGGACGACACGAACTACGGTACTTTTGTCGCGAAGCCCGTACTTGGATATGTGAGTTTTGAACGCGATTTTCGACATCGCCATACTCGAATTAGTCGGCACGTGAATTTGTGTGATTTTAACTCAAAGTGTCGTAGGATGTGATGCCAGGTCCGCAAACACGGCGCACACCGAATTTGACGCGCAAGTGCTGGAAAAATGCAGTTTTTCAGCTGGAAATCCGTCTGGACAGTCTCCACAATCGGCAACTCGCGCAAAGATGGATCCCGCTCGGTGTGGAGCGGAAATAATTGATTTTTTTTTTGTACTTGTATCCCCCCTTCCCTTTTCCCTCGTTTATACGGGTCTATAGAACTGATATTGTTGTAGACTCGGAGAACTTTGAATAGGCTCATTTATAAGGTTTATCGGTACAATTCTTTTGAAATAACTCGTTGGAAAAAGTTGAAAACCAGGGCTGCGGACTTTTGAGCCACTTGCAATGATCCGATCGGGTCCAAACTTTGCAGACTTCTAGGACATGGATTGAAGTATATTGGGTCCGAGTTTCAGACCGATCCGATCATCTGGACCCGAGATATGTAGAGCGGAGGCCGAAAAGTTTCTGCGAAAGATGCGGTCTTTTCTGATCCACATATCTCGGGACCGGGTGATCCGATGGGTCTGAAACTTGGACCCAATATACTTCCATCCAAGTACAATAAGCCTGCAAAATTTGGTCCCGATCGGATCATGGCCCAGCCCTGTTCAAAACTTTAGAAAAAAAAACGTCGAATGTATTGATGATGAGGGCCAGAAAGACACTGTAGAACATTATTTTCTCGATATTGTAGCTTTCTAGAAGCCAAATGCCGCATCTACAATATTGGAAAAATAATGAAAAGCAGGAGATGGAGCACGAGTCGGAATGCGAGCGAATTTGAAGAGTTGAGCTCGCGCAGCATGTCGTGCTCATTACAAAAATCTCCGTTGCACGAGCAGAATGTCACCTGCAATAATCGTTTTGAGAGAACTGTTTCGCGGCTCGCTTTTCAACGAACGAACCACGTCGGTGTGCGCGGACAGCGGGAACAGCCTGAGCAACTTTCGATCGGTGTGCCGGCAGACTCTGTCCGAATTGTAGCTGCTCAACACGTTGCGCACGTCGTCGTCGAGTCCGAAGAGGAGAAGTCGGTCGACGCAGCCGCGGATCACTCCGTGTTGCTCGGACACGTCTGAAAACGCGCATTTTCATCTGGGCTCGTCGCGGAGCCCCACCACTTTTTGTTTCAGTAGAAAAGTCTCGGAAAACGCGCAAATCTCGCCGATTTTGCAGTCCAAAATCGGCAGAAATTGGCGGGAAATTCGGGGTGCGCACAGCTGAACGAGTGTTACCGTACACCATAAAACTACGGTATTTTTTTTTTAATTTAAATTTCGAGAATATTTGAAATTTTTCAAACTTCTTGGGTAAATTTTTCAACGGTATTTTTTTAAAAATTTAAATTTCTTGAGAATATTTGAAATTTTTTTCAAGTTTATTGGGTAAATTATCAACGGTATTTTTTTAAATAAAAAAATTAAATTTCTCGTGAATATTTGAAAAATTTTCAAATTTCTTAGGTGCATTTTTCAACGGTATTTTTTTTGAAAAAAATTTAAAAATTCTCGAGAATATTTGAAATTTTTTTCAAATTTCTTGGGTAAATTTTTCAACGGTATTTTTTTCAGACTTGCCAGATTTCGGGCCGGCCATGCGGGCCGGCCCGGGTCGGCCATGCGGGCCGGCCCGGGTCGGCCTGGCCGGGCCGGGCCGGGCCGGGTCGGTGAAGTGCTCGGCCCGGCCCGGTCGGCCCGGTTCAAAAAGGCGGGAATTCAAATTTTCGCGGAAATTTTTTTCGTTATTACAAAAAAATTTTCGAACTAAAGTTTTAGTGTTTCTTCTTTGTTTTTTTGCTATTATGAAATTTTTTTATGAGAAATACATTTGTTTTTCAATGTTCGATGCTTGCAAAAAACCCGTAATTCTACAAAAAAATGGCTTCATGCGATCAATAATTCAAATTTTGAATTCCCGCTTTTTGAACCGGGCCGACCGGGCCGGGCCGGGTCGGGCCGGGCCGGGCCGGGCCGACGGGCCGGGCCGGGCCGGAGTTTTGAAATTTCGGCCCGGCCCGGCCCGTGGCAACTATGGTATTTTTTTGAAAAAAATTTAAATTTCTCAAGAATATTTGAAATTTTTTTCAAATTTCTTGGATACATTTTTTTAACGGTATTTTTACAAAAAAATTTAAATTTCTCGAGATTATTTGGAATTTTTTTCAAATTTCTTGGGTAAATTTTTCAACGGTATTTTTTTAATTTAAATTTCTTGAGAATATTAGAAAATTTTCAAAAATTCTTGGGTGAATTTTTCAACGGTATTTTTTTGAAAAAAATTTTTAATTTCTCGAAAATATTTGAAAAATTTTCAAATTTCTTGGGTAAAAATTTCAAAAAAATCTCGTAGTTTCATGGTGTACGGTAACACTCGTTCAGCTGTGCGCACCCCGAATTTCCCGCCAATTTCTACCGATTTTCGACTGCAAAATCCGCGAGATTTGCGGGTTTCCCGAGACTTTTGACGCGTGCACAGGTCATTTTTCAAAGCCTCCTCCCTCGCAACATGTGTGTTTCGGCCACGCTCAAACTATAGTATTAAATTGACGGCGGCGGCGCGAGAATCCGAATTTCACAATGTTCGCGCACGATTTTGCGCCAAACAATGCAATTTTAATGAGTTTGCCGCTCTCTTCACCCTTCTTCGCATTTTTTCGGCTCGTTTTCAATTGAAAAATGGAAAAAGATGTGATGTGGTGGTCCGACACATTGATGGATGTGATAGGAAGAGAGAGAGAGAGAGAGAGAGAGAGATGGAAATGTTGTTTTCCTCTTGCGGACATGTAATACTACTAATACGAGTTGGTCGGGTACTAACTAATTATTATGACATCTAGCGCGGATCACGGAATTTTGGATTAGGTTCGGGCGAGTTTGTTTTGCAGAAAAACAAAGCGGAAATTCGAAATCAGTACGTTTTTTGGTGAGATTTGACATACATCATCGCATACGTTTGAAATGAAACAATTTGTGCTCAACGCTCGGGCTCCGCGAGCCCATGCGGAGCCAAAACCGGCATTTTTCCAAATTAGGTCATGATTAGTGTCAAATCACTCGAAATCACGCGGAGAATTCGAAAATCGTATTTTCAGACGTGTCTTTACACATTTGCAAACCCCCCCCCCTCCCTCTAAAATCCTTCCTTCAAAGTTCCCCCCATTCCGACTGACGGGGACCGCCATTCCCATATCCGGCGTCCTTTATGGTTTTCCGTTTTGGTCCCCCCAATTTTTTCTGTTCCAATATTACTAACCCATTCGATTGTCAGCAACGCAAATCACTAAACGAATCGAGCTGTCTCCAACTATTATCCATCCTCAAAATCATCCAAACTTTTGGCGAACAGAAGAAGAAGACGCGCCAATTGGCCGGCCGCTCTCATTTTCGCCGCGTCAAAAACGGTCGTAAATCAACTCAAATGATGATCGTCCGGAAAAGATGTTGGGCTCAGATTGGGGGCCGCTTTGGCGCCCCCTCTACAATATTTGTGCGGAAAAGCTTCATCCTAGATGACGTGGCACACTCACCTACAGTAACCGTGCGTCTTTTGTTTCGCCGAAAAGTCCCTCACTTTGAGGGCAACGAAACATACACTCACTCACGTGCGTATAACATTTCAGTTTTCACTCTAACGAATTCATTGAAAAAGTCTCCCTCTCTCTCTCTCTCTTTCTCTCTCTTTCGTGCTTTTGGTGGGGCGAGAGGGGGGGGGTCTAATCAAGAGGCCGTCAAAAGTGCAGACACACACACACACGGGGGCTCGCGCGCGCGCGCATTTTTCATTAGACCGAAAAGTCGGTGTCGGCCCCTGCTTACATTCTTCGCCGTCGATGCGCTCGACGAGCGTGAAACATGCCGAGTTGCACGGAACGACGCCGATTCCGGCGTCCGGCTGCCAGCAGCGATCCGTGAAGTTTTTTGGCGGATAGTAGTGGTGCATCAGTTGGGACCATAGCGGCAGGTAGACGAACGAGGCGCAACTGGAAAAAGCAAACGGATCGGAAAGAGCGCGCTGGTCTAGTGGTAACAGGTTCGGCTGGCAATCTGTCGACGCGAAATGTCGCAAGTTCGATGCCCCATGTTCCGAAATTGCTCACCTGAAGCAATGCGATTTCTGTGGCATATAGCTATCATCGACTCGATCCGAGACGGCTGAAAACGCGTGCGAGACGACGAGAAACTGGGAGAGCCAGAGAAGCGCCGATGTTTGCCAATTCCGACTCTTCATGTCACATTTCAACGGGGACGTGTCTCGGCGGATGTCTGCCGAGAAACGACGACAATATAATCAGCGAGTATTATTGAGGCGCGGTCACACTCTTCGACAAAAGTATAATATCGGGACATGCACGGAATGTAGTCTCAAGAATTGGAGTGCTGATTGGCTTTTTGGTTAGGTGTACACCATGGCCACGCGAAAATGTGATTTCGACCTGCCCGATATTGAGTTAGTTTGACGTGGCAGTCACTTTAATGTGTCTAATGACGTGGCAACAATTTTGCGGGTGTAAAACTGCTCAATTTCACACATTTTCGAGGCAATAGGAAGTGGTAGGAGGCGATGACGTGGCACTAGGTATCATAGTGGTCAACTCCATCCTACAGCTTCCTAGTGACGTGGCAACAACATTTTTGGGTCAAAGACGACTAGAACTGACATGTTAGACTTGATAGGAAGTGGTAGGAAGCAATGACGTGGCACTAGGTATCATAGTGGTCAACTCCATCCTACAGCTTCCTAGTGACGTGGCAACAACATTTTTGGGTCAAAGACGACTAGAACTGACATGTTAGACTTGATAGGAAGTGGTAGGAAGCAATGACGTGGCACTAGGTATCATAGTGGTTCAACTCCATCCTACAGCTTCCTAGTGACGTGGCAACAACATTTTTGGCTCAAAGACGACTAGAACTGACATGTTAGACTTGATAGGAAGAGGTAGGAAGCGATGACGTGGCATTAGATATTATAGTGGTTCAACTCCATCCTACAGCATCCTAGTGACGTGGCAACAACATTTTTGGCTCAAAGACGACTAGAACAGACATATTAGACTTGATAGGAAGTTGTAGGAAGCAATGACGTGGCACTAGGTACTTCAACTCTTAGTGGGGTACATTTCAACTTCAGCTCCATCCTACATGACGTGGCAACTTGAAAAACGGACATAGGATGCGTTTTGGACAATTTCAGACAAAAACGAGCACAAATCAGGCGGAGAGGATAGCTTGAAATCATAGTGGTCGTAGTGGTCAACTCGCAAAAAATGTGTGTCCGGCACAAAATCGTGACATTTCTGCACAAAAGCACGTATTTTTCAATGAATTTCGAAAAGTTTTGCACTTTTTCTGATTCCGCCACACGAAAAGAGCACTCGGAATCGGGAGATTTCATGCAGAGTGGAAGAGAGAGAGAAAGAGAGAGAGAGAGAGAGAAAAGGCCATGAATATCAAATGATTTGGAGAAGGAAGGAAGGAAAGAGGAAGAAGAAGAAGAAGAAGAAGAAGAAGAAGAAGAAGGGAAAAGGTGCAGAAAAAGATTTTCAGATGGTCCCTGGGGGAAGCGAAAGATTAATTGGAACGATAATATAAGTGGCTCGCTTACTAAACGCCGATTCGCACACAATTACTGTAGGTGGTGCCACGTCACTTTTTTCAAAATGTGTGTTGCAGTGTACAATCCAATCCGGTGTGTAGACAGAAAAAACTAACCGGAAAACAAGTGGGACACGTTTTTGAGAAGGCGATAATATACTCGTGCTCTCTTGACTCGAGACAACACACGAATACTTGATGAGAGGAGGAGGAAGACGACGAAAACTGCTTTTTTTTGTGATTTGTCACCCATTTTTCGTCGCGTGCTTCGCGGAGCTCGAAAGCGAAGAAAGCGGGAGAAATAATTACGAGTCGGAGCGGGAAAGAGTCAACTTCGCCCCCCTTTTCGACGCGTTTCCAAGGTGACCGAACATTTGACGATTTCCCGATATTGTCGGCTTCTCGGCGCTTGAAAAGAAGCGTTTCGGGTAGCATTTTGAGGTGTTTCGCCCCAGATTTCGACCGAACCGATATTGTCGGCTTCTCGGCGGTTTAAAAAAGCGTTTCGGGTAGCATTTTGAGGTGTTTCGCCCCAAATTTCGGCCAAACCGATATTGTCGGCTTCTCGGCGGTTTAAAAAAGCGTTTCGGGAAGCATTTTGAGGTGTTTCGCCCCAAATTTCGGCCAAACCGATATTGTCGGCTTCTCAAAAAAGTGTCAGAATCGTAATTGTACAAAATGGGGCATCAGAGTGAGCGTCTCGACGAGACAAATCCATTGGCACTAGTTTCAGAGAGCGACATGCAGTTTAGACCCTCTGGACGTGAAAAAAAGGAGAATTAGTACTTCCATTCGGCGCGGAAACCATCCAAACGCCCCAATATATCAAGTGTCACTTTTACGTTTTCGGCTCTCAAGACTGCCTCTCCCTTTCAAGAGGTGTGCCATTTCGAATAAATCTGTCATGATGGCAAAGTATTCCGTTTCCTTTCCCCCTATTTTCGTAATTTCTGTCTAGTTTCGAAACGAGGGGACGAACGAATATTGTCCGTTTCTCAAAATCGGACGATGACGTCACATCCTGCCAGAGATCACGGCCAAATCTTCGGAGAGTGGGGCGAAAGTCGTCGAACGCAAATTAAAAAATGTAAAAAAAACTTCAAATGAGTATTGTAGGATTCCAAGACGTCTTATGATTCTGAAAATGTTTGAGCTGAATCTTGACATCTAGTCCTTTATTTTTGTAGTTGATCACTTTTTTGTGCGAGCAATACCTGGGGTACTGTAGCGCTTGGAAGTTGGCACTGAAACGCTTACCCTATCAGCACGCTCTCTTGACTTTGAAGAGCGACAGTACCTCGGAGAGTGGTTTTTGCAAAAAATGTTCAACTGCAAAAATAAAGTTCATATTGAGTGCTACATTTTTGTACTTGACAATTTCACTCTAGGACTACTCCCAAGGGTACTATGGTGCTGGAAAGTTGGGACAATTTTAGAGATATGAATATCATTGCCAACTTTCAAGAGCTACAGTACCCCAGGGAATGGTCGTACAAAAAAAGTGTCAACTACAAAAATGCGGTACTAGATGTCAAGTGTTTGCAAAAAGGAACAAAACTACAATATTCATTTCAAGTTACCCTGAATACACACAATCTGATATGTCATTGAAGTACAAGTAAAAGTCGGAGGAAGTTGATATGTTCAGAGAGCGAAAAAACTCGAATATTCAATATTTACACAATTTCGTCGGCGTCATCCGCTCAAAAGTGTCTTCGCAGAAACATTTCGGCGACGTGCGGCGGCAGCAGCTTTGTGTAGGCGTCCTGCAAACCGCCCGTCGTCTCCTGACGCTTTTTGATCGTTTTTGTGATCATGTCGCGCAAAGTGCTCGCGTCCGACACTGCAAATTATCGATTTTTCCGCAATTGCTCTAGGATTCGATTCAATTTACCGGCAACGAGTACGGTAACGAGCACAAGAAGAAGAAGAAGGACGTTGGAGTGGAAATTCATTTTTTGAGCGGATTTCTTCAGATTTCACCCCCTCCAATCGGCTCTTTTTATAGTGGAACTAGTTTGGCTCCGCCCACTTTTTTTTGGACCCCGTCGTGACCTCATGCGACCACATGCGATCGCCGTTTCTAGTTTTTGATCCATTCGCCCGGCTACAAGACAAAAATAGATGCGACCGACCGCGCGGCGCGTCCAGGACCAACCAGGGTGTCTAGCCGCTGGGCCGTGTGCGAAATGCCTGATCAAACGGGACAAAAATCGAGCGGAACTTCCGGGGAATCGAACCGGCCGCGTTTGGATCGACGGCCGCGCGTGTTAGCCACTGAGCCATCCGTCCAGACTTTCAACAACGCGGCCCCAGCGCCCCGCATTTTGAAGATCGCCTAGGCGTTGTATAGTGCATTTTGAAGAGAATTTCACGGGCTTTTCAATGGCGCAAAAATCAGACGGACTTTTTTTCGGCACACTTTTTTTGACGCCACAACCCATCCCATCTTATGACATTTTCTGCAAGTATGTGATAGATAACACGTTGTCCGCACATGGTCTACTTGATCCCCTCGACACTACAGAGATCTACCAGTCGGCGTGCTGTTCAGATGATCTGATCGGTTTGATCTTTCAAGAATCTTCGAAGGGATCACCTCCTCCGCTCTTCTTCTTCTTCTTCTTCTTCTTTGTCTTTTATTAGTGTTTGTGTGACGATTGGTTCTTCATTCGTTCGTACATGAAGATCCGATTCAAAGACAAAAAAAGATCTGCACGAAGTGGGATTCGAACCCACGCACCCATACGAGTACCAGAACACCCAGAAGACCTCGAGCTCGAGGCAAGCGCACGCTTGAGTCTGGCGCCTTAGACCACTCGGCCATCCGTGCTGCCCATCCCGGAGGCCCCGATGCAATGACAAGAGGGGCGGTGGAGGGCCGCAACTCGTGGTGAATTTGCACGGAAACTAGTGTTTAGACGGGGGGTTTTATGATTTTTCGGGCTTAAAACGTGTAGAATATGGATATGAAAAATTGGAGAAATGCATACAATAGCGGTTACAATATGAATTTTCATCTGGAAAATGTTCAACTTTGAATCCGATATTGTAGAGTTCAGAGACGTCCAACGGTTCTAAAAATTTTTGAGTGTAATCTTGACATCTAATACTTTATCTTTACAGTTGACACTTTTTTTGTAGGACCACTTCCTGGGGTACTGTAGTCCCAGAAAGTTGGGACTAGTCAAGCGATACAAATTTCAGTGCCAACTTCCAAGCGCTACAGTACCCCAGGTATTGCTTGTACAAAAAAGTGATCAACTACAAAAATATAGCTAAAGGTGTCAAGATTATGCTCAAAAATTTTCAGAACCCCCGAAGGGTTTTGAACTCTACAATATCCATTTTAAAATTCATAAAGTGTTTGCGAGTGGCAATTTGTTCAATCCTCGTTTTTCTGCCGTCTTCTCGTCCTTTTCGGTCGTTGAGAGTTGTATTCGGCGTTGGTCTTCTCGAGCAACTCCACAGTTTCATAATATCTCGCCTCTGCTCGAGCTATTGTCCACATTGCAGAAGTTACTGACATTTGAGTTGAATTTACGAAAAAAAAACCGATCAAATAGCTACCAAAAGTCTCGTGCCAATGAAGAACTTGATCCCACACGAAATTCCACGTGTCCTCGTTCCTTTCGTGAGCTCTATACGCGTGATAGAGGCAAATCATTATGTTGACCATGTACACGGCGCCCACGATTACCTGAAAATTGGAAGAGCTCTGTAGTGCCCGAGGGAGTGGTTTTATCGGAAAATGGCTAACTATCAAAATATTGTCCACGTTTTCATCTTTATTTTCGCTGTTGACACTTTTTTTGTACAACCACTGCCTGCGGTACTGTAGTTCTTGGAAGTTGGGCACTGAAAATCAGAGCTTTGAACTTACCTCAACTTTGAATAGCTACAGTACCCCAGGGGATGGTCGTACAATAAAGTGGTCAACTACAAAAATACAGTATAAGATGTCAAGATTCAGCTCAAAAATTTTCAGAACTATAAGACGTCATGGAATCCTACAATACTCATTCAATAATCTCTATTTTTCCACTTTTGTGTAGTATAGTTCGCAATGAAATCAGACAAAAGCAGGTGAATATTTCGATTAGTGGTCAACTGATAAAATGTTCAAAATTTCGTGCTCTACAATTTCCCACTAGACACTTTTCCTCTAAAATGCGTCGTTTTCGAGTTATGAGCCATTTTTGCGGACTCACCATGCAATGCTGTACCATCTCCCAATTCTTGCGTCCTCCATCGAGACCATGAATAAAAGCGGCCGCGTTGGCGATGAGCACAATCACGAGTGTGACGTACGTGGTGGGCGGTCCCTTAAAGTTCAGCTCATCGGGACACGTGTAAAATCGGACCGCATTGATCGCTTGAAGCAGCAGGAACAGGTTACGGTAGCGGCATCGCCACAGACTCGGCGGTTTTGTCGAAGTGAATATCATCGGTTCGGATAAATGTGTGTTGCAGTCGAAAAAGCCGAGTGAAAACGGAGAAAAAGAGACGTAGAAGACGAGATGCCAAACTAACCTCTTTTTCTTTTTCGTATCACAATCAGCCGGGGTTGCCCCTGGCAGCGGGCACCACAAAAAGGGAGAAAGAGAGAGAGAGAGAAGGAGAAGAAGAAGAAGAACGAATATTACTACTATTTGTGAGCCGGAGCCCTGGAGCCACCAAAGGTGACAATTATATAATGATGGGTTTGACCAGCTTTTCCGGGTTTGGAAACGAAAATTTTTGAAACAAGTATTGTAGGCTCTTGAAAAATGGGCCATAACTCGACAACTATGCATTTTAGGGGAAAAGTGTCGTGGACAAAATTGTAGAGCTGAAAATTCTAAACATTTTTCCAGTTGACCACTTTGCGAAATGTTCATTGGTTCTTGAGATATGGTCCCTTAAAGTTGGAGCAAGTTCAGAGCTACGAATTTCAATCCAAGAGCTACAGTAGCCTTGGAAGAGGTCGTAGAAAAAAGTGTTCAACTACAAAAACAAAGTATAAGACGTCAAGATGATGCCCAAAACTTTGTAGGACCTCAGGACGTCTCTGAACCCTACAATATCAATGTTTATGACGCAAGTTCATATGGGTTCGGCAGAAGTGCCCGACATCTCCGGGGCAGTGGGTTCCACGGGCGCCTGGCACTCTTGATGCTCGAATCCTTCGGGAATCAGTTGCTCAAACGATATTTCGAGACCTTCGGAGACACAGCAAACGGCCGCGTAGTTGTTGAACGATCCCATGTAGTGGGGCGCCGAGAAAATGGTCTGAAAAGAACGTCAACTTTGAGCGGCTGTATGTCGATCAATTTTAAAGATTTTTTCAATGTTGAAATGTGATTTGATAGATAATTTTATGCTCTACAACTTTACAATTGACAGTTTCTCTCAATTCCGTCTGTGCGCGCAGATATTTCACTTTTTCCGCTGTAGACTTTTTTGACGAAACATATGCTTCGGGAAAACGATAATATCTACGCGCCCAGGCGAAATGGTAAGAAAATGTCAACTACAAAGTTTTAGAGCATAAAATTGTCTATCAATTTCTTTTTTAACATTTGAAAAATCGTAAAGTCTGACTGAGATATGAGGCTACAAAGATTCACCACAAGTTGTCGCGCATTTCCAAAGAACTCATAACCGTCCTGAACGCATTGATGCGCGCGAACGATCAAATCAATGTTGAGGGTTTCGCACGCCTCCGCAATCTGTTTCTCTCCAAAGTTGAGCGCGGAGCCGCGTGGACTCTTCGTCCATCCGTCCACATTGTTCGGGTCCGACCACAGAATGTCGTTCTCGAGGCCGTCCTTCTCGCTGCACCACGGAAGCGCAATTTCTCGCAGCTGATCGAGGCTCGTCAGTTTGTTCGAAAGACCGCCGTGCATGCAGAGAATGCGTCCGCCGACGAGTGCGGTGAACGGCATCGTGTGAAGGCACTCCTGGAAGCGCACTTTTTTTGCGTTGGGAGCGGTTCTATGATCCCCAAAATTGTATTGTGACATCTTGACATGTTGTACTATATTTTTGTAGTAGACACTTTTTTCCTACGACCACTCTCTGGGGTACTGTAGCTCTTTAAAGTTGACAATGAAACGTCTAGCCATTTAGCACCTCTAACTTCAAAGAGCTACAGTACAGAGATGTTGGGAATAAAAATTTTACTCTACGGAACACGGAACACGGAAAACGGAAAAATTTTTTTTTACGGAACACGGAACACGGAAAACGGAAAATTTTTTTTTTACGGAACACGGAACACGGAACACGGAAATTTTTTTTTACGGAACACGGAACACGGAACACGGAAATTTTTTTTTACGGAACACGGAAAAAAGCGTTTTCAAGAGAATTCCAGTGATTTTCTTAAAAATAATGTTTTGTTTAATTCGATTATCTGACTGACAAGGCAGCTGTTTGACTCATGTGAAAGTTTTACTGAAAATTTCATAAAAATAACAAAACCAACAACACAACATAGAACAACTACAGTAAAAAACGACTGAAAATGGAATCCACTTTTCACGAATATGGTCCGAATCCGAAAATTTTCAAATTTTGACCACAAAACGTCAATTGTCCTAATCTTTCCGGAGATAAATTCGATCTACGAGGCGAGCATTTTTCCGCGGAAAATATAGTTTATACGGAACACGGAACACGGAAAACGGAAAAAAAAACTTATTTCTACGGAACACGGAACACGGAACACGGAAATTTTTTTTTTACGGAACACGGAACACGGAAAAAATATTGAAAAAAAAACGCGGAACACGGAATTCCCAAAATCTCTGCTACAGTAGCCCTGGGAGTGGTTGTACGGAAAAGTGGTCAACTACAAAAATAAAGTACAAGGCATGAAAAATATTTTTGTAGTTGATAACTTTTTGATATCTCTTATCCCAAGGCTACTGTAGCTCTTCAAAAGCGACTTTAAATGATTATGAGTGTCAACTTCCGTGAGCTACAGTAGCCTTCAGAGTGGTCCTAGAAAAACGTCATCAACACAAAAAATGTGCTACTAGACGCAAAGAATGTGATAAAACAAAAATCCGTACCTGAATGGCTTCGTACAACTGCTCGTAATATTCGCCTTTTCGGTGGTACACCTCGCCCGCAAAACCGTAATGTTTGTTGACGTGCTCGAGTTCGTGGTTGCCACGTAGCATGAAAAAGTTGTCGGGGTAACGGGCGCGGAACGAGAGGCACAGGAAGAGAGTCTCCATGCTGAACTGGCCACGATCCACGTAGTCGCCCAGGAACAGGTAGTTGGACTCTGGCGGCCAGCCGCACTGAAACCCAAAACGTCGTTTCGCAACCGACTCGCGACACTTTGCAACTGGAACCTTGGCGAACAGACGAACGAGATCCGGAAATTGTCCGTGCAAATCGCCGCAAATTTTGACGGGACCGTCAATCTCGACCATCGCCTTCTGCTCGATGAATCGATTTTTGCAAATGACTGAAAAACGCGGAATTAATTTTTTTTTTTTGCGCAAATATTGTTCGCTTACACGCCAGCCGCATAATATCGATCGTTTTGATTTGTTTGAATCCTTTACACCCCAACACCGCTTTTATCATCTTTTCGGCGAATTGTTCTGAAATCTTTTTTCATAATTAAAAAATTAAAAAAAAAAACAAAAAAATTTTGCTCTCACTATTGTCGGTCTGCTTCAGAAAAATGTCCTCTCGTCCCGGTTTATCGTAAATCGCATCATTGTCCGAAACGGCGGCCGTCGGCTGAAAACATTCAGAGTTTCAGCGAGAAAATGGGGCGGCTACAAAGCAGCCGACGCTTCACGGGTCCGTCTGCGTCTCGCCACTATCTCACACTCTCTCGTCGTTTCCATTTTACAGGCGCAAATTCACATTTCGTCTATCAAAAAAGAACCTCGGCCGACGGCATTTTTGACGGTTTTCTCGACATTTCGTTTCGGTTCCCTTCTTCTTCGTAAAATAACTCGTAACGTCGTCGAGAATCCCGTTTCCTTGTGCTCCAAAATGCCACGTTTTTATGGTAAACAATTGTAAACTTTATTCGCATCGCTGCTTTGTATTATTATCGCACAAGTCTGTGCCACAAGAGAACCAAAAACGGGGTTATTCTCTTCTAATTCTGACTGATTTCTTCGATTTCGCCGGTGATCGCGACCGCCTCGATTTCGACGAGTCCTCCTTTCGGCAGAGCCGCCACCTGGAAATCAATTGTGTGAGTTGTTTCTCTAAAACAGCGAAAACAGCAAAAACGATAGGGGAATTACCGAAATTCGAGCATTTTCAGCACACAACTCAAAAATCGATTTGACTTTTTCATTTCCGAATGAAGTCTTTTTTTTTGCTATTTTTAGACCAAAAATGTGCGCCATTATTAGTTTTACAAATATCGTTCAGAATTCGGGTCATTTTTTACGAAATACATGAACAAATGGCTTCGGGCTTCGGGCTACGCCCCTTTCCACACTTTTGGTTTTTTTTTAAATGTAATTTCAAAAATGCAGTACCTGATAGGCGGCGCGAGCCGGGAACGGAGCCTTGAAATATTGTCCGTACACCTCGTTGACGGTCGCAAAATCGGCGATGTTTTGGAGAAGAACCGTCGTTTTCACCACTGAAATTATAGGGTTTTTTTTAAAGAGAAGCTCATGAAAATTGTATTTGTTTGGTTTCTAGGATAAAGATTGTTTTAAAAATGCAATTTTCCGGTCATACCATGTCCATAGTCGGCTCCGGCGGCCTTGAGCACTTCTCCGATGTTCTTGAGACTCTGGTGCGTCTGCTCGACAATTCCCTCCTTCAGATCGCCCGTTTTCGGGTCGAGACCCAACGAGCCCGACAGGTAAATTGTGTTTCCGGCACGCACCGCCTGACTGCAATTTTACTCATTTTTTTTCACTAAAAACTGCTGAAAATATTTAAGTTTTTAAGTCACACAATTTTTCAAATATTAGGCCTACCTGTACGGTCCGATGGCTCCCGGAGCATTGGCGGTGCTGATGATCTGGCGAGTCACTTTTTGAGCCATTTCGACAACTTTGCTTCTCCTAAAAACTCAAAAACTACGCATTTGTTTTTTTTTAGACATTTCAACGAAAAATCGATAAAACGCGCCACCACCAGAGATTCCGGACTAACTTGGGCGCATCCTGCTCAGAAGTCTCATTTTCGGAACGTTTGAGCGCATTGACAGTCGGCGGAAGCATCGGCATGATTAGGAGAACCGAAAAAGAAAAGAAGGAGACGTACATGTTTGGAGAGGGTGGTTAACGAAGGAGAAGAAAGAAATGAATGGGAAGACACAACAACCGAGGTCACCTTATCAGTGTCTCCGTGTCGTTTTCTTCTGCAACGAAACAATTTGTTTGCGGTCCGCCCACCCACAATAAATGCGAATTTTCGAAAATAGCGATGGCTAGACAAACAAGAATCAGGGATGGAGAAAAAGACAATACAAACCAAGGAGATTGTTAACTTTAACCAACAATTTATTGGGTTCATAACAACATTTATTGGACCGGAGCAACTGGTTGCGCTGGCGGGATCTGGACATCCTTCTTCTCCTCTTTGTGCTGGCTGTGCGGCTCCTTCGGCAGAACCTCGTCCTGTGGCTCGACGATCTGGACGTGGTCCGGAAGCGCGTTTCTTGGTCCGTTCTGTCCGCGGGGGTCGTATGGGAGCATGATCTTGACCTTGATTCCGATGACTCCTGCAAAAAATTATTTATGCTATTGTCTAGTGGTCAAATTTTTTATACCCTGGCGGAGCTGGACGTGTCTAACGGCCTGTTGGATGTAGTCGTTGACTGGGTGTCCGGAGTGGATCATGAGTCCGTCGACGAACTTCATGGCCTTGGCACGCTGTCCGCGAAGCTTTCCGGAGACGATGACCTGGAAATATACAAATTACAACTCAAAATAATAAGAAAGTTGCTTACCTCGACTCCCTGAGCTCCAGACTCCATGATGAAGCGGAGAACTCCGTAGCAGGCACGGCGGACGGCGAGTCCTCCGACGAGCTTGTATCTGAGAGACTCGCACTGGGCAACAGCGCAGAGTCCTCTGTTGGAGACCTTCTCGGCGAAGAGCTGGAAATAATTTGAATATTGAAATGAAAATGCTGGTAAAATTTTTTAAATACCTCGACAGATCCCTCCTCGAATCCGAATCTCTTCTGGACAACCGAGGTGAGCTCCTTGATTCTGCGTCCTCGCTCTCCCAAAACGTTTTGGGTGCGGGTGGCCATGATGATGACCTCAGCTCTGGCTGGAGTGCTGCGGACCTATAAAATTCACTTGATATTGGAGTCGAACATTTAAAAAGATTTACCTCAACTCCGGAGTATCCGTCCTCAGCGAGCTCCTTCATCAGGAAGTTGTTAAGCTCGGCCTTGAAGATTCCGCCGATCACGGCCTTCTTCTTCTTGGTCACGTTTTGATTGGCAGCCATTTTGCCCAGTGTTTGACAAGTGCTGAAAAATCGATTGTAACTGCTAAAATAATGGATGGTACATGAAAAAAGCGAAAAACAGGAAACATTAGGCAATTGGAATTATGAAAAACAGTCGAATTGTACGATTTTTGACGAGAAAACCTCTATTTTTCAATTGAGGATAGGTTCGTCATGCGATTTTAAACAATTTTCAGCTCGAAAAATTGTAAAAAATCAATTTACACGTGAAAAATTCAAACTTTTTCCGAAAAAAGTCAAAAAGAAAATGGCGCCTGGGGGAGCGTGCAACGGTTAAGCGTTGAATACTCAGTTAACGCCGGCCGCATTTGACTGCCGCGTCGCTGCGAGACCTGCGGGGCGTGCGCACCGTCTGCGCCTTTAACCGTCTCGTTGTCTGCGTTCACCGTCTCTCGCCGCGAATATTTTTTTTTTCAATTCAAATAAATTATTTGTCGGCCAAGATTTACGGTTTTTGTGCGGAGTTCATCGATTTTCTCGTTAATTTTCATGTTTTTTTCGTGTGAAAAGTCCTAGAAACAATGTAGAATTGCAGATTTTTCGATGGACGAGGAGAAAATTGTTTTGATCGGAAATGAGACGGATCTTCTGCACAGCGGCTACAATTTCGCGATCAGAGACCACGGAAGAAAGTAATTTTACTCGAAAATGCTGAAAAAAACGCCTAAAAGCGTTTCAGATACCCGTCGGCGATCCACTTCACCCATTATTCGATAATTCATTCGCTTCACATCTCCGACACGTTCGCCGAAGAACTTTTGTGCACGAACAGCAGCGATGTGGCTCAAAAAGCGCAGGTCATACTGCAGGAGCACATGCCCGAAGGCCACGACATGAACAGTTTGGGCGGATATTTGCAGACGAGCCTCAATTCGTACTCGCTTCAGGGTCTAAGGCTTCGATCCGAACAGGACAAGGGTGCGTTTTTATTAAAAATTGAAGAAAAATGGTGGAAATTTGAGAAAAACCGAAAAAATTGCGCTTTTTTCGCTTAAATTGAGAAATTCCGAATTTCGCCGTTGTTGCCTCGAAAATTCAGTCTATTCTTTGCTGTAAGCGATAAAAATGCTCTCTTCTTCAGAAAACTCGCAATTTTTTTTTTTCAAAAGCTTGGTCTGTATAGAAAAACCGATTTATTCACCATTTAAATGTAAATACCCAAAATTGACAATTTCAGACTTTGAAAAGACGCTCCTGAAGACAAATGAGGCGTTATTGATCGTTTGTGACGAGAAAAATTCGCATTTGGGCATCGGAATGGACGACAAAACGTTCATGGAGTGGATGGCGAAGGAGAAGGCCGATTCGAGGCAAATCGCCTACTGGATGCGAAATGAACACACGAAGCCGGTGGATTTGGGTAAAAATCAGTTGGGGTAAGCAAGAAATGCAAGCAATGAATGATGGAGCGACAGAAAACTGAATATTCTATAATTGCAGAAACTGGCTCATGTACTTGCGCTACGAAATTCGTGAAAAACGAAAAGCGTCGGTGCTCAGCCGGCCCATAGTTCAAGTGGAAGGACTTTCGACGGACAAGGACGACAAACCGGTGATGATCTCCATTAATGACCTCGTTATCAGTTTGGAGGTACGAAATTGTCATTTTTAGAGGGAAAAAGGAAGAAAGCAGCCGTAAGGCTGCCCAATTTGACCGGACTGTGACAGGTTGTCAAGTTGTTCTAAGTGCCTAAATTACTTCTATGGATCATATTCGTTCAATTTCCACTCATTTGAACCCACTAGACTACCTGGTACGAGCACTAGATTCACGAATGTCCAGATTGCCGGAGTGTCCTTATGGCGCCGCAATCTAGACATTTCCGACTTTACCCGGACTGTAATAGGCTCAAACATCGCGCAACTATAGTTTTGCAGGGAATTTTCCGACCGCTGTCGAATTACTACGCGTTTCCGTTCGAAATGAAAGGAGAACGATACCGTTCTGTGGAGCACTACGCCTTCGAAAAACTGTTCAATTCGTTGAAATTGGACGACAAAGCGATCGAGAAGATCCAGACGACGCCCGTTCCGTTGAACGTTCCTATTGTGGCGCAGAAAGTGCTACGCGCACTAAAGGTTCGAAATGCGCTGTTTCACTGAACAATCACTAAATTTACTGGTTATTTGCAGGTGAAACCGGAGGCGATCGCGGAGAAGACGCCGAAGATGGACCGATGGCGGCAGTCGGCGATGAAGCACAAGATCTACCACAACGAGTACCTGCAGCAGCTGCTCCTCTCCACCGGCTCCGCGATTATCATCGATTCGGCGCTCGGCGACCCGTTGTGGACGTGCGGAGGAACGGAAATGGAGTTGCAATGGCTGCTCACGAAGCCCTACGTCACGCCGGAGAAGCTGATCAGCTGGATGCTCGGCAAAGAAAGCGGCAACAAGAAAACACCGAAAAGTGTGTCGCACTTGTTCGGCAACAAGTCAGGATTGCTCCTCATGGAACTGCGACAGAAATTGAGCGTGAACACACAGAGCAGAATACCACTGGTTAGCGATTTTTCTGAAAAGTTGCAGAAAAGCAGAAATAGCAGGACTGGGCAAATTATTACTTGGAATCATCCGATCGGGCCCAAACTGTGCAGGCGTCTTGAACTTAAATAGAAGTATTTTGGGTCCAAGTTTCAGACCGATCCGATAATGCGGTCCCGAGATGATCCAAATATCTCGGGACCGGATGATCTGATCGGCCTGAGACTCGGGCCCAACATACTTCAATCCAAGTCCAAGAAGCCTACAAAGTTTGGGTCCGATCGGATTATTCCAAGTAGGCCAAAAGTCCAGGCCTGGGCTTGCCTTAAAAATATAAATAAGTCTATGAAAAATCGCCGTTATTTTTGAAGATCTCCCCGATAAACACGACGTCGCTGAGTGCGATGGTGACTGCGAACGTGATCTGTTTCACTCCCGAATCCGTCTTCCACCCCCTCTATCCGGCCGAAATCCGCATTGGAGCAGACGGACGGTGTCTCCAGTCGCCCGCCCACTACGTCGCACTTCAGGCCGTCAAGTGAGAGCACTGTTGTTTTTTTTTTTTACTTGTTTACACCACTTTTGCAGATTTCTGAACATGAACAAAGAGGACAACGAGTACATAATGGACAACGTGAACTCGGTGGAATGCTGGACGCGTCTGCACGAAGTGATCGAGCAAAGGGGGCGTGGCCTCGAGATGGAGCAGACGTGGTGGATGGAGAAGAGGATACAGTTCGTGAAGGAGGGACTGCAGCTCATGCTCGAGCAGCACCCCGCACTTCTCAGGGCTCTTCTCGACACTGGCGACGCGCTTTTGGTATGATTCATACGTGCGAACTGGCCGATTTCGGTCCGGCTGATAACTCGCTTCAAAAAAAAGGTGCGTAGAACGACATGTCAGATTGTAGATTTCGAGGAGTTCGGGCCGGTTTTAGAGCCGGCATTTTGCCGCGGGCCGGCTCTAAAGTCGGCCCGGATGTTGTCCTATTTGTAGAACTCATGAAGTTCTACAATCTGCCATGTTGTTCTACGAACAACTTTGATTTTGAAGCGAGCTATCAGCCAGCCCGTTTCCAAATATCCATTTTTCTACGAAAATGCCCCAAATTTTGCAGGTTTATTGCGCTCGATTCTCGTCGATCGACACCGAGTTATCGATTGGAATGCGTGAAATGGACCTACGGTATTGGTTGAGCGAAGTTGACGTCACCACGAAACAGGTACGTCTGAATAAAACCATTGCGACATCGTCTCTGATTTGAGGATTTACCAACTCTTATGCTCTTGCGCTTAGGACAAGTTTTGGCCTGTGCAATTGTTCTATCAAGGCACAAATGGGAAATTATCGGAAATTACACTAAACTCGCTCGAAATTTGCAGCTGATCGACCTGTGCACACGTCCGATGGCATTCCGGCCGCCGTACCTCGGCGGCAACCGACTGGGACTGCTTCTCATGGAAATCCGGCGCGAGTTCGTGCTGCAGGGCATCTTCCCGGCGCAACTGCCGGAGCTCCAGCTGACCGTCGAGTGCGTTCTCGGCTCCGATTCGCCGACGGAGAACTTTGTCACCTCCCAGTACTTTGACATTCTCGATCCCTGGAATTATGGCGCTCTCTGGATCAGTACGTGTTTTTGCTGACATTTTTCTCTCTCAATTTCGCATTGTAGACCCACTATTTTTGATCGCAAAAGACGGACATCAGGAGGCGATGGCCGCGTGCACACGCATAAAATGTCCGCAGAGGTACGTGACGGTGGACGACGAGAAAGTGACGGGAATTGTGGACGAACTGGTCAAGGAGCAAACACAGGTTTGTACGCATTTTTGGGGCAATTGGCCGGCCCTTGTCCTGCACTTTTGGCCTACTTGAAATATTCCGATCGGACTCAAACTTGGCAGACTTCTTGGACGCGGATTGAAGTATATTGGGACCGAGTTTCAGCCTGATCGAATCATCTGGACCCGAGATATACTGGTTTGAGGGACTTTCGGTCAATGATCCACATATCTCGAGACCAGATGAAGCGATCGATCTGAAACTTGCTCCCAACATACTTCAATCCAAGTCCAAGAAGCCTGCAAAATTTGAGCACGATCGGAACATTGCAAGTGGGTCAAAAGTCTAGGACAATTGCTCATCCCTGATTTTTCCCGAAATGTTTAGATTTTTTCCAATTTTCAGGAGGAAGCGCTGGCCCAAATAGCGCCGGAAGACCTGCGAGCCGTGTTCATGAAGTTATGTGCCCGACTCAAATCGAAAGTCGAATGTCTGGAGCACCAATCCGCCGAAATGGCCATGCAGGCCTGGGAGGTAACTCTTTTTTTTTTCTCAATTTTCTCCCATTATAATACAATTTGCCTACAGTCGCATCGTCTACAATCGATCCGCCGATCGTTGGCCGACACAAAGGAACGGACGGAGGCGGACTCGTCGTCGGGACCGTCCATTTCGGCGCCGCCGTTCCCATTACGTCACGGTCGAATGGCGGCCGGAAGGGAGCGGGAGCGAGAAGAAGAGAGAGAGAGAAGGAACGCTCCGCCCACCTCTTCTACTTCTTCCGCTTCCGTTTCGGCGACGCCTTCCGCGCGGAAAGAACGCACCGAGTACAAGATTCCGACGAATACGAAGCGGAAATTCGGAAAGGATCGCGGGGAAAAGAAGACGGAAACGGGCGCGACGACGGAGAACGCCGCGAAGACGAGTTCTCTACTTGGCAAGAGAGAGGTACGCTTTCTGTTAAAGTGTACTTCAAAGTGGGGGCATTTGTGTTCCCAAACCGAGTTGAGCGGAAAGCGGAATTCCGCGGCGCATAGAAATAAATTTGATGCTATGCGCCTTTAACTGCCTTCCGTCTGCGCGAAACTCAATTTTTTTTTTGCAGAGAATCCAGGAAACAAAAAAGCGTGGTCACTCGTCGCCGTCCCGAAAATCCCTCTCCTCGACGACGGCCGCCAATTCGGGAACTCCCGTCAAAAAGGCGGCGGTCCCGCCCCCTGCACCGCCGAAACCGAAAAGGGATCCGGACGAGGAGCTGTCGGAGGGAGAGATCCTCTCCACCGACGAAGAGGATAATAGTTAGAACGGTTTTTGGCGAACCTTGTAAAACCCTTAATTTATTTGATCGAAAAAGTTCTGATGTCTTCCCAACGAGATGCGATCTCTTCCGCTTTTATCCATTTTTTTAATATATTTTCCCCGTTTTTTGCTAATTTTGCTCAAACTTTCCTCCAATTGAACAATTTCTCATATTGTTGATTTATCCAAAAATGGGGCGGGTGGGGGAGAAATAAATTAGCAAGTTTCAATTATTTTTTGCACATTTTCCACTAGTAAGACGCCACAAAAGTGTACAAAGAGTGTGGGCTTTTTGAGGAGGGAAATTTGCGCCAAAATAGATTGGGGTGGGAGTCACATTACAAAAAAAAAGAAGAAGTGGGTTGTGTGATCAAATAAAAAATCATTTCGACAGAAAAGAAGAATGAGCGTCAATTAGTAGTCGTTGATGTTGATCTCGAATGTCGAGTGCGCCTTCAGCTCCACGTTCGATGTTCCGGCCACCGTCTGCACTTTCGTCACCACCTGAAATTCAAATTTAAATTGAAATGTTTCCGTTTTTCCCGTAAAAAAATCCCGTAAAATAAAAGTACCTCGGCGACGAACACCTCCTCCTTCTCCTTATCGATACGCTCGGCGACGACGATGCCTCCTTTCGTGAGCGATTTCATCGGATTGTACGACTTCTGATCGGCCAGCGCCATGTACATTCTCTGCGACGGAATGACACGTGCCGGATTTTGGAGACGATGCGTCGGGCGCTCCGTCTTTGGCCTGCAACTTTGCGCACATTTATCAGGGACCGGGAAGCAAAGGTTCAAATTTTTTATCTCAACTCTGTTTCCCATCTCAATTGATAATATTGATGTCAATGGCAGTTCTGTTCCGTACATTTTCATTGCGTTGTAGCGCCATTTCCCTATAACTATAAACCCTGAAAATGCTCACTTTTTCGCCGGATCCGCGTCGACCGCGGTGGTTCCTTCGGCCGCCGCCTTCTCGGTCCGTTCGATGCTGGCCAGAAGGGCGGGTTTGAGTGCATTCAGTGCGGCCGTGTTGATCGGCGGCGGCGTGAACGTGAAAGTGCCTCCGGAAGCGGCCGCCGCGGCCGACGCGACCGCCTTCTCGTGCTTCTGCACACTCTCGCTCGCCGCCTGGAACTTCTGCTCGAACGCGGCCATGTCTCGTCGTCTCTTCTCCTCCAGCGCCGCCTGCTTCTTCTGAGCGCTCTTTTTGCCCGTAATCGACAGCACCACCGTCTCCACCTGCAATTAATTAGAGTTGCATTTGCATTTCTCGCAGATAAAAGTGGATAAAAGTAGAATTCTGTCTAAAATTGTCCAAAAAAAGCCGAATTTCCAACCTTCTTCACATCCTTGTCCTTCTTCGACTCGGTTTTCGGCGGATAGGCAAACTTGTGGCTGCTGGCCATGCACGTGTACTCGAGCACCGGAATCTTCAGGTTCTGGTTGACCGTCACGAGACACGAGGGCTTCGCGGCGAGCGACACGAAAAAGTGCATCGAGTGCCAGAACCAGCCGTGCAGGAAGCACATCATTCCGACCATCGAGCCCATGTCCGGCTGCCCGTCCGCATTGTGCATCAGCACCGCCGCGTTCTGTCCGCCAATATCGAGGAGGCCTTGGGCGATGATCGCGCCGAACTTCACCAGCGAATCCTCGTTCTTCTCGCCAATCTGCAACAAAAATTATGGGTTTTCCAGTCAAAATCCGCCGTTTCGCTTCAATTTTCTCACCTTTTTGAGTAGCTGCTTGCGGAATCCGTTGACTTTGGGACACGAGTAGTCCGTCTGCTGGCACATGATGAGTGCCAACGCGAGCAGAGCTCCCTTCCGCACGAATCCCTCCTTGTCGGATATCATCGGTTCGATCAGCGCGATCGCCTCCATGTTTCCGCTTCCGGCGCACGCGATCGCCAACGCCATCGCCGCTCCGTAGCGGACGTGTCCGTTGAAGTGCTCGGTGAGCATCGACACGTACTGCAGACACATCGACTGGTCGCGCGACAGTACGAATCCGATGCCGATCGTCGCGTAGCGCTTCACATCGAGGTTCGGGTCGGTCGCCACTTTTTCGAGCAAACGACGCACGACTTCGGGGGATCCGGTGCCGGCGTAGGCCATCGCGAGCATGCAGATGCCCGTCGAACGGAGCATCGGGTTGCTTTTCGCGCGGAGAGCCTCTGCGACGAACGGCTCCGCGTCGGATTGGAGTCCGAAGGCGGCGCACGCGAGTCCCGTCCGGATGCCTCGTTGCGTCTTGTCGTGCTGCGTATCGACCGTGTACTGCTTCAGCTCGTTGAACACGTCCGCACTCAGATTGCCGGCCATAATGAGTCCCATCGCGATTCCAGCCGATTCTCCGGAGACGGCTTCGTCTCTCTGCAGCACTTCCCTGACACGCTCGTAGTTCTGCTGCGATGCGGATCCCAATCCGGCGACTCCGAACCCGAGACAGGCTCCGTGCCGCACCGGCTCGTTCTCGGCCGTCTTCAGCCACTGCGCCAGCGTGCTCATCGCCGTCGCGTCGCCGTGTTTCGCGTGGATCAGTCCGTAGGCGAGCATGGCGCCGCCCTCTTTGAACCCGAATCCTTCGACCGACTCTTTCGGCAGGTACGGATCGAGCACCTTCAGCGCCGACGTCTCCTGTCCGTGATGCACCAGACCGAGCGAGGCGACCGCGTTGAACTTGTTCCAGTTCGTCGCCTTCGACACCCACGAGAGATTGTTGCGCAGAAAATCGTCGCACGTCGTGCCGTACTGCATCAGACCGTTTGCGATGAGCAGTGCGTTGTGCGCCGACGCCGTCCGAATGTTATCCTTGATCTCCTCCATCAGCCCCGAGTCCGTGTGGTTGTGCCGGACGAAAAAGTCCAAATACGCCTTGACCGTCTCGTGTCCGTTCAGGATCGAGTGGATCCGTTCCATGGGCACCGGGTCCCTCGTCTTGTCCTCCTCCTGAGTGCGGAATCGCTGAAGGACGCGGTTCAGGAAGCCCTGGCTCGCCGTTTCGTACAAATCGAACGCGATTTGATAGGCGCGGCTGTGCTGTCCTTTCGAGACGAGCGTCGTGATCGCGTCGGCCGTCGCGTTTGCGTTGTCCGTCAGCACATAGCACTGAAAAAACGAGGAAGTTTAAAGTTTGCTGTTTTCGTGTACAAAACAAGTTTTTACCTCACAAATCTTGGACATATCCGGCGACGGGCATCTGAGGTACGTTTTGACGACAGTATCAATCACATTAAAGCGGAACGTGCGGTCGAAGGCGCCGTTCGCCACGCGGTTCAGCGTTTCGATGAGGACCACTGAAAAAGTTGCGCGTTTTCTGATGTGCATGATTAAAAACACGGCGAAAGAAGTCGAAAATCGTCACTTTTCAGCAGGAAAGCCTTCTGCTCAAAAACCACCAAATTTTCATTGAACTTTTCGCTAAAAAGCTGTAAAAGTGTCATGGCCCAGTCTTACCTTGACTTTTGACGCTCAAATCCTCGGGAAGCGCAGCGATCGCTCGCTCGATCATCGCCAAATTGTTGGTTTCGAATCCGAGCGAGATGACGTACCAGATCTCGTGCTTGTCCAGATTGCGGGAGACAATTTTGTCGATGAGCTCGCGGAGTTTGGCCGACACGACGAGGTTCTGCGCGCTCAGCGACTTGTACGTGTCGACGGCCGTCTCGATCACCTTATTCACGTACTCGGCGTCGTTTCCGAGCCCGACGCGCGCCGCCGGCACCACGTTGAACTGGCCGCGCAGGGCGAACTCCAGCGCGCGGTCGTACTGTTCCAGACAGAAATAGACCTTCGAGACGAGCAGCGCGGCCGCCGAGTGCTCCGGGAACGTCGCCACCTCGAGGAACTTCTCGATGGCTGGAAGCGCGTCCGCAACCTCGAACCACGTGTTCGTCAGAATGTCCCAGTCGTTGAACGCGCGCAACACGTGCACTTTGTCCTGCACTGAGCTCTTCGGCGACTCGAGAACGCGGATGAACGCGGCTGAAATTTGAAAATTGTAAAACTCTAATGCTGTGTTAATTTCACATTCCAACTCACCAGCATTAGTAGCGCCTCCCGGCTGGGATTTCCATCTGTTCAAAAGTGACAGCATCTGAAAAACTCACAATCAATACGATTTTCACTAAAAAATCACGTTTTTAAGGGAGAAACACGAGAAAATGGTTATTTTGAGCAATTTCTGAACAAATTTAGCAAATCCGGGGAGAAATGAGACCTGGAAACCGCACGACAGCGAATTTCCGGAAAATGATGAGAACACGGAAACAACCGCTTAACAACCGATTTCTAAAGGGTTTTCCGCCGGATTTTGAGTTTTCCCGGGTTAAGAAACACTATTTTCTTGAAAAAATGGAACAATTTCGGCGGAAAACGACGAGTTTGCAAGTGTTTTCGCGCTGATTTGAATTGTCATCCTGCCGCAAGCGTACCAAGTCACCGGAAGCGCGTCAGCAACCCTGCTTGGCGTCTTTTTTGTGCTGGTGCCTCAGACAACGCTCATAGCCTATTTAGGGTCAGCTAGGTCAGCTAGCGGTTCTGGAGGTCCGGCGGACACCCGCCGGTTTTTGAAGCATCGTACTGCGCCTTGTTTAGCAGAAAATGGCATTTGTTAGATTTTGACAGGGATTTCAATAAAAATCAGAAGAGAATTAATGTGAAAGAGCCTGAAATGGAACAATTTAATATGTAGTTGGACCTGTTTTGTGCAAATTTCTTGTTTGGCTATCGTCGGTTCATTTTGAAACGGCATTTTGAGCGTTTACGGAGTTTGGAGTGAAATAGGACGGTTGTAAGTATCAAATTCGGATTCAGGAGGAAAAATGGAGCAATTCGATATACAACATGGCCTATGTTGAGCGCCTTTTTTTGTTTTTCTATTCGTGGGTCCCTTATTTATCCATTTAGGCCCATATTTATGCAGGCCCTTATAGTACATATCATTTTAGAATTAAACAAAAAAAACGTACACTTGGCAGCAACAGCATCAGCGTGAAATCCAGAAAAAAATGTGGAGGGAATCCGTAAATGCTCGAAAGAGCGGAACGGGAGGGGAAAGGAATTGCATGTTGTAATGCGTCCGTCTGTGAACTTCTGATGCAAGCAGTGATTTCGTGATAATTCTTTCCATTTTGAAGATAATTTATTTGCTCTGCAAAAAAACTAAATTCTTTTTCTTTTCATTTATGTTCACTCCCAATCGGAGTATTTCTAACCCTTTTCTGCTTTTTGTGAGCGAAACGCCTCAAAATTCAGTGCGATTAACGATGTCATCTTCAGCATCAATTTCACTACATTTTCGAAGACTAAAGCGATTTTGCTGCAAGGAAGCAAAATAGATGTGGTATGGGATTCCGAAAATGTATTCTCGCATTTGTAAAGCAGTAACTTTTACTTCTTCTTGTGTTTTAAGCTTTTTTCGCTTTTTTCGCTTTTGTTCTCCTTTGATCTTCAACGAATTCTTTGGCGAAATCTGAAAATGCGGCGTTCTGCTAAACCGGGCGACATTACGACACTCCGACTAGGCAAGTGAGTGCAAGCTGCTCCTGAAACGGAGTTTGTGCATGAAATGAGCGGAATTTTTTTGACTTTCAGATCACAAAGAATATATCAGTCATCTTCTATTCAGATGTAAAATGTTATGCTGAAAATTCAGTCTTTTCAGTCACAATAATCAAATCAGTATTAAAGGCGCACGGCCAAATGTGCAAGAGCGAATCCCGTTACGAGAACCGTAACCGAAATGCTAAAACGAAACAAAATCCCAAAAAACTTCCAGAACGTTCCAGATTCTTCAGTTTTTGTCGCAAAAAATTTCGAAATTATTCAAAAATCTGTTTTTGTCACGTTTTCGATAAAATTTCAGTTTGTTCTTGTAATTTACGCGTAGAAATGTGTGAATCTGAAAAAAAATGTGAAAAATTGCAGATTTATGTCTCCGGGTACAAAATGGCGGATTCTGACGGAGAAATCCGTCGAATACGACGAAAATGTGGACGGAAAAGCGTTTTTTGACAAGGTTTGTGGAGAAAAATCGAAAAAATTCCGGAAAATTTATAATTTTTAGTGCGTGAGCCTCTGGAAGGAGTATCCGAACGCGGTGAGCAACCGGATCACGACCGTCATCGAAGTGGAGGAGGGCAGTGATTTGTGGAACGAAATTATCGGAGCGTTCGAGCACAAATACAACTTCAACCCGAGCAATTCGAGCGAGCTTTGCGTCACCAAGTTCATCTATCGCGATAATATGAACAAAACGTTCTCGGAAAACGCATTCGAGCTCTCTTTTTATGAAGGTTTTATTTCTGACTAAATTAAGCAGTTTTTTGTCTTTATAAAAACGCTTTAGAAGAGCTTCTGGTGCGTTTCTACCCGATTGTGCTGGACGGCGAGCAGCATCCGCACTTCGAGAGCCCGTATTCGATTGCGTGCCGAATACCGTCCGAATGCTCCATTCATCTTCAATTTCTCAAGTCGATCGACGCGCCCGAAGAGCATTTTCTGTTTATGCAGGAGAAGGGCTTCGACACGATGTACACGTGGCTCAAAGGCATCGATTTGTCAAAGTTAGTGGATAAATTTGGAAAATTTCAATTGAAAAACGCTGAAATCGTTTCCAGAACGTCCCGAAAAACGAATTCGCTGATCGACAAGGAATCTTACACCCGCACCTATCGTAATCTGCGCGACACGTACGGGCGCCCGATTTGTGCGCAATGGACCGAGAATTCGGACCCGAAAAAGACGGTTTTCGAGGATTGTGGCATCGCCTCCTATGTTCATGTGAGTTTTTACGAGAAATTTCGAAAAATGGGAATAATTGAGTTCAGGAGCTCGTCGAAACCGATATTTTGCCGAAACCAAAGAAATACGTGGATATAGGTTGCGGAAACGGACTGCTCGTTCATTTGCTGAACAAATCCGGTGTAAGTTGAGCACTTTAGGCCAAAATGTGTCAAAAAATTTTTTTAAAGCTCCCATTTTTCAGTTCTCCGGCTACGGAATGGACGTCCGCCAGCGCAAAGTGTGGAAAACGCTGCTGAAAGACGAAGATTTGCGTGAAATGGCGGTGAATCCGCAGAAAATCGTTCAAAATGAGCCGCACTTCGACGCGGACGTCGATTTGCTCATCGGAAATCATAGCGACGAGCTGACTCCGTGGATTCCGGTCATGGCGGCGAAGTAAGTCGGATTATCAGCTTTGGAACGTTCTAAATCTTAAAAAGTTATGATTGCTCATGAGCTACCCGGAATTACCCGAAAATTTCGCGATTCATTTCAAACAATTCTGCTCAGACTCAACTGCAACTTCTTCCTGATTCCGTGCTGCCCGTTCAACTTCTTCGGCCGCTACAGCAACAACGGAAGCCATCTGGGACCGCGTCGCTTCGTTTCCCAGTACGAATCGTTCTTCGAGTGGACCGTCTCGGTCGCCGAACGCCTCGGATTCCACGTCAAAATCGATCGCTTAGCCATTCCGAGCACGAAAAGAGTACGGGTTTTAGGACTAATAATTGCATTCTTCAACTTTTTGCAGCTGTGCATCGTGGGCCGTGTGCCGGAAGGCGGCCTGTGCGCGGACCTCGCCGCCTCGATCCACCGAATGACGAACGGGCAGAAGTTTGTGGCGAGACCGCACGAGATCAAAATGAACAACTGTCTGAGCATTCCGAAGACGGACCGCGCGAGGATAGCCAAGAAACTGTTCGATTTTCTGCTCGCCTCGTCCGATGAGATCCGAGAGTACGTTTCTTTGTGAAAATGCTGTTCTTGGCCAAAATCTACATTTTTATGAGAATCAACCGTTTTCTTTGCAGTGGCTGGCATTGCGGAGGCGAAATCGCGCTGGCCGAAATCGCGGCTCAACTGACGGAAGAGGACAAGAAGTTGATGAAGGACCAGGACGGAGGACTGCAGACGTTCATGAAGAACAACCATCAGATATTCCATGTGGGGGTTTCCGACAAGATTAGTTTTCCACAAATTTGAAGAAAAATCATAAAACAATTCGGTTTCATCAAATTTCATGATCGTTCATTGGTTTTTTTTCCACAAAATTCCAATTTTCAGGTGTACAAAGCGTCGGCGCGTCTGCGTGACTTCAGAATCCCGCCGGTCGGTCGCCCGAAGCCGTCGTGGAAACCGAGAAAAGTGGCGACAACGCCGGCGCCGTGCTTTATGGCCCTGAACCACCCGGACGGCTGCCCGGTCGGTCCCGGATCGTGCCGTTACGTCCATTGAGCCAGGCTCCGCCCACTTTCCTAGTCTGTCCCATTGTTAAACAATTCCCCTCTCGTTTGTTTGTTTATTTTTAAGTGTTATTCTCTTTTTTGTCGTCTCCTCGCCTCCGTTAGGCATCTTGTTCAATTTTCGCTTAATTTTCTCGTGTTTCTTATAAAAATGTTGAGTTGGGAATCAATTTCGTTAAAATTCGCAAAAATGATTTCGAGAAAATTGAAATTCGCCGCTCTCATCCTGTACAATTTCCTTCCCCCCCCATTTTCTATCGTTTGCCTGCAATCAATTTTTTAAAATATTTCAGAACGGGCAAGCTTGTTGATAATAATAAACCTTCCGATAAGGTTGAAAAGTGCAATTATTGATGAAGGGGGAAAGTTTATCCTCTTCAAAACAATGTTAGAAATGGGCGAATGCACGTGGCCACCAGATGATTATCAACGAAAAAAAAGAAAAGTCCCAAAGTTTCCTGAATAGCTATTATTGACTTTGCTGACCAATTCATTCGAAATGTGCGCCACGTGGAACGCTCTCTTCTTCATTCTCATCATTGCCGCCCCCGCAATCACTCATTCGGCCATCATGTGAGCATTTTTGACAACTGAACGCTTTAAATTGCACGAAATTTTGCAGAAGACCATCAGATTCGCCAGTTGTCCCTATCACTGCATTTGGAGGTATTTCCGGGGCCTTTTTTGTGTCGGGTAGCATTTCGGATAATTTTTTTAAAGGAATTTGAAGCCTCCTAACACCTCTAGAACTCAAAAAAATGTCGTTTTCCGCAGATTCCCGTGTGAAACGCGAGTATTCGCCGGAAAACTCGCCGCTCAAAGAGCCCCGATCGCACCTTCAATGGCGGCCGAACAATCAACAACCCATGTCCAGGATCTACAAACGATAATTGCCTATTTTTGGCGTTTAATGATCAGAAATACAGTTTTGATGATGTGAAAATTCGGAATCAGCACACAAAATGAGCGGGGGCGGTATGACCGTCTTTTTCAGTCTTCCACAACTTTTCGCCACAGCGCCACTTTTTTTCGATTATTTTTTACTTTTTCTGTTTGTAAAAATTTTTGCTCTATTCTTTTTCAACAAAAAAAAAATCAATTTTTAGGCCCAAAAACAATGTCGATGACATTTTCGCGAACAATGAGGTCTCCTTCGAAAATGCGCTTGGCGGCGGCCGCACACTAACATAAATGTTGTGTGCTGTGGTGAGTTGAGCGGAGGAACTCAACGGAAGAACACGCAAGAATTTTTATCTTTTTTAGAAAATTTTTTCATGAAATGTGATCAACTGACGAAATGTAGAGCAAAGTGAACTGTGCTCATAGAAAAATAATTGTAAATTTAGCTTTTCATACAAAAAAATTATTCGAGTTGTTCCGTTGGCCCCCTTTTTTCACGCAACAACTCGATTAACTTTTTTGTATGAAAAGCTAAATTTACAATAATTTTTCTATGAGCAGAGATCACTTTGCTCTACATTTCGTCAGTTGATCGCATTCCATGAAAAAATTTTCTAAAAAAGATAAAAATTCTTCCGTGTTCTTCCGTTGAGTTCTTTCGCTCAACTCTGCTGTTCTTCCGCTCAACTCTGGTGCTGTGGTGAGGCCCCTCGTTCTCGCCGTCCCTCGGACGTGTCGGTTGCGCGCACTGTTCAAGAGCGGCGACGCAGCGTTAGCGTCGGTTTAATTACCCAAGTTTGAGGTGCGAACCTGGGAATGACCTAAAGAAATTTAGCGTCAGCTTTCTAATTTTGGAATGTCTCCTTTCGGGGGAGACAAAGTAATTAGAAAATGAAAAAATCGGATGCCAATGATTTGGGATCGGGGCTAGAGTAACTAAAAGTGGAAAATTTGGGTTTTGCGTTTACGGTAGTTTTTTTTTACTTTTTTTGTGATAAAAGCGATTTTTCTCGAATCGATTACTTTTGCACTATTTGTTTGAAATCAAAGAAGAACAAGATTAGGCATCAAAAGACACAAAAACGTTCAATAAACGATAGGGACTATCGAAAAGTTTGAATTAAATTGACATGTATGCTAGTTTTCATTTTCTGACAAAAACAGTACGCTTGTACCAGAGTTGAGCGGAAATGAAATTTTGAAATCCAGAAATAAGGGACCCACGAATAGAAAAACAAAAAAAGCGCTCAAAATAGGCCATGTTGCATGTCAAATTGCTCTATTATTCCTCCTAAATCTGAATTTGATACTTACAACCGTCCTATTTCACTTCTAAACTCCGTAAACGCTCAAAATGCCATTTCAAAGTGAACCGACGATAGCCAAACAAGAAATTCGCTCAAAATAGGTCCAACTACATGTTAAATTGCTCAATTTTTCCTCCGGAACCCGAATTTGACGTCGAAAACGTTTCTAGACGACGTTCAACGTCGCTGGACGCGGAAAAGGCCAAGCGCATTGCTATTATACTTTTAAGCTCACACTTCCCTCGTAATTTCGTGCACCCGCCAGCACTAAATTGGCTTTTCCCGCGCGTTGCCATGGGAATCCGCGTGAGCTCAACGCTCGGGACCACATTTTATCACTATACAACTAGTCGTTTCACTATGGACAACATCAAAACCACGTTCTACACGGTCACTTACGAGGAAATTCGTCCGGGCACACGGAAAAGGGGTTAGTTTTAATGCGAACCGAGTCTCTTCAAACATTTTCAAATCCTAGGTCACTCTGAGCCACCGGAACCGGAGCCCGAGCCGAAAAAGTTCAATGAACCGGAAAGGATCGACGTCGACGCAGAGATTTTGAGAAAACAAGAGAATTTGGAGATTGTCGTGGCGAGAATCAAGAGCCGAGCTGCAAAACTGATGTGCAACGGATAATTGACACTTTTTGTGATTGGCATGATGAATAGGTGATGAATAAATTTGGTTTTTTGCGCAGTTTTTGAAGTTCCACGGGTTTGGTAATGCAAAAACGCACTAGAAATGCAAAAACGCACTAGAAATGGGTCAATGCACTAGAAATGCAAAAACGCACTAGAAATGGGTCAATGCACTAGAAATGGGTCAACGCACTAGAAATGGGTCAACGCACTAGAAATGGGTCAACGCACTAGAAATGGGTCAACGCACTAGAAATGGATCAGTGCACTAGAAATGGGTCAACGCACTAGAAATGGGTCGACGCACTAGAAATGGATCAATGCACTAGAAATGGATCAATGCACTAGAAATGGGTCAATGCACTAGAAATGGATCAACGCACTAGAAACGGGTCAACGCACTAGAAATGGGTCAACGCACTAGAAATGGGTCAAGGCACTAGAAATGGGTCAACGCACTAGAAATGGATCAATGCACTAGAAATGGGACAACGCACTAGAAATGGATCAATGCACTAGAAATGGGTCAACGCACTAGAAATGGATCAACGCACTAGAAATGGATCAATGCACTAGAAGTCAATGCACTAGAAATGGGTCAATGCACTAGAAATGGGTCAACGCACTAGAAATACGCTAACGAGAGAGCTTGTAGAGTGCCAATGCACTGGAAATGCGTCAACGCATCGCAATCTTTCCGGGGAACGAAAAATGGTTCCCAGAGATGTCTGGGTGAAAATAGTACAATTCTAAAAGCGACCATCCTGCTATACCCTTCAAAAACCAACTGTTGAGCCATGAGTACCCTCCAAACGTTCGCTTTTCTTCAATCTTTCACTTCCAGACCCTCTTCTTCCTTTTCATCTCCGTCTCCACCAAAAAAAGGGCCAAGGGAGGCAATACCATTCGGGACGATGGTATGACCCCCCACCCCCAACCAAACTCTTGTCAAACTTTGTCCCTGTCTCCTCAAAATTTCATCGAAACTCTTATCAATCGAAAAGTGTTTTTGTCGTCGAAATGGGCCCATTTTGACGGGGGCGGAGCTTAGATGCATTTAAAAAGCGGGGTCCACGAAGTGTCGAAGCATTCCATCGACTCTTCCAACATGAAGACTCTTTTGGTAAGTCTAAAAATCAAAGTCTCTTCAATAAATGATGCTCCGCTTCGCTTCCAGATCGTTCTGCTCATTGTGACAGTCGCCGTCTCCTCGGAGATGCCATGCCTCGAGTCGTCCGATTGTATCGAAGAAGCGGCGTGCGTTGACGGCGCGTGCCGTCGATTCGAGCATCCACGTCTCCAAGTGCTCCGACCGCAGAAGCCCGACGATCCGCCCGTGTGCAGTCCGCCGTGCAAACCGCGCACCGAGATCTGTCTCGTCGGCAACTACTGCGCTCAGGTCATCGGATAACTAACTAACTAACTGATGTTTGTGTTCGACGCCACTCGAATAAACTCTATTTTCATTCCAAATATTGTTGTATCAGAGAACTGCTGATGCGCGACTGGAATTGGGTGGTGATAAGAGAGAAACAGTGGTTGATCAGAGTATGACCAGCCAATATTTCAAAAGAAGACTCGGGAGGGACTGATTCATGATGCCGCGTCCAAAGTCTCGGAAAACCCGCAAATCTCGCGGATTTTGCAGTCCAAAGTCGGCAGTAATTTGCGGGTGAATCCGGGGTGCGCGCAGCTGAACGAGTGTTACCGTACACCATAAAAACTACGGTTTTTTTGTTTTGAAAAATTTACCCAAGAGATTTGAAAAAAATTTCAAATATTCTTGAGAAATTTTTTTATTTTTTTATTTTTTTATTTTTTTGAAAAATTTACGCAAGAAATTTGAAAAAAATTTCAAATATTGTCGAGAAATTTAAAAATTTTTTTCAAAAAAATACCGTTGAAAATTTACGCAAGAAATTTGAAAAAAATTTCAAATAATGTCGAGAAATTTAAAAAAATTTTTTTCAAAAAAATACCGTTGAAAAATTTACCCAAGAAATTTGAAAAATTTTCAAATATTCTTGAGAAATTTTTTTATTTTTTTTATTTGTTATTTTTTTTGAAAAATTTACCCAAGAGATTTGAAAAAAATTTCAAATATTCTCGAGAAATTTAAATTTTTTTCAAAAAAATACCGTAGTTTTATGGTGTACGGTAACACTCGTTCAGCTGTGCGCACCCCGGATTCACCCGCAAATTTCTGCCGACTTTGGACTGCAAAATCCGCGAGATTTGCGCGTTTTCCGAGACTTTGGACACGGCATGAGGATCCATTCAAGTGTGTTCATGGCGTGACACTAAATATTGTCGTATCAGATGTTTACAGAAAATCTAACCTCTCCGGATCACCCATGAAAGTCAAATTGTGTCCCAAGACCCGCTAGACAGCAAAAAGACCGTCGGCGCCACTCTGCTTATCATTTATTGTCGTTTTTCTGATAATCAGCTCTTCTTCATCAATACGTATGTTTATGGTATGATACGCAAACTTCAGTTGCATCAAAATCGCAGTGATAAGAGGGTGTCGAGTCAGCTGTCCGAGTTGTTCGGGGTTCGGAAAGAGCTAGTGAGAGCCTGAATTCAAGAGGGCCTGAGGCGTTTGTTTGTGAAGATATCAAAAAGTGGTCAACTAAAAAAATGTGCACAATTTCTTGATGAACAATTTATTAGTTGAAAACTTTTTGATATCTTTAACAGTTGTCGAGATATAACGTTTTGAATAAATGGTAGCGGTGGTTTGGTAAATGTCATCATCAAGACGATGTATCTCAGCTATTTGAGAATATATCAAAAAGTGGTCAACTAAAAAAATGTGCAGAATTTCTTGACAAACAATTTATTAGTTGAAAACTTTTCGGTATCTTTAACAGTTGTAGAGATATATCGTTTTGAATAAGGGGTGTTGATGAATTGCAGGAAACTCTTCGAATCCTTCCAAATCGATGTGTTTGTTCATCACAAACATTTCACAATCTTGTGGTGACTGAAACAGTTTTCTTAGCGCTAAATGGATATTATAAACTCACTAAACACGTTCCAAATGTGCATTTTTCGAAACCATCGCAAGACTTGTCTCAATTCCGAATCGACAATAGCTTCGCGAGTCCGAAGTGTCAAAAAATCGCATTTCCGAAAGCATTGGGACAGTTTAAAAACCTGCCGGAGCACTCCGATTTGCTCCATCTCCACCGTAAATCGATTCAAAGCCGTTTCATACTGTTCACCTCCAAAAACCGCCGAAATTTCTCCTAAAACGTTCAGAAACAGCAAATGAATATTGTCGCCTTCGAAATGTGTCGCGTATTCGCAAAAACTGTCAATATCGTCGAGTCTTGACCGGAATTTGCGTCGCCGTTTCTTCTCGAAAACCCATTGCCACGTGGCGGACCGGCTCGCGACTTGCACCGACAAAAACGAAGTGTGCAAGTGGATTCGGTACTCGGAAACCGGAAAATTGTACTCGATGACGTGGTGCCGCAAAGTGGAACACGTTTGCGCGACGTTAAAGCTGAAAAAATGACTTGAAAACCGGGATTTTGCCGCGAAAAAACGCACAGATCCCACGGTTTCAAGTTGTCGAACACGCTTCTCAGTGCAATTTGCGGCATTTCGGCGAGAAATTTGCCGTTTTGAGGCATTTTTCTGCAAAAAAAACGTGGAAAAAGTGATGAAATTGGCGAGCAATGAGAGACGGAGAGGGAGAGAAAGTGAAAAAGTGGAAGAGAGAGGGGGGGTTGTTGATATTGTCCGTCTCCTTTTTGGGGGAAAATCAGCGGGAAAGCACTAGAACACCGGTTGTTTTCACATAGGACACTTTGCAACCGACTAGAACATGAATCTGTACACAAAAATGACGTGGTTGCGAAGTGAATAGTCTTTATTGTGATAAATTCAACAATTCTCGAACCACTTGCACATGAAGCCGCGACGAGAACCATCGGGAACACACTGTCCGTCGACGCATTTGAGTGTCCGATCGCACAGATCCTTGTCGGGTCCGCCACAAAGGACCACGTCGAACCGACGCGTTCTTCCGAGGCATCGCGGGCTGTTCGGTGGGGAACAGTGCTCGAGAGTGGCCGAATCGTCGCCGATGCTCTGGTGTTTGGCCAAAAAGCGAGTGTTCGGTTTGCGGATGCAGAAATCGAAGAGACAAATGTGTGTGGGCGGACAGTCCGAGTTGACGCGGCATTCGGACTCGGAATTCTCGAAGGCGGTGCTCCCGATGATCAGTAGGAAGAGGAAGTAAGAGGGTCCTACCAGAACATTCATCTTACAGAACGTTTTTGACGGAAAACCAGGGCACGGGCGGTTTTATAGTGTTTCCAAGACCGTTTGTATAATCGAATTGCGATCCTCCGACGCTCTGCACCTCTATATAAACCCTCGCTCGCCCCCTTTTCGATATCGGTCCGTTGAAGATGAACAGTCTCCTGGTAAGCGTCTTCCAAATTCTTCCACTTGCTCCAACTTCTTCTTCTCCAGATCCTCCTCTCGCTTCTCTGCGTCGTCGGCGTCGTCGTCTCCGCCGAGCACCGTCTCCTCGTGTCGTGCAAAGACGACTCCGAGTGCTTGTCTCCACTAACGTGCCGCGAAGGCAGATGCGTTTTCACGCGCCCCAAACAGCCGAGAACGTTCTACGCGCGCGTCGGACACGCATCGGAGCGTCCAAGTTTCGGGAAGGCGTGCAGCACGGGCGCCGATTGCGACAGCGTCAGCCAGTGCGTCGACGGAGAGTGCGAGGTGATGAACGGATCGGGCGGCGCGTGCTCCTCCGACGCCTTCTGCCCCGACGGCTACATTTGTGTGAGCGGCAAGTGCAAGAAGTTCGACAAGAGACGTTTCTCTGATTTCTACGGCCCCCTGTGAAGTGCCAGTGATCTTCTCTTGTCGTTTCGATGTTTTCATCAATAAATATGTATTGTCGGCAGATATTTTGAGAAATTTTGAGAGAATCGCATCCGAATCCCATCAAGGGCCTAGAGAACAGTATCAGAGGCAGTGTTGAGCGGAATTCCGTCTTCCGTCTTCCGTCTTCCGGGAAAAAGGTTTTCGTGGTTTTTTTGTTCCGTCTTCCGTCTTCCGTGCATTTTTTGTTCCGTCTTCCGTCTTCCGTGCATTTTTTGTTCCGTCTTCCGTCTTCCGTGCATTTTTTGTTCCGTCTTCTGTCTTCCGTGCATTTTTTGTTCCGTCTTCCGTCTTCCGTGCATTTTTTTGTTCCGTCTTCCGTCTTCCGTGCATTTTTTTGTTCCGTCTTCCGTCTTCCGTGCATTTTTTTGTTCCGTCTTCCGTCTTCCGTGCATTTTTTGTTCCGTCTTCTGTCTTCCGTGCATTTTTTTGTTCCGTCTTCCGTCTTCCGTGCATTTTTTTGTTCCGTCTTCCGTCTTCCGTGCATTTTTTTGTTCCGTCTTCCGTCTTCCGTGCATTTTTTTGTTCCGTCTTCCGTCTTCCGTGCATTTTTTTGTTCCGTCTTCCGTCTTCCGTGCATTTTTTGTTCCGTCTTCCGTCTTCCGTGCATTTTTTGTTCCGTCTTCCGTCTTCCGTGCATTTTTTGTTCCGTCTTCCGTCTTCCGTGCATTTTTTGTTCCGTCTTCTGTCTTCCGTGCATTTTTTGTTCCGTCTTCCGTCTTCCGTGCATTTTTTGTTCCGTCTTCCGTCTTCCGTGCATTTTTTGTTCCGTCTTCCGTCTTCCGGAATTTTTTCTTCCTACCGTAAAACAGTAATCGCTTTTCAGAAGCCATTTACTAGCCCCGAAGAACGCGAATTTCCACGAGCAGTGACCCAGATCCAAAATTTTTGTTGCTTTAGTTATTTTATTCAAAAAAAAAAAAAATCCGTTCATCACCTCGCACATTGACGATTTATTTTGTTTCGTCTTCCGTCTTCCGTCTTCCGTCTTCCGGATTTCAGAATTCGATTTCCGCTCAACTCTGATCACTGGCGATCACTTTCAGTGCTTCACAACTTTATGCACTTTTCCAATGAATCTGTGAACCTCCGCGGATCACCCTGGGAATCCAGCCGATTCCGGTTGGGAACGCAGACGTCGAAGAGACAAGTGTGCGTGGTCCGAGTTGAGTTGCGGCACATTTGGTGCCGGAGAGACGAAGCGCCGATCTGAAGTGATCTCGCAGTGGAGGAAACGAGGGGTTGGAAACTTCATGGGGTCGGAAACTGATGTGAGAATGTGTCCCATTCCCAAGGCCATTTGTATAATCGAATTGCGATCCTCCGATGCTCTCCACCCCTTTATAAACCCTCCCTTGCCCCCTTTTCCACATCAGTTCTTCAAGATGAACAGTCTCCTGGTAAGTTCCTTCCGCTTCTTCCACTTCCTCCAACTTCTTCTTCTTCTCCAGATCCTCTCGCTTCTCTGCGTCGCCGTCTCCGCGCACATCTTCTTCCCACCAGACATTTGCATATCCCAGGAGGATTGCCCCTTCCCGCAAATCTGCTTCCGCGGAAAATGCGTCTTCGGAGATCCACTGGTTTCAAGAACCTTCTACGGCATCGTCGGACAAGCATCGGAGGAAAACAGTAGATCCTTTGAGAACACTTGCCAAGTGGCCGCCGACTGTGGTTCCGACCGCGATGGTCCGTGGGTTTGCGTGTTCGGAAAGTGCGTCAAACTCGAGCCCAAGAACTTTGGCCTTCCGTGCACCTTCGAGTGCCCAATTCCCGGACAAGTTTGCGTTCATGGCGTCTGTCAGTGATCAATTATTGTTCTGAATTGAAAATAAATCATTTGAAGCTCTCAAATCTGTCTTTTATTCGACCCGTTGTGCTGCCTAAAAGCTAAAAGAGTTATTGTCAACTTCCAAGAGCTGCAGTACCTTTGGGAGTGATCTTACCGAAAACTTTTCAACTACAAAAAAATAGTTCACAGTTTTTGGTGCATTTTTGTAGTTGACCACATTTTTGTACGACCACTCCCTGGAGTACAGGAGGTCTTGAAAGTTGGCAGCGGATAAAGGGACTACAAAAATTGTGAAAAAGTGTATTTATTATCGGAAATCACAGTTTAAACAGCCATACAGACGGCGTTGTTCACACAAATCGTCTTGGGCGGACACTGGCGGTCGTTGGAGCAGAAGCGGGGCGGCGCAAAGTGTCTGAGCTTGAAGACCTGGCACTTGCCGCTCACACAAATGTAGCCGTCGGGGCAGAAGGCGTCGGAGAAGCACGCGCCGCCCAATCCGTTCATCACCTCGCACTCTCCGTCTTGGCACGAGCTGCCGTTGTCGCAGTCTTCGCTCGTGTTGCACTCCTTCCCGAAACTTGGACGCTCCGATGCTTGTCCGACGTGCGCGTAGAAGGTTCTCGAAACCAGCGGATCTTTGAAGACGCATTTTCCGCCGAAGCAGATTTGCGGGAAGGGGCAATCCTCCCGGGACAAGCAAATGTCTAGTGGTGGGAGGATGTGCGCGGAGACGGCGACGCAGAGAAGCGAGAGGATCTGAAGAAGAAGAAGTTGGAGGAAGTGGAAGAATTTGGAAGACGCTTACCAGGAGACTGTTCATCTTGAAGAACTGATGTGGAAAAGGGGGCAAGCGAGGGTTTATAAAGGGGTGGAGAGCATCGGAGGATCGCAATTCGATTATACAAATGGCCTTGGGAATGGGACACATTCTCACATCAGTTTCCAACCCCATGAATCCTCGTTTCCTCCACTGCGAGATCACTTCAGATCGGCGCTTCGTCTCTCCGGCACCAAATGTGCCGCAACTCAACTCGGACCACGCACACTTGTCTCTTCGACGTCTGCGTTCCCAACCGGAATCGCCTGGATTCCCAGGGTAATCCGCGGAGGTTCACAGGTTCATTGGAAAAGTGCATAAAGTTGTGAAGCACTGAAAGTGATCGCCAGTGATCAGAGTTGAGCGGAAATCGAATTTTGAAATCCGGAAGACGGAAGACGGAACAAAATAAATCGTCAATGCAGAACATTTTTCTCCGGTTTTTTTTTTTTTTGAATAAAATGACTAAAGCAACAAAAATTTTGGATCTGGGTCACTGCTCGTGGAAATTTCGGGGCTAGTAAATGGCTTCTGAAAAGCGATTACTGTTTTACGGTAAGAAGAAAAAATGCACGGAAGACGGAAGACGGAACAAAAAATGCACGGAAGACGGAAGACGGAACAAAAAATGCACGGAAGACGGAAGACGGAACAAAAAATGCACGGAAGACGGAAGACGGAACAAAAAATGCACGGAAGACGGAAGACGGAACAAAAAAACCACGAAAACCTTTTTCCCGGAAGACGGAAGACGGAAGACGGAATTCCGCTCAACACTGCCTCTGATACTGTTCTCTAGGCCCTTGATGGGATTCAAATGCGATTCTCTCAAAATTTCTCAAAATATCTGCCGACAATACATATTTATTGATTGATGAAAACATCGAAACGACAAGAGAAGATCACTGGCACTTCACAGGGGGCCGTAGAAATCAGAGAAGCGTATCTTGTCGAACTTCTTGCACTTGCCGCTCACACAAATGTAGCCGTCGGGGCAGAAGGCGTCGGAGGAGCACGCGCCGCCCGATCCGTTCATCACCTCGCACTCTCCGTCGACGCACTGGCTGACGCTGTCGCAATCGGCGCCCGTGCTGCACGCCTTCCCGAAACTTGGACGCTCCGATGCGTGTCCGACGTGCGCGTAGAACGTTCTCGGCTGTTTGGGGCGCGTGAAAACGCATCTGCCTTCGCGGCACGTTAGTGGAGACAAGCACTCGGAGTCGTCTTTGCACGACACGAGGAGACGGTGCTCGGCGGAGACGACGACGCCGACGCAGAGAAGCGAGAGGAGGATCTGGAGAAGAAGAAGTTGGAGCAAGTGGAAGAATTTGGAAGACGCTTACCAGGAGACTGCTCATCTTCAACGGACCGATATCGAAAAGGGGGCGAGCGAGGGTTTATATAGAGGTGCAGAGCGTCGGAGGATCGCAATTCGATTATACAAACGGTCTTGGATTGCTCATAAACGTTTGTGATATTGTCTGGAAACTGACTCACCAACCAACTTCTGGACACTGATCGAAAGGACCGACGTACACTTGTAACAGTGCATGGATGCGAATGTTTAAGACATTTCGAGCATCATTTTTCGTGCTGCCAACCTTTTTGTGCAATGATTTCGACACGAGGTATGTCAAAGTGAAGTTCACGGAGAACACGGAAGAATTTTTATCTTTTTTAGAAAATTTTTTCATGAAATGTGATCAACTGACGAAATGTAGAACAAAGTGAACTGTGCTCATAGAAAAATAATTGTAAATTTAGCGTTTCATACAAAAAAGTTATTCGAGTTGTTCCGTTAGCCCCCTTTTTCGCGCAACAACTCGAATAACTTTTTTGTATGAGCAGCTAAATTTACAATTATTTTTGTATGAGCACAGTTCACTTTGCTCTACATTTCGTCAGTTGATCACATTTCATGAAAAAATTTTCTAAAAAAGATAAAAATTCTTGCGTTGAGTTCTTCCGCACTCAACTCTGGGCTCTCGGCGTTGATCCCGACGTCGTCGAGCTCTGAGCTCCTCCGCCGCTTACAAGCCATCCGTATTGTGAGCCGTCCAACGTGTTGCCGGGACACTTTCTGACCCGACAAAACACAAAACAAGTTTGAAAACTTGAAAACCGTCGAAAAACGACGTGTGCCAAAACGATAAAAGTGACGGAATCCAATTTCTGCCACCACTTCACTTTCATTTCCTAATTTCTTTCTGTTCTGAACATCAATTTTCACAAATCAAACTAAAAGTTGGCAGGCGCACCAAGAGAGAGAGAGAGAGATGAGCAGCAGCAGTACGAACGACGTTGCGGCGGCGCCGAAAACGTGAGCGACACTTTGCAACTGTGTGTTTCGCAACCACGTTTCAGACCCACTACCAGTACGAGTACCGACAAAGACAAAGACAAAGAGAAAAAGAACGCGCGAGCGACGGCGCCGCCGAAAAACCGCGGATCCAGTCGGTTGAAGACGGTGAATCGACGCAACTCGGCGCGCAAAAACGTCTCGCCGAACGTGTCGATCGACAATACTTCGCAGGAGGGAAACTCGAATCGGCGGCCCGTCGTCGAGTCGCCACGTGGCAAAAAAGAGCCGCAGAACGTGTGCCGAGTGTGCAACTATCGGCCGGAAAAGGGAAAAGGTGGTGGAGGGGGAAAAGCCAACCAGTACAACGTTTTTTAGGTGGATTCTTCAAAAAAGCCTTCAAGAAGACGTTCGCGATGCTTCGACAATCGGATACCGATAGTCCGTAAGTGCAGCGGTCCCCCAACGCCCACGCAATAACCCTTCCGATCAGGACTCTCAACGCGTCGGGCATCTCGGACACGGAGGCGGAGTACAGTGACATTCCCGGCTCCGTCGACATGTATCCGATTCCAATGTTCTTCAAAATGGACGAGGTCGAGCAGGAGAGACTGCGAAACAAGACTTTCAAGAAGGACGGGACCGTGTTCCACTTGAACCGGCCGTGGTGGACCATCAGGGACCGGAAGGCGACGCCGCCGTATCAGCCGATCCAGCAGCGAGCCCTTGAGAACCTTTTTCTCAAAGATCCGTCGCTTTTTGTGAAAACGCCGGCGCGCAAAGTGTTTTTCGACGCGCTCGGCGAGGATATCGAAAGTTTGAAGGCGGTCGATCAGGTCCACAACGGTCACAATGTCGTCATCTCGAACACGTTCTACTCGGGCGTCAACGTGCTCGCACAGAAGCATCAGAAACTCGGAACCGACTCGCGGCCAGTCCCACCAACTTCCAATGGATCCGGCGGGATCACCACGAATCAGAAGAAACGATCGAACGAGGGAGCGCCGGCGCAAGTGTTGGCGCAGATTATTCCGAAAGAGCCGAAGGCCAAAAAGGTCATCAAATGGGCCGACGAGCCGTTCTTCCTACATCAGTATAGCCGGTGAGATTTTCCGCGGTCCCTCAAAGCTCACCAGTCAAAATTTTGCAGAAAAGATCGGTTCACCGAGAAGCGTTACTTTTCGCACGTGGAATACGGTAGACGGGTGTCGAAAGAGGGCAAAGACTCGAAAGATAGTGCGGTGGCGTCGAAAGGAACCAAAAAAGGATTGGTCTTCGATTGATCCTTTGCAATTTTTGAAAGTTTAGTGAAGAATAAAGAGTTTTTCGATGGTCCCTACTCTCCCGCACATTTGGACGTTTTGCAACCGAGCAGCTGTAGTTGCAAAAAGTGAACATGAGAAAGTTTTAAAAGTAGAACGATACAAATAAGTTACAAAGGGTAGTCTTAGAAACAGAAAACGACAATATCACTAGGGAATGACGTATCGCCCCGAATTGACCGCCTCCGTCGCTTTTGCGTACTCCCACAGACGATGCACCATCAAGTACTTGAGGCATTCCACTGAAATACACATTTTCAGATTGGAAATAAGTGGCTGTAACTTCTAAGGTTCATATCTCAACAACTATTGTATATTTCAAAAAGTGGTCAACTGAAAAAATGTTGGAAATTTTATGCTGAACAACTTTGTAGTTGACAATATTATTTGAAACTTTTTAGTTTTTGAGTTATAATCGATTTTCAAAACAGTATCCATTAAGTGAGGGTTCTACTCTCTAAACTCTAATTTAGCCTCGAAAATAATGCTGCCTAGGGCAACTTTTGACGCTCTTTTCAACTAAAACGCTTTTAAGTGGATACCTCCAATAGAAAGTCCAGTGGCGAGCTCCAAAGTGAATCCGGAGATGAGTCCCAACACGAAATGCTGCTCGGGAGTCGAAACGTTCGCGATGATTTCGACCTCATCGGGCGAGAGTCCGTGGCCGGCGGTCCTATTCAACGAAAGACCCGAGGCCATGAAACTGGCAAAGACCACCGGGTAAACGAGGAATCGGATCAGGGCGATGATGACACACGCGAACTGAAAAAAAGTATTTTTTCAACCAACGTGCATTTAAGCCATTATATCTCAGCTGCAAGTAGAAATATCAACAAGTTGTCAACTAATAAATTGTTTATCAAAAAATTATGCACATTTTGTTAGTTGACCACTTTTTGATATCTCTACAAACACTTGAGATACAGCTGTTTGAATAGACTTGCAATAGAGCACTAGAGGAAAGAAAGTTAGCGTTTATTCAAAACGCTGTATGTCAGTTGTGGGTAGAGATATCAAAAAGTTTTCAACTGATGAAATGTGCAAAATGTTTTGATAAACAATATTTTAGTTGACGACTTTTTGATATCTCGACCAGCAGCTGAGATACAGCGCCTTAAAGCGCTACTACCTTTTTAGGTTTTCTGAACTCTAGTCAATCAATCGATAAACTGACCACAACTCTCTGCGACCACTTCAACGCGAACACATCGTTCTTGTACGCGCCGAACAGAAGCAAAAGGTCAAGGAGCAAGACGGAGACGTGCGAGACGCCGATGCCCCATGACTCGGCCATCCAAAACTGAACAAAACTGCGGACGGCGCCGAAAATGGCGAGTCCGCAGACGAGCGGTCGCGCCGGAACGAACAGGAACCTCGGCGGATCCATCGGAATCTGATGAGTCGCCATTTTGTCGCACTGAAAACCGTTTGAAATGGTTTTGTTTGTGAGGAGGCCTGCGAGCGAGGGTATTATACGGATAAACATTAGTTTGTGGTCAAAGGTTCAGGGTTTCACACACAAAAAAATGGGAGAGGATGAGTCATTGCGAACAGCGATATGTTGTCGAATATTGTTAAATCGATTCAATTGGCCCAACAGAGAAAGAGAGAAAGAGAGAGAGAGAGAAAGAGAGAGAGAGAGAGAGAGAGAGAGAGAGAGAGAGAGAGAGAAAGAGAGAGAGAGAGAGAGAGAGAGAGAGAGAGAGAGAGAGAGAGAGAGAGAGAGAGAGAGAGAGAGAGAGAAAGAGAGAGAAAGAGAGAGAGAAAGAGAGAGAAAGAGCGAGAGGGAGAGAGAGAGGGGGAGAGAGAGAGAGAGAGGGAGAGAGAGGGAGAGAGAGATGGAAAGATAAATCGATGAGATCATCGGCGTATTCGGTACACAGAATGGTCACAACAACCGGTTTTTCGCATATTACCAGACTTTTAGATGGAACACTTGTATTGTAGTAATTTTTGAAGATTTAGTGTAAAAAACCAATGAGGCACAACGAAAACTGGCCGAAAATCAAGATAAAACAATGATTTGAAAGGTAAGGAAGGCACTAATTAGAGTGTAGGCCCGGAAAGAGCGAGGGTCTAGACCTCTAAGGGTCTAGTCGGTTGCTATGCACCTTAAAAGTATCCAATTCACAAAAATCTTTAGAAACGTGTATAGAACACTGAAAACCGGCTGCAGTTTATGATTTCTTCTCTAAATCCTACTGGCTTCAGAGATATTATCGTTCAAAGTCAGGCCTACTCGAATTTTGCATTGAAAATCGGTACTACCGCTGGAAAAATGTAGTTTTTTCTCAAAATTTGCTCCCAAGGTTGGCAGGGGGAAAGTTTTCGATAGTAGCGTGAAGATAACATTCATTTTTGACCAGTGAACCCATTGTATCCGGAAATCCATTGGTCCCCATCGGTTCAGCCTATCAATGAACTCTATGACTCATTTCCAGAAAGCTTTCAGACTTCTTCTTCTTTATATTTTCGAAAACATGCGTCCTCGTGACATCAATGACATTTTCGTGAGCTCCGACTCCTTCTCGCTCTCCTCTGGGACATTAGTGACTGCATAAACGCGTGCGTATCACGAGAAAAGCGCGCCTGGCACCGGCTACCGCGGTACCCATGAACCGAATGGGACCATGTAGAGATTGGGGACGTTTGAAGGGCTCTACCTGGGTGCTTTGCATTTGTAAATGGAACATTCAGATCAGCACCGTCTTCTCCGGTCCTTCTTGAGCTCTGAGTGTCCACCGTCCACGTCCACAGCAATTCTGGAACCTGAGATCGCGAAAACATTGCGCTAATTTGCCGCGGACCTGAACTTTTGGCCCAAAACCTTCAAAGCATCTAAGACGTGAATAGAGCAGTTTTAATTTGTAATTTCAGGTCAAGCTCCGCAAGAAGACTTCCAGATAGCAAAAATGAAGAGAATCCAACTTCATTTCCTCTAAAAACACGGAAGAATTTTTATCTTTTTTAGAAAATTTTTTCATGAAATGTGATCAACTGACGAAATGTAGAGTTAAGTGAACTGTGCTTATAGAAAAATAATTGTAAATTTAGCTTTTCATACAAAAAAGTTATTCGAGTTGTTGCGTAAAAATGTCCTTCCGTCTTCCGTCTCGAATAACTTTTTTGTATGAAACGCTAAATTTACAATTATTTTTCTATAAGCACAGTTCACTTTGCTCTACATTTCGTCAGTTGATCACATTTCATGAAAAAATTTTCTAAAAAAGATAAAAAAATTCTTGCGTTGAGTTCTTCCGCGCTCAACTCTGATGCCTACTCTCAACAATCTTTTCCCGGCTAGAAAAGACCTTTTAGTTCGCTTTCTGTTCCATTTGTGCTAATGAATTTTCACGCAAAATGTGTAGACTGAAAGGCATTTGAGAGCGGCGCACGGCAGCCTTGGCGACGGATGACGCGGCGGCGGCGAGGGAATTGCCTGTATGTCGAAAATGAGCACTCTCATTTACTTCTCCTCTTTTTCATTTTTCGACACTAGCACCTCGTCTCTTTCTTGCGTGCGTTTTTTAGTGTTGCAACTCGATTTTCAGCGCTTCACGATGCATTTGAAAAAGTGTCAGAGCATTTAAGATTTTCAGAATGAAGTGGTACAGACCGAAAGAAATGAAGAAGCAGAAAAAGTGGCTCAAAGTCATGATGATCGCGCTCGTCGTCGTCGAGATCGCAGTGCTCAGCGGCGCCGGCACCGCACTCGTCATCACCGAAATCGATTCGGAGGATGGCGTCTGGTTCGTGCCGACGCTCATCGTTTCGCACGCAGTCCTCGTCGTCGTCGAGACGTTCCGAAGCGCTCGAGTGCTCAAAATAATGACGATCGATCGTCTGAAGGCGTGGAAACGTCTGCTACCATTCAACATCCTCCGCTTCTCGGTTCTTCTCCTTCAAATCGTCGTGCTCATCATAAAACTCGCGGAGCCAGTGTGGATCCGAGTTGTGGCCGCCGTCTCGATCGCCGTCTTCCACGTCGTCGTCATGATCGGTAAATCGGTGCCATCGTCCATATTGACTGTGTTTTTTTGTTTTTCAGCGCAAAAAGCGGAAAAGACGTTCCTCGTAAAGCCGCTGATTAGAGGAATGAACGCGCAGCAAGTGCCCGATATTGTTCACTTCTCGGTCCCCGAGAGTTGGATGTAACTCTCATAAATCCATTACCTCCCTATATCCTCAAAATAGTCGATTTGATGTTCAACAGTTCAGCACATTCCCTCCTTTAATCTCAGCGTTGACATCATTCTTCTTCTTGTTATTATTATCCGAAGTAAACAATAAATGTGACTGCGAAAAGTGTGCTTTGCTGTATCGTTCGATTCTCCAGGGGCCTCTCTATCTATGTTGAAGGAGTGTCTGATTAGCCTAGACGTCAGTGAGTCAGTTCAAACAATGATGTGACACAGAAATGTACTGCTGTAAGTGGCCCGGTTGCAATAATAAGTATAGAACAAACAACTTTGCAGGTGTCTTCGACTTGGATTGAAGTGTCTAGGCTCAAAGTTTCAATCCGGAGACGTACTGATCAGTGTTGAGCGGAATTCCGTCTTCCGTCTTCCGTCTTCCGTCTTCCGTCTTCCGTCTTCCGTGGCTTTTTTTGTTCCGTCTTCCGTCTTCCGTCTTCCGGGATTTTTTCTTCTTACCATAAAAAAGAGTAATAGCTTTTCAGACGCCATTTAGTAGCCTCGAAGAACGCGAATTTTCACGGGTCCAAAAATTTTGATGTTTAGTTATTTTTTTCAAAAAAAAAAGCGAGAATTATATCGAAAAAAACCGCATACACGTTCTCGTCTACCCTTTTTCTAACTGTGCTCTCGTTTTTTCCGACGAAATCCCTCAGGAACGTACAAAAACAGTGTTGCTAGGCAACCACTCAATTTTCAATTTCATCAAATCGAAAAAAATCGGCGAATTTATGAAGAATATGAAGAGTTTTGTGGAAATGGGTTCGGATGCAGCGAGAAATGAAGCGGAAGATGACGAAAAGCTCGGGTTTGGAATGAAATGAAGTGAGGAAGGGTGCTATTAGAGGTTTACGGATGGCAGGAAGGGGGGGTCTGGTCTCTATTAGCACTAATTTAGGGGTTGAGTGGACCAACACGTGTGTATCAGTGTTGAGCGGAATTCCGTCTTCCGTCTTCCGTCTTCCGGGATTTTTTTGTTCCGTCTTCCGTCTTCCGTGGTTTGTTTTCTTCCGTCTTCCGTCTTCCGTCTTCCGTGGTTTTTTTGTTCCGTCTTCCGTATTCCGTCTTCCGGGATTTTTTCTTCTTACCGTAAAACAGTAATAGCTTTTCAGAAGCCATTTACTAGCCCCGAAAAACGCGAATTTCCACGGGCAGTCACCCAGATCCAAAATTTTTGTTGTTTAGTTATTTTATTCAAAAAAAAAAACCGGAGAAAAAGGTTCTGCATTGCCGATTTTTTTGTTCCGTCTTCCGTCTTCCGAATTTCGAAATTCCATTTCCGCTCAATACTGATCAAAGTCCCTAAAAGCCCGGCTTCTTTATCCCACTATATCTCCAGAACAGGCGCTTCAAAATTTTTCAAGGTTCTTCAAACCAACACGGAGAATTGTGTGCAAAGTTTGCAAGTCCAGGCTTCTCATCGCAATTCTAATTTTTTCCAGATTGATTCTCCGTTCCAAAAAGTGAGCGACGGCTGGAAACGCGCGGGTTGCCACCGGTTACTCCCTCCCCCGTCCCCCCTTTTCTTTGAGTCTCTCCTCGGCCAGCCAGCCGGCTGACTGAAAAGTGAAGAAGAGGATATTCGTGAGAAAACGATGATATTTTAAAGCGTGAGGAGGAGGTGGAGGAGACTAGTCAACTGCTGATTAAAAGTATAGTAGAGAGTGGCCACAATTGTCATCGATGATGTTGATGTTTGATTGCGGAATGCGAAACGGAGAGTGGATGTTTTGCAACCAGTTGCAAAAAAAGTCTAGTTTCAAAACGTCGCACAGAAAGCGTTGGAAAACTCGCTCGGTTGCAAAGCGTTCCACAGCTGCAAAGTGTCCAGGTATATCAGTTGCAAAGTGTCCACTTGCTCTTCCCAATCGCTTCACTTTTCGTTTTGCCCTCCGTGGCCTATATGAATCATCGCTGACTTGTTTTCTTTTCACTTTCCCATTCCACTCCAACTCCGGCTGATTAGTGTCTGGGCCCCTAGATTCTTCAAGATGGAGAGTGAATAGACAACAAGAGTCTTTTCAAAGTCGGCGAGTACCTCCGACTCGAAGAGACAAGAGAAATTCGAGAATTTGTGATCGAACACGAGTCGGAGATGAAAATGGACTACTGAGCAGAGATGTTGGGAATTCCGTGTTCCGTGTTTTTTTCAATATTTTTTCCGTGTTCCGTGTTCCGTGTTCCGTAGAAATAAGTTTTTTTCCGTTTTCCGTGTTCCGTGTTCGGTATAAACTATATTTTCCGCGGAAAAATTCGATCACAAATTTATCTCCGGAAAGATTAGGACAATTGACGTTTTGTGGTCAAAATTTGAAAATTTTCGGATTCGGACCATATTCGTGAAAAGTGGATTCCATTTTCAGTCGTTTTTTACTGTAGTTGTTTACTGTTGTGTTGTTGGTTTTGTTACTTTTATGAAATTTTCAGTAAAACTTTCACATGAGTCAAACAGCTGCCTTGTCAGTCAGATAATCGAATTAAACAAAACATTATTTTTAAAAAAATCACTGGAATTCTCTTGAAAACGCTTTTTTTCCGTGTTCCGTAAAAAAAAAATTTCCGTGTTCCGTGTTCCGTGTTCCGTAAAAAAAAAATTTTCTGTTTTCCGTGTTCCGTGTTCCGTAGAGTAAACTTTTTATTCCCAACATCTCTGCTACTGATTACCGTAACCGATGCGAGCTGGCTGGGCTCTCGGGAACCAGGAACGTAACCTTAACGACTCGAGTTCTGCGGGTACAACTTCCGTTTCATCTGTTTAGCCACATCACCATTGATCGTCCTCAGAGACGCAGAGCCGGGCGCCACCCTTCTCCGACACTCTACCCGCGCGCATTCAGAGAAACTCACTCATTTTCACTTTCGAATCCCTCCCTTCTACTTGTGTACAACTTTCAGAACGATGCACTTCCGCAAAAACGTCTCGCCGAAGCAGCAAAAGGAGCGATTGGCGTGCCGCACCAAGCGAATTCTCGCCTCCACCGCAATTCTTTGGATTCTCGCCATGGGCATCGCCGCGTGCAACGTCTTCAACGCCAAAAACAACTGACGACTAATTGAGTGAGACGCGCTGAAAATGGAATAAACTTTTTTACACACAACGGGATCAAAACCACACTGCAATGCAACCAAAACGTGCTAATTAGACTTGCTTCGTGCCAACACCAGAAACGACTCGATTTCGGACGTTTCCTGATAGCTTTGAGTCTTTTTGTTGAAAATTGACTTGTAAAGGTTTTACCTAGCAAACTGGACATCGTGGCTAGCCACATACCGCCCAACGTTGAGAGTTTTTGAAGATTCGCTACCAGCATACATAGATCGGCTCAGATCAATTAAAATCTAGGAAAAGTGAACATCATATGTGCCAAAAATCGTTGACACAGCACGTGTTGTGGCGAGCAAGCGCGAATTTCATTAAAATCCACCAAAATCGCTTCAATAGCGAGAATTATATCGAAAAAAACCGCATACACGTTCTCGTCTACCCTTCTTCTAACTGTGCTCTCGTTTTTTCCGACGAAATCCCTCTGGAACGTACAAAAACAGTGTTGCTAGGCAACCACTCAATTTTCAATTTTTTCAAATCGAGAAAAATCGGCGAATTTATGAAAAATGCGAAGAGTTTTGTGGAAATGGGTTCGGATGCAGCGAGAAATGAAGCGGAAGATGACGAAAAGCTCGGGTTTGGAATGAAATGAAGTGAGGAAGGGTGCTATTAGAGGTTTACGGGTTGAGTGGACCAAAACGTGTGTATCAGTGTTGAGCGGAATTCGGTCTTCCGTCTTCCGTCTTCCGTGGTTTTTTTGTTCCGTCTTCCGTCTTCCGTGGTTTTTTTGTTCCGTCTTCCGTCTTCCGTGGCTTTTTTTGTTCCGTGTTCCGTCTTCCGTCTTCCGGAATTTTTTCTTCTTACCGTAAAAAATTAATAGCTTTTCAGAAGCCATTTACTAGCCCCGAAGAACGCGAATTTCCACGGGCAGTGACCCAGATCCAACATTTTTGTTGTTTAGTTATTTTTTTCAAAAAAAAACCGGAAAAAAAGGTTCTGCATTGACGATTTTTTTTAAATTCCGTCTTCCGTCTGTCGTCTTCCGGGAAAAAAATTTGTTCCGTCTTCCTTCTTCCGTCTTCCGTGAGAAAAATTTTCTTCCGTCTTCCGTTATCCATGTTCCGTTAGAAAAATGTTCTTCCGTCTTCCGTCTTCCGGAATTCAAAATTCGATCACAGTAGACTATAGTGTCATTCATTCATCGCTCTTCCTCTCTCTCTCTCTCCTTCTCCTCGCTCACCATCATTATCATATCACCAAGTCTCCACACTTTGTTAGCAGTGCAGAGCGTCTGTGCCCTCACTCACGCTTCACTTGTCTTTCTTAATTTTGGGGTGTGCCCGCTTTTTTTTTGTTTTTGCGTGTTTACCCCATCGCCTCTTTTCTTCTTCTTCTCAGAGACATGCCAAAGCCCCCCGTGTCCGTGTTGTTTCGATCGTCGCAAGTCGGCGAATTTCTGTCGCCCGAGCAGAAGAGAAGCGCAATTGCGAATCTCACAAAGAGGGCGAAATTTGTGATTTTCGTGTGTTTGTTCGTCATAGTCGTAGTGGCAGTTGCTATCGTGGCGACCGTCTGGAAGAGAGAAGAGGAGCCAGTGGCGCGGTGGCTCGGAGCTGTGACGGGCCTAATTCTGATTCTGATAGAGACAGTGCACTCCGCGCTTCTCGTCACTATGGACCGCAAATGGTACGCCAAGCAGGAGCAGAAGGCTCTCGAGAAGAAGCAAAAAGTCGTGAGCATCATCCGCGCACTGCTCTTCATCGGCCAAATGCTTGCTATCGCCGTGCTCACCGCCCTGGAACCAACGGGACCGGCTGCCTTCTGGATCCGCTACCTCATCTACGTACCGCTCACTTTCCTGGTCCTGTGTGTCATTGGAGGTTAGTTAGATGTTCTGGCAACACGATACACGTGGAACTTTGTAATGTTTTCAGTGGAGCATCACGTTCTCGCCAACATCCACGTCCATCTGCATCCGCTCCATCGCGAACAATGCAACAAGGAGCCGGTGGAAGTCAGCGAGCACTAGGCCCCCTAAGTCTCTCATTTGCCCAGGTGTTTCATGATAACCGTTGTTTTTCCGTTGAACTCAGTTGTTTCATTGTTACATCCTGAAAAGTGTTGAACGAATAAAACGATAATAGCCGAGAAAACGTCCTTGTTGAGTTTTGACTCAAATGAGCGTTTCCATGGAGATCACTGGCCCTTCGCGGAGCTTTTTGGCTCTCAAACTCGACTGCCACGTACAAAAACCAGTAAATGACGTGTACGGATGTCGGTCTCGCGGTCTTTTCAGATTTTTCAGATTTAGTGCCGGCTACACGTTGCCACGTGTGCTCGTGACTCGGAAAAGCTGGAAAACGATGACTGTCAAGTAAAAAAACGAGAAAATAGCATCTAGAGACGTCGGTCTTGAATCCTTTTCACATTTTTTTAGCCCTCCTCCTCTAGATGTTCAGATTTTGTGTCGAGTTCCTTGAAAAGTCGAAAAATGAAGAGTGGCAGGTCGGAAAAACGAGGAAATGACATCCAGAGCAGAGATGTTGGGAATTCCGTGTTCCGTGTTCCGTGTTCCGCGTTTTTTTCAATATTTTTTCCGTGTTCCGTGTTCCGTAAAAAAAAAAATTTCCGCGTTCCGTGTTCCGTGTTCCGTAGAAATAAGTTTTTTCCGTTTTCCGTGTTCCGTGTTCCGTAAAAAAAAAATTTCCGTGTTCCGTGTTCCGTGTTCCGTAGAAATAAGGTTTTTCCGTTTTCCGTGTTCCGTAAAAAAAATTTTCCGTTTTCCGTGTTCCGTGTTCCGTAAAAAAAAATTTTCCGTGTTCCGTGTTCCGTGTTCCGTAGAGTAAAATTTTTATTCCCAACATCTCTGATCCAGAGACGTTGTTTTTGAATTCTTTTCAGATTTTTCAGAAGTTAGTACCTTTTTCCGTCTTTGCAAGGGAGCTAGGGCGCAAGTTTCAACGTCATTCCAGTTTTAGTGACAAAAGTCAGTGCTCCATCATCTTCCAACTCATTATCATCGCTCAAGAGCCTTTATCCTTTGTTATCACTCGCGAGAGAAAGAGAGAGAGAGAGAGAGAGAGAGATTGCTGTAGCACGAGAGGCCCCGCCCCTTTTCGAGAAGCCGTCGCTCCCCCCCACTCGCTCGCTCACTCATTCTTCTCACTCGCTGCTTCTTTTTCTTGTACGCTTTTTTTGTCTCCAAATTGTCAACATGAGCAACTGCGTGAACTGCTGCAAGAAGAGCAGAAGCGCGACGGTGAAAGTGATGACGCGCGCTCAAGTGCCGGCGCGGATCCGAGCGGATAAGTTGACGGTGACGATCGCCGTGCTCTTCTCCTTCCTGCTCACGATGGTTCTGCTCGGCGCGCAGACGATCGCCGTCTCGACACAGACGAACACGTACAAGGATTTGGAATTCGTGACGCTCGGCGCCGAGGCGGTGGCCGAAATCGTTCAGTTCGCATGGTTCATCTACGCGATCGGAAAGCGGGAACTCAAAAAGATGCACGTGGCGACGTACAAGGTGACGTGCATCGGCCGTTTGTTCCTGTTCTCGATCAGGTTCATCGCCCACACCGTCTTGTTTGTCACCGTCGAACCGCCCGCCAACCTGCGCTTCAACATCGTCGTCAACACCGCCTTCTTCGTCGTGATCGGCGCTCTTCTGGCGTGTAAGTTGAGTGTTTAGATGATCCTCGAAATGTAGATAATTTCAGTTCAACTATATCGAATCGTCAAAGCGCTCAACCGTCTTCTCGACCTCATCGCCAAGTACACCACTCCCACTCTCCACAAAACTCGACCATGAGCGTTGTTTTTCCGTTGAACTCAGTTGTTTCGCTGTTACATCCAGAAAAGTGTTGAACAAATAAAACGATAATAGCCGAGAAAAGGTCTTTGTTGAGTTTTGACTCAAATGAGCGTTTCCATGGAGATCACTGGCCCTTCGCGGAGCTTTTTGGCTCTCAAACTCGACTGCCACGTACAAAAACCAGAAAATGACGTGTACGCATGTCGGTCTCGCGGTCTTTTCAGATTTTTCAGATTTGGTGCCGGCTACACGTTGCCACGTGTGCTCGTGACTCGGAAAGCTGGAAAACAATGACTGTCAAGTAAAAAAACGAGAAAATGACATCCGGAGACGTTGTTCTTGAATCCTTTTCAGATTTTTCAGCTCTCCACCTCTAGATGTACAGATTTTGTGTCGAGTTCCTTGAAAAGTCGAAAAAAAAAGGAAATGGTCAGTTTTTGATGAGACAAAGCTCGAAAAGCGTTAGTCATGTGATAGGTGTCGAGTTTAAAATAGACTCTACCTACTTTTAAGTCATCTTCATAGCAAATGTGTACTACACGAGCTCTACTAATTGCAAGTCATCATTAATCACGAGAAATCTCACGTGCTTCAAGTGTCTCATGTCAACAAAGTCGTCAAGGCTCCAAAAATGTCCATCTCCTCGGTCCCGCCGGTTCTATGCCCCGTTCCGATCCTCTTGGCGCCAACTCTCAGGGATCCACTAGTTGTGGTTCAATTCTGGAAACATCTGCACATGCACCATATGAGAAAGTTTGAAAACTACTGCTCCCGCGCCCGAATGGTCCCCTGGATCGGCGTGTTCCTCGACATTCTCTACATCATCGTCTACGTGCTCATTTTCTACGCTCACATCGTGGACCCCGGCGACCTGGCCTACATCCACTTGGTCCTATATTTCCGTCTGATCGTCACGGTTCTCACGGCGGTCACCTGGGCGCTGCTCCTCGAATTCCGACGCTTCCACGTATCCTGGGCGGCGAGCAACTTGTGGTCCTGCTCGCTCAGCCGACCAATTCTCAATTTTCTCGAGCTCCTCCTCCTCGGCTACTGGATCTTTGCGGATCCTTTAAAGACCCTTGTCATCATTGGACTTTTGGCCATTTGGAATGCCGCACACTTTTTGGGTAAGCCAGTTTTGTCGTTTAGAACGTTTGTAAGACGCTAAATTGTTCAGGAATCGTGTACGTTTTGGTGTTCATTGTGGCTCCAATCGGTGCATTTTTGGAGCAAGAGGATCTGGAAGAAGAAGAAGACTCATAATCTTGACATTTACCTCAATGATGATAAAGAAATCGCGCATTTTTAATTGAGTTTTTGAGAAACTCCAGGTCTACTTTCGGCTAATGAGTTCCTCGGGGAGTTGAGTCACATTCATAGTTGAGTTTTGACTTTTGCATGTTGATTTCTATGAACACGTTTGCCACGTATTGTTTTCATTGGAAGCGTGACCCGTTGGAAGGTCATCGGAAAAGTGACGTGGCTTCTCCGAACGGACTATCAATCAGTTTCTATCTGGCGGATCGTCCGGAGCAGAGCAAGTATCGAAATGAATCGAATGGACGACTGTGGCGATGGACCGGAACGAATATAAGTGTGAATGTTCATATGGAAAATGATATACAATACTTACAAAAGCGACAGGTAAGCGGACGGACCGTTTTGGCAGTTTAACACGCTCATATTGCCGTTTTCAGTGTTTGGAGTGCGACGTCTTTCGACTCCTTCTTCTACTTTCACTTCTACCTGAACGAACTTTGTGTTCCTCTGATTATTCGAATAAAAATAGGGTGTGTATCAGTGTTGAGCGGAATTCCGTCTTCCGTCTTCCGTCTTCCGTCTTCCGTCTTCCGTCTTCCGTCTTCCGTGGTTTTTTTTGTTCCGTCTTCCGTCTTCCGTCTTGCGGGAAAAATTTTTCTTCCGTCTTCCCTGGTTTTTTTGTTCCGTCTTCCATCTGCCGTCTTCCGGGATTTTTTCTTCTTACCGTAAAATATTAATACAGTACTGGCCAAAAAGGTATTCGCAAACGGTTTTTTGAGCATAACTTTGCTGAAACTAGAGGGATCGATTTGAAAATTTTACTGTACATGTCGTACACGGTAACGACAAATTGCGTACAAGGAAATTGCATCATTTTCAATTTTTTAGCTTTTCAGAAGCCATTTACCCAGCCCCGAAGAACGCGAATTTCCACGGGCAGTGACCCAGATCCAAAATTTTTGCTGTTTAGTTATTTTTTTTTTTTAAACCCAGAGAAAAAGGCTTTCGTCTTCCGGATTTCAAAATTCCATTTCCGCTCAACTCTGGTGTGTATCGGCCGAGAAAACTTGTGGAAAATGAACGATATTGACTCATTCCCTGGCATTTTAATCGAGATCCATCGGGAAACGAATGTCAGAGCGAACGTTCTGACCCCCGAACTTGGAGAATTCTTTGAAACGGTATAGAAAATGCGAAACCTTTGAATCTGGACCCAATAAATGACAATTAAACATCGCCACTGCGTTCCCCTCATTCTCCGAGTCATTCCGAGCCCTTCATCGACAATTTCAGGTTGCAATTGAGCAGTAATACTTCAAAACGCATCGGAAGACACTCTCGACACCCTCGGATCCGCTCTTCCACCTCTTCGCGTCACATTTTCTGAAAACATCGAATGGTTCCATCAGCGTATCGTTTCCCGCACTCTCTCGAGTGGTTGCAATCGGAAAAACCTTTTGTTGATGTTATAGAACAAACTATACAATGATGTAGTGTTTCAGGCTCATCACACACGAACGGAGAATGCTTACGAGGTGAGATTTGGGGAACGAATTCCACAAATATCGATTTTCGCACCAACATCACTATCATTATGCGCAAGATTTGAATAATAGACCATGCACCATTGGATTGTCTCATTTTGCGTCGATTCATGTGAAAATCGATACTTTTAAAGTTATCTTAAAGCCTATTTAACAAATTTGCGTTTTTCAGTATCTCAACGACGCCGGAAGACGGATTATGCGGCTTGCGAGCCGCAATGAGCATCCACATCGCCGGCTTCGACTTTTTTTGTGCTTTTTCTTGCCCCCCGATCCCGTTCTGTAACAGAGTTGAGCGGAAGAACACGAAAGAATTTTTATCTTTTTTAGAAAATTGTTTCATGGAATATGATCAACTGACGAAATGTAGAGCAAAGCGAACTGTGCTCATAGAAAAATAATTGTAAATTTAGCTTTTCATACAAAAATGTTATTCGAGTTGTTCCGTGAAAATGTCCTTCCGTCTTCCGTCTCGAATAACTTTTTTGTATGAAAAGCTAAATTTACAATTATTTTTCTATGAGCAGAGTTCACTTTGCTCTACATCTCGTCAGTTGATCACATTTCATGAAAAAATTTTCTAAAAAAGATAAAAATTCTTCTGTGTTCTTCCGCTCAACTCTGCTTGGCTCTCCCACTTCAACTCATTCTCACACTGAACACGTTTTGACGCTTCCGTTTCCAGCACTGGTAACTTTTAATGGATCAGGGAACGCTCCTCCGTTTATGTGTCTGTCTTCTGAATTGCTTCTTATTGCCACATTCACTGTCCGAGCCCCAACTTTCAGAAATACCTGTGAATGGAGCAGCGCTGTTAGTCAAAGTTGTGGCCGTGGCCCAGAAAAGTTTTAGGCCTTGTGATCTTTTCCGAATTTTTTTTTGCGTTCCGCACAATCTTCATACGTTGCAAAACGTTCACACAAATCAGCATCCATACAGAGTGCAAGAGCATCATCAAACTGCTCACAGGGAAGAGTTTTCACACCGTAGTTTCCTAGGCCACAGCCACAACTTCAACTGCACGCCGTTTCGCTCATTGGCAGTGTATGAGGCAATAACAGACAATTTAAACAGACACAAAAAAAATTTCACAAAAAAAAATCAAAAAATGTGAGGGTTCCTTTAAGCAACTCGAGCTTGTGTCCGCCTTTTTGCTCAATGCTTCAATAATAGGCGCTGTTGTCTTTTCACGGTTTCATCAATTTGTACATGCAAATCTATCCAGACTGGCTGAAATCGCAACGCTTCTTGAGATTCATCGCCTTACTATTAGAAGAGACGCGCTGGAATCAAGGTGGCGTATCCGATCGACTTCACTTCCTCTCCACCTCTGTCTCCGAAACGTGGAGTAAGTAATAAAGGACTCCGTCAGTTGACCGATCAAAATCAAAGTTCCCTGTTTTCGAGAGCTCCGAAAAGCCGCGATTTGTTCCTCCACTGGTTCGCCAGTGAAACAAATCGATAGACTGACGGACGGCTCGGAAAAGGCGTACATACAATTGACGTGCAAGACCCTGTTTTTCCAGATCAATCTCTTTTCTTTCCAGATCAATATTTTTGCTTGAAAAGGAAAATTTGTGAATCATCTCCTCAAGGTACGGTACAGTGTTGAGCGGAATTCCGTCTTCCGTCTTCCGTCTTCCGTCTTCCGTCTTCCGGGATTTTTTCTTCTTACCGTAAACGAGTAATAGCATTTACTAGCCCCGAAGAACGCGAATTTCCACGGGCAGTAGTGACCCAGATCCAAAATTTGTGTTGCTTTAGTTATTTTTTTCAAAAAAAAAAGAAAAGAAGGCTCTGCTCAGGCAAATCGTTTCTAATCTAATTAGCTAATTCTCGTTTCCTACCGGACCTAGTTAGATTGCTATCGATTTCTGTATCTAGCCAGCTGATTTTGTAATCTAAACATAATCTAGCTAGGTTTGCGCGAAATTTTAATCTAATTATTAGGTTGTTCGGAAAGTTCCAGTCATTTTTGGGTTCAGAAAAATTTATTGTGAAACAAGTCAAAGAGTTATCCGATTAATTAGACATATTGCCCATGTTTTTCGATGACTGTCTGCCAACGTGTCACCAACTTGTGGATACCTTCCTTCCAGAACTCCTGCGGCTGGGAGTCGAACAATGAAGCCAACTCGATTTTGATATCTTGTCTTGAGTTGAACTTTTTTCCACTGAGATGGCGTTGGAGGTGACTGAAGAGATGGTAGTCAGAGGGGGCCAGGTCTGGGCTGTACTGTGAGTAAAACAAGATTGGCCAGCCGTATCCAGCGAGTTCAGCTTTTGCCTTTCTGGCGAAATGGGGACGAGCATTATCATGCTGAAAGTAAGCTTTCGCATTTTTCCCCCAATGGAGATCCACATGGAGTCTGAGTTTTCGCAGCTGATCAGTGTAGACATCGGCCGTAACAGTGACGCCGTCATCAAGTAGCTCCCAATATTCAACTCCACGGACAGACCATCATATTGATAACAACCCCTTTTTTTCGTGTATTTCATGTTTTGGCCCGTCAGCTGGCTGAGCGTCTTCGTCAACACACTCGGCACGTCGCTCACTGCTATCATACATAACCCATTTCTCGTCTCCCGTAATGATTTGATCCGACCATCCATGTGTGCGATGCAGGGTGAGAAGATTCAAGCAGGTATCCACACGTGTATCCAAGTTGTGTTGAGTCAAAACATGCGGAACATATCTTCCGAGTTTTTTGACTTTGCCAATTGCTTCGAGTCCATGACTAATTGATGATAGGCTCGCCCCAAGTGACCTTGATAGTTCACGGACGGATTGAAAAGGATCCCTCTCAATCTCGCTTTTCAATGCTTCCAAGTCTAACGATATCGGTCTTTCTGAACGTGGATGATCATCCATCGAAAATTCCCCTTTTTCGAATCGATGAAACCAGATGCTAATGGTAGTTCGAGTGGGTGCATCTTTGTTGTAAACCTCCGTGAAACGGCGATCAATGTCGGCATTTTCAGGTCAGATAGAAATAGAAATAAGATTACATTTCGGAAATGTAAGTTGTTAGGGACGAAAACGTTCGGCATATCTCACTCCTCGGGAACACGAGAATGATATCCGTTGCTGTGTTGACACTTCAATACCCTACCAACATACTGTTAAAACGACAACTAACGTGCTAGCTTCCCGATAGAAAAAACAATCTTCAAAAACATACTATGAAAAATGACTGGAACTTTCCGAACAACCTAATAGATACATTTTGAATCTACTATTAGTGTTTTTGCAATCTAATTAGCTTCGCCAATCTAATTGGAAAATTTTTTTTTTCAATTCAAAAAACCCAATTCAGCGGTGTAAAAAAACGAAAAAAAACGGAAAGCAAACATACGCTGAATAGCCCCATAAGAAAAAGCCAAAAAGAAGTGAGTTCAATCGTTCTTCTCCACAGAAACAACACAATGAACCGAGAGGGACCGCTTTGTCAGGTTCACTTTGATATTTTCACAAAAGTAAGCACCGTTCCCAATAAACTTGTGTGAATAAAATGGTAATCCGCACCATTATGGGCCGGCCCACTGTGGCGCATGCCCCATATGCAATTCCTGTGACTTCCACCACTCACGTCGTTTTCCCTTTTCTACTATTTATGGACAGTGTGAAATGAGTTCTACCGAAAGCAAAAAAACATGAAGAAAGGACAGAGTTCAGCAAAAGATTGGAAACAAAGAAGAAGAGATTTCTAGAAGAGAGAGAGGACAGAAAGTACTTTTACAGTAATCCTGGCTACTGTACAAGTACTGGAAGGGAAATTGGCGGGCAGTTTTACAGTAATTTTGGGTCAGAAATCGAAATTGCCCCAAGAAATCAGTGTAAAACCGCTCCAACCTGACAAATATAGTGTAGGACGTTTTGCAACTGATGTTGGTTTTACGAAACGTCCTTTCCTACTATTATACGTTCACAAAGGAGGTTCTGGTTGCGAAATGTCTAAAAATTGTGAACGTACAATACTCGATATCGATATTGTATAGTTATGGGAGAGAATATTATGCGTGATGGAGCTGGAACGAGTCAGATGGAGCAGTTGAGGGCCAGCCGATGGAAAAACTGAAAGAAAACGGTTTTTTCTGTGATTTTCAGACTCATTTTACCTGAAAAATGAAGCTGATCACTTGAATTGAGTTGATGGAATTGAAGAGAGTCAAGCGCTCGGCTGAAAAAGTTTGAATCGATATTGTAGGCTTCCCAAAATTGTTTCTCTAAAATTTTGGCATCTAATACTACTCGTAGAATTTGTTGTACTAAAAAGTGTTCAACTACAAAAATGTGCTCCATCTCTTGTACTTTATTTTTGTTCTTGACAACTTTTTTCTAGAATCACTCCCTGACCTGCTGTAACGCTTGGAAGTGGACCATAGCTGAATGCGCTACAATGCTCCTACTCACCTTAAGGATCGGGGTCGGAAGGTCGGAAGGTCGGAAGGTCCAGGAAAAATCAGTGCTCTGCAACAAAACCGACAATATCGAAATTAGAAAAATAAGAGAACGGACCAACGTTAGTCACAATAATGCCGCCCTTTTCTCGCATCAATTCCCTAAACGCGGGCGAGCTAATGTATCGCGGATAGCTGTCACGGGCCATCAGATTGTAGATGACGCTCTGCGCCTCGTTGAACGTGCTCGCCGACGGTCTCGCCATGTTCTCATTGACTTTCTCGCGAACTCTCGAGTCCAACGAGACCTCTTTCGGCGACAGAATGCTGATAAAGTCCTCGTAGAATTGTTCGCTAAATTTGTGAATTGTTCGCTAAACGCTAAATTGTTCAGGAATTCTGTACGTTTTGGTGTTCATTGTGGCTCCAATCGGTGCATTTTTGGAGCAAGAGGATCTGGAAGAAGAAGAAGAAGAAGAAGACTCATAATCTTGACATTTACCCCAATGATGATAAAGAAATCGCGCATTTTTAATTGAGTTTTTGAGAAAATCCAGGTCTACTTTCGCCTAATGAGTTCCTCGGGGAGTTGAGTCACATTCATAGTTGATTTCTATGAACACGGTCACGTTTGCCATGTTTTGTTTTCATTGGAAACGTGACCCGTTGGAAGGTCATCGGAAAAGTGACGTGGCTTCTCCGAACGGACTATCAATCAGTTTCTATCTGTGCGGATCGTCCGGAGCAGAGCAAGTATCGAAATGAATCGAATGGACGACTGTGGCGATGGACCGGAACGAATATAAGTGTGAATGTTCATATGGAAAATAATATACAATACTTACAAAAGCGACAGGTAAGCGGACGGACCGTTTTGGCAGTTTAACACGCTCATATTGTCGTTTTCAGTGTTTGGAGTGCGACGTCTTCCGACTCCTTCTTCTACTTTCACTTCTACCTGAACGAACTTTGTGTCTCTCTGATTATTCCAATAAAAATAGGGTGTGTATCAGTGTTGAGCGGAATTCCGTCTTCCGTCTTCCGTCCGTGAATTTTTTGTTCCGTCTTCCGGGAAAAAATTTTCTTCCGTCTTCCGTCTTCCGTGGATTTTTTTGTTCCCACGGCCCGGCAATTCATACAGTGGCCGAGAAAAATGCGTGGATTAAATACTCAGCTCAGCGATTTCGCTGCTGTGGACTTGCGTACAACGGTGTATGCAGATTCTGCATACCGTAACCCAAAAATATGCGGCTAATTAAAAAAAAAATTTATTGAAAGTACAGAAAAAGCCGAAGAAAGACGGAAAAATGTGCTAATCTCATCGAAAGTATAGGGAAACGTCGAAAGTATACAAGAAAACGTGATTTTGACAGTAATTGCAGAAATTTTCGACTAGAATTGATTTTTTCATTTCCCGGCAGTTACACTGCCAAAAATACATTTTTCGGTATCTCTAGACGCTCTATGTGTAAAAAATGTTAAAAGTATATAATAAAAGAATGAAAACTACGAATGACATCAAAATATTAGCGGAGATTCGTTGGAAACGCTGGCGGAACTCGAGGCGAATTCATGAACGGAGTGCCCCTAGCCATAATTAGCCCTAAATTTATTAATTTGTGGAGAATTGTGTCTTCCAATTTTTATTATATATGAGAGGAGAGTTTCCGGCGCATATCCTTTCGATGTAGAGCATTCACATGCCAGCGTTCTGAATTGACGATAATCAGCGTTCTGACTTGTTGATGAGAGTATTGACTCCACGCAATAACCGGATCGGGTCCATACCTTGCAGGCTTCTTGGACTTGGCTTGAAACATCTTTGATCCAAGTTTAGAGGCTGGAAAAGCCGAATTTTTGCGAACATTGCGGCCTTTTCGGCCTCACACCCTTATATCTCGGGAAATTTATGAAAAACCGAAAAAAAAGTTGAGATTTTGATCATAGAGGGCTCTGATTTTTTGCCAAAAGTTGCTCACTATTGTATTCGATAATTTGAGCCAGAACTCCTGTCGATGTAAGGTTTCTGAAGACGTCACGGAGCTGAATTATCGATTTTTAGTGAATTTTACAAAAACTTCGATAAAAAAAGTTGAGATTTTGATCACAGAGGGCTCTGATTTTTTGCCAAAAGTTTCTCACTATTGTATTTGATGATTTAAGCCAGGACTCCGATCGATGTAAGGTTTCTGAAAACGTCACGGAGCGGAAATCTCAATGTTTAGCGAATGTTACAAAAACTTCGATGGAAAATCTGTGAAAATTAATAAAAACGGAAGTCAAAGTAAAGAAGTGTATTAACTTCAATGACAAAACACGAATGAATCACTTAAAACTGCCAGAGAATCTTTTATAGCAGATAATCCAGTTCGTGTGTTGAAAAAACACACGTGGCCGAAGTTTCGCAAGGCGCAAAATTTTCTCGGCCAATGTATGAATTGCCGGCCCGTGTCACACTGAACACGTTTTGACGCCTCCGTTTCCAGCACTGGTAACTTTTAATGGATCAGGGAACGCTCCTCCGTTTATGTGTCTGTCTTCTGAATTGCTTCTTATTGCCACATTCACTGTCCGAGCCCCAACTTTCAGAAATACCTGTGAATGGAGCAGCGCTGTTAGTCAAAGTTGTGGCCGTGGCCCAGAAAACTTCTAGGCCTTGTGATCTTTTCCGAATTTTTTTTTTTTTGCGTTCCGCACAATCTTCATCATAAGTGGCAAAACATTCACACAAATCAGCATCCATACAGAGCGCAAGAGCATCATCAAACTGCTCACAGGGAAGAGTTTTCACACCGTAGTTTTCTAGGCCACGGCCACAACTTCAACTGCACGCCGTTTCGCTCATTGGCAGCAGTATGAGACAATAAGAGACAATTCAAACGGGCACAAAAAGATTTCACAAAAAAAATCAAAAAAATTGAGGGTTCCTTTAAGCAACTCGAGCTCGTGTCCGCCTTTTCGCTCAATGTTTCAATAATAGGCGCCGTTGTCCTTCTCACGGTTTCATCAATTTGTACATGCAAATCTATCCAGACTTGCTGGAATCGCAACGCAAATATAGAGAGAAGTTCCCTGTTTTTGAGAGCTCCGAAAAACCGCGATTTGTTCCTCCACTGGTTCGCCAGTGAAACAAATCAATAGACTGACGGCTCGGAGAAGGCGTACTTACAATTGACGTGCAAGGCCCTGAAAAACCGAAATGAACGTGCAAATTTCAAAGTCTTCTTTGGTGCGAAGAACAGAGTCGCAGCCGCCAAAATTCTCTGCGATCGCCTCTCGTAGTTCTTTCCAGATCAATCTTTTTGCCTGAAAACCTTTGTGAATCATCTCCTCAAGGAACTGTACTTTATCGCTTCTTGTGGCCTTTTCTGTTCCCTCCGTTCAGAGCCAGACGTCACTTTTCCATTGAAAAGTGGACAAATTTCAAGTCCAAGAACTTTTCGACTAGCTAGAGTATAAGAAAAAGCCAAAAAGAAGTGAGTTCAATCGTTCTTCTCCACAGAAACCACACAATGAACCGAGAGGGACCGCTTTGTCAGGTTCACTTTGATATTTTCACAAAAGTAAGCACCGTTCCCAATAAACTATTGTCGTTCTTGAGATTGTGTAAATAAAATGGTAATCCGCACCATTATAGGCCGGCCCACTGTGGCGCATGCCCGATATGTATGCAATTCCTGTGACTTCCACTCGCGTCGTTTTCCCTTTTCTACTATTTATGGACAGTGTGAAATGAGTTCTACCGAAAGCAAAAAAACATGAAGAAAGGACAGAGTTCAGCAAAAGATTGGAAACAAAGAAGAAGAGATTTCTAGAAGAGAGAGAGGACAGAAAGTACTTTTACAGTAATCCTGGCAACTGTACAAGTACTGGAAGGGAAATTGGCGGGCAGTTTTACAGTAATTTTGGGTCAGAAATCGAAATTGCCCCAAGAAATCAGTGTAAAACCGCTCCAACCTGACAAATATACGTGTAGGACGTTTTGCAACTGATGTTGGTTCTACGAAACGTCCTTTCCTACTATTATACGTTCACAAAAGAGGTTCTGGTTGCGAAATGTCTAAAAATTGTGAACGTACAATACTACTATCGATATTGTATTGTTATATTGTAGGTATGTGACAAAATAGATGAGAGAATATTATGCGTGATGGAGCTGGAACGAGTCAGATGGAGCAGTTGAGAGCCAGCTGATGAAAAAACTGAAAAAAAGGGTTTTTCTGTGATTTTCAGACTCATTTTACCTGAAAAATGAAGCTGATCACTTGAATTGAGTTGATGGAATTGAAGAGAGTCAAGCGCTCGGCTGAAAAAGTTTGAATCGATATTGTCGGCTTCCCAAAATTGTTTCTCTAAAATCTTGGCATCTAATACTACCCGTAGAATTTGTTTTACGAAAAAGTGTTCAACTACAAAAATGTGCTCCGTGTCTTGTACTTTATTTTTGTTCTTGACAACTTTTTTCTAGAACCACTCCCCGGCCTGCTGTAACGCTTGGAAGTGGACCATAGCTGAATGCGCTACAATGCTCCTACTCACCTTAAGGATCGGGGTCGGAAGGTCGGAAGATCGGAGGTCCAGGAAAAATCAGTGCTCTGCAACAAAACCGACAATATCGAAATTAGAAAAATAAGAGAACGGACCAACGTTAGTCACAATAATGCCGCCCTTTTCTCGCATCAATTCCCTAAACGCGGGCGAGCTAATGTATCTCGGATAGCTGTCACGGGCCATCAGATTGTAGATGACGCTCTGCGCCTCGTTGAACGTGCTCGCCGACGGTCTCGCCATGTTCTCATTGACTTTCTCGCGAACTCTCGAGTCCAACGACACCTCTTTCGGCGACAGAATGCTGATAAAGTCCTCGTAGATGATGCGCGCCTTCTCCTCGAGCTTCTCGGGATTTCGTTCGCGTTTCAGCTCCTCGCACGCCTGCCAGAACAGAATGTTCTCGTCCGAGTACTCGCTTTTCAGGAACTCGGCGAAATATTTTTGGCCGTGACTGTTTTGCATCAGATTTCCAAAGTTGGCGCTCCACGTCAGCAGATGAGCGTAGACGAGCGGCGGAGATTCGTCCGTCGTCGCGCTCTCCGACTTTGTTCCCTCGCAGAACAGACGACGCAGTGCCAGGTAGGCGGACATCAACATTTTCGTTGCAAAAAACGAGCCCAAGTGGAGGTAGACCTGAAAAATAAAAAATACAGCTATTATTGGTACGATGAAGAGCACCACTTCTTCAAAACGACGTATCTCGGTTGTTTGTGGAGATATCAAAAAGGTGTCAACTAATGAATTATTCAGCAATAAATTCTACACATTTTTTCAGTTGACCACTTTTTGAAATCTCTACAAACAACTGAGATACATCGTCTTGAATAAGCGAATTGATTGGGAGTGCTATCATCAACATGTAATCACGAAAAGAGCGATTATAATCGGGTGCTGATGTCTGTGCAAAGTCATCATTAGCCGAAGGTAAATGTCAGATTCGTCCGAAGTGTGATTCATTTGAAAGTGCGCGGAAAACGAGTGAATCGGCGCGCTAATTAGGTCCCCGGGGGGAGACGTTTCGCAACCGGACTCGACACTTTGCAACTGAGCGAGGAGAAGCGGAGAAGCAAGAGGATTCGCTTGAGCGCGTTTTGCAACGGTTGCGAAACAGTTGCAAAGTGGAAATGTAAAGCTACAATAGTTCAAAGTGATATTATCGGTTTCCGAGACTTTGAAAAATTAGGACGGTCTCTTATGGTCTCAAAAAGGTCCCGAAACCCCTGAAACGCCTAGAAGAAGAAAAAGAAGAAGAAGAAAAAGAAGAAGAAGAAAAAGAAGAAGAAGAAAAAGAAGAAGAAGAAGAAGAAGAAGAAGAAAAAGAAGAAGAAGAAGAAGAAGAAGAAGAAAAAGAAGAAGAAGAAGAAGAAGAAGAAAAAGAAGAAGAAGAAGAAGAAGAAGAAGAAGAAGAAGAAGAAGAAGAAGAAGAAGAAGAAGAAGAAGAAGAAGAAGAAGAAGAAGAAGAAGAAGAAGAAGAAGAAGAAGAAGAAGAAGAAGAAGAAGAAGAAGAAGAAGAAGAAGAAGAAGAAGAAGAAGAAGAAGAAGAAGAAGAAGAAGAAGAAGAAGAAGAAGAAGAAGAAGAAGAAGAAGAAGAAGAAGTTATCTCTCTCTCTCTCTCTCTCTCTTCTTCTTTCTAATGAGCGGTTAGAGTTGGGAGCTCGTTGCCATGACACTTTGAGAATGGAATGAATGTAGGAAGATCCAATCCAATCATGCATTTTCGAAATGGAAGAGAGAGAGAGAGAGAGAGAGAGAAGAAGAAGAAGCAAGAGAGAGAGAGAGAGAGAAAAGATGAGTTGAAGGTGTCTATGACTATGACAAATGTATGAGATCAGAAATCGACTCGGTTTAGACACTTTGCAACCAAACTCTTGGACGAGGACGTTTTGCAACCGACACTGTCAGTTGCAAAGTGTCTGTTGGTTGCGAAACGTCGGTTGTTTACACTTTCAGCAGTTTTCAAGTCAGAAGAAAAATGTGAATCATCAAGATCACTCAAATTCAGATGATCAAAACAGAAGAGCTCAAGTCATGCGTGCTCTTGAAATAAGCAAATTTTGATAAGAAATATGGACTTTGGTAGCGAGTTTTGGTTGAAAATAATAGAGAGACTACGGTAGAAGAACGACTCTTTCGATATTGTTGATTCAAAGCGTTGTATCTCAGCAGGAGGTTGAGATATCAAAAAGGTGTCAACTAACGTATTGTTTATTATAAATTTTTACACATTTTAACAGTTGACCACTTTTGCATATCTCCTCAAACTGCTGAGATACAGCGTTTTGAATAGACGGTAAGTTCATATAGTAACCAAGCCCATTCAAAACGCTGTATCTCAGTTGTTTGTGACGATATCAAAAAATTGTCAACTGATAAAATGTACATAATATCTTTGTGAACATTTTGATAGTTGATCACTTTTCGATATCTCCACCGACAACTGAGATATGCTGTTTTGAAACTTCCTCTCGATCCCCCCAAACTTGTGCCACTCCATTTTGCCGTCAGATTCCTCGAATACATGTACATCCATTTCATCATTTCTCATTTCCCCCCATCCATTTATCCACCGGGTTAACTTTGCCGCCACCATTTTTCACCCCTAGAAATCTGTGGAGAGAGGCAGGTGATTTATTTGGCGAGCAAGATTTATATGTGTGTGTGACGCACGAAAACCGCCCGTTTTTCAGCCACTTATTATTTTCCACATCGAAAATTGGTCGTGTGATTGTGTGATTGGTGGAAAATGTCGAGATAATGATGGATAATAGCGGGGGTGCGCGCGCTTCAAGTTTCTCTCACAAAAGTATAGGATGTGTTTGTGATGTTTGACTTCGAAGAGCTACAGTAGCCTTAGGAATGATTTTATGAGAAAAGTGTAAACTAGAAAATTATTTGCCATGACTTGTACTATATTTTTGTAGTTGACCACTTTTTGATCCAACTACTCCCGGGGGTACTGTAGCTTTTTGAAATTTGCAATGAAATTTAGAAGCGTTTTGCTATTGTTTGCCAACTTCCAAGCGCTACAGTACTCCGGGCAATGATTGTATGAAAAAACTGTCAACTACAAAAATATTCTACACATCAAGTACTGTAACTTTCTAGTTGAAAGTCTTTCTCTACAACCATTCCCCGGGTTACTGTAGCTCTTAGAAGTTGACAATAGCAAAACGCGTCTGAATTTCACCGCCAACTTCAAAGGACTACAGTACCCCAATAAATGGTTGTACAAAAAACTTGTCAACTACAAAAATGACCAATTAGATGTCAAGATCTCTCAAAAACTTTTTCAGACCCGTACAAGTTTTCTCAACTCTACAATATCCGTTCAAAGTTGGTCAATTTTTTCGCTTCCAAAAAACCAGTTCATTCTCCCATGTTTCAGGGGCGTATTTTTGACAAAAAATGGGCAATACAATATGAGAATCGACAGAAAAACGTATTTCGGCTCACAAATGAGCCAAAAGAGCACTAGAATTGGGGGAAGAGATCGAGAGAAGGGAAAAAGTTCAAAATCTTGTACAATATCACATTGGGGGGCGAAGATATTATCGAAATATTATCGAAAAAAAGGGGGAAAAAAACGAGGAGATGAATTTTCTAGATGGATGATAGCGGAAAAACTGGGGGGAGGGCCTGAGGGGGCAGTTGATGGATAATATCACAATTTTGTGGGGAATTGAGATGCTGAGAGAGTCTGGGGGTACTGTAGCATGTCTACAGTAGCCTACAGTAACCCTGGATACGGTAGGAATCGAAAAAAAGCAAAAAAAAAACGTAGTACAACAGTGATCCATTTGATACATATCGAATTTTGTCATAGATTCCATTTTTGAGGACGCTTCGCAACCAGGCTGTCGGGTTGCAAAGTGTCCAACACATTGATTGACACAGTTGCGATTTGGGGTGCTGAAAGTGTGTGTTGATTGGTTGCGAAACATTGTTGAACTCACCTACGACGTTTCGCAACTCAACGACGCAAAACGTCTACAAAGTTACGGGGGACCGGGTTGAAATCTGAAATGCAACAATTCGGGATCTAGAAGCGCAAACGCTTCTATTTTTTAATTAATAACAACTCACAGTTAGACTTACCTTACCTGGGAAGGAATAAAGTCACGGGGATGGATAATATCGTTTACACAACCTCACGGCTTCATTCTAAACACTTTTTGTATTGCCATGGCCTATGAGCGGCGGATCCCGAAAACTCACGAACGTGTTCCTCGATCACTCCGAACTGTGTGAGCGCCGCCTTGTAAGCCGGCGAGCTAATGTATCGCGGATAGCTGTCACGGGCCATGAGCGTGTAGATCTGGTTCTGCGCCTCGTCGAAAGTGTTCGACGAGGGTCGCGCCATGTTCTGATTGACCATCTCGCGAACTTTCGAGTCCAGCGACACCTCTTTCGGCGACAGAATGCTGATAAAGTCCTCGTAGATGATGCGCGCCTTCTCCTCCGTCTTCTCGGGATTTCGCTCGCGTTTCAGCTCCTCGCACGCCTGCCAGAACAGAATGTTCTCGTCCGAGTACTCGCCTTTGAGGAACTCGGCAAAGTGCCGTTGTCCGTGACGCGTCTTCATGAGCGCGTCGAACGAGGCGGCCCACGCGTACACCATCTCGTACGTCAGCGGCTCGTTGTCGGCGTTGCGTTGCGGGCTCACCGTTCCGCTGTACTTGCGACCGATGAACGAGCACAGACAGCCCATGCAGCTCATCTACTACTCGATGTCTGCTGCAAACAACAACAACCGATATCGATTTTTTTTTACGGAACACGGAAGACGGAAGACGGAAGAAGACTTTTTCTACGGTTTTTTTTTTGAAAAAAATAACTAAAGCAACAAAAATTTTGGATCTGGGGGTATTTTACGGTAAGAAGAAAAATCCCGGAAGACGGAAGACGGAAGACGGAACAAAAAAATCCACGGAAGACGGAAGATGGAAGAAAAAATCCACGGAAGACGGAAGACGGAACAAAAATAATCCGCGGAAGACGGAAGACGGAAGACGGAAGAAAAAATCAACGGAAGACGGAAAAAAAATCCACGGAAGACGGAAGACGGAACAAAAATAATCCACGGAAGACGGAAGACGGAACAAAAAAATCCGCGGAAGACGGAAGACGGAAGAAAAAAATCCGCGGAAGACGGAAGACGGAAGACGGAAGATGGAAGACGGAACAAAAAATCCACGGAAGTCGGAAGACGGAAGACGGAAAAAAAATCCACGGAAGACGGAACAAAAAAATCCACGGAAAACGGAAGACGGAAGACGGAAGACGGAAAACGGAAGAAAATGTTTTTTAACGGAAGACGGAAGACGGAATTCCGCTCAACACTGGTCGTGATGAAGAAGAAAGTGTGGTCATGTTTTCGAAAGCATTCACGCGGTGCTAGAGATCAAAGTTAACGAGTCAATATTGCAATAACAAGGTAAATGTGGCGTAATTCACTTGGTTCTCATTCAACTCTTGTTCACAATATCAATAATAATAATACAAGGCACGCGTAGTAGCGAGAAATTCGAACAAAAAAAATGGCGAGGAAATGAGAAGACGAAAAAGGAGGGCGGAAAAGTCAAAAGACAATGAGAGAGGAGAGCGAGAGAGAGCCGCCGGCCTTCTTCATGGAGCTTCGAGGAGCGGCGCGCGGGCGGGCGGGCGGGAAATCGATTGGCGGGGAGGGCGAAGACGTGCGCAGAAAAAAATATGGACGATATATAGATATAAGAAGAAGGGAAAGGGGAAGAGAGAGAGAGAGAAGAATGAGCAAAGGAAGGGGGGAGCTCATTCCCGTACGCCTTGTGAGTGCTTCAAGAAGCGAGAGGAAGAGGGGGAGAAGCTCTTTCTCTCTCTCTCTCTCTCTCTCTCTCTCTCTTTCTAAGGCAGCAGAAGGTGCCTAGCAGACACTCGTGGCGAGAAGAAGAAGAAGAAGAAGAAGAAGAGAGAGAGAGAGAGAAAGATATAGTGCTAATTATCGCATTGCATTCCGTGTGCTCATTTTCCGCCCCGCTTTCAGAAGGCAAAACGGAAAGGTCAACAGCCGCCGGCGTCTAATGAGAAACGGGCGCGCTTCCGGGACGTTTCGCAACTGTGCTCCTTGTCTACAACCGGACGTCTTGCAACTCGGACACTTTGCAACCGGACATCTGGTTGCAAAACGTCCACGAGTTTGCGAACGAATTGATCGTAAGAACCGAAAAAAAAACGGTGTGTTTTGTGAGGAGTGGTGTTTGAAAAAGAAAAAAGTTGTGGAAATGCGATGGGAAACTCTCATAATGATCTCGGCGAACTTTCTCGCAAGCGCGACACGTGCGCGCTATCTAATTATCAAGTCTCGAGGGGTTTTTGAGCGAACTCTGTTCATGGGAAACACGCACTTCTCGCCATAACAACTCGTTTATTGACGATTTCTGTGATACTGAACGAAATTTCCATTAAAAGCAACAAAAAGCGACGAAAAAAAGAGTCTGTCATCCGCAGGATTCGAACCTGCGCCCTCCGGAGAGGACTGCGACCTGAACGCAGCGCCTTAGACCACTCGGCCAGAATGACTCGTGGTGGGGATGCGAGTGGAGGCCAATGAGGAGAGCGCTGTTTGCCAATGTGTGACGGGGGCGGAAACGTGTGCAAATCTACAATATTTATCGAGAAAAAGACGGAAAATTGCGTTTTTTCCTTTTTTTTTGAAGCAAATCGTCGAAAAAAGGCAATTTTTGTACAGACAAAATGTTAATACAATAGTTAAAACAAGGGTTTCGACCCCGCAAGTTTTTCCAAAACATCATTGGGTCCCGCGAATTTGTGCGAGAACTTCTCCAACGGCTCTTCACACGCATAAACGTTTGTAAGTGGATGACAGAGGAAGACGCACTTCGAATCGGACAATATCCGTTTTTCGTAGAGCCCCAACTCGTAGTCTCCGATAAGACATCCTGCAAAAACAAAAAAAGAGTAGCCGTGGCGGATTACTGTAGTCTACGGTACCTTTTTTCACCGCCTCACCACCCTGGCACACCATTTTCGTGCCTTTTTTCGCGTCGATCCACTCGTCCGCCTCTTCCCGCGTTTCCCGGTTTTCCAGTGTGCATTTCGGTCCTACAGTAATCCGCTGGGTCAAAGTACCGTACCACGTGAGCTCACTTTTGTACTCGGCCTCTAGAAATCCGACGTATCCCGGCTCGAGTTGTGCGCATTTTCGATACGTTTCACTTTTTGCGTCGAACAAAAAATCGCCGAGTTTCACGACGATTCTCGTGAGACGTTTCACTTTTAGACGTCGTCCGTTCGAAGACATTTCTAGAAATCGTTTGGGGTTACGGTAGGAGTACGGTAGGATTACTGTAGGCACCTATAGTGAGCACCAACTCGTTTTGTTCCAATTCCATTCCCTGCTCGCCTTGATCTTCCTCAACAAATTGTTCGGTTATACATCCTGCAAGTTTTTTTCGGATTAGGATTACTGTAGGTCTACTGTAGGATTACGGTACCTGAAACTCGATTCTCATAATATCCGTTCTCCAGTTTACACTCCATTTCAAGCCATTCCACATTCGATTCGTCTCCGTGAGCATTCATTTCTTCCCAATTTTCACCGACTCGGTACACGGTCCCATTGTGATAACATCCGGGTACTGTAAGGATTACGGTAGCTTCAAAAATCTGTGCAAACACTTTCTAACTACAGTACGCCTGTCTGTACGGGTTACTGTAGCTCGAAAAGTGTGCAAACACTTTAAACTTTTACGAAAAGCTGCAAACAGTAAGTTTTACGGTAGTTTGGGTTACTGTAGGTCGTGTGTGTGTGTGTGTGTGAACACTCTGACGACAAATTGCACAAAATCGAACGTACCGTACTCGGCGACCAGTTTCAAATCTCCGTCGTACTGATTACAATCCACGATCACCGATCCGTTCACTTTTTTCACCGACTCGCCCACATTCATCACTTTTCCGTGATCTTCACACGAAATTGGCTCCAAAACGAGTGCCGCCTCGTTTTTTACGCATTTATACGTGAAAAAACCGTCGGTTACGGTCTCGTTGGGAGTGCATTCTGGAAAAAAAGCGGTACGTACATTCAAAATGATGTATCTCGGTTGTTTGTGGAGATATCAAAAAGTGGTCAACTAATAAAATGTGTAGAATTTATTGCTGAATAATTCATTAGTTGACAACTTTTAGATATCTCTACCGGTAGCTGAGATATATCACGTAGAAGCTATAAAGTGGATGGATAATATCGGTCTTTGCATTGCGTTTTCAAACCGCTGTATCTCAGCTGCGGGTGGAGATAAAAAAAAGTGATCAACTGAATAAATGTGTAAAATGTCCTCATGAACAATTTGTTAGTTGACACCTTTTTGATATCTCCACAAACAACCGAGATACGTCGTTTTGAACAACCGATATTGTTGATTCACAATATTTACCTATTGGGGTCGGTTGTGCAGTTGCTGAAAACGAGCCAACAAGCAAAAGTGATGAGAATGTGATTAGAGAATGTGATAGTGACATTTGGAAGCGGATAATACTGTGAAAAAGCCGAAAACGTGCGGTTTTATAGTAATTTTTGTGCAGTCGCATCGAGATTTGTTTGTTCAGGCCATTCTCGGTGGAATCACGACTCTCCGGGCCGCCTTTTTACACCTTTTCCAGGCCACAGACTTCATTTTTCGCGCCGCCAACTTTTTGTGCACCTTTTCGAGTATTGTCCGTTTGCTGGAGCACCAAATGGCTGAGCTCGGCACTTTTTCAGCCAGCTAGCACTGATATTATTCGTTTCGTGGCCATTATAATTTATGGGAACGCACGCACGCGCAAACCCAATTTCCCACACTTTCCCCCCCCCCCCGCGGACATTTTTGCGCATTTTTCGTCGAAAACCTTCGAAAAGCGGGCAATGGTCCCGGCGGCTTGTGATACGGTAGGTTTGGTGGGCAAGTGTGCTCCAATAGAAACGCATTTTAGGCCTACAATATCTCGTTCCATGCCGTCTACCGCATTTCACAGTTTTATCAAGTTTTCGTCTTGATTCTCGCCGTTTTTCCGCTGATTTATTTCATCGGCTCGAAACTTTTTCGCTCCAATTTTCACGGAAACCTCAAATGGACCCTCATCGGATATTTTTGTTCTGTACTCGTTTTCACACTCGCCTACATCATTTTCGCGGTATTTTCCTTGACAAAACCGGCCGAAAAATCGATTTTTCCAGACAATTCAACTCGTCGTTCCGATGGTGTCGACCGAAAAGTGTGATTTGATAATATCGAGAGGACAGTATCGAATCGGCAATATTGTCGGATCACTTTTGATGACGCTACCCACTTTTTTTCCGATTTCCATCACGATTGAACGATTTCTGGCGACTAGACACGCGAAAAACTACGAGAAAACGCCGGTCATTTTGGGACCGGTGCTCACCGTTTTTGTGGTAAGTTATCTCGGCGCTCGGTGGACCGATTCGGACCAAACTTGGCAGGTACACAGTCTAGGGTGTCTGGTTGGTGCCCCAAAATTTTGGTACGGATTGGTTGAGCTTAAAGGGCGGAAAATGGCTTTTGAGTTTTGGCTCAAAATTTGACGGCGCCACCGAGAATGTCTTGGGCGCGAGTGCGGCTGCGTCAGAGCGCGCGCGTGGTGTAGTGGTAAGTCTGTTGGTCGCCAAAAGCGTTTTGCTTTGGTTCGATCCCCCGTGGCTCCAAATTTCTTTTGCCTAATTTAAAACTTGAAATTTTCGAATTTCAGATCCTCCTCGACACCTTCCTCATCTTCCTAATCTACAAAGACGAAGAATTTCCAGAAGGCTCAATCTCTTTCCTTTTTTTCCCGGCCACAACTGCTCCAAAAGTGAGAAAACGTCCCGTTTCCTCTCAAAAACCAATAAATTTTCGACAGATGTACACGTTTTTCTGGATGATGTTCTTCCTGAACGTCGTCAATTTCATCTGCAACTTTGCACTACTTCGCCAGAATTTTCGCCTCAAAAAGTGCACTTTTTTTGAGTTAAACAACTTGTTTCAACGATTTTCAGATCAAATACCACTTTGGCAGCGAAATATCAGCTGGAAGAGGTGTACTTATCAACGACATTCGCAATTTCTGTCATTTTTGTGCATGTCGCCTTTTTTGGAACTTATGTGACGCTTATTATGGTGTCCAGATATTATGGAAATCTCATTATTAGTAATCCGATTGATTTGTCAGCTGTTAGAGGAGCTATGATGACTGTGAGTTCGGTTTATTTGAAGGTTTCGGGCGATTTGAGAGTACCGTTTATTTGAGCCGTTATATCTCAGTTGTGAGTTGAGATATCAGAAAAATGTCAACAGATAAATTGTTTATCAAGATATTTTACACATTTTCTCAGTTGACCACTTTTTGATATCTCCACCCGCAGCTGAGATACAGCGGTTTGAAAACGCATTGCAAAGACCGATATTATCCATCCACTTTATAGCTTCTACGTGATATATCTCAGCTACCGGTAGAGATATCAAAAAGCAGTCAACTAATGAATTATTCAGCAAACAATTCTACACATTTTCTCAGTTGACCGCTTTTTGATATCTCTACCCGCAGCTGAGATACACGCGTTTAAAAATGCACCTCCCAAACCGATATTGTCCATTCCTTTCCAGATGATTGCCACGTACAATTTTATTATTGGGACCGTCGCCGTGTACCTGTACAAAAGGATTCGAACGAAGAAAAGTGTGCAAATAGCCGGAACGATCCAGATGAAATCGACGGGAAATGCGGGCGCCCGCAACTACGATCTCGCCATTTTCAGCATTTGGAACAGCGTGATATCTACCGGGACCAGAAGTTGATAATTTATTTAGCCCTTTTCGTTGCCTGAGTGATTGGCGTCTTGCCTTGATTAAAAATGTGTTCTAGAACAGCTCAAAAAGTTCGCGTGTTTTGTTGATTGCAAAAGTCTGCGATATTGCAGAGTTCTGCAAAGATTGTTGCTATTATGAAAGTCATAAAAGTTGTGTCGACCACAAGTTTCTCACTCCTACCTTTAACTATTATCCTTCCACCTTCAAATGTCCTCCTCAACACATTGTCTTACGGTAATCAATATCAAAGTGCTCAGCCATGAGAAAACAGGGAAATTGCGGTTTTTCGTGTGGTCCCGACCAGATCACACGGTTCTTACCGGATCATATCTGTTTTAATATAGGAGTATTGATTTTTAACCGGTTTCTTATACGGTTCCCACCGGATCATAGTTGTTTTCACTTAGGATTATTGATTTTTAACCGGTTGTTTACACGGTCCCCACCGGATCATAGCTGTTTTCACTTAGGATTATTGATTTTTAACCGGTTGTTTACACGGTCCCCACCGGATCACAGTTGTTTTCACTTAGGATTATTGATTTTTAACCGGTTGTTTACACGGTCCCCACCGGATCACAGTTGTTTTCACTTAGGATTATTGATTTTTAACCGGTTGTTTACACGGTCCCCACCGGATCACAGTTGTTTTCACTTAGGATTATTGATTTTTAACCGGTTGTTTACACGGTCCCCACCGGATCATAAGCGTTTTCACTTAGGATTATTGATTTTTAACCGGTTGTTTACACGGTCCCTGCCGGATCACATGGTCCCCACATGTTTTTATCGATTTTTGCCAATGTTTCGAGAAAAACCAGCAGTTTCCCGGTTTTCCAACCGCTTGAGCTGGAATCCTACAGTAACCCCCATTCAGGCGTATCAACTGACTTTCCATCCAATCTACCGTACCTCTCAATACTATCAACTCACAATTTTGAGCGCTTCAATCTGTCCATTGCTCTATTTTATCGCCTCAAAACTTTGGAAATCGAGTTTTCATGGCAATTTGAAGGTTTTTTGATCATTTCGTTGGTTTTAAAGTTTCTGAAACATTTTCAGTGGCTTCTAATCGGCTATTTCACTTCTATCCTCATTTTTTCGTTGGTGTTTGCAGTTGAAACGGTAATTTTTTTTTTTTTTTTGAGAAAAACGCCTCTTCACACTTTTCCAGGCCTTGCAAATCCTAATTCCACTATTGTCCACTTCACCGTGTGATTTGATAATATCCGAAGCGTACTATACACTCGGAAATGCACTTTTTTCGCTCACAATGACAATGTCCACGTTTTTTCCGATTTCGATCACTTGCGAACGATTTGTGGCGGCGAAAAATGCGACGAGTTACGAGCGGACTACAGTAATCCTCGGTCCGGCACTTACCGTTCTGGTGGTACTTGGTGGAAGTCTACAATACTCGGAGCTAAAGTTTTCTCGTTCAGATATTGTTGGATTCTTCGATTATATTCCAAATTTATACTGGTGGCAATGTGACGTTCTCTCAAGGCTCCATTTCGTTCATTTTCTTCACTGACGTCATTGCTTCGAGGGTAGGGGACACTTTGCAACCGGCGACTTTTTGCAACCAAGAAACTCGGTTGCAAAGTGTCCGGTTTGGTTGCAAAACGTCCAATTTCAGATGTACACCTTTTTCTGGACAATGTTATGCGTGAACCTCGTGAATCTGCTGCTCACTTCGCTGCTGGTCCGCCAAAATTCGCGACTCAAAAGGTGGTGATTTTGCGCATGGCCTAGAAAAAACCTAGGCCACACACAAACACTTTCAGAGAAGGCCACGTGAGTCTGGGCACGAAATATCAGCTGGAAGAGGTGTACTTGTCGACGAAATTCGCCGCATCCGTCATTTTTCTCCACACTCTCTTCTTTGGCGGATACATTTGCATCGCAATGCTCGCCAGATACTTTGGCGACCAAGTGATCACGGATCCGGTCGATTTGACAGCGATCCGCGCCGGTTTGATGACGGTAGGACGCGATTCGCGTAGATTTGTGCATCGACAATAGCGAAATTGTAGGCGTCGAACTTTGAACAACTTTGAACGAGTATTGTAGGATTCCAACAAGTGGTATGGTTCTGAAAAATTTTTTGTGAATTCTTGACAGTTCGTACTCTGTTTTTGTAGTTGATTACTTTTTTCTGTGACCAATCCCTGGGGTACGGTGGCGCTTGGAAGTTGGTGGTGAAATGAGCAGACACTGAGGTAGCCTCAACTTCCAAGAGCTACAGTAGGATTAGGAGTAGAGATATCATAAAGGTGTCAACAGCAAAAATATTGTCCATTTCTAGTACTATACTTTTGCAGTTGTCCACTTTTTTCTACAACTAACTCTAAACTCTACAATACTCGTTCAAAGTTTACCATTTTCTACGAATGTGTCACTTTTCTGTGGCCGCTATTGTATGACGTCTCGTTTTGCTTTATATCTCAACTGCCAGTAAAGATATAAAAAAATTGTCAACTGATGAATTATTCAGCAATAAATTCTACACATTTTCTCAGTTGACCACTTTTTGATATCTCTACCCGCAGCTGAGATACACGCGTTTAAAAATGCACCTCTCCAACAGATATTATCCATCCCTTTCCAGATGATTGCCACGTACAACTTCATAATCGGGACCGTCGCCGTGTACCTGTACAAAAGGATTCGAACGAAGAAAAGTGTGCAAATAGCCGGAACGATCCAGATGAAATCGACGGGAAACGCGGGCGCCCGCAACTACGATCTCGCCATTTTCAGCATTTGGAACAACTCGAGCGTCAACTCGACTCTCTGATATTGTCCATCCATTTTTTAGCGTATTCGTATGTTCAATAACGTCATGCCAAGCAAAAAGTTGATTAATACTCGGCATACTCATAAATTTCCTGGTTTCCCGTTAGTTTTGCAAAAATCGCCGCAAAATGGCCTCCGCAAGTGCTTGTCTTACGGTAAATAGAAAACTGGGAAATTGCGGTTCTCGATGCGGTCCCCGCCGGATCACATTGGTTTTTTGCCAATTTTTCGAGAAAAACCGGCAGTTTCCCGGTTTTTCAACCGCTTGAGCCGGAATTCTACAGTAATCCCATTCAGGCGTATCAATTGACTTTCCATCCAATCTACCGTACCTCTCAATACTATCAACTCACAATTTTGAGCGCTTCAATCTGTCCATTGCTCTATATTATCGCCTCAAAACTTTGGAAATCGAGTTTTCATGGCAATTTGAAGGTTTTTTTTATCATTTCGTTGGTTTTAACGTTTCTGGAACTTTTTCAGTGGCTTCTAATCGCCTATTTCACGGCTCTCCTCGTTTTTTCCACATTTTTTCTATTCATTGCGGTAATTGCGCAAAAACACACTTTTTTATATGGCTTTTCCGAGTTTCCAGCTGCTCCAAGTGGCCGTTCCGCTATTGTCCACTTCGGCGTGTGCGCTGATAATAGCGAAAGAGCGCTATCGGCTCGGCAACGCGTTCATCTCGCTCATGATTTCGCTCTCCACATTTTTCCCCATCTCCATCACTTGCGAACGTTTTGTGGTGGCGAAAAACGCGGCGGGATACGAGCGGCGGCGCGTGTTTTTAGGCCCCATTTTTACGGGTTTCAATGTAATTTGCGCCGAAATAAATTGCAGGAAAAACACGATTTTTTTACCAGATTGCCGCAGACACTCTCATAATTTATTGGATTTATGCGCGTGCCGAGTTTCCCGAAAATTCCATATCCTACGTCTTTTTTCCAGTTTCTGTGGCTTCCAAGGTACCGGCGGGGGGACACTTTGCAACCAAAAAACTCTAGCTGAGGCCTTTCGAGCCGGTTGCAAAGTGTCTATGCACCAGAGATGTTGGGAATTCCGTGTTCCGTGTTCCGCGTTTTTTTGCAATATTTTTTCCGTGTTCCGTGTTCCGTGTTCCGTAAAAAAAAAAATTTCCGTGTTCCGTGTTCCGTGTTCCGCGTTTTTTTCAATATTTTTTCCGTGTTCCGTGTTCCGTGTTCCGTAAAAATTTCCGTGTTCCGTGTTCCGTGTTCCGCGTTTTTTTCAATATTTTTTTTCCGTGTTCCGTGTTCCGTAAAAATTTCCGTGTTCCGTGTTCCGCGTTTTTTTTCAATATTTTTTTTCCGTGTTCCGTGTTCTGTAAAAATTTCCGTGTTCCGTGTTCCGCGTTTTTTTCAATATTTTTTTCCGTGTTCCGTGTTCCGTAAAAATTTCCGTGTTCCGTGTTCCGCGTTTTTTTCAATATTTTTTTCCGTGTTCCGTGTTCCGTAAAATTTCCGTGTTCCGTGTTCCGCGTTTTTCAATATTTTTTTCCGTGTTCCGTGTTCCGTGTTCCGTAAAAAAATTTCCGTGTTCCGTGTTCCGCGTTTTTTTCAATATTTTTTTCCGTGTTCCGTGTTCCGTAAAAATTTCCGTGTTCCGTGTTCCGCGTTTTTTTCAATATTTTTTTCCGTGTTCCGTGTTCCGTAAAAATTTCCGTGTTCCGTGTTCCGCGTTTTTTTCAATATTTTTTTCCGTGTTCCGTGTTCTGTAAAAATTTCCGTGTTCCGTGTTCCGCGTTTTTTTCAATATTTTTTTCCGTGTTCCGTGTTCCGTAAAAATTTCCGTGTTCCGTGTTCCGCGTTTTTCAATATTTTTTTTCCGTGTTCCGTGTTCCGTAAAAATTTCCGTGTTCCGTGTTCCGCGTTTTTTCAATATTTTTTTCCGTGTTCCGTGTTCCGTGTTCCGTAAAAAAATTTCCGTGTTCCGTGTTCCGCGTTTTTTTCAATATTTTTTTCCGTGTTCCGTGTTCCGTAAAAATTTCCGTGTTCCGTGTTCCGCGTTTTTTTCAATATTTTTTTCCGTGTTCCGTGTTCCGTAAAAATTTCCGTGTTCCGTGTTCCGCGTTTTTTTCAATATTTTTTTCCGTGTTCCGTGTTCCGTAAAAATTTCCGTGTTCCGTGTTCCGCGTTTTTTTCAATATTTTTTTTCCGTGTTCCGTGTTCCGTAAAAAAATTTCCGTGTTCCGTGTTCCGCGTTTTTTTCAATATTTTTTTTCCGTGTTCCGTGTTCCGTAAAAATTTCCGTGTTCCGTGTTCCGCGTTTTTTTCAATATTTTTTCCGTGTTCCGTGTTCCGTAAAAAAAAAATTTCCGTGTTCCGTGTTCCGTAAAAAAAAAATTTTCCGTTTTCCGTGTTCCGTGTTCCGTAGAGTAAAATTTTTATTCCCAACATCTCTGCTATGCACGCTTTTTTGCATCCAGACACTTTGCCATCGGTGGTAGACGTTTCGCAACCAAGAAACTCGGTTGCAAAGTGTCCGGTTTGGTTGCAAAACGTCCAATTTCAGATGTACACCTTTTTCTGGACAATGTTATGCGTGAACCTCGTGAATCTGCTGCTCACTTCGCTGCTGGTCCGCCAAAATTCGCGACTCAAAAGGTAATTTTGCGCATGGCCTAGAAAAAACCTAGGCCACACACACTTTCAGAGAAGGCCACGTGAGTCTGGGCACGAAATATCAGCTGGAAGAGGTGTACTTGTCGACGAAATTCGCCGCATCCGTCATTTTTGTGCACGTCTTCTGCTTCGCCTTCTACATTTCGTGCATCATGTCGGCCAGATACCTCGGCGACCGAGTTATTGAGGATCCGATCGATTTGACAGCCGTCAAAGGCGCCATTACTACGGTACGGTCGTAGGATTACGGTAGCTGATCCAGGATGCACGATATCTCGGTTGTTTGTGGAGATATCAAAAAGTGGTCAACTGATGAAATGTGTAGAATTTATTGCTGAATAATTCATTAGTTGACCACTTTTTGATATCTCTACCGGCAGTTGAGATATAAGGCAAAACGAGACGTCATGCACACATTCGTAGAAAATGTCAAACTTTGAACGAATATTGTAGAGTTTAGAGTTAGTTGTAGAAAAAAGTGGTTTTACGGTAGTATGTGTGTGTGTGTGTGAACACTCTGACGACAAATTGCACAAAATCGAACGTACCGTACTCGGCGACCAGTTTCAAATCGGATTACAATCCACGATCACCGATCCGTTCACTTTTTTCACCGACTCGCCCACATTCATCACTTTTCCGTGATCTTCACACGAAATTGGCTCCAAAACGAGTGCCACCTCGTTTTTTACGCATTTATACGTGAAAAAACCGTCGGTTACGGTCTCGTTGGGAGTGCATTCTGGAAAAAAAGCGGTACGTACATTCAAAACGATGTATCTCGGTTGTTTGCGGAGATATCAAAAAGTAGTCAACTAATAAAATGTGTAGAATTTATTGCTGAATAATTCATTAGTTGACACCTTTTTGATATCTTTACAACTAGCGAAGATATAACGTCCTAAACAAGCGGTACCGGACACTTTGCAACTAGCTGCTTGTGTCCTAGTTGCGAAACGTCTTTTTGTAGATGGTCGGTACGTACAATTTCATAATTGGGACCGTTGCCGTGTACTTGTACAAAAGGATTCGAACGAAGAAAAGTGTGCGAATAGCCGGAACGATCCAGATGAAATCGACGGGAAACGCGGGCGCGCACAACTACGATCACGCCATTTTCAGCATTTGGAACAGCGTCAACTCGACTCTCTGATATTGTCCATCCCTTTTTTTATTTAATAAAGTCCTAGTCTTGCTTCAAACGTACAAAAAGAGGAGTGCAATAGAGAAGAGCGTCATTTTCGAGCCCGTTGAGCTCATCTTCCTCGGATCGTCGCCCTCTTCGTAATCTTCGAATGCGTGCTCCATACCCCGACGCGTTCCCACTGATCGGCTCGTCTCGGTGCTGGTCCCGTGCAGACCAACAGTTGAGTGTTTGTCACTAGCACACAATCCACCCTCATTGTGCCTTCCTTTCGGACACGCCGATCCAGGCTTTCCAGTCAACACATTTTTGTTTCTGGAATTATAGATCCTTTATATCTCGCGATCCAATCATTATTTTTAAAAGTGATCAATTGAAAAGTTGTGGCAAATTTCATGCTCAACAACTTTATAATTGATCATTTTTTTCTAAAACTTGTCATTCTTGAGTTACGCGCTTGTTTCCAAACAGTACCACCATTCGCCTTTTGTCCTCCTACTTTGAACCTCGATATCTCGGGATTCAATCATTATTTTTAAAAGTGAGCAACTGTAAAGTTGTAGCAAATTTCATGCTCAACAACTTTATAGTTGATTATTTTGCTCTAAAACTTGTCATTCTTAAGTTACGCGCTAGTTTCCAAACAGCACCGCCATTGGTATATCATAGTTAGCGCCTTTTTGTCCCTTTACTTTGAACCTCGATATCTCGGGATCCAATCATTATTCCAAAAAGTGATCAACTGAAAAGTTGTGGCAAATTTTATGCTCAACAACTTTATAGTTGATCATTTTGCTCCAAAACTTGCTTGTCTTAAGTTACGCGCTAGTTTCTCAACAACTTACGAGTCAACGAAGGCAACAGCAATGCTCATGCCTTCGGAGCAATTGTACTCAATGTAGGCGAACTCGACGAATACGGGATTCTCGAGCAACACATCCGATGAGTTCCAGTTGAAAACGACGCGCTCTCGGAGTCCGTTCGAGCACTTATCCTCGTCGTCAGTCACCTCTTTCTCCTGCCGCCCGCACTCTTTTCCACCCCTTCAACGTTTCGATGCACGCTCTCAGACGCTCGTCGAGCTCCTGAATACGGTTTTGTCGCGAAAAAAAGAGGTAAGTCACCAATTTGGCGGCGTTCGCGAAACTCTCATTCTTCGCGTACTCGGCGCGATTTTTATTGAGACGCGTGAGCCACGCGGGTTCATCGTTTCCGGCTTCAATCGATAAATGTGGAGCGACGGCGAGACAGAGAAGAAGAAGAAGTTGTTTCATCGATTCACAAAAACTAAACAAATCGAGGCGGTTTTTCGGGAACGCGTTCAAGTGTCACGTGAACTTTTTTGGATCCTCTCTTTTTTTTTGTGATCATCTGCTCCATTTTCCGTTAGCCAATAGACGCGTACCCCGGCTGCCCATCGAAACAAGTCTTCGCGGCGGACCGAGAAGATCGCCTGCGTTCTCAGTCCGGACTTTGGGGGACCATGATGAAGACACGTAGCTTTTTCATTCATTTCATCGTCAAAAGTTCAAATGCCACGTCAGCGCTTCCTATTATCATTATTCACTATTGTCGGGTTCGAAAAAAAGACGATGCAAAAGTTCGCAATACCCGCCGCGCTTTTCCTGGCAATTGGTGAGTTTATCGCCATGTTTTTTGTGGTGAAATCGATGTTTAGTCAGTTGCGAATTGGCGAAACCATTTGAGACAACGAATTGTGCGCGAAAAGTGAACAAAATTCGATCGGAAACGGCGGAAAAAGAGCAGATATCGAATATGAACAGATTGGTGAGTGAGTGGACAAGTTTGAACGAGTATTGTAGGATTCTGCGAAGTGGTATCGTTCTGAAATTGTTTGGGGCGTAATCTGGACATCTAGTAGTGTATTTTTGTAGTTGGTCGCTTTTTTGTAGGACCACTCTCAAAAGTGCTGTGGTCCTTGGAAGTTGGGGCTAGGTAGCTCCAACTTCCAAGAGCTACAGCAATCCAGGCAATGGTTTTACAAAAAAGTTGTCAACTACAAAAATAAAGCACACATTATGCACTATATTTTTGTAGTTGACACCTTTTTTGTAAAACCATTCCCTGGACTGCTGTAGCTCTTGGAAGTTGCCAAATGTCCAACACTTTTCTTTCAGGACTACGATGTCGATTTGGAAGCTCGTGTGAACGCCCAACTCGACGGGACCAAGTGCGCCGATTTCAACGGGACCGTCCAGACGGTCCTCCTGGACGCCGAGGTGGTCCGTGACAACTCACAGGGTCTCGTCACCTCCCAAGTCACCGAATTCATCAATAGACCCGGAAAATCGCGAATCGCGTGCATCCGAAAGATCTGCGCCGGTCCCGACGATCCGCTGGTCCTTGTGACTGATTTGAGGTGAGCAGGTCCACATGGTGCATCGACCGGCCGTCGATTTCGTTTCAGCGCGGAGCCAAAGCGTAAAGGAAAGCCCGGAACCGGTTGCCCGTCCGGAAAAGTGACGGAGGAGAGCGGATTGTGCCGCACTCCGCGCAAATTGACCACTTTGGCGCCGACGGACACGCCCACGCAAGCTGTACAACAGTCTGCCACGTCATCCGGATGCCTCGCACTGATTTTGATGCCTATCGTGCGCTTCTTCAATTCCTCATGAACTTTTTCCCATTTTTACACTATTTTTCGCTCGGTCGATGCACCATGTGGACGCTAGCAGATATTCCCTTCCCCTCCCTCGGTTTTTCCCCAATTTCTCGCGTCTTCCCCCCAAAAATTGCACTTAACCGATAAAATCCTTCAAAATAGCATTTTGGTGCCACGTCATGCTGCACACAAGTCTGGTCGATGCACCATGTGGTCCCTTTCGCTCTCTCTCTCTCTCTCCTTCTTCTCTCCCCGCCGAAACCATTGAAATGTGTGTGAGTCGTGCGAGAGTGTTTTGCCTCCCGTCATGCATTTCAAAGTACGGTAGGCGACGAGTCAGCAGGCGGTCCCAGTAGCCCGCCCGACGAGACGCCGACAAATGAGACGCCCCCGCGTGGAAACGGAGACGAGAAGGCGGCGGCGATGAGCTCTTTCGGTGGTGCTCGACGAGCCGCGCGAGAAGCGGTCCCCGGTCGCTCGGGTTCCACAGAACTTTCTGGTCCGCTTCGAATGAATGCTGACGGAATTCGATTAATTTTTGAGCACAACTTTCATCCTCTTTTGTGTGCTCAACCGGTTGGACCACGGTGCCCGCCGGTTCTCGCATGGTCCCTATCGGTTCGGCCCCCCAAATCTCTAATTAAACTTCAGAATCTTCATGAATGCAGTCGCACACGTTTACCCGAAGTCGGGGCGTTCCGATCTACATGAACGGATCGGTGTCGCATCAGCGATTGTACGATCGACTTTCCGAGGTGAGCCACAATAGCGGGTTTCATTTTGGACGTTTCGCAACCGAGAGAAATTTACTGGTTGCGAAATGCAAAATTGAAAATGTCATCCAACTTTCAAGGACCACACTGCATCAGCGAGAGGTTATACTGAAAAATTGTCAACTACAAAATTGTAGTACATAATGTAAACTGTATTTTTGTAATTGACAACTTTTCTCTACAGCCACTCCTCGGAGTACTGTAGCTCTTGAAACTAGAGGCTACCTAAACGCGTTGAAATTTCAATGCCAACTTCCAAGCGCTACAGTACCGCAGGAAGTGGTCGTATCAAAAAAGTGTCAACGACAAAAACATAGTACTAGATGTCAAGATAACCGCCAAAAAGTTTTGGAGACCATAAAACTCTTGGGAAGCCTACAATACTCGTTCAAACTTTGTCATTTTCAATGTTCTGTTCAAAACCAAGTTGCACGGCTCAAAGAGCTCAAAAAGTGTGAAAGAAAACAAAAAAAGACGTTTTATTTCTTGTGTTCAGCCGTCGACATCCCGTCAACTGCCCAGAAGTATCTCATTAGCGCCGGCGCTACAAAGAGGCGGTGCCAGAAGGGAACGCGAACAGATTGACGTGAGCGCGAGTACTGTAGGATTACTGTACCCGATTTTTTTCAGAATTCTCTGCCGCCCACGTACATTGCGCGTTTTCACGACGAAGGAGCCGTCCGTCGCATGTCCTATCGCTCGGTTCCGGGCACCGATATGCGGATATCGAAAATTGGCTTTGGTGAATTGACAGTTCCACTAAAAACAACTACAGTACTTTGGGGAGCGGTTGTACAGAAAAAGTGTCAACTACAAAAGTATTCGCCATGTCTAGTACTGTATTTTTGTAGTTGACAACTTTTTTGTAAAACCACTCTCCGAGGAAATGTGGTCCTTGACGCGTTACAATATCATGCCCAACTTCCAAGCGCTACAGTAGCCCAGAAAATGGTGCTAGAAAAAAGTGATCAACTACAAAAGTGTAGTACTAGATGTGAAGATTTCAGAAAAAAAATTTGAGGCGCATAGCACAGCTAGTAACGCTACAATATCGATTCAAAGTTTGCTGAGTTTCAGGCGCCGCCGCCATCGGCGGAATGTTCGGAAACGTCGAGGATTCGATAACGAGGATAGTGGAAACGGCGCTAAAACAGGGTACGGGCTACTGTAGGACGTTTTTGCGGAAAAAAAGCGCAAAAAGTTTCAGGTATCAACTACATTGACACCGGCTACTGGTACAGTCAAAGTCGAAGTGAATCGATACTCGGAAAGGTTCGCGTTTTTTGTTGCTTTTGGACACTTTGCAACTCTTCTCTAGAACTTTCGAAACCAGTTGCAAAGTGTCCGGTTGCAAAACGTCGCCGGCTTACAGGCGCTGTCGAAAATGCCGCGAAAAGCGTACTACATCAGCACAAAAGTGGGCCGATTCGAGTTGGACTACGCGCGCACGTTCGATTTTCGCGCCGACAAGATTCTCGAGGCGCTGACGAACTCGCTGAAACGGCTCCAACTCACCTACGTCGACATTTGCTACGTTCAGGTCCGAGATGTTGGGAATTCCGTGTTCCGTGTTCCGTGTTCCGTGTTCCGCGTTTTTTTTGCAATATTTTTTCCGTGTTCCGTGTTCCGTAAAAATTTCCGTTTTCCGTGTTCCGTGTTCCGTAGAAATAAGTTTTTTTCCGTTTTCCGTGTTCCGTGTTCCGTAAAAAATTTTTCCGTTTTCCGTGTTCCGTGTTCCGTAAAAAAATTTCCGTTTTCCGTGTTCCGTGTTCCGTAAAAAAATTTCCGTGTTCCGTGTTCCGTGTTCCGTAAAAAATTTTTTCCGTGTTCCGTGTTCCGTAAAAAAATTTCCGTGTTCCGTGTTCCGTGTTCCGTAAAAAAATTTTTTCCGCTTTCCGTGTTCCGTGTTCCGTAAAAAAATTTCCGTGTTCCGTGTTCCGTGTTCCGTAAAAAAATTTTTTCCGCTTTCCGTGTTCCGTGTTCCGTAGAAATAAGTTTTTTTCCGTTTTCCGTGTTCCGTGTTCCGTAAAAAAATTTCCGTGTTCCGTGTTCCGTGTTCCGTAAAAAATTTTTCCGCTTTCCGTGTTCCGTGTTCCGTAAAAAAATTTCCGTGTTCCGTGTTCCGTGTTCCGTAAAAATTTTTCCGTTTTTCCGTGTTCCGTGTTCCGTAAAAAATTTTCCGTTTTTCCGTGTTCCGTGTTCCGTAAAAAATTTTCCGTTTTCCGTGTTCCGTGTTCCGTAAAAAAAAAATTTACCGTTTTCCGTGTTCCGTGTTCCGTAGATGAAAATTTTTATTCCCAACATCTCTGGTTCAGGTCACTAAAAGTGGTTGTACAATAGCGGAACGCGTCCTCGTTTTGTTTTCAGATTCACGACTCGGATTTCGCGCCGAACGAGTCGATTGTGTTGTACGAGACGTTGCAGGCGTTGGAGATGGCCAAATCGTCGGGAAAGATCCGACACATCGGGCTGACCGGATATCCGCTACGCAAAATTGTGTACGTTTCGCAACCAGCACCGGAAAAACGTGTCCTTGATTTCAGACAACTCGTTGACTGCTCGAACACGAACATTGACTTTGTGATGACGTACTGCAAGGGCACACTGAACAACAACTCGCTGGGCCAGTTCACCGCCTCGTTCCAGACCCGAAACATTGCCGTCATCAACTCGGGCGCGCTCTGCTGGGGACTGCTCACCGAAAAAGGACCGCCGCCGTGGCATCCGGCGAGCGATGAGATACGCGAAGCGTGCCTCGCCGCCACCACCTACTGCTCGGTTCGTCGTTTTTGCGCGTGAAAATGAGGAAAAAGAAGGCAAAAGAGGGGTGGGGGGGATTGAACTTGAGCAAAACCGCAGCCGATTGCTGGCGCCACGCTTTACCACTCGGCCACGCGCGCCGCTGTTGCCAGGCAACGCCCAGGCCGTATACATAATGGCTGCCCCCCGGGCGCCGCGCGGCAACCAACGCCAATTTGAAATGTATTATTTCAGAGCAAAAACATAAGTATATCGAAATTGGCGCTCGATTACGCGCTCAACTTCCCCAATATCGTGTGCTGTCTCGTCGGAATGGACAGTGTCCAACAGGTGCTCGACAATTTGGAGCTCGCCAATCACTCGCGCATCACCGACGTCGAGCAAAGGGTCCGGGAGCGCATCATGAGGAGGTTGTCCCCATTTTGAGCCAAAACGCGGCGAATTCTCAATAGAGCGCACTTTTGCAGATACCTGGACCGTCTCGAAAACGCCGGTTGGGAGGGCGTCGACGTGGCGCAGTACTGGAAAAAGCTGAAAAAGTTGGGACTGACGGCGCTGGCCACGCACCGCCACTCTTCTGTGGAGAGCCTCGCGAGCACCCTCAACGGATTCTCGCTCTACTCGTCCAACTCGAGCTCCGAACTGAGAACGCCGCGGAGAAGACGAGCCCCGTTCTGATCTTTCTTTCTTTCACCTCTCACTTTCACGTTCACAACTGGTCCGTTTTCATACCCAAAAAACAACAACAAAAAAAAACATTTTCATTCATTCGGATTCACGAAACATTTCTCGTTCGCACAATATTGCTCTCGACTGCTCAGGCGGTGGCCGAGAGCGGAATGGTGACGGTTCCGGCGGGGGTGACCGCGGCGAACGCGGCCTGCGCGTCGGTGGCGTCGGCCGGGGCGGGCGCGAAGTGGATCACGAGTTTGTCCTCCTTCGGCGCGCCGGCGGTGCGCGTGACCGTGATGTCCGTGGAGCCGGAAGCGTCGATGAAGCCGAAGACGGGCGTGATGCGGTACTCGTTGTTGTTCGACGACTTGATCTTGAAGATCAGCTTCTCGGCGCCGCCGTTCACGAGCTTGTGCGTCGAGGTTCCGCCGGCCGCAGGGACCGTGCACGCCGCTGGATCCGCAGTCAGAGACATCGTTTTCGTATCCGGAAGGTTGGATGTTTTGTGATCGTTTTTGGCGCGGGCGGCTCCCTTTATAGCCGAATTTATCAAGATGTACTACTAACCTTACCTACGGAACAGTTTATTAGGCTACGGTATTATTTTTATAACGGAAACTGGATTTTTCTGGGAATTCTCACGTGAAAAATGCGTTTTGCTAATCTTTTAGAGTCTGATATGATCTTAATAAAGTCTGTTCTATTTTTCCGCCGTTTTTCCCGAAAAAAATCGGAACTTTCACAAATTTTCCGCTGAAATACCGTTGAAAACGAACGAGTGTCGAATTACTCGCCGCCGCCAATCACTCCGTATCGCCGGCACATGGTCAGCGCTCGCTACGCAGCCAATGGTCTCGCCACGATTTCGCTTCTCTCGGTCTTTTTTCTCTCGCCGCCGCTTTTAGGACTTTTTCTATTTTTTGCACAATTTTCGGATTTTCGCGCGATTTTCGTTGGAAAAATTCGATTTTTGGATTGTAAATGAAATGTTGCACTTGTTGTTAGCCCGTTTCGCCGAAAATTCTGCCATTTTTGCTCTGTTTTTCGTAAATTTAGGACAAAGCCCGATTTTTTCCCAGCGTTTCTCTGACTTGGCGCAAAATTGAGGTATTATTTGTGAGCGTTTCATTGTTCTTTATCGATTTTCTAGCGTTTCTGTTCCGTACCCTTTTCCTCTGTTAATTTCTCTATTTTTTCAGGTAACCATGCAAAACGACGCCGGACAAACCGTCGAGCTCTACATTCCACGCAAGTGGTGAGTTTTTATAGCCTTTTTTCGCGAATTTATCGTCATTTTTTGCAGCTCCTCGTCCAACCGTATCATCGGCCCGAAGGACCACGCCGCCGTCCAGATCGACTTCGTTGATGTCGACCCAGAGACTGGCCGCATGGTAAGCAATTCATTGCGAAAACCCGGTAGTTAATTTTGCTTCTTTTCCAGATCCCAGGAAAGTCGACCCGCTACGCCATCTGCGGAGCCATCCGCAACATGGGAGAGTCCGACGACGCCATCCTGAGACTGGCCCAGAAGGACGGACTTATCCCAAGAGATGAGCTCAAGTCCAACTGAGCAAATTGTTCACTATAAATTTGTTGATTTTCTGACAAATCGTTCAAGTTTGCGTAACATAAAAAAGTACACGGCAAAGTTGGGAATGCAGAATGATTTATCAGAAAATATCGTGAAATTATTTTGCTATCGGCCATGGGTACAGGATGCATTGTCCGTCGAAGCAGTAGGTTCCGGCCGGGCAGATTCCGCACACATCGCGGCGAACTCTGTTGTTTAGCAGGTAGTCGTGACAGTTCCCTTGCACACAGATTTGTCCGGGCGCGCACAGGCACATTCGCGTCTTCACGCGACCTTCAGACGCGGAAAAGATAGCGAGGATCAACAGAAGAACCTGGAAATTTGGAATCGAGTGAAAGATGCCGAGAAAATCAACAAACTCACGAAAAAGGCCCGCATTTCTTCGGAAAATGAGGGAAAGCACTGGAGGAGGACTTTTTATAGATCGTCAATGATTCGATTATGCCGAATGGGAAAAATCCGAAAAATTTTCAGACCTTCAGTCCATTTTTTCGGAAAACAATACGCGTCATTCTCGTTATCACGATCACGATCGTTCTGATTCCGACTGATAACCTTTCGCGCCACCGACTCCTCCACTTTTCGATTCCAAAAACTAATTACCTTTCTACCCAAATATTTTCGCAAATTTCCAGTTGCATCGGAGTCGGATAAAATGAGCCGAAATTCTGTGATTTGTCATCTTCTGTTGTGCGTCTTTTTGGTTCCCGGGCTCTTGGCGGCTCCGACGGGCGTTACGGTCAAGGCGAGCGATCAGCAAATCATCAATTTGATCGGTTAGTTTTCGTGAATCAGTTGCAAAGTGTGCTCGCTCGTTTCCAGTGTGGATCTGCCCGGATCCGACGCTCTTCTCGATGGTGCAATCGGCGCTGCAGCAGTACCGGACGGTCGACGACATCAACAAATCGGTGCAGGACCAGGTGTCGGGCTACCGGAACGCCGTCTGGCTCGTCAACACCATCAACTACAGCCGGACGACGGCGGACACGGATCCCGGTCCCAACAAGTCCTCGCTCAATTTGTGCTTTATTCAGGTAACACCTTTTTGGAAATTTTTGAGCTGAAATGGGACAAAAATATAATTGGTTTGCAGGCTCCCAACGAAAAATTGGTCGTTTTCGTGGCTGCAGTGGTTTCATAACTTGTCAATTTTTCCGTTTTTTGGGGGAATAAATCCATTTTGCGAGTTTTCGGGAAGAAATACATGAAAAATCAGGTAAAAAGGTACAACAGAAAAGGGCGGAATTTGAAGACCAATTAATCGGAATCTGATCCGGATCCGTAATCGGCGAGAAGTGAGAGTCCCGACGGAGCCGGAGCTTTTGGAGCCGAAGATGAAGACGTAGACGGTCCCGCTGGTTCGGACGGCTGCAAAAATACACCATTTTCTAGAAACTGTGGAAAAAGGCATAAAGCGCCAGAAAGTTGATGCGTGTTTTATCGCTACGAAAAAGTCGCGAAAGGCGTCATTTTTCGTGTATTTTTTAAAGGAATCGATTTCACTTTTTGACTGAAACCTCTTCATTTACCTTTGCTTTCTTGACGATACGAATGCCGGCGAACCGTTCCCGCTGTTCGTTTCTTTTGCGTGAAAGCGCAGTGTCGTCGCCGAGCCTCGGAATGGCCGGTTTCAGCATCCGAGCGGGACCGCCGCTGCTGCTCGCTCCCTCTTTCTCTTCCGCTTCCTCTCCTCCTTCCGCTTCCTTCTCTTCTTCTTCTTCTTCTTCTTCTTCGTCTTTTAGGCGCCGTTCGATGCGTCCTTCCGCCGTGATTCCCAGCAATTCCCTGGAAATTTTACAGAAATATTCCAAATTTGATGGGTCAGCTCTAAAACATCGAACACTTTTAACTTTTCTAATGCAGGTGCTATAATACACCGGTTGCGAAAATACTGAAAGCTCAAAAAAATGGCCAAAATGGCTTGAAAAAGCGGTACCTGGCGACGCGATCGTCCTCCTGCTCCATGCGTCGGATGCGTTCGGCCTGTGCCAGATGCGGGTCGGTGGCGGCCAGAAATCCGATGGTATCGATGGCCTCTTTGGTGCGCGACGTCTCCTGCAGGTCCTCCAGATTGCCCATCTCCTCCATTTCTTGTCTCGACTGCATCGTCCGTTTTTCCAACATTTTCATCGGATCCTTCGCGTCTTCCGCCTCTTGTTCGTCCGCCCGTTTCTGCTGGTCTTGGTAGAGCTGCAAATGCGGAATATCGTGAATTTTGACCCACATTTCCCTTTTCGCTCAAAATGCGGCTATTTTTGAGAGCTCTGACTAATCAGAGTGCTCAAAAAAGCACAATATAATTAGGTCACCTAAGGAAGGCTCTTTTCCACTTTTCTCCAGTTGCCAACTCTGTTTTTCTATTTTCTGCCCGCAACTTTTATAGTTTCTGGTCAGTCCCGTGATCATCAATACTTTAATTTCCGTGTGGGTGACTTGACTACCGAAAATCTCATTTCCTCGAGCAGGATATTGGCTTCAGAAGGTTCAGGAGCCAAAAACGGCCGGAAAAGTGACAAGATTACGCTTTTTGAGCCTGATCTGTCGGCTTTGTTCAAACATTTGACTTCTTGCTCAACTGGAGTCCGGTAAGATCACAGATTCTGATCAGAAATCGTTTATCAAGTGCTGCAAATCCCAGTTCGAATCATAATCCGGATTCGTAAAAACCCGGGATCTCTCGGGACCGGATAATCCGATCGGTCTGAAACTTGGGCCCAATATACTTCAATCCAAGCCCAAGAAGCCTGCAAAGTTTGGGTCCGATCGGATTACGGAAAGGGGCTCAAAACTTCAGACTTCGAGACGACTTCGAAAATCCTGGGGCGGCCTCCGTTTTCTTTCTTGTCTCATCAACCCGACCAGCTTTTCGAATACTTGTTTCTCGTCCTCCCCCGTCCAAAAAAGCTACTATATCCCGTTTCTCTTTGGCTCGGCGTTATTTCCTTTCCATTTCCACACCATCATCATTCATCAATCTCCGTCCCAACGGCCGTCGTCATCTCCACGGCCGCTCCTCCTTTCCCACTTTTTTTCGTTTTTCTTCCACTTGACGTACCCTCTAATTAGGCTCCATTTCTGCCGTTTTTCGAGCCGAAAGCGTGGTAAAATTGCAGAAGAAGAAATGGAAACTCGAGTTCCGGTCGTCTATTCGTACTCGGCTCCGTTCCCAGGCAGTTCGAGCTCTTCTCCGAGCATTTACACGTCTGTCGCCTTTCCGGTACTGTATTTTAGCCTTTTTGAAGCCGGAGAACGTGAACAAGTCCAAAAACGCCCAAAAACCACTACTTTTAAAGCAATTCAAGCATCTTTGCGGAAATTTTCGATTTTTCAGACCCCTCTACCTTCCCCGTCCCCCCGGCACCTTCTGACCGCTCATTTCGCTCAAAAGAGCCCGGACGTCGAGCCGATGCACAAATTGGAGCCGGAAAAGCCGTTAGAGTACGATTTCGAGGCGGAAAAGCGGGAAAAAGCGGAGCGAGTTCAGGAAATGCTCCGAAATTTGCAACCGTTGACGACCAACTATTTTGAGCGCCAATTTTGGCGAACAATGATTCAAGTTCAAGCGGAAAAGACAGAAATGACAGATTTTTCAGGTAAAACTATCGAGAGAACGGTGAAAATGACAAAAAACGTTCAGATATGCCGAAGCTGAGTCCCAACTACTAGCAACAAGCCATTTTTCGTGTTCTCTAACAAGATTTTTGACCGAATAAACGATACCTTGACGGCTTCGAAGAGCCGAGTCGCTCCGTGCTCATTCTGATAATCGCAATTCTCGAGATCCGTCTTAAAAGTGATTTCGGCCAGACAATTCGGGCAGCGGAAGTAAAAACGGAACAGTTTCAGGCCCAAATACGTCTCTCCTTCCGCCGTCTCGCGCTTCATGTTGAACTTTTTGCCTGGAATGAATTATTGAAGATTTTTAGGAATTTCTCGACGATTAGTTACCTTTATAAATGTACTCGTGACACGTATTACACTGCATATTGAACGGCGTCATGACACGTTGAACGAATTGTCTGAAAAATCGATTTTTTGGTAATTTTTCGACAAAATCTCGATGAAATAAGCTTCGTACCTGTTCTTCTGTCCTTTAGCTCTTGGTATTTTCGACGGATCAAAGTCCGGTGGGTAGTATTTCTGCAAAGTTAATTATTTTAAAATTTCTACTGAGAAAATCGATTTTTCCAGATCTTTTACGTACCTGGAAGACTTTTCGCTCGGTTCCGGTCATTTTTGATCACCTGAAAGCAGAAAATTGCTGGAAAATTATCAGAAAATCGAAGAGAATAACCGCTGATGGGTTTCGAAACGACGATAGACAATGGCAAACGGAGAGACGCAGAGAAAAGTGCGGTGGAGCGCGTTTGCATACCACTTCAGGAAAAATTAATTGTTGAGAGAGAGAGAGAAAAATCGCAAAAGACAATCGAAAGTAGCCGTATTTATTCAAAAACTGAGGGAATTGATGATAAATATGTACAATACTGTTCGAAATATACAGAAAATGCACAAAAATGAGAGGCGAGTAGCTGCTAGAAGTGATTATTATTCGAAATCAGTGTTCACATGTTTTGGGCGATTTTTTTTACATTTTGTCACAAACACAAGCATTAAAAAATTATTCCGATTTCTTCTGCGGTTGCTGATACTTTTGCTGCGTTGGCGTCATATTTTTGACTCCTTTTCCGACGAGCTGAGTGAGCATGTAGGAGATTCGGCAGAACGCGATTTGCGGGATTCGCTCCTCGTACTTGCGGTTCCAGTTGCCCTGAAATACGTTTAGAACCGTTGCCGCCGAGTTTCCGCTCACCTTATAACTGCTGATGATGAAGAAGGGAAAGAGCAGCGAGAAGATGGCGCCGTTCAAAAACATGCTCGAGGTGAACGAGCAGGCGATGGTGAGCGGCGTGCCGAATCCCAAAAAATAGGGCCAGTGGGATTCGATAATTTCGCGGCGGCGTAGAAATGTCAAATTGAAGCCGTCGAAGAAGTAGTCGAAGCTATAAAGAAGGTTTCCGAAGGTTCGAGAGACAGAGACGACTCACCAATACATGGAATTCAACAAAGCCATGTGAACGAACAGGAAGACGGGCCCGACGAGTGGGATCGGAAGGTACTGCGAGAGGATGCCCTGCACGAAGAAGAACTGCGCGTTGATCGCCGTGATCAACGTTTCCGCGATTATATTACTGCAAGGTCAATTTTTTTTTTCTCTGAACACAACAACAATCCGTACCTGAAATGCGGTACGTTCGTCGGCGGCGGCATGTTGATTGCGCGCATGCACGCGCCCGAAATGTCCGAGAACCAGAGGGCCTGGACGATGCGCGAGGCGCCGAAGATGGGCACGATCAGTGAGTGCCCGATGAAGACGCCCCAGTCTTTGCGCTCGAACAGGCCGAACACGAAGGCCAGCGAGACGATGAGAAACTGCCAGAGCACGAGCAGCGACAGGTTCAGCACGCAGATCATGCCGAATCTGAAAGCGGGAAAAGTTGGGGAGGATTTTCTGTGCTCGTCACAAAAGTGAATCGTGATATGTGCTATACACGGTCTCCAGAGCTGACAATGCCCGCCCAATAGAGCGATAGATTGGCGCGAAATTCAAATTTTAACAGCAAAATTTGTGTTTTTTGCCAGATTAGCCACGAAAAATCGATAATTTCTCATTTGTCTCTCGATAGACCGATTGTATAGGCTATTACGAATTTTTTAAGCGCAAGAGCGTCAAATTTGGTCAAGTCGCAAATCACATTTATCCGTTTGAAGGTTTTTCGCTAAAACTGCGTGAATTTCAGTCGCTTTTCGGTAGTTTTCGCGGTTCGAGCGCTCAAAATGCTTGTATTTACGTGATTTATCATTCTCAAAACCAATTCTGTCGGAAAACGGTCAAGAAAGCGCAAAATGAGAAGGCGAAAAAGCAAAGTCCGCCGAAAAATGCGCCAAAACTTCATTAATTCTGAGAATTAGTGTGTTTTCATGTTTTCATGTCGAACAATCATTTTTCATCGCCGTTGACCACAAAAATCCAAGAAAACCTGCTCAATTCATGAAAACGCCATTTGGCCGCCGAGGCCACGCCCATATTTTCAGTTCTGGAGACCGGAGACCAACCGTTTCAGTCAAAATGCAAATCGCTCACTTTTTGAGGGAGCTGGTCTTCTTCTTCGGCGGTTCGGGCGCCTTCCTGAAAATGCCCTGCTTCTCCCGCCGAATCTGCAGGACCGTCCTTTCGCGTGGCGCCGGCGGCTCCCACTTCACTTCCCTCGCCTCCTCCTCTCGAATGCGTTTTATGAACTGCAAAGAGGCATTTTGGTGTTTTTTGTTGTTGCAAAAACCTGAAATTACCGCTATTCCAGTCATCGAATCGATGACTCCGTGGCAAAAATCGGTGACTAGAATCCGTGCATTCACCATTTTTTTGTTGTGATTATCTGTTGAGAAAAACGAAGGTTACAACTGAGAATCGGATAAAATCCGTTCGAAAAATTACCTTTTCTTTAAAATACCACCGGAAAATATGGCCTTGTTGCACCGGAAAATATGGCCTTGTCGGTTTGAGTTTATACTGAAACATTGATTATTTGTTCGTGTTGAAGCATAACAAAAATCCGCAAAATTACGAAAATCAAAGGAGAAAATGCGAAAAAAAAGAGAAATTATATTGACGAAACACATGATTTGTGGGAGGTCTCCTGACCCGATCGCCGCTGCTGCCAATGGCATTTTCAAATAAGTGCGGTGGAGCGCGTTTCCATCGCGCACCGCCGCCCATGTAGAAGTGGATAATATTCGGAGGCGAGAAATGAGAGGACAACTAATTTATATCGGATGGAACAACATCTATCGGGGGGTATAAAACGACAAAACTTTTAGTTACACATAGAGAAAAATACAAAAAATGTTATAGAAATGAGGGAAAAACTTTTTTTTTTCCCGGAAATCCTGTCAATTTGTCTACTCGTACACGTCCTCTCGCTCGCAAATGTACTTGAACGCGTCGCGAATCGTCTGCAAACAAATTGTGCTTTTTCACGTTGGATTTCGGTGAAAAATACCTTGAACTTGTCAGAATCCTGGAGCGGAATCTCGAATCCGAACTCGTCCTCCAACGCCATCACGATTTCGACCTGGAAAACATTTTGTACAGTTTAGGCAGGAAATGTGAATTTTAGCGTGGGAAATCACTAATCCTCTAGGTTTTTCATTGTTTTTTTTTCGGCAGAAATGCTACTCAGCTCAATTTTGTTGTCGATTTTGACCGTTTTTACCTGATCCAACGAGTCGAATCCGAAATCTTTGCTCAAATCGGCGTCGAGCTTCAGAAGCGCCTCCTTGTCGGCCGGGAAGCGGTCCCACGAGCGCACAGCCTTCAGAACACGTTCTTCCACCTGAAAATCACGAAAATACTAGAGTAGTCACCCAAAAATTCCAGGAAAAACGGAATTTAACGATGTGCGCACCTGCTTGAAAGTGAGCTGCTTTGGCGGGTCGAAAGGTCCGAAAACTTCGATTTTGCTTCCCCTGAAACAAATTTAGCCGATTTTCAGATGAAATCCCTCGCCGAATACCTAGTCTGAATGTAATTGACGGACGGAGCCATCAGTTTGACCATCTGGGGCACAGACGAGGAGACAGCTCTCCGTTGAGCCACTGCCGAAGCAGTTCTGGCAACGACGCGGCCAACTTGGCGGCAGAACATTTCAACCCCACTGAAAAGCTAGTAATCCCAATGAGAAATCCTGTCGATTGCGGCCTCAAGTAATCTGAGGCGAGACCACGCTTTCTTTTCGAATGAGCAACACAAGAGAATTTTGATAACAACAATTTATCAACAGCAACAAATTTATTTGTGGGCTTTGCGCTGGGCGATGATGACTCCCTGGAGCTCCTCTCTCTTTCCCTTAGCACGACGGTGGGTTCCGATGCGTCTCTTCAGGAACTTCAGGGCACGCTTATCCTTGGAAATACGAAGCATTTCCAGAACGCGACGCTCGTACGGAGCGAATCCGGTGATCTCGCGAACGAGCTCACGGACGATCTGCAAAACGAGAGGAATAAGGAATTGTCGGACGGAAATCGAGGCGAATTATTTACCTTGGTCTTCTTGGAAGCGACTCCCTTGTGTCTGTTCTGACGCTGCTTGACTGGAAGCTTGGTAGCAGCATGTCCCTTGTTGAGGCCGAGGGCCAATCCTTCGACTCCTGGTCCGCTCATCCTGCAAAACAACCGAATACAAAAGTTGAAAGAAAACGCGCAAAAAACGATAAATGTGTTCGGCGACAATTTAAATCACATAATGTTCCAGAGAAAACATGTTCAACCGATCAAAACTTCCATAAATAGACACAAAAACGGACAACCTCGAAAAATCGATAATTTTAGACGAAATCAACGGATATCCGATGATTTTCAGTGGCAAATTCAATGAAAAATTTAATTTTCTCGAAAATTAGGTAAACATTCTGACGAAAATCGCAAAATTTCAACAAAAAAAGGCGAAAAAATCGGCGTCCTACGATCGGCGGTGGGGCGAAACAGTGAAAAGGAAAAGTCGTTGCGAGACCATTGGCTGCGTAGCGACTCAACACACGTAGTGTGATACGCAGCCAAATACTTTTCGGCACAAATGAATTTTTCAAAGTTTCTTTTTTCGGGTTTCGGCGCGATTTTCATGGAATGTTTTGAATTTTTTTATAAAGTAATGAATTTATCCAATTCTCCGTAATTTCGCACCCGAAGATCGATTATTTTATGTAAATTTGCCGTTAAAATACTTGTTATTCGTTTCTGTCCGTAAATCTGAATTTTTCATCGTAAATTTTTGAGATTTCAGTCTTGGATAATGGCTCCCGCTCGTAAGGGAAAGGCTAAGGAGGAACAGGCTGTCGTGTCCCTCGGACCGCAGGCCAAAGAAGGAGAGCTCATCTTCGGAGTTGCTCACATCTTCGCCTCGTTCAACGACACCTTCGTTCACATCACTGATATCTCTGGTAAGTTTTCATTGCCGTTTTTAGGATGCAATTATTCCAAAAATGTTTTGGAAACCAGAAAACAACGTTGTTTCCTTTCAGGACGTGAAACCATCGTTCGTGTCACCGGAGGAATGAAGGTCAAGGCTGATCGTGACGAGTCGTCGCCGTACGCTGCTATGCTCGCCGCTCAGGACGTTGCCGACCGTTGCAAGCAGGTAAATATTATTTTTGTCCGTCAAAATATTTATATTTCCTGTTTTCAGCTCGGAATCAACGCTCTCCACATCAAGCTCCGCGCTACTGGAGGAACCAGAACTAAGACCCCAGGACCAGGAGCCCAATCTGCTCTCCGTGCCCTTGCTCGCGCTGGAATGAAGATCGGCAGAATCGAGGACGTTACTCCAATTCCATCCGACTGCACCAGAAGAAAGGGAGGTCGCCGTGGACGTCGTCTCTAAGTTGTTATTTGTTATTCGAAAGAATACATTGTTCAATCAAGTTTGTGATGTTCACAAGAGTTTACATGAAATTAACAGAGCTTTGGGTTATTCTCCTTCCATCCGCGACGCCGGTCGAGTTCCAGATGCTGAATATGGCGTCGTCATAGTTTTTCGCTCCCGCATTTCCCGTCGCTTTCATCTCAATTGCCCCATTGACGCTTTCAGACGTTCTTGACTTTGTCCTCTTGTACAGGTACACGGCAGCGATTCCTATCGCGAAATTGTACGTGCCGATCATCTACAAACTGTTTTCATGTTTTCCAAGGAGAACTGGAACTCACCGTCGTTATAGCACCTCTTACTGCTTTCAGAAGTATGACATCGACGATAACGAGGTCTCCGAAGCTTCTGGCGAGCATTATCACGGCCACATAGGCTCCGAATAGGAAAACGTGGACAGAAACTACGGAAACTGCGAATTTAGTGGACAAATACACCTCTTCCAGTTGGTACTTGGAAGTCAATGTCAACGTGAAACGCTTCAACTGCGAATTTTTGCGAAGGAGCAGAAAACTGGATAGGAAATTGAGAATGTTCAGGAAGAAAATGACCCAGTAGTAGGTGAACATCTAAAGATTTAAATTTACTTTTAAAAAGTTGAAAAAAGTACTTTTCTGGCAATGTTTGTAGGGAAAAAGACGAAGGAAATCGAGTCGTCCGCATAAGTTTCGTCGCGAAAAATCGATACAATTATGAGCGAGTTTAGCAGAATCTAAACAAAATCTAGTGAAAAAAATGTTCCGAATTCAAAACTTTACATTAAAAACGACGAGAGCCGGTCCCAAAAACACCCCAATTTTCTCGTAATTTTCCGCATTTTTCGCCGCCAAACATCGTTCGAAAGTGATGGAAATCGGGAAGAACGTGGATAAAGTGAGCAAATAGCAAATGGCCGCATTTCCGAGTCTACAATATCCGCCCGGTATTATCAGTCCGCATTTTGAAGTGGTCGACAATATCGGGATTATCACTTGATACGCCTAAAAATTGGGAAATTTGAGGGAAACATGGGGAAAATTACGCCTAAACCGGTGAAAACCAAGGAGAAAATGAGTACGGAACCGAAATACGCGATTAGAATGCACTGAAAAGGCGCGCATTTTTATCCGAAAAAAGTTCCGAAACCTTCAAATTGCCATGAAAACTCGATTTGCTCAGTTTTGCGCCGATGAAATGGACCAACGGAAAAACGGATAATATCAAAATGACGAGTTGATAGTATTGAGAGGTACGGTAGATTGGATGGAAAGTCAGTTGATAGGCCTGAATGGGGGTTACTGTAGGATTAGGATTAGTGTAGTTACCGTAAGACAAACTTCTTCCGGAATTGCATCACTCATTTTCTTTCTTCTTGTTAGCAATAGAGATTTGTTAGCGAAACAAAGTCATAAATATTGTGGCTTTCCTCAGAATGCGATTTGTTTGGGCTCGTAAATTTGAAAGCGAAAAGAGCATTTTTTCCGTCTGTGCTAACCTTCCCGAATTTTCAGTGAGCACCACATTCGGATGGCCGGCGCTGGACTTTTGTGGCCCACTTGCAATGATCGGATCGGGACCAAACTCTGCAGGGCTGTTGCACTTGGATTGAGGGCCATTGGGTCCGAGTTTCAGCCCGATCGGATCGTCGGCTCCCGAGGTATGTGGGTCGTCTTCCGATCTTCAAGCTCCCAGACTAGAATCAGTTTGAACAGCGAGGCCCATAAATCTAGCGCTTGCTCTGTGATCTGCAGAGGAAAACCGAAAAGTTTGGCGTCCCGCTCGCATAGCGAATGACAATCCCAGATGTTATTATCACAAAAAATGCAATTCCAAGACTTTGACAACGCAATGAAACACGAGATGGCGACAACGCCGACAAATGAGCTCAACTGCATCGGCGCGTGTCGATTCGAGGAAGCATGTGCGTTCCTCATTTGGGATCCCGTCACAAAGTTCTGTCACATGATGAAGAAGAGTCGGTTTACGCAAGTGTTTCCGAAGGGCGACATGCATCTTCATATGCGGGTGAGCATAGAGTTTGAGTAGTGAATGCCCCACGACGGGATCTTCAGATTACGAACCAGAAGTGCTACTTTGAGATGGATGAGCTGCAGAAACAGTTGAACGCGGGAAACGATGTGAGCAACGAATACGGATTCTCCCGGTCGACTCATGTCGTTCCCGTCGGCGGCGGCTATGAGATTAAGTTCTGGTAGACTGACTGACTGACTCAATAAACACGTTATTTGATCGTAAATTGAACGCTAAACACTGCACTTTTCTCGATTCCTCCATTTCGACGACGATTTCGTTGCCGATCGAGTTTGCAGGCCATTTTCGAAGGCATCAAGAAAATCGATGAAAAATGGTGCCGCATCCGTGCTTGCTACGCGCTGAACCCTTGCCACTTCCTTGCCTTCCCACTTTTTCCCCTGTTGCAAGTGTCGCCAGTTGTCTCGTGAAAACTGATAAGACGCACGGAACCCCAGCATTTCAATGCGCAAGCGAGTCGTCAATGGGGCGCGCTCGGAGTTTCTTTTTTCAATTGAAAACCAGAATTCTTTCGTTTTTCTCTTAATAAACACTCAAATTTCGATCTTTGCGAACGGTAGGGCGATTGTGAATGAAACCTGAATGAAACCTGCTCGTTTTAAGCTCTCAAAAAGTGCGCGATGATTAGTTTAAGAAATTTATGCAATCGCATCGTCGAAACCCGTACAAAATTTGGGTTATTTTTGACGAAAAACATGTGAAAAATGGGGGGTTAAATTTTGAATTTCGCGCCAAAATGGTGAAGAACCGTGCAGGCCACGCCCCTTTCTACGTTTTTGGTCGCCGTGAAGCACATTTATTAACTATACATCATTCATGTGTAAGAGATCAATTAAGTAGTTTAACTTGAGTTGAACTCAAGCTAGACTATAGTAGTAGTACATTTCGACGATTCCGGAGAGGAGGGCGAGCAGGAAGATGACTCGAAGAGCAGAAGAAGAAGAAGGAGAAGGAGAAGAAGAAGTAGAAGAAGAAGGAGAAGAAGCCGGAGACGACGACGTTGTTGTAGCACTTTTCGTGAGCACACACAATCCACGCTCATTGTGTCGATCTGCCGGGCATGCGGATCCAGGCGCGCCTTTGAGCGTAACTCCTTCTCTGAAATGTGTTGTAGAGTGGAACATGAGGGAGGCTCGAAACATACGTGATGTCCAAAGCGACAGCGTATTCGTTGACGAGTTATTTATTGGAAGGGCGCGAACAGGGATAGTTGATCAACGCCAATCGGGAGGCGTCCGGAATTTTCATGAACTGGGACGAAGCATCGAGTTCTTGGAAGGCGAACATCACTTGGCAATGCGAATTGCTCCGATACGACTCCCAAGTGCATGGGTCATCGCCCTTGAGACTCTCAATGCACGTCTTCAAACTATTGTCGATCACCTCAACTCTACACATGCGTTATGATCGTTTCAACGTGCTCACCAGCTTGTTCATGTTCGAAATGCCTTTTCTCTCCGCCACACGTCCTCTGGATTCGTTTTCATAGTCAAGCCATACTTGCACATTGCGAACTTGGGAACGTGTGCCATTGAGCAGGAGAAGAAGAGCGGCGATGAAGGAAGTCTTCATGTTTGGATGCGTGCCGCTCGATTCGCTGTCGCTTTTCAAACTGATTCAGTTTGGATGACTTTCAAAGATCGATATGAACGATAAGAATCTTATGGAACAAAGTGTCACGTAGACCCCAAAAAACCGTGGTAAACCCTCGTTTCACCGCTCACAATTTAGACAGCAGTGTTGAGCGGAATTCCGTCTTCCGTCTTCCGTCTTCCGTCTTCCGGGATTTTTTCTTCTTACCATAAAAAACAGTAATAGCTGTTCAGAAGCCATTTACTAGCTCCGAAGAGCGCGAATTTCCACGGACAGTGATGCAAATCCAAAATTTTTGCTGTTTAGTTATTTTTTTCTGAAAAAAACCGGAGAAAAAGGTTCTGCATTGACGATTTTTTTTGTTCCGTCTTCCGTCTGCCGTTTTCCGTGTTCCGGATTTCAGAAATTCAATTGATTGAATTTCTGAATGAAACCTGCTCGTTTGAAGCTCTCAAAAAGTGCGCGCGATGATTAGTTTAACAAAGTTATGCAATCGCATCGTCGAAACCCGTACAAAATTTGGGCAATTTTTGACGAAAAACATGTGAAAAATGAGGGGTTAACGCCCCTTTCTACGTTTTTCGGCGCCGTGTGGCTTGTTGGCAATCGGCAGATCATGCTTCTGGAACACGACTCGAGAATCCATAAACTCACGGTCTCCCAGGGGGGGCGCTAATGCTAAACACAGTGCGCTCGTAAATTGCGGAGTGTCGTTGTAACTTTTTTAGAAAATTTGCTGGTCTAAAATTGCAGTTCTAATTCGAGTTTACAACCTTTATTTCTTTCTTTTTGTCCTGAAAAACGTCTAGAAAACAATATTTTACTGATTTGAAACCGTTTTTTACAGAATTTAGTGTTTTTCATGTTTTTAGTGTCTTTTTCGCATTTCGTCAAAACTTCAAACCTTTATATTTCAGCCCATTTTGCATTTTATGAGCCCAACGAACGATAAAAATGTTCGCTGAATCTTTCTTCACAAAATTCAGGTTCCGGCGGTTAGTTTTCTTGAGCAGTTTTCGAAAACTATTCGAAAAACATCAAAATCCAGGCGGAAACCTTCAAATCGAAATAACTCGGCTAATTCTCAACGATATGCGAGATTTCTGTTGCCAAAACGTTGCTAGTGCTCTAATTATTCGAATCCAGGTTCCAGGCTTACAAAAAATAGGTGTATTGTACAGAAAACATGGAAAGAACGCGCGGCCTCCCGTTGAAAATGAATTAATCGGCCGCCGCGTAAATCGACACAGCCCGCCTGTTGCAAGTGCGCCCCATTGAAATCATTCGCGCGCCGTGCGAGACCGTGAAACTTGTCCTTTCTCTCCGACGATTCAGTTTTCAGGGCCACGTGGATACTGATAACAATGAGCATGAACTTTGCTCCAGAAAGATAAGATCCTTATCGTGAATCGTGGCTCTAGAAGCGTCGGGACTCGAATCAGTTTGCAATCGAGCAACCATCCGAAGATGAAGACTTCCCTCATCGCCCTAACTCTCCTGCTCACCGGTATGCTCCGGTACGGATCTTCTCCTCCGAATCCTCCAATTTCCAGTGAGCTCCATCCTCGGCGCCATCGACTCGAGCCGCCAAAAGTGTACGGAAGACGTGAATAGAAGCAGGAAGATGAACGCTGTCGACTACAACATTGCCGACATGAACCAACTGAAATACGATGCGACTCTGGAACGTTGCATCCACCGCCGTCTCAGTGAAGACTCGTGCCCAGTCGGCACGAATGTTATTGGCTCCATCGAGACGGACACTCAAAAGTGTCTCTTCCTTCAGCACACCAAGAACAGCACGTTCTTTGGCGATTTTAACGGAATTAATGAACACGCGAGCACTGGAATCGCGTGTCTGAAGAGTCGTTGTGAGAAGACTGGAGAAGAGTACGTTTCGTACGCGTTGGATGATCAGTAAGCTTGAAATTTTGTCGTTTCTTTTCATTCCTTTGCATTTTTTCAGGGAATCGCACTACCAAAACGGACCGCCCGGCTCGAAATGCCCGAGTGGAAGACACGATGAAGATGGATTGTGTGCGGTGGACCAGTAGTGAATAAAGATTATGCTTGCCTGGTTGATCCGATTCTTTTTTGAACGCTTCGCCACGTTTTCACAGCATTTGAAGCGTCGAGTGTCAAATTTGAGCATCGTGGAAGCTTATGCCGCGTCCAAAGTCTCGGAAGACCCGCAAATCTCGCGGACTTTGCAGTCCAAAGTCGGCAGAAATTTGCGGGAAATCCGGGGTGCGCACAGCTGAACGAGTGTTACCGTACACCATAAAACTACGGTATTTTTTTTAAAAAAATTTATCCAAGAAATTTGAAAAATTTTCAAATATTGTCGAGAAATTTAAAATTTGTTCAAAAAAATACCGTTGAAAAATTTACCCAAGAAATTTGAAAAAAATTTCAAATATTCTCCAGAAATTTAAAAATTTTTTTTCAAAAATATCGTTGAAAAATTTCCCGAAGAAATGTGAAAAAAATTTCAAATATTGTCGAGAAATTTAAAAATTTTTTTCAAAAAAATATCGTTGAAAAATTTACCCAAGAAATTTGAAAAAAATTCAAATAATGTCGAGAAATTTAAAATTTTTTTCAAAAAAATATCGTTGAAAAATTTCCCGAAGAAATGTGAAAAAAATTTCAAATATTGTCGAGAAATTTAAAATTTGTTCAAAAAAATACCGTTGAAAAATTTACCCAAGAAATTTGAAAAAAATTTCAAATATTCGCGAGAAATTTAAATTTAAAAAAACCGTAGTTTTATGGTGTACGGTAACACTCTTTCAGCTGTGCGCACCCCGGATTCACCCGCAAATTTCTGCCGATTTTGGACAGCAAAATCCGCGAGATTTGCGCGTTTTCCGAGACTTTGGACGCGGCATTCGAGAACTAGTCGCAAACTTTGAAGGTCCTTGAGGTTCGCGTTAAGGTGGAGGGGGGGGGGGCAAAAACCGATGTGCAATGCGATCGGGAGAGGAAAATCGAAAAGTTTGACGTCCCGCTCCCATAGCGAATGGCCAGTATCACGTTGGGACAATCCCAGATGTTATTATCACAAAACTCTAGTATAAAAAGCAGTCATCCTTGTTCCGACTCATTGCAAACAATGAAGCTCGTTCTCCTGCCCATTCTTCTCGCCGCCTTCATCGCCTCCACCGCCGACGCCGATTGTGTCGTTCCGGTTCCGTCAAGAAACGTGGCGTTCAAAGAGTTCGGAATCGAACTCCAAAGCGGATGGGGTCTCAACCCGGTTTCGTTGGACTCGTGCGCCGTCGATTGCTATCTTCAAAAAGAGTGCGCCTTCATAATTCATGATCCGAAGACGCGAATCTGTCGGATAATGAAATTCACGACAACTCCACACGTGTATCCGGCCGGCGACATGAATCTTTGGCTTAGGGTGAGTAGGCATCGAAGAATCGACCAGGCGCCCGATTGAATGCATTTCACAGGCGAATTGTCAAATGGTCATGAAAGATCGTGCGAATATGATCAGAAAGCTCGAGGCGGGACAAGGCACGCACGTGTTTTATGGAAAATGGATGTCGTATCAAGTCAGCCGTGTCGCGGATGGCGTTGAAGTAAAGATCTGGTAGTGACCGAATAAACGCATCCATTCATTTTATATAACACACTTGACGGAACTCCAGCCTTCCCAATAAAAAATTCCATTGGCGGCGCAATTGACGTGCGCTAAACAAAGCGCGTAACGCGTAATTCCGGAGCATCGTTGTAGAGTTTCTCATTCATTTCAATTTTCACTTTTTTTTGCATTATCCCCATCTTTTCAGAACCAATCAGTGTCAAAACTTATGATAATGATTGGAAATGAATAAAAAATGAAATTTTAACAGCTTCGTCATCAATTTCGAAACGTTTTATGTGAAAATTACAGAATTTTTTTTGCTTTTGGAATCGAAAATTTGCCTCACTTATCTCAATTCTGTATATTTTTCGACGGTTGAGCGCTTAAAAGATGCGCAATAAACTGCTTGTTGACTGGAGACGGTTCGAATGCCAGTGTCCGAACTCGATTCGGCAAATAATCGTTAAAACTCTGTTTTTTTTCAGTAGTTTTCGACAAAATCCCTCAATTTGATCAATTCTCAACGAATCTGCTCCGTTTCGCGCTTAAATCGATGCTTTTAACTCACACAATCACCCCTACGGTTCGCAAAGAACAAAATTTGATTGCGCACGGCGCAGCACGAAAGATTACTGAACATTTTGAAATTCTGCACGATATTCTCGGTTTTTTCGGTGTTTTTGAACTTTGACGTGTGTCAAAGCTGAAAAAAATGTGTAAATAGTAATCCGCTCGAGGACGTAAATGTATTTGTGTTATTAGACTGGGAAAACACACAAAAAGCGATCGGAAACTGATCGTTTTTCGATTTTCGGCGAGAAAACGCTGAGAAGCGATGCGGAAATCCGATTTTGCAAGTTTAATAAAGTGTTTCGCAATGAAAACTGCAGAGAGATGAAGGAAAACACCGAAAAAGGCCGTAAAAAGCGGCTCCGGCACATTTCGAAACCAATTCAGTCACAAGTACTCAAAAATTCAAAAAATGACCGATAGCTACAAAATGATGACAGAGTGCTCGTGTGAAAAGTGAAAAATCGAAGAGTAATTTCGTTTTTTTTTTTTTTTATTTGGCTTGAAAAAACAAACTTTCGAAAATGTTTTGAGAAAAAAAGCACAGAGACGGCCCATGCAAAATGCAAAAATAACTGAGAAATGACTGAAATTCACAGAACGTGGGCAAAACACTAATTTAAGGGCTCACAGCCTCACAGGTGTCATTAACAATTCTGAAATTCTCTGTCTTTTACTCCATTTTTCTCATTTTCGAATGAAATTTCGGGTTTTCGGCAAAAAATCCAGAAATTTCCGGATTTGGCTCAGAGTTGAGCGGAAATGGAATTTTGAAATCCGGAATAAAATTTTTTTTTTTTTTCCCGGTTTTTTTTTTGAAAAAAATAACTAAACAACAAAAATTTTGGATTTGGGTACTGCCCCGTGGAAATTCGCGTTCTTCGGGGCTACTAAATGGCTTCTGAACAGCTATTACTGTTTTTTATGGTAAGAAGAAAAAATCCCGGAAGAGGGAAGACGGAATTGCGCTCAACACTGCTGTCTAAATTGTGAGCGGTGAAACGAGGGTTTACCACGGTTTGTTTTTTGGGGTCCACGTGACACTTTGTTCCATAAGATTCTTATCGTTCATATCGATCTTTGAAAGTCATCCAAACTGAATCAGTTTGAAAAGCGACAGCGAATCGAGCAGCACGCATCCAAACATGAAGACTTCCTTCATCGCCGCTCTTCTTCTCCTGCTCAATGGCACACGTTCCCAAGTTCGCAATGTGCAAGTATGGCTTGACTATGAAAACGAATCCAGAGGACGTGTGGCGGAGAGAAAAGGCATTTCGAACATGAACAAGCTGGTGAGCACGTTGAAACGATCATAACGCATGTGTAGAGTTCAGGTGATCGACAATAGTTTGAAGACGTGCATTGAGTCTCAAGGGCGATGACCCATGCACTTGGGAGTCGTATCGGAGCAATTCGCATTGCCAAGTGATGTTCGCCTTCCAAGAACTCGATGCTTCGTCCCAGTTCATGAAAATTCCGGACGCCTCCCGATTGGCGTTGATCAACTATCCCTGTTCGCGCCCTTCCAATAAAGAACTCGTCAACGAATACGCTGTCGCTTTGGACATCACGTATGTTTCGAGCCTCCCTCATGTTCCACTCTACAACACATTTCAGAGAAGGAGTTACGCTCAAAGGCGCGCCTGGATCCGCATGCCCGGCAGATCGACACAATGAGCGTGGATTGTGTGTGCTCATGAAAAGTGCTACAACAACGTCGTCGTCTCCCTCTTCTCCTTCTCCTTCTTCTTCTACTTCTTCTTCTCCTTCTCCTTCTTCTTCTTCTGCTCTCCGAGTCATTTTCCTGCTCGCCCTCCTCTCCGGAATCGTCGAAATGTACTACTACTATAGTCTAGCTTGAGTTCAACTCAAGTTAAACTACTTAATTGACCTCTTACACATGAATAATGAATAGTTATCCGGAATCACTATAACTGACAGTCCCAGGAACCAGTGTGCCTTACCGAAAGGGTTTCGGTAAATTTACCGGTAAAAATTTCAGTAAATTGTCGGTAAATTTTCGGTAAAACTTTTTTTTACCGAAAGAGTTTCGGTAAATGTTCGAAACAATTTACCGATAAATTTACCGGTAAATTTACCGAAACTATTTCGGTAAAAGTTTCGATAAATTTTATCGGAACTTTGAGGCGACTGTTCAGCGTGTTCGTGATGTTTGGGATGTTGTTCAGAATGTTCTAAATTGGTCACATCAGTCACTTCCCTTGTCAAAAAAAGAACGCCGGTGCCGCGCCTTTTCGGTATCGACGGCACCGCTCGGCGCCTCAATTTTTCTGTTTTCTTTTAACGAACAGTTTATTTTCGAATGAGGAATTTTGGGGACACATTAAATGCGAAACTCGTTGCATAGCAGTATAAAAAATTTGATTGAAAAAATTTTTTTTTTAAAAATTTGAAAAAATTATTTAACAAAAAAAAATCAAAATTGTTCTTTCGGTAATTGTCGAAAGGAACGATTTACCGGTAAATTTACCGAAGCTCTTTCGGTAAAAACGTTTTCACCGAAAATTTACCGAAAATTTACCGAAATTCACTTCTTTCGGTAAAAAAAAATTTCGGTAAGGCACACTGCCAGGAACACGGTTTTTAGGTCTTTTTACTGTTTCAGGTTCGCCCAAGCGGTCAAGGACACCATTTTTCACATGTTTTTCGTCAAAAATTACCCAAATTTTGTACGATTTCGGCGATTTAATTGCATAAATTTGTTAAACTAATCATCGCGCACTTTTTGAGAGCTTCAAACGAGCAGGTTTTATTCAGAAATTCAATCAATTGTATCGATTTTCCAGTCGTTTCTGAAAAAACGTCACGTGATCAATCTCTGTCCCATTTTTGGCGCCGCCCGTTTGATTGACGGACGGATTCAAGAGCCCGTCTGTTAATGGAACATTTCTTCCATTCTCGAGTAAGAGTAAATTGGAAAAGGCGGGGTCCCGAATGATCGATGATGGCGCGTGCGTGGCTCCGCTTTTCTAGATTCGAAATTGTCGAAATTGTCAAAGCGTCAGCCAAAAGCCTATTGAAAATGAGACTCTTCCTGCTCGTCTTCGCCGTTTGGCTCGTCATGGGTAAGTCTGTCTGAAAATGATCGTTGAATCTCGAATTTCTCAGTCAACGGTGCCTACGAAAAAACGCCGGAAGAGTGTGAGAGAAGCGCGAACGAGGACCGGCAAAAGTACGGACGGGAGCATGGCATCGAGATGACGCAAGTTGTAAGAGAGTAGCAGAGTTGAGCGGAAGAACTCAACGCAAGAATTTTTATCTTTTTTAGAAAATTTTTTCATGAAATGTGATCAACTGACGAAATGTAGAGCAAAGTGAACTGTGCTCATAGAAAAATAATTGTAAATTTAGCTGCTCATACAAAAAAGTTATTCGAGTTGTTCCGTGAAAATGTCCTTCTGTCTTCCGTCTCGAATAACTTTTTTGTATGAAAAGCTAAATTTACAATTATTTTTCTATGAGCACATTTCACTTTGCTCTACATTTCGTCAGTTGATCACATTTCATGAAAAAATTTCCAAAAAAAGATACAAATTCTTCCGTGTTCTCATTCAATTTTTCAGAAGTTCGACTTTGAACTCTTCGAGAAATACCGTCAAACGATCCCGCAATGCCCCCACAAAACAGACCTCGACTCGAGTTTTGTGGCGATGCCCCCCGCGGAAGAAGAAGAAGAAGAAGAAGAAAAAGAGAAAAAGTTTGCGGATTTCAGTCCGGGCTGTCCGCAAGCCACAAAAGTCGCTTGCATTTGGGGCCGATGCGACGGGGACCAGTTCCGCGACGATGGATGTCAGGGCGACACGCTCGTCGTCGTTTTTAGCGACTAATGCCTTGAACGTTGTCCGTGTTAATCTGTTAATAAAAACTTTACATTTTTAATTGAAAAAACAAATTAAAAAATTAAAAAATTTCATGTGGTCAGTGGAAGTGAGTATTGTCGCTTTTGCAGTCGTTCTAGAGGTCTGAAAATTCTTGAGCGTAATCTTGACATTTAGTACTTCATTTTTGTAGTTGACTCTTTTTTTCCAAAACCATTCGCTGGTATACTGTACCTCTTGCAAGTTGTGGGTTAGTGGAGCGCACATAAAATGCTCGCCTAACTTTGAAGCACTACAATAGTCCAGAGAACGATGGTACAAACAAATTGTCAACTACAAAAAAATAGTACTAATCAAGAGCTATACTTGTGTAGTTGACACTTTTTCTGTACAATCACTCCCCAAAATACTGTAGCTCTTGAAAGTTAGCAATGCCCTTTGCTTGAAATTAGTTTCAACTTCCAAGCGCTACAGTACTCTAAGCAGTGAGTGTACAACAAAATTGTCAACTACAAAAAGATAGCGCTGCTCTCGTTCTATATTTTTGTATTTGACACATTTTCGATATAACCAATTCTAAGACTACTGTAGCTCTTCAAAGCTTGACGTGGCCCTCGCCCAACTGATACCATTTGTCCCGTAAAGATAACATTTCGTATCCCCCCGTTCCCTATTTTTTTAAAACTCTCAAAATGCTCCAAACTCGTGTCATCCTCATCCTTCTTCTGCTCTCCGTCAGTTATTACGGTAAGCCGTGTTCTCGTGTTCAGCAAAATTTTTTTTCAAGTTCACACGGCCGCCTCGTCGCTCGGACGGAATCGGACGGCGTGTCTCGAGTACGTGAACGAATTGCGGCGGCAAGTGGCCGAGTGGTACGGTGTGGCCGATATGAACAGACTGGTGAGTGGTCCGCAACAGGGGTGTGCGGAAAATTTTTTTCGGAAAATTTCGGAAAATCGGTTTTTCCGAATTTTTTTTTTTCGGAAAATTTCGGAAAAATCGGAAAAATCGGAAAACTCACTTGTTCATTGGTTCAATAAAGTGTTTAAACAACGTTCTAATACAAAAAAATGCTTATTATGATTTGAAATCACTTGAGTGGGCGGAAGCCAAGCAATGGAATATTTTTTTGCAAAAAAATTAGCCGAGAGAAGCTCTCCGGGTCCAGTGTTTTCCGATTGTCAGTGAGAATGAGACGCGCGGTTGAAAAGAGTCGAAAGAAATTGCGTAAAATTTAAAAATCAAATTTAAAAAAAGACGCTCGCTGCTAGACCCTTCCAAAAATTTTGTGATGCGCCTTTAAAAAGCATACGGTGGTTTCGGACAAATTGACCTTGAATCCACACTAATTTTCCGAAAATTTTGCCGAAAATTTTCGGAAAATTTTCCGAAAATTTCTCGGAAAATCGGAAAATTTCGGAAAATCGAAATATTTTCCGCACACCCCTGGTCCGCAAACACCGCCACGACAAAGTGCACACTTTTGCAAGCTACAGTAATCCGTGTCAGGTGTACGACGAGGAGATGGAGATGGATTTCGGCAACGGTCTTCCGATGTGCCCCCAAAAAACGGATTTGGCGTCCGGCAAGCACTTTGTGATGGTCAAATACGAGCGCAACGAACGACGGCACATGCAATGGCTGACGATTCCGGCGCAGACAAAGTTGGCGTGCATTGAGGGCGAGTGCGGCGACAAACGGCATGTGACCGTACTCGTTTTGGACAAACCGTGAGTTGTGAACGCGTCTGGCGACGAAAATGACGGAGATTTGCAGAAAAAACACTGAAAAAGTGGTGGTCGGCACGAAATGCGCGTCTGGAGAGCACGCGAACGGACTGTGCATTGTGAAAGAGCCGAAACCGCGCGCCGCACGATCCTTCTTTTCGTCGTTTTGGCGTTGATCTTTTTTCGAATAAAAAATCTGTGCATTTTTTGTCATTTCCTGGAGTATTGTCGCCCTTTGAAGTTCGTTTAGAGCACTCAAAATGCTTGGCTAACTTCCAAGCGCTACAGTACTCCAGGGAGTGATTGTAGACAAAAGTTGTCAATAGCAAAAATATTATACATGTCTAGTACTATACTTTTGTAATTGATCACTTTTTTGTGAAACCAATTCCTGGGGTAGTGTAGCTCTTCAAAGTTAGCCGCGCATTTAACCTGCTTCAAATCAACCCTAACTTCAAAAAGAGCTACAGTACTCCAGGGAGTGGTGGTATCAAAAAGGCGTCAACTACAAAGTTACACTTCTTGACGCGGACAACACATTTGTAGTTGACATCTAATCTGTACAATCACTCCTCGGGGTACTGTAGCTCTTCTAATCTGGAACATTTATTTGCCACGTGATATTCAAATAATCATTATTCTAATCAGATTCGTATCAGTTTTTGTGCACAAATCTCTGTTATTGCAAAGTCCAAAGCAAGATGAACCGCTTGTTTCTCGTCTTTTTCTTCGTGCTCTCTGGTAGGCTATCATCTGTTCACTTTTTCGAAGCCACGCCTTGTCAGTGAGCCGCGGAGCAGTGGATCGCGAAAAGTGCGCAAAGGATGTGAACGATAGGCGTCGAGAAGTGGTCAAAAGCGGTAATATGCCGTCAAAAGTCAAAAAGAAAGAAATAAAGGTCGTAAACTCGAATTAGAACTGCATTTTTAGACCTGCAAATTTTCAAAAAAAGTTACAACGACACTCCGCAACTTACGAGCGCACTGTGTTTATCACGAAAATTTGCAATGTTTTCTCCCGTTAATGTCTTTTCTTTCGTCGGCTATCAACACACAAAAATATCGCAAAAGTGTGCTGGAATTTTGCGGAAATTTTCAGAAAACGCGTCGTCTCAGATTAGGCCACGCCCCTTTTCTACACTTTTTCGTCGCAGTTGACACGTACCGTTTTTCAGTGTTCCAGGAGGTTCAATTGAAAGAGGCGAACCTGGGACCAAGTGCTCGGAAGGTCGTGTCAATGAGGACGGATTGTGTGCGACGGCGGCGGCGGCATCGGATTCCAGCCGATTCGATCTTCTTCTTCTTCTTCTCGCCTTCGCTTCCCTCGTTTTGTGCTACTGAATAAAGTGATCAGCACTGGGACCGTTTACCATTTTGGAGCATTTTTAGTGCTCAAACGCCTTCAAATTCACTAAAATTCCATAGTTCTAGACAATTTTTTGGCAAATTTTCGCTTTTTCCGCTCTAAATTTGAGCGGAAAACTATTGTAGATCACACAATTTTTTTTTGATCTCTACGACATTACTCCACTTGGTCGGGTGGCAAACGGAACCGCACTGCTCAGTTCCACGTCAGTTCCATCTGCCCCCCCCCCATTATCGATTCGCTTTTTTCCGTCCGAGATTCCGTTTCTTCTCACTTTTCTCACTTTGACTATTGTAGACTTCCGAGAAAAAATGTCCTATTCGTCGCAATCCGACAGTCAATCGATAATTGAGATGAAGAAGGCGAGAGCGCAAGGCGAACGTGTACGCGTCAACAATGTACGCGTTTTTTTTTGAGGTAGACACCACAAACACTGTTCTTTTTTTTTGCAGTTCAATCAAAAGTTGGACGAGTTGAAGGACGAGGTGCCGTCGCTTCAGGGCGCTCTTGCAACGAAGGTATGTGCTGGTCGATGCACCATGTGGTTTTACATGGTGCATCGCACACGTTTTCCGGCTAAATCGACCGTTTTTTCGTGGAGAAAATGGAAAAAACGAGCTATTATAGATGGCAGGAAAACGTCCACATGGTGCATCTCGGCCAATGCACCATGTGAACTTGTTCCGGTTCCGATGCACCATAACAAGTGCCGATTTTGCAGCAAGAAACTGTGACCGAAGCGCTCGCGTACTTGCGTGATCTCAAACGGCAGCTGAACCTTCCGTTGGCCGAGGATCTGAGTCCGAAGGTGGCTCGCGAGCTTCCAGTCGTTCCGGGCCGTTATCCAACTACACCGTTTCCAACACACGGACCAGAGGGACCGGAGGAACCGGAAGAACCGGAAGAGGAAGTCGATGTGATGACCGTGGTCCCAATAGTCCACCCGCCGGTCTTCAGTTGTTGGATCCACACAAATATGGATTACATACGGAGGACGATGGCGCCGGAGGACTACCAAAGAGCGTCCGATCAGCTGGGAAGATCGTTGGCACCGAAGCGGCCGTGGTTCGAAGCCGGTCCCAGTGGACCACCGGCCAAGCAAGCGGTTCCACTGGTTGGCGGTCCGTTTTTGAATGCGGTCCGACTGGCCGAAGTCCACCAGAATGCGTACATGTTCCCGTTCACGATGCCCGCCGCCTACTCACTCAATTTCGGCACATTTTTGAATTTGGTCAATAGCGAGCGAAAGGAGGAGGAGGAGGAGAATTGCGAGAAGGAGGAAAAGAAGGAGGAATGAATTTGTTTGACAATATTTTTCAATTATTTGGTTTTCCTTTTTCGAATAAAGTATCGTTTTTGGAAAGAACATGGGAAACATGGAATTTAATCAACAAAAATCGTAGAAAACAAAAACGATAATTTCCATATGGAAACGTTCACTTTTTCTTCTTCTTTTTGGCCATCAGAAGGTCTCCGACGTCTTCTTCCTCCTCGATTTGGACGGGCGCCGCTCCGAGCGTCACCGTTTGCTCTTCTTCTTCGTCGTCGTCGTCGTCGTCCAATCCGTCCAGCAAATCGTCCACTTCTTCTTGTTCTCGCTTAAAAATCCGGAATTGTTTGGGGGAAAATTCCTTTTGGACTTTGGGACCACTTGCCATGATCCGATTGGGACCAACAGTTTGCCGGCTTCTTGGACTTGGATTGGAGTATATTGGGTCCAAGTTTCAGACCGATTGGATCACCTGGTCCCGAAATATGCCGATTTTAAAGACAGGTTATCTCGGGACCGGATAACTCGATCGATCTGGAACTTGGGCCCAATATACTTCAATCCATGTCCTAAAAGTCTACAAAGTTTGGTCCCGATCGGATCAGAACAATTCCGCGAACCTTCCGGCTGGAAATCGCCACGTTCTCCGTCGTTTTCTCGCTGACTTCCACGTGGCGAACACTGTTCTGAATGGTGGCGAGTTGCTCGGCGAACAGTGTCTCCTCGTCCACTTCTTTCTGCTTTACAGAGCCCGCACTGAGAGGGTTTTCCTAAAAAAAAAACCTCAAAATCTTCAATTTTTCCCACAAGATGCTCACATTGAGAATGACGCTCGGCTGATAGGCTCTCCGGCCGCCGTCCACTTCCATCGCCTCCGTTTTCACGTCCGGTGCACGAATTTGACGGGCGGCCGCTGTTCCGGCGGTCAGAATGAGGGCGGGCGTGGTGATGGCGAAGCCGTCCGGCCGTTTGAAGGCACTTCTGCAAGAAAATACGGGTTTCGGTGGTTTTTCACTGGGTTTTGCCTAAATTTCGTTAGTTCCGAGCGGAAAATGCTTTTATTGGCAAATTTTGACGTTTTTTCCCATTAAACTACACATTTGGGCTCACAAATGTGTAATCTCTCAGTGCAAAATCGTCATTTTTCGTTCTCAAAATGGGAGACACTAGAAATAGCTTAAAAACGGGCTCTTTCCGCTATTTTCCTTAATTTTCTCGAGTACCTCTCCCTCTGATCGTGTTTGATGACGTCGCTGACGACTGCGGTGAGTGCTTCCGCGCGGGCCATCGCCAACCGGACACACCGCTCGATTTGTTTCGTCGAAAGGACGAGATTGGTGCTCTGATGGAGGGCGCACACTTCTCTCCGTTTATTGCACGCCACGACGATCGAACCGTCCAGGCAAGAGGCCTCTTTTTCCGTCGGGTCGATCACCACCATTTGACTGCAAAGAGTTGCCAATGTTTTGGATCTGTTCAGTTCAGAACGCAATTGGAACCGGAATTTTAAAAAAAAATCTTGATTTCCAGCTCGTTTCTATGCTCACCCTTTGTCGAGAAGTCCGATTGTGGTGCAAATTGGCATGTGATAAATGTTGAGCGGCACTGGCGCTTTCTCGTATTCCGAGTACTGAAAAAAGACAACGTGATCTATAAATTCCGTCAAAGACAACGATGGGACGAACCACAAGAGTGTGATGCGGTTCCAGAGTGACATTGGGCCGTTTGAAGTGCTGAAGGGCGGTGATGGCTGCGAGACAGGCACAGTCGAGCAGGCTTCCGTCCTCGTCGAGCACCCGCACGTCCACGCGGATCTTCCAGATCTCCTTGCCCGCTCGGATGCACAGCGACTGAAGAAAACATTGAAAAAGTGTGAGAAAAGCGTCTTTCGACTGTTGATCGCTTCCATGAGCCTCTAGAGTGCTCCAAAATCTTCCCAAGACGTCAAAATCTTGGCCAAACGACCCGAGAAGCATAACAAAGATTCAGACCACTCAAATTTTGTTCCCGTGTCCCAGAATACCGACCTCAACGTCGATACACCTCGAATCGCGGATGATCAGCTCTAAAAGCCGAAGCAACTCCATTCCTTTGCTGCCGAGACGGTCGTGTTCGTTGGCTATAAAAAAAATTCGAAATTTCCTCTAAAATTCTACAAAATTCGGACCGTAATTGGCCATCGGGCTCAAATCCACGTCGATATTGATGGTTCCTTTGTGCGGACGCATCGCAGACGGCTCCGCGATCTGCGCGCTCACCGCCGCCATTACCCTGAAAGAATAGAGATTTACGTGTGGGTAAAAACAGTTAAATTTCGCAATTCTGTCGGAGAATTGACAAATTTCGCACTGTCCTCCATTTTTTTCCCCGAAATTCGCACAAACTTTGTGTTTCCGATAGTGCAAATGGCGGTGCCGATTTCAGCTCCAACGAGCAGCTTTACGTCACGAAACTCTTCCAAATTGCGGAAATCGAAGCGCTAAAATTGGGAGCAAATATCGAAAAATCGCCGGAATAACCAACTTTTCCAGTTTTGAGCGCCTCCAAAATGACCGCTTTTTCGCAAATCGTCAACGGTTGGACCCTCATTTGTCTGCAATTTGTTTTCCGAATTTTGTCTGGAAAAGTCATCGAATTCAGGTAAGCATCGTGAAAAAAACGGTGAAAAATCGCAGAATAAAAATAGGGGAAAATTCGACAAGCGGAAAATATTATTCAAGTTCGACAAATTGCAATTTTAGGGCAGAAAATTTCGGGAAAAATTGGGAAAAATCGAGATTTTTTTGTAGAACAAAGGAAAATAGGGAAATTTGCAACACTTTATTGGGTGTTCATGTTGGCCAGTTGGGCTTGCACTTTTGTCTGGAACGCTTCCGAAATGTAGGCGCGGGTTCGTCGTTTCTCTTTCAGAATGTTCTCGATCGTCTCCATCTGAAGAAAAATCGTTAAAAATTCTGTATTCCCTCTAGAAAGTTCCGTAAGCCCTTTTTCTTCGAGAAAATCAATATCCGGACGGACCTGCTTGCAGATATGGTCCTTCTTGCGGGTGAAAATGGCCTTGGCCTTCTCGCGGTCCAATTCCACAAAGTATCCGGTTCCGATTTCGACCAGATGCTTCGACGGATCCGAAAGCTCGGCGCGGATGTACAACTGCAACGATTTTCGGATTATTTTCACGAGAATTCGGGAAATTACCGATTCGGAGAGCGGAATTAGGGCGGTATGGCCGGCGGTGGCCACTCGGACCTCATCCAGAGCGGCGATGCTCTTCTCGTTGCGTGTCAAAAGACCCTGCAACGTTTTTTTTTTAAATTCAAAGAATATAGGTCAAAATTGAGGTTTTCCCTATTTTTTTCCAAAAAATCGAAACATTTCAATTTTTCTCGATTTTTTCTTGGATTTCTAGCTGAACTATCGATTATTCATGCTTTTTTCACAATTTACACGCTGATTCACCTTGAGAGCACCTGAAGATTCCTGGAAAAAGTTCAACTCGTGCTCGCAATTCTTCTGGAGCTCGCTGAGCTGCTGCACGCTGAGCTCTGTTAGCGGAACGCCTCTCTGCTCCTCTGCCATCCTGAAAATTGTCGACTTTATCAGGAAAATGCAAAAATTTGCGTTAAAAACAATGAAAATCGAGGGAAAACGGCGAAAAATAGGCGAGAATTTCTCGAATAATGGAGGTGGCCTAGAAAGTGCAAAGTGCGCGGCCACGGCCCTCGTTGGCGGTCACTTGAAAAAGGGCGGGAAAACGTGATTTTTTCCACGATTTTTGTTGAGAAAAGGTTGAAAATGTCAAGGCAAGCTAAAATTTTGCCAAATTTCAACAATTTTTTCAGATTGCAGAGAACAGCCGCCAACTTTGCCCAAAGTTTATAATTGTAAAAATGATGATAAAAGTTGCTGACAATTTGAAAGTTTGGCTGAAGAATAAAGTTTTGTTTATACAAATATTGTAGCCTTGAATTTTCTACTCGACACGCACCGCTTTCGGAAGTGGCGCACTGAAATATCAAGTGATCCAGAGAGCGCCAACTTCCAAGGACCATAGCAGCCGGGGGACTGGTTGTATAAAAAAGTGGTCAACTACAAAAATATTGTCCGTGTTCAGAAGTACATTTTTGTAATTGACCACATTTTTGTACACCCACACCCAAGGCTACTGTAGCGCTTGGAAGTTGGGGTCATCATCTATAGTACTGCATTTCACCACACAATCACAATTACCGATGCGGTTTCAAGTTGTTGATCCGTTTCGCATAGCCCAACATGTCAAGTACCCCTTTTTGGCTACCGTTGAGGACTAATCACCGGCTTTTTGTTTGTTTATCATTGAAACAACGGTTCGAATCTGGAGGCCCGGCGGACCGAACATTTCCGAACCCTACAATATCAGTTTAAAGTTCGTCCATCTTCAAAAATCATTGTTTTTTCTAAAAGCGTCCTAAATATTGTCTATTTATAGAAAACATCAATCAAGTTTGATGCGCAAGATGACGTTGATAGGGGGGAAATAAAAGAGACTTTTAAAGATCACAGGCTCCGCCCATTTTTTATCATTCACATGTGTTTCCATGTGATATTATATAAATCTGGCGTGAACGTGACATTCTTTAGACCTATAATAACTCATGCGATTCTGGAAATGTCAATTTTTCAATAAAGTTGATAGATCTTTGATTTTCGGGCTTTGACACCTTTGTTATTGATATTATCGATCAACAGAACAATGGACATGACCTTGTTTTCGATTTGAGACAGGTCTCTGGCTTGATATTGTACTTTTACGCAAACGTTGTAGTCGCAAAAGCAGCGGTACAATAGTGATACAGGTCGTCAACTTTGAACGGATATTGTACGATTCGGAGACGCCTTTTAGGTCTAGAAAATTTTTTGTGAAATCCTGACACCTAGTACTGTATTTTCGCAATTGACACTTTTTTCGTACGACCACTCGCTGGAGTACTGTGGCGCTTGGAAGTTGTCGCTGAAACATCCGGTGATCTAGAGGGTTCCAACTTCTAACGGCCACAGTTGCCTAGGGGTTGGTTTTACAAAAAACTTGTCAACTACAAAAATGTTGTCCGAATCTTGTACTACACTTTTGTTGTTGACAACTTATTTCTAGGATCAGTCCCTGGAGTACTATAGCGTTTGAAAGATGGAACTATCCAAATCGCTTCATTCGGGGGCTTTTAGGCCGTGTAAACTCTGCCGATGCACCATATCTTGCAAAATCTAGGCCACTAATAGCTGCTGCAAAACCTCTTTCTCCTCTTCTTCCACTTTTCCACATGGTGCATCGGCCAAAGTTTGGCGGCCACCGAGTCAAAAAGCATCATATTCCGTTTGTGATATTGTGAATCTACAAAACAGTTGTCCCCAAGTACACGTTTCGGGGGTGTCTCAGTAGTCGATACATTTCATTTCACACCTTTCACTTCTCATTCAGGTCAAGTTTTTCGCCTCTTTTGGCGACTATGCGAAAGGGAATCTCCCCGCTTCCTCTCTCTCTCTCTCTCTCTCTCTCTCTCTCTCTTCATCTTCTTCTTCTTCTTCTTCTTCTACAAAAGTGGGTGGAAAAGGAGACCGCCAGCGTCTTGTCTTCTCTCTTTACATAGCCTCCCCCCCTTCACATTCGGACATCAAGTGTCTCTTCTTCTTCTTCTTCTTCTTCTTCTTCTTCTTCTTCTTCTCTCTCTCTCTCTTTCTCTCTCTCTCTCTCCACTTTCCATTATCTTTCAATGTTATGTATTGTTATTAGCTAACTTTGTCGATTCATTCATTCGGTCGGGTGGTCGCTCCTAGTGGTTCGGCCTATTAGTCCTTCAACTTTGAACGAATATTGTCGAGTTCTGCGCAGTGGTATTGGTCCCAAAATTGTTTTGCAAAAACTTCAAGTCTAGTCGATCGTTTTTGTAGTTGATCGTTTTTCTCTACGGTCCCTTTGAAGAGTACTGTAGCGCTTGGAAGTGGGAACACGCAAAACGTCGATTTGCTTGTCTCCACTTCCCAGGACTACAGTACTCTTCGCAGTGGTCCTACAAAAAAAGTGTCAACTACAAAAATGCACTACTAGACGTCAACTTTTCACAAAAAAATTTCAGGAGCCACAGCACATCTTAGAAGCCTACAATACACGTTCAAAGTTTTGCGTTGTAAATCCAGCAAAAATGATGCAAAAACCCCCCATTTTTCACATTTTCTCCCTCAAATCTTTAGATTTGTAAATCCTTAGCTATTGTACGTTTCTATGTTCGCCATGAACCATGTACTTGAGACGTTCCCCCATAATTACACCCTGAGGCCTCCAATTTATGGTCTGTGACTGCCGTCTCATTATTTTCCAGTCCAATTCCACTCAATTATTGTTCCTGGCCATTTCTACATGGTGCATCGGCCGAACATTGCAATTTTTCAGCAAAATGCGGTCCCTACTGCTGCTCGCCGCGACGCTTTCCGTCAGTTTTGCGTATTCGTTGCGGGACCCGTCGAACGCGGCCGAAGAAGGACCGCCCGCCACGTCACCGGGCGTCCGGAAACGAAGAATGATGTCGGAGGAGGATCAGAAAGTTGTAGACTTTTATATGGACAAATTGAACAAGTTGGCCGACGATAAGCATCCGGAGGTACGTTCGACCAACTTTGAACGAGTATTGTAGAGTTCTGCGATGTCCGGGACGTCTAGAAATTTTTTTGTGAAAACTTGACGTCAGGTACTTGCTTTTTGTAGTTGACAACTTTTTGATACGACCAGTTTCTGGAGTACTGTAGCGCTCGGAAGTTGGCACTGACATTTGCACACCTCTGGCTATTGTCAACTTCCAAGCGCTACAGCACCCGAGGGAGTGATCGTACCAAAAATGTGTCAACTACAAAAATATAGCCCTTGTCTCGTACTTTATTTTTCCAGTTGACACTTTTGTTGTACACCCACTCGCTAGAGTACTGTGTACCGTTCAAAAGTTGACAATATCGAAAAACGCAAATTGATCCGTTTTCTTTCTCAAATCTCGATTGATTCGTTTGGTCATTTATTCCCCCCTTCTCTCATTTTTGATAAGGAGATGAAGAAGAAGAAGAAGAAGAAGAAGAAGAAGAAGAAGAAGAAGAAGAAGAAGACGGTCAGTCAGTGATTGGTAAAGATTTATCACCCACCAACATCTTCAATCTTTCTCGAGAAGAAGAAGAAGAAGAAGAAGTGAAAAACCTGTTTTCAAGAGAGAGAGAGAGAGAGAGAGAGAAACCGTGTCGAGATAATGACAATAAAAAGTGATCATATCATATCACCGTCTTCCTTCTCTCCAATCGATAAACGACGGGTTGATCTAGATCGGTCTGGTCGATGCACCATGTGACAGGGAACCGCACAGACTTTGAACACACACACACACACACAAAATGCACTAAAAAACCCTTGCTTTTTCAGGAAATCTCACGGGAAACGCCGTCGGAGCTGAAATCGTGGTTCCGCCAGAAGGATAGCGTTGTGAACCCGGAGGAACAGGGCAAATTCTTCCAGGGCGATATTGTGCTGTTCCCCGAGCAGGCAAAAGCCCTCTATGAGCAGGCGCTGGTGGAGGGGAGGTCGCGGGTGAAGAGAAAGTTTATAGGATCCAATTTGCGACGGTGGGACGCCTCGAAACCGATAGTTTACGCGTTCGACGGGAGTCATAGTGAGTTTTGACGGTGTTTTTTAGGTTTCAGAGTGGAGATATCAAAAAGTGGTCAACTGATGAAATGTTCAGCAAGATATTGTGCACATTTTCTCAGTTGACCGCTTTTTGATATCTCCACAAATAACTGAGATATACCGCTTTGAATGAACGGTATTGTGGTAGACGTTATATCTCGGCTGTCTTGAGAAATATCAAAAAGTGGTCAACTGAAAAAATGTGCCAAATATCTTGCTAAACATTTCACCAGTTGACAACTTTTCCGTAACTCCACTCACCGCCGAGATATCGCTCAAAAATTGCAGCGCAACGCGAACAACGAATAATCGAGCTCGCACTGGAGCACTGGCACAACATCACATGTCTGAATTTCGAGCGTAACGACCAGGCGAACTCCGGCAACCGGATAGTATTTACCGACGTGGACGGGTGCGCGTCGAACGTCGGAAGGCATCCGCTCGGCGAGGAACAGCTCGTCTCGCTGGCGCCCGAGTGCATCCGGCTCGGCGTGATCGCTCACGAGGTGGCGCACGCGCTCGGCTTCTGGCACGAGCAATCGCGGCCCGATCGGGACCAATTTGTGACGGTCCGCTGGGAGAACATCGACAAAGACTCGAAGGGACAGTTCTTGAAGGAGGACCCGGACGACGTGGACAACGCCGGAGTGCCGTACGATTACGGTAGCATTATGCACTACCGCTCGAAGGCCTTCTCGAAGTTTGACGATTTGTACACGATCAGCACGTTCGTCACCGACTATCAGAAGACTATCGGTTCGTTTCGCTTGTTCACCGACTTTTTTTTTAAAATATACACAGTTTCAGGCCAACGCGATCAGCTCTCGTTCAACGACATCCGACTCATGAACAAGATCTACTGTTCGTCGGTGTGTGCGGCGCCGCTTCCGTGCCAACGCGGCGGCTACACGGATCCGCGACGATGCGATCGATGCCGATGTCCCGACGGATTCACCGGACAATTTTGCGAGCAGGTCATGCCCGGCTACGGTAGCACTTGCGGCGGCAGACTTCAGTTGAGCCGCTCGACGACACGTCTCTCGTCGCCCGGCTATCCGCGCGAGTTCAAGGAAGGTAGGGACGATGATGTCACGGCGCGCCAAAAAAGTGTAGAAAGGGGCGTGGCCTAAAACGAAAAATTGCCGCAAAATTCCAGCACACTTTTCCGATATTTTTGTGTGTTTGATAGCCGACGAAAGAAGCGACATTAACGGGAGAAAACATTGAAATTTTCGAAAAAAAAGATTTTTTTTCCGTTTTTTTTTCGTTTTTTTACGTCAAAAAACCCAATTGAGCGGTGTAAAAAAACGTTTAAAAAAACGGAAAACAAACATACGCTGAGTAGCCCCATAAGCACGTTAATACAAGTATTTTAAGCGTTCAAACGGCTGCAAAAAGTATCGGCAAATGACTGAAATTCGCGCATTTTCAGCACAAAACTTGAAAATCGATAGAATTGATCGAATTTCTGAATGAAACCTGCTCGTTTTAAGCTCTCAAAAAGTGCGCAATAATTAGTTTAACAAATTTATGCAATTAAATCGCCGAAACCCGTACAAAATTCGGGTAATTTTTGACGAAAAACATGAAAAATGGGCGCGCAAGTGCGCCCCGCCCAATAGAGCGATAGATTGGCGCGAAATTCAAATTTTAACAGCAAAATTTGTGTTTTTTGCCAGATTAGCCACGAAAAACCGATAATTTCTCGTTTGTCTCTCGAAAGACCGATTGTATAGGCTATTACGAATTTTTTAAGCGAAAGAGCGTTAAATTTGGTCAAGTCGCAAATCACATTTATCCGTTTGAAGGTTTTTTGCTAAAACTGCGTGAATTTCAGTTGCTTTTCGGTAATTTTCGCGGTTCGAGCGCTCAAAATGATTGTATTTACGTGATTTTTCATTCTCAAAACCGATTCTGTCTGAAAACGGTCAAGAAAGCGCAAATGAGAAGTGCGGCTATCGGCGGCGGCGGCGAAAAAGCAAAGTCCGCGAAAAATGCGCCAAAACGTCATTAATTCGGAGAATTAGTGTGTTTTCATGTTTTCATGTCGAACAATCATTTTTCATCGCTGTTGACCACAAAAATCCGAGAAATTTCGAATTTCGCGCCAAAATGGTGACAAAACCACGCTCCTTTCTACGTTTTTCGGCGCCGTTCGATGAAACTTTTTTTCGCAAACTTTTTCGGTAAACCAAATTTCAGGCCAAGAATGCTCGTGGCTCCTCGTCGCTCCGCCCGGACACATTGTCGAGTTCCAGTTTATCGGCGAGTTTGAAATGTACTGTAAAGTGCGGCATTCGCTGTGCATGGACTACGTGGAGGTGCGCAATTCGACGGATTTCGCAAATACCGGAATGCGGTGAGTTCCCGAACTTTGACAGACGTCTAGTACGCTATTTTTGTACATAGTTGATGACTTTTTTTTTCTAGCACCACTTTGAAGGACTTTTGGCCCATTTTCAGTGATCCGATCGGACCCAAACTTTACAGAATTGTTGCACATGGGTTGAGGGCCATTGGGTCCGAGTTTCAGCCCGATCGGATCATCTGGTCCCGAGAGCTCGGGCTTTTTGGAAGCAATCGGTCAATGATCCACATATCTCGGCAGCCGACGATCCAATCGGGCTGAAACTTGGTCCCAATGGCCCTCAATCCAAGTGCAACAATTCTGCAAAGTTTAGGCTCACAATAAAAAAAAATAATAATTAAAAAAAAAAAAACTTCTATTGCAGATACTGCTGCTACGGAACTCCGCCGACACGGATCCGCTCGGCGACCACCGATATGGTCGTCCTGTTCCGCAGTTTCTACCGCGGCGGAAAGGGCTTCGAGGCGCGCGCGCGGGCGGTCCCCGAGGCGGGTAACTGGAATGCGTGGAGCCCGTGGACGGCGTGTTCGGCGACGTGCGGAGCGTGCGGATCGCGCATGAGAACTCGCGTCTGCCCGCCCGGAAATGCATGCCCGTATGTTTTTTTCCGCCCCACCAACGCTAACCCGTTTTCCTCAATTTTGCCCCCATCTTTACCCCTAACAAAAAAACGCTCGAAATGTTTCAGCGGCGAGCCGGTGGAGACGCAGGTGTGCAACACGCAGGCATGTACGGGAATGTGCGCCCAGAAGCGCGAGGAGGAGGGACAATGTGGCGGTTTCCTTTCTTTGTTGCGCGGCGTCCGTTGTAGACAGTGAGTTTTTTTGGGCGCGCCAAAATGTTCCACATTTTCACACATTTTTCAGAGAAAAGACAGTGATGGCGCCGTGTGAGAACGCGTGCTGTCCCGGATTCACCGTGCAACGTGGCAAATGTGTGCGGTGATTGATGACACAATACATTTCCCCCTGTAACCAACCGAACTCTTACTGATGCTACGGGCCCCTTTTTCTCTTTTTTTTTGTTGTAATTCCAAAAAATGTTCTAATCTAATTTTCTCTTCGAGTCTGTTTGTGTGGTATGATTGAACGAGTTTGACCATGTTTTTGAGAGATAATAAATATTTGTTCTTTGTTTGGTCAGAAGACGATAGAGATCATAAAACTGCGTGGCAACTGGTTCGAACAAGGTTTTTTGATGAAGGAAATTGGCGACGTTTTGATTCGTAGGGACCGAAACTGGAAAATTTGATTGTTTTCGCTGTAATTTTTTATTCTCCATGTGTAAAATCGATAATTTTCTTTCCATTTTTAACATTTTTCTGAGAAATTTCAGCATTTCCCCGTCGAAATCGTCACTTTTCCGGCGAAATGATTCTGAAAAGTCGTGCGTATTTGCTGCCGACGGACACACGCGAAACGAGTGACACCGTAGTCTGCGGCGGGTCTCGCCGCGAAAAACGTTGAATACTCAGTCAACAAGCCCTAATCGGCGACTTTTTCGTGCTTTTTAATTCTTTTTTTGAATTTTTCAACGGTTTCGAGACGATTTTGCACGAGGTTCTCATTAAATTTAATTGAAAAATGCCAATGTATCGATTTTTGATGTGAAAATACCACTTTGACCCGGAATTTTCGTCAAAAAAATGAGTTTCTTCGTGATTCGGTAATTTGGGATTTTCCGTTTATTTATTTGAAACTCTGACGAAAGTTTGTGTCTTCTTGATTTTTGAGCCGTCTATTTTCTTTGTCTTGTTATATGATCGACATTTCTTCAATGTTTTAGCGTTTCAGGGTATAACAATGGTTGGAAAGAGAAACCTCCCAGTCATCAGCAGAAACTTCGACCTCTCCCCAGGAGTGCTCCGCTTCTCTGCTACCCGACTTCGCCTGAAGAAGGGACAGAAGAAGCCGAAGTTCACCAACTCCACCGTACGTATTTATTTAAAACGAAATCAATGTTAATACGAGGTCCAGAGTCACCTCTTCGGCATTCAATGCTGATTGGGTGCTAGGATTGCTCGAAAATGAAATTGGTCGTATTATGCAAGTAGGGCTTGCTTCTGCGCTCCCCTCCTTCACCTCATTCCCAGACATTTCAGTTTATGATAGAAATTGAAGAAAAATGAAAAGGTTTTGGTGTTTCTAACAATTTCCTATTTGCAGAGCGCCAAGCTTCCGCGCCTCCAAAGAGACGGAACTAAGTTCGCTCTCGGACACTCCAAGACCGTCTCCCTCCGCAAGTCCCTTACCCCAGGAACCGTCTTGATCGTTCTTGCTGGACGTCATAAGGGAAAGCGCGTCGTTTTCCTGAAGCAGCTCCCGAAGTCCGGACTTCTTCTCGTTACCGGTTAGTATTCTTGACGATCAACAAATGGCATCGAAAAGGGACGGGTTTTCCAGCTGGATTGTTCCGTATAATTTTGGTGCGAAAGCGTAGAGAGTCGCAGTGTTACTCTTCTTTACATTTCCTGTATCTGGAGAGTGTCAAGCGGTTCCCACATTCAAATTCATGAAATTCTTCTGCTTTTTAAACATTTTATATTCATAGTTTGACTAATCCCTTTTTTCCAGGACCACACAAGATCAACGGATTCCCACTCCGCAGAATCGGACAGTCGTTCGTCATCGCCACCTCCCTCAAGGTTGACGTTTCCGGAGTCAAGATCCCAGAGCACATCAACGACGAGTACTTCAAGAGAAAGTCGACGTCCTCCAAGACCGGAAGGGACATCTTCGCCGCTGGCAAGACCGAGTACACCGTACGTTTTCGTTCCCGATTTTCAGTTGCATCAGAAAGGGACGGGGTTTCCGGCTGGATTGATCCGTATAATTTTGGTGCGAAATAGTAGAGAGGTGCAGTGTTACTCTTCATCACGTCTTCTGTGAACGGAGAGTGTCAAGCGCTTCCCACATTTGAATATTCACTGAGAAAAACTTATCAGAATATTTTGTTTTGCAGGTTTCTGAGCAGAGAAAGAAGGACATCAAGACCGTCGACGCCCCGATCCTCGCTGCCATCAAGAAGCACCCAGAGCACAAGTTCCTCTTCGGATACCTCGGAACGAGATTCTCGCTTGGAAAGAACCAGTACCCGCACAAGATGCAGTTCTAAATGTATTTTGTTACTGAATAAATTGTTGACATTTGTTCGTTAACCCGACTGTTGTCATCTTTCTTTTTTACCTCTGCCGACCTCGTCAGTCAGATTCTGAATAAACGTGGGACGTGTTAGCGAGTAGTGCTCAATTTTCTGTGTGTGCACGTGTTCACTTCATGCATCCAATTCCTCTTTCGCTTCTCCTATTTCTCGGCGAGAGCGCAGACTCGAAAAGGCTTTTTTCTCTCGCGTGACTCGCCTCCCACTTTTCCAAGAGATTTAGAGAAAAAAACCAGGAAATCGCTCGATTAGCTCGCAATCACTCGCGAAAACTCGCTAGCGCGTCCTTCCAGAACTTCCAAATTTTGTCAGTTTCGCACTGCAAAGTGCGCTCCACCTATAATTGTCCGTGGAGCGCACTTTACACGGCGAAAAATCGAAAAAAAAAGAAACAGATGTTCGGCGGCATCCGCGACCGGCTCTTCCGTTTTCAAAAACACAACCGGAGCCAGCGCAACGAATTTTTCGGGTCTCATCCACTCGGACCAGGTGCGCGCTTGGATCTCATTTTTTGAATTCTCTGATTTGTCCCCATTTTTCCCTTATCTTTGAAAAGCGACAAATATTTGTCCGCTCCCCTAACACGTGTTCGTTCAAACACAGAAAAAGGGGGAAAACATGTGGCACGGGGTCAATTTTTTGATGTTTCTTTGGCCTAAAATTCCATTTTTAAAAGTGTCTAACCAGAGAAAATGTGTCGATTTTCGGCTCATGATTTTTGCGCATTTCCGTCTCTTTTCCACCTTCCACTCGTCCGGATAATCCATTGCGGGCCGCCCGAATAAGTCATGCGTCTCTGCCTCTTCCCCGCCACTTTTTGAATTACTGCAAAAGTCCACGCCTAAAAATCCTTCGTATTTTTTTCCAAGTCCATTTTCCATTCCTCTACAAAGTATTTCCAATGATTTTTCGTCCCCATCATCATCAATCTGTCCGTCCTTTTTGCCCCCTGCATCATCGAATCGGCGACGTCGCAACTTGTGTCTTCGACAGAACATAATCGCAAAAAATGTGACAATGGCAGTCTTCTCTCTTTTCGATTTGATATCAATCGATTTTCAAATCGAATTTTCATCTGGATTCAACGTTGTATAGTTTGAGTTTGAAGAGCCACGTTCCTTATCAATTTTGACCTTTTTGGCGATAAAAAGTAAAAAGTTTGAAGGAAGGCACGTTTGATTTTGTGCACTTTGTTCCTATTTTTGAATTGATGGGGAACTCGAAGATTTTCATCAGAATTCGCATTTTTCTCACGTTTCGCACGTGAATGCCGAGATTTAAGAGCATTGAGCCGCCGGTTTCCTTGACAACCTCAAGAATTGGCTTAGAAATCGGGGTTTGAGCGTTTTTAAGCTTCAAATGAGGGGATTTTGTGTAAAGTCGCTTGATATTCGAATTTTACGATTTCCCACACGTTCTAGGTGATTTTATGACGAAAAGTCCGAGTTTTCCATTGATTCCCATCTCATCATTCATCAAAAAGTGCAATCGGGCTGTGTTTCTTGTTTTGATCTTCAATTCAATTTTTGACCTCCCGATTTGCCGGTCAAACACTTTTTTCGCTCATTTTCTCCTCTCCGCCTCCATTTTCGTTTGTGTTTTTCTGAATGAACATTTTTTGTTCGAAAAATCGTGTCGACTCGAAATGAAAGCAAAAATTATACGTTTTTTGAATCTCAATCTGTTAACTGTACGAAAATATCGCAAAACGTGGCAATAATGGAATTTTCTTTTCCTGGATCTGCACTCAAAATGCTTATAAAAGTATTTATTCCTTGGATTCCGGTTTCACGACACAATTCCGCCTTTTCCAATCCAATCAGTTACAGTTTTCATCCCTTTATTACACTTTTTGCAAAAAATCTGATTCCCGGTGAGAAAATCGAGCAGCTTGGTCTGGAAATCTCCCCTTTTCTCCTCCTCCTCAATCATATTCCCCGCCCACACAATTTCCCCTCCTCCTCCTGCTCTTTTCTTCAATTCTTCATTTCTTGCATCCGACCAGGACCGTCGTCAGTTTCCGAGATTTTGGTGTGTCCCGCATTCTCCTCAGTGTAAATCTCTCTGAAAATCTCAATCATTCTCCGCCCACTCATTTCCTTTCCGGACCGTCGTCAGTTTCAGAAGATCCGCTCGAGCATCGTCCGTCGGGTCGATCCGCAGTCATCCGAACAACGGAGTCGCCCACCGTCTCGACGAGCTCCTCTTCTCACTCGGAGGTGACGAAACCGCCGCCGCCGCCACGTGGCAACAACACAACTAATACTACACCCAAAACCCCGAAAAACGCAGTTGGTAAGAGCGGAAAAAGTGAATTTTACAATGAAAATTCCCTATATTTCAGCGATTTTCTTTGAGAAATTCGCAGCGCTGGGCAAATTTTGGCCCCGTCTTTTTTGAAGACTTTTGACCCACCTGCAATGATCTGGTCGGGTCCAGACTTTGCAGACTTCTTGAACTTGGATTGAAGTATATTGGGTCCGAGTTTCAGAACGGTCGAATCATCTGGTCCCGAGATAAACTGGCTTTGAAATCGGTATATCTCGGGACCAGATGATCCGATAGGTCTGAAACTTCGACTCAAAATACTTCAATCCGAGTCCAAGATGTCTGCAAAGTCTGGACCCGACTAGATAATTGCAAGTGGGTCAAAAGCCCAGGCCAATTTGTAAGTACAAGGTAGACCTGGCCTTATCGGGCGGGCGCCCGACAATTTCGTCTGTTTCTCTCGGTTTTGCAACAAAGACGAGTGAATTTGATAAGAAATTGGCCGATTATTCGTCGCAGTCTACCCATTTTTCATCTAAATGTTGCCAATTTTCTTGTCAGAAATTGCGATTCTTCCATTGATTTTCGCCAAAAACATGTCCTTTGAAGTCGAGCCGTACTCTCGCTGTCAAACTGATAATTTTGAAACTACAGGGTGGTCCACCGTTACCCGTACAAAAGTTTTACGCGGCGCGCGAAGGTACTGACGCAATTCTGGTGTGGCCCTAATTCAACATTTTGTATATTATCATGTTTTTAACTATTCGGCCAAGTCTCAGACCAAACGGATTTGTTTCAGCCAAATAGCACCGATTAGACTGCACCCCGCCCCCATCATACGCTTGTTCACTGGAGGGGTGAGCAGACAAACGATCATGAAACGGCTCGGTATCCCAAGCAAAACCGTTTATGATACAATCTAACTTTTCTCCAGTCTAAACCCACTCTAGAGCAATACCAGAAACAAAAAAGGAATCACCATGATCTCTCCTCAGACGGTCACAGCTACCAGAGAGCGGATCAAGAGAAATCCGTATCCAAGCACGAGAATGATAGCACATGATATGGAAATGAGTCCGATATCAATGTAAATCAATCTAAAATGCAAGCTCAGTTTGATACCGAAATATGTGAACAGAAGCCGTTATCATCTCAACTGCCAAAAAGTTGAAACGGATTCAAATGTCGAAACTCCAGTTGAGTGGCACGCGCGATGGCGACCATTTGAAGATGGCCTTTTCAGACGAGTGACTGTTCCCGGCGAAGGCAGATTTGAATTCTCAAAATGGTCAGAGGCTTGCTGGGACGTCACTGGACGCGTATGAAAACGGCAGGGCCATAATCTGGACCGTGCCATGATTTCTTGTCCCATCAGCTGAACATGCCAATCTCAACGCGTTTTCATCGATCATGATGACAAAATCAGAAAAGTACGTTATGTTGATGAGACGTCAACAAAGAAACGTTTTCTTCGGTCTCACAAACACTTCGGAGAACAACATTGGGTGTTCTAGGAGGATAATACGCCTGCTCACACTGCCAAAATCATTCAGCAGTGGTTCCAGGCCAATTTGGCAGCGTTCATCAAGAAGGAAAAATGGTCCGATTTCTCGCCGGACCATTTTTTGTTGGACTATTCGTTGTTGGGGTCTTACAGGCCAATATAAAGGCTAAACCCCAGACAAGTAGGGGAGTGATAAAAAAATTCCTTGCCAGGTAGGGGCTCAATCTGTCCACGGACTTCCCGCGTGCCGCGGCAAACTGTTACTTCGGAAGTCTTCGGGCTGTCATTGTTAGGAAAGGAGGTCGGGTGCAACACTATTAGCTTATAAATATTGTCAAACATCTTAGTAAACGTTTTGTTAAGTCTCATGCCTTTCTGACTTCTAGTTTTGGAATTACCCAACTTTTATTTTGTACGGGTAACGGTGGACCACCCTGTAGTTATCAGTTTTGACCGCCTCTGGCTCCGCCCACTTTTTATGATCCCTTACGGAGAGCAGAGCCTCGTCGTTGATTGTTTTCTGAGCTGAAATTGAGTGTTATTCAAATTCTATAGCTGAAAGAGTACGAAAAAATGGCCGGTGGTCACCTTAGACTCATGAGAAGTACGTTTTTAGCATAGAACAACAAAAAAAATGCATTTTTTAGCGATTTTTTCCACACATTTCTTTGTAAATTTCAGACAAGAGTGTGGAGCAATCATCGGTTCTGCACAAAGAGCACAATCACCTGCCCACTCCGCCCCGCTCGTTTTTCTCCTCATCCTCGTTGGCCGTCCATCCGAACACCACCGAAGCGGTCGCGAACAGCTCGTCCGAAGAGGAACTCAGAATGCCGAACATTAAGGTTGGAAAGCGAGGGGTTTCGGAACGGTTTTGTGTGAAATGCAGAGAATTTACGCGCGAAACAACAGACAAAACGCGAAACTTTTCTGCCTTTTCTTTTTCTGGAGGCAATTTCGAAAATGAACGACTTTTTGTTTTCCTCTGGGAACCGAAAAGTCCTTGCCTTTTTTGCCCTCCAAAAAAAGGGAAATGGAGAAAAATGAGAAAAAGAGGGAACGGGCGGCCACCCGAAAACGGAATGAAGCTATCTCTTTCTCTCGTTCTCTCTCCTGCTCTCTTTTTGTCTTTTCCTCCCATTCGAAGCCCATTCCGCCTCGCCTGTTTTTGGGTCGCTCCGACCGATTTCGCCGTTTTTCCTCGTTGGCTCGCACAAAAATTCGACACACCTGGATCGAGTGAAGAATGGGCCAAATTACGGTGAGAAATGTGTTTGCGATTTTTTGGATGCGAAGCTTTACACAAAACTGGCAATTTGAAAGCGTATTTCGCAATTTTCGATTGGAATTCTCTGAGCGCTCTAATTTTGGAGTGAATTCATTGAAAATTGATCTTCAGTAGCCACACCCCTTTTTCCATTCATTGGATTCTTTTCAGGTTTTCTCCGGCTCATCGCACCCGGATCTGACGACGCGGATCTGCGAACGCCTGCAACTGGAGGTGTCGAAGGCGTCGCTGAAGAAGTTCAGCAACAAGGAGACGAACGTGGAGATTGGCGAGTCGGTGCGCGGCGAGGACGTCTACATCATCCAGTCGGCCGCCGGCGAGATCAACGACAACTTGATGGAGCTGCTGATCATGATCAACGCGTGCAAGATCGCCTCGTCGTGTCGCGTCGCCGCCGTTATTCCGGCGTTTCCGTACGCGCGGCAGGACAAGAAGGACAAGTCGCGCGCGCCGATCTCCGCGAAACTCGTCGCCAACATGCTCTCCGTCGCCGGCGCCGATCACATCATCACGATGGACCTCCACGCGTCGCAGATTCAGGGCTTCTTCGACATTCCCGTCGACAATCTCTACGCGGAGCCCGCCATTCTCAAGTACATTAAGGAGTCGATTCCCAACTGGCAATCGTCGGTTATTGTGTCGCCCGACGCTGGCGGTGCCAAGAGGTTCGCATATTTTGGAGTTTTCTGCGGTTGTAGTCTTGGAATCTCCCAAATTTCCATTAGAATTGATTGCAAAACACGTAAAATGTGTTTTGCAATCAATTCGGCCGCGGCAGCAACCTCTTTCAATTCGGCACTGAATTCACGTGGAGAGCGGTAGAGCGTGATTGCCAGACATCTGCGGCTGGAATATATATAAATATATATGTTTTTGTGCAGAGTGACGTCGATCGCCGACCGTCTCAACGTCGACTTTGCGCTGATCCACAAGGAGCGCAAGCGGGCGAACGAGGTCGAGAAAATGACGTTGGTCGGATCGGTGGAGGGAAAAGTGGCGATTCTCGTGGACGACATGGCCGACACGTGCGGAACCATTTGCATGGCCGCCGACAAGTAAGAACGCGGGGGGTTACGGAAAGAGCGCAACGAAAGAATTGTAGACTGGTCGAGGCGGGCGCGGAGAAAGTGTACGCGTTCTGCGTGCACGGCATCTTCTCGGGACCGGCGCTCACTCGTCTCAACGCCTCGAAATTCGAGGCGGTCGTCGTGACGAACACGATTCCGCAGGACGAGAACATGAAGAAGTGCCCCAAGATTCAGGTACTGGCAAATTTTGAGTTTTTAAAGCGATTCTCCACGAATGTGTCTCAATTTTCAGTGTATCGACATCTCGATGATTCTGGCGGAGGCGATTCGTCGTACGCACAACGGAGAGTCCGTCTCGTACCTGTTCTCGCACGTGCCCATCTGCTAGATGCACAATATCCACTGGCGCCACTCAATGCTACTTTTTCCCCCGTGGCCTTCAGCCAATTTTTAAATTTTCCCCGCCCAAAATTTTGCATTTTTTGCTCAATTTCGGCCCGAAAACTGTCACCATCCGTTTTTCTGAGAATTTTCCCTGTTTTTCGCGCTGACTCTCCCACATTTTTTTGTGAATTTTGTTGAATTTTTCTCTCGCGTGTTTGTCACAAGTAAATTAAAAGTTCGTTATTGTAGATTCATCAACTCTTCGCCCCCCCCCCCTTTTTTTTTCTTCTTCTTCTTCTTCATCTCCCAGGTACTCCCCTCATCACGAACAACTCGAACAACTGACTCTCTTTTTCTCACTTTCTCTGCGCCCTCCCATTTCGCGGCACTCTCTCTCTCTCTCGCCTCCGATCGGTTACATCTCACGGAGAGAGGCAGAAATGAGCCATTGTGTCTCGCAATCTCGCAATTTAGCTGCACCAACACGTTTTGGCGGCTCGGCGAGCTTCGACGCCTTTGTTTTACCATTTTTGGGCACTTTTGGAGTTACTGTAGCTTCTACACCTCGTTTTTTTCCATGTTTGTGTACCTTGACGCTTGAAAAGTGCGGGTATTCCGAAATTCTTCAAGTGTAGCAGTTTTCGAGCATCTTTCACCAAATTTGCGCCCAAGTTACCGCATTTTCAGATGCGGCTGAAACCGCCGAAAACGTTTCGGCTATTGTCCGTCCTTTTGTGTCTGCTCCCCGTGAAATGGGCGAAAAACTTTGAGCAACGATCGGATTGCGTCGAAAATTGTTCGCATTTGGACACGAGTCACGAGTTTGGCGACTGTCTGACAAAGTGTTCGCGTCGGCCGCGCAACGACAATATCGCCGAGATGAACTGTGCGTTTTTGCGGGTTACGGTATTCTTCCATTCAGCCGATGCACCATATGACGATTTTTCAAGGCTTTGCGTATTGCTGGCCGATGCACCATGTGCTGATTTTTAAAAGATTTCTGAACACGTCTAAAACATCGGGCTATTCGATTTTTGCCCACTTTCCCGGCCGATGCACCATGTTCGATCAAAATTCCAATAATTCTCGATTCCATTCAACTAAAATTGTGGCCGATGCACCATGAGGTCTGTTAATCGTTGGGCTTTACGTCGATGCACCATGTTTTTGTGCGACATGTTGGTTTACGTGCTAACGACCTTCTGGTCGATGCACCATGTGCATTTTTTTTTTGAAACTTGACAGTGAGACCTATAAAATATGTAAAAATTGGTCGATGCACCATGAAAAGCGGTGCTTTTTGATCGAGTTCCCTCCAATTTCAAAAAAATGTTTCGCCTATCAATAATTCTCGGTTTAAATCAACTACAATTGTGGCCGATGCACTATGTTGGTTTACGTGCTAACGACCTTCTGGTCGATGCACCATGTGCATTTTTTTTTTGAAACTTGACAGTGAGACCTATAAAATATGGAAAAATTGGTAGATGCACCATGAAAAGCGGCGTTTTTTGATCGAGTTCCTTCCAATTTGTTCCTCGGTCTCTGAGGGTCCAGATCATGTGCACCTGACCCCGAGTCGATCATCACAAATTTACGAAAAGTGTACACATGGTTCCCTGGGAGCCGGAGTCGCCAGAAATTGTTGAGAAGGGACACAAAGACAACTGTCCCCGCGAGTTTTTATGAGTGAAGACAGAGAGAGAGAGAGAGAGAGAGAGAGAGAGAGAGAGAGAGAGAGAGAGAGAGAAGAAGATTCACGAGCTGCACTTTGATTAGTTAACGGACGGACGGCTGACGGGAATGAAGAAGAAAAGAGAAAGAGAGAGCAAAATTACGAATGGACTCCCCCCCGAATTCCATTCATCATCAGAACTTGAGAGAAGGAACAAAAAAGTGTATGGTGCATCGGCGCGCCGGAGACCAAATGCCGACAATAGCTACCGTAACCCGAAAATCATCGTGTTCCAGTGTTCGCCTACCCGCCCACCGATGTCGACATCAAAACCAGAGTGATAATGGACGGCGGAAAAATTTTGGAAACGACAATATCGTGGAAGGCCGAGGAAAAAGGTGGGTTCGCACGGGCAATTGCGATTTTTGGCGGAAATTCGAATTTCAGACGCGCGGCGAGAGGGATTCTACATTCGATACACTGCCGTGAATGCCACGTGTCAAAAACATTTTCCCGGATATTTCACCTCTTCGATTGGGCCTGTAAGTTGAGCACTTTCACAAAACTTGAAAAAAAGTGAACTTTGAACGAGTATTGTAGCTTTCGGAGATGTCGTAGACACTTGAAAATTGTTGAGCGTAATCTTGACACCTAGTACTGTATTTTTGTAGTTGACACTTTATTTATACGACCAATCCCTGGGTTACTGTAGCTCTGGGAAGTTGGCAATGAAGCGTCAACGCTTTTCGGTAGACCAAACTTCGAAGAGCTACAGTAATTCAGTGACTAGTCTTAGAAAAACGTGGTCAATTACAAAAATGTAGTACTAGACACGGAAAATATTTTTGTAGTTGACAAGTTATTTGTACAACCACTCCCAGGGGTACTGTAGCTCTTCAAAGTTGGGACTATCCAAAGCACGGGTTAATTAATTCATTGCCAACTTCCAAGCGCTACCGTACTCCAGGGAGTGGTCGTAGAAAAAAGTGGCCAACTACAAAAATACAGTACTAGATGTCAAGATTACGCTCAACAATTTTTTAGAATCAAAGGACCTCTTAGAACCCTACAATACTCGTTCAAACTGAGCACATGTTCAAAAACTGCTCTGTAGTAGTTTGGCTCAAATTTTTCGCATAAAATCCCTAAAAAAATCCTACTGTAGCTCTAAAATTTACCAGGAAGAACGGTCGCTGACGATCCCGGCCGCATTCAACGGCCACGCGCTCGTCATCGACCACTCGTGCGCCTATCAACTGCAGATGCGCGCGAAACCGTACCCGCCGGGCGACGAAAAGTTCATAGTCGAACGGCGGCATACGGTACCCGACTGCATCGACAAGTACTGTAGTTGTCGACCCGGTGACGTGGCACCCATCCGCGAGGTTACCGTTGACGCCGACTTGCGCCTGAATTGGAAGTTTGACGAGGTGCCCGGCAAGCAGTACCTCTTCTACGTCGACGTTTACGAGAGGTTCGGATTACGGTAGTTCCACACCAGAGATGTTGGGAATTCCGTGTTCCGTGTTCCGTGTTCCGTGTTCCGCGTTTTTTTCAATATTTTTTCCGTGTTCCGTAAAAAAAAAAGTTCCGTGTTCCGTGTTCCGTGTTCCGTAGAAATAAGTTTTTTTCCGTTTTCCGTGTTCCGTGTTCCGTAAAAATTTCCGTGTTCCGTGTTCCGTGTTCCGTAGAAATAAGTTTTTTTCCGTTTTCCGTGTTCCGTGTTCCGTAAAAAAATTCCGTGTTCCGTGTTCCGTGTTCCGTAGAAATAAGTTTTTTTTCCGTTTTCCGTGTTCCGTGTTCCGTAAAAAACAAAATTTCCGTGTTCCGTGTTCCGTGTTCCGTAGAAATAAGTTTTTTTCCGTTTTCCGTGTTCCGTAAAAAAAAATTTCCGTTTTCCGTGCTCCGTGTTCCGTAGAGTAAAATTTTTATTCCCAACATCTCTGTTCCACACCAAAACTATGAAAATTACACTGTTTACAACCAAAATTCGCCTCAAATTTCGTGCATTTTCCTTTCAGAATCGCAATGCCACTTCTTAAAAGCAAGGACGCCGAATCCGAAGGCGACGAGTACACTTTCCGGATCGCAAACGGCGAATCGTTCGAGATTTCGTCAAAAAGCGCCCAAATCGCGCCGAAAACTTTCCAATTTGCGATTCCGTTCCAATTCGCGCCGCTCCAACAGTACAAAATCGCAATGTTCGCCGTCGACGACACGTTTTGCCACAACGACGACGTGTTTCACGTCTTCAACGCGACAAACGCCACGTCATCAGGCGTGGCGGACGTTTCGCGGCTTCCAGAAGGTTCTCGACCTCCGTCCGGATCGCCCATCACCAAAACTACCGTACTTATGGTCAGCGATGGCAAAAATTCGACCAGTTTCGAGTTTTCTTTCAGGAATCCTCACTTTTCGTCGTTTTTCTCATCATCGTCGCGTGTATGAGCCCGATTTGCACCCTTTTTGCGCTTTTCCTATTGAAACGGTTAGTTGTCGGGTTACTGTAGCGTCGAAAGTGTGCGAGCACGGTTGCTACGGACTTTGCACCGGATTTGACGATAGTTTGCGTGAAAAATGTGAAAATTGGCGGGTTTTGAAGCAAATTTGTTGCAGAAGACGAAAAGAGAAGAAGAAGCGTCATCACTTTTTGCACCGCCGGTCCCTTTCGTGCTCACGTCACAGTATCATCGAGACAAATATTCTGTATCGGCCGCCGAACGAGGTGAACGGCAGCTCGACGGGCGAATGGCTCATTCGTGGACAGGATATTGTGGTCGGCACTGTAATTGGTCAGTTTTTCCGATCAAAAAAGTGCAAAAATATCTGCACGAAGTGGGATTCGAACCCACGCACCCATACGAGTACCAGAACACCCAGAAGACCTCGAGCTCGAGGCAAGCGCACGCTTGAGTCTGGCGCCTTAGACCACTCGGCCATCCGTGCACATTTAGCAGACCAGGCGGAGGGCGGTTAAGAACACGCCGGCACGCGCTGCCGGCCGACAAAAATTGCTAACCTTTGAACAGATATTGTCGCTTTCCGAGATGTGGTGTGGGTCTAAAATTTTTTGAGCACAATCTTGACACTTAGTACTACAATTTTTCAGTTGACCACATTTTTGTACGGTCACTTCTAAGAGTGCTGTAGCTTTTGGAAGTTGCAATAGAAACTCAACTTCCGCGAGCTACAGTACTTCAGGGAGAGGTCCTACCAAAATAGTGTCAACTACAAAAATATAGAACTAAGTGTGAAGACATTGTAAAAAAAAATTGAGAGCTTCACGACGTCTTAGAACACTACAATACTCGTTCAAAGTTGGTCAATTTTTGCCAGCTAAAACAGATATTGTAGAGTAAATAATTCGGTGCCTACCTACCGTAACCCACTTTTTTCCAGGAGAAGGCGCGTTCGGACAAGTGTTCAAAGGGATCCTGCGGGCGCCGAACGGTCAAGTGGTCCCAGTGGCCGTGAAGCAACTAAAAGCGAATGCGATCGACGAGGAGAAGGAGGAATTCGTGCGCGAAATTCAAATGATGCAAACGGTATAGGGGATACTGTAGGCGGATTACTGTAGCTCTCGCGTTTGACAGGTCGGACAACACGACAATATCGTGACCATGTACGGATGTTGTATGGACGAGCAGTTGCAGTGCATGATTATGGAGTACGTGCCGTACGGAGACCTCAAACACTATTTGCAGAATATGCGAAAGGAGAAGGTTAGGGTTACGGTAGTTCGAAATCTGTGCAAACACCGTCACCGCGTACTTTGCACCAAATCGGAGCGCGTCGTTTCAGGATCCCGAATCCGCCATCGAACCGTCCGAATTTCTGGCGTTCGCCGGTCAAATCGCGTGCGGAATGGCCCATCTCGAGTCGGTCGGTATTATCCATCGTGATTTGGCGGCCCGCAACATTCTCGTCGGCACCGGCAAAGTCCTCAAAATTTCCGATTTCGGAATGTCGCGACCCGGCGTTTATATCAAAATGAGCAAAGGTACGGTTCGCCCCAAAATATTTTTAAATGAAAGAAATCTGTTTTCAGGAGTGATTCCGTTGCGTTGGCTGTCGCCGGAGGCCATCAAAGACAACACCTATTCGAATAAAAGCGATGTTTGGGTGCGTTTCGCACTTCTTTTTTTCCGGGGCGGTTACTGTAGCGCCGAAAGTGTGCAAACACCGTCACCACGCACTTTTTCCAGGCGTTCGGAGTGCTTTTGTGGGAGATTGCGACTTTGGGCGGATTTCCGTACAACAACGTGGCCGACAAGGACATTTTGAGCCAGTTGACCGACGGAATGCGATTGGAGCAACCGCCCAAGTGCTCCGATGAAATGTGGGGGCGGGAAAACACGCGAAAATTGAAAATGGACTCATTTTTTTCAGGTACATTTTGATGAAATCGTGCTGGAACTTGAAATCCGAAGACCGTCCCTCGTTTTTGTCGATTCTGAGCAAGTTGGAGCACATTTCGGCTTCGGACTCGGACGCTCCGCCTTCGGATCCGCCCGCCAAAAATTGATTCATTTTTTCCTCATCTTTTCGGGTCGCTCTCTGTACAAACGCATTATTTATTTGGTTTCTCTTTTTCGAATAAAATATTTTCTAAATTGGAGGTCAAAATGTCGTGCGAATTGTGATTTTTCGGCGGGAAAAATAGGGAGAAACTCAGAAGAAACGGGGAAAATTAATGTCCGAATCCGAGTCCATTTCCTCTGCCCATATGCGTCGTTTCTCGGGCCACTTTGTACTGGCGCTCCAGATCGTTCAGCATTTTGTCCTGGCGATTCTTTTCGTTCGACAGATTCGATGAGTCTTCCTGAAAATTTGACTTTTCGGGTTACGGTAGCTTCGAAAGTGTGTAAACACAGTAATTTCGGACTTTGCACCGGACTTGGCGACAGTTAACTCGAAATCCCTAAAATTAAACCATTCGAAAGCCCATTGATTCAAGATTTCAAATTTTTCATAGATTTTGACTTAAAACCGTTCGTACCGTAGGTTTCGGCGCATTTTTGACGCCCATGAGTCGCATGAACTTGTTCGCCTGCGAGGAATCGACTCCAGTCGCCGCAATCGCCGACGACCACAGCTTTTCGTTTTTTCCCGACGCTTCTGGAGCGGCCTCCGTGGACTCTGCCTTCTAAAATATTCAACATTGGAATTTTTAGGCTAAAAATGGCGTTTACCACCGGTTCGGCCGCCTTCTTGTTGCCCCACAGCGCTTTTCGTTGAGCGGCAATTTCTTCGGCGGATAGGCGATTTCTGGAAGGATTTTCAGTGAACAATTGCATAAATTCCATCACTAACTTGTCGTCTTTCTTCTGGAAATCGTTTCTACGATCATTTCTGTCCTTTTTCCAGTTGTTTCGCTCGTCCCGCCCGTAATCACGACGTCCGTGCTCGCGATCGTCGCGTCGACGAGAATCGCTCTGAAAATCACGGATTTGTTGTCGCCATTTTCAGCATTTTCCGGCTGAAAATGTGGAAATTTGTGTGAAAACCCCCGATTTCTACTTTGTGTGTGTGAAAACCTGAAAATCAAGCGATTTTGGTGGAAATTTGCGTTTTTCTCACCTTTTTCGCCGCCAATCACACACTTTCCGGCCCGGGACATCGAATCAGATGGTCAAGGCAAACAAAACTGAAGCCGTACAAAAATTAGTTCAGTTTCGCCTTTTTTTAGTGAATTCTTATGGGTTATCTGCGAATTTTCACGGGATTTTTACCTTTTCTTCGTGTCGATCTTTTTTCGGCGATTTTTCGCGTCTCTCCTGCGGCGAACGACTTCTCTCACGTCTTTCCTGCTTCTTCTCCTTGTGATGGCTCCTTTTTTCGCTAAAAATGAAAAAAAATCGAAGTTTTTTGAGCAAAGCATTGAAAAATCCTACCGATGAGCCGATTCGTCGTCGCTGCTGTCGAATTTTGTGTGTTTTCCCATTTTAATTGAAGAATCGATAAATTCCGCAAATTTTCAGGCGAAAAACAGATGGAAAATTATAGCGAAAATCGGGAGATAAAAATAGCCAATATGTCGTAAGCTTAAGCGCCGTGTATGCAAATGTCAGCGCGGTGTTTGCGGACTTTGCCTACCGTACCTCAAATTTTAATCAGAAACTCTTCCATTGAAAGGCTCATCGGATGTGCGCCGCTTTTCCACCATTCACAACCAATTTTTTCAGTTTTTCTAGCAAAAAATCGATAAATTGACAGATGCTGCGTCTCTACGGAAGTAATTTTGCCTTGATGGGCAAAACGGCGCTCGAAACGGCGGTCCGAGCCGAATCCACTGGCCACATGTTCAAAAGTTGGTGATTTTGGCTCGACAGCCATAAATTTAGGTAGCAAAATAGCGGATTTTCAGCGAAAGAGGAGAAAAAAGACGGTACGACGTACGTTTCGATGGAAAGAGTGTCGGACGCGCTCGGACCACGAAAACCAGATGAGCTGTGCTCGCTGTGCACGTGTAATGTGCCCGTCAAACTCAGTTATAAGTACGTTTTCATGTTTTAAGGTGAAAAATGCCAAGAAATCGATTTTTTGCAGAGACGTCCTCATTTTGGAGCAATTTATGCGCGACGACGGCACCGTTTTGCCCCGGCAACTGACCGGGCTGTGCAAAAAACAGCAATTGAGGGTCGAGAGGTGCGTTTGAATGTTTTTTGCAATTGTTCCCATTAAAAATACGCTTTTTTGTTTTTGCAGATGTGTAATTCAAGCCGTCTGGTCGGGATTGTTCGGCGAAAAATACGGAACAGAGGCGGATCGTGCCGGATATAAGCGATTCAATCGATACTGGAAGCACGACATGTCCATGTACCAGCTGGAAACCAAAGAAAGGCACGGCACCTGGTTCTACATCAAACGGTAAGAAAAAAGTGGAAAAAATGAGGAATCTAATCGATGTTCTCTAAATTTTCGGTTTTCTAAATATGCCAACATCTTGTTTTGCAGGTACCCAACGAAAAACCAGGCAATCTTCAAGAATCCTCTCAATTGAAGGCCCAGAATGTCTTATTTTCAGTCTAGAATTCTCCTCGTTTTGTTGTTTTTCCTTGTTTTTTCATTATCAAACAGCCTCCGTTTTTTTCGAATGGTGTTATTGAATTTGTCTGAAACGTTAACATACGTTTTTCATATTTTTCCCCATTTGTTCGATTTTTTAAAGAACCAGAGAACCCTGCGAGTTTATGTGCTTGTACACTGTCCGAGTCCGGAAAAGTGCGCAGTGGCCTAGAAAACTCTGGTGTGAAAACTCTTCCCTTGCATTTTCACAATCGGTAAATTTGTGTGAATGCTTGGCAACGTCTCAAGATTCTGTCAAATGCAAAACCGATCCCATGGCCTAGGAGTTTTCTCGGCCACGCCCACAATTTTAACTCCCTGGTCCTTTAAACTGGTTTTTTTTTGCAGAACCATCTCTTCCAGCCAGATGACTTGATGCAAAAAATGCGAACAATTCTAATTTCCGTGTTGATTTTTCTGAAAATCGGTCAAGTGACGTCACAGACGACACTGATTGAAATTCTCGATTTTCCACGTGGAAATTGTCCGTCCGTGCAACAATGTCAGTGTGTCGACGAGTCGCGGGAGAGAATTCAGTGCCATTCGCCTGGTAATTGCAACAAAAAAAAAAGAAATGTTTGTCAAATTTCGTATTTTCCTTCAGACGAGTCGAACATTCGGGAATTGGAGCGAGTGTACGGCGCGGAAGTCCGTCACTTGGAGATTTGGTCGTGGCAATCATATTCGCTCAATTTTGACATTTTTGCCAATTTCTCACGACTCGAAACGCTTCTTCTTCAAGGTAAATTTTGAGGAAAAATAATTCTGATTTTTTCCAATTTTCAGACAGCGAATTGGAGACGTTAAACGCTACCCTAATCCATGAATCTGTGCGAATATTGTGGCTCCGAAACTCGGAAATATCGTCGGATTCGGAAGTTTGCCACGTCATCGCCCATCTGCCCGCCCTTCAGAATCTCTCGTTGAGCCGAAATTATTTGGAGAAATTCGATTGTGACGGCACCGAAACGAAATTGAGCATTCTCGATTTGAGCCGCAATTTGGTAGGATTTTTTCAGCTGCAAATTTCTGTTTATCGATTTTTTTAAAAAAATAAACGGAACAGCGCGCAGTTAAATTTGTGGACACAAAAATTTCAACAAGTATCTTTACAGATTTCGCATGTGGAACTGCCGGAAAGTGTGAAAAATCTGGACATTTCTGGAAATCGTCTCACTTCAATTCAGAATATTTCCACGGATTTGACACATTTGGGTGAGCACTCGACTGTTATCACTGTAAATTTTCAATTATTTCAGACATTTCGTACAATCGGATCTCCTCGTGGCCCGAATCTCCGGAAGACGTGAAATTTCCGAATCTGAAGCACTTGTCGGCGGCGAAAATGTCCGTGAAAACGGGATTTCATCTGGAAGCGCCCCTCCTCGAATCGATGAATATCGACGAGACGGCACTCGAATTTCTCGATTTTCATCGTCTCAAAATGCCCAAGATTAAGAGGTTTGTATTGGTGGAACATTTGCTGTAGCTTGATTTCCACAAAAAAACAATCTGATTTTCTCCAGAATTTCCGCTCGAAACCTGATAGAACTCCGACACATTTCCGGAAATTTGCCGTCGGCTGTGAAGAACGTGGCGATCACGGAAACGCAATTGAGAACACTTCCCGCCAATTTCTTCCCGAGGTAACGCCGTTTTTCCCTAGTTTTCACACTCTTACGTTTCTCAATTCATTTCTGGCTTTCCAGTCACTCTCTCTCTTTTTTTGCAGCTCGGTCTACCCGAAGTCCCCGTTGGCAGCGGCTCCGAACCGTCCGACCGTCTCGTTTTCGTCGAAGAACATCCTGTGCGAGCCGTGTCTTCTCCAGTGGTCCCTGCCGGTTTTCGAGCAGTCCGGAGTCGGACAATTGTGCAATTTGACAAGGTTATCCTTTTTAGACATTCCACTCAGAAAATCACTAAACTGCTCCCAATTCCAGGCCGGAAATCGCATTGTCCGAGTGCAGAGTGGGCGTGAAATGGAACGGAACGGGAATCGAGTACGGAAAATACGAGCGTCCGACGGCTCTCTCGTGTTTTGCGTACGGAAGTCCGGCGCCCCGAATCACGTGGTTCCGATATCGTCCGTCCGAAAAACTGGGAACGTATGACCCGCAAACCGACAGTATCGACTATTCAAATGTGTCCGCAGAGATGAGGGAAAGGTAAAAACTGAGAAAAAAAACCCGTTTTGTCCGTACATTTCCAGCTAAAATACACCGTTTTTTTTTGTTGCAGTTACTCTATCCAATCGGGCGGTTCTCTTCTGATTCACTCGCCGAATCGGTCGCACGTCGAAAGATACGTTTGTGTGGTCGAAAACGCGCACGGAAAGGAATACGGCATCTACTTGTTCAGGTCGGTTTTTGAAAAGAGCACAGGCGTGGGCGTACGATCAATTGCATAGCGAAAGAACGCGGGGAGGCGCGCGAGAAAAACGGTTTGCGCGCCAAAAAGAAAATCGCTTCTCCAGCTTATTCAAAATGCAATATCGGTTTTTGCAGACTCGACTACCTGGACTGGTACGGCTACGACGTGTTCCACTCGGTGTTCTGGGGCGGTCTCGCCTGTTCGCTCATCGTTTGCCTCATCTCGTTCCTGCTCAACATCACGTGGATTCTGACACGCAAAAGTGCATTGTGGTGGATTCAGAGGTTCGCCTAACACTGAAAAATGTGCTAAAAATCGTGTTGTTGCAGAGCGGAGCGTCTGTCGCGAGTGCGTAAAATGGTGGAGGCGATGGAGAAGTACCGTGTGCGGCAGATGGAGTCCCTCCACGAAAAGTACACGAAACGGGTGCAGATTGTGCGCGACAACTACCACCAACAAGTGGAGGCGCTGCGAGTGTCCTACGCCGCCCAGCACGAGAAGTTCCAGAACTACAGGGCCGCGCAAGTCGACGCGGTTCACTCGCATCTCGACGCGATGAGAGACGGGTACAACAATCAGCTGGGACGCGTCCGCGAGTACGGATCCAAGCGCGCCGAGCAATTGTGGGAGAGCTACGAGCGACAGGTACACCCGAATGTTTTTTTTGGATTTTCTAGAACGTTCCAAAAACGCGAAAAATGATTTGTGTCGTAGGTGAACCGAATGCGCACGTTCTCGCTCCAACACCGTCTGAAAATGATGCGACAGTACAAAGTGAAGCAGCGATACGTCAACAAACTGCTCGAATCGTTCCAGGCAGGATCTTCGGAAGTCGATCTCGAAAATGTACGGCTGTTCTTGTGCTCTTACGGAAAACTCTGCATTTTTTCCAGGAAGAAAAAGTGCGCGCCGCTCTGGAGATCCCGGACGATTTGGCGACGATCGACGGGGGACTGGACACTCCGTCCCGCCTCTCGAGGAGCTCCTCGTTCCACAGTCTGCCCGAATACGTAATCGACGAGCAGGGAAACGTTCGGCCGGGCATCATTCCATCTTCTACCGCCTCCATCAGGTAAAAAAGACTCAAAGCACCAAAAAAAATGAACCGCCTGAATTTTCCCAAATTTCAGATTCTCGACCTCAAAACCATCGAGTTCGACCAGTGGAGCCGGTCCCTCATCGCCACGCCGATCGGGAGCACCACCCGCGAAGCGTCCGTTCCCTGAATCTCCAGAAGACTGACCTCTTTCACAATTTACCCAAATTTTTCCGCCGCAAAAACGGTGCCATACTCGTTTTCGCCCATCTTCTTCGCAATCTTTTTTTTTTCTCTAGAAAACAACTGATATTATCCACTTTTGTGCCCCGAATCGCATTATTCTTTTTGTCTGTGTGTGTGTGTATGTGTATTTGTGTCTTGTATACTTAACAATTCAGGAAACAAAAATCATCGAGCTTTGTGTTGTGAGTGTGTTTAGAACTCTTCTTTCCATGTATATTTCAATTAAATATGTACTTGACAAGTCAACAACTTTTTTGCCGCTGTTGCCCAGGGAAACGGGCGCGTTGCGTGTCGTGCGACGCGGTTTTTATCTCCGATTTGTAAACCAGCCTAAAATCGCAATTTTCCGTGTCAGAAGTCATTTTTGCCATGCAAATTACTGAAAAAAAAAGGCCACGCACCTTTTTCGCGACAAGTTTGCTCTTTTCTCTTTTTCTTTCGAGTGTAAATCTGAAAAACCGATCGTTTTCTTTTCAGAATGGCCACGAACCCCGAGGGACCACTGCCGCCATCGGTCCAAGACTACAAATTGGTGTCGTCCGACGAGAAAGTGCTCGAAATCAGTGCTCGCGCGCTGCGCCACTCGAAAACGTTGCGAACAATGACGGAGCTGCTGCTCGCCCGGTCGGCCGATCCGATCCCAGTCGCCCACGTCAACAGCGCCACGTTGCAAAAGGTGATCGAGTGGTGCGAGCAGCACAAAGACGAGGAGCCGAAGGAGCCGAAGGACCAGGAGGAGGAGGAGGCAAAGTGGGAGCCGATCCGGGTGCCCGACTGGGACCGCCAATTCCTCGACATTGACAACGCCGCGCTGTTCGAGGTGATCTGCGCGGCGAACTACCTGGACATTCGGCGACTGCTCGACGTGGCGTGCAAAACCGTCGCGCAAAAGGCCGTCGGAAAGTCGCCCGAGGAGTTGAGAGCGCTTTTCGGGATACCGAGCGACGAGGAGGAGACGGAGCGAGAGAAGAAGAGTAATAAATAATACGTATTCGGTTGTGTATTTGTGTAAATTGAGACTGAGAGCTTGAAATGAAGTTTGTATCGATCCAGCCGCTTTGCTCATAGAATTGAATTTATTTCCGAGAATATTTGCCAATATTTTTCACAGAAACACGGCGACGAAAAACGTAAAAAGGGGCGTGGGGCCTAGCGCGTGCACGGTTCTTCACCATTTTGGCGCGAAATTCGAAATGTAACCCCCTATTTTTCATGTTTTTCGTCAAAAATTACCCAAATTTTGTACGGGTTGCGACGATGCGATTGCATAAATTTGTTAAACTAATGGGGTTATTCAGGCTGTGAAAAAATGATTTTTTTCCGTTTTTTTTTCGTTTTTTTACGTCAAAAAACCCAATTCAGCGGTGTAAAAAACGAAAAAAAACGGAAAACAAACATACGCTGAGTAGCCCCATAATCATCGCGCATTTTTTGAGCTTGAAACGCAGGTTTTCATTCAAAAATGAATCAATTCAATCGATTTTCCGGTTTTTTGCTGAAAATGCGCGAATTTCAGTCATTCGCCGATACTTTTTGCCGTTTAAACGCTTAAAATACTTGTATTAACGTGTGCTTAATCACTTCCGACACTCACTTCGTCTCAAACCGATCCACATCGGCCGCTATGAAAATTCGGAAATTGTGGCGGAGAGCGTATTGCGAATGATGCCAAAAACGTCTCAAACGGGCGGCGTTTTCACGAAAATTTGCAATGTTTTCTCTCTTTAATGTCTCTTCTTTCGTCGGCTATCAACACACACAAAAATATCGAAAAAGTGTGCTGGAATTTTGCGGCAATTTTCAGAAAACGCGTACATCGAACATCTCAAATAATGCGGTTATTCAGGCTGTGAAAAAATGTTAGTTTTCTGTTTTTTTTGTTTCGTTTTTTTACGTAAAAAACCCAATTCAGCAAATGTAAAAAAACGAACAAACAGAAAACAAGCGTACGCTGAATAGCCCCGCCCCATAACTGTGAAGTACTCCGAATTCAAGTGATTTCATCCATATTCTCAATAACACTCGCTTCTAAACGAAATCCGACCGAAATTTCGCTTGAAATGCGCTCAAACCGACGAAATACGGAAAAAGACAAGTCGTTTCAATTTGATAAGCAATAAGACGCACAAAAACAAGCTGAAAAAAGCGAAGAGTACTGAAAATGCAATATTTTCACAACAATTTCGTCATGCCTTAAAGTTTGCGCAAAACCTGCAAAAATTCTTAAAGTTTGCGCAAAACCTGCAAAAATTCTTAAAGCTTGCGCAAAACCTGCAAAAATTCTTAAAGCTTGCGCAAAACCTGCAAAAATTCTTAAAGCTTGCGCAAAACCTGCAAAAATTCTTAAAGTTTGCGCAAAACCTGCAAAAATTCTTAAAGTTTGCGCAAAACCTGCAAAAATTCTTAAAGTTTGCGCAAAAGTGGCGCGCCTTTGCCGAGTATTGCGAATGATGCCAAAAACGTCTCAAACGCGGCGGCGTTTTCACGAAAATTTCCGATGTTTTCTCTCTTTAATGTCTTTTATTTCGTCGGCTATCAAACACACAAAAATATCGGAAAAGTGTGCTGGAATTTTGCGGCAATTTTCAGAAAACGCGGCGTCTCAGATTAGGCCCCGCCCCTTTTCTACACGAAAACACAAAAAAGGCGACTCAATTGCTCGTGAAATGTCCGCTGAACCGTCTCGTCGTCGTCTTCTTCTTCTTCTCCATCAAACACACTTGGTTTCGACACACGTGGTAATCGGGGCAGTTGACGTCGTTGACACACTTGAAGACGTGCTCGTTGCGGTGGAAACACGCGCGGTTCACGCATTTGTGGTTGGAAAGACAGTTGCGGTCGGTGAGGCACTCGCCACGCGTCTCCGAGCACGAGCGGAGAGGGACCAGCACGAGGAGAAGGAGCTGGAAATGGGGGGTCCTGGTTGCGAAGCGTCTGTGTTCAGTTGCAAAGTGTCCCCCTCTGACTCATCGGACTCCAATTATCAATAAAATTTAAAAACTCACAGATAAGAAGCAAAAAGTGGTGGTGGTGGAAAGATGACGCATCCTTCTGCTGATGATGATAAACTTTTGTGTGACAAATGGAAGGAAGAGAGAGAGAGAGAGAGAAGAAGAAGAAGAAGAAGAGATCAACTGCTCAAACGCTTTTTATCATTGAAAAGAGCACAAGGAGCTGGAGGAGCCGAAAATTCGAGATTGATTGATTGACAGCCGGTCAGGTCACGTTCTGAAGGCTCCGGATGGTTGCGAAACGTCCTTCACTTCCTTTTTCGCCACCAAAACGAAAAAAGTCGAAAATTCCCCAGCGATCGCACAAAATTTATCGTTTTTCGTCTGTTCTCCCCCCTGCCGCCCGTGTTTGTGTCTATTCCCATATTTTGCCACTTTTTGACACGCATCATTCAACGTTTCTCTCCCTTTTCTTCTTCTTCTTCTTCTTCTTCTTCTTCTAAAAACCAACGTTTTGTTTGTCAGATTTTTCGCCGCCCCGGCAAAAAAAAATCGAAAGGATGGGCAAGTTTTGGGTGAGTTTTCGGACACTTTGCAACCGATTATTCAAAGCCGTATATCTCGGCCGTCGGCGGAGTTATCAAAAAGTTGTCAACTGGGAAAATGCGCAACGATTCTTTGTGAACATTTTTCCAGTTGGCCACTTTTTGATATCTCTATGCACAGCTGAGTTACACTGTTTAGAAATGACAGCTTTTTTTTAGGTTGCCCTTCATTTTGACATTAGTTGCGAAACGTAACGTCTCATCCAATTCATCATTGTTTTGCAAATTTTATTGCCACGGACATTTCGCAACCGACAGTTGCAAAGTGTCTCCTAATGAGTTGCACACCGGTCCAATCAAATTTTTTCAAATTTTCAGCTCCTCCTCCTACTCTTCCTCTGCATTTCGACGAGTTTCTGTCAAGAAGATCAAAATTTGACGTCTGCCGAATCGGAACGAAAAGAAATCCGAATCCCGTCGTCGTCAGAAGTCGAAATCGACGCGTCCGAACCGGTGGGACCGGCGGCGACGCCCACCGCAGACATTGCGTACCTGCCACTGATCGCTCGCTGCTCCATCGACTCGGATTGTTCGACGCAACGCACTTGCGTCGACGGAAAGTGCCGGTCCCCGACGGCTCATCCCATTTTCCCCGTCTTTTTTCGGTGTGGCGATCGGCTCGATTGTCCCGCCGGCCACCGATGCATTTTGATGATGTGCATTCCGTTTCGGTGGTGATAATATTTGTGCATAATTGAATAAAAACATCCATCCGCTATCCAAAATTTTTATTCACAAATCCAAAACCTGCTGAAACTTCCACGTTCTCGCCAGCGGATTTCCGTCCTTCGCCACATAATCCTACAATATTTTTGTACGGATTTTTGACGCCACAATCTCCACTCACATCCTCCATATTTTTGACGAAAAAGTGCACGTTCAAAGTGTCGACGCCTTCGGATTTCATGTCGGCGATGACCGAGCCGAGCGTCTGGTTCGCCTGCGACGGAGTGAGCATTTGGCGGAAAATATTCGAGCGCGGCGGCTTTTGCATCAATTCGCAACGCGGACGACGCCAGATGACGTCGTACGGCGAGGCGTACAGGTAGAACGAGAACTTGTTGCTTCTGCAACAACGGGAGGGGCGTGTCTTTGAACGAGTATTGTCGCGTTCGGTGACGTTGTATGCGTCTCAAAAGCGGTTTTTTGAAATCTTGACATCTCGTACTATATTTTTGTACTTGATCATTTTTCTCTATGCGCACTCCCGAGGATACTGTGGTCCTTGGAAGTTGGCTACGACCCCACGGCGACGAAAAAGTGTAGAAAAGGGGCGTGGCCTAATCTGAGACGCCGCGTTTTCTGAAAATTGCCGCAAAATTCCAGCACACTTTTTCGATATTTTTGTATTAGAGATATCGACGAAAGAAAAGAGACATTAAAAAGCTAATGCTAAACACAGTGCGCTCGTAAATTGCGGAGTGTCGTTGTAACTTTTGAAAATTTGCAGGTCTAAAAATGCAGTTCTAATTCGAGTTTACGACCTTTATTTCTTTCTTTTTGACTTGAAAAACGTCTAGAAAACAATATTTTACTGATTTGAAACCGTTTTTTACAGAATTTAGTGTTTTTCATGTTTTTAGTGTCTTTTTCGCATTTCGTCAAAACTTCAAACCTTTATATTTCAGCCCATTTTGCATTTTATGAGCCCAACAAACGATAAAAATGTTCGCTGAATCGTTCTTCACAAAATTCAGGTTCCGGCGGTTAGTTTTCTTGAGCAGTTTTCGCGAAACTATTCGAAAAACATCAAAATCCAGGCCGTAAAACCTTCAAATCGAAATAACTCGGCTAATTCTCAACGATATGTGAGATTTCTGTTACCAAAACGTAGCTAGTGCTCTAATTATTCAAATCCAGGTTCCAGACAAACAAAAAATAGGTGTATTGTACAGAAAACATGGAAAGAACGCGCGAACTCCCGTTGAAAATTAATTAATCGGCCGCCGCTGTTGCAAGTGCGCCCTATTGAAATCATTCGCGCGCCGTGGGAGACCGTGGCGTTAAAGGTGGTGTCCAACGTGACATACAACATATTTTTAAAATAAACTTCGAAGTGGGGCATTCACTTTCCCGAAGTCCCGAATTACGAAAAAAATTCCCCGATTTTTAAGATTTTTTTCAAAAAAGTTAATGGTACCGAGAGAAGTACACGGCGAAATGGAAGAGCCGGCCTAGATTTTTCTAGTCCCCGAATGGAATTCCCCTTTTTTTTCGATTTTTTTCTGTTTTCGTGCAATTTTCTTAAATTTTCAATCGTTTTGTCACTGAGCACACATATTTGCAATATTTAAAAAAATTTATGATTTTTTCTGTGCCGTGACGCCAAAAAAATCGATAATCTGAAACTTTCAAAAATTCAGCAAAATTCAGAAATTCAGCCACTTTTTTTGTAAAACTCTATTTATTTTTTTCAGCGCGCAAACCGAAGATTGAGCGAAAAAAACCCGGAAAAAAACAACAAAAAAAGTTTCAGATTATCGATTTTTTTGGCGTCACGGCACAGATAAAATCATAATTTTTTTAAAAAAATATTGCAAATAAGTGTGTTCAGTGGAAAAAAACGATTGAAAATTTAAGAAAATTGCATGAAAACGGAAAAAATTCGGAAGAAAAGGGAATTCCATCCGTGGACTTGAAAAATCTAGGCCGGCTCTTCCATTTCGCCGTGTACTTCTCTCGGTACCATTAACTTTTTTGAAAAAAATCTTAAAAATCGGGGAATTTTTTTTGTAATTCGGGACTTCGGGAAAGTGAATGCCCCACTTCGAAGTTTATTTTAAAAATATGTTGTATGTCACGTTGGACACCACCTTTAATACAAGTATTTTAAGCGTTCAAACGGCAAAAAGTATCGGCGAATGGCTGAAATTCGCGCATTTTCAGCACAAAACTTGAAAATCGATTATGGGGTTATTCAGGCTGTGAAAAAAATGAGTTTTTTTTCCGTTTTTTTCGTTTTTTTTACGTCAAAAAACCCAATTCAGCGGTGTAAAAAAACGAAAAAATTGGAAAACAAACATACGCTGAATAGCCCCATTAAATTGATTCATTTCTGAATGAAACCTGCTCGTTTTAAGCTCTCAAAAAGTGCGCGATGATTAGTTTAACAAATTTATGCAATCGCATCGTCGAAACCCGTACAAAATTTGCGTAATTTTTGACGAAAAACATGTGAAAAATCGGGGGTTAAATTTCGAATTCCGCGCCAAAATGGTGATAAACCGTGCAGGCCACGCCCCTTTCTACGTTTTTCGTCGCCGTGTGGCATGACAAACGCGGCGACAGTAAACACAGTGTACTCACATCTCTCTGGAGATGCTCTTGACGACGAAACGGACGAGATTGACGAGCGTTTGATCGGTGGGCAGCTCGAAAGAAGTGTAGAACTTTTGCATAAAGTGCACTTTGACGAGCACGAGACGGATCACGCGGCCGCTTTCCGACACAGTGGGTGTACGCGCGGACGTCGTCGTCAGCACGAGAGAAGGGCATCCACGTGGCAGCGCACGACGTTTGTGCTCGGCGAGCACAAATGAGGCGTCCGACGGGACCGGAGTGAACACTGTCGGGATGCCTCTGCAGCGATAAATTGCAAACGCTACAGCACGCGTGCGAGTGGTTGTACAAAAAAAGTGTCAACTGGAAAAATGATGTGCTAGACATGCACAACACTTTTGTAGTTGATCGTTTTTCTCTATAACCACTCTGAAGAGTACTGTAGTGTTTGAAAGTCGAGCAAATATTGTAAATTTCCCCAAAAAACCTACTCCTCCTTTTGTTTGCATTCTCGTTGGTCTGTATCAGATGTGCATTCAGCCAAAAAAGTCGACGACCACGCCTTCTTGCTCATTCTCGCCCAAAATGTCTTGTTCGAGTTCAGAAATGCACGAAATTCTCTCGAAAAGTTCTAAAGACCATTTTTGTGAAACGCAAAAAGGGTGGTCACGTTGTGTTGTTGACATCGTTTTCGAGCAAATCGCAATGTGAGTATCAATGATTCATAGTAAAAGTGAGATTATGAGCGGAAAAATACAAGTATCAGTTTTGATAAATAGTGTGGGACCACAAAAACTGGTCTATCACATGAATTGAAGAGACTAGAAAACGTACCGTCTATTCAAAGCGCGATATCTCGGCTGTCGATGGGAATAGGAAAAAGTTGTCAACTGATAAATTGTTTGTTAAGAAATTTTGCACATTTCATCAGTTGACAATTTTTTGATACCTCATCTGGCAACTGAGATATACGGTTTAGAAAGAACGCTCTTCTACTACATTATCTATTGGAGTGTGAAGGCGATGGAAGCGTGAAGAAGACACAAAAGGATCGAGGAGGCCTGCAAATAAAGGGACGTTTTGCAACCGGGACACTTTGCAACCGCCTCCCCCCACCGCCGAAAGCAACCATTGATCGGTCCATTGAACGTGGGCGACGTCGATCGAAAAATGAATTTCGATGACCGAACTGATACCGCCGAGAAGCGAACAGAAGACGGCCGACGGCATTTCCTGCAACGATTACTGTAGCTATCGGGCCGCGCGCCGTAATCCATTAATACCATAAAGTTAAAGTTGAGAATGCACGAACTGGAGGCGTAGTGAATCGCGACGATGAGCCACGAGAACGAGACGAACATGATGATGGGCGCGGCGACGACGGGAAAGTACTGTAGGCGGATTTGAAAGTACGCGCACACACACACGGTACCTGCAGTAAATGTTTCGTGGCGCCCAATTTCAGCTCCTTCTCCTTGTCGCTCGCACAATTGTAGTTTTTGCAGTAGAGCAGGTTCCAGTAGAGCAGCGAGCACGCGATTCCCTGACGATTACTGTAGTGTTGGATGGAGGACGGAAATTTAGAAGAAAAAAAAAACGTGCGCTTACTATCGAGAACGTGTAAAGGTAGAGCGGGAGTCGCGTCCGCGGATACGGTGTTGTGATGATGCGCGGTATCACTGTCACCATTCTGTAAGCACTCATGGCCTAGTTTTTGGCGGCGGTTAGGAATTCTAGGCCATGCACTATTTTGACGATATCTGAAGTGGTTTTGAAGGATTCGAAGAGCTCTGCGAGCACTTGACGTCTATTTCGTATAACATATCTAATGTCTAATTCAGCGATGGCCTAACTTTTGCCAAACGCGAATTCTAGGCCACTGCCTCTACGTCATCGCTTTGAGGAGGCTTTGAGCACGGGAAAATGAGCCGTCAAAGGAGCACAAAGCCAAAAAGGTGACGGCTAACTTTCCGCTCAAATGCGAATCCTAGGCCAACGTAGAAAGGGGCGTGGGGCCTAGCGCGTGCACGGTTCTTCACCATTTTGGCGCGAAATTCGAAATTTAACCCCGATTTTTCATGTTTTTCGTCAAAAATTACCCAAATTTTGTACGGGTTTCGACGATGCGATTGCATACATTTGTTAAACTAATGGGGTCATTCAGGCTGTGAAAAAAATGATTTTTTCCGTTTTTTTCGTTTTTTTACGTCAAAAAACCAAATTCAGCGGTGTAAAAAACGAAAAAAACGGAAAACAAACATACGCTGAGTAGCCCCATAATTATCGCGCACTTTTTGAGCTTAAAACAAGTTTCATTCAGAAATTCAATCAATTGATGCGATTTTTAAGTTTTGTGCTGAAAATGCGCGAATTTCACTCATTCGCCGATACTTTTTGCCGTTTGAACGCTTAAAATATTTGTGTTAACGTGCTTATGGGGCTATTCAGCGTATGTTTGTTTTCCGTTTTTTTTTCGTTTTTTTACACCGCTGAATTGGGTTTTTTGACGTAAAAAAACGAAAAAAACGAAAAAATTGCGAATGATGCCAAAAACGTCTCAAACGGGCGGCGTTTTCACAAAAATTTCAATGTTTTCTCTCTTTAATGTCTCTTCTTTCGTCGGCTATCAACACACACAAAAATATCGAAAAAGTGTGCTGGAATTTTTCGGAAATTTTCAGAAAGCGCGTCTCAGATTAGGCCACGCCCCTTTCTACACTTTTGGCGCGCCGTGGGATCCTGGGGATTTTACTTTCAATTTCAGAAGCAAGCAATTCTAGGCGACCACCGCTATGTCATCGCAGAAATGAGAATAAAGTCAAAGCGTCAGTGAGGAGGAGGAGAGCATAAAAGAGAGGGGAAATGGAGCCTCAGTGGGGGGAGTGGGAAGAAGAACATGAAGAGGGAGTTGAATACTCTCTCTCTCTCTCTCTCTCTTTTCATCATAAACAAAAAGAGGGCTGACTTTCGTGAAGACTTGTGAGCCGAAAAGAGCGAGAGACAAAGAGGGAGAGAGAGAGAGAGGAAAAAAGAGTCAGATGTATTCATAGCATTATTATTTTTCAGTGTGTTTGTGTGAGAGTGGGGCTCTCCAAGCAGAAGAAGAAGAAGAAGAAGAGAAAGAAGAAGAAAAATGAGGGCTCTCATTGTCAGAGAGAGAGAGAACCAGGAGATTTAGCACAAATTCATAATAACACACGACATGTACATGGCATTATCCCGCCGCTTTCTCTCTGATTTCTTATCCGCTCACACCACTCTTCACGTGAGCCATAGAGGCTCAGACACGCCGCCGCCAAAACTCAAAAACGGGCGAAAACAGAGAGAGAGAAAGGAGCAATTTGCGGTCGAGTAATTTCCAATTCCGCTGCCCTCTCCTTTCCTTCGTGCGTCCCCCCCCCCGTTAATCCCGTTAATTGAATCGGGCCGACCGAACACGCATTTTCTCATCAAACATTTCATTTTTTTTCTTCTTTTTTTGCATTCAACTAATCATCATCATCATTGTCCACTGGACTCTTCGATGGACGCGTCTCCGAAACGGTGCAAGTGCTCTGAAAATTGAAAGATTGAGAGCGCGTGCAAGTGCGACATTTTTTCGCAATGTTAGCCAAAATTGAAAATCTTACCCCAAAAGATCGCTGAACCGTCTGCAACAACTTGTTCGCCTCACTTCCCGCTGAAATACACACAATTTTGTTGAGGGTGGAGGGGCGGCGAGAGACCCGCGCCGGCAGCCATCATGTCTACCCCCTCACACCCCGCTGTTCTCGCCGCCCGGTTAGCTCAGTCGGTAGAGCACCAGACTCTTAATCTGGTTGTCGCGGGTTCGAGCCCCGCATTGGGCTTACGTTTTGCATTTTCTTACCGACATTCTTCGCCGTGTACACCGCGTCTCCGATCATATCGCCGAGGGATATGGTGGAAAAGTCGAGAGACGCCGTATTTGTGGAATCCGAATCGATCGCGGATCTCGGCGGAACGTTCCGCACAATCGATTCTTGGGAGAGAGCGGTTCGAGCGGAGCCAGTGGTCTCGCAGCGAATTGTGTGCAGGGATACTGTAGTTTTAGACATTTTAAAGGGAGGCGTGAAGGGTTACGGTACAAGAGTCCACGGATTGAACACTCGAGACGCCGGAAGTGTTGAACGAGGACAATTGGGAGGCTGTCGACCAGGGACTGCAAAAAAAAAACAGAAGATTACTGTAGGCTACTACTGTAGGTCCACCTACTCGCACTCGATCGCTCCGTTCTTGCCCTCGACGGCCAATCTGACACGCGCGGCACGCAACGTCGCGTCCAAATCCGACAAATTCGAGCCGTCGGTGCTCGGATCGAACAGAGAAGTCGGATAGAGATTCGGAGGGGCCTGCGACGCCAAATGAGGAAGACTCGGCCAGGAACGGGAGCTCAGCGAGCACTTGGATCCCTCGTTCGGCCAGCAACTCACAATGGACAAGAGGTTGCGCGAGAGCAGCGCGCACTTGGCCTTTGCATCGAGTCCCGCCAGTTGAATGACATGCTCCAGGGCTCCGAGCTCTTGGTCCGTGAGCTGAAGGCTACGGATAGTGGTGGTGAGGGCGCGGAGAAGTTGGGCGGTACGGTCCGCAGCCGATCGAGGTGGCGATTGATGAAGCTGGAAGAGTGAGAGGTTTGAACGAGTATTGTAGAGCCACAAGTTGCGTGATGGCTTCCAAACTAGTTTGAATGAAATCTTGACATCTAGTACCACATTTTTTTAGTTGACCATTATTCTCTACAACCCTTCTGAAGGGTACTGTGGTCCTTGGAAGTTGGCACTGAAAATCTGATTCTTCCGGAAAGCGCCAACTTCCAAACACTACAGTACCCCGGGGAGTGGTTGTACAAAAAACTTGTCAATTACCAAAATGTAGGCGCTGTCTGCTACTACATTTTTGTTGTTCACCACTTTTTTCCAGGACCAGTCTTTAACGTACTACAGCGCTTCAAAGTCAAGACGCCCCACGTCTATGTGTATTTCAGTTCCAAGCGCTACAGTATCTCTGGGAGTGGTTGTACAGAAAAAGTGTCAACTATCAAAATAAAGTATTCGATGTGAAGATTTCACAAAACAAGTTTCAGAATCAAAGGACTATTGTGAAGTCTACAATACTCGTTCAAAGCCTACCTTTTTCGTCAACTCGCGCACCCTCCTCCGATTCTCGTGCATCAGCTCGACCGCCTGCTCCAACTGCTCGACGCATCCTTCGCTTTTCCGCACAAACTCCTCGATTGCCGTCTTTTTCGCCATGCGCATCCGCATTTCCAGCACTTTTCGCACAAACTCGGCCGCTTTCTCGTCAATCTCATCGATGGATCCGCCAGTTATTTCGCCAAAGTACTTCCCGATCTTTTTCAGTCCGCTCCAGTGCTTTCTGTCCTGCTCCTGGTCGCCCACAAACTGCTCGACGTGCTCGAGAAGCCAGTCGCCGAGCTGATGTTCGACGTGCGGCAGGATCTGAAAATGAGGCGGCCGTGGACGAGGAAAAGTGCGGCCACGCTTCGGATTACCCACCTGACAAAGCTCCTCGATTCCCTCGTTTTGAAGTCGAAGCGACGCGTTTTTGACGGAAATTCTCGAGTCGTCCGAGCTCTCCGAGACTCCAGACATTGAGCATTTCGATGTGGGCGTTATCGCGGCCGAAATTTTTCGCCAATGCGATCCCAGATCGGACGGCGGGCTCGGAGACGGCCGCGAGTCGAGGTACTCCGACGGCAGTGTCGGCGGACTGCAAATTTGTGCGTGCCTCACTGTCTCCCCAATAGCTAATGCTAAATTGAGCGCCGCGTTAAAACGGAGTGTCGTTGAAAACAAAAGCAGGTCTGAAATTTCTGGATTTTTTGCCGAAAACCCGAAATTTCATCCGAAAATTAGAAAAATGATGTAAAACAGAGATTTTCCGAATTGTTAATGGCAGCTGTGACCTTAAATTAGCGTACTGCTCACTGGAAAGCGCGCATTATTACAATTTTCTGTGAATTTAAGTCCGGATCTTTAAAAACTGAAATTTCTCAGTCATTTTTGCATTTTATGGGCCGTCTCTGTGCTCAAAATGACCGCCGTTGTCTGCTGAACAATCGTGAGGCAACTGTTTTCTCAAAATTTCCGAAAATTCGTTTTTCAAGCCAAATTTAAAAAATAACGAAATTACTCTTCGAATTTTCACTTTTACACGAGCACTCTGTGATCATTTTGTAGCTATCAGTCATATGAACAAACGTGAGGCAAAAGTTTTGAAGGAAAACTGTGCATAATCCCAAAAACTCGGAAAAACATCATTTTCAGTTGAAAAAACGTATCCCGTAAATCGACACTGAGAGCCGCACGCAAAAAAGGACGCGAAAATTTTTTTCGCCGAAGGGGAGACAGTGTGCTTGCGCATTTTCTCCGCTTTTTTGCGACTCACTCGGACGGTTGCCAGTGGTTCGATCCGAGATTCATGTGAGGACCATAATTGAAATACTCGGTCATCGGTTCCGGAAGATTTTGAGCGCAAACACACGAATACGCGCGACAGGCGGCGACGGACGGGGAATACATTCGAATTCGCGCCGCGGCACACCCCGATGATAAAATGCTGTCTAGTCGCGAGAAAGTTCGCGGTTTTCAGAGGTCACGTTTTTTTTTCTGAAAAAAATTGAATGGCGTCGACACGTGACCGTCAAGCGTCCAAAACCGTCTTTTTAAAACTCACTGTCTCCCCTTCGGCGAAAAAAAATTTTCGCGCGCTTTTTTGCGCGCGGCTCTCAGTGTCGATTTACGGGACAGTGTTTTTCAACTGAAAATGATGTTTTCCCCGGGTTTTTGGGATTTTGCACAGTTTTCCTTCAAAACTTTTGCCTCACGTTTGTTCATATGACTGATAGCTACAAAATGATCGCAGAGTGCTCGTGTAAAAGTGAAAATTCGAAGAGACTAATTTCGTTTTTTAAATTTGGCTTGAAAAAACGAACTTTCGGAAATTTTGAGAAAACAGTTGACAGAATCGAAAAACAGTTGCCTCACGATTGTTCAGCAGACAAAGGGGCGGACATTTTGAGCACAAAGACGGCCCATAAAATGCAAAAATGACTAAGAAATTTCCGGTTTTGACGGTCCGGACTGAAATTCACAGTAAAGTGTAATAATGCACGCTTTCTAGTGAGCAGTACGCTAATTTAAGGTCACAGCTGCCATTAACAATTCGGAAATTCTCTGTTTTACTTCATTTTTCTCATTTTCGAATGAAATTTCGGGTTTTCGGAAAAAAAAATCGAGAAATTTCAGATCTGCTTTTGTTTTCAACGACACTCCGTTTTAACGCGGCGCTCAGCTTAGCATTAGCTGTTGGGGAGACAATGTTTTTCTTCAAAAATCCGCTCACATCGCGAAAGTACACAAATTTTAATGGGGCTATTCAGCGTATGTTTGTTTTCCGTTTTTTTACATCGCTGAATTGTGTTTTTTGACGCAAAAAACGAAGAAAAACGGAAAAAATCATTTTTTCACAGCCTGAATAACCCCATTACATTTCCCCTCACATTTTTCGCGCCCTTTTCCCTTTCTTTACTTGTGTATGTACTAGACGAACCTCTTTTCCGTTGCTCCGTCTCCTCCGCAACAGAGAGAGAGAGTGCTTCTGAGCGGCGAGACCCAGACACGCCGGTCAGTGAGCCGTCTGATCGGTCAACTGGGTCCAGTGAGCCGGCGCGACGTTCGTTCGTTTTCAAATCTAATTTAGAATCGAAAAAATCGAGTAAAAGACAACATAAACGCGATAAAATGGGGGCCACTTGGTGGCTGGGTGGGGGGTGACATTAAAAGTTATTGCTACGTGCAAACGTACCGAAATTGTGTGATGATTTTAAAGGAAAAGTGAGAAATTGGGGGAGAAAAGCACAGATAATTGTATTATCGCTCTACTTGTCCGTCTTGAATTTCTCCAGCGAGATCTGGTGGTCGATGGCGGCGCGGTTGTGCACTCCGAGACGGACTCCGAGACGTTTGCGACGGCCCCACTGAAAAAAAATATTTTTGAAGTCAAGTCCCGAATTTTGGTGGATATTTCTTTAAAAAACACGAGAAGTACACGCGGCACTCGGATAATTCGGTCCGAATTTCGATTTTGACCCTGAGACGGGTGGCGAAACGAAATTTGAACTATTTTTGAAATCTGACGACCGGGGGACTAGAAAACTCCATCCGCCGTGCACTTTTCGAAATAATAATTACCTTCTCGAGCTTGGTGATGTCGTCGTAGTCGTGGATGCAGTAGAAATTGACGCACGTGACGGAGATGATGCCGATGAAGACGAAGAAGACGCACCAGACGGCGACGACTCCCAGAAGATCGTGGTACTCGAAATCTTGCTTCGGCATTGTGGACTTTCTGGAAAAAAAATGGGATAGAGAGTGAAAATGAGAAGAAAAATTGCATGAGAAAACGGGCAGAGAAAGGAACTTTTTTATTTGCCGAGCCGTCGAAAAATGAGAAAATGAGCTATCTTTTTTCTCTATTTTGATAGAATATTTAGTAAAAATAAAGAGCGGGCTAATTTTGAATTCCGACAAGAATGAGCCGCGGCGGCCGGCGGCTCGGGTGCTCTCGACTCCGCCCACTTGATCGGTCAATCGAAAATCATCATCGTCATTTCACCTGTGCGACGACCGGAAATTGACCGTTTTCTGATTTTTCGCATTGAGAAAAGCTCGTGAGTCTCGATTCACCGAGATTACGGTAGCTATTAAAGGCGCAGCACGAAAGATTACCGGTCATTTTGAAATTTTGCACGATATTCTGGGTTTTTTCGGTGTTTTTGAACTTTGACGTGTGTCAAAGCTGAAAAACATGTGTAAATAGTAATCCGCTCAAGGACGTAAATATATTTGTGTTATTAGAATCGACAATATTTATCGTGCTGGGCAAACACACAAAAAACGATCGGAAACTGATCGTTTTTCGATTTTCGGCGAGAAAAAGCTGAGAAGCGATGCGGAAATCCGATTTTGCAAGTTTAATAAAGTTTTTCTCAATGAAAACTGCAGATTACGGTAGAAGTTTAAAGGCGCAGCACCCGAAATTCTTAACATTTTGGCGCCAAAAATGCGAAAAGACGATAAAAGTGTGTGCAGCGCGCAATAATTCCTGAAAAGAAACGGCCGAAATGAGCTGAGAAATCTGAAAAAGATGATGAGCCAAGTGACTCAATTCCTCGGCGGATTTTCTGGGATTTCGGCAGAAGCTGTAACAAAAACGTGTAAATGTTAATCCGCTCAAGGACAAAAACGTGTGATTTATCAGAATCGACAATATTTGTATTATGGGGCTTGACACGCTGTTTTTTTTGGTTCCTAATGTGAGTCACAGAGGAGATGCGTCATTTGTACGCGTCGGAATCGTGGCGGGACCCATACCAAAAGATATTTGTGAAAATAGAAAAAAAAAACGTTGTGAAGAAAGTTTCAATTTGAAACGGAACGTCTCAAATAAGGTTAGTAATAGATACGCGAGATTTCAGGGACCGTTTGAGCACTCGTTTCGAATTTCTTTCCGATTTTTCAGTTTTTTGGCCATCGGGATCATTAGATCCTTCCAGAACTGGAACTGGTCGGACACCGAAGGATCTTCCGATCTTTTCTTTGTATTTTTTCGGTAGTTATTTCCTATTTTCACGCATTTTTCCCGATCCCTCCGATTTCGCCTCTGCTGGCCGAATCGCCGTGGCCTAGAAATCTCCGCGGCGGGAACTGTCTGCGCTCTCCTCGTTCCGCACACTCTCTCGCCGCCCCTCCCGCTGTGCTTGCCGCCCCATTTCTTACCGTTTTATCGTCCAAAACGTTTCCATAATCCGCCGTTTTTCCCTCCAAATCGCCTCATTACAGATGGCCAATCGATCCGACACTTCCAACGCGCCCAAACCGCCCAAAAAAGTCAAATCGTACGTTTTTTCTTGGCCGAAAACTGTTGAAATTCAAATTTTTGGTTGCTTTTTGTGTTCAGTGCTTTTGTGTCGAAATTCGAAGAGAAATTAGAGTTTTGCTTTAAAAATGCGTATTTCTTCAACGTTTTATTCCCAAAAAATACGCCACCCCGTCCGATTCGTCAATTTTCAGGAAGAAGCAGAAAAAGATGAGTTTCGCGCAGGCACAAGACGTCTATTTGCGTCTGAAACAGGAGAAAGAGGAGGAGAAGGAGCGAGAGCGCGCGGAACGGGAGAAACGGAACGAGACGATAGCGGCGACGAACAAATCACGGAAGAAGATGAACCAGGCGTTGGCGAAGAGGAACAAGAAGGGCCAGCCGAACCTGAACGCCCAGATGGACGTGCTTCTGGAGAGGATTCAGAAAAAAGTGGGAAAAGATTACAAAAAGCAGTGATTTTTTCCATTTTCCGCATTTTGTTGATTTTTACCCGTTTTTCAATGAAGTTGTTGATTTTCTCGCTTGTTCTGCCAATCTTGCCCCATTTCTCAATCGTTTCATCGATTTTCGACCTATTTTTTTTTGCGAATTTTAGCGATTTCCAAGTTTTCACCTGAAAAACATTAGTTTCAGGTAATCTTCAATGTCGGAACCCGAAAACGGTCCCAAACGACCGACACAACCGTTTTTGCGAAAAGGACAAGGAACGGCACGCTTTGGAATGGTATTTCAAGCAACAAAACATGAGGAAAAGCACATTTTTTCCAGCAAAATTCGAGTAGAAATGCGCCGGGAGCCGGAGCGGCACAAAGTCCCATGATTCAGTTGCCGAGATTCACGCCCACGGTGAGATTCACGCGCATTTTTTGTGCGAAAACGCCAAAATTTGCAGAGTTCGATACCATTTTCGGCGCGAACCGTGGACAGCGGAATTTCGAACGAAGACGAGACGCGGCCGCCGACGACCGCCTCGCTTCCGATGGACCGCCCGTTCGGTGAGCCGCAGAATCGGACACCGACAGTATTGGAAGAGGAAGAGGAAAAAGGAGAAGAAGAAGGAGAAGAAGAAGAAGACGAAGGACACGGAGGAGAAGAAGAGCAAGTACGCCCGGAAACGTTCATTCCGGACAGCATGATCAGCACGGAACCGTGCTCCGAAGCCTCCGCCGACGCACTCAGATATCGACAGATTGCCGAGAAGATGCACCAGCAAGCACACCATATTCAGACGGTAATTTTTGGCGTTTTTCGCTTTGGAAATTGTGGAAAATCGGGCGAAGACCATCATTTTTTGTCTGAAAGTGTGAAAAATTGCCTTAAAATTGCAGATTTTTGTCAGTTCTCAAGAAAATGTCAATTTCCTTTCAGCTGGCGTCGGTCTCGTCGGCCTCGCCTGCTTCGTACGCCTCCTCGGATCTTTCCGGGCCGCTCGGCGCCTCCACTCCGATCCATCTTCTGCAGGACCCCAACAATCAGTCCCTGACGCGTCGGGATCCGCCCACGCATCAAAATCAGCCGCTTCCGTTCCAATCGATGTCGTCCACTTCCCTGGAGACCCCACAAGCCCGACCGTTTGCGAGTAATCGCGTCAATTTGATGGGTACTCTTAACATTTTCACGTTTCGCAAAGGAGACACCATTTTCAGCACAACACGAAGCGCAAACGGGCATGAGTTTGATCGAGAATCGACGGCGCCACGTGCCACGTCATCAAAAAGAGAATTTCCAGCAGTTTGAGCACCTTCCGCCGCTCTCCGAGCACGTCTACGATCAGCCGATGCCCCATATGCCGCCGTCGCAGCCGCCCGCGCAAAACCGCGCCGTCCGAAATTTGATGATTCAATTGCGGGATGCGATTGCGCACGTCGATTTCGCAGAGGAACAAGTCCGGAAATCCGGACGACAGCTTCACGAACAATATCAGAAAAAGACGGCGTCGATGGCGGCGGAGTACGAGAGGAAAACGAAGGAGTCGGAGGAGGAGTGGCGACGGAGAATGGAGGTTTTGGAGGAGGAGCGGCAGACGGAGACGGAGAGGATCAAGCGGGAACGGCGCGAGATCGAGAGGGACCGGAAGTTGCTCGAGAAGGGAAAGGGCGAGCGGCAGAGGGAACAGACCAAGATGGTAAGGAACAGGGCCCAATTTCTGAATTCTGAATCTGAATTTCTGAATTTCTAGATAGGTTTGACTCTATTTTAGCGAGTATCTCTTGCAGATCGAAGAGCTGCGCAAAAAGTACGAGACGGCCGAAACGCAACTGGCAAAACTGCGAATCGACGTGCGAAATCGGGACGATCGGCTGAAAAAGAAGGAGGAGGAGCTGGAAAAAGTGGCGACGGAATGCGAGAAGAATAAAAAACGCGTGCGAATCCTCGACAAACAAGTGCGACAATTGCGGCAGGCGAAAGAACGCGCCGAGCGGGAGGAGCAAATGTTCGCGAGGGCGGCCATCAACCGAACGGGACCACTTCAGCCCTATCCGATCGGGACCAGAACCGCCAGACCACCGCCGCAGACGGCCCAGAGAGCTCCGGAAGTGATCCGTAGACGATCGGTGAGCTGGGCGGACGAGCCGGAGGAGGACGAGCTGTCCCTCGGATGCATCGAGCCAGAGGGACCCGGTCCGCAGCTGCCCGCCATGGTGAGCAACGGAAAAGATTGAAAATTATTCATATTTTGTTCAGAAGCCGTCGGAACGAACGAAAAGTCAATGGGGACCGTGTACGGTCTACCGGGACCAACTCGGAGAAGCGACGAAAGTGACGAAGACGGCCGAGAACGGAACGCTCGTGGAGTACGCGAACGGCAACGTCAGATGGATGAATGCGGCCGGCGCTGTGCAGGTTAGCACACGGTTCTACGCGAAATCAGTGAAAAACGCGTCTTTTTGTGAATTTACAATATCGGAATCGGATTCACCGTCGCAAATTGACCCACAATCACATTTTTTTTTGCAGTGGTACCGATTCGTGGACGACGGAACGATCAAGATTGAGCTGGTTGCGGCGAAAATCAGTATTGTTTGCTTCCCAAACAGACAGGTAATCTGAAGCGCAGCCCACACCTACAATAATCGCTATTCTAGTTGGAAGTGAAACGGCCGGCCGACAACGTGACAGTGATCAGCCAGAATCGGGCGGAAATCCGCACCGAGCTGATGCACCATGGCAGCGGATACCGTTATGTCGAAACGTTAGTTTTTAGGCCGCATTCTGATCAATTTCGACGGGCATCGTTTTCAGATTCAATCGGAATGGTGAAGTGGTCGCCCGGGACTTCTGTGGACCCGATGTCATCAAAAAGTGAGTGAACATTAAACATTTTCGTCATGCAAACCTGAAAAGTTACAATTTTTGCAACTAGAAGACGTTTTGCAACCATTTTGCAACCAATGTCCTGCCAAAATCCGTACTTTCGACGAATGCTGAATATTTCGCGGTTGCCAAGTGTCCACGGTTGCGAAATGTCTTCTTCGACACGTTGTCTTTCAGGTACACGGCCGGAGTGCCGACGTCGTTCCGAAACGGTGAATCGCGGCGCGTCGACGTGTTCGCATTCGACGACTTTGAGCTCGTGGAGCCGGAATTCCGTCTGCGGTGGTACAAAGGCGAGGCGGTCGTCGTGAAGGCGTTGGGACGGCCGATGACCGGCGAAAAAGTGATTCGGATGGAGTTTTCGCCGAAAAACGGCACCGGAACGATGGAAGCGGTCGAGAACGAAGTGATCGATAACAAAGTGGTGAAGACCAAAATTATGCAGTGGTGATATTATCCTTTCTTGTGTGTTTCCCCCCCTTTTTTTTACTTGTCAATATTTTTGTGCCTTTCAACCGATACTCCTCCCCACTGATCATCTCTAAATTGCACTTATCATTCCCTTTTCCATTTCCGATTCTTGTTTTTTGATCTGTGAATACGCGCATTTGCTCAATTGAATCTGACGTTTTGCAACCGACAAATATCTAAAAGTGGTAGAATCCGGTTGCGAAACGTCTTGAAATGAAAATACGAAAATTTATTGGCTGACATTGAGCAAATATGCATTAAAAAATTAGGGAAAATCATGAGATAGCGGTCGTTCGTCCAAATGCCAACTCGAGCGTCCATTCCTCAAATACTTTCCGCTTTGTTGTCTGTCCGGCACCAAATAGTAGCCCTCAAATCTCAACTCCCTGGCGATCAACGCCAAATGGCACCAGTAAAGCGAATAAGTGAAGCAGAAATTGAGAAAAATAGTGTAGGGAATGAGAAGAACGTCGAGGTTATTAATCGACTCGAACGGAACGAGAAGGATTAGAAATGTGGTGGCGAAAAAGTAAACGATTAATATCAGAAGTTTCGAGCACGACGGATAGTGCTTCGGGAATGAAATTGCGTGACTCATTCGAGCGTACGGCACTATTATAGGAACACTCGAATAGAAAACGCAATAGTTGAAGAGATAGATGGGTATGAGGAGGAACGCCTGAAACGAATTGAGCATATATATTTGACCTGGACCGTTGAACCACTTGCAGCGATCCGATCGGGTCCAAACTTTGCAGGACCATTGGGACCAAGTTTCAGCCCGATCGGATCATCTGGTCCCGAGATATACTGGAATCCACATATCTCTGGAGCCGACGATCCAATCGGGCTGAAACTTGGTCCCAATGGTCCTGCAAAGTTCGGGTGCCGATCGGATCACTGCAAGTGGGCGTCCATGAAAACTAACCGATCGACTATAGGAGTAGGCGAGAACGGAAATGAGCGTGCCGAAAAGTGCGGCGGTGAGTCCGATAATGCAGCGAGTGAACGCGTGGGGAGTGTGCTCGAACGCCATCGAAATCCACGCAACGAGCACCATCACGAGAAACGTCGGGAACGAGAACACGAATTTGAGCACGTTCGTCGTGGTGGTGTGCTCAAAGTCGTAGTCGTGCGCCGGTTTGAACGTCTCGACGCCCAATTGTCCGATGAACCACCAGGAGAAGAGGAGGTTGAATGAGAGGCCGAGCAGCGGCACTAATATCACCCATGACGTGAGTTTGGGACGTTTTGAAGTGGCTCTCATTTGAGCAATCATCATAACTGGTTAGTTATTGAGCGAGCGAGGGATGCGGGATTGATTTATTTGAATGGATAGTATGGCCTAGCTATTTCTAGGCCATCTAGCTAGGGGGGGGGGGGACCTGAGAATGCAAGAGAGGGACATCAGGTTTTTTGACCATAAGTATTATGAACCAGAGTTAAGCGGAAATGGAATTTTTAAATCCGGAAGACGGAAGTCGGAAGAAAAATTTTTTTAACGGAAAACGGAAAACGGAAGACGGAAAAAAATTTTTCTCACGGAAGACGGAAAACGGAAGAAGGTAGAAAATTTTTTTTACGGAACACGGAAAACGGAAGACGGAACAAAAAAATCGTCAATGCAGAACTCTTTTCTCCGGTTTTTTTTTGAAAAAAAAAAACTAAACAACAAAAATTTTGGATCCCGTGGAAATTCCCGTTCTTCGGGGCTACTAAATGGCTTCTGAACAGCTATTACTCTTTTACGGTAAGAAGAAAAAATCCCGGAAGAAAAAATTTTTTAACGGAAAACGGAAGACGGAAGAAAACCTTTTTCTCGGAAGACGGAAGACGGAACAAAACTTTTTCTCGGAAGACGGAAGACGGAAGAAAACCTTTTTCCCGGAAGACGGAAGACGGAAGAAAGTCTTTTTCTCGGAAGACGGAAGACGGAAGAAAACCTTTTTCCCGGAAGACGGAAGACGGAAGACGGAAGAAAACCTTTTTCTCGGAAGACGGAAGACGGAATTCCGCCGCTCAACACTGTTATGAACTAGACAAAAACTGACATCATCGCGTTGTTTTCGCGTGTTGTTCTATAGTAATATCCGTGCAATGTCTCCTGGGAGCCGTAGGCGTGGGCCCCGGCTAGTTTTCTTAGAATCCCTCATTGCTTTAGATATATATAAATTCGCCCTCTCGTTCAGTTCTCCCATTTTGAGCGGAAATGACGCCCATCGTCTCCCACAATTCGCACCCGGAATGGTTCGAAAAACCCCAGGAATTACTCGTCTACGCCACCTATATTGCCGTTTTTGTCTGGACATCCGAAACGATATCGATAGGAGCACTGAAACTGATCGGACCCCAGATTTGGGTCTTGCGAATCGGACAATCTCTGTCATTTCTGATGGTCATGACGTGTTTGGCGTGTTCGCACGCTTTCCTCATTGTCAATTTGGATAAGGAACTGGAGGTGAGAACCACTTGCAGTGATCCGATCGGTCGCAAAATTTGCAGGCTTTTTGGACTTGGATTCAAGTATATTAGGTCCAAGTTTCAGCCCGATCGGATCATCTGGTCCCGAGAGCCCGCGCTTTTTGCATAGCATCGGCCGACGATCCGATCGGGCTGAAACTTGGTCCCAACAATCCTTATAGCTCAATGAAACCTTTGAGATGTCCCAAACAGGGGTGTGCGGAAAATTTCGGAAAATCGGTTTTTCCGAATTTTTTTTTTCGGAAAATTTCGGAAAATCGGTTTTTCCGAATTTTTTTTTTCGGAAAATTTCGGAAAATCGGTTTTTCCGAATTTTTTTTTTCGGAAAATTTCGGAAAAATCGGAAAAATCGGAAAAGCGCGTTGAACTTGTGGCCGCAAAAACACGCTTTCTCACCGTTTTTCCGCCGCCCAGTTAAATATACGTCCCACTTTCCCATTACGTCAGCTTTTCTGAAAAAACAACACAAATCGCAACAATCGGTTCATTAGAATGAGAAAAACGAAAGAAATTGCGTAAAATTTAAAAATCAAATTTAAAAAAAGACGCTCGCTGCTAGACCCTTCCAAAAATTTTGTGATGCGCCTTTAAAAAGCATACGGTGGTTTCGGACAAATTGACCTTGAATCCACACTAATTTTCCGAAAATTTTGCCGAAAATTTTCCGAAAATTTCTCGGAAAATCGGAAAATTTCGGAAAATCGAAATATTTTCCGCACACCCCTGGTCCCAAAGTACCTTTTCTTTCAGTTGACACCCCTCTCCTCGTGGTCCCTTCTGATCAGCCTGCATCTCCTGGCGTTCCTCTCCGTTCTCCTCAAGACCGTTCGTCGCCACTACACGCCGACGCGTTGGGACCGCCAAGAATGGACGGATTCGGTGTTCCGTCACTTCCTCACCGCCTTCCTCGTCTTCTCGATGCTCACGGAAATCGCCGCGATCGCGAGGCTCGCCGATTTGTGCGATACAAACGCGACAAATCGAATTTGCGCCTCGATTCTCATGTGTTTCTGGGCGTCCACGACGTTTGTGCTCTTTTTTCGATTCGTCCGAGCCACCGAGTTTCGCATTTTCGACCTGGAAACCAACGAACGAATTGGGGAAATTGTGAGGCGCGAAAATCGATTCGAGCTGAACGTTGCGGAGAGAAAATTGGAGAAAAACGAGGGGCGGCTCGAGAATTTGAAGATTTTGATTCATGATATCAGAAATTGTCGTCGATAAATACACTTTTTATTCAAAACAAATGCTGAATGTCCTGATACAACTGTTTTCTGTTCACCGCCGGATGTTTGATGCGAAAAAGATGCGCGACGCATCCCATTCCCTCGAGAGTCGTGTTCAGCACGTGGCAAAGCGATAGAAGGTCCTGGAACCGCGACGGTCCCGCCTGACGATGCGTGATCATCGTGTACTGGAGCAGAGCCGAGCTATAGATCTTCTGGTAGGAGCCCAAGAAGCTCCGCCCACTCTCCGACAGGTTGTTGTTCACTGAAAATGCGATTCTCGGCGCGAAACATGTCCGTCTCACCTGAATTGCAAATGAAGATGAGCGTGAGCAGCAGAAACTCCTCCGACGTCATTTTGAGCGCGTTCACCCGTTCGACGAGCTCGCTGCGGATCTTTTGAAGTAGTTTCGGATTCAAACTCGACATTTTGAACGGAAAAATGTCGACGCCGCCGGGGAAACTCATAATATTCTCGCCGGAACATCGCACCGCCGACGAGAACGTGGCGCATTGGAAGAACGAGGTCAACAGAAACGTTCGCACGTCATCGGGCGCGAGGAACTTGACGAATTCCTGTCGTTTCATGAAATCCAGTGTGGTCACCAGGTCGATGACGACCCAATCGTAAAAAGTGTTCGAAAAATCGACGGGTTTCGGCGTATAGTGCACTGAACTCGACGAGATGACGTCATTGAGGCCGACGTCATCGGAAAGTTGATAGTTGAGAAAGAGGTTCTTGCGCGCCGAGTCCATGATCGACAATTTTTGCAGGAGCAACGATAGATTGTCCGAGTTTTGCAGTTGCGATTTTCGAATGTTCTCCGAGAAATAGGCCATCATTCCGGACCGGATGCACTGTTGAAAGCGGCAGAAGCGGCAGTCGATCGAGTTTTGCGGACACGCGCCGCCGTTCACACACTTTCGAAACTTTTTCGAGTTGAGGCACCGTTTGAAGAACGTTTTGCACGCGTTGCACGACGGAACCTGAACAAATGAAATGGGTTGGCGCGGCGGTTTCAATGGGGCGCACTTGCAACAGGCGGGCGGCCGATTAATTAATTTTCAACGGAAGTTCGCGCGTTCGTTCCATGTTTTCTGTGCAATACACCTATTTTTGTACGCCTGGAACCTGGCATCGAATAATTAGAGAGCATATCGTTGAGAATTAGCCGAGTTATTTCGATTTGAAGGTTTTTGCTGGGATTTTGATGTTTTTCGAATAGTTTCGCGAAAACTGCTCAAGAAAACCAACCGCCGGAACCTGAATTTTGTGAAGAAAGATTCAGCGAACATTTTTAACGTTCGTTGGGCTCATGAAATGCAAAATGAGCTGAAATATAAAGGTTTGAAGTTTTGACGAAATGCGAAAAAGACGCTAAAAACATGAAAAACTCTAAATTCTGTAAAGAACGGTTTTCAATCAGTTTTTCAAGTCAAAAAGAAAGAAATAAAGGTCGTAAACTCGAATTGAAATGCATTTTTAGACCAGCAAAATTTCAAAAAAAAGTTACAACGACACTCCGCAAATTACGAGCGCACTGTGTTTAGCATTAGCGCCCTCCCTGGGGAGACCATGAACAGTACTCACGCCATAATGGAATCCGGTCGTTTTACACGCACAAATCGCACACTTCTGACCGAGCAAATGCATTTGTGGCGTCAGGAGCGAGCGCAAAACTCGGCGGCGCGACGGAGCCAAATTGGTCTACACGCGGCGGCTCAATTTACTCTGGCGTCGTTGTCGTCGTCGTCGTCAGCGGCAGCGGCCCGCGGCTTTTATTAATCCCTTTTTCGTTGGTCGTGTACTCGGAATTTTGGGATTCAAAGAAATCACTTTTTGCGGCCTTTTGCACATTAATAATCAACACACACACACCCCCCACTCACTCGCACTAATCTCATCAGAAAACTGCTGAAAGTTGCGGCTCGGCTGTTTTCTGGGAAAACGCGAGCCCATTTCCAGGTTTCATGGAGTTTGCACAATTCTCGGGCCAACATTTATTCGTCAGAAATTTTAACAGGAATCGGATTCGGACTCGTGTCCCGCTGGATGTCCCGTTTCAGCAAGAAAACGATGAATTCTGGTTCGGTGAAGAGCGTGTACATGCGGTCCGGATCGTTGTGGTAGGGCCCGAGCTCGAACTGATTGTCGTGGATGATGAAGAGCGGTCCCTTGTCGGCGTGCAGGTACGGATGGGAGTGCCGGTTGAAGTCCGCCTTCGCCGGGAACGTCTCCGACACTTCTCCGCCGTGCGTCTTGATGATCTTGTAAAAGTCGAGGACTGCAAAAAAAGGGCGACACTTGTGCGATGGGATATTGTGCTTTTCGACCCACTTTTAGGACAGTCCTTCATGACGAGTGCCACGTGGGCGCCCAGCAAGAACGGAACGTCTCCCTTGGCCATGGCGCGGCTCCACGGAAGCACCGCGTTCTCGTACACGTGGCCCTTGTACTTGACCCGCTCGACGAGGTACTTGTCGTCGTGCTTGATGAGACGCCCGTCGCGCACACAATCCACCATCCACTGCTCGCTCACTATTATCGTTCCGTTGAAGATCGAGGCGAGCAGCGAGACGTCGTCCGTCTCGAGCACGCCGTCCGCGTCGGTTCGCACCACGCAATGCGTCATCGTGTCGAGCGCCTCGTTGGTGGCGATCGACGGGAACGCGTCGAAGAAGCGGTCGCTCGCCTCGTTGCTCGTCTCCGGATGCATGTAGATGTGGAACGAACTGACGGGGAACACGTCGGGCACCTCTGCAAACACGCCCGCATATTGTACGATCAGATATTGGGCGGACCGACGCACTCAGTCGGTACTTCTTCTTTCGACACTTTTCATAGACGCGTAGGACCTGTTCGAACTTGTCGCTCTTCGTGCGGAACGTGGCCGAGTCCGCCGCCGGAACCATCTGCTCGGCCGTCTTGTTCTCCGTGCTCAGCATCGTCCGATCGGCGCCCGCCTTGATCAGCATCCGCACCATGTCCGGGTAGCCGTTCTCGGAGGCAATGTGCAGCGCCGTCTTCCCGTTGCCTTTCAAACATTGTGTTGGCACCGAGTCGTCGACGGAGATATTGTCGACTCACTGTTGCGCACGTTTATGTACACTCCCCGCCGGATCGCCTTGCCCACGTTCACCGCGTTCGTGTCGTGCACCGCGTCGATCAGCGCGTTCTTCATGTCGGTCCGGTCCATGAACAACTGCAAATCGAGAAAGTATTCGGGAAGAAAAGTTGGGCGACCGCACCGAATATCTCCATCTCCGCTCGAACTCGTCCATGTTCGGAAAGTAGTACAGGTACCACATTCTGTACCTTTTCCGTCCGTTCTTTGTGAATCCGTAGCCGATGATCAGGACGATGATGAGCAGGAGGAACGCGCCGATGCACACGCCGACGACGCCGAGCACCGAGAACGTGCGGTCGATTCTGAAAGTCACTTTTAGATCATAGATCACTCAAAATATGTTACATTCTGATCTCCAGTTGAGGATTGGGCTTCAGACCGAAGATGTCATCGAAGTAGTCCTTGATTTCTCCGATGCTCAAAGCAGCCGCACTCAAATCTCCTTTATAATCGGCAAAATTCAGAACCCATCCGCTGAGAATTCTCGAATTCTCCGTAGCGTCCTGCAATCCCGCAATCGTACGGTAGCTCCTCAACTGTCGGTGAATCTCGCGATAGTATTGGAAGCTCGGGAAGCCGTGAATCCGCTTCACCTCGTCGAACAACGCCCTCATCTCCATGAGATCTTTGCCACGTACGCGGCTCGCCGCAAACTGCTCAATGAGCTCCAGGTCGTGGAGCAGTCCGTCGATCGCCGCCTCCCGCTGCTGCAGGTAGAAGAACTCGGCGGCCGGACTCAGTTTGTGGCCCCTCAGAAGCGTCTCGCTCACTTTCTCACTGTAGCTCTTGGCCGCCTCGAGCACCGGCCTGTTTTCCTGCGCATTTGTCAACTGCCGAAGCACGATCATCGCCTTGCCGAGCCGATTCGTCAATTCCAGCGAGTTGTTGAGTCGAAGGATCGGATCAAAAGTGGTCCCGCCGGATATGCCCTTCACATACTTTTCCATTTCCAGCAGGCTCTTCCGAAACGTCTCAAAATCCTCCAAAACCATCTTGATCTCCGCCAAGTTTTGATGTTCGGCCAACGCGAAGACACTGTTCAAGAACTCGATGATATCCATCACCATGTGCACACCAAAACCCTTTTCCTTTTCGGCCAAACAATCGAGGTCCGCCTTCAACTTTGTCTGCGCATAAATCGCATTCAGATCCAGTCGACTCGGATCGGGCGACACCTGCTTGACGAGGCGCAGCTGAGACTTATAAAGTGTTTGAAGTTTCGCGAGCGGTTCCAGTGCGTACAGAAACTTTTCGAGCTCTTCATAGTGCTCGAGCCGTCGGATGAGCTCCCGATTGTAGTCCCAGCTCTCGCCGTCCGCCAGCTGTCCAATCATGTTGAAGACGTCCTCGACGGCCGTCAAATCCACCCCGTCCACCAGTTTTTTCTGCCATTTCCGCAAGTTTTGGACTGTTTTCATGAGGTGTAGCGGTTGGTTCAAGCGACGTCTCGCCTCGTCCATACTCGTCGAATTCGCTCGTTTTTCGCCACCATTCCAACATCGGCGCCACACGTTTTTCGCGTTGGCCAACGTTTGCGAGTGTTGCTCGCCCTGGAACAGCTCGACCGTCTTCAGCGGTCTCGTGATATCATCGATCTGCTTTTGCGCCTTGCTCATTTCCCTCTCGAACACATGCCAATTCGATTGAACCACATTCATGCGCCGTCCAAAATCCATAAAAGGCGCCAACGTTTTCTCGAGCTTTTGCGTACTTTTGCCCCCTGACACCTTCTCTTTGAACCAATCACTCTTCAAATCCACGCCAATCTTTCCAATGTCTCCGGGATCCGGAAACCCGGCCGTATACTGTACCGCCGCTTTCCGCACCCGATGCACAAACTGTTTCGACGTCTTCTCGAGCAGCGCGCCCACACTAATCGTCCGCTTTGTCTTCCAAATGTCCGCCGTCTGTCCGAAGACCCGATCCACGTCGTCCAGAAGCGTCGGAAGCGTCTCAAACCGAGCCGAATTGTCCGAAAACCAGCGCGCCGTGTTGATGGTCGCCTCGAACTCTTTGAGAACCGCGGCCGCGTCTAGAAAACGTTTTTGCACTTCGTCAGAGTACGTTCGAATGTTCTCGAGACACTTGTGCACTTCCAAACCACTCGACTTTCTCTGGATGATCTTCAGATACCCGTCCCTTTTCGTCTCCTCCAGCACCGTTTTATTCGGCTCGATGAGCGCCTCGTAAAAGTTTTGCATGTCTGTGACCAGGCCGGCAGCGCACACCAGCGCCACTTCGGAAGCCGTCTCGTTGTTGACGACGGTTCTGTAGAACTCATGGGCCCTGGACCCGTCGATCGCCTGACTCTTGTCCTCGATCGTCTGCGCCCAGATCTTCTCGTTCAGCACGTTCATCTCCCTCAGCGTGCGCCGATCCGCGGCGCCGATCTTCGCCACGAACGGCACAACAGAAGCGTACTCTCGTTGCACATTTCTCAGAATCACTTGCGGATCCACCCTGATCAGCTCGATGAGGACGTCGGTGTTGGTGCGCAAAAGTTCGGCGATCACCTCACGGATCATCGCGTTCTTCTCGAGCGCCGCCGCCTGGAGGCTGATCGCGTTGGCGACACGTGTCAGAATGGCAAAGTCTTCGTAGATTTCGCGCAGCGCCGAGACTGAAAAACGAGCGTGTTTTCACAGATTTTGCGGCGTCCTGTTGCTCACTATTCGCCGAGTCCACGACGGAGCAGACGGCGAGCAAGATGATCGCAATTATGATTCTCATTCTCGTCTTATAAGCAACTTTTTTTACTTCTGCAACAAAAAAAAACAGTATTTTGGTTGTGGCATTACAGAAAAACCAACCGATAAACGTGTTTTTAATACTGTAGCGCACCGTCTTGGAAAACGACAATACTTTATTGGGAGTTTCGAATGATGACGATTTGTTGGACGGATAATGAAAGGACACGTTCACTTTTACTCAAATGTTAGCATCAAACAACGTGTCCGATTCTCTTCAATTCCAACTTGTCGCATTTCTACACTTTCCCTCCTACGCGTTCTGCATAACTATTGGTAGGGGTTTTTCGGGTGTTCTGGCGAAAAAGTGTGTGTTTCAGAAGTGAAAAAGTTGCTTATAAGACGAATGAGATCTATAATTCCGATAATCTTGCTCTTCGCCTTCTGCTCCGTCGTGAATTCAGCTGGAAATGGTAATGCCGCGTCCAAAGTCTCGGAAAACCCGCAAATCTCGCAGATTTTGCAGTCCAAAGTCGGCAGAAATTTGCGGGAAATGCGGGGTGCGCACAGTTGAACGAGTGTTACCGTACACCATAAAACTACGGTTTTTTTGAAAAATTTTCAAATATTCTCGAGAAATTTAAATTTTTTTATTTAAAAAAATACCGTTGAAAAATTTACCCAAGAAATTTGAAAAAAATTTCAAATATTCTCGAGAAATTTAAATTAAAAAAATATACCGTTGAAAAATTTACCCAAGAAATTTGAAAAAAATTTCAAATATTCTCGAGAAATTTAAATTTTTTTATTTAAAAAATACCGTTGAAAAATTTACCCAAGAAATTTGAAAAAAATTTCAAATATTCTCGAGAAATTTAAATTAAAAAAATATACCGTTGAAAAATTTACCCAAGAAATTTGAAAAAAATTTCAAATATTCTCGAGAAATTTAAATTTTTTTAAAAAAATACCGTTGAAAAATTTACCCAAGAAATTTGAAAATTTTCAAATATTCTCGAGAAAATTAAATTTTTTTCTTAAATACCGTTGAAAATTTACCCAAGAAATTTGAAAAATTTTCAAATATTCTCGAGAAATTTAAACTTTTTCAAAAAATACCGTTGAAAATTTACCCAAGAAATTTGAAAATTTTCAAATATTCTCGAGAAATTTAAATTTTTTCAAAAAATACCGTAATTTTATGGTGTACGGTAACATTCGTTCAGCTGTGCGCTCCCCGGATTTCCCGCAAATTTCTGCCGACTTTTGACTGCAAAATCCGCGAGATTTGCGCGTTTTCCGAGACTTTGGACGCGGCATAACGAACAGTGCGGAAATGACACATAGTTTCGAATTGACATTCAGTCTCGGCGCTACGCGAGATCTACGAAGAGTTTGCGATGCTGACACGTGTCACCAACGCGATCACGCTGCAAGCGGCGGCGCTCAGAAAGAGCGTGAAGGTGCGTGAGGTGATCGCCGAGCTTCTGGGCACCAACGCGGAGAATCTGACGAATCTGATCGGCATCGATCCGCTAGTGATCGCCACAAGTGTGCAGAGGGATTACGAGTTGGTGAAAAAGTTCGACGCCGGGCTCGCGGACGATGTGCGCGAGGAGTTGCAGCGGATTCAGGACATGAATCAGCAGGTGCTGGAGGAGCTGAGCCCGGAGAACGTGCGCGCCGTCGACGGATCGCTCGCCGACGACTTCTTCCGATCGGTCGTCAACAATTCGACGGCGCACGACGTCGGCCGAGTGTGTGACGTCACACTGGTCACGGACCTTGCCAACTTCCGTCAAACTCTTGTAGATTCGACGCAAAACTCAATCTTTTTAGAGGCTGTTATCAAAAAGACGCGCCAAGTGATTGAGTGTCTGGAAAGAATTCGAAATTTCGACAAAGAAGTCAACAATAGCTATTTGAAAAAGGCGAACGTGCTGCGCGATTTCCAGAGGACCATCAGTACGATTTCGGAGTTTTCAGAAGACTACGCCGACATGCCCTCTCTTATGCACGTCGTCGAGGACGTCTTCAAGCGAACCAAACCTATCTGGAGCACGAAAAGGAGTGTAAAAGTGGGCGCGCTCATGAGACGCTCCATCGAATGGTTCCTAGGCGTGAACCGCAAGTCGGCCTACACGTACACGGTCGCGTTTCCGGGAAAAGGAGAGATGGCGATGGTGGCGCACGATTTGAAGAGTGACTGGTTCACGGAGAAGGTGTCGAGGGGCAAAAGTACAAAAGAGCTGGAGACGGCGTTGGGCGGCGTGTTGGAATTCGGAAAACGGATGGGCGAGGTGGAGGAGAAGTGGAAGAGGTTCACGGCGAAAATGGGCGACGCCGGACGGGGAATCGGTGAGATCGAGGCGCCGCTTCAGGAGATTGAGGCATTTGACGCGGGACCGACGGCGGCGGACACGTTACGAGTGGCCAAAGACACGTGGACCAAGTGCTGGACCCAGAAGACCGTCAACGAGACGGCGCTCGATGAGGCGGCGGAGACGTTGAAGCACCCGATTACGCTTGTGGAAGTGGTGAAGAAGGTGCAGGCGTGGCACAAGAAACTGATGCGGGAAGTGGACCTGACCGCGGTTGAAGATGCGTTCAACCACATTGGGAACATTGCGGACAAGGATCCGGAAGTGGTGGTGAAGCTCATCGAACGGCTGGAACACTTTTCAGACCTGGAGGACTTTCTCGAAATGATTCCGGAACTGAGAGAATTGCATGTGGAGTACGCGAACGCGTTGGAACGCGTTCTTCGCACGAAACAAGCGACCGGACCCATGACTGCACGGATGCTGGACCTGAAGGATCTGTACAAAAGTTCGAGGTTGGAGACGGATATGGCGTGTCTGGGCAAAGAGGGAAAGTTCGATGTGACGACAATAGAGAAAGTCATATTGTTCATCGACTATTGTTCGCAACTGGCCGACGTTCAGGGAATGAATCAGACCAGAACGGTTTTGATCGAATTTGAAGCGTTTCGGAATAGTCTGCTGGAAGTGGAGAAGTTTGTGAAGGGGCTATCCGATGGCGGCGATCGAACGGACTCTAACCCGGCCCTTCGACTCAACAACTCGCTGGAATTGACGAATCGGCTCGGCAAGGCGATGATCGTGCTTCGGCAGTTGACAAATGCGCAGGAAAACAGGCGGGTGCTCGAGGCGGCCAAGAGCTACAGTGAGAAAGTGAGCGAGACGCTTCTGAGGGGCCACAAACTGAGTCCGGCCGCCGAGTTCTTCTACCTGCAGCAGCGGGAGGCGGCGATCGACGGACTGCTCCACGACCTGGTGCTCATTGAGCAGTTTGCGGCGAGCCGCGTACGTGGCAAAGATCTGATGGAGATGAGGGCGTTGTTCGACGAGGTGAAGCGGATTCACGGCTTCCCGAGCTTCCAATACTATCGCGAGATTCACCGACAGTTGAGGAGCTACAAAAGTATTGCGGGAATGGAGGAGGCGCGGAAAAATGCACTAGCGATGAGTGAAATGGATCTGAATTTTGCGGGCTATAACGGCGATTTGAATGCGGCCGACTTGACCATCAGAGAGCTCAAGGACTACTTTGATGACATCTTCGGTCTGAAGCCCAATCCTCAACTGGAGACCAGAATGTAACATATTTTGTGTGATCTATGATCTAAAAGTGACTTTCAGAATCGACCGCACGTTCTCGGTGCTCGGCGTCGTCGGCATGTGCGTCGGCGCCTTCCTCTTGCTCATCATCGTCCTGATCATTGGCTACGGATTCACAAAGAACGGACGGAAAAGGTACAGAATGTGGTACCTGTACTACTTTCCGAACATGGACGAGTTCGAGCGGAGATGGAGATATTCGGTGCGGTCGCCCAACTTTTCTTCCCGAATACTTTCTCGATTTGCAGTTGTTCATGGACCGGACCGACATGAAGAACGCGCTGATCGACGCGGTGCACGACACGAACGCGGTGAACGTGGGCAAGGCGATCCGGCGGGGAGTGTACATAAACGTGCGCAACAGTGAGTCGACAATATCTCCGTCGACGACTCGGGGCCAACACAATGTTTGAAAGGCAACGGGAAGACGGCGCTGCACATTGCCTCCGAGAACGGCTACCCGGACATGGTGCGGATGCTGATCAAGGCGGGCGCCGATCGGACGATGCTGAGCACGGAGAACAAGACGGCCGAGCAGATGGTTCCGGCGGCGGACTCGGCCACGTTCCGCACGAAGAGCGACAAGTTCAAACAGGTCCTGCGCATCTATGAAAAGTGTCGAAAGAAGAAGTACCGACTGAGTGCGTCGGTCCGCCCAATATCTGATCGTACAATATGCGGGCGTGTTTGCAGAGGTGCCCGACGTGTTCCCCGTCAGTTCGTTCCACATCTACATGCATCCGGAGACGAGCAACGAGGCGAGCGACCGCTTCTTCGACGCGTTCCCGTCGATCGCCACCAACGAGGCGCTCGACACGATGACGCATTGCGTCGTCCGAACCGACGCGAACGGCGTGCTCGAGACGGACGACGTCTCGCTGCTCGCCTCGATCTTCAACGGAACGATAATAGTGAGCGAGCAGTGGATGGTGGATTGTGTGCGCGACGGGCGTCTCATCAAGCACGACGACAAGTACCTCGTCGAGCGGGTCAAGTACAAGGGCCACGTGTACGAGAACGCGGTGCTTCCGTGGAGCCGCGCCATGGCCAAGGGAGACGTTCCGTTCTTGCTGGGCGCCCACGTGGCACTCGTCATGAAGGACTGTCCTAAAAGTGGGTCGAAAAGCACAATATCCCATCGCACAAGTGTCGCCTGTTTTTGCAGTCCTCGACTTTTACAAGATCATCAAGACGCACGGCGGAGAAGTGTCGGAGACGTTCCCGGCGAAGGCGGACTTTAACCGGCGCTCCCATCCGTACCTGCACGCCGACAAGGGACCGCTCTTCATCATCCACGACAATCAGTTCGAGCTGGCGCCCTACCACAACGATCCGGACCGCATGTACACGCTCTTCACCGAACCAGAATTCATCGTTTTCTTGCTGAAACGGGAGATTCAGCGGGACACGAGTCCGAATCCGATTCCTGTTAAAATTTCTGACGAATAAATGTTGGCCCATGAATCCATACCAAAACTAGACTGGCTCAACTTCAAACGACCAGCCGCAACCCGTCTGGCAGGTGGTCGGGAATGCATGAAGGGGTGTAATTGGCAAACGGAAATCAAGCGAGGACCGCCATTACATCGTGTAACCTAGCAACAAGATTCCGGTTGGGTGGACGAGTAATATTGGAGTTTCACGGGGAAATATGTTGTGTTCCACATTCTCCAGAGCTGACAATTTGGGCGCGTGGCCTCAGCGGCCAAATGGCGTTTTCATGAATTGAGCAGGTTTTCTCTGATTTTTGTGGTCAACGGCGATGAAAAATGATTGTTAGCCATAAAATTGCACTAATTCTCAGAATTAATGGCATTTTGGCGCATTTTTCGCGGACTTTGCTTCTTCGCCTTTTTATTTTGCGCTTTCTTGACCGTTTTCCGACAGAATTGGTTTTGAGAATGAGAAATCACGTAAATACAAGCATTTTGAGCGCTCGAACCGCAAAAACTACCGAAAAGCAACTGAAATTCACGCAGTTTTAGCCAAAAACATTCAAACGGATAAATGTGGATTGCGACTTGACCAAATTTGACGCTCTTGCGCTTAAAAAATTCGTAATAGCCTATACAATCGGTCTATCGAGCGGCAATTGAGAAATTATCGATTTTTCGTGGCTAATCTGGCAAAAAACACAAATTTTGCTGTTAAAATTTGAATTTCGCGGCAATGTATCGCTCTATTGGGCGGGCGCCGCACTTGCGCGTTTTTAGAAGAGTTTTCTAGAACCAAGATATGTTTTGAAGCACTGTTTTTTCGGGACCAAACGACTGACGTCACTATTAGCATTAGCAATTAGCAATCGTTGCGAGACCCGCCCGTCCATTCCTTCATACGGCCGCCCACTCATTTATTCGTTTCCTTCGATTTTCCGCCCGCATTCATTTCATTCAGAACCCGCAAAAATGTCGATCGCCGAGCAACTCGTCTCGATGGGATTCAGCGGCGAGCAGGCGGCGATCGCGGCCGCAAACGACAGAAATCTGCAGCAGGCGCTGGACTTTATTATCGAAAAAGACAGTGCGGCGTCGCAGATTTTGGAGGCCGAAGCGCCGGAGCCGGAGCCGGTGGTGGTGGCCAGCAGCTTCAAGTGCAACGAGTACGTTTTGGGGTGGACAGTATTTTTTTAAGGCGTTTTTTTGTTGCAGGTGCGGAAAACAGTTGGCCAATGACGATGCGGTGATGTGGCACGCGAGCAAGACGAAACACGCGAACTATTCGCAGAGCACCGAAACGGTGCTGAGCCGCGAGCAGAAAGAGGCACAGATTGCCGAAATCATCGAAAAGATCAAGGAGAACAACGAGAAGAGAGCGGAAGTGGAAGAAGCGGAAATGACGGAGAAGGAGACGAAGCGACGGGCGGACGAACTTCGGTAGGCGCCTTTCTTCAGGCACCCAACTGATATTGTCGCTTGCAGAGCCGCCGCCGAGCAACGTCGTCAGCAAAAGAAGCGAGACGAGGCGGAGCGGCAGCGAATTCTCGAGCAGATCCGGCAAGACCGGGAAGAACGGAAAGCCGGATCCTCTGGGATCAGGCCGCCGCAGAAGAAGCTGGCGGTGGTGGTGCCGACTAATAGGGACTACACGCAGGCGATCATTCGGGTACGCGGCATCGACGGACACATGGTGAAGAGGACGTTCGGAGCGGAGGAACAGGTAAATTGCAACAAGAGCGGAACTTTCTCACCAAAATTCTCCAAATTTTGAGCTCTCGTGCGTCCACACGTGGATCCAGACCGCCCATCCCCAACCGCTGCCGTACGCATTGATGACGCCGTTTCCGAGAAAAGTGTTCGAAGAATCGGAAATGGAAAAAACGTTGAAGGATTTGGGTACGTCGATTTTCAGCGTATTTACAGCACTAAACACTGTTTTTTCCAGATCTCGTCCCCTCCGCGAACATTGTGCTTGTCAGACGGGCTTCCGAAGCAACGCCAGCTGTCTAGAACTATTAATTTTTGTATTTTAACATGAAAATGAACAGGAAAATTGAAACTTTCATCTTTCCTTACAGGTTTTCAACGGCAGTTCTTTTTTGATTTCTCTCGAAGAGTTCAAGACCACCGGGAACATCTTTTTGCCGTTATTTAGTTTATTTTTCTTCTCTTTGCTGTTTTTTCCAATTTTTAAAATTAATTTCAACCTCGATCTCCTTCGTCTTTAAAAAAAAATTTTTTTTCAATCGAAAATTAGGGCTAGGGTGAATTTATCTAATTTTTTTCGTTACTAGTGAGTGATACTCGCTTTACCGTTAAAAATCAATTGGAATTTCTTGTTTTCACTTTTGAAATCTATTTTTTTCGATTTCTTGCCGAACGAATAGATTTCTCACGAAAAAACGGTGCCTCCAGTTCATTATTCTGCTAATTTGTCTATTGATTGAGTTTTTCCGGTTCCGTTGGCACTTTTTCTGTAAAAAACAACATGTTAGGACAATAAACAACTTCCAGAACATATTTCTACCTCAAATTACCTGTTAAACACAAAAAATCATCGAAAGACGGGGAAAACCGAACTGAAACTTCGGAATCTCACTCAGAAACGCGTGCGGCAAACTTGCAAGCGAGGCCACGCCCCCTTCTAGCCGCGGGAGAGAACAGGGCAAATTTGAAGGGCTGTTACTCGGGATGTACCGAACGTTTTCGGAAAAAAAATTGAGAGCGTAATAATATAGAGTGGAGGAAGATGTTCCAACAAAAATTTTATGGAAATTTCGAGTTTCGTGAAACCCGTTGCGCTAAAAGTCGTCCAAAATGATTTTTGTGTCAAAAATCTTCGAATACACATGAAGCGGGCCGATTCCAGTGAATCTTCCAAGATTTGTCGTTCTCCGAGGTGTTTGGACGATCCCATATCCAAAATTTTTGTTGTTTAGTTAGTTTTTTCAAAAAAAAAAAAACAGGAGAAAATTTTACCATTGGCCGGCCAAGGCCGGCCAATGGTACGGTAAGCAATTCGGTTCACTGGGCGGTGTTTGCACACAAAGCATTTTAAATAAAGAAAAAAACGTGTTTTCGAAAGGGTTTTCTTTTTTTTCTAAGTTTTTTCACTTCATGATCAAATATTTTCACAGAAAAATGCTCTATTCGATGAATTCGATTCATAACGTTGTTCCCATACATTTTTTTTCTTTCGTTTCGTTCTCATGCATCTCGTTCTCGTTAATTCTGTCGTTTTCTTTTATTTTTCTCTTCACTTCTGCTAATTTTCGAAATTTGTCAGCTTTCATTTCATCGAAATTTAATTCACTTACTTTCTTTTCACCTTTTTTCTACTTTCAAGCATGTCTTCTTCTCATTTTAAAATAATTTCTTCGATTTTTTCTTTATTTAAGATGCTTTGTGTGCAAACACCGCTCTGTGAACCGAATTGCTTACCGTACCATTGGCCGGCCTTGGCCGGCCAGGGCCGGCCAGGGCTTTTTTGCAGTGGAGCGCGCTTGCAACTAGCCCGGCCAAAGCCTTGGCCGACCGCTGGCCAGCCAAGGCCGGCCAATGTTTTGCCCAGCCCTGCCTTCACCTTATTTTTTTCATGAACCCAACTGCCTTGAACTTTTTTCGGTTGCTATGCTCCCTAAAAGTCGTCCGAAATGATTTTTGTGTCAAAAATCTTCAAATACACATGAAGCTGGCCGATTCCAGTGGATTTTCCAAGATTTTTCGTTTTCCGAGGTGTTTGGACGATAAAGTATTGCTAGTCAGTTCTGCTCGAATCCATGGCAACTAACTGAGCAAGTGGCGGGCTGCTAATGCGCGGGGATGCATTATGAATCAAACATCTTGATCATTGTTTTGAAGGTGCCTATGATAATTATGATTGCACATAACACACGTTTTCCGTGTCTAGAAGATTGGAGTCTGACCAAAGTAGATACCAGTGTTGAGCGGAAGAACTCAACTGAAGAGCACGGAAGAATTTTTATCTTTTTTAGAAAATTTTTTCATGGAATGTGATCAACTGACGAAATGTAGAGCAAAGTGAACTGTGCTCATAGAAAAATAATTGTAAATTTAGCTGCTCATACAAAAAAGTTATTCGAAACGGAAGACGGAAGGACATTTTAACGGAACAACTCGAATAACTTTTTTGTATGAAAAGCTAAATTTACAATTATTTTTTTAATGAGCAGAGTTTACTTTGCTATAAATTTCGTCAGTTGATCACATTCCATGAAACAATTTTCTAAAAAATATAAAAATTCTTCCGTGCACGGAACCCCAGCCTTCCAATAAAAAATTCCCTTGGCGCAATTCAGGTGCGCTAAACAAGGCGCGTAACGCGTAATTTCGGAGCGTCGTTGTAGAGTTTCTCATTTCAATTTTCCCTTTTTTTGCATTATTCCTATCTTTTCAGAACCAATCAGTGTCAAAACTTATGATAATGATTAGAAATGAATAAAAAATGAAATGTTAACTGCTTCTGCATCAATTTCGAAACGTTTTATGTGAAAATTACAGAATTTTTTTCCTGTTGGAATCGAAAATTTGCCTCAATTATCTCAATTCTGTATATTTTTCGACGGTTGAGCGCTTAAAAGATGCGCAATAAACTCCTTGTTGACTGGACGATTCGAATGGCAGTGTCCGAACTCGATTCGGAAAATGATCGTTAAAACTCCGTTTTTTCAGTAGTTTTCGACAAAATCCCTCAATTTGGTCAATTCTGAACGAATCTGCTCCGTTTCGCGCTTAAATCGATGCTTTTAACTCACACAATCGCCCCACGGTTCGCAAAGAACAAAATTTTAGTGTTTATTAAGAGAAAAACGAAAGAATTCTGGGTTTCAATTGAAAAAAGAAACTCCGAGCCGACGGTGGATGCAAGCGCGCCCCATTGACAACTTGCTTGCGCATTGGAATGCTGGCGTTCCGTGCCGTGTTCTTCCGTTGAGTTCTTCCGCTCAACTCTGGTTTTCACTAATCACCAGACACCCCATATCCGTTTCTATACAGGTGAGTCAGCTCAGAATTTACAAATTGAAGACTTTTTCGTTGCGGAATGCAAAATTACACATTCAGACACATTGCAATCTTGTTCTTGCTTCAATCTTGAATATTTTACTAATTTGTTAAGGTTCTAGTTGATACGATTCAAGAAATGTAGTATTGTACAAGAACAGATGTGTGCCAATGATTTATTCAAACTTCAAAAGTCATTTTTCACATAAATACTGCGTTTCCATCGACCGTTCACGTCGCGATGGCTGATCTCGTAGGCGCCGGCGGTCCAGAAGACGGCGAAGAAGAATGCGTGCGAGAAGAAAAGGAACAGTATCGAGAAGGCCGGAATAGTGGAGTATAGGGGGTTGAGTTGGAGGATGAGGCAGAAGGAGATCAGTTTGGAGAGGAAGACGGACAATAGCGAGAGCGGGTGGAGGGTGTGCATCGGGCGGCACACTTTCCAGGCCTTGACGGCGAACGGCAGTGCGGGAATCGGCAGGAACAGCAGGCAGATGAGGAAGAATGCGGAGAACTTTTCGCACTGAAAAACGAGTATTGTATTGTTGGTTGCCGCTTCCAAAGTCTCGGAAAACCCGCAAATCTCGCGGATTTTTCAGTCCAAAGTCGGCAGAAATTTGCGGGAAACCCGGGGTGCGCACAGCTGAACGAGTGTTACCTGACACCATAAAAACTACGGTATTTTTTTGAAAAATTAAATTTCTCGAGAATATTTTTTTAAATTTTCAAATTTCTTGGGTAAATTTTTCAACGGTATTTTTTTGAAAAAATTAAATTTCTCGAAAATATTTGAAATTTTTTTCCAATTTCTTGGGAAAAATTTTTCAACGGTATTTTTTTAAATTTAAATTTCTCGACAATATTTGAAAAATTTTCAAATTTCTTGGGTAAATTTTTCAACGGTATTTTTTTGAAAAAAATTAAATTTCTCGAGAATATTTGAAATTTTTTTCAAATTTCTTGGGTAAATTTTTCAACGGTATTTTTTTGAAAAAATTAAATTTCTCGAGAATATTTGAAATTTTTTTCAAATTTCTTGGGTAAATTTTTCAAAAAAATACCGTAGTTTTATGGTGTACGGTAACACTCGTTCAGCTGTGCGCACCCCGGATTCACGCGCAAATTTCTGCCGATTTTGGACTGCAAAATCCGCGAGATTTGCGCGTTTTCCGAGACTTTATTGTAGCGCTTGGCAGTTGGACTTCAAGTACCAAGTGATTTTGACTTGGTCCACGGCATTCTAGGCTATGCAAGAAAACAACTCACGTTCGGATCGAGCGGCAGTGTAGTCAGCGCGAGAGCGGCGAGTCCAGCAGTCAACAACGTGCACATCATCACTTTCCTCGCCATTTTCACGAGCACTTTTCCGGGATGCTCGTGGATCCAGTTGGCGACGAACCATTGCTCGGCCACGCGATTTCCCATCGCATAAGTTACAATGATTGTGACGAGCGAGGCGATCACGTTGGCTCGGTCCATGAAGAATAAAGTGTTGAGGAATGGGAGGCAGTCGGATTGGAAGGCCATTGTTGAAGAATGAGGAAAAGTAAAAATAAAAGTGTAAGCGTTGTAAGCGAAAAAGGGGCGTGGCGAATAGTTGTGCGTGTGGTTGGTGTAAATTTGCTCTCGCCTTCTATTCTAATTTGTGTCTCGAGTGTCTATGATAAAGCGTCTCTTACTAATTGGGTCAACGAAAGCAAACCTATAATTACGGATATCTCGGCTTTCCCCAACTATTATAACGTTGTACACCATTGTATAGTAGAAAGCGTCAAAATTTTAGCTTTCTAATGAGCTCGGATACCTTGTGATATTGTTGAGTTGATCAACAATATCACAAGTGTTTCGATGCTCTCTATGAGTCAACTTTCACTCTAATGGACGTATTTAGTCGGGTAAAAAACCAGCAAAAACGGGGTTTACCTAGCATTTTTACAGGGGGAAAATCCAAAAAAAAAGATGACTATTCAGCAGCATTTTTCAAATTTCAATACACTAAAAAGGGTAAAAGACGGGAAGAGCATACATTTTCAGGAAGGCAGGCAGTGTTCATATTCGAAGCGATATCACAAATAAATTGGGACGAATAACGAATAGATTCCAAACTTTGGGGCCCATTTTCTCAGTAGGCGCCTTCGGTGATCGAGCAGCCGAGCACCGCGTCGATGAGCCACTGTTCGCACACCAAATTGTACCGTTCACAGTTGCGAAATTTGTCGCCAATCTGCAAAAAATTGCAAAAAGTCGAGGGAATCCCAAAAGCTCAGGCTTACATCGTGCGTCAAACTGTAGACAATGTAGACGTTCGTCTTCGCGTTCGGATTGTGATACGGTTTCGGATCGTGCTCGTTTAATATCGGCTCACGGGTCATCGCCAGTCCGCCCGCCGAACGCACAATTTCGACGAGCGTCGCGCGGTCTGAAATTTCCGAAATTCTCTCTTCTAGGCTTTTTGAGGTCTGCACTTTTGACCCACTTGCAATGATCCGATCGGGACCAAACTTCGCAGATTTCTTGGACTTGGATTGAAGTATATTGGGCCCAAGTTTCAGGTAGATCCGAACATTTGGTCCCGAGATATACTGGTTTGAGGCCGAAACGGCCGGGTTTTTGCGAAAATTGCGGCCTCTGATCCACATATCTCGGGACCAGATAATCCGATCGGTCTGAAACTCGGACCCAACATGCTTCAATCCAATTCCAAGAAGCCTGCAAAGTTTGAGCCCGATCGGATCATAGCAACTAGGTGAAAAGTCCCAGTCTCAAAAGGCCTTCGAAAAGCAACGAAAAAACAAAACGAAAAAACATACTTAGGGGGCGCAACAAAGGGGGCGTGGCCTGACGAATTTTCTCCCGATTTTCGCGCGCGCGTGTTTGACGGTCTGTACCGAGGTCCCCAAATGAAGTACCATACCCAAAACGGTTTACTTTATGTAATCGACCATGCTGAATCCAATGAACAACTCAGTTTCCCGTGAAAACGCACCGTTTTTCCAAAAAACCGCGAAAACGAAAATGGAAGTCAGTCTGAGATCCTGTGTGGCCAAGTTTATGGGATCACACGCCTATTTTCAAGTGATTCCGATAGTTTAAGGGATGGGGAATCCGTTTTTGAAGTAAAATTTAGATTTCCACGTTGCCGAAATTTTTTACAGATCCTCAAACTGCCAGAAAAGTTAGCGGAAAATTTTCAGCGATGACCCCTTTTTTTTATTTTCGGAATCTATGGATACACTCTCTGAGAACCCAAATATAAATTTTGAAAGCTCTAGACACCCTAGGAGCATTTTTGTGTTCGATTGAGTAACGCCTATTCAGCCGAAATTTTAGTTTTTCGAGGATTTGAGGGTCACAGGTACCGTTCACACGGCTAATTTTTACGGAATCGGATTCTGCGTGAAATTCTCAACAAAATTCCGTTTAGCATAAAAATTTTCCACGTTGCCGAAAAAAGTTACAGTCAGATATGTTTCGAATTTCAGCGCGAAAATGCACTAACTTCACCCCTGTAAGGGGCCGCGCACACCGAGCTTTTCAACGTGATTGGCGGTGGGCGCGCCTCCGCCTGGGTGGCGCAGTGGCAGAGTGCTCGCTCGGCTATTTTGAGGTGTCGGGTTCGAAACTTTTGACCTCAAAAGTGGTTTTGCTTTTTTAGAACATCACTTCTGTTCATTTAAAATGTTGACTCTTTAGTTTGGTCCACCAGATAATGAGAAAAAACGCGTGCGGTAAACTTGCAAGCGAGGCCACGCCCCTCCTCAGCCGCCGACCCGGGAGAAAACAGGGCAACTTTGAACGGGTGTAACTCGGGTTGTACCGAAAATTTTGGAAAAAAAAATTGGGAGCGTACTCATATAGAGTGGGGGAACACATTCCGTCAAAAATTTTATGGAAATTCGGAGTTCTGCGAAACCCGTTGCGGTCCCTAAACATACTCACCCAAAAAGTTGTATTTTGGCCTTGGAAAGTAGAATTTGCAGCCGGCAAACAGTTTCGGTTGCTGAAAAAATTATCTTTTTTCATAAATAAAACACACTTCGCTGACAAGCGCAGCAGAACGAAAGACCGAACCTGAGACCGCCCGTTTCAGGCTTGCAAAAAAAAAAACTGCCTACCATCCTCGTGCTGGCCTTTTTCCACTCGTTAATCGTGTTCTCGAATATGCGTCCGTCCATCCACTGCACTTTTTTCACCATAAAATGGCGATCGTCGTCGACTCCCGCGGCGTCGATTATGCAGTGTTTCAGCCACTCACGGCTCACTATCATTCCTGATCTGCAAACGAAATTCGTGAAACGTTCGAGGAAAATCAAAGAAAATCGATAGGAACAGGAACGGAATTATGCAAAAAATTAGGTATTGTTCATCGGAAATTGTTCGCACTTTATGATGGCCTTGAGCACTTCGCCAATGTGCTCTTTACTGATATTGAGCACTTTCGTTTTTCGGTCCACTTGTACGACGACGTGTGTGGGCGTATCCATTTCCGGGGTGACTAGCTACAAAAGTAACTCTTTTCTTGAGTTTTTGCCTTCGAATTTACTAAATCATGTAACTAATTCAAACAAAGGATTGTTTTTTTTTTGGCTTACATTTATTTTGCCCGGCAATTTCTTCTTTTCCGCATCGGTCAGCAGCTTTTCGTCGATCAGTTTGACAAAGTGAATTTTCGATTTGGGAGGTGGAATTACTGAAAGAAATAGTTTCTATATCAGGAATCCGACGAAAACGTTCGAAAGCGTTTCGGCGTCCGCAAACCGTCCGCGTTGGCTGGCGCGCCGCCGCGGGAGGAATACCGATTCATCTTTCCATTTCTCTTCATGAACGTGTCTATCACACCTATTACTTGAAAAGAGCAACGAAAAATTTGCAAAAAATATCAGAGTCACAGCGATCGAACTGCAATATTCGAGTGGCGATTCGAAGAAGAGAATCGAAACGAGGCGAAAATTTCTGTTTCTTACCCGGCTGCAAAAAGTGTCCACTCTTGAATTTGTCCACAATTTTCCTCATTTTCGGATCGTTTCTCGCCGTCTCCTCGGCCGTTTTTCCGCCGATATTTCGGATTTTGAGGCTCGCCCCTTTCAAGAGCAAATATTCGACTATTTGATAGTTATTGCGGCGAATCGCCTCGTGGAGCGTCGTTTCGTACGTGGGACCGCCTGAAAATGTGAAATTGCGCGGAATTTGTGCAGCTTTGTTAATCGAAAACCCACAACAGGCATTGATAACAGCGCCGGCCTCGACGAGAATCTGGACGGCCTCGAGTGAATTGTGCTCGACGGCCACGAACAGCGGCGTCTTTCCGCAATTATCCTTTTCATTCACACACGTTCCCGCCTCGACCGCACTTTTTAGTTGCGGAATTCGATTGTTGAGGATCGAGTTGATGATTACCACCTCTCCGCGACGAGTTCCGTACGACGAGCGACGCTGAAAAACATAATTTTTAAAGAAATAGGAAAATTGCATAAAAAGCTTGAAATATTGGCATTTCTTCAGATTTTCTGTATACTCCTCTGTAGGAGCGTACCTGTTCGGGCCTCAAACTCATCGATTTGTCTCCGGAACTCATCGGCGACTGTGATCTTTCTTGAAATTCTGCAAAACGCACCGAACTTCTTCGTTTCGTCGTCGCTTCGGACGGCTCCTCGAGCTCAGGGATCTCCTGCAATTTTTGTTGACTCACAGGTCCCAAATATTGAGAAATGACAGGCCCAGAAATGGTCCTGGTTATCAGTAAAGAACCTGGATCCTGATCGCTCAGATAGACGGTCCATCATAGACCCGAAAACTCCATTATTTGTTCCTAACCTTTCTCACAATTTTCACTTCCGTCTTCTCCGTTTTCAGCTCTTTTTCGGCCTGTGCTTCCATCGAAGCCATCCGCTTTTTCAGTACTATCGGTTTTGTGAACGGGTCGTCGCTGGTGATCTGGAAGATTTTCTCAATATTTTTTCTCGATTTTTCGAGAACCTCTTGTTTGACAGCAGTTTTTTCAGAAGAATTGCTCCTGAACGGCTCGGCGAACATTCCGACCATTCCGGAACTGGAAGGCGTCGGAGCTGTGGAGCGACGCTGAAAAAATGAGGAAATTTCAAAGGAATCCCAAAAACGCAGGTTTACATTGACAAACGGCGTCAAATTGCCATCCTCGCGTTTTCGGGTCTGTATTTGTGATGCGAAAATGTCGAAACTCTGATTCGGATTCGTTTTTTTCGCCGGATTTTTCAGAATCGACTGTTTTTTCGGCTTCTGCTCCGGCTCGTCGTCCGTATTCAGCGCCGAAGAGCCACGTTTCACCGATGTGCGCTTTCTGCAATTTCTGGATTGAAAATCCGTTTTAATTTTTTTCCGAAAAGAAAAGAAACTCACGAGGCCGAAACTTCTTGATAATCATTGAAAAGGTCTAATTCGGGCGATATTGAAGATTCGCTGAAATTTCGAATTTTTGGGAGTGAGAAGGGCTCCATGAAATCCATTTCCCACCGATTTTCGCGTCTTTTCTCTTCGGATTCGTCCTCCGGCTGCCCCAATTCGTCGGGCATGTGCGCCTGAGTCTCCAGAAACTTCTCTATGGCTCTTCGTTGCTCTCCGGGCGAATTTTCGCGAAAATCATCGAGAAATCGCTGAGTACACGATATTTCCGCTTGTGTTAGCGGTGTACGTTGAACCTGGAATTTAAAAAAAAAATCCAAAAAATCTCAAAAATGTTTTTACTTCGGTTATGAGCTCGCGGAGCTCTGTGAGAGTCTCGAAGCACGAGTTGAGCACATGAGCACCCTGAATTTTGGTGGTATCCAGCGGAAAAGCGCAAGAAGGGCACAATGTTCGCGGTGCTGCCCGTCTTCCCGGCGTTTTTCGGGTCATTTCGCCGATGCAGTCCCTTAAAATTAAATATTTTTTGCTTTTTCAGCGAATTTTAAGACCGCTAACCAGCAATGCGCGTGTTTGCACGAAGTTCCGAGGTACTGGAGGTGTTTGCTCGGTTTTCTGCTAAAAATTTTTGCATTTTCAGGGTTTTAGGTTATATTTCTAGAATGTTCTTACCACTGAACACAATCGATGGCATTCTGGAAGACGTCTAACGCCTCCAGGGTGTTTGTGAACATTTCTGACGTCTTCTTTTTTTGAAATACTCACTGATCGCGCCGGCAGCAACTTTTGGAGTGTCGTAATGTCGCCCGGTTTAGCAGAAAGCGGCATTTTCAGATTTCGTTGAAGATCAGCCGAGAACAAAAAAAAATAAACACAAGAAGAAGTAAAATTTACTATTTTACAAATTCGAGAATATTTTTCGAAATCCATATCACATCTTTGTAGCTTCCTTACAGCAAAATACATTTCGTTTTCGAAAATGTAGTGAAAGTGATGCTGGAGATGCTGCTCTCCGAGCATCCGGGGAAGTCGTCGTGAGATTCTGATGGGCGAGGTCTCTGAGAAGCCTGGAGAGTGCATCAGAAGTCTGCTGGAAGCAGCAGGAGCGCGTAGAAGGCAGGGAGAGGACGGCGACGCGGACGGATCGCACGCAAGTTGCTCCGCTCGCTTCTGAGAGAGAAAAAGCAAGAGTTTTGTGTGTCAAAAAACCCAATTCAGCGAGGTGAAAAAACAAAAAATAAACGAAAAATAAACATACGCTGAATAGCCCCATTAGGCAAGAAAAACTTCAAACGGATTAATCTCAATCGACCAAATTTGACGCTCACTGCTGTTTTTCATTACTACTGCCTTTTTTATACGCCCCAATAAATGTTTAAAGTTATTTTCTGCAAATTGTCATGTTTGATGCATTTTTTTCCGCGGTTTTCGTGAATTCCACCGTTTTGTGGCACGGCACATCCACATGGCCCCCCCCCCTCTCTCCGTTCTGCCGTTGCGCGTAAGGTTCGTTGTTCTGCGGACCGAGTATTTTATTCGACGACATTTACGGTTTTCCACTTTTTTCAAGCCTGGAAAGTTGAAATTCGACTGGTTTTCAGTATATTTTGACTAATCTTCATGATTTATTATGTTCTAGAATTTTTTCCGCATAGAATTATATCGAATAAATCGATTTTACGCGTAATTTCAAGCAACAAATAGATTATTTCAATTTTACAGCATGCGACCACCAAGTGAGCTGCTCGACGTCATTTCCAAGCTTGCCGAGCTTGATCCAGTGATCAGAAAGGGTGCGGTCATTCAGTTGGCCAATCAGCAAAAGGTATTTGTCGAATTTTCGCGGAAAAACTTGATTTTCACTCAAAAAAAAGCTGTTTCAGGAATTGGCAGATGACGAACTGAACACGTACGTCTTCGAACGACTCATTTCCGGATGCGCTTCCGCCCGTGCGGCCGTCCGTTTAGGCCACACGACCGCTTTCGGAACGCTTTTGCAGACAGACGCCGGCAAATTGTGGGATTTCGATAAAGTCTTTGCGGTGGCCGATAAAAAGATGGATTTAGATGAAAAAGTGAGATTTTCAGCTTTTTTTAAATCGAAATATCGTGAAAATTCGCGGAAAACTGGCATAAAACGATTTTTGCAGACGGTCGGAACGGGCCACGCAATCGGTCATTTCCTGGTGCTTGTCGCGTACGCCCAGGCGAAAAAGGGCCTAAACGAGGCGGAAATCGAGAAAATGGTGGAGCACTCGAAGAAAATCCGCGAAGTGGCGCCGAGCTTGGCATTCTCGCAAATCAGCTTTCTGATCAATTTGAGCGGAAAAGTCAAGGAGAGCGTGTTTTCAAAGGTTCAAAAACGAAAATTCTTCTGCAATTAAATAAACCCAAAAATCGCAAAATTTTGCAGAGTGTCGGGCCGGCGGTGGAAATGTACCTGGAGCTGATCAACTCGTCCTACACGCCCGAAAACGTCTATTTGGCTCTTTCGCTTCGTAAATCCCACCCGAATTTGGTGGCGAAATATGCGAAATTCGTGAAAAAAGACGGATCTTGCTCGTTTTCCGACGAACAATACGTCAAATTGCTGGCCGCTTTGAAGGCAAATTTAAGAAAATGTATTTTTAATTCAAATTTAACTTTAGCGCTGCGAATTCTCGACGCTTCAAGCTTTTTTGCCACTTTTGATGAAAGCCGCCGTCGAATCGAACGATTTCGAGAAAATGTACCCGAGTAAGTGGAAAAGGATCCGAAAATGCGAGTTTATGTGTCTGCATGAATTTCCCCTTATTTCCACATTCACTGTCCGTGTCCGGAACAGCGCCCAGTTAAAGTTGTGGTCGTGGTCTAGAAAACTCCTAGGCCATGGGATCTTTTTTGAATTCGACACAATTCTCAGACGTTGCCAAGCATTCACACGAATTGACAGATTGTCAAGGTCCAAGGGAAGAGTTTTCACACCTGAGTTTTCTAGGCCACAACTTTAACTCCGCGCTATTCCGTTTATAGGCATTTCTGAGAGTTTGAACTCGGACAGTTTCGCACAGACACATAAAAATGGAAAAATCGCCGATAAATCTGGTTTTTCGTTCAGAAGTGCTGGAGCCGTGGGCCCTTTCGAGCAACGAGACGAAAGTTTTCGACCGTATTCTCACAATCGTCAAACTGTTTTTCGAGAATGGAGGTGACACGAAAACGGTAAAAAAAACTTTAGACTTTTTAAGCGTTTACCAACTTTTTCTCCAGGTTATTGTGGTGTTCACGAAAGAAGTGCTTAATCGAATGGAAAATGCGACGCGCGGAAAAGGACAGTTCCGGCTGATGAGCAAAAAGGTTAAACATCGGATTTTTATGCGAAATTTACAGAAAAAAGGGTGAACGTGTGAAAAATTAAGAAGTATTCCGTTGCGATCGAATATGCCGCTGAATTTGCTTTATCGACTTTCGCAGCAGCGTTTGACAGTCGTCCGGCACTGAAAGTTTGATTGTCTCGCTTCTGCTCACCTATTTTCATCGAAACTCACAAGTTTTACACTGCTGAGCCAATTCCTCGTTTTCCACACAATACTGGGAGCTCAAATCGCACTCGATTGTGCACAAATCGAGGACCGGAAGCCAAACGGCGTCGGAGAACGGATCGCCGCCTGAAAAAAAAGAAAATTGGAGTATTTCTGATAAATCTTGAGCTCCAGAAGACAAAAATCGACTCAGAAGCTCAAAGCTAGTGAAATCTAGAAATTGAGAATGCAAGAAGCACATGGATATTGTAGACTTACACAATTTCGAATTGTGGAACAAGAACTGCGGCACAGACTCGTACTCGACTCGTTTCCGAGAGGCCTGGGCGGCAATTCCGAGAATAACCGTGAGAATAGCAAGGACTTTAACATAAAGCAGCATTTTCAACTTGAAAGTGACCACGATGTTGATAGGAACACAATATCAGTGTGAGATTTGAGAAAACTGAGAAAAGGAGACGAAAGACGGCATTGTTCGGGGACAAAGGTCTTCGAAAGTGTAATAGTGACGATCTGCGCGCCGCTGTAATACTGTTTGATGGCGTTTTTCGAAAGGAAAACGATTATTATGATGATGACACATTGATGGCGAAGGAAGAAGCTTATAATAGTTGTTTATGGAAAAAGAAGTGGAAAACATGGCATTGCCCAGCTGGAAATACAGATTTATACAAAAGTTCAGCTTCTGACGTTCTGCAACTGAAATTTGTGAAATTTGTGATAGAAAATCTCTGAACTCTTTCAAATGTTCCCCATTTTTCAGGTGGAAGACTTTGCCAACTTCATCAAGTCGAAATTGTCGGAATTGCGTGACGAGGAGGCCTACAATGCGCTCAAAGAGCTGCAAAAGCGCGGAAATGTGGACAAGGCGTGCGGAAACGGAATGACGACGACCCTATTGTCGAATTTGGGAAAGAAGCAGATTTGCGCGTGGCTCAAGGCAAGCAATTCGAGATTTTTCGCAAAAACGACGAAATTTGGTGCTGTTGAGGTAAAAACCTATTTTTCTTCAGGAAAACTTGCAAAATCCGGATGAAGTTCGCAAAATCGTGACGGCCTTTAGTAGTTGGGACGAAAAGTCGCGAATCGTCGTGCTTTCGGCCCTCTTGGCCCAAAAAGCGACGGAAACGAGTCAGGCGGTCGTCACGAGTATTATCGATTCGCTTTTCTATGTCAAAGTTAGTTTTTTTAATGGTTTTCCAGAAAGTTAGGCTATTTTTACACTTTCAGACGCGCGCCGGAGAGTTTGCGGCCATTCAAATTTCGGAGAAAAACGAGCAGGTGCTCCGAGAGCTCGTCGTCGCCGTTCAGGGAGAAGAAGACGTGAAACGGTCGGAGAAGACGATCGGGAAGGCGAAATTGAGGAGAAAGTGAGCGGTTTTTGAGGGGAATTGTTCCAAGCCTGGGCGGATTACCGATTGAAGCGAAAAAAGGGAAATCGCATTTTTTTCTCTTTCTCAAATTTCTCAAATTGTCAATAATATTCCGTGCAGATCGCTTCAAATCCTGTGGTACATGACGCGTCTGTGGTCGAAAATCGCGGCTTCTCCGGAAGATGCGGCCTCGTACGACGCCGACAGTCTGGAAATTGTGCAAATAGCGAAGAACGAGTCGGACGAGAGCAACTCGCTGGTCTTTGTCGATCTTTTGCTGTCGATCCTGTCGAGAGAGCACAAATTCCATCGGACGCCCGTTGCTTTCGCGTTCGTTCATTCGATCCCCACACTGAATTCCAAGGATCTGGTCCATATTGTTGAGGTGAGTGAGATTAGAGACATTTTCATCATCATTTAAATTTTCTTTATAGACGGCAATGATGTCGGCGGCGGAATTGGCTGGAAACGACGAGGAAGAGGTGGAGGACGAGGAGGGAATGCCCTTTGACGAATCGGAAATTCCGATGAACGAAGAAGAGGAAGAAAGTGAAAGTGAGGAGGAAGGAGAAGAAGAAGAAGAGGAAGAGGAAGAAGAAGAAGGAAATGCCTCCGTCGACCAGGAGCTCCTCGACAAACTGACGGCGGCTCTGGGCGACGCGGCCGCCGGGGAAACCACTTCGGACGTCGAAATGGACGATTTGGACGACGAGGCGATGCTGAAAATGGACGAGCGATTGGCCGCCGCGTTCAAGGCCGTCGCGCCGAACGCCGCTAAAAGGTGGGCAGTTTTTGGGAATTTTAGGCTGAAATTCTGATTTTTGCAGTCAAAAACGAAGTGCGAAGAACGTGGAGGCGCTGAAAATGAAGATCGCCGACCTTTTGCTCATCGCAATTTCGTCGAAAGAGCTCAGCGAACAAATCAAAGTGAAATTGGTGATTCCGATTTTGAAATGGGCGAAAAAAGACGCGAAAACGCACGATAAAGTGGCCCAGAAGGCGCTGGAACTCGTGAATATCGTGCTGAAAATGAAATTGGCCGAAGTGAGCGAAAAAGAGGCTCTGAAACTGCTAAAAAAGGTGCTCGAGGAGGCGCAGTCGACCACGAACCTCCTGATCATCGACGCCATCGCAAGGGTCGTCACTTTTGTGGTGAGTCTATACTTTTTTTTAAATTCTTTGCGATTTATGAAACATTGTCCAGCTCAAAGTCAGCTCGAAAGACGGAAAGAGCGTGTCGGCGGGCGTTCGCACCGAATTCCAGTCGGTCTTCGAGAATTATCTGAAAAATGTGGAGGGAAAAGTGCCGTCCAACTTTGTCATTCAGCCAATCGCCGATCTTCCGGTTCGTTAAAAAAAAAACATTGTTTTTGAACATTATTTAATTCTAGGTTCTGTTTGTCGAACAGCTCGGAATGCTCGTCGACGCCGGATTCGACGAGGAGAATCGCATTTTTAAGAGGGTAAATATTTTCAGATTTTTTTCGGGGCAAATAACCGTCGGCTGATTTGTAGCCGCCGCGCACTCCTTGGCCGTTCTGAGACTTTAGATGCGTGCCGTCGGCAGGATACCAATTCATTTCAGTTGATTTTTTCGGAATGACTTCATAATGATTGAAACTCGCAAGCAGCAACGAGAAACTCGCAAAAATGTCTAGGAATCATCGCCAAAATAATGGGGTTATTCAGGCTGTGAAAAAATGATTTTTTTCTGTTTTTTTTCGTTTTTTTACGTCAAAAAACCCAATTCAGGGGTGTAAAAAAACGAAAAAAACGGAAAACAAACATACGCTGAATAGCCCCATAACCTTTTTTCGAAGTATAGCTGCTCGTGCGTGCTTTTTATGTCTCTTTGCTAGTTTACATCATGACGAACTCATTCCCATTGTTAAAACTTGAACACAGCACACCTTAAATCAAGCCCAATGAGCATGCAAAGTTTGGGCCCGATCGGATTACCTTCAAAAAGCCTGGGCCGGCCTTTTGCCCAGCCCTGATTTTTTCCACAAATCGATGAAAATGTTCAATGTTCAGACGGAAATTCTCGGCGCCACCTCCATGATTTTCTCGAAGCAAGTACTGCAGGAGGTGACGATCAAAGCGGCGATTGTGAAAAAGATTGGAAAATTGGCAGCGGCCTATTTTGAAAAAGTCATCGATACCGACAAGTCGGAGGTGAGAAATTTTGACCCGGTCCGCAAGCAATTTCCCTGATTTCCCCCATTGTGTTTGCAGCTGAAGCCGCGCCTGTTCGGAACGGTGCTCCATTTGGTGCTCCGCGTCTCGACGGCTCTTCAAAACGACGAAAAACACGTGGATTCGTTGCGCGAGAGTCTGGAGACGGTCGTCCGGAAAATGTCCGACGGCGACGTCTTTGTGCAGCTCAAAAAGATCAATCCTGTGTGTCATCATGTACGTTTCCTTCAAAAACGTCTGGTCTTCCAATAATTTCCCTTTTTTTCTCAGATTATCGGAAAATCGATCGCCGGCGCGTTCACCTCGATCAAAAAGTGCCTGGAAATTGAGAATTAATTGTTTCGTTCGAATTTTTCATTGTTATCCCATCACTGTTATCTCATGTTTCGTTGTTTTGTTATTTGTCACTGTTCTCCGATTTTTATCCACAAAACTTGTTGTTGTTGAAGTGTTATGAAAAAATGAATTGACACACTCATTTTCCACTTAATATTGTCATAAAAACCCGCGAGCAAGAGTGAGGAATATCGGAAGTCATAGATTGATTTCCTCACGTCGCCACTTCGAAAAAATCGAATTGTATATAAGTCAATCAGCTTTTGAACAAGTCGGACAATACTTTTCAATTACGCAACTCTTCAACAAAGCAAACAATATGGTTTTGAAACTGATTTTTCAAAAAAAAAAGTGGAGAAAATTGTTGTTAACAAGAAAAACAGCTATGGCGATTACGTACTTTTTTCCAGCTCGATGATTCTCGTTCCCACGTTGACCACATCCTTTACGAAACAATCTGTGCCCAAGCGACAAGTGTCGGCCAATTAAATGAGATTTTGTTGTTGAAACTACTAACTATTACATTCCTCTATATGTAGGGTTGAAGTTGACAACAAAGATTTCTCACTTTCCAATTATACAATCTGTCGACGCCAGAGTTGAGCGGAAGAACTCAACGGAAGAATTTTTATCTTTTTTAAAAAATTTTTTCATGAAATGTGATCAACTGACAAAATGTATAGCAAAGTGAACTCTGTTCATAGAAAAATAATTGTAAATTTAGCTTTTCATACAAAAAAATTATTCGAGTTGTTGCGTGAAAATGTCCTTCCGTCTTCCGTCTCGAATAACTTTTTTGTATGAAAAGCTAAATTTACAATTATTTTTCTATAAGCACAGTTCACTTTGCTCTACATTTCGTCAGTTGATCACATTCCATGAAAAAATTTTCTAAAAAAGATAAAAATTCTTCCGTTGAGTTCTTCCGCTGAACTCTGACTCGACGCTTTTTACAATTCGGGGCAGAAACTGACCGCTCCGACAACTTTCAACTTTCAAAAGACACCGCTCTGCGTCTCCTCCCAATTGATATTATCTTTTTCTTCGTCTCCGTTTCTCTTGTTTTCCGTCACTTTTATACGTGATAATAGCGCGTGATCATTGAACATTTCGAGGCCTTCGAGCATTAACGGTAGTTGTCGGCGAACAGTTCCGGGCAGCTCAAGACTACTGTACTTTTTGATCATAAAACTGAACACTTGTTCCTGTTCTATTTTTGTAAGTCCCGCCCCTATTTCTACTGTAATCCTGTTGTGTTCATGTGAATTCCACACGCATTTTTCGAACATTTTGTCACGTAGACGATCAAGAAATTATAAATTGTACTCTTTTCGCTCTATCATTTTTTTCTGAAACTACACTAGTCCCAGACACTCAAAAATCTCTGGAACCTTCTGGAACACCCCTTTTCGTGACGTCATCCGATCAAAATACGCACTGTTCCGCGCGGAAATCAAAGAATTGATCATTGGTCGGTTAAAAAGGGTTTGGAGCCAAAAAAGGTTACTTTTTTTTCGATTACTGTAGATAAGATAACTTCAGATTCGATTGTATCGTCCGGATAATGTACCAAATCACACGTTTCTCTAGAAAAATTGGAATTTTTTCATGTTTTCACAGAATTTCCACTACTGTCCATTCAAACCTTCATAACTCGGTCGCCAGAGGAGCTATCAAAAAGTGGTCAACTAATAAATTGTTCATGAAGAAATTGCGCACATTTTTTCAGTTGACCACTTTTTGATACGGCTACCAGTAGTCGAGATACATTGTCTTGAGTTCGACCCATGTCTATAGCCTTCGATTCGTCCCCCAAACTTTACTATTTGCCTTCGCCAACACCACTGATTTGGGACATTGGGATTTTGTTTTTCCGCTCCGAATCTGCGCCGATTTCAACAAAGTTCAGGAGAACGGTAGTTAGATCAAAAGTGATATTATCGCGTTCCGAAAATAGTTCCGTTCTCATCTTCAAAAGTCAACCACATCCTGTTCTTCTGTACTCTTCGCCGCCCGCCGTTCACGTGTTGTCCGCGTGTGGTGGACCCGTAAAAGTGGGCGTGGCCTATCCGTCTCCGTTTCTCTGCGTCTCTCACCAACCAACCATCCGTCTCGCTCGCCCCTTCTCTCCTCTGATTTTCCTCCTCATTTCTCTTGTCTTTTCTCTCTCTCGCTTTCCCCAGACCCATAAAAAGAGTATTTATTTCAGAATAAAACGTTCGAAAAGTGCACACACACACACACAGAAAATGCAAGACGTACAACGCAAGCGCAGTTTCAACACGTCGACCGTCTCGCACGACTTTCGCAAAGAGTACAAGGGATCTTTGTGAGTTTTTTTTCGCATTTTTCTCACTTTTCACCCATTCCGACAAGTGTGCTTTTTTTGCATTTTTTAGCCTCGAGAAAAAGTGCAAAAAGACACGAAAAGAGACGAAAATGATGGGATTGCGGTCGATTGCCGAGTGGATTTTCGCCAAGGCTTCCGGAAAAAAATCCAACGGCGCGCAGGCGTTCGGCGAGGCGAAAAAGAGTGCGGACAAGAAGAAGTTGGTGACGATTCAGGAGAAACCGACGTATTTCGACGTGAGTTTGTAGGGGGGTCACGGGGTTTCCCTCTTGTTTTGCCCCACCGACGCCGACTCCAGACACCTCTTGCACTCTTTATTTTCCGTTATCATCGTTCAAACGAAGACACGTTTTTTGTTGTTCTTCGCTTCGGATCTTTGATATTTTGTGTTGAATGCAACTGAAGAACAGCTGTCGCGGATGTCTTGTGATGTCTGAGGCTCACGTGAATTGCACACACACACTTGTGACGTCAATGAGAAAAGTTGAAATCTTTTGGGAGATCTCTTAGGAGATGTCTGAGATGATAAGAATCGAATAGAGCGCTATATTGGCGCGAAATTTGTGTTTTTTGCCAGATTTGCCACGAAAAACCGATATTTTCTCATAAAATTTCGCGTTTTTCCAGGCGCCACTTATGGGGTTATTCCGGCTTTGAAAAAAAATGATTTTTTTCCGTTTTTTTCGTTTTTTTACGTCAAAAAACCTAATTCAGCGATGTAAAAAAACGAAAAAAAAACGGAAAACAAACATACGCTGAATAGCCCCATTAAGAAATTCTCAGAAAAGTTTGAGAATTCCTTGAACAAGTTTTAGAGCAGTTTTAGAAAAGTTTAAAAAAGTCTTGAAAACGTTTTTTTACTTCAGAATTCTTGAAAACGCACGGTTTCCAGAGCTGACAATGGGCGCGCAAGTGCGCCACGCCCAATAGAGCGATACATTGGCGCGAAATTCGAATTTTAACAGCAAATTTTGTGCTTTTTGCCAGATTAGCCACGAAAAACCGATAATTTCTCATTTGCCTCTCGAAAGACCGATTGTATCGGCTATTACGAATTTTCTAAGCGCAAGAGCGTTAAATTTGGTCAAGTCGCCAATCACATTTATCCGTTTGAAGGTCTTCGGCTAAAACTGCGTGAATTTCAGTTGCTTTTCGGTAATTTTCGCGGTTCGAGCGCTCAAAATGCTTGTATTTACGTGATTTATCATTCTCAAAACCGATTCTGTCTGAAAACGGTCAAGAAAGCGCAAAATTAAAAGTGCGGTTTTTAGGCGGCGATCGGCGGCGAAGGCGAAAAAGCAAAGTCCGCCGAAAAATGCGCCAAAACGTCATTAATTCTGAGAATTAGTGTGTTTTCATGTCGAACAATCATTTTTTTTTCGCCGTTGACCACAAAAATCAGAGAAAACGTGCTCAATTCATGAAAACGCCATTTGGCCGCCGAGGCCACGCCCATATTGTCAGCTCTGAAGACCGTGACGTGACTTTCCGTAAACACGCATAAATCTTCAGATTTTCGGAAATCTCGACATTTATTTTCAGCGTGTTCCCAATGAGATCCTCGTCGAAATCCTAGAAAACTGCAAGCCGGACCCGTCGTCGGTCCTCTCGGCTCGACGAGTGTCTCGCCGCTTCAGCGCCTGCATGGACCTTGTGGCCGACGTGAAAGATCGGACTGTGGTGAGTACTTTTGTGCCTAAGGTTCTTCTTTCATTGCGCATCTTATTGTAGCTCTCCCGTCTGGTGATCACTGGACTCGGCAAGAAAGGCATCGAAATGCGTTGGGTCAGTTATGTGGGTCAGAAGACGAAGACGACGGTGGTCCCGTGGTCCGTGATTCGGAACGGAAGTCAACGAGCGTTCGAGTTCAACTTTAGGCGATTCGCGATTCAGAGAATCTTGTTGAAGGTGAGTCGCAACCACAATTCACAGAAAAAAACCGAGCACTCTTGCAGAACGTGCCCCTGTCCGACGAGCTCATCGACTTCCTCCGTGGCCTACTCCAACTGGCGGATCTCTCAAAGCTCCTCCAGCTCTCCCTATCGCAGGTCGACTTCTCTCCCTCCAACTGTCTCTCCCTGCACCGTCTGCTCGCACCGCTGGCCAAATCGCTCGAGATCTTCGAGATCACCCAATGTTCGGGAATGCGTTCCGACTCGGTCACCGACGAACACCTCGCCCAGCTCGACGCTCCGACCGTCCGTCGCATCTGCATCGACGGCGTCCGATTCGCGTCGGGAGCCACCCGTCAGCTGGACATTGGCGACGGCGCTCTTCGCCATTTCGCACGCCTCCACGCGTTCCCGACCATGATCCTCGATCGGTGCGCCGTCACCACCAACACCGTCTGCGACTATACGAAAGAGTGGTTCGAGCAGTGCAACGAGTCCGAGAAGCAGTTGCGCAGCCAGGTGTGCACCGTCAAACGGTGTCCCCGCGTCAAAGGTGAGCATTTGGGCTTCGCTAGGCCCTACAACCCGCCAAAATTTTGCGGTTTTTGCCTCAAAAACACTTGCCATTTTTCAGGATCGGCATTCGAGGCGGAGTGCCGTCGCCGCGGTCTCCGATGCAAGAATCGACGTGGATCCGGCTCGCTGACGCTGTACAATGTGCAGGAGGAGAATACGAAGCGCGAGTTCACAATCGCGTTGGCCGCGTTGGAGGAGAAGAAAATTCAAGAGCATTCAACTTAACCATAACCTTTGCCCAAACATTTTGCGTCGAAATGTGTATTTTTCCCGTTACTTGTACATGTCTTTATTCGGGTCTTTGTTGTTTTCAATGAAAAATGTTTCCTGTTTTCACTGAAAACAACGCGCGAAATGAAACGAATATGATTACTTTCGCAGTGGCGATGATTTGGATTTGGGCGGGCAATTGCACAGAGATTCGGAAGACACCCGTTTCCGTCACTTTTTCGATTTCAGCGTTTTCGCTTCCTGAAAATTTGCAGAATTGCTGTAAACATGGTTTTGCTCACTTTCTCGAGCAAATACTCTCCGTAATCGGTCCAATCGACGTCGGTCACGTCGGTACACTCCCATTCGTCGCGATACCGCTCAATTTCGATCATTATCGATCGGAAGATGTAGTTTTTACTGGCAAAAAAAAACGTTGAAGATTTGAAACATCCATAGAAAAAGCCTACTGCTCATTGGGCGATCTGAACTGATGCCACTGTTCGATGCCCTTGTAGCCGAGCAGTTCCAACAGTTTCTCCATCGATTTCGTCGTGATGTTGATGAGGATTTGACCGGAAAAATCCGAGACGCGCATCTGGAATATCGGAAAAATTTCGAGATTTTTGTGTTGATCTACCCCTTGTTGATCTACCCGCTTTCTGCCAATTTCCAGACTGCTTTTCTGGCGATCCACTCAAAAATCGAACAGTTTGTCATTTCCTCGTTTCTTTTTGAGCTTTTACCACGCATTTTCACACAAAACCAGCCCAATTCTCGTGTTTTTCGGCTAGAACGGCTTCAAATTGAGCATGGCATTTTCAGGAATGGACCCGAATAGTCTGGCGTCGCGCAAACCGCTGGTCGGCTGTGTCGAACAGCTTCAGGACGCCGTCGTGGCCGATTTGACAGAGCTGATCGGCCAGCTGACAGAGCGGCTCGCCGCCTCCGACGCCGCCATTCAGGCCGTCAAGAAGGCGCAGAAAAAGCAGAAACACGTGATTTCGCAGTTGAAGGAGGAGTTGGCGCGAGTCGGCGTCAAGAAGGTAATCGCTTTTTCTTGTGGATTTTCCAACTTATCCATGAGCTTAAGGACCAGAATGCCGAGAAGGCGTCGTCGTTGGCGTCGCCGGACACTTCGATCGACGCCGTCGGCTTCGGAGAGAGCGCCTCGACGGTCAACGCGGAAAAGTCTTGCCCGCCGACCGCCCAACTTGCAGCGGATTTTTTGGAGAGAATGCAAACGGACTTTGCGCGACTGGTGACCAATCTGGCGGAACCGTCCGTGCAGGTGCAGAATGCGCGGACGGAGCTGTCGCAGTGCAAGAAGGAGGACAAAGAAACGCTGGCCGAGTACTACAATCGCGTGAAGCGCATCGCGAATACGGCCTTTCCGGGAAGCGCGGACTCGTTTGTGGACAAAACAACGATGGATTCGTTCGTGAACGGACTCGACACGGAAATGAGTGTGTACGTGAGGGGCGAGGAGCCGGGCACGATCGGACAGGCCTACAAACTGGCGCTCGTCAAGGAGATGGAGAACACTTATCAGCTGCGGAAGGGACCCTCTCGGACCAGGTGAGCTCACGGATCGGATCCGAACTTGGCAGTCTTGTATTGAAGTACTTTGTGTTCAAACTTCAGACCAATCGGATAATCTGGTCCCGAGATCGGTTTTTTTCTGGTTTCTGATCCACACATCTCGAGGCCAGATGATCCGATCCGGCTGAAACTTGGTCCCTAGGCTCCAATTGGAATTTTGCAAATGGGTCAAACCACAGACAGGCAGTTTCCACTCAAAGTGACGAAACTTGCTCCCAGCATACCGAACGATTTCTAATTTCAGAACCGAAGTACTGCCGTTCAGCATCATTTCGATTCCGTTTAAACCGATTACTTCCAAGCCGAGCGCCATGATGCGCCAACTCGCCGCGAAAGGCCGTTTCGACGTGAAAGTGCTGTGGGAAACGCTTATTCCGCCGCACTCGGACCAGTTGGTGAGGTGCCAGGTCCCGGCGGCCGTCGGTTTGGACATTATTGTGCACGCCGCCGTCCACAACGGACTCGTCATCGGGGGAATGAATTTCGACGCAAACCAATTGATGGAGATTCGAATCACGAATCCGTCAGGCCTCAACAAGGTGTTGTCGGCCGGTGAGACGATTGCGAAGGCGTCCGAATTGGAAAAGTATGATAGTTCGAATGAGCTCTGACCCAACTTATTTTGCTTTTATTTTAACCCGAATAAATTGCTGTGCCATTCATTTGCCATTGATTTGTTTCGCAACTAAACTTGTGTCTATTGAGAGACCACCCCATTCAGCAAATTCAGATAAGGTATTTTTAATGTCCTATTTTTTTCAGTTTTTCGCCACAACTTCACTCGATCTTCTCTACATTTCCCCCACCCCCTCTCCATTCTTTCCTTACTTTACAAAATATCTGCGGTTCGACTTTGACTCTTGAGCTCTTGCAATTGGTACACGTCTTATGCGTCTTTTCGTTTTCCCATAAAAATTTACAGTTGCTACACCTGAAAATGAGCATAATAGGGTCTTGACACGAAAAAAGTGGACTGTACCCATCGTAAATTTGAATTTTCATATCGAGAATGTGCACGTGGAGCACCGCCTTTTTCACGTCGGCCGTCAGCTCGTGGATGACTGCAAATTGGTTTTTTCTTTTTTGCGAATTACTTGAGAAATCTCACATTTCGGCGGAAGGCAAAACGGTTTTTTGGCGATCGAATGACGACGAATTCCGGAAGATGCACCATTCTTCTTGTGTTTGATCACTTTTTCGACGTAGACCTCGGAGATGGCGTCGGAATCGTCTGGAAATGTTTAGCATTATTTCTACTGAGGCTTTTCTTGACTCCAGGCTTGCCCAGGCTTTTTGAAGGCCTGGACTTTGGATCCACTTAATCTGATCGGGTCCAAACTTTGCAGGCTTCTTGAACTTGGTTTGAGGTATATTGGATCCGAGTTTCAGACCGATCGGATCATCTGGCTCCGAGAGAGGCCGAAAAGGTAGGGTTTTTGCAAAAATTGGGGCCTCTGATCGACATACCTCCGGCCTAGGTAGTCCGATGAGTCTGAAACTCGGACCCAATATACATCAATCAAAGTGTAAAAAGCCTGAAAAGTTTGGACCCGATCAGATCATTGTGGGGCAAGCGAGCCAAAAGTCTAGACTTCAGAAAGCAATAGAACATTGGAATAAATTGTTTCTCTGGTTGGTTTTTCGACGGAAACCATGTTTCCCTAAAAAAACCCCACTTTTTTTGAGAATCTGCGCGTCCACGTGGATTCTGTCGCCGTATTTGATGTCGCTGCCGCGCCGAGTGCTGCACGTGGCCAAAATGAGCGACGCATGATGCGATTCTTGCAAAATCATTCGAATTTGATCCTTTTCGGCAATTTTCGCCACTCGAAGCACGTCGGCGTGGATCTCTGAATTGTTGCGATTAATTTTGAGTTTTTGCTTAACAATTACCCTTCCGCTCGGTTTTTCCTGATGATTTTCGGTCTCTCAACGGCGGAATTGTGGATTTTTTGGCCGGCGGAGCTCCGGTTTCCTCTTGATTTCCAGCATTTGAGGCTGGGCGTTTTGTCGACGAGCTTTGTCTGCAAAAAAGATTATTCGGAGAAAATTGGCCTAAAAACTAACTCATCACGTCGAAAAGGCGAAATGAAGGGTCTGGAAGAGCCGGCGCCGTCTCCGTTCGCCTTCATTTTGATGAGCGGCGACGAGAAACTGGATTTTGACGGTTTACGGGAATCGGACTGGAAAAGTGGAAAATTGGCAATTTTCAGGGTGCTCAGAAAATGATTTTTCAGTTTTTCCAACACTTTTACAGCAAAAAAGAACGCACACTCAACAGACGTCTCGATTTTTCGAGCGCCTCCGGGTCGACATCGATTCGGACGCCGCCGGCAGTCGAGAAAACCGGTTCGAGAGATATCGGCACGCCTTTTGGCTCGTCGAAACTGTCCGTCTCGTCGAAGGATTCGTTTTTGGCGGACGCATTCCTGAAAATTGAATTTTTGCTGATTTTGTAGCTTTTCCGCGTCATAACACGCGTTTTTGTGTGAAAACTAATATTGACTCACACTTCGCTCGGTTCGTCACCCATTTTGCGGTCCGAAACGGGCGGTTTGCCTGAAAATTTGTCAATTTTTGCTTAAATTTGTAAATCCGACGAGAAATCGTTGCGGGACCCCGCCAAATTTTTGCAAAGTCCCTTTAATAGTACCGTAATTTTTTTCAGGGCTCAAAAATGACATTTCTGGCTTGGCGTGCTATTTTTGTGTTGTACTCTGCCGAAATGCAATGAAAAAATACGTTTTTCAGTGACAAAATAAGCAAGAACTCTGGAAATCTGGTTTTCAATAGGAAAATTCGATAAATTCGGCCCTTGCGAGCTTTCTAGGCCAGCGCCGGATTTCTAGGCCAGCTTGACGTCACCGCGTCGGGACAGGTGACTTATTAGACCAACTTGCACTCTGTTTCCGCCATTTTCTCTTGAAAAATCAGAAAATTCACCTGAAACTTCATAAGCGACAGTATTTTCAGCGAAAATCCTTTGGGGAACCCCTTTTGAGTGCAAAGATGCGGAGAAGAATGAAGTGAAAAGTAAATATGCGCGTTTTTTGCGTCATCCGACCCTTTTCGCCGTCATTTTTGCCCCCGCGTCACGGCCGAGAAAAAAGAGAGAAATATGAGAAGCGAGAGAAACATCATGCTCGGCTGGGCTCCGTGGCGCCGCCTCCCCGGCTCTGCGGCTCTCATTTTCCCGCGTTTTTTTGCTGTAATCTTGTTATTTTCAGATTTTTTCGGCTTCCAGGTCCTGGATGCTCGCAATCACCTGATAATTCTTCCCGATTTTTTCTTATCACTTCCGATTTTTATCAGTTTTTTTTCTCATTTTTTTAAAATGTGAAAAACCTAATTTAAATTTATGGCCTAAAAACTGCTAGATATTTCTATTTCAACGTGTTTTTCTTTATTCTCCCTATATTCTCTTCTAATTTTTAGGCTAAAATTTACAATTTTCAGCCCGAAATGGCTCCGCTGCCACGTGTCAAGTGTTATTTCGACGTGGTTTGCCCCAACTCGTGGATCACAATTCAGGTACATTGAGAATGCCGAAAAATCAAAGTGTATAGCCTAAAAATCGTGTTTTTCCGGGTCTCGCGCATGCGATTCACGTGAAAAACGCATGCGAAAAGCATGTGAAAAACGGATATTTTATGTTCTTTTCACGGCGATTTGTTTTTTCCGATTCCGATTTTCGGGTGTTCTGTGAAGCGGGAAATAAATAACTTTCAAAATGTTTTCAATTTTTCCCCAAATTTTAGGCCCTGACCTCGCACAATTCGCTGTTCGAACGCGTCGATTTCGAGCCGGTTTGCGATTTTAAAATCGGCATTTTGCACAATGCCGCCATTTGGAATCAACGCAGAAAAGTGCACAATTCGCGGCTGTGGAAGTCGAAAAAAGGTTCATTTTTAATCAGGCATCCGAAAGGCTTGGAGCGGGGAAATACCATTTGAGCATGAAATGCTTGAATACCTGTTTTTCTAATCCCAAAAACAGTTACAGAAGTGCCGCAGCCGGAACCGGACGTCGACGACGGAATTCTCAAAAAAATTGACGAACGTGGCAAGAAATTGATGGGATGCGAACGAGTGGAGGCGCCCGTCGATTGGAGAAATGTACGTGCGCGGGCAATTCAAAGCCTAGAAAATCCCGGAAAATTTGCAGACGTACAAACTGGCAGTGTCGCGTGGTTCGGTAATTCCGCAGCTATTCCTAACTTCGATCCGAGAACGCTATCCGGACCTCTACGAGCCCGCAATTCATCATTTGGGTGAGATTTTCCATCGACGAATTGGGAGAATTGCCGCTTTTTCTCACTTTTAACGAAATTCCACCAATTTCCCCTATTTTCAGGCAAACGACTGTGGGAACAGCGTCTTCCGGTCCACTACGGTTGCCACATGTCTAGCGTATCCCGCGAGCTCGGAATTCCGTTCAGCACCGCCGAAGACATTGTCGCCCGTCTTTCGTCGCCCGAAAATCGATCGATTCTGCACAAAAATTGCAAAGAAGCCGTCGATTTTAAGGTTTTCGTTTCTGAACGTTTTCTGAAGTTTAACATGCCAATTTTCAGCTGACCGAAGCGCCCGGCCTGATTCTGACGTCAGAAGACGGAGAAACTGTGAAGATCGAGTCGATTAACGAGATTTTCGACGAAAGTCAATCGATATTATCAAGATTTTCTGGAAATCCGTCTGTCCGAATTGAAATGTCTGCGAATAGACTCTAAATTTATTTTTCCCCTTTTTTTTTTTTCATATTTTACTCATTTTTCCAAGGCTGGACAATTGGCCTGACTTTTGACCCACTTTCAATGATCCGATCGGGTCCAGACTTTGCAGGCTTCTTGGACTTGGATTGAAGTACATTGGGAGCAAGTTTCAAGCCGATCGGACCAGCTGAGCCCGAGATATACTGGGCTGAGGCCGAAGAGCCGGACTTTCGGCAAATGATCCACACATCTCGGGACCGGATGGTCCTATCGGGCTGAAACTTGGTCCCAATGTACTCCAATCCAAGTCCAAGAAGTCTGCAAACTTTAAGCCCGATCGGATCATCGCAAGTTGTTCAAAAGTCCAGAACAAGGTCCGGCCGATTGCTCACCCCTACACTTTTCCATAATTTTACTCGCCTCAAATTAGTTTTCCATTTCGTCCCCGATTTCCCCTCATATTTACGGTGATTTTCTGTCATTTCACACCTTTTTTTTGCTTCAGAATATTTATTGGACCACTTCACCGAATTAAAAGAGGAAAAAAAGCGCTAAAGGCACACATTAGAAAATTGCGAAAAATGCCTAAATCAATAATTATTGGCAGGGCTTGAAAGTCGGGATGTTCACACACACATAAAGGGAAATTGTTATTGGTAAGGGAATATGAAAAGTTATTGCCAAATCGAGTTCACCGAGACATAAATATATAATTGAAAACGAGAACATTTTCTGAGGGAAGTTTGGGAGGGGGGAAGTTTATTGATTGAAAAACGAATTAGAAGAGCCATTTGAAAGCGCGCCGGACGACGTCGGGCACGTGGGACCACTCGAACGTGATCGTCTTCTCGTCGGCCGATTTGATCGTCGCCTTGTAGCTGACGCGTCCGCCCTCCGCCGACGACGACTTTGACGACGAAATCTCCGACTGATTCTTCGTGTTCGCCTCGAGATAGTTGGCCAAAAGTGCGGCGATTTTGTCGAAACTGCAAACAATGCAATGTGTCACCAAAACTGTCCCCAAAAAAAAAACGGCTGCGTCTTTAAACGTACGAGTTGGCAGTGTTGACGCAGTTGAACGGATCCAGCGGATCGCGCATCATTCCGTGCGGACACGCGCAATAGTACGAGCCGGGCGTGTTGACGCATCCCTCCGAGCACTGGCCGTTGTTCGTCGCGCACTCGTCAATGTCTGCAAAGTTCAATTTCGCACTGAAAACGTAGAGCCGTCCATTCGAAACAATGTATCTCGAATGCGATTGGAGGCTTCAAAAAGCAAGTGCGCCCCGCCCAATAGAGCGATACATTGGCGCGAAATTCAAATTTTAACAGCAAACTTTGTGTTTTTTGCCAGATTAGCCACGAAAAACCGATAATTTCTCATTTGCCTCTCGAAAGACCGATTGTATAGGCTATTACGAATTTCTTAAGCGCAAGAGTGTCAAATTTGGTCAAGTCGCTTATCACATTTATCCGTTTGAAGGTTTTTCGCTAAAACTGCGTGAATTTCAGTTGCTTTTCGGTAATTTTCGCGGTTCGAGAGCTCAAAATGCTTGTATTTACGTGATTTATCATTCTCAAAACCGATTCTGTCTGAAAACGGTCAAGAAAGCGCAAAATTAAAAGTGCGGTTTTTAGGCGGCGATCGGCGGCGAAGGTGAAAAAGCGAGGTCCGCAAAAATGCGCCAAAATGCCATTAATTCTGAGAATTAGTGTGTTTTCATGTTTTCATGTCGAACAATCATTTTTCATCGCCGTTGACCACAAAAATCAGAGAAAACCTGCTCAATTCATGAAAACGCCTAGGCCACGCCCATATTGTCAGCTCTGGAGACCAAGGCAACTTAGAAACGGAACGTACCATAGCACTGTGCGTCCTTGGCAATGTATCCCTTCGGACATCTTCCTCCGTGCGCCTTCACTTTGCACGGACACTCGTCGACAGTCGCCGGCGGAAGCGTCGCAATCGGTCTCGACGTGTCGATGACCATCTCGCACGTGGCCCTCAAAATCGCCTTGCCTTCCGCGCACTGACAATTGCAGCTCGACGCCGTCGGCTTTTTGTAGTCCTCCGGAGCGATCGTGTCTGAAAATTTCAACGGTTGTTCGGTCGATGCACCACCACATCATACTTTTATCGATTCGGACACTATCGCAGTTTGTGTCGATGGCGAGCGCGGTCGCGTTGTCGACTCGTTCGCTCGTCATCACACAGATTGTGTACGTCTCGTCGGACGGCAATTCGTCGAGATGCGTTCCGAAACTGTCGCGACACGTCGCCTCCTTGCGTTGCCACTTGTTCTTCGCGATCGACGGGTCATGCGTGTAGAGGATCGTGTAGTTCTAAAAAAAAGGGAGATGCACCATGTCAAAATGCTTACTATCGTGGCATTTGAAAGTGAACGTCTAAACTGACCGATTTGTTGTTGGTACAGCAAGTCCAGGCGACCGAGATCGAGGACGGCGAGAGTGGAGTCAACTCGATGTTGGTGGCGTCCTCTTTCGAGGCGTCACGTCCGTACGGTCGCAACGTCGTCATCTTGGGCGTCGTCGATTTGCGTGTGGTCGAAGCGGTCGCGTAGTCGCAAGTGATGTACGCGATCCAGCTGTCGAAGAGCTCATTCGGAGCGGACCACTCATCCAGATGGACGACCCTGAACCAGAATTTGACCTTAGAAACGTTCCAGAAGTTCTGGGGCTACCTGGTGGGAAGTCCTGCAACCTTGGACAACACATCGGTGGCCGGTTTGCGAACCGATATCGCGATGATGTTGTGCTGGAAGTCGGCGTTCGCGTACTCGGCCGCCGGAAGCGCGTCGTCGCTGGAAGTTCCGTCCGAGCTGACGACGAGCATCAACTTCACCGCTCCGCTGATATAGTTCTCCTTGGAGAGCTCGACGAGGGCGTCGATTCCGGCGCCGAGCTTCGGAGACACTGTCTCATCGCTGAAAATTAATTGTTTAGAGAAAACTCGACCAGAAGACACGTTCATACGTTTGCTGCTCAATTCCCATCAACTTTTCGGCCAACTGATCGGCCCGCAATCCTTCGAACACTTGTTGAACCTTCTCGCTGTTCACCGTGATGATGTTAATCCTGAACACAACTCTCTGTTCATTTTATTCATGGACCCGAAACCGAAACCCACGTGATCATGTGTTGTTCATCCCTCAATCGATCGTTGAAGAAGTTGACAAGATGCTCGAGCACTCTGCGGAACTCTTCGGAAGCGGCTCTCGAGGTGACGTCGACGAGAATGTTGAAGTGGTAGGGTCTTCGGATTCCGTCGTTGCAAAGGCCTCCGGACACGGCGCGAGTCGTTCGGAGCATCGGCGCCGTCGTGAATTGCTTCGCATTCACGTCTCGTTTCGTGGTGAGATGCGCCGGAATCTCGGACGTTTTGGTGTTGCCGCAGACGGTCTTGAGAATTGTGACGGCGTCGTCGTCGATCTCGGTGGCTTGTGCGACTTGGACGACGTTTTGCGGGTTCTGAGAGCCAACTAGACGTCGCAGTGTGGCCAGCTCTTCGGGCGCCGATCCGACGGCGATCGCGAACAGCTGAACGCCGTACATGTCGCGCAGATCCTCGGCCGCCGCCGCCGCGTTTCCTCGATTCTTGCCGTTCGTGATCAGAATCACCACTTTCGTCGCGTTCTCGCGGCCGTGCAACTGGAATTGTTGACGGGCGGCGTTGAGTCCGTACAAGGCGATCGAGACGCCGTCGTTGATCTTCTCGGCGTCGACAATCTTCTCCAACAGCTCGATCTTGTTGTCGTAGTGCCCGAGCGCGACGGGCACCGCCACCTTGTCGCTGTAGATCACGAAACCGATGTTGGCGACGTCGGGCGCCAAGTCGAAGCCGGTGTCGACGATGCTCGCGACGGCGTCCTTCATCGCGTCGAACTCGTCGCCGGAGAAGTTCTCCGACGAGTCGAGCACGATGATCACGTCGGATTCGAAGTCGATGGTCGCGCAGGAACGGCCTCCCGCGCCGCCCGCCGCCAGAGTCGTCGACTTGGTGCGCGGCGTCGGCCACGTGCGGCTTGTTTCGACAACGTTTGGCACGATCTGGAATGAGACAAAATCGAGTGAAACAAATGGATACGGCGCACAAACCCTGCAAATGTGATCCGCAATCGGTCCGAGCACCTCCGAATCAGCGCCACGCCACTGCTCCACGCGCACAATCTTGTCGGCGTCGGTGAGCCCGGAGTTCTGAGCCCGACTCTCCGCGTCGCCCGAATCGACGACGAAAACGGTGACGTTGCGTTCGGTCTTGAGCGAATTGACGGCCGAAGTGTAGTCGTCGCTGAAAACGTGTGGATATTGTAGGATCGCGATACGTCACACTTACACAGCCTTTCCGTTTTTGACGATCAGCACAATTTGCGGAACGCCGTCGACTCCCGAGATCGAGAGCTCGTCGAGGGCTTCTCGCAGACCGGCTCCGAGTTGAGCACGTCCCTTGAGCCGCCTCGATTCGCTGATCCGGTTCACGAGATCGTCCTCGTTGTCGTAGTCGCCCAACGAGACGGGGATCTCGGCGCCGTCTCCGTACTTGACGAATCCGATTCTGACTTGATGTTTGCGCAGGTTGAAGTGCTCCGTCAGGAAGTTCTTGAGCAACTCCTTCATGACTCGATAGTCGAGCACTTTGATGTTGTTCGACGAATCAATGACGAGCAGCAGGTCGATGTGAGAGGTGACGTAGCAGAATTTGGATGGACGACGAGTTGGCACCAAAGTGTGAAGTCTTCTGGTGGTGTCGGTGGGGAGCACGGATCCGTACTGATCGATTGGCACACCAGACTCGTCTGTGGGCACCAGCGATCCGTCAATGTTGACGGCACGACCCAGCGAATCAGTCGGAAGCACGTCTCCGTATCTTCCGATCACCGTGTACACCGGTTTTCCGTTGGCGTCAGTCGGAAGTGGGCTTCCATCGGGACCGATCGACGGGTAGACGTAGTTGCCGGAGGCATCAGTCGGAAGAACTTGACCATCTGGTCCCAGTGGCTTGCCAGCACTATCCTTCCCGACAACCTTTCCGTCGTCGGTGACGAACGAGCCAGACGACTCTGTGGCGAGAAGTGATCCATCGGGACGGATGATCGGGTAGATGGTGTGACCGTACTCGTCGGTCGGCAGCAGCTTCGCACCGCCAACATCACTGTCAGCCGGATAGATGAAGTTGCCAGAAGCATCGGTTGGAAGCACCTGTCCATCTGGTCCCAGTGGCTTGCCCTCGTCGTTGTTCTGAATGACGTGTCCGTCTTCAGTGATGAAGATTCCCGAAGAATCAGTTCCCAGAAGAGTTCCATCGGGCTTCGTGATCAGAACCTTGGCCTCGGTCGGTGCGAGAACGAACCGTCCGTTGTTGTCAGTCGGAAGAACTGATCCATCCTTGGCGAGCGGCTTTCCACTGCTAGCATCCGTCGGCACAAGATCTCCGTCCTGGCTAATAGCGAGTCCAGAAGCATCTGTCGGAAGTTGAGTGCCGTCCGGACTGAACACCGGGTAGATTGGCTTGCCGGTGAGGTCAGTTGGAAGAGCTTGACCATCCGGACCAATCGCGGGATAGATGTAATTTCCAGCGGCGTCAGTTGGGAGCACAGATCCATCCGGTCCCAATGGCTTTCCATCATCGTTCTTCTCCACAACATCTCCAGCGTCAGTGATGTGAGATCCAGTTGAATCAGTGCCCAGAGGAGTTCCATCAGGCCGCACCACTGGATAGATGACATTTCCAGCGGCGTCGGTTGGCAGCGGCTTTCCATCCGGCCCGACGATCGGGTAGATGTAGTTTCCGGAGGCATCAGTTGGAAGAACTTCTCCATCCGGTCCCAACGGCTTTCCATCGTAGTTCTTGTCAATGACGGCTCCCTCATCAGTGATGAAGCTTCCAGTATCATCAGTTCCGAGGAGTGTTCCATCAGGTCTCGTGATTGGATGGATAATATTTCCAGTCTCGTCAGTTGGCAGGACCTTGGTAACACCCTCATCCGAAGGAACCAGAACGTATTGTCCGTTGTTGTCAGTTGGAAGTGGGGATCCGTCCTTGGAAAGTGGCTTTCCACTGCTGTCAGTTGGAACCAAGTCTCCGTCCGGTCCGATGTGAGCTCCAGAAGCATCCGTCGGCAGTTGGGTTCCATCCGGTCCGACAACCTTGTAGATTGGCTTTCCAGATGCGTCAGTAGGCAAGAGTTGTCCATCAGGTCCCACAGCAGGATAGATGTAGTTACCCGAAGCGTCGGTTGGAAGAACTTCACCGTCAGGACCAAGTGGCTTTCCTTCATCATCCTTCTGAACAACTTCTCCATCGTCAGTGACAAAGGATCCGGTAGAATCGGTGGCCAATGGAGTTCCATCTGGTTTCGTAATCGGGTAGATGACATTTCCGGATTTGTCGGTTGGAACAGCCTTCGCGACTTCCTCACCAGCTGGGACCAGAATGTAGTTGCCGTTGTTGTCAGTTGGCAGCACAGATCCATCCTCAGACAGCGGTCTACCGCTGGCATCAGTAGGAATTGGCTCTCCGTCTGGTCCAATGACGGCTCCCGAAGCATCCGTCGGCAGTTGGGTTCCGTCTGGGCCACGAACTGGGTAGATTGGCTTGCCAGATGCATCGGTAGGAAGGACTTGTCCATCGGGTCCAACAGCCGGGTAGATGTAGTTGCCGGAGGCATCAGTTGGAAGAATCTGTAAAATATCAATCATCTGAGTACTGGTAAGCCCTATACAATTTACAATTACTTTTCGGCCAATTGTAAAAACTTTTCGGCCAATTGTAAAAACTTTTCGGCCAATTGTAAAAACTTTTCGGCCAATTGTAAAAAGACGGCCAATTTACAATTACTTTCTAGCCCTATTTACTTACAATTACTTTTCTCCTACATGACGCCAACAAGAGTACTATAAACGTTTATCTTACCTGTCCGTCTGGCCCAAGGGGCTTGCCTTCGTCGTCCTTTTCAATAATCTGGCCGTCTTCAGTAACAAAGGCGCCAGTTGAATCAGTTCCAAGTGGTGTTCCGTCTGGCTTCGTGATCGGGTGGATGACATTTCCAGATTCGTCGGTTGGAAGAGTCTTGATGACTCCTTCATCCGATGGAACCAGTACGTAGTTTCCATTACTGTCAGTTGGCAATGGAGATCCGTCTTGAGACAGTGGTTTTCCGCTGGCATCAGTCGGGATTGGTTCTCCGTCCGGTCCGATAACAGCTCCAGAAGCATCAGTTGGCAGTTGGGTTCCATCTGGGCCTCGGACTGGATAGACAGTCTTTCCGGAAGCATCGGTCGGTAGCACTTGTCCATCGGGTCCAACAGCCGGGTAGATGTAGTTACCGGAGGCATCAGTTGGAAGAACAGCACCATCCGGTCCCAGTGGCTTTCCGTCTTCATCCTTTTCAATCACTTGTCCATCCTCAGTGACGAAAGCTCCACTGGCGTCAGTTGCGAGTGGAGTTCCATCTTGTTTCGTAATCGGATAGATCACATTTCCAGATTCGTCAGTCGGTAGAGCTTTGGTAGATGTTTCAGGAACTAGGACGTAGTTGCCGGACGCGTCAGTAGGAAGTGGAGATCCGTCTTTAGACAACGGTTTTCCACTTGCATCGGTAGGAATCGGTTCTCCGTCCGGTCCGACGACAGCTCCAGAAGCATCAGTTGGCAGTTGAGTTCCATCAGGTCCACGAACTGGATAGACAGTCTTTCCAGAAGCATCAGTTGGCAAAATCTGACCGTCGGGTCCAGTTGCCGGATAGATGAAGTTACCGGAGGCGTCAGTTGGAAGAACCTGAAAAACAAACATTTCATTCTATTCACCGTCAGAATCACTATACCTGTCCATCCGGTCCCAGTGGTTTGCCCTCGTCATCCTTCGCAACAATTGCGCCATCTTCAGTGACAAAGGCGCCAGTTGAATCAGTTCCAAGTGGTGTTCCATCTGGTTTCGTAATCGGATAGATCACATTTCCAGATTCGTCAGTTGGGAGGGCCTTTGTAACTCCTTCGTCGGATGGCACGAGGACGTAGTTTCCGTTGTTGTCAGTTGGCAGTGGGGATCCATCCTTGGAGAGTGGTTTTCCACTTGCATCAGTCGGGATCGGTTCTCCGTCAGGCCCGAGCACAGCGCCAGAAGCATCCGTCGGCAGTTGGGTTCCATCCGGTCCGCGTACTGGATACACAGTCTTTCCAGATGCATCGGTTGGTAGCACTTGACCATCTGGTCCAACTGCTGGATAGATGTAATTTCCAGATCGGTCGGTAGGAAGAACCTGAGACATCATCAACTTTAGGTTAGACAGTATCTCTGTTTTTTTGTTGCATTTTTCCTGTTTTTCACATACATATAATTACAGACAGACAGACAATGAAACAAAAGAAAAACTACTACTCTGTTCGTGCACACAACACAGCGTACCTGCCCATCGGGACCAATTGGTTTTCCTTCGCCATCCTTCTCGATGATCTGACCGTCCTCGGTGATGAATGCTCCGGTGGAATCGGTTCCGAGAGGAGTTCCATCCGGCTTGGTGATCGGATGAATCACATTTCCAGACTCATCAGTTGGGAGAGCCTTGGTAGATGTTTCTTCATCAGGAACCAGGACGTAGTTGCCAGAAGCATCGGTTGGAAGGGGGCTTCCGTCCTTGGCAAGTGGCTTCCCGTTGGAATCAGTTGGAATTGGCTCTCCATCCGGTCCGATCACAGCTCCAGAAGCATCAGTTGGCAGTTGGGTTCCATCTGGGCCACGAACTGGGTAGACTGTCTTTCCAGATGCGTCAGTTGGCAACACTTGACCATCAGGCCCGGTAACTGGGTAGATGTAATTTCCAGAAGCATCAGTTGGGAGTAGAGATCCATCTGGTCCGATTGGTTTGCCATCATCATCTTTTTCAATGACTTGCCCGTCATCAGTGACAAAGGCGCCAGTTGAATCAGTTCCGAGAGGCGTTCCGTCAGGCTTGGTAATCGGATGGATAACATTTCCAGAATCGTCGGTTGGAAGAGCTTTGGCAACTCCCTCATCAGAAGGAGCCAAGACGAAGTTTCCGTTGTTGTCAGTTGGAAGTGGGGATCCATCCTTGGAGAGTGGTCTTCCGCTAGCATCAGTAGGAATTGGTTCTCCGTCCGGTCCGATGACAGCTCCAGAAGCATCCGTCGGCAGTTGAGTTCCATCTGGACCACGGACTGGGTAGACTGTTTTTCCAGACGCGTCAGTTGGCAAGATCTGACCATCAGGTCCGACCGCTGGATAGATGAAGTTACCCGAAGCGTCAGTTGGAAGAACTTGATCGTCTGGTCCCAGCGGTTTCTGCTCCTCGTTCTTAGCAATAACCTTTCCGTCATCAGTAACAAATGCTCCAGTGGAATCCGTTGCGAGTGGAGTTCCATCCGGTCTCACAATCGGGTAGATGACAGTTCCAGAAGCGTCGGTTGGCAGTGGCTTTCCATCTGGTCCAGTGATCGGGTAGACGAAGTTACCGGAGGCATCAGTTGGAAGGACCTATAAAGAAATCTTATGAATAATAGAAACTGTGTTCTGCATTTCAATGTCCATGAAAAGAAATTAAATCATTTGGCTATCTAGTACATAGATCTGGCCTCACCTGTCCGTCCGGTCCCAGTGGCTTGCCCTCGTCGTTCTTCTCGATGATCTGACCGTCTTCAGTGATGAAAGCGCCAGTGTCATCAGTGCCGAGAGGAGTTCCATCCGGTTTCGTGATTGGATAGATGACGTTACCAGACTCGTCAGTTGGAAGGATCTTCGTAGTAGCTTCATCGGCGGGGACAAGTACATAGTTTCCATTGTTGTCAGTTGGAAGTGGGGATCCATCCTTGGAGAGAGGCTTTCCACTGCTGTCTGTCGGAACTCGTTCTCCATCCGGTCCAACGTGAGCTCCAGAAGCATCAGTTGGCAGTTGGGTTCCATCTGGACCAAGCACAGTGTAGATCGGCTTGCCGGAAGCATCGGTAGGAAGGACTTGTCCGTCCGGTCCAACCGCTGGGTAGATGTAATTTCCAGAAGCGTCCGTTGGCAGAACTTGTCCATCAGGTCCAAGTGGCCTTCCATCGTCGTTCTTGTCGATAATAGTTCCTCCATCAGTGACGAATGAACCGCTGGAATCGGTTCCGAGTGGGGTACCATCTGGCTTTGTGATCGGATAGATGACGTTTCCAGATTCATCTGTTGGAAGTGCTTTGGTGGCCGCCTGATCAGCTGGAACGAGGACGTAGTTTCCGTTGTTGTCAGTTGGTAAAACGGATCCATCCTTGGCAAGTGGCCTTCCAGAAACGTCAGTCGGAATCGGCTCTCCGTCCGGTCCGATGACAGCTCCAGAAGCGTCAGTTGGCAATTGTGTTCCGTCTGGACCACGAACTGGATAAACAGTCTTTCCAGATGCATCGGTAGGAAGAATTTGTCCGTCTGGACCGACAGCCGGATAGATGTAGTTACCGGAGTCGTCGGTTGGAAGTACCTGTAAAAAAATCGTATGAATAATTGAGGCTGTCTGTCAAGAAAAAGAATGAAAATCATTTGATCATCTATCAGATACGTGCTCACCTGTCCATCTGGTCCCAGTGGTTCGCCATCCTCGTTTTTGCCAATCACTTGGCCGTCCTCAGTGACGAAAGCGCCAGTGGAATCAGTAGCCAATGGGGTGCCGTCCTGTTTGGTGATTGGATAGATGACATTACCGGACTCATCGGTTGGCAATGGCTTTCCATCTGGTCCAGTGATCGGGTAGACAAAGTTACCGGAGGCGTCAGTTGGAAGAACTTGTCCGTCCGGTCCGATTGGTTTGCCCTCGTCGTTCTTCTCGATGATCTGACCGTCCTCAGTGATGAATGCTCCGGTCGAATCAGTTCCAAGTGGTGTTCCATCTGGTTTGGTGATTGGATAGATGACATTTCCGGACTCATCAGTTGGAAGAGCCTTGGTAACTCCTTCATCGGATGGAACGAGCACGTAGTTTCCGTTGTTGTCAGTTGGCAGCGGGGATCCATCCTTGGAAAGTGGTTTTCCACTGGCATCCGTTGGGATTGGCTCTCCATCTGGTCCGATGACAGCTCCAGAAGCATCCGTGGGCAATTGAGTTCCGTCTGGGCCACGAACTGGGTAGACAGTCTTTCCAGAAGCATCGGTCGGTAGAACTTGTCCATCTGGTCCCACAGCTGGGTAGATGTAATTTCCAGAGGCGTCAGTGGGTAGAACTTGACCGTCAGGGCCAATCGGTTTTCCCTCGTCATCCTTTGCAACAATCGCGCCATCGTCAGTGACAAATGCGCCGGTAGAGTCAGTTGCGAGTGGTGTGCCATCTTGTTTGGTGATCGGGTAGATAACATTTCCAGCATCGTCAGTTGGAAGGGCTTTGGTAGATGTCTCATCAGCCGGAACAAGAAGATAGTTGCCAGAAGCATCAGTTGGCAATGGAGATCCGTCCTTGGCAAGTGGTTTTCCGCTGGCATCCGTTGGGATTGGCTCTCCATCTGGTCCGATAACAGCTCCAGAAGCATCAGTTGGAAGTTGAGTACCATCAGGACCGCGAACTGGGTATATCGGCTTTCCAGAAGCATCAGTCGGCAAGACTTCTCCATCGGGTCCAGTTGCTGGATAGATGTAGTTGCCAGACGCGTCAGTCGGTAGCGGAGATCCGTCCAGTGAAAGCGGTTTTCCTTGAGCATCGGTTGGAATCGGCTCTCCATCCGGTCCGATAACGGCTCCAGAAGCGTCAGTTGGAAGTTGAGTTCCATCTGGGCCACGGACTGGATGGATTGGCTTGCCAGAAGCATCGGTAGGAAGAGCTTGTCCATCAGGTCCAGTCGCCGGATAGATGTAGTTACCGGAGGCGTCAGTTGGAAGAATCTGTAAAATATCAATCACCTGAGAACTGGTGAGCCCAACAAGTTTACGATTACTTTTCTCCTACATGACGCCAACAAGAGTACTATAAACGTTTATCTTACCTGTCCGTCTGGCCCAAGGGGCTTGCCGTCGTCATCCTTTTCAATAATCTGGCCGTCTTCAGTAACAAAGGCACCAGTTGAGTCAGTAGCCAACGGGGCTCCGTCCGGCTTCGTGATCGGGTAGATGACATTTCCAGACTCATCAGTAGGCAAGGCCTTGGTAATTTCTTCGTCAGCAGGCAACAAGACGTAGTTGCCGTTGTTGTCAGTTGGCAGTGGGCGTCCGTCCTTTCCAAGTGGCTTGCCCGCCGAATTAGTAGGAATCGGCTCTCCATCTGGTCCAATGACAGCTCCAGAAGCGTCAGTTGGCAGTTGCGTACCGTCTGGTCCACGGACTGGGTAGACCGTCTTTCCGGAAGCATCGGTCGGTAGCACTTGTCCATCTGGTCCCACAGCAGGATAGATGAAGTTTCCAGAGGCGTCAGTTGGAAGAACCTGTCCGTCTGGACCAATTGGTTTTCCGGTGTCATCCTTCTCAATAATCTGTCCGTCCTCAGTGATAAACGCTCCGGTAGAGTCAGTTGCCAGCGGAGTTCCATCTTGCTTTGTGATCGGGTAGATGACATTTCCAGATTCGTCGGTTGGAAGAGTCTTGGTTACTCCTTCATCGGAAGGAACAAGGACGTAGTTTCCGTTATTGTCAGTTGGCAGAAGTTGTCCATCTTTTCCGAGCGGTTTTCCTTGAGCATCAGTTGGAATTGGCTCCCCATCTAGACCAACGACAGCTCCAGAAGCATCAGTTGGCAGTTGGGTTCCATCTGGGCCTCGGACTGGATAGACAGTCTTTCCAGAAGCATCGGTCGGTAGCACTTGTCCATCGGGTCCAACAGCCGGGTAGATGTAGTTTCCGGAGGCATCAGTTGGAAGAACAGCACCATCCGGTCCCAGTGGCTTTCCGTCGTCATCCTTTTCAATCACTTGTCCATCATCAGTGACGAAAGCTCCACTGGCGTCAGTTCCGAGAGGAGTTCCATCTTGCTTGTGATTGGGTGGATGACATTACCAGTTTCATCAGTCGGCAGAGCTTTGGTAGCGGTTTCATCAGTGGAGACAAGAACATAGTTGCCAGAAGCGTCAGTTGGAAGTGGATTGCCGTCTTTTCCGAGTGGTTTGCCACTTGCATCGGTTGGAATCGGCTCTCCGTCTGGTCCGATGACAGCTCCAGAAGCATCCGTGGGCAATTGAGTTCCATCAGGTCCACGGATTGGGTAAACTGTTTTTCCGGAAGCGTCAGTAGGCAAGACTTGTCCATCAGGTCCCACAGCAGGATAGATGAAGTTTCCAGAGGCATCAGTTGGAAGAACCTGTCCGTCTGGACCAATTGGTTTTCCGGTGTCATCCTTCTCAATAATCTGTCCATCCTCAGTGATAAACGCTCCGGTAGAGTCAGTTGCCAGCGGAGTTCCATCTTGCTTTGTGATCGGGTAGATGACATTTCCAGATTCGTCGGTTGGAAGAGTCTTGGTTACTCCTTCATCGGAAGGAACAAGGACGTAGTTTCCGTTATTGTCGGTTGGCAGTGGTTGTCCATCCTTTCCGATCGGTTTTCCGTTGGAATCAGTCGGAATCGGCTCTCCGTCAGGTCCAATGACAGCTCCAGAAGCGTCAGTTGGCAGTTGCGTTCCGTCTGGGCCACGAACTGGATAGATTGGCTTTCCAGAAGCATCTGTCGGCAAAACTTGTCCATCCGGGACCAGTAGCTGGGTAGATGAAGTTTCCGGAGGCGTCGGTTGGAAGTACTTGGCCGTCTGGTCCCAATGGTTTCCTCATCATCTTTTTCAATGATTTGACCGTCTTCGGTGACGAAGGCTCCGGTTGAATCGGTGGCCAGAGGAGTTCCATCCGGTTTGGTGATTGGATGAATCACATTTCCGGAATCGTCAGTCGGCAGAGCCTTGGTTGCAGTCTTATCGGTCGGAGCAAAGACGTAGTTGCCGTTGTTGTCAGTTGGAAGCGGCTGTCCATCTTTTCCAAGTGGTTTTCCGTTGGAATCAGTTGGAATTGGCTCTCCGTCTGGTCCCAGAACAGCTCCAGATGCGTCTGTTGGCAATTGTGTTCCATCCGGGCCACGAACTGGGTAGACAGTCTTTCCAGAGGCGTCTGTTGGTAGGATTTGTCCATCAGGTCCAACAGCTGGATAGATGTAATTTCCGCTTCCGTCAGTAGGCAGAACTTGTCCGTCTGGTCCGATTGGCTTGCCATCATCGTCCTTCTCGATTACTTGACCGTCCTCAGTGACAAAGGCTCCGGTGGAATCAGTGGCCAATGGGGTTCCATCCTGTTTGGTAATCGGGTAGATCACGTTTCCAGAATCGTCGGTTGGGAGGGCTTTCGTGGCAGTCTCGTCAGCAGGAACAAGGACGTAGTTTCCAGAAGCGTCGGTTGGCAATGGGGATCCATCCTTGGCAAGTGGTTTTCCGCTAGCATCTGTTGGGATTGGTTCTCCATCTGGTCCGATAACAGCTCCGGAAGCGTCAGTTGGCAATTGTGTTCCGTCTGGCCACGAACTGGGTAGACCGTCTTTCCAGAAGCATCGGTAGGAAGGGCTTGTCCGTCAGGTCCAACAGCCGGATAGATGTAGTTGCCGGATGCATCAGTTGGGAGTACAGATCCGTCCGGTCCAATTGGCTTTCCTTCGTCGTCCCTCTCGATGATATCTCCGTTGCTGTTGACAAAGTTTCCGGTGGAATCAGTGGCGAGAAGTGTTCCATCCGGCTCAACGATCGGATAGATGACATTTCCTGCGTCGTCGGTCGGTGGGAACTGTTGCGCATCCTTGGTGACCGGGAATGCCACGTAGTTGCCCTGATTGTCGGTGGGCAGCGGGGATCCGTCCTTCGCCAGCGGTCTCCCACTCGCGTCCGTCGGCACCACCTCTCCGTCCGGTCCGACGACTGCTCCGGATGCGTCCGTCGGCAGGGGACTGCCGTCCGGATCCACGACGCTCGCCCTCGTCGCCTCGACAGTCTTCGGCTTCACGAACTTGCCCTCCTCGTTCTTCGGCAGTGTCTTTCCGGTCTCGTCGACCGGCACTCCCTGCTCGTTCGTCGCAATCTCGTTGCCTTCGTCGTCAAAGTACTTTCCGTCCTCCTCGTTGAGCGGCTCTCCGTCGACCACGTACAGTGGAATGTGCGGCGGTCTTTCTTCTTCTTCTTCCGCTCCCTCTTCCTCTGCTCCATCCACATCAGCCACGACGAACCGTCCATTCTCATCTGTCTTGTACGGATTTCCGTCTTCATCCAACGGTCTTCCGAGCAGATCCACCTCCACCGGCTTTCCGTCCGATGTCACGAGGGTTCCGTCTTCAGTCTCGACGATCGGGTCTCCATTCTTATCGACCACCGTGATGATCGGCTTGTTCTGCTCGTCAACCGGAAGGGGCCGTCCGTTTCGGTCCACCAGCGGGTACACCCACTCTCCTTTGTCGTTCTTCTCCAGTTTCGTGCCTTCCGGCGCCACCGGATCACCGTTCTCGTCGAATTTCACCGCTTTTCCAGCACTATCGATCGGTTTTCCCTTTTTATTGAGCGGCAGCGGCTTTCCATCGGGTCCAACGACTGGAGCCAGAGGTGAAGAGGATCCAAGGTCCAGAGGATCACCAGTAGAAGCCGTGGGAAGCTCCTCCGGCGCTACTTTCGTGGTGATCGACGGTGGCGTGACCTGAAGGACCGCTTGTGACGTGGCATCGTCCTCCTCGGTGCGCTCGCAACTCTTTCCGTCCGCCGCCAAATGGAATCCGTCGTGACAATAGCATTTCGGATCCAAAGTGCCGCCCGCATCGTTCGGCTCAAACGTGCACGCGTGCTCACACTCGCAAGTGACGTCTCTCGGCGGAGTTGTGACGGTGATCGGCTCGCTCGCGAGCTCTTCGCCTCCATCGTAGAAATCCGCGGAGACTTGAATGTTGTACTCTGTGCTCGGGTCGAGCCCGTCCACAACCACTCCGGAAGTGATGTCGGCCGGCGTCGTAAACTTCTTCACGTTGCTCGGATCGTCGGTGCGCCACACACTGATCGTGTACTCTTTGACGGGCTCCGACGTGATGGCCGGCTTGAAATCGATGACCTGCTCGTCGTCGTTGTTCTTGCCGAAACGGATCTCGCTGGGCGGCTCTGAACATTGGAAATGAGGAGGATTACTGTGACAAGGGTTACGGTACTCACTTGGCGTCATCACAACCAACGTCGGCGTCTGGATTCCCTTTTCGGGATTGTCAACGACCAGGTAGTAGTAGGTGCCCGGATTCATGTTCGGCACCTCGACCCTCGTCAACGGGGCGCCGCCCGACGGAATCGTCTCCCAGTTGTCCTTCGGCTGCTCCGGATCGTCCGTATACTGTATCGTCCACTCGTTCGGCGGCTTCAAATACTCGGGCAGCTCGTCGTTGAACACGAGCACAATTTGTCCGCCGTCGGTCTTCGACGCGACGAAATCGTCGCGCCAGTTCGGCTCGAGACCCTCGATCAGATTCACGTTGATCGTCCAGTTCGCGTGTCCGAGCGGGTTTTGCGCCACACAATTGAACGTGGTGTCTTCGGTGATGTTGGCCACTTGCAGCGAGAATTGCGCGTGGTTTCCGTCGGCGTCGACGCGACTCGGATCGATCTCGTAGCTGCCGCCCTTGATCCATTTCACCTGAGGCAACGGGATGCCGGTCGCATTGCACGCGATGGTCATTTGGGATCCGGGAAGGATCTGGATGGTCGTCGATCCTTCGACTCCGTTGTCGCCGGTCGAAATCTGGATGTAGGGCGCGTTTCCGTCGGGCAACGTCTTCATGATGCACGGCTCGGAGAAGACGCTCGGACCGTCCGGGTAGATGGCGCGCATCTTGAACACGTAGTCCGTGTCGGGCAGCAGAAGGTTCTGGATCTTGTGCGTCAGCTTCGACGGATCGTCAATCGAGATTTTGATCCAATCGTTGAGGCCGGCCGAATCATCCTCCTCGACACTCTTGTCGCCCCGAACGTAGTAGATCTCGTATGCGATCGGCGGCACATCCGAAGTGACCGGCTCTTTCCACTGAGCCACCGCCGATCGTTGACCGTCCGGCTCGACTCGCAACTCGACCGGTGGTCCCTCACGAGCTCGCGACATGGTCCTCACTGTGTACTGATTACTGTACGGACCGGGTCCGTCGTCGTTGATCGCCTGCACGACGACCGCGTACGCGGTGTCGGTGCTGACGAAATCGCTAATCTCCACCTTCCGCGGGCCCTCCACACCGTCATTCAGATCGTGCACATTTTGCCACTCGTTGATCGGCTTCGTCTGCACCTGTCCGAGCTGATGATCCGGTTCCTGGTCGTCCAGAGGTGTGTAGTAGATGATGTACTTGGAGATGTTTCCGTTCGGAATCGACGGAACCTCGTACTGCACCGAGATCGTCGTCGGCTTGTTCGCACTCAGTTGAATGTTCTCCGGCGCAGTTCCGGGACCGGCCACAAAAACGCTAAGGTCCGATTCTTTGATGCCTCCTCGATTTTCGGCCAGGCACTTGGCTTGTAGCGTCTTGCGAATGTCGATGATTCGCAGCAACGGACCGTCGGACAATTGCTACAAGAAAAGTGAAGAGTGGTGATAACGAAAGAAGCAATCAACTCACATTGCCTTGCAAATCGATCCATCGGATGTCGGGCGCCGGATGCCCCTCGGACACACACTTGATCGTGTAGTCCGTACCGGCGGGCACTCGGATCACTCCGTCCTCGGTCTCCACGTTGAACGTCGGCTCGCTCGGCGCAATAACGCCGTCTCCGGTGGCGAACACCGTCGGATCACTCGGCGGCGAGTCGATCTCGCCGCGAGCAATGATGCGCGTGCTGTACTTGGTGTCCGGATTGAAGTTCTCTCCGTCGATGCTCACAATCGCCGTGTCGTCCGTCTCATCCGGATCCGTGAACTTGAGCTCCTTCCAGACGGTCTCGTCGTCCGGATCCTCGTCGGTCGTGTATTGGATCACAAAGTCCTTGATCTTCTTGCCCGCGTTCTCCGGATCTTCCGGCGGCGCGAATTCGATGATCACAGTGTTATTGGGCTGCACTTGAACGATTGGGTTCGTGATCGCTTGGGGCGCTGAAAAGAGACATTAATCATTATAAAAGCGGATGATTGTTTAAAGTCGAATACCGAGCGGTAGGGTCTTGATCACTTGCGGCGCCGAGATGATTCCCGGTCCTCGGTCGCTGACAGCCTGTACCCGCACGGCGTACGTCTTTTTCGGCTCCAAGTTGGCCAACTTGTGGTTCACATCGTCACGTCCAATAGTCACCTGGTCCCAAGTGGTCGGCTCGCTTCCATCTGCAAATTTGAGCGTCTCTAGATTAACTTGAAAGTTTGCAGTTGAGTTACGCGCAAAAAATCAACGCTTACTCTCAGAAATCTCGCCGAAATGGATGATATAGTTGGTGATTTGTCCGTTGACCTCATCCGGACTCGTCCATTCCACATTAATCTCCTGGTTTGGCATCGGCAGCAGCACAATCTCGTTCGGCGCCGTTCCCGGTCCGTCGACAACCACCGACACGACCTCCTGCGTCTTTCCGGCCTTGTTCTCGGCGACACACGTGGCACTCGTGTCGCGAATGACGTCATAGAGCATCAGAGTCTGCGCGTCCACAATATCGCCGTTCTCCTTGATCCAATGCACCGTGGGCTGAGGCACACCGCCAGCTGTGCATGTAATTGTGACGGCGCCCAGTGGATCGACGTGGTACGTCGAGTTGGACGGTTCCAAGGTGATCGTCGGCGGAATCTCTCCGGATCCGGTCTCAAATCGGACCGGCTCCGAGGCGGGACCCTCCGACAGATCGTTGGTGGCCGAGACGCGGATCTTGTACGGTGTGTTCGGGTTGAACTGTTCCTTCGGCAGCGTGACGGTGCCCGGATCGTCTTCGCCCGCCGGCGCCTCCACACTCACCCGCTGCCACGTCTTGTAGTCGCTGTCGTCGTACTCGGCGGCAAAGTAGACCGTATAGCTCTTAACGGGTCCCAGTGGTTGCGACGGCGGCGACCACGACACGTTCACCGTGTTGTCGATCGAAACCGACGGCAACACGTCGATTGGCGCGTCGATCGGCGCCCCGCTGACCGTGTCAAAGTGCTTCGGATCGGTGTGAATACCCTCGCCGTGCGGATTCACCGCCGCAATCTTCACGTAGTACGGCGTCTCGGGCTGCAGGGCTCCGCGCTCGAGCACCAACTTTGGATCCGTCACCTGATCTACTGGGAACACTTGCCATTGATCGACGGGCAGCGATGGATCACCGGTTATGTAGACGTTGTACTTCTGAACATTGGCTATTGTGTGAAGAAAGATTGTCCGACTGTGAGGGACCAACCGTAATATCTCCGTTCGGGTACTTTGGTGGCTGCCAGGTAATCGTGACCCGATTGTCCGGGTCCACAATCACTTCGACGTTCTGTGGTGCACTGCCGGGCTCTAGAAAAACGGTTTACCGGTTTTTGGTCCCACTTGTTCACTCACTATTAACAATGAAAACATGACGATCGTCAACGGTCCCATCTGGATTTCTCGCTTGACACAACAATATTCGCTTTGTCGCTGTCGTCGAGTAGACCTGAATCGAGTTGTAGTGATGCGGTTGGTTCTCGTCCGCGTGGATCGGGATGGGGACCGGCTCGTCGCCCGACTCGGACGCGTTGATCGGCAGCCACGAGTAGGAGACGCTCGGCATCGGACGACCGTCGGCGACGCATCGGAAATGGATCGGTTGCGTTGGTTCCACGACGGTCTCGCCGGTTGAGGCGTCGACGGACGGGTCGGTGACCTCCAGACGCACCGAGAGAGGCACCTCTGAAGGGAGAAAAGTTTGAAAGGTCTAGAACAGAGATGTTGGGAATAAAAATTTTACTCTACGGAACACGGAACACGGAACACGGAAATTTTTTTTTTACGGAACACGGAACACGGAAAACGGAAAAAACTTATTTCTGCGGAACACGGAACACGGAACACGGAAATTTTTTTTACGGAACACGGAACACGGAAATTTTTTTTTTACGGAACACGGAAAAAAGCGTTTTCAAGAGAATTCCAGTGATTTTTAAAAAAATAATGTTTTGTTTAATTCGATTATCTGACTGACAAGGCAGCTGTTTGACTCATGTGAAAGTTTTACTGCAAATTTCATAAAAGTAACAAAACCAACAACACAACAGTAAACAACTACAGTAAAAAACGACTGAAAATGGAATCCACTTTTCACGAATATGGTCCGAATCCGAAAATTTTCAAATTTTGACCACAAAACGTCAATTGTCCTAATCTTTCCGGAGATAAATTTGATCTATGAGGCGATCGAATTTTTCCGCGGAAAATATTGTTTATACGGAACACGGAACACGGAAAACGGAAAAAACTTATTTCAACGGAACACGGAACACGGAACACGGAAATTTTTTTTTTACGGAACACGGAACACGGAAAAAATATTGAAAAAATCGCGGAACACGGAACACGGAACACGGAATTCCCAACATCTCTGGTCTAGAAGCGGCCGAACTCACGTTTGCGGCCAGTAGTGACCTCGTAGGCCTCGGAAATGATGCCGGGTCCGTCGTCGGTCCTCGCCTGCACCTTGACCACGTACGGCGTGTCCTCGTCGTCCACATTCACCGTCAGATTCCTGTTCTCCGCCGGCACCGTCTTCGATTGCCACTCGGCGAGCGGCGCGTCCGGATCCTTCGAGTAGTACACGACGTAGTCCTTGATCCGTCCGTTCGTGATCTTCGGCGGCTGCCACGCCACATCGAATCCCGTGTGCATGGGTGTGGGCGTGATGGCCAACGGCGCGCTTCCCGGTCCCTGGATCTTGACGGGCACCTTCTGCTCGTCGGATCCCTCGCTGTTCACCGCCTGACACGTGGCCACTCCGGACCGCGTCGTGCTCTGCGCGATCAACTTGCTCCTGGTCCGATCGGGCGCGTCGGCGGGGGTCGTGTCGTACACGCGAAACTCGTCCTTCCCGTCCTCCACCAACGTTCCGCTCCACAGCCAAATGATCTTGGGCTTTGGAACTCCCTGCGCTCCGCACTCGATCACCATCTCGTCGTTGCTCGGCTCCTTGCTGATCTCGCTGTCCGGCTCCAACTTGACCGTCGGCGGCTTGGCAGCGAGCCAGGTGGTCGCCGTGAATGGCGAGCTCGGAAGACCGGATCCCAGCCGATTCCGACCCACTATCACAAACGTGTAGGGCGTCTTTTCGTTGAGCCGCGGGACCGTCGTGGTGCGCGCGTTCGGATCGTCAATGTGATGCACCTTCCATTGATCGCGCGGCAAACCCGGATCCTGCGTGTAGTAGACATCGTAGCCGGCCATCGGTCCGTTCGTGATCTGTGGCGGTTCCCATTGCAGCGTGACCTTGTCGCCGTCGATCTGGTAACGAATGCGCTCGGGCGCACTCGGTCCCGTCACCGTCACATTCACGTTTTTCGTCGATTTGCCCGCCTCATTCTCGGCGACACAGAAAAATTGGGTCGACTCGAGAATTCCGCCATTCTTCATCTTGATGTGCTGCGTTTTGGACCCTTTGTTCAGTGGTCGACCTCTGAAAAATCGGATTGGTCGGTCAGGAACCGTTCGCCGACTCACTTATGAATCCAGACGAGCACTGGCACCGGATCCGCGCGGGTCACATTACAATCGATCTCGAACGGTGTCATCGGCGGCACACGAATCTCGTCCGGTCCCACAATGTTCACCGACGGTCTCACCGCCGGCTTCAACGTTTTGATCTGCACCTGATTGCCCAACTTGCCCGGTCCCAGTTGATCGTTCGCGCGGACACGGATGTAGTAGGCGGTATCGGGTCGAAGGTCCGGAATGGCGACCTCGCGCGTCGGCTCCTTCACCTCCAACTTCTTCCAGTTCTTCACCGGCTGCTGCGGATTGTTTGTGTAGTAGAGGGTGTAGGTGGTGATCGGTCGGTTGATGATGCTCGGCGGTTCCCAGCGGACCGTCAGCGAAGTTCTGCCAGCGGCCGCCGATTTCAGATGCGGCGCAGATCCGGGTCCGGTGACCACAATCGAGACGGTCCTGTTCGCCGAGCCATGCACATTTTCCGAGACACACGTAAACTCCTCGTTCCGATAAATCTCCTTGATGATGAGAATTTGTGAGGCGCGCAGAGAGCTCTTGTCCTGACCGTCATGGTTGACGCGCTGGTTCTTGAACCAGTAAATGTCGGGGAACGGGTAGGCGACACTTGTGCAACTGACGTTGATGTTGCCGCCCGGCGCCACCTCATACGGTCCCTGCGGTTCGATGTAGATCTTCGGCGGTCCCGCCAACAACAGACACTTTTGCTTGTTGTCGCCACAGGCGCACGCGAACTGCGTCTCGGTGATCGGGTTACACGTGCATCCGGACAGCGATCGGCACAGCGACTTCGGCACCGGTTCTGCAAAGATAGGGAGGGTTACGGTAGCCATGGCTACTGTACTTACTGATGCACGTCTTCTCGTCGACGTCCAACGTCATTCCGCGCGGACACTTGCACTCGATTTTCTCGTCGTTGTACGAGATGCAAGTGTGCGAGCACGCGCCGTTGTCCGCCGCGCACAGACCCTGTCCACGGCACTGCGGCGGTGTCAGCACCCACTGTTTGTCCTGACAGAACATCGTGTCCACCTCGTCGATCATCTCGTAGCCGTAATCGCAATGATACTTGACGAAAAGGAACGATTTTGGCGAGAACGTCGCGTTTTTCGGCTGATGTTTGCCCTGTTGACGGTAGTATTGGATGATGAGGCGTCGCAGGTTGTCGGGCGGCACGAACGCCATCGCGCGCACCCTGAGAGACAGTACCTTGTTGTGAGCAAAACGCTTAACATCCACGAAATTTCAGAGCAGAGATGAGCGGATCTCCGCTCAACTCTGAGTGCTGGCGATCGGGTGACCGTGGTTCTAACCCGCGGGCGGGGACGGTAGATCAGAAAACCCCGTCAGCTGTGCTGTTCCCTATTACTGCTACACGGCGCCGAAAAACGTAAAAAGGGGCGTGCACGGTTTATCACCATTTTGGCGCGAAATTCGAAATTTAACCCCCCCCCGATTTTTCACATGTTTTTCGTCAAAAATTACCCAAATTTTGTACGGGTTTCGACGATGCGATTGCATAAATTTGTTAAACCAGACTTGCCAGATTTCGGGCCGGCCATGCGGGCTGGTAAAGTGCCGGCCCGGTTCAAAAGGCGGGAATTCAAATTTTCGCGGATATTTTTTTTTCGTTATTACAAAAAAAAATTTCGAACTAAAGTTTTAGTGTTTCTTCTTTGTTTTTTTGCTATTATGAATTTTTTATGAGAAATACATTTGTTTTTCAATGTTCGATGCTTGCAAAAAACCCCTAATTCTACAAAAAATGGCTTCATGCGATCAATAATTCAAATTTTGAATTCCCGCTTTTTGAACCGGGCCGCCGGGCCGGGCCGGGCCGGAGTTTTGGAAATTTCGGCCCGGCCCGTGGCAACTATGTGTTAAACTAATCATCGCGCGCACTTTTTGAGCTTAAATTCAATCAATTCAATCGATTTTTGAAGTTTTGTGCTGAAAATGCGCGAATTTCCGTCATTCGCCGACACTTTTTGCCGCCGTTTGAACGCTTAAAATACTTGTATTAACGTGTGCTTAATCACTTCCGACACTCACTTCGTCTCAAAACCGATCCACATCGGCTGCTATGAAAATTCGGAAATTGCGGCGGAGAGCGTATTGCGAATGATGCCAAAAACACGAAAATTTTAATGTCTCTTCTTTCGTCGGCTATCAAACACACAAAAATATCGAAAAAGTGTGCTGGGAATTTTGCGGCATTTTTCAGAAAACGCGGCGTCTCAGATTGCGCATCTATGAAAAGTGTGTCGAAAGAAGAAGTACCGACTGAGTGCGTCCGCCCAATATCTTATCCTATAATATCAGTGTTTGCAGAGATCTACATGCATCCGGAGACGAGCAACGAGCAGAAATACACCTGATGCAGCGTATTCATCACGAATCAGATCATCAGAATGATAAAATGTACTGCCACCACCCTCATTAGTACCCCCCATTCCTAAAAGTTGCACACAAAACGCTCCTGTCGCTTTTTTTTTGAAATTCTGACGAAAATGTGTGTTCGCATATCATGTACAAACTTACGTGGCATGCGGTACGACCGGCGGCACAACCAATCCGTTCGTCGATTGTCCGGTGACGTCGGTACAACTCGTGTCCAGTTGACTGTACGACGGATAGCAAATCTCACGTCCAGACGCCTAAAACAACAGAGTTGAGGAAAGTCTTAAAAAGGAGAGGGCGCACCTTCGAAATGATACATTTTCCCTCGTCGGGAGGCGGAATCGGCGGCGCTGACACTGCAATTTTTGCGTCAGACGATGATCGGCGACGATCCGCTTGCATACAGTCTACGATGAACATTCTCTACCTCACCAAGCCATGCATTTAGAGATGTGGGGAGCACAAAAACAAAAACTATTTGGATTGGAGTTATCTCGTGTACGGTAGGTAGGGGAAACTGAAAATTAGCGTACGGGGCACAGAACGACACAATAGTTTAACGACGAACAATTCGAGAAACGTCTAGATGATTTTGTTTAGGATCACGACCACCGAGAATAAATATCACAACGGTTAGTGGTGGGTCACCTTCTTCTTCGATTCCGCAAAAGTGCGACGCGCGGTCCGCCGATATCACGCACTTTCCGGTCGCGTTGCTGCGGCCGACCACTACCGGTTCCGGCCGATTGTCTGTATTTGAGGTTTCGAGTACGTTTTGTGATGATGATTACGCTAGAGACTCTACGCTAGACAAATTGGAAGAAATGAGAGGTTTGGAGGAAGATGACTTCAAGTAGGAACCTTTTTTCGACCCTGTACATTTTATGGGAAACTGTAGAGACGGACGGACAAGTGGAAAATCAGAAGCCATTCTCAAAGAGGTTGCGAAGCGCAATGCCCATCATTTTTTTTTCTGCTCTTTTGTTTATTGCAGCCGCCGGCCATTCCAGAAAAAGACATGAACAACAAAATAACCAAAAGAGTGCGTGTGCGCGCGGAGCATTACGGTACCGAGAATCGGACAATATCTGGCTCGTTTGACGCGCCGTCTCGCCAACGGTTCCGGGTACATGAGGTTGTGAAAGTAGGGCGACGCGCGTGCCGGATCGAAACCCGGCAGCACGACGAGGATCGGTTGCACGTCTACAATTCGCATGGAAAAATTGGAGGGCAAGATTTGGGGGAACGGGGGGGGGACGAGTTTTTGCGTCTCTAGAGCTCAAATCGAGTGAAAGTTAGGCCACGCTCCTCAAAAATTGATTAGAATGGTCCTAGGTTGGACAAAAATCGAAAAATCCCATTGGATCCTCGAACTTGGCACTTTCCGATTGACAAACATCAATGTTAGCCACTAGGCTACGCTGTTCGCGGCGCCCAGGCGCCGCGCCAGGTGGCCTAGTGGCTAACATCGATGTTTTTCGCCCAGAAAACCGCGCGAGTTCGATTTTTTTTTCAATTTTCGACCTAGAGCTTAAATTTGCTGCAAGTTAGGCTACGCTCCTCAAAAATTGATTAGAATGGTCCTAGGTTGGACAAAAATCGAAAAATCCCATTGGATCTTCGAACTTGGCACTTTCCGATTGACAAACATCAATGTTAGCCACTAGGCTACGCTGTGCGCGGCGCCCGGGCGCCGCGCCAGGTGGCCTAGTGGCTAACATCGATGTTTTTCGCCCAGAAAACCGCGCGAGTTCGATTTTTTTTCACTTTTCGACCTAGAGCTTAAATTTGCTGCAAGTTAGGCTACGCTCCTCAAAAATTGATTAGAATGGTCCTAGGTTGGACAAAAATCGAAAAATCCTATTGGATCCTCGAACTCGGCATTTTCCGATTGACAAACATCAATGTTAGCCACTAGGCTACGCTGTTCGCGGCGCCCAGGCGCCGCGCCAGGTGGCCTAGTGGCTAACATCGATGTTTTCGTCCAGAAAACTGCGCGAGTTCGATTTTTTTCACTTTTCGACCTAGAGCTCAAATTTAATGAAAGTTAGGCCACGCTCCTCAAAAATTGATTAGAATGGTCCTAGGTTGGACAAAAATCGAAAAATCCCATTGGATCCTCGAACTTGGCACTTTCCGATTGACAAACATCAATGTTAGCCACTAGGCTACGCTGTGCGCGGCGCCCGGGCGCCGCGCCGGTGGCCTAGTGGCTAACATCGATGTTTTTCGTCCAGAAAACCGCGCGAGTTCGATTTTTTTTCACTTTTCGACGCGTTTTGGCATGGATTACTGTAGACGTCCGTCTCAGAAACTGACTTTCCTGTAACAACTGGTTAAAGTATTTCGCGTTTTCGCGTTGCTCTCTTTCAGAAAACCATGCCACACCGCACGAACATTATTATTATTATTATTATTATTATTATGAGCATCTTTCTCTCTCGTGTAGTTTCTTTTTCACTATCGGCAAAATTTAGCGTCGCATGCGCATGCGCCACGTGGCAAATTTGCAAGCGAAGAGTTGGTCTGTTTTACCGCCAGAATTCCGGGCTTTTTCGCACGTCATAGAATAATCTGCAAGTATTTGAAGACTTTTTTGTGCATTTTTCCTCATCATTTTTTCTCAAAGTTTGCGACGAGCGCTCAGAGACGCAAAAACACATTGAAAAAGTGGGGCGGGGCGTGTGTGGGTAGGAGTACGGTATTCACCTGGCAAATTCCGTCGGGTGGAATTACGGACTGTGCAGCATTCTTGGATATAACCTGTGTGGTTTTCGGGTGAATTTCTCTGTTTTTACAGGTAAAAAAGCGGAGAAAAATGGATAGGAGAGAGAGAGAGAAAGAGAAAGAGAGAGAAAGAGAGAGAGAAAGAGAGAGAGAAATCATGCAAAGCTGGCCAAAAATGCACTTACTTCGTGTGGGCGCACGTTTTACTCGCCGCAAAGTGCGCATCCATTCTTGAATTTGTAAATCTTGCGCCAGACTTTCTACTTCGATCGACGGAAGTAGTTCCTGCAAAAAAAGTGTACTTTCGCAAGGTGTTGGACCCCAAAAACTGGCTCAAAAATCGATTGGCAGCGTTTTGTGCATCGTCCAACTTTCGGGGACCGTTTCACGCGTACCTGTGCAATAGAAATGCATAATAAAACAGTGGAGACTAAAAACGCGGATCGGAACAGCCAATTGCGGCCGCCCATCGTGCTGCTTCGTTAGAATTCTGAAACATTTTTTTGTTGTGAACAAGTGCGACAAAACCGTACCCAGTAAATGCTATTCGACAATATCAAAGTGGTCCATATATGTCGGGAAAGAAGAAACGAAGTGGGGTTTTGAATGGTCTGGAAAAAAGTGCGCATCGGGCAGAGAGTTGGAGTTATCAGAGGCGGTTATCAAGCAAAAAAAAGTGATTGCACAATAGTTATTGTTTGTTTTCACGGAAACAAGGTGTTGTGGTCAGAGTGGAGGGGTGTCAAAGGCCGGGGAACATGTGGTCGACTGGGACCGACAACAATGCTCGTAAATTTTAGTGGTTACAGCGGGCGGCTACTAGTTGATTTAAAAAAAACTTTTGCGCAGTTTCTGTTGTCCCTTGTGGACCGCCAATAGCACCAGAACTCATCAACATTTTTTTTTTGAAATCTTCACCTTTAGCACTTTATTTTTGTAGTTGAGCACTTTTTTCTGCGGCCACTCCCTGGACTATTGTACGTCTTGGAAGTTGGGGGGTAGTCAAAAGCCCTATAGTATCTTCAAAACGCTACAGTATCCTTGAAAGTGGTTGTACAGAGAAGATGTCAACTAACAAAATAAAGTGCAAGATGTCTAGATTATTTTTGTAGTTGACAACTTTTTTGTAAGCCCACTCCCCGGGGTACTGTAGCTTTTTGAAGTTTTGATACTCGACTAAATACCTCTAACTTCGAAGCGGTACAGTAACCCAGAGAATGCTCGTATCAAAAAGGTGTCAACTACAAAAAGTAAGTACAAGACATGAATTATACACAGAAACGTTTTCCGAACCTCTACCACACCGCACAACTCGACAATACTCATTTAAACTAGGCGCACCGGAAATGAGGCGGACAACGCAAACAAACTGGAAAACTGATGATGATGATAACAAAAAGGTGTGAAACGCAGAAACACGAATTGTTTAGATACACTTTTCGATAAACTTTTTGCGTGTTTATAATAAACAGTTTATCAGGCGAGGTATCCAGTTGCAAAAAGCGGGCTTCATGACGGATGTGTGTGTGTTATGATTCTTTTGTCGTTCCTGCATGGAGCGCCGAAATTTGACACTTTTTGGAAAGAAATCGAGGAAAACGGAAAGGATTACGGTAGCTTTGCGTGAAAATAAACAGACAATAGTAGTAGGAGAGCAGGTCGTGGCCTAGAAAAACCATCTCGCAGAAGCTAGTCCCTCATGCCGTGTCGACACAAGTCAAAGAGTTCACTTTGAGCAAGACTTTTCAAAGATTGTAATAATCGCCTCAAATTTCAAGTGAACTTTTATCCGGGTCCCCTTCGGACCGGAGCACATGAGTCAGTGTGTTTGGAAAACGTTTTGTTTACAATTTCCTGAAGAACATGCCGGAATGTACTGGAAGAAAGGTCAAAGACGAGTGGAGATGGATGACTAACCGAGAGATTTATAAACACACAAGTTTCTGTGGACTTTTCGAGGTTCTGGAACGTTTTGGAGAATTTGGACGCATTCTAACGCATCCTAACGCATCCTTATGCATCCTAGCGCATTCTAACGCATTCTAACGGATCCTTATGCATTCTAGCGCATTCTAACGCATTCTAACGGATCCTGAAGCATCCTAGCGCATTCTGACTCATCCTAAAGCATCCTAAGCGATCCTAACGCATCATAACGCATCCTAACGGATCCTAGAGCATCCTAACGCATCCTAACGCATCCTTATGCATCCTAGAGCATTCTAACGCATCCTAACGCATCCTTATGCATCCTAGCGCATTCTAACGTATCCTAACGGATCCTAGAGCATTCTAACGCATCCTAACGGATCCTTATGCATCCTAGGGTATTCTAATGCATTCTAACGGATCCTTATGCATTCTAGCGCATTCTAACGCATCCTAACGCATCCTTATGCATCCTAGCGCATTCTAACGCATCCTAACGCATCCTTATGCATTCTAGCGCATTCTAACGCATCCTAACGCATCCTTATGCATCCTAGCGCATTCTAACGCATCCTAACGCATCCTTATGCATTCTAGCGCATTCTAACGCATCCTAACGCATCCTTATGCATCCTAGAGCATTCTAACGCATCCTAACGTATCCTTAGCCATCCTAGCGCATTCTAACGCATCCTAAAGCATCCTAAGCGATCCTAACGCATCATAACGCATCCTAACGGATCCTAGAGCATTCTAACGCATCCTAACGCATCCTTATGCATCCTAGCGCATTCTAACGCATCCTAACGCATCCTAAGCGATCCTAGCGCATTCCAATGCATCCTAAAGCATCCTAAAGCATCCTAAAGCATCCTAACGTATCCTAGAGCGCCCAGAACCCACCCCAAGCGCAATTATGAAGGCGAAAAGAGTGCATTGTGATGAGATAATTCATCATTGGCTGCCAAGGAGAGCCCCCCGACTGGCTGGCTGGACCCCTCGCTAGTTCATTTCTCATTTCACTTCGGCACACAGAGATAAAAGTGAGTTTAGAGGTGAATTGAGGATAAAGAGAGAGAGAGAGAGAAACACAACAACAAAATGATGCTGATCGGGGTGCCCGGGGAGCCCGTGCGTGCTCGCATTGCTACACTATTTCTCCTGGCTCCGGTGGGGGGGGGGGGGGACCTCTTTCTTTCTGTGCGTGTGTATGATGCTCTCCCTCATCCACCGGAAGATCTGTGGGTGACTCAGCGCCGGCGGCGGCGGTCCCCTTACGATAATGTGGTTGAAAAGACGGCGCTGGGTGGTGGCGGTAATTCAAATTTATGTGTGCGATGGTTCGGGTCACATCTGGTTTAAACTTTAAACTGCGATTTGGACGCGAAAAACTAGCTCAAAATGCGAAGAAAAGTGACAAAAATCGAGCTGGAATGTGATCGATCTTTCGACTTTTGTCCAACCCCGGACCATTTCTATCAACTTTTGGGGACCGTCGTCGAACTTTATACGCAAAACGACAATAGTAGCGAGGAGGAGGAGCACGTAAATGAGTGTGGAAGTGACAGTTTAGAGAAATGGCGACGACATGTGAGCACCAACGGACAGAGCCGAGCCACTTGAGAATATAAACAAAATGTTGCCTCCGCCGGACACCATACAACCCTATAAAAATGCATAAACGATTGGCAATGGGTGCATCGGAAAGCAAGTTTTGCGCAAAAAAAAAACCGAGGAGAATAGGCTGATTTTGACGGGTTTTTGAAAAAAAATTATATTGCAACCAGTGGGACCAAGTTACGATGCAAGAGGTTTTGATGAAAGAAACTGATGGAAATCACGCAAAAGTTCAGGAAAACAATTTTTTCGCATTTTAAAGTGACCGCCGGGTGCACTTTGAAGGATCAGCGGGTGAAATCGAAAACACATAGTGGTCCGTGGAAGTTGAGAAGATGAAAGAGGACCGGGAAGTGATGGGGAGCAGAAAAACAGAAGAGGATGTTGATTTTTTGGTTCCAGTGCTGAGCTCAAAGTTCGAAAGTGTACATTTTGAAGCAATCGTTGAGTTTTAGAGGGTTTTAAGGCTTTCCTCGACACTTTTGGACTATTAGGAACTGTTTGAGGGACTTTTGGAACCTTCAAGAACTTTCAGGGACCGAATTAGACTCGCTGAAGCGCTTGGGACCGTACGAACCGCCAGGGACCGCCGGGAAAACACCGGAGAGACAGGGGAACAAGTGTTGTTTGTTAGCCGATCGGTCGGGGGACTCGCCAGACTCGCAATTATGTTTTGTTTTTTGACAGATTGTTTTGGCAGGCAGGCAGCCGGGCCAAAGGATCCGCAGAAGAAAAAAACCGATCTTCTTCTTCTTCTTGTTGTGCCGCGGCAAGAACAAGAGGAAGCGGCTCTTTATCACTATCATTGAGAGCAATTTGTCCCCCAGAGGGGTCCCCCCGGTCCCGGTCGATCAGGGAGAAGGTCCGCTTCTTCTAAACAATTTCACGAAAGAAAGACAGAGAGAGAGAGAGAGAGAGAGAGAGAGAAGAGACGGAGAGAAGAGACGGAGCGAGTGGCAAAGGTGTAAAGTATTTAGGAAATGGGAGTGAAACGATGATGATGAGCTTGGCGCATTTTCGCAACTTTTTGATGGGACCTCTCACTTTGTACGTGTGAAATCGGATAGTCCTCGAGTAGTGTTCGTTTGGAAACATTTAGTATAGTCAGGGTCGAACGAGTATTGTAGACTTTTGCGTCGACCTATGACCCGCAAAATTTTTTTGGAATATCTTGACGTCTAGTACGATATTTTTGTAGTTGACGGCTTTTTGATACGAGCCCTTCCTGGGGTACTGTAGCTCGCGGAAGTGGCGTTTAGCTATTGTTAACTTCAAAGCGCTACAGTACGCCGGGGAGTGAGTGTACCAAAAAGTGATCAACTACAAAAATGAAGATCTAGACGTGGACAACATTTGTCGAGTTGACAATATTTGTGTACAATCACTTTTAAGGTTACTGTAAGTCTTGGAATTAGAAGCAACCCACAAAGAATCTATGCATGAATTGCAAGAGCTACAGTACTCCAGAAAGTGGTCCCAGGAAAAAATGATCAAGTACAAAAGTAAAGTACTAGACATGATCTATTCACAGAAAAAAATTTGAGAGCCGAACGATCACGCAAAAGTCTACAATACCCGTTCACATGGAGAAGTGCCAAATCTACGGGCGATCCATTGGCAACAGATTATTGAGAGCAGCCAATTGTCACCTCAAAATATGATCGATGCCTCTTCTTCTGCCGCTCCACCTCCTCCCATTACTACTCAAAAAGTTTTCGTAATGTTGCCAAACTTCTTCTTCTTCTCCTTCTTCTTCTTCTTCTTCTTTCAAGCAGATCCAGGGGGTAAACACTGCCGTTTTTTTAATCGTTTTTTAGGCCAAATCCACGCAAATTAACGATTTCTCCGGAACTTTTTCCGCTCTTTTTATCGGCGGGGCCATGAAAAACGGCGAAAAACAACGGATAGGAGGGATTTTGAAGGGAAAAGCGGCAGAGAAACGGCCAAGAAACGGCAACATTCAAAAAGACGCAAAAAAAGGGGGGCAGAGAGGGAACTTTGAAGAATGTGTGAACTGATTTCATTTCATTTTCCATCCCTACTCCTCGCCATTTTCGTCCCTTTTTTCGGCAGAGGTGGTCGTTTTGAACCAACAACGTGCTGCGAGAAGGGTTGTATTTTTGCAAATTCTTGATGTTGTGCCGAAATTCGAGCCAAATTTCCAAAATTTCTCATAGAAGACTGTTCCTCAATCGATCTTCATCACAACTTGCCAATTTGCCAAGTTCCGGTCCTCTACAGTAACCCGGAACGCGTTCCTTTAGACAAACCTCAAAAATAGCCAGTTTTCAACAAAAAGTGCATCGGGGAAAAGTGCAGAAAAGAGTGGAGCTCTGTGCAAAAATGTTTACATTCACAATACTCAAACACTTTCCAGATGTTTCCGGGCCCGTTTTTACTACCATCACATGTTGAGATTTATCACGTTTTTTTTTTCGGCGACAACAACAAAACATTGCTTTTTCGAAGCGTTCAAGGACGGACACGCTTTTTCGGGGCGAAACGACGTCGGGCTACGGTAGCCGCGACCAGCGATCAGATTTTTTTGCAAGGCGTCAGGTTACGAGAGTGGGAACGAACGAAACACACGAAAAAAGTGGAAGGAGATGACGTGACGGTGGTGTGTAGCTTTCTCAAAGTGTTCAGGACGATCGGCTGCAGGGATTTGTGGCTCAACACCAGAGTTGAGCGGAAGAACTCAACGGAAGAATTTTTATCTTTTTTAGAAAATTTTTTCATGGAATGTGATCAACTGACGAAATGTAGAGCAAAGTGAACTGTGCTCATAGAAAAATAATTGTAAATTTAGCTTTTCATACAAAAAAGTTATTCGAGACGGAAGACGGAAGGACATTTTCACGGAACAACTCGAATAACTTTTTTGTATGAAAAGCTAAATTTACAATTATTTTTCTATTGGCACAGTTCACTTTGCTCTACATTTCGTCAATTGATCACATTCCATGAAAAAATTTTCTAAAAAAGATAAAAATTCTTTCGTGTTCATCCGTTGAGTTCTTCCGCGCTCAACTCTGCCCAACACCCCTGAACGAACCCCGAGTTGAACCATATTGGCGGCCTAACTTCTCTGAAACCTAGTCAAAGCATTTGATTCTCTGGTGGCCTAACTTTTCCCCAATGTCGCCTAGTCCCCACTCGATCTCATTCCGAAGCCCATTAACATCCGTAAAATTGCTCACAGAGCCCAAATTACACACCCATCTTTTGATTTCAGTGTGTTGTTCTTCAAACGTTTATCTTCATTTTACACCACTTTATTCTCACTGGCAAATGGGGAGAGAAAGAGGAAGAAGAAGAAGAAGAAGAAGAAGAAGAAGAAGAAGAAGAAGAAGTGCGTGACAGTGTTTCTCTGGAAAAGTTAGGCCACCACGACTACAAAGAAGCAACTAAACAAGAGGGGGGCAAAAAAGGGAAAGAAGAGAACGTAAAAAAAAAGTAAATAAATATATTCGGGGCGCAAACATTTCCAAGGGATGAAAATCGAGAAGAATAAGGAGAGAAAGAAGAAGAAGAAGGAGAAGAAGAAGAAGAAGCTCCATCTGAAAATGGATATTCTTGGGAGACACTTTAGATGGTCCCTCTCTCTCTCTCTCTCTTCTCCCGCTTTTGTCCCCCCCCCCCTAAATTGTTTATTTTAAAGGGGGAGAGAGAAATCTTGTGGGGAAACGTTGAAAAAGTAAAAAAAATCGTGCAAAAACATATTGACAAACATCAGAAATCGTTGGGCTCGAAATCTTATGAATTAGTGATTGGGATTACTACTTTTTTTGCGCGCGAACTTGTGTTTCTTTCGACACATCCATCCACTATTCATGGCCTTTTCTTTGCCGGAGAATGTCGGTCCGAAGTTGAACTTTTCCGAGAATGCTCATAGGCAGAAATTTGGAGCAACAAGGTGTTGAAACTCGATTAAGGTAGGGCGTGAAGGATTACTGTAGTTATCGCCCCCCGAAAAAGAGGTGATGTTAGGCGACAAAGGAGATGTGAAGGATTACTGTATTCTTAACAGAGATGTTGGGAATAAAAATTTTACTCTACGGAACACGGAACACGGAAAACTGAATTTTTTTTTTACGGAACACGGAAAACGGAAAATTTTTTTTTTTACGGAACACGGAACACGGAAAACGGAAAAAACTTATTTCTACGGAACACGGAACACGGAAATTTTTACGGAACACGGAACACGGAAAACGGAACAAACTTATTTCTACGGAACACGGAACACGGAACACGGAAATTTTGTTTTTTACGGAACACGGAACACGGAAAAAATATTGAAAAAAACGCGGAACACGGAACACGGAATTCCCAACATCTCTGATTCTTAACTCAGTACGACCTACAGTACCCCCTCCCCTTTTCCCAATACGTGACCTTTCATTTACACCGAAACCAAACAAAAAACGGGCAAAAAGTTTATCGAATCAGTTTCAATTCGCGTTATTCTTCACAAAAACAGACTGCATTAAATCAAAGCAAACTTGTGAGTTCTGACCCTTTTTTCGGCATTTTTCAGCGCGAAATTTGCAGAATTCGAAGTCGGATGAGCATTTCGTTCCTCTTTTTCGTTTTCCTGCTCTCCGGGCTCGGCGAGCACGTCTCGGAAGGCGGCCGAATCGCGCGAGCATCTAATGGATCCGTTGGACAGAGTGAGAGGACGTTTCGCAACTGAACACGACATCTTGCGGTTGCAAAATGTCGTGTTCCTAGTTTGCCAACTTGTTATGGACGTTTTGCGACCAGAGAGTTGACTTTCTTCAAGTCCGGTTGCAAAACGTCCTCTCTCTCTCCCATTTCACAACCGTTCTTGCAGCCAAATCGCCACTGGCCCGCATAATCGACGATCTTTCGATTCTGGCGCGAGTGACGAACGCGATCGCGCTCCAATCAGTACTCCGACACGTGCGGCTCCATGACGTGGCGGCCGAACTTTTGCACGTGCGCACCGACCATTTCGCAACCATTCTCGCAACCAACACCTCCTTCATCATCTCCACAATTGATGAGTTGTTCGCGAAGAGCCACAACTTCCAGAACAACGATCCGACGGCTCTGAAACGGCTCGAATCGATGCGAGAAGTGCTCGAGGTGCTGGCGGTGGTGAAAAGGGATTCGAAACGGCTGCTGAAAGCCGGCCGAGCGAATGCGGTCGATTTTATTGCAAACGTGAATGACGAGGAAGTAATGGACAGCTATTTAATGTGCGAGCAATACATTTTAGACCCGTTCGCCGATTATCACAAAATTGAAAACGGCGAAATGGAGGTGAGCGAGTACGGACGAGCGAAGAACTTTCTCGACATTCAACAACGAACCGGCTCTCTTAAGTACTACATCAACAATTTGAAGGAGCACAAAAAAAAACTTCGCTCAGCGGTTATCGGCTATGAGTACGCGAAGCTCGAAGCGATGGACGAACTGCAGGGCACCGTCAAACAGTTTGTCGGCAAGGAGCGCGCTCAATTCGATCGGTTCGCCGACGATGTGCTCAAGTTGAAGGAATATTTTGAGGCGACGCAAGACGTCTGGTCCCAAGACGCCCGCAAAAAAGTGGATTTGGAGCGGCTCGTCGCCGCGCTCACCCAAATCGAATCGGAGCAGTTGGAGGAGGGGCGACGATCGCGCAAGTTTGTGCCGGCGTTCGAGAAAAGCGATGACGTGGCAAGGGTTCGCGGCGATTTGCGCTCCCAATGGTTTGTGGAGAAGGTGAGCGGGGGGAAAAGTACGAAAAAGCTGCGAAACGAGTTGAAGGCGTTCTTCAAGTTTGGAGCAAAAGTTGAAAAGTTGGAGAGGAGCTGGAATGAAACGTACACAATATTTAAACATTTCAAGACGAACATTATCAACACTCGGACGGGAGTCAGCAGAATTTTGAGCGTCCGCTTCAACGCGCACAACCCAAACCCGTTTGAAACGTTCTCGAACGCATTCAAAACGTGCTGGTCGCAGGGATCCAATGTTCACGACGTTCGCGTCTTCACCGACTTTGAGGACAAGTTCGAGGTGATCTTTCGGATGATGGACACGTTCGGTAAGCTCATCAAGCACACGAGCGATTTTATGGAGAACACGGATCTCGTCTCGTACCAAAAATCGATGGACTATCTCGCCGGACTCGTCAACGCCACTCAACTCACCGAGGACAGTGTGCAGGAGATGCGAAAGCAACTGAAACACTCGACCGAACATTATTATCACTTTTTTCTGGGATCCGCGCGCGTTCGCAAGTTGCGAGACGCGCAGGACGCGTACGTAAAAGCGTGGGCGGCGGTGAGGGCGCAAAACTTTACCGCCGAAATGTTCGATTTGAGCGCGTTGTTGAACGGATCCGCAAGTTTGAAAGTTATCGCGTGTCTCAACAACTCCCGGCACTTGGACATTGACGAAATGCGACGCATCGTCGACTTTCTCATCGACTTTTCATGGTTTTCGAAATTGGACGAAGAGGGCGCGACGAAAATGTTGTTGGATGGTATCGGCCGAGTTGGAGACGAGATGAAACGACTGGAAAGCGGGAGAGGAACGGGAAGACGGCACGAGAAGCGCATCAAAAAGTTTAAAAACTCGGCAGACTTGGCCCAGACGTTGGGCCGCGGGGTTTCGGCGCTGAGCGAGCTGGACCACGTGCATTCGGCCCGCGAACTCATCCTCAACTCGACACATCTTGACGAGGCCGAGACGTGGATCCTTCAGGCGACGGCGAGCTACACGCTGCGTCAGGCGTGGGTCGTCAAACCCGACGTGATTGTGCGAAATTCGATGGAGGCGCTCGACGCGTTGATGCCGAAAGCCGTCGAGGTGCTGCGCGGCACGCAGCCGTTTGTCGACATGAGACGGATGTTCGACGCGGCGAGAACGGTCGTCGGCATCGAGGTGGAGCGGAAAGAGTTCCGGACGGTCGCCGAAAAGTTGAGGCGCGCCGGACACGTGGACACTGCCGAGAAGTTTGAGCGGATCGCCGAGCTCAATCTGGACTTTGCAAAGTTTGAGACGGATTTCACGGGCGCCGCCGCGAGTTTAAGCGCCCTGCGCGCCAACTTTGACGAGCTCTTCGGACTCGGAAACCGAACTTTAAAGGCGGTGAAGGAAGACGTGCGATTTCTACAGTCACTCTCCACGCCGGCACTCATCGGAATCTGCCTCGCCTTCATCCTTCTCATCCTCTCCGCCTCCGCTATTGGGTACGCATTCACAAAGGGCGGACGCAAGAGGTACCGCACGTGGTACTTGTACTATTTTCCGGATATGGACGAGTTTGAGCGACGGTGGAGGTACTCGGTCAGTTGGAATCTGACAATATCGCAACGAGTCTGAGCGGTTGCGCGTTTCAGCTGTTTTTGGATCGGATGAATGCGAAAAACGCGTTGATGGAGGCGGTGATGGATGCGAATCCGCCGAACACACTGAAAGAGCTGAAGAAGGGCGCCTATGTTCATGTTTATAATAGTGAGCATTGCTCCCCCAGGCCCCAGTTTAGTACACTTTCAGAGTTTGGAAACACGCCTCTACACGTGGCCGCCAATCTCGGATACTGGAAGATTCTCGAGATGCTCATCAAGCACGGCGCCGATCGGGACCAGCTGAACTATCTGAACCGGACCGCCGAGCAGACGATTCCTGACAATTATCGAGTGATGTACAAGGAAAAGGCGGCGGACTATGATAAAGTGGGCGAGATATTCGACAAGTATCGCAACAAGAAGTTTCGGATTAGTGAGTCTATTGTATTGAGAGAGTATTGTAGACGTGTTGTTTCAGTGGTGCCTGAACAGTTCCCGACCAGTTCATTCCACATTTATGTGGAACCAAGGACAGATGATCAGTTGACTATTAAGTTTATGGAGAAGTTTGAGGATATTGTAGGTTTCGAGTAGCAGCCAAACGAAGACATGCGATATTGTAGTCTTTCAACGAGCCATCACCCAACGCGACACATGTCGTCGTGAAGACGAGTACGGACGGGATTCTGGAGACTGACGACGTCGCGCTGCTCGCCTGGATCTTCAACGGAACGATAATAGTGAACGAGCAGTGGATGTCGGACTGTTTGACGGACCCGAAAATGCTGGCGTCGGACGAGAAGTACCTCGTGGATCGGGTCAGGTACAAGGGACAAGTGTACGAGAATGCGGTGCTTCCGTGGAGCCGAGCCCTAGCCAAAGGCGCCATGCCGTTTCTGCACGGCGTTCATTTCGTCATCTGTATGGAGACGTACAATAACCGTTCGTTTCAAGGGGACCGCCTGCTCATTGATTTGTGACCATTTTCAGTTCTCTTCATGCACAATCTGGTGAAGACGCACGGCGGCACGGTGCTCGACGAGTTCCCCGTGCGCGAGAAGTACAATGCGGGCGCCCATCCGTATCTGCACACCAATCTCGGACCCATCTTCATCCTCCACGACGCGAAGAGCGATCTGAGTGCGTACCGGACCGATCCGTTGTTCACGGTGCTCACGGAGCCCGAGTTTATCGCCTTCATGCTCAGAAGGGACGTGCAGCAGGAGACGAAGAAGGACCCGGTTCCGATTTTGATTGACGATGATTAGTTTCTGTGGAATAAACACATTGTTCTTTTGTAGAATCTGAAGTGAACAACACACGGAACCCCAGCCTTCCCAATAAAAAATTCGCTTGGCGGCGCAATTCACGTGCGCTAAACAAGGCGCGTAACGCGTAATTTCGGAGCGTCGTTGTAGAGTTTCTCATTCATTTCAATTTTCCCCTTTTTTGCATTATTCCCATCTTTTCAGAACCAATCAGTGTCAAAACTTATGACAATGATTAGAAATGAATAAAAAATTAAATTTTAACTGCTTCTTCATCAATTTCGAAACGTTTATGTGAAAATTACAGCATTTTTTGCTTTTGAAATCGAAAATTCGCCTCAATTATCTCAATTCTGTATATTTTTCGACGGTTGAGCGCTTAACAGATGCGCAATAAATTCCTTGTTGACTGGATGGTTCGATTCGGCAAATAATCGTTAAAACTCGGTTTTTTTTCAGTTGTTTTCGACAAAATCGCTCAATTTGGTCAATTCTGAACGAATCTGCTCCGTTTCGCGCTTAAATCGATGCGTTTAACTCACACAATCGCCCCACGGTTCGCAAAGAACAAAATTTGAGTGTTGATTAAGAGAAAAACGAAAGAATTCTGGTTTTCAATTGAAAAACGAAACTCCGAGCCGACGACAACTCGCTTGCGCATTGGATTGCTGGGGTTCCGTGGCAACAAATAACAAACAAGTTTATTATTTATTAACTAAACACTATCTTGGACAAGAACAGGAATTGGAAGCGTCGTCGTCTCGACGTGAACGTCCCTCCTGAGCATGAAAGCGATGAATTCGGGCTCCGTGAGCACCGTGAACAACGGATCGGTCCGGTACGCACTCAGATCGCTCTTCGCGTCGTGGAGAATGAAGATGGGTCCGAGATTTGTGTGCAGATACGGATGGGCGCCCGCATTGTACTTCTCGCGCACGGGGAACTCGTCGAGCACGAGAGCTCCGTGCGTAGTGGCCAGCTCGTAGAGGACCGACAGATTGGCGCACTCTTTCATGACGACGACCAGATGCACGCCGTAGAGGAACGGCATGGCGCCTTTGGCTAGGGCTCGGCTCCACGGCAGCACCGCATTCTCGTACACTTGTCCCTTGTACCTGACCCGATCCACGAGGTACTTCTCGTCCGACGCCAGCATTTTCGCGTCCGTCAAACAGTCCGACATCCACTTCTCGTTCACTATTATCGCTCCGTTGAAGATCCAGGCGAGCAGCGAGACGTCGTCAGTCTCCAGAATCCCGTCCGCATTCGTATTCACGACGACATGAGTGATCTTCGGAGACGGTTCCAGTGTGGTCTAAAGTACTGGATAATAAAGGAATTTAAAATAGTGTAGACTTACAATAGCTTCAAACTTGCTCATAAACATTTCTACTAGTTTTCCGTCCGTCTTTGGCTCCAGATAAATTTGGAATGAACTGGTCGGGAACTGTTCAGGCACCACTGAAACAACACGTCTACAATACTCTCCCAATACAATAGACTCACCAATCCGAAACGTCTTCTTTCGATACTTCTCGAACATTCTGTCGATGCGCTCGTAATTGTCCGCCTTTTCCTTGCAAGTCGATCGATAATTCGCCGGAATCACTTGCTCCGCAGTCCGATTTCTCGCGTTGTGGATCGTCCGATCGGCGCCGTGCTTGATGAGCATCTCGACAATCGTATCGTATCCGAGATTGGCGGCCACGTGTAGCGGCGTGTTTCCAAACTCTAAAAACATTGGCGCATTTCGCAGAGAACGCTCCAAAAAGTGACCGACTGTCAAACACATCCACAAACGCGCCCCTCTTCAGTGCTTTCAGTGTGTTCACAGGATTCGCGACGGTCACCGCTTCGAGCAACACGTTCTTGCCGTTCATCCGATCCAAAAACAGCTGAAACGCGCAACCGCTCAGACTCGTTGCGATATTGTCAGATTCCAACTGACCGAGTACCTCCACCGTCGCTCAAACTCGTCCATATCGGGAAAATAGTACAAGTACCACGTGCGGTACCTCTTGCGTCCGCCTTTCGTGAATGCGTACCCAAAAGCGGCGGCGAGAAGGATGAGTACGAGGGCGCCCACACAAATTGCAATGACCGTCACAATCGGCGCCTCTTCTTGTTTGCTGAAAATTCCAATTCGAGAGACCAGGATCCACAAACTCACAAAACCGTTTTGCTCTTCACCTCTCCAACAACTTTTTTCGGATTCAACCCGAAGAGCTCGTCGAAATTGGCGCGAAGAAGGCTGAGACAGGCGGCGCCGCCCGTAAAATCGCTCTCAAACCCGGAAAAGTCGAGATAGAGGTGCGAGATGTTCAGGAATTTCAAGGCGGTCTCCTGGTGTCCGGCGTACTTGAGATGCTCGTAAAGATCGCCGAAATCGCCGGGCAACGGCAACAGTCCGTGCACTTTTTTCACCTCCTCAAACACTCGGCTCAATTCGGTGAAGTTTGCGGCGCGGTACGCGTCTAGGCGCGACACGAACGAGTGCACGTCGTCGAGAAACGTTTTGAGCGTTCGATTCGAGTCGATCCACAAATCAATGATCCACGGATTCTCAAAGTCGCGTATGATCGTCTGCGGTCCGTCGGTGAGGTTCGCCGACGACCAGATGAGCTTGCGCGACTCATCGACGTGCTTCACTTCGTCGAGAGCCGAGACGCCGCGGCCGAGGCTCTGCGCCAAGCTCGCCGAGTCCCTGAACGAGAGGACCAGGTGTCTGGCCTCGTTCGATTCGTTCCGCTTTGCTCTCACCACCATCTCAACTCGCGTCATTTCGTTTTGAACACGCGCCGTATTCTCCAAAAACGTTTTCGTCGCCGAATAGCTCTTCTCGTCGGCGAATTGAGTGACGTTTAGCAAAAAATCGAGAATGTGTTGCGTCTCCGCTCGCGCCGTTCCAATACTCGAGTTCTGAATGCACTCCATCACATGCCAAGCGTTCGAATGTTGCAGAAAATCGGAAAAGTTGACCATCGACTCGTTCACTTTCGCAACGCTCTCCTCGTAGCCGCTCTGCAATCGGTGAATGTACACAATCCGTTTGAGAATCGGCAAAATGAGTTGATAATCCGAAGAGGTTCGCACCGAATAGAGCGTTTCCGGCCAGCGCTTTGCCGAAATGTTTTGTGAGCTCAAAAAGTGCATGAGGTCTTCGAAATTCCTCAAATTCTTGTTCTGCACCAACCAAAGTGGCTCTTCACGCATTCGCCTCACGTATCCCATCAGTTGAGCGGATATCATAAAGTTGTCGGGGAAGTCTTCAAGTGCCCGAATGTCAGAGTCCGAAGCGATCTCGCTGAGGGCAAAGCACGTGGAGAACTTGCGCTCGAGCTCGTCAAACCCGTTGCCGGCGATTTTCGCGTTTTGAAAACGCGCAATCGCTTTAAAATTTAAGCCACTGTTGCCGAGGATTTGGTTTGAAGTTAGCATATGGGAATAGGAGCGGCCCCAGGCGGTGCCGAGGTTCTGCGACGTTTCCGAAACCTCAAAGAACGTCGTCAGCGCGTCTTCGAGTCGTTTTGTGCTCTTTCCCATCGCCACGTTCGTCTTGAACCACAAACTATTGACATCTTGCGACACTTTCAAAAGGTCCGCCACTCTTCGAAATGCCGCCGTGAACTTTCGCGGATCCTTCTGCACTTGAAACTCGGACGTCAGATAGAAGGCCTCATAGAGACGACGAAGAGCGAGTTGGGCGCTCGACGCGTTCGAAATGTGCCAAATCGTCGTGGTTTTGTGCCAGTCCGTCTTCAACTCTCGAATTCGCGTCGGCAAATCGACGAGTCGAGCGCGGCGACGTCCGTGGAACCATTTGACGACTGCGTGAAGCTCGTTCAGCTTTTTCAGGTCTTCCATGCTGTGCACAAGTGTCGAGTTGCTCAGGTTGCTCGAGAACGTGCGGAACCTTCGAATGCACTTCATCAACTCGCCGAAATTCGTCTTCATTCCGTTGAGAGCCTTTCGAGTTGTGAACGGTCTCGCCAACATCTCCTCCTTTTCCATCTTATAAAAGTCGACAAAGCTCTCGAGTACTTGCTGCCTACAAAACAGGCCTTTCGACGTTTCCGACGAGTTTTTGATGGCGTTTATGAATTGCTTAGTGTCAACGTTTTCGGCCGCTTTGAGCACTTCGAATCGACTCTCTGCTCGCGCCAACACGCCCACCACTTCTCGTGTCAATTTGAGCCGTCGCCTGGCTCCCGGATCGTTGCGCACAAAATCGCGGCTCTTCTCGAACACCTCATCAATTGTGGAGATGCAGAAGGAGGTGTTGGTTGCGAGAATGGTTGCGAAATGGTCGGTGCGGATGTGCAAAAGATCGGCCGCCACGTCATGGAGCCGCAAGTTTCCGCGATGAACGGCTGCTTGCAGGGCGATCGCGTTCGTCACTCGCGCCAGAATCGAAAGATCGTCGATTATGAGGGCCAGTGGCGATTTGGCTGGAAAAGACGAACATCGGCTCGGTTGCAAAACGTTGCAAAACGTCCAAATGCCCAAAAAAACGCCAACCTTTGGCCGTCGAATGCTGGCCGTCAATTTGAGCGCCAAAAACGACGAGTACAACCAGAAAAACTGTCCTCATTTTGCTTCGAATTCTGCAAAAACTGAAAGCGTCTGGGCGAGAAGATGACGCGAAGGAAAACTCACAAGAAAGAATTCATCTGAGAGAAGAAATACCCTGGAACTGGTTGAAATTATCCGCTTTTGCACACATTTCTAGTGCAAAAGTTCACGAAAACTCAATTACATTTCATTTTTCTGTCAATTCATCAAACATTAGGCGGTAATTCATCGTATACAAGCTTATTCTGGTCAAAAACAACGTTTTATTGTGGATCAACAAGAAAAAACACAAGAATCAATCAGACGTAGATCTTTTTGGACCGTCCGACGCCTCCGTCCTCATATTGACTTCCTAGAATTTGAAAATTTTTGGTGCAAAGCAAAAATTTTAGGGCTCACCTTTCCATGCTCGCACTTTTTTGGTCTTTACACTCGGATCTTGTGGCATTCGGGACTTTTGCTTCTTGGTCTTTGAGGTCCGTTTCAGTGGTCTCTTTGGCTCCTTCTTCTTTTTCGCTTCTTGGGGACTCTTGAGCTTTTGAACCGGTCCCACTGGTTTCAGAATCTTTTCAGGTTCCCGCTTTGGTACCCTTGGTCTTTCTTCTTCTTCTTCTTCTTCCTCTTCTTCTTCCTCTTTTTCCGGATCATTTTCCAGATCGCTCTCATGATTTTCAGCTTTTCGTCGACGCCCTGAACACAAATCGATATTATCCGTCCGAGAAAATGTGAAACTCACACTCGAACATTCCGTTGATGGTACCTAGGATCAAGTTGATGGTGTAGATGATGAAGAGAAGAACGGAGAGGAAGATGATCCATATCCAGTTGCTGAAAAGAGTGTCGATGGGTTGCAAAGTGGCGACGGTTGCGGCGGAAAGAACTCTCACTAGGGTTCGGGCGCCACGTGGATTCCCTGCTCGGCGCTCTTGCTCGCGGCGCCCAACTCGTCGCAGAATCCCGGACACTCCATGTCGTCGTAGTTCCGCTTGCACGTCTTCAGCGACTGCAATCTCTCGGCCACTGGCGCCGCCTCCGACGACGTCGACATTGACGTCGACGAAGAAGAATCTGTCGACGTCGAGCTCGAGCTCATCGTCGTTGAAGACGTTCCTGACGTCGTCGAGGACACATCAGAGGGGGTTGAAGTGCCGGAAGTCGTCGTCGAGCCCTCCGTCGTCGTCACGGTCCCGGTGGTGGTGCGTTCAGAAGTGGAAGTGCTGATGCACGGGTCCCAAGTGGTCGATCCAGTGGTTCCGCTCGTCGAAGACGTTCCGCCGGTGCTCGTCGTGCAGATTCGTGTGCTCGATGACGTGGAAGTGGATTCAGAAGTTCCCGAGATACTCGTGGCTCCAGACGTCGTTGTGGTTCCATCGCTCCTTGTGCTCTTCGTACTTTTCGTCGTGGTCCCTCCCGGTTTCGTCGGTTTCGTCGGCGCTGTTCGTGGTGCCGGAGTGCCCGGCGGTCGGGGACCAGGACCAGGCGAAGGATCCTTCTCGCACACCGTCTTGCACTTTTTTTGTCTCGACACTGTCGTCGTCATTGGATTAGAACGGGTCGATTTCGGAGGAAGCGTCGTGGAAGGAGGCCTTCGAGTTGTAGTTATACCTGAAACTCGTCCATATTCCATCATTTTTTAATTGTTCAAATATTGTCACCTTGCGTCGTGACGCCTGCAGTTGTACTCAAATCAGTGGTGGTCCTGCTGGTCCCGGTGGTTCTCACACTCAAAGTTGTGCCAAAAGTGCTAGTCCCAACAGATGTAGTCGTTGGGCCTCAAAAATCGCATAGTTCTACGAGATCCAGGGACTTTCGGTTACCTCTAGTGGAAGTTGAAGAGCCTGTAGTTGTTCCACGTGTTATTGTGGTGCCAATAGTGGTTGAAGTACCTAAAAATGATGGAAAATGAGAAGATCCAATAGTTGTGAAGGCGTACTGTCCGTAGTTGTGTCAGTGGTGGTCCCAGTAGTTGTCGAGCTGCCACTCGTCGTTGTTGACGCATCCGTACTAGAACCAGAAGTGGTCCCAGTGGTTGATGTCGTTGAACTGGTCGAGCTTGCAGATGTGGTGATACTCGTGGATCCAGTGGTCACAGTAGACGTACTTGTGGTTGACTCGGTGGTCCTAGTCGGCGCAGTTGTGGTCCCAACTGAAAAGTATCCAACTGCATCAGTTTTTTGTTGTCCAAGCACCTTCTGTAGTCGTCCCAGTTGTCGTGGATCTAGTAGTTCGTACAGTACTCCGAGTGGTCACTGTAGTCGCTCTAGAGCTTTTCGTCCTAGTACTAGCACGGTCCTTGGAAGTTGTACCTACAGATAAATGATTTCAAAACATCAGCTACAAGTACCACCTCACCTTTAGTCGTTTTGCTATTCGGATGTGCTCTCGGATCAGGAGAAGGTGCTGGTTCCGGTTTTCCTTGCGGCTCAACTGGGGGAACCGGTTTACTGGGTCCACCATCATCTTCATCATCTTTCTCATCATCTTCGTCATCATCCTTGTCACCATCGTCGTTCCCGTCATCTGAATCAATCAAAAATGCATCATACTGCAGTGGTAATTTAGAACTTTACTTCCGCCGGGCGAAGGACCACCTCCGCCGGGGAATGGGATTCCAGGGAACGGGATTCCAGGTCCACCGGGACTTCCAGGGCCACCGGGACTTCCAGGACCACCTCCACCACCAGGTTGAGGCACAGTTTCTGGTTTTGGCTTCGGCTTTCCGTCAGATTTGTCGTTATCACTATCATCATCTTTTTCGTCGTCTTTGCCATCATCTTTATTGCCGTCGTCACCACCATCACCACGATCGCCTCCAGTACGTGGACCACTAGGACCATCAGGAAGTCCGGGAACACTGAGACCTGAAACAGAACCTTCATTATTGTGCTGCAACGATTGAATTCAAACCTCCGCCACCAGGACCTCCGCCACCACTATCCTTTCCGCCGTTTTCGTCCTTTCCACCGTCATCCTCGTCACCACCATCTTCTTCTTTCGGACCCTTGGTCCCCGTCGGTTTATGTGTCACTTGGCTCGGTTGCACTGACACCGGCTCTCCGTTTCTGATGATAACTCCTCCGTTATCCGACGTCGTTCTTGTTCCGATACTCGTGGAGCTTGTGCTCGGAACTAAATATATATATATAGAAGAACTCGGAGACGTGGTAGTGGTACTTGATTTCTTTGTAGTCCCACTTGTCACAGTACTCAAACTGGTCGTCGTCCTAGCAGCCGTAACCGTAGATGATGGCCGAGAAGGTCCAGAAGTTTTCAAAGTACTTTTAGCGGGAATGGTGGTTGTTGGAGTCACATTGAGCGGTGGTCCCAGCGGTTCACGTGGAATCGGAGCAATCACAATCGGTATGCATCCAATCGAAGTGGTCCCACTGGTTGATTCTGTACTCGAACCAGAATATGAATCGGTGCTAGAACTGCTGAATGCGGAAGAAGTTGTGGTCCACGGAGGGCAGTACGTCGTCGAAGAACCTGAAAATTATTGAAAATTAGAAGATCCAAAAGTTGTGAAACCTTCCGTAGTCCCCAAAGATGTTGTCAAAGATGTACTATCCGTAGTTGTTCCGGTTTTAGAAGTGGTCCCACTAGTTGTCCCTCCATCAGTGGTAGAAGTAGTTGTTGTGGAAGTACTGGATGATCCAGTGGTGGTCCAGCTATCAGTACTGGTCACCGTGGAACCAGACGTTGTACTGTGAGCCACTGTGCTCGTGCTGGTCCCAGTAGTTGTCGAGTTTCCACTCCTGGTTGTTGACGCATCCGTACTAGAACCAGAAGTGGTCCCGGAGGTACTTGTACTTGATATCGAACTCGTGTTGGTTGATGAACTCGAAGTCGTGGTTGTCAAAGTGCTCGTGGTCCCAGTAGTTGATCCAGATTTCGTTGAACGTGTCGATTTCTCCGTGGGAGATGTTCCAGTGGGTGTCTGTCCAGATGTAGTCAGATTCGAAGTGGATCCAGTGGATCCACCTGTTGTCATGGCTGAAGTAGGAGTTCCTGTGCTGGACGTCTCTGAAAAAGTAACGTAAAACTAGTTTCATCCAAGCCATCAGGGTACTTGATGTGCTGCTGGATCGGATATCACTTGTTCTGGTAGCAGTGGTCACACGGTCCTTGGAAGTTGTACCTACAGATAAATGATTTCAAAACATCTGTTACAAGTACCACCTCACCTTTAGTCGTTTTGCTATTCGGATCTGTTCTCGGATCAGGAGGGTCTGCTGGTTCCGGTTTTCCTTGCGGCTCAACTGGGGGAACCGGTTTACTGGGTCCACCATCATCTTCATCATCTTTCTCATCATCTTCGTCATCATCCTTGTCACCATCGTCGTTCCCGTCATCTGAATCAATCAAAAATGCATCATACTGCAGTGGTAATCTAGAACTTTACTTCCGCCGGGCGAAGGACCACCTCCGCCGGGGAATGGGATTCCAGGGAACGGGATTCCAGGGCCACCGGGACTTCCAGGGCCACCGGGACTTCCAGGGCCACCGGGACTTCCAGGGCCACCGGGACTTCCAGGACCACCTCCACCACCAGGTTGAGGCACAGATCCTGGTTTTGGCTTCGGTTTTCCGTCATCTTTTTCATCGTCTTTGTCATTATCTTTATTGTCATCATCAACACCTTCTTCTTTTGGACCCTTGGTCCCCGTCGGTTTGTGTGTCACTTGGCTCGGTTGCACTGACACCGGCTCTCCGTTTCTGATGATAACACCTCCGTTATCCGACGTCGTTCTTGTTCCGATACTCGTGGAGCTTGTGCTCGGATCTAAACGTACTTTTCACATTATAAAACATCATTTTCCCTAGTACGTTTAGTGGTTCGCGGAGAGGAATGATGTTCTGTTGTCATCTTGGCCGTAGTTTTTCCCAAATTGATCGTCGTCGGCTTACCAGTTGTGAAGACTGAAATCAATTCACATTTTATTGAATAACACTGTAACTTTCATACTTTTTGTGGTTTTTGTAGGTACAAAAGTGCTTCTGATAGGAACAGTAGTTACAACTGAAATCAATCAATATTTCGAAAAGATTCCCCTAATTTTGATACCTTGAGAAGTGACTTCTGTACTTGGTTTAACAGTACTAGTTGATCTCAATGATGTGGTCCTTCCGATTGTCGTTTGTTTCTGGCTATTCGTGGATATTCCAGGAGTTTTAGTAGTAGTTACACCTAAAGTTCATTCATGTTCCAGCTTATCCAGTAATGTACTAGAAGACGTTGGCGGGAAAATTCAAGAAAAGCCCCCCACCTCAGCAGAACCGTCCAGGTTATAAACAACCTTAGAAAAGCCCCCAACCAGTACAAAAAAGGTGGGGGCTTTTTCCTGACGACGGCCGGTCATACTTGAACGCTTCTGTTCAACAATCTCCCCCCCGCCAGTGCAAAGTGGGAGGCTATTCTTTAAGAACTAGGTATTCTTAAAGAAAAGCCCCCACCCCCTCCTTTTCAGCAGAGGATATATTCGATATTAGTCCCCCCCCACCATTCAAATACAGCCCCACACTTAGAAAAGCCCCCCACTTGTGTGAAACTCATTAAATATCAACCCCCCACCATTCAATAATAGCCCCCACTCCATTTAAATCATTTCGACACACTGAATGTTTCACATTTCATGATTTTTCTGAATTTCGGGCAAAAAAGCATCGAAAAGAGGTGAAAAAACGATCATAACGACGAGAAAACGACCAAAACGACTTGCTTTCGTATTTGACCGCCCAAATTATGGTACACTGTTCCGATGTATCCGAGATGACGCGCTGATGGGGGGCTTTCTTTAACATCTTTGCATTACATTTGACGACACATTGGGGGGGCTTTCCTTTAATTCTAACTCGGTGGGGACTCAGTGCGCGGGATGGGTTTCTGATTCAAGTACTTCCGGGCGTTCTTGTTGTTAGGCAATGCATCTGCTTCCAGGACGCTAAGCTAACGAAAAAGTTCTCAGTTTGCTTTTCAGTGCAGCCTTTCAAAAATAACCCCTACTGAATTCATTTATATCACCCCACTTCATTCAATAACAGCCCCCCGCCCCCCTGGTGGGGGGACTTTCTTAGGATGATATTGGGGGATTTTTTTCAATTAGAGGGGGGGGGGGACTTTATTTGAATATACCCGACGTTGGCATACCAGTGATTGACGGAATAGCAGTCGTGGCCCAGTGGGTTGAAGTGCTTGAACTTGAACTTGTGGATGTACTGTCAGTAGTTGTACTTCTTTTGGCCGTAGAAGAGCTACGAGTTGTCAATGTACTTGTTGTTCCATGAGAAGTTGTAGGAGAAGTCGGAGGCGTGGTAGTGGTACTTGAACCCTTTGCCGTCCCACTTGTCACCCTATTCGCCGTAACCGTAGACGGTCCAGAAGGTCCAGACGTCATCAAACTGGGAATAGTGGTTGTTGGATTCACATTGAACGGTGGTCCTAGCGGTTCTCGTGGAATCGGAGCAATCACAATCGGTATGCATCCAATTGGAGTGGTCCCACTGGTTGACTCTGTACTCGAACCAGAATATGAATCGGTGCTAGAACTGCTGAATGCGGAAGAAGTTGTGGTCCACGGAGGGCAGTACGTCGTCGAAGAACCTGAAAATGATTGAAAATTAGAAGATCCAACAATTTTAAAACCTTCCGTAGTCCCCAAAGAAGTTGTCGAAGATGTACTATCCGTAGTTGTTCCATTTGTAGAAGTGGTCCCACTAGTTGTCCCTCCATCAGTGGTAGAAGTTGTTGTTGTGGAAGTACTGGATGATCCAGTGGTGGTCCAGCTATCAGTACTGGTCCCCGTGGAACCAGACGTTGTACTGTGGGCCACTGTGCTCGTGCTGGTCCCAGTAGTTGTCGAGGTCCCACTCGTGGTTGTTGACGCATCCGTACTAGAACCAGATGTGGTCCCGGAGGTACTTATACTTGACATCGAACTTGTGTTGGTTGATGAACTTGGAGTCGTGGTTGTCAAAGTGCTCGTGGTCCCAGTAGTTGATCCAGATTTCGTTGAACGCGTCGAGTTCTCCGTGGGAGATGTTCCAGTGGGTGTCTGTCCAGATGTAGTCAGATTCGAAGTGGATCTAGTGGATCCAGTTGTTGTCATGGCTGAAGTAGGAGTTCCTGTGCTGGACGTCTCTGTAAAAGTAACGTAAAACTAGTTTCATCCAAGCCATCAGGGTACTTGATCTGCTGCTGGATCGGATATCACTTGTTCTGGTAGCAGTAGTGCCACGGTCCTTTGAAGTTGTACCTACAGATAAATGATTTCAAAACATCTGTTACAAGTACCACCTCACCTTTAGTCGTTTTGCTATTCGGATGTGCTCTCGGCTCAGGAGAAGGTGCTGGTTCCGGTTTTCCTTGCGGCTCAACTGGGGGAACCGGTTGACTGGGTCCACCATCATCTTCATCATCTTTCTCATCATCTTCGTCATCATCCTTGTCACCATCGTCGGTCCCGTCATCTGAATCAATCAAAAATGCATCATAATGCAGTGGTAATTTAGAACTTTACTTCCGCCGGGCGAAGGACCACCTCCGCCGGGGAATGGGATTCCAGGGAACGGGATTCCAGGGCCACCGGGACTTCCAGGGCCACCGGGACTTCCAGGACCACCTCCACCACCAGGTTGAGGCACAGATCCTGGTTTTGGCTTCGGTTTTCCGTCATCTTTTTCGTCGTCTTTGTCATCATCTTTATTGTCATCACCAACACCTTCTTCTTTCGGTCCCTTGGTCCCCGTCGGTTTATGTGTCACTTGGCTCGGTTGCACTGACACTGGCTCTCCGTTTCTGATGATAACACCTCCGTTATCCGAAGTCGTTCTTGTTCCGATACTCGTGGAGCTTGTGCTCGGATCTAAACGTACTTTCTACATCATAAAACATCATTTTCCCTAGTACGTTTAGTGGTTCGCGGAGAGGAATGATGTTTTGTTGTCGTCTTGGCCGTAGTTTTTCCCAAATTGATCGTAGTCGGATTACCAGTTGTGACGACTGAAATCAATTCACATTTTATTGAATAACACTGTAACTATCATACTTTTTGTGGTTTTTGTAGGTACAAAAGTGCTGATAAGGACCGTAGTTGCAACTGAAATCAATCGATATTTGAATAAGATACCCCAACCATCAATACCTTGAGAAGTGACTTCTGTACTTGATTTAACAGTACTAGTTGATCCCAATGATGTGGTCCTTCCGATTGTCGTTTTTCTCTCGCTATTCGTGGATATTCCAGGAGTTGTAGTAGTAGTTACACCTAAAGTTCATTCATGTTCCAGCTTATCCAGTAATGTACTAGAAGACGTTGGCGGGAAAATTCAAGAAAAGCCCCCCACCTCAGCAGAACCGTCCAGGTTATAAACAACCTTAGAAAAGCCCCCCACCAGTACAAAAAAGGTGGGGGCTTTTTCCTGACGTCGGCCGGTCATACTTGAACGCTTCTGTTCAACAATCGCCCCCGCCAGTGCAAAGTGGGGGGTTATTGTTTAAGAACTAGGTATTCTTAAAGAAAAGCCCCCCACCCCCCCTCCTTTTCAGCAGAGGATATATTCAATATTAGTCCCCCCCACCATTCAAATACAGCCCCACACTTTGAAAAAGCCCCCCACTCGTGTGAAACTCATTAAATATCAGCCCCCCACCATTCAATAATAGCCCCCCCTACTCCATTTAAAGAAGGACTTTAATCCTAACTCGGTGGGGTCTCAGTGCGCGGGAGGGGTTTCTGATTCAAGTACTTCCGGGCGTTCTTGTTGTTAGGCAATGCATCTGCTTCCAGGACGCTAAGCTAACGAAAAAGTTCTCAGTTTGCTTTTCAGTGCAGCCTTTCCAAAATAACCCCTACTGAATTCATTTATACCACCCCACTTCATTCAATAACAGCCCCCCGGCCCCTGGTGGGGGACTTTCTTAGGATGATATTGGGAGGATTTTTTTCAATAAGGGGGGACTTTATTTGAATATACCCGACGTTGGCATACCAGTGATTGACGGAATAGCAGTCGAGGTCCAGTCGGTTGACGTGCTTGAACTTGAACTTGTGGATGTACTGTCAGTAGTTGTACTTCTTGTGGCCGTAGAAGAGCTACGAGTTGTCAATGTACTTGTTGTTCCATGAGAAGTTGTAGGAGATGTCGGAGGCGTGGTAGTGGTACTCGAACCCTTTGCCGTCCCACTTGTCACCCCTATCGCCGTAACCGTAGACGGTCCAGAAGGTCCAGACGTCATCAAACTGGGAATGGTGGTTGTTGGAGTCACATTGAGCGGTGGTCCTAGCGGTTCACGGGGAATCGGAACAATCACAATCGGTATGCATCCAATTGGAGTGGTCCCACTGGTTGACTCTGTACTCGAACCAGAATATGAATCGGTGCTAGAACTGCTGAATGCGGAAGAAGTTGTGGTCCACGGAGGGCAGTACGTCGTCGAAGAACCTGAAAATGATTGAAAATTAGAAGATCCAAAAGTTGTGAAACCTTCCGTAGTCCCCAAAGATGTTGTCGAAGATGTACTATCCGTAGTTGTTCCATTTGTAGTAGTGGTCCCACTAGTTGTCACTCCATCAGTGGTAGAAGTTGTTGTTGTGGAAGTACTGGATGATCCAGTGGTGGTCCAGCTATCAGTACTGGTCCCCGTGGAACCAGACGTTGTACTGTGGGCCACTGTGCTCGTGCTGGTCCCAGTAGTTGTCGAGTTCCCACTCGTGGTTGTTGACGCATCCGTACTAGAACCAGAAGTGGTCCCGGAGGTACTTGTACTTGACATCGAACTTGTGTTGGTTGATGAACTCGGAGTCGTGGTTGTCAAAGTGCTCGTGGTCCCAGTAGTTGATCCAGACTTCGTTAAACGTGTCGATCCAGTGGATCCACCTGTTGTCATGGCTGAAGTAGGAGTTCCTGTGCTGGACGTCTCTGAAAAAGTAACGTAAAACTAGTTTCATCCAAGTCATCAGGGTACTTGATCTGCTGCTTGATCGGATATCACTTGTTCTGGTAGCAGTGGTCACACGATCCTTGGAAGTTGTACCTACAGATAAATGATTTCAAAGCATCAGCTACAAGTACCACCTCACCTTTAGTCGTTTTGCTATTTTGATGTGCTCTCGGATCAGGAGAAGGTGCTGCTGGTTCCGGTTTTCCTTGCGGCTCAACTGGGGGAACCGGTTTACTGGGTCCACCATCATCTTCATCATCTTTCTCATCATCTTCGTCATCATCCTTGTCACCATCGTCGTTCCCGTCATCTGAATCAATCAAAAATGAATCATACTGCAGTGGTAATTTAGAACTTTACTTCCGCCGGGCGAAGGACCACCTCCGCCGGGGAATGGGATTCCAGGGAACGGGATTCCAGGGCTACCGGGACTTCCAGGGCCACCGGGACTTCCAGGGCCACCGGGACTTCCAGGGCCACCGGGACTTCCAGGGCCACCGGGACTTCCAGGACCACCTCCACCACCAGGTTGAGGCACAGATCCTGGTTTTGGCTTCGGTTTTCCGTCATCTTTTTCGTCGTCTTTGTCATTATCTTTATTGTCATCACCAACACCTTCGTCTTTCGGTCCCTTGGTCCCCGTCGGTTTATGTGTCACTTGGCTCGGTTGCACTGACACCGGCTCTCCGTTTCTGATGATAACACCTCCATTATCCGAAGTCGTTCTTGTTCCGATACTCGTGGAGCTTGTGCTCGGATCTGAACGTACTTTCGACATTATAAAACATCATTTTCCCTAGTACGTTTAGTGGTTCGCGGAGAGGAATGATGTTCTGTTGTCATCTTGGCCGTAGTTGGTCCCAAATTGATCGTCGTCGGCTTACCAGTTGTGACGACTGAAATCAATTCACATTTTATTGAATAACACTGTAACTATCATACTTTTTGTGGTTCCTGTAGGTACAGTGACTTCTGTACTTGGTTTAGCAGTACTACTCCCGGCGGTTGTAGCTATTATCATTTTTGTGGTGTTTTCTGCAGTTGCAGTGGTGGGAATTGCGGATTTCAAAGTGTTCCCAACTTCTGTAGCATTTGACGTCGTCGTTGATGTCCAGGTTGTAGTCGTAGTCGCTTTTTCAGTTCTAGTAGATACTTTTGTTGTAAAATCTGAAAACTTTTACATTTTTATAATCCTAGAGTTGTTAATAGAAGAACTTGAATCTGATATTGATGTTTTCAATGTTGATCCTCCCAATCTGCTTGTCATCTTCAGTGTTGTAGTGGATCGAATTGTTGGTGAACTTTTCAATGTAGAAATACTTGGGCGTCTGGATATCTTATCCGTAGTGCTCAAATCCTTTGCCGTCCCACTTGTCACCCTATTCACCGTAACCGTAGATGGTCCAGAAGGTCCAGACGTCATCAAACTGGGAATGGTGGTTGTTGTATTCACATTGAGCGGTGGTCCCAGCGGTTCACGTGGAATCGGAGCATTCACAATCGGTATGCATCCAATTGGAGTGGTCCCACTGGTTGACTCTGTACTCGAACCAGAATATGAATCGGTGCTAGAACTGCTGAATGCGGAAGAAGTTGTGGTCCACGGAGGGCAGTACGTCGTCGAAGAACCTGAAAATGATTGAAAATTAGAAGATCCAAAAGTTGTGAAACCTTCCAGAGTAGATCCGGTTGTGATCCTGGCTTCTAAAGTTCTTGTACCTAAAAACGGAAACGCGTTTTTCTCTCCAACTACTAGTGGTCCCACCAGGTTGCGTTGTAGAGCTTCCAGGCAACAAAAACGGCGGTTTCGCAGTGTCACCTGGTCCCGAACCTTCAGGGACCGTAGTCCCGGCAGTTGGCAGTGTGTCGTTAGGACCAATGTTTACCGAGACATCAATCGTATATCCTGGACTTTCAGAAGTAGTCGAAGTATCTAGAAAAGATCCAATTTTACAGAAACGGCCAATTTTTAAAGTCTTACTCGGTCCGTGAACGTTGGGATCACGAATATGCACATCCACATCGATCGTGTATCCTGGACCAGAAGTTGGACTTTCAGGACCTTCTCTCCCAATGGTCCCGTCGGTTGAAGCACTTCCAGTCCCCAAAACTGGAGGTATCACTGTTGTAGAGGTACCTAAAGTTCATTTTTTGTAAACAGTCGCATTTGTCCCCTGGTCCCACTTGATCCTTGAGAGTTCGGATTGCCAATGGGCCCAGGACTGGTGCCAGGATTTGCAGTCCCATTAGGATCACGAATTAGTACATCCACATCGATCGTGTATCCTGGACGAGAAATTGAACTTTCAGGACCGTCTTTTCCAATGGTCCCATCGGTTGAAGCACTTTCAGTCCCCAAAACTGGAGGTATCACAGTTGTAGTCCCGTTAGGATCACGAATATGCACATCCACATCGATCGTGTATCCTGGACGAGAAGTTGGACTTTCAGGACCTTCTTTCCCAATGGTCCCAAGTGTTGAAGTGGTACCTGAAATCCATCTAATGTGCCCACTGAACCCCTTGGGACTCACTATCAGTATCCCAGCTCCCGGTCCCGATCGGATAGGTGACTCCAGCGCCCGAAAACACTTCAATCGTATAGTTCGGATGATACCCGATTCCTCTTTTCGATTTTCCAGCTGGTCCCGATCGATCTCCATCTATTTTTCGGTCACCCTCCCATAGATCGGCAGTGCTAGCAAGCAGGTATACAATAATGACAATTGTGCGTAAATCTGAAAGCACATTTCGATTCTGGAACCTAAAATCATTGAAAAACTTGCATTTTATCATGATTTCAGCAAAAAAAGAGGTAAAACCGTTGTCAATAATCAGTATGGCTCACTGATAACCAAATTTCGAGTTGGCTTTTCTATAAGCTGCCCTAGTTTTTCACGTAGGAATTTAGGGAACTGGAATGGCAGCGGGTGGACTTAAACTAACGTTTTTAGAAAACTTTTACAACAAAACGTTTCTTATCACAAAGCTTTATTATCCAGACCTTGTTTTCTATGCAACAAGTTCATCTTCTTGTTCTTCTTTCCCGCAGCCGTCTGAAAACTGTCATTTTTGTCTGAAATGCTTCAAAAAAGCGCCCTACTTTTGCAGGTTTTGACTTTTTCGTCAATCTAATCGACTCTCTCGGCATTTCCGGGATTTCCAAGCTCTTTTTCGCTTTTTTAGCCTTCGCGTCCGTTGTCTTTGTCTTTTTCAGCGGCTCCGTCGGCTTCTTCTTCGTCTTCTGGTCCTTGGTCGCTTTTTCCACCGGTTTCTCAGGCTTTCGTACCGGAGATTTCGATTTCGACTTGATCTTCTTCTTCGGCTTCAACTTTTCATTCTGGTCCCGGTCCTCCAGGTCCTCTTCCGTCGCTTCAGCACGTTTCTTGGCTTTGCGACGATCATCTGAACCGCATCAGAGTATTGTAGACTTCGAAGAGTGAAACTTACAATCAAGAACGCCATTCATGGTGCCTAGGATCACGTTGCAGGTGTAGATGATGAAGAGAAGAACGGAGAGGAAGATGATCCATATCCAGTTGCTGAAAAGAGTGTCGATGGGTTGCAAAGTGGCGACGGTTGCGGCGGAAAGAACTCTCACTAGGGTTCGGGGGGCGCCACGTGGATTCCCTGCTCGGCGCTCTTGCTCGCGGCGCCCAACTCGTCGCAGAATCCCGGACACTCCATGTCGTCGTAGTTGCGCTTGCACGTCTTCAGCGACTGCAATCTCTCGGCCACTGGCGCCGCCTCCGACGACGTCGACATTGACGTCGACGAAGAAGAATCTGTCGACGTGGAGCTCGAGCTCATCGTCGTTGAAGACGTTCCTGACGTCGTCGAGGACACATCAGAGGGGGTTGAAGTGCCGGAAGTCGTCGTCGAGCCCTCCGTCGTCGTCACGGTCCCGGTGGTGGTGCGTTCAGAAGTGGAAGTGCTGATGCACGGGTCCCAAGTGGTCGATCCAGTGGTTCCGCTCGTCGAAGACGTTCCGCCGGTGCTCGTCGTGCAGATTCGTGTGCTCGATGACGTGGAAGTGGATTCAGAAGTCGACGTTGAACTTCCCGAGGTACTCGTGGATCCCGGCGTCGTTGTGGTTCGTTCAGTCTTTGTTGTTTTGGTACTTTTCGTCGTGGTCCCTCCCGGTTTCGTCGGTTTCGGTTTTGGTTTCGGTGGCGGTCCCGGCGCCGTGTCGTCCCAGTCCGGATCTCCTTCACATACCACTTTGCACTTGGGCTTTGTGCCCGGACTTGGATTAGATCCGGATGGGCCACCTGGACCACTTGGATTCGTGTTACCTGTACCACCATTACCGGTCCCTCCTGGCACTGGTCCTCCTTTGATCACCTGTGTTCCGCGTGGACCGGCAGAAGTGGTACTGGTCCTCGAGTTCCTCGTCGTTGAGCCCCTTAAAGTGGTGGCCGGCGACGAGATGGTCGTAGCGGTCCCTGTTCCCTCTGGACCAGGACCCGGTCCCGTCGGACCACCAGACGGTTCCGTACTTGTAGAAGTACCTGAAAGCATTCAATTTCAATGAAAACCCGAATTTTTCAGGCACCGGTCTTACTTGGTTCCGGATCACGAATATGTACTTCCACATTGATTGTGTATCCTTGCTGATCAGTTACGTTCCCTGTAGATCTACCAGGACCGCCTCTTCTAATGGTCCCATCGGTTGAAGTGGTACCTGAAATCCATCTATTGTGCCCACTAAACCCCTTGGGACTCACTATCAGTATCCCAGATCCCGGTCCCGATTGGATATGTGGCTCCAGTGCCCGCAAACACTTCAATCGTATAGTTCGGATGATACCTGACTCCTCTTTTGGCCTTGACGGTCCCTATCGGATCAGTCGCTTCGGTCCATGGATCCAAACGATTTCCCTCAGATCCAAGTGCAAAAAAACGGTCCCGTTCGGACCGACCTTTGAAAATAAGGAGAATAAGAGAAATGAAGACAATTGTGTGATAATCTGCAAATCAAAAAAAAAATGTTGATAAAATCCCGAAAAACTCACAATTCATGGTGTTTTGAGGTAGAGAAACTCGAAAAAAAATCAGTTCAGAGATGGAAAAGTTAAAGGTCATCACGTGGGAATTCTAGAGAGAAAACCTCGACGGAAAACGGATGTCTAGGAAGTTTTTCGAGAAAATTCCGTGTTCCGAACGTGAATGTCAAGTGGAATGGGGAAGAGTAAAGGAGAGCGATGCAGGTAGATCAACTAGAATCATCCTACAAATTATCATACGTCTCACGGTGTCCAGATCTGACAATATGGGCGTGGCCTTGGCGTTTTCATGAATTGAGCAGGTTTTCTCTGATTTTTGTGGTCAAAGGCGATGAAAAATGATTGCGCGACATGAAAACACACTAATTCTCAGAATTAATGACGTTTTTGCGCATTTTTCGCGGACCTCGCTTTTTCGCCTTCTCATTTTGCGCTTTCTTGACCGTTTTCCGACAGAATCGGTTTTGAGAATGATAAATCACGTAAATACAAGCATTTTGAGCGCTCGAACCGCGAAAACTACCGAAAAGCAACTGAAATTCACGCAGTTTTAGCCAAAAACCTTCAAACGGATAAATGTGATTTGCGACTTGACCAAATTTGACGCTCTTGCGCTTGAAAAATTCGTAATCGCCTATAAAATCGGTCTATCGAGAGACAAATGAGAAATTATCGGTTTTTCGTGGTTAGGCTGGCAAAAAACACAAATTTTTCAGTTAAAATTTGAATTTCGCGCCAATCTGTCGCTCTATTCGGCGGGCATTGTCAGTTCTGGAGACCGTGCGTCTAGCAAGACGCGAGACTGTATCCAAACGCCTTGATTGCCCAAAAAAGTCCCTCGAAACTTTAAAAGGCAAAAAAGGGAAAAATGTTTATCAAATAGCAATCAAATGCGTTCCGATCTTTGTCTTTTTCGCTTTCCTCGGCGCGTTCGTCCTTTTCGTTTTGCTCTCCTTCTTCTTCTTCTTCTTCTTCTTCGTCTTCTCCGGTGCCTTGTCGCCTGTGACAAAAAAAAAGAAACAAATTGGATTCGGGAGGCCATGGCCACGCGCTCACCTTTCTTCGGCTCTTTCTTCTTCGCATTTCTGCTCGATTTCGTTTTAGTGCCAGTCTCTTGGCTCGCCGATCCTTTCGATCCCTTTGATTCCTTGCTCAGCGGCTCGAGCGATCCGCCGGGCTCCGCGGACGCGTCAAACGCAATTTCAACGTCGTCCGCCTCTTCTTTGCTCTTTTGAGCACGTTTCTCTTTCACTACAAATGTTTCAGGTAGGGTGGGGTTCGGAAATGGTTAAACAAAATTCCGGAAGACTTTTGAGGTTGAAGAATGATCAAAATTGTTCCGAAAGGTTCCCGGAAAGTTCACTAAAGCTCAGAGTGTTAGTTACAGTACCCAACTACAGTAATCCCTCCCCCTCCCCCACACAACTCACAATTCCTCCAGCAACTAAGCAGCGTGATGGCGGCAATGGTGAGGAAGAGAAGACAGGCGGTGCACGTGAGCACAATTTTGACAATTCCGAGTCCCCTAAACAGTTGGGTTCGTCAATTTCTGTATAAAAAATCACCCTTTGTCCTCCGATTTCACCGCTTTCCGGAGCTCGTCGCAAATTTCCGCGCACGTCGCGTTTCCGCCTTCCGCGCATTTCCACGTGCCGATCAGCGCTTCGGCCGATGCGACATTTCGAGAACGATCTGTTGAGGTTTGTGGTGGTTGAAGTGAGCCGGGCTTCGAGTTGGGCTTGACGTTGGTGGTCCTTGTGGATCCGTGTGTTTCTGCAGACACAGTCGTTGGCTGAGAACGCGCCAAACTTGCTCCAAAAGTGGTCCAAGGTGGCGGCAGAGTCAAAGGATCCGTGGTCCGAGGATCCGTGGTCTGAGGATCCGTGGTGCGAGGATCCGTGGTCCGAGGATCCTTGATCAAAGGATCCGTGGTCCGAGGATCCGTGGTCTGAGGATCCGTGGTCCGAGGATCCTTGATCAAAGGATCCGTGGTCCGAGGATCCGTGGTCTGAGGATCCGTGGTCCGAGGATCCATGGTCCGAGGATCCGTGGTCCGAGGATCCATGGTCCGAGGATCCGTGGTCTGAGGATCCATGGTCCGAGGATCCGTGGTCCGAGGATCCATGGTCCGAGGATCCGTGGTCCGAGGATCCGTGGTCCGAGGATCCATGGTCCGAGGATCCTTGATCAAAGGATCCGTGGTCCAGGAAGAGATAGGAGTGGTCCCAGACGGTTGGGAGCGTGTACTCGCTTCCACCGTACTCTTCTGTCTAGGATCCGTTGTTGTGGCAGGGACCATAGTCGCGGGTGGCTGTGACGGTCCCAGAGAAGGTGTAAGGGTTGGTAAACCGGGTCCAGGTCCAGGTCCCGGTAGAGGTGCAAGAGTTGGTCCTGAGGGTCCAAGTGACGGAATCGGAATCGGATTCGGAACAGCAATAGGAACAGTATACGGGACCGGCACCACAATCGGAACTCGAATCGTCACCGGCACCGGCACCACAATCGGAACGATCGGCGCTTGTTGGCCAGACCAGGGCCGTGGCGGAGCCGGTGGTTCCGCCGGTCGGAGCCACGTCGTCAGGTTTTCGAGTGGCACAAGAGGAGGCGTCGGCGGAAGGGCACTCGGACAATACTTTTGCGCGTCGAGAATGCACCGAAGATGAAGAATCGCGTCGTTCATCGAGTTGTGCTGTACGACGAACATGCCCCAGTGCAAGACGGGCGGTCTCCACAGCGGTTGCGCCCACGGAAGGAGCCAGCGGCTCGAGGTGAAGACCGGATCGGGCGTGGCGAGCAGTTGGAGGAGTTGAGACAGCCAATAGACGAGATGCATGAACGATCGGGGACCGCTGAGGCGAGCAGGTGGCAGTTTGATGATCGGTGCACTTGGTATGCCTGGCACGATCCAAATGAACCGTCGTTTCCGCCGTCCGAACATGGCGACAAACGGCGCGGCGGTGGCGGCAAAACTGGCGATGCTCGCCGCCGCTCCTCCGAGTCCCAGTGCCGAGGCGGCCGAAGTGATGAGCCCGCCGACGCCGCCGGCTCCGAGCACTCCGCTCACACTTCCCAACGCTTTTCCGATTGGTCCGAGGGATCCGAGCGCTCCGGTGACACCGCTGACAATTTTGCCGAGTCCCGGCAGTTTGCCAAGTGTTCCCGTCAGTCCGCCGAGCACTTTTTTGCCCAAATCAAAGACACATCCGAGACCTAAAAAGCCGCATCCGTCGTCGTTCTTCTCCTCGTCGTCTCCACCTTCATCGCTCTTGTCGTCGTCTCCTCCGAGTCCGAACAGACTTCCGATTCCTTCGAGGATGCCGCCGAACGAGTCGAGCGCCTTTGTGGCCGTGCCGACGCCGGGGATCAAGCTTCCGATGCCTTTCACCAGGTCGAGAGGCGACTTTCCGAGTTTTCCGACGAAACCAAAGAGATCCGCGATGCCACCGGCGCCGCCGACCACGTCGCCGACCATTCCGGCCAGGTCCCCGAATAAATTCAAGAATCCACCCGCCTCCTTGTCGCTATCGAACAGACCGAGTAGATCGGAGAACGTATCCAGAATGTCCAGGCCTCCATCGATTCCGGTGAGCTTCGAGAAGGTGTCTCCAAGTTTTGCGACGATATTCTTTCCGTTTCCGCCCTTGTCCAAGTCGCCCATAATGTCCACAAGGTCGCCGAGATTTCCGAGTCCACCGGGCAGTTGCTTCAGCAGATCCCTTCCGGATTTCGCGTCCAGCAGCGATTTGAATCCTTCCGGAAGCTTCGACATTGGGTTCAGGCTCTTTGGGAGCTTGCCCTTGAGCATGTCGAATGGCGACGATCCGCCCGGACCGCCGGGACCACCAAAAGAGTCGGCCAGACCGGATAGGTCTCTAAACACATCGCCCATGTCTCTAAACGTCTTGTGCCGCTCCTTATCTTCGCCCATCCACCTCATCATTTTGTTGATATTGTCCATCGCGTCGTGCGCCTTGGATCTCTCCGATGATCCCTGGCCGCCGGACCGTGTTCCTGTCGGAAGGGCCTCAAAAACCTTCTGAAGCTGCGGCAAAACGTCGGGCGCGTCACGGAACGGCTCCAACTTCTCGACAAACTCGTGAACGTTCGGAATGCCGCCAAAGTCGATGAGCGGCGGGAGCACCTTCAGCAGCTCCTTCTCCATTTCGCGGTGATCGGGCAATTCGAAGAATTTCGTGGCGATGAGACGACGGTGCTCGGTGGTTATGCGCGTTTTGTCGAGCACGTTCAGCGTGCACATGTGCTCAATCACCTTTTCAATGTCGTCTGTGACGCCTCTCTCGAAGTCGATGAGTTTTGGCACTGAAAAACACAAAACGCTGCGTTTCTTAATCAGTTTGAGGAGATTTTGCAAAGGTTAAAAAACAAATCGAAAGATCATTTCACGCTCTACAACTTTTTAGTTGACCGTTTTTCGAAATATTTTCTCGGAGCCCAGATATTTTGCCTCAAACTTACACGTCGGTCCAGGGTTTTTGGTTGCTGCTGCTGCTGGTGCCAGAGTTGGTCCCGATCGCCCTGGTGATCCAGTGGGACCCGGTGCTCCGGGTGCTCCTGGAGCTCCTGAAGCTCCTGGTGCACCAGTTGGACCCCGAGGTCCGGGCTTCTGGGTTACGCTACCAATTTGAGGCAGTTGAGTTGCAGACGGATTCGGGCTTGCAGGCTTTGGTCCCGCCGGTTGGGTCGCTTGGAGCCGGGGGTCCTGGGTTGCGGAACCCGGCTGCTGGGGTCTTGCGCGAGTAACTAGAGGTGCTCCAGTTCCAGAACCTTAAAAAATCGTATTTTTTGGTTTCTCCAACTACAATAATCCTACCACTCGGTCCCTGGGTCGCTGGCGCCTGGCTGGGAACTTGACCAGGATTTGGGGTCACTAAAATTTTTCATAAACCTTCAGTTTAAGTTTAAAAGAAAAATCCGTACCTGCAGGTTGTGCCGGGCCTTGAGAAGGAACTGGAACTGGCGCGGGGGTCCCTGAAGATCACATAACATTTTACGAGATTTATAAGGTTTCAAACGAGCCTGTTGGGTTCGGATTTGTAGGCGGAACTTGTGGACCACCGGGAACAGGTAGAGGTGGCTTTGTAGACTGTGGATCAGCGGGTAGTGGCAGCGGAACCGGTGGGCCGTCTAAAAGTTACTATACTCGTTGGCCAGGTCTTTTTTGAATGTTCAAACCAACCTGTAGTGGCTTCGACCTCATCCAAAAGTCCCTTCAAAAAGTCCCAAAAGTTGGAAAGTCCATTATAGTGATCCATGAGTGCCAGAAACTCGTCAAACTCATCGCCGAGCCCGTCGAGTCCGTCGACCATCTCCTCAATGATTGGCGTCTTGCCGGCGGCCTTCCAAATGTCATCAAGGCTCGGAACCAGGTCGTCCAGGATCCTAAAGTCCGGATCTTCGACTCCAATCTCCTCCAGGACCTTTCCAATCTCTTTGACGGCTCGCGGTCCGCCGGGGATCTTCTGCACGGGCTCGAGAATGCGCGCAAAGTTCTCAAAGTCTTCCGGTCCGTTCGGCAGCGCTCTCCACTGATCGCCGACCGCCTTGAATGCCTCGATCGCCTCCACTTTCCTCTTCTCCACCCCCAGATCCTTGAGCAGATCCCTCAGCGCCTCAAAGTTGCGACCGCCTTGTTCCGAGCATCCGGGCATCCGCATCGCCACCGGAAACTCTTTGACGCTGTTCAACGCGTTCGGAATCGTGCCAATGTTCGCGAGCACGTCGCCGAGCCCGGTTACTGTAGCGGCGCCGTATGGCAAGCCTTTTATCGATTTTCCGAGGCTCGAAATGCCCGAAAACGGCGTCGTCGAGGCTAGACCCTTGATAATGCCTCCAATATTCGAGAGCACTCCTCGATTCTCGGCCGGGGTGTCTTTTTTAAAGTTCTGAAGGGCTCGGAGTCCTTTCGGAGCTTCTGGAGCCCTGGCGAGCGGCTTCAGACCGCTCACAACGCTTCCCAGATGCGTTTTGGCGTCGGGCGTCTCGCGAATCTTTCGCACGAGCTGTGGCCGCGGCTCTTTGAGTGTTCCGAGTCCCAGGGATCCACCAAGCACTGCCAGTGGATCCATAAAGCCCGGAAGAGCAGGCACTCCACCGGGGAACTTCTGAATGTCCGCAATGTACTTGGGCAGCTCTTTGAGCTTCGGCGCAACTGCCGGCGCCTTCTTGATCCCTCGCACCAACTCAGGAATCTGTTGGATGGTCCCCTGGGATCCAATGCCTTCGACAATGTTTGCGACGCCACCGAGCGCCGTCGGCGATCCTTTGAATGCCTCGCCGAGCTGAAGAAACTCCTTGATCTTGTCGCCGTCGCCGATTCGTTCGAACGCGTTCGCACACTCCTCCATGTCGGTGAGCCCCTCCTCCTTGTTCGGAAACTTCTTGACCATCTCAACGTACTTGGTCATGTCCTCGTAGGACTTGACGCCCGGTGGCAACCCGTTAATCTCCGCCAAAATGGTGCCCAGATCGGCGTTAAAGTCCGCGCTCGGCACTTTCATATCTTTCACTTTTGCGAGCGATCGCATAGTCTGCTTGGCATCCGGTTCGGGTTTCGCGGCGATTTGTGTGCTCTGCTGCTTCTTCTTCTCATCATCGTTCTTCCGCTTCTGGTCCTTGGCCCATCCCTCAATGTAGTCCACGTTATTCCACAAGTTCCGGTCCTCGCCGTCGCCGTACTCGTCGCCGAACACGGGCGTTCGATCCAAAAGACTGGCGAGCGCCTCCTGATTGGGCACCCGATCCGCCACGTCTTCATAGCTTTCGAGGGCGGTGCGCATCTCCTCTGTGCTCTCCGAGTTATCGTTCGTCTCGCGCAGAAAGTCGGTCGTCTTTTGGATACAATCGTCCGTCTCGCAATTGTCCACCAACTCCGAGATGGCGTCCACAATCTGTCGCGCCTGATCGCGTGATTTCACCTCCTGGGGGACGACTCCAAGATATTCGAGCACATGTTTCAGATGCTCGAGGCTTTGGGCACCGGCCACGAGTTGATCCATAAACGCGAATAGGGTGCGGAGCCGATCAAAAGTGCCTCCACGCGCGGCGACGACTCCCAGAGCCGCCGCGTTCTTTCTCAAATGTCCCAAACTTTTCGACACCCTCGCGAGCTTCACAAATGCTTCAAGAGCTGCTCGCAAGCTCTGAAGGCTCTTGATCCCCGGGGGAAGGTAGCCGAATGCTCGCATGACCGTCGGCACCGCATCAAGATTGCTCACGGTCGCGACGAGTTGTTTCACGTTTTCGTTGAGCGTGCGAAACTTTTCAAAATCGATAACCATCGTCGGCAACTGTTTCAACGCGTTCGCCATCGATTGAATCTCGTCGCGTCGATACACATTCCGCACGATGTTCTCCATGGTCCCGAGCAGCTCGATAGCGGCGTGCGGGCTTGTCAGCGAGTCTTTCGGCAGTTTGAGCGTGTCCAGGGTGAACTGGAGGTTGTGTTGGCTCAAATTCCGCGCGAGCCGATCTCCCAGGGCTCCGTACACACTTTGAATCTCGTTGAGCGACTTGCTCAGGTCGGCGTGCTCCACAAAGTGCTCCAAGAGAGTGTCGAAGGCGGCCGGCGTTTTGAAGACTCTCGTGAGGTTGGTGAACGCGTCGAAGAAGCCGTCAATGTTTTCGATTGCCCGGACACCCTTCGACAGAGTGCCGATCGTCTCAAGCACCGCGTTCACATTGTCCAAACTCTTGACACACTCCGAAATGGTCTGAAGCGCGGCGATTCCGTCGGCGACGACGCTCGTCGTGTTCCCAGTTTTGTTCGTCACCAGCTCGGCCCATCGGAGCATTCCCTGAAGCGCCGGCTCGTCGTGCACGTGCTCCAGCGAGTGTGCCACTTGTCGCGAAAAATCTTTATAGTCCTGAAGCGAGTTCATCGAGTCCGAGAACGTGCCGAGTTGGTTGAGCACGTCGAGCAACTCGCCGGACGTCTGAACACCCTTCGCCTCGCTCAGCACTTTGAGCACGTACTGCAGCTCGTTGAGTTGGATCGGAAAGTGCGTGACGAGGGTGAACGCGCGCAGAATCCTCTGCAGACTGTGCGTAGAGCTCGTTTTGAGCGGAAGCACCGACAGAATCGCGTTCGGCGCGTTTCGATCGACGTTCGGCGCCAAAGCGGTGCCGATTGCGTTCGCCGCATCCATACGCGCTTTGATCATCGCCGGCGAGTTGCCCGATTCGGTAAGTACGTGAAAACTGTCCATGAGTGTTTTGAAGCCGCCAACGTCTTTTACAAAACCGGCAAGTTTCTCGAATAATCCGAGAATCTCCAGTGTCTCCGCGAACGACTTCTCGCCGCCCATCAACGCAGAGATCGGCGTGAACGCGGCGACGACTTCCACACACTCGGCGGCTCTCGAGACGCCCTCCATCGCTTCGAACCACCTCTGCGGCTCGCTCTCATCGTCGGCCATCGCGTCGGGCACCGCTGCCAGCGCGTCAAAAGTGTCTCGGACGGCTGCCAGGTCGGTGACGCCTCGCGGAACACTCTGGAACGCGTCGAAGAGCTCGTCGACGGCAGCGCCAGCGCCGCCCGAAATGCCCTTCACACTTTTCACAATTTCCGACAGCTTTGCGCGATCTTTGATCGCACTTTGGAGGTGGCTCATCGAATCGAAGAGCGTGCCGAACGCGGCGGGATCGTTGACCACCGACTCGACGACTTCCATCGTCTTATCCATGATCCCGTTGAGTTCGTCGTTTTGGAATTTGTCGGGGAGCGCGTGGAACGAGTCGACAATCTTCCGCACGTCGTTCATATCCTTCACCTCGTCGGGCAGGCTCCAAAACAAGTTCATCGAGTCTCGAAAGTTCTCAATACTATCCGTGTACTGATCGGGCACTCCTCCGACACCCTTCAGAATCCTCGGCACGTCTTCAAACGTTCGAATGCTCGCCAGCCTCTGCATCTGTTTCTTGAAGTTCCGCGGATCCGCTTCGTTTTTCGCCGCCTCTTTCACAATTCCCATCAGTCCCTTCATTGCCTCTTTGCTCTTCGCCCGTGCCACGAGTTCTTTGAACGCTCCGAATCCCTTCTTGACGCCCTTCGTGCTGCCGCCCAACAACTTGGACACGTCTCGGAACGTGTCGAGCGCCGCACGTGCCGCATCCGTGTTCACCGCGCCGCCCGACACCAAATCGACAACGTCGAGGGCCTTGTTCGCGTTTTCCACGGTGCCGCCCACGCTCTTGCCGATCGTCGAGACGCTTTCGAGTGCCGATTTGACGTCGTCGGCCGAGTCGACGGCCGCGCCAATCTGTCTCGCCGTGCTCATCGCCGCCCTCACATCCTTCACATTGCCCAGCTTCGCGACAATCGGCACGTACTCGCCCAAGATGTTGGTGGCCTCGCCGAGCTTGTCGCTCGCGTCGACAATCCGTTTCACCTCTCCCAGCACCTTCTTCGTCTTCTCGAGTCCCGGCACTTTGACGCTCACGTCTGTCGCCGCGTCGAGAATCTTGCCGACGGCGCGTTTCGAACCGCCCGCGCCTTTTATCACTTTTTTCGCCGATCCAATGACTCCTCTGAATCCGCCGACGCCTTTCACCATCTTCGGCACGTTCTTCACCGCCTTCCAGATTTTGCCGGCCGTTTTCGCGAGTTTCGCCACGTTCATGACCGCCTTGACGGGATTCGTAAAGTCGACGAACGCGAGGGCGGTGTCGACGTAGCCGGCGATCTGCGCGACGCCCTCCAAAATCTCGCCGACTTTTCCCAGCGACGGGTGCGGTTTTCCGTCGTTGAGCGCCCCATCGGCGACGGTCACGCCGACGTGCATCGCCGAAATGGCGGTGGTGGCGGCGAGGGCGGTGAGTCCGGCGGGCGGGAACACGACGCACGCGATCAGCGAGCCGATGAATCCGACCGACTTGAGCGCCGTCAGCACCGGACTGATGATGTCGAGGACCATGCGCGCGAGGCTCACGACCGCCTTTATTCCCTCCCAGATCCACCACCAGAATCCTGCAAAAAAAAAGATCCCCTGGTACCTCTAACTGGATCCCGTTCGCTCACTCTTATGCCTCGGCCTATAAACCGCCAATCCCTCTCCACGTGGTCCCTGGCTGTCCGGTCTCCAAACTGCCGGCAACGTCGTTTCGCGTCCCGTTGCATCTGTAATCGGGATCTACAACGTTGTGTCCAAACCAGAGATGTTGGGAATAAAAATTTTACTCTACGGAACACGGAACACGGAAAACGGAAAAAACTTATTTCTACGGAACACGGAACACGGAAATTTTTTTTTACGGAACACGGAACACGGAAAAAATATTGCAATAAAACGCGGAACACGGAACACGGAACACGGAACACGGAATTCCCAACATCTCTGGTCCAAACCGTTTTTCGGCTCACCTAGACCTTTTTCCGTCGCCTCGCTCATTTCATAGCTATACGCGTACGGTTGACTATCATTTGTGTACAAAAATGAGTCTAAAATCGCAAAAACACCGTTTTTCCGCTCATTTTCAAACGCCTACACTGTCGCGTGTAGTAAATCGGTACCAAGAACATCAGGAAGAGTGTCACCAAGTAGCATACTGCAATTTTCGGCCAAATTTCGCACATTTCGCGCCAAACTCACGTCTCATTTTCTCAAAGTTTGTCTGAAGACGACAGTAGTGTGCAATACTTTGTCTCTAGCGACTTTTTGTGCTAAAACCGGTAAGGTCACGGTTCGAAAACATTGTTTTATACTGTGGATCAGGGGTGTGCGGAAAATATTTCGATTTTCCGAAATTTTCCGATTTTCCGAGAAATTTTCGGAAAATTTTCCGAAAATGTTCGGCAAAATTTTCGGAAAATGGTCAATGAGCAAGGATTCTTTGCCGTCACTTCACAGCTTCCACGGAAACTTTTTCTGTACTCCCGCAACGACTGCAGAAACGGAGCGACTCTTTTCAACCGCGCGTCTCATTCTCACTGACAATCGGAAAACACTGGACCCGGAGAGCTTCTCTCGGCTAATTTTTTTGCAAAAAAATATTCCATTGCTTGGCTTCCGCCCACTCAAGTGATTTCAAATCATAATAAGCATTTTTTTTTGTATTAAAACGTTGTTTAAACACTTTATTGAACCAATGAACAAGTGAGTTTTCCGATTTTTTTCCGATTTTTTTCCGAAATTTTCCGAAAAAAATTCGGAAAAACCCGATTTTCCGAAATTTTTCCGAAAAAAATTCGGAAAACCCGATTTTCTGAAATTTTCCGAAAAAAATTCGGAAAAACCCGATTTTCCGAAATTTTCCGAAAAAAATATTCGGAAAAACCCGATTTTCCGAAATTTTCCGAAAAAAATATTCGGAAAACCTGATTTTCCGAAATTTTCCGAAAAAAAAATTCGGAAAACCCGATTTTCCGAAATTTTCCGAAAAAAAAAATTCGGAAAAACCGATTTTCCGAAATTTTCCGAAAAAATTCGGAAAACCCGATTTTCCGAAATTTTCCGAAAAAAATTCGGAAAAACCGATTTTCCGAAATTTTCCGAAAAAAAAATTCGGAAAACCCGATTTTCCGAAATTTTCCGAAAAAAATTTTCCGCACACCCCTGCTGTGGATCAACAAAAAACACACAAGACAAAAGTCGAGTGGCTGAAAATTTGCGGTCCGATTCCGAGAAAAACTTCCGTATTCCGTATTCCGTATTCCGTATTCCCTCGAATCGAAACGGTTCGTTTGCCCTCCATTTCCGTCCTCAAATCGCTCTCAAAACCGCTTCCGTCGCTTATCTCGTTTGTTCCATCAAATGAGAGCGATTCCGATCCACATTTTCACCTATTTCGTCGCCGAATCACCCCCCGAAAAATCGTCTCCAACACCACTTTTTCTCTCTCTCGTCTACCTACTCGCAACAAAGATGACGTGGCAATAGAGGACGAGAAAAAAGAATGGAGCCAAAATCGTTAATTCTGCTCGCACTGATCCTATTCCGACTCGGACACATTATGCGAAACGAAAAGAGGACGTGGCTCGTCGAGCATGAGGCCAGGTACGTGTTTTTTTTTCAATAAAAATGGCGATATTGTGCACACTTGCAGAAAGTTCAAACACCACCACAACACGTCGCTTTTTCTGACGCTACAATCGAGCGGTCCCGAAATGGTTCGTTCGTTTTTGTTTGCGATTACTGTAGACGAGCCACGTAACCCCAGCATTGCAATGCGCAAGCAAGTTGTCAATGGGGCGCGCTTGCATCCACCGTCGGCTCGGAGTTTCTTTTTTCAATTGAAACCCAGAATTCTTTCGTTTTTCTCTTAATAAACACTCAAATTTTGTTCTTTGCGAACCGTAGGGCGATTGTCAGAGTTAAAAGCATCGATTTAAGCGCGAAACGGAGCAGATTCGTTCAGAATTGACCAAATTGAGGGATTTTGTCGAAAACTACTGAAAAAAACCGAGTTTTAACGATTATTTGCCGAATCGAGTTCGGACACTGGCATTCGAACCGTCTCCAGTCAACAAGCAGTTTATTGCGCATCTTTTAAGCGCTCAACCGTCGAAAAATATACAGAATTGAGATAATTGAGGCAAATTTTCGATTCCAAAAGGAAAACAATTCTGTAATTTTCACATAAAACGTTTCGAAATTGATGACGAAGCGGTTAAAATTTCATTTTTTATTCATTTCCAATCATTATCATAAGTTTTGACACTGATCGGTTCTGAAAAGATGGGAATAATGCAAAAAAAGGGAAAATTGAAATGAGAAATTCTACAACGACGCTCCGAAATTACGCGTTACGCGCCTTGTTTAGCGCACCTGAATTGCGCCAAGGGAATTTTTTATTGGGAAGGCTGGGGTTCCGTGCGAGCGTGACCTCGATTTCAGACGAGTTTGTGTCTGAAAGGATGGTGTGACACGGCCGACGACGTCTTCGTAATACCGTATCAGTACGTGAATTGGCGTTTGAAACACACCGAACAGTGGATTATTCAGCATTTTTCGTGAGTCGACTTTGAACGGGTATTGTAGAGTTCTAGAAAGACGCGGGGGTTCCCAAAAATGTTTTTGTCAAATCTCGACGTCTAGTACTGCGTTTTTGTAGTTGACAACTTTTTGACTGTGGTCCCTGGAAGTTGGTCAAACTTCAAAGAGCTACAGTAGGCTTAGAAGTGGTTGCGCAAAAAAGTGGTCAAGAACAAAAGTCTAGTACACAAGATTTAGAATATTTTCACAGTTGACACTTTTTCTGTACAACCACTTCCTGGAGTGCTGTAGCTGTTCAAAGTTGGGCCAAGCTTGAAGTCTAGTGCCAACTTCCAGGGACCACAGTACTCCGGGCAGTGGTCCTATCAAAAAGTTGTCAACTACAAAAACACAGTACTAGACGTCAAGATTACCCGAAAAACTTTTTGAGAACACGACGACATCATAGAAGCCTACAATACTCGTTCAATCCATTTCCAGAAAAATGCTCTATCACGCGAAACGTCTGCCCCAACAGGCCCAATGGTACATGTTCGCTTTCGACAATAATTATATATTTGTTGAAAAATTGATAAACGAATTGGGCGTTTTTGATCCACATCTTCCGATTTACACAATTTTACGCGATTTCAAAGCTGACGTAAGTTTCTGTGACGATTTTTTGCGTCAAAGTCGATATTTTTGCAGTTTTCCCACAAGCCCGTCCTCGTTTTTTCTCGTTTCGCTCTCAATTCGTTTTGGGATCAAGCCGGCGAAAAATGCGATTTCAATATTGAAAATGTCGAGGGTAATCGAATGAACTTTTGACCCAGTTGCAGTGATCCGATCGGGTCCAAACTTTGCAGACCACTTGGCCTTGGGTTGAAGTATATTGGGTCCAAGTTTCAGACCGATCCGATCATCCGGTCCCGAGATATGTGGCTCCGCAATCGCAAACCAGTATATCTCGGGACCGGATGATCCAATCGATCTCAAACTTGGCCCACGGATACTCCAATCCAAGTCCTAGAAGCCTGCATACTGTTGGTCCCAATCGGATCACTGCAAATCGGTCAAAAGTCCTTTACTTTTTTCAATTTTAGACTGGCTAACCTCTTGTATGTCCGTGCCGCCGATGAAAATGTCTGTGGACAGGAACAATAAGAGCAGGTAGCCTCCATTTTTCGAGACAATTTGTCAGTGTCTACAATTTTTCAGAATTTTCGCAATAAAACGTCATTTCGAAGTGGACGAACTGTACAAAATGCCGATTGGATATCACGACGATAAAGAGGCGAGTTTTCGGATGGGAAAGAAAGCACGTTGCCCTCAAAACTAGCGCATTTTTCAGTACATCCACTCGCACAGTTCTTCGCTATTGTCGTTCACAAACTTGTCGACGTCCGATCTGAAATTGCTGCCAATTTTCGTGGAAAAAGTGATTGGGGGCAGCAGCAGGGCGGAAAATGCGAAAAATATGCGAATAAATAAATGAATTGCACACAGTGACACGATTCATTTTACAATCGAGGGACGAAGGGACGGAAAAGGCGACGAGATGTTTACAATTAAATTCAAAAAGAAGGGTGAAAAAAAAGCGAAAATCGATCAGAAAATTAGTGAAGGATGGGGTGGATTTGATATTTTTGAAAATATCACGAAAAAAAGAAGTGAGATTTAGTTAAAATCACAAGGAGGTTAATTCAAATGTTTCTCTACGAAAGAGTGATAATTCGGTCGGCGATTCGGCGATCGAGTCCCGATTCGCGCGGATCCGTGATCAGAAGCGCGTCTTCGAGGATCTTGATCGTCAGTCCTTGCTGCTCCACCTTCAGATCCGACCACTCCTGCAAATCTGACTTTTTAGAGATGTATTTAAGATAGGGGAATGAGTACCTGACTCTCGAGGCAGTCTTTGCTATTGTCGGCGAAAAAGTTGAGGAGCGTGCCGTAGGTCTCGTGAAGACGCAGTTGGGCGGCCATTCCGATCCGCGACACCACGTTCTCCTTCGTGATGTTCGTGTTCAGAATGTCGGCGATGTCGCGCACCAACGACGAGATCATCAGTCTGCAAAATATGGAATGTTTTCGGAAGCATTTCGATTCTTGTGTGTTCGCCAAACTCTTTCAATTTTCCTTCAAAATTTCATTCTTCTTACCACATAAGAATTTGTATTTCTCCAGGCGAGGGTTGGGCAAAAGGCAATAATCCGATCGGGCCCAAACTTTGCAGGCTTCCTGGACTTTGTTTGAAGTTTATTGGGTCCAAGTTTCAGGCCGATCCGATCACATGGTCCCGAGATATGCACAGTTTTTGCAAAAACCAGGCCTCCACATATCTCCGGACCGGATGATCCGATGGGTCTGAAACTTGGCCCCCGAATACTTCAATCCAAGTCCTAGAAGCCTGCAAAGTTTGAACCCGATCGGATTGTTCCAAGTAGGTCAAAAGTTCAAGCCATCTAAAACTTTGGGCCGAAATTTGCCCACGCCTGCTCCAATTCTCTTTTCCCACCAAAACCTAGACACTTCCGCGTACCTATCGACGGCACAAATGAGCTCCGACGTGAGATGATGCTCCTCGAGCGGCACGTGCTCCGTTCTGTCCGTATAAATGTGGTTGAGCACAATCTCGATGGTCTCGGCGGACATGTCCTCGAAAGTGACCGTCTTCTCCTGGTACTCCTTGGTGCCTTTGTTGCGCAGGAGCGCTTTGAAGTACTCGGAACGCGAGGAGAGCACGCACATGTGCACCGCGAATTCGCGGCCGTCCGACGAGACGACGGTGAAGTCGGAGAACTCGCCCGACGAGAGCAGCTCCAGGAAGCCGTCTGCAAAATTAAATTCATTTTCCATGGATTTGAAAACGATTTCTACAAACTAGGGAATGTGTCGTTACAGCTCTGTGTTAAGTAGCATTTTCATTCCGCCCCGTTTTTTTACGTAGCGAGTTCTATTCTGTTGTAGTGTTTTAGAATCACGTGTGTTTTCATTTCCCATTGAGCAATTTTGTTCTAAATTGGCAATTGTCAAAAGTGCGTCGGACCCGAACTTTGATTGAAATGTTTTGAGACAAAATCATTTGAACTGAAGCAGCGCAACGGCGGAGTGTCGTTGGGAACGCACTCCTGCCGCCAATTCTTGGCCAGGACCACCGTTTCTTTTTCTCTCCACTGTCTTCCCATTCTAATGTTTTTAAGAGCCAAGAGACCTTTACAAAAGTCTCGAAGTCTTCCCCAAAGGTCTATGCACAGAGTGTCGTTGAAAACCAAAGTAAGTGAATACGTTCAAAAACGCCGTGCTCACCGCCGCACTCCGGGTCGATCTGATCGACGGGCAGGCTGTGAATGGAGCTGTTCGACGAAGATTGTCCGTTTGCAGAAAAGGAGGCACGGAGCAAACTCGCGTTTCCTCTCGAGTACGGCGACAATTTGGTCGTCATCGTGACGGGCTCCGCGTAAATCGTCAGATCGCAGCCGATTGTGAGCACGTCGTTCGGAATGTACACCGATGGCGCCGTCTGCAAACAAAATGGTGAGAATTGAGAAAAAACGAGACTTTTTTCATAAATCTACTTTCCGCTAAAAACGTAGAAAGACTACCGTACTTTGAGAATGTCGAGCGAGAAGAACTTCGAGGCGGTCACAATTCCGCTCCGATTGATCGTCACCAGATTTTTGTTGAGATGGCAGCTGCGCGGACCGTCCGCCGTTTCGACGGTGAACGAGACGCGGAAGCGTAGGCGGGGATTCGGACATTCTGGAAAAGGTTTGGGTTTCTAGGCCATCTAGGAGGAAACGTTAGGTATTTTTGGTCTAATGTTTAGGATATCCCCCCGCGTACTGTTTATAAGCAGAAAAAGCGAAAGATAGCCGGCCGTATCCTCGTCTTTTCCGTTCGGAAACAGTTTCATCACAAACTCGTAGTCGGCGTCGCCGAATTTTCTGTAAAATTGCCAATTTTTTTGAAATTCCAACATTTTTTGAGCCAACTCACGGCGCCATCATGAATTCCGATGGGGTGTGAAGCTCCAGCTGCACGGAAAAGTTCTCGACGGACCAGAAATTCGAGAAACTTCTCTGATTCATTCTCGTGGAGCATCGCGTGACGTTGACCGCCGATCGGCGCGTTCTGCGCGATTTTGGCGATGACCTAGAATAGAAGGGTTTTCGAGCTTTTTTTTTAGAAAAAATAGAGGGGAATACCTGTTATGTTCGTCTTGTACGTTTCCGGCGCCCGCATTGTCGACATCCATTTTGAAGTTGCAATTTCAAGTGAAAATCTGGAAATTTCAACGCTTTTCGCTGTTTTGTAATGAATCACAATCAAGAAAAATATTTGAAGAAGGAAACGCATTTTTTTTTATTTTCAGCAAAAAATTCATTCAACTTTTCCATTTCTCAATGAAATTTGCTCGTTTTTAGCTCAAAATGAGCGCAACTCTCAGTTTCACGAGTATACAACATTACGTCAAGAAAATCGTCCCGAATTCGGGCAATTTCCGGCTGAAAACTTGAACTTTTGAAATTCGCTTGCAAAATAGTGATAAGCCGGGCCCGTTAGGCCACGTCACGTTTAAAACTTTTAGTCACAGTCTTTTTTGAGATTGTTTCAGTGAAATTTCAGCAAAAAATGACGAAAAACGAGTGAAAACTGACTTGGAACTGAGAAAATTTGAAAAAGAGAAATTCGATTTCACCGCCCAACGACACTCCGAAATTCCGGGCGCTCCGAGTTTAGCGAGCACTTTTCGAATGATCTTTTTGAATTTTAGTCCAACTTTCCCCCGCTTCTTCACTTATTTCCCGCTCAATTTTCGTTGTTGTCCTCGCAAAAATGTTCTAGAAAAGCCTATTCTCGTTTTTCAGTGCAAAATGCCGCGCGACGACCCGATTACCGAGGAGGAGCGACGCGCAAACTCGGCGACCGATCTGATCCGAATGCGGTTGGAAAGATTGCAGCAGAATATTGTATGATTAATTCAATTTATGCTGTAAACTCTATTTTTCTCAATTACAGGACAAACCGGCGCCGATTCCGACAAAGAAAGAGACGTTGCGCGCGCCGAAAGCGCCGTTGGAATTCGTGCGAAACGTTGTCGGATCTTCTGCGGCCGCCGGAAGTGCCGAATTTCACATTTACAGGTTGGCGAGCAAAAAATATAGATTCTGGAATCTTTTCTCGATTTTTTTCATTAAAATAGCTCACAAATTGCAAAAACTAGCCAAAAATTCAAATTCCAGAAACAATCGCCGAAAAGAGCAGAATCGTCTGGATTACATCGATGCGGTGGCGAAAAAAGAGGAGCTCGACGAGGCGTTCCGCCGAAAAGTCGACAAAAAACAGCAGGAAGAGGAGGAGAAAACGGCGAAAAAACGTCAGAAACGACTGAGACAGAAGGCGGCGGCGAAGAAGAGGAAGATGGCGAAAAAAGCGGACAATTCTGATAGTTTGTCGATTTTTTCTGGGATTTTGTGAGAACACTGCAATTTTCAGGCTCAACGTCTGACAATTCCGATTCGGACAGTGAGACGAGTGGAGCGGATGCGGAATCGACTGAAAAACCGGAGGAGAATGCTGAAAAAAGCGAAGAGACCGCCTAAATTACAATTCAGACATTTTTCCGCTCATTGTACATTTTCTGAATTAATCACCATGTTTTTCGCTTTGAAAACTTCCCTTTATTCGATTTGTGTACTGGTTCTTATCCGATTTTACATCTAATTTTATTGTATTTGTCAAAGTTGTCTAGGATTTCAGTTGAGAATGCCGTCCCTGTGGGCGCAAATAACCGGTCCCCGGCTCTACGGAGTATTCGGAGAACCCCAAAGACAGGAATCGACGCTGGAAAGCCTGGGAAACACTGCCATTTCTTTTTCTTCAGGTAGAAATTGTTTTTGCAGTTTAAAAAAGATGTATCAGCGATTGTGAGTTTGAAAAATCCAAAGACACGCCTCAAAAATCGTTTATAAATTCAAAAAGTTGTTTGTTTTCCAGGAATCTACTATGTGGCGAGCTCTCTGGCGTTCGGACCCGTTATTCTGTGCTATTTGTACAGTAGAGACTGGCTGACACCCGCCGGAATGATCATTTTGCTCAGATACGCCAGTTACTTGACGCTCATCGGCTATGGAGCCAGGTAACAGCGGAAAATGCAATTTTTTGCCTTTAAAATCTTCAATTCTATCGACAATAGCCAATTTTCCCAGTTTTCAGAACATTTGGACGTTTCTTCGACGAGAAAAATTCGCAATTTTTGGATGTTTGGGAAAAAGAGCATGATAAGGTTTGTGTGAAATTTTACTACGGCCCGGCCCGGCCCGTGACCAGTATCAGGCCTGGGCGAGCGATTCGGTTCACGCTGATTGAGAAATTGCTTTCTGGGCCATAAGGTACATAAGTGCGGACCTTAGTTGGAAAACAAAACAGGAAACAGTTTCGCTCTTTTGTCTCTGCATGTTCGCACGCAAATCGCTTCCTTCTCCAAACCAAAAAATGCGGAAAACCCTTCAGAAAGTCGAGAACAACCACGTGGCGCTGAAAAAGTACGACTTCGAGTTGGTGAAGGTGTCGCCCGACTTTGTGGCGCGTCCGAATCCGGAACTGTGGCACCTGGAGCCGGTAGCGTCGGAATCGAATGTGTTGACACGTGGATTGGCGAGCTGGGCGGTGCACGCATTCGGCCGCCACCTCATCTACCCGGGATCGATGGCTTTGCTCAAGTTTATGATGAGATCCAGCCTCAATTCGGCCAGAAAACTCATGGTTCAGGCCAAGGTGGGCGGGGCGAATTTAGACGAACAATTCTTATGGCAACATTTGCAACAACTCAATTTTAGGACGGAAAGCGAATTTGGATAAAGACGGCGGAAGGCGACCTGATCGACGCGATGTTTCTGAAGGGAAATGCGAATTTGTCGCAGACTTTGGTCATTTGTTTCGAGGGAAACGCCGGTTTCTACGAAGTTGGCGTCATGAATTCGCCCGCACAGTTGGGCTATTCGGTATGCCACTTTTTTGCAATATTTAATACAAAATTGTATTTTTGCACCTTTCAGACGCTCGGCTTCAACATTCCCGGGTTCGGCGAGAGTTCGGGCCTTCCGTACGCGAAAAACACGTTGGCGGCGGCGGACGCGGTGTTCCAGTACGCGGTGCAGGAACTACGGTACCGGCCCGAACAGATTGTGCTCTTCGGATGGTCCATTGGCGGATTCCCGACCTCGTGGCTCGCTGCCAACTATCCCAGTACGCTTTTTGGGCGGAAATCTGGGGCCTTTTGCTCAGCCCTGGTTTAATCCCGAAATTTCTCAATTTCAGACGTGAAAGCCGTAATTCTGGACGCCACATTCGACGATCTGCTCCCGTTGGCCCAGTTCCGAATGCCTGCTGTTTGAATTTTCTGTTAAAAATGAGAAAATAATTCCGTTTTTTGCAGTTCTTCGGCTCCATCGTCGAGCACGCCATCAGAAATCACATGAATTTGCAAATTGATAAACTGGTAAAATTTTCTAGCGTTTATGAATGAAAGAGTGTGGAAAAAATGCAATTTTTCAGCTTCACCGCTACAAAGGACCGCTCCGTCTGATTCGACGTCTTCAAGAGGAGATTCTGACGACGGCGACGGACGAGCAGCCGGAAAATGTGCGTCGGCAGACGAATCGCATCAATTGGCTTCTCAAATCGGTCATTTTGTCGCGGCATCCGGAACTTATTCAGGGATTAGAACCACAGGTACAAACATTGTCTTTTATCATCGAGTCTTTTAATGAGCATTCTCGTTGAGGTGGACCGCTGGCTGGACATGACGCCGACGGAACGTCTGATGCACTCGGGAGTCAGTCTTCGTGAGGAATCGCAGCAAAGAAAGCGCCTTTTCGACGCGTGCACCCATTATTTGGTCGATTTCGACGCCAATCACGTCACTCCGTTGGATCCAAAGTACGTAAATTTGGGGAAACAATTGTGTGACTTCTCCGGACTATGACAGGTTGTCTAGTTGTTCTAGCTGTCTAAATTTCTTCTATGGGTCATATTCGTTCAGTTTCCACTCATTTGAACCCACTAGGATACCTGGCACGAGAACTAGATTCACTAATGTCCAGATTGCCGGAGTGTCCTTATGGCGCCGCAATCTAGACATTTCAGACTTTACCCGGACTGTAATAGGTTGTCAAGTTGCCTAAACTGTCTAAATTACTTCTATGGGTCATATTAGTTCAGTTTCGAATTCCAGTTTCCAATTTGGCAATACGAAAACATCACTAGTTTCTTTGCGAAAAAAGTTATTTAATTTCTCCAATTTTCAGCTATTTCAACATCCCGGAACTTCGTGAAATCTTCTAAAAATCTCCGTCCGCCTGCCTGAAAATTGGAAATCAATCGATAGAAAAAAATGTGTGCGATTCTAATAATAATTTATTCGTTTTTTTTGTTCCGCCAAAGCTCTACGCTTTAAAACTCGCGTCTTTGTGTGTAAATATTCCATTTTTGACTGTAGAAGAAAGGATAATTATTTATAGTCCCGCTTCCCCCATTATTTTGCGATTTTCTGTTTGCAAAAGGTTTGCGTAAACCTTTGAAATCTATGTCGTGCCTTCCCCAGCTTTTTCTCTGTAATTTCTCTCGCCTCCTTCTTTTCCGTGCAGATGTCGTTCGTGCTCGCATTCGGAAGCAACGTCTTCGTCGCGTCCGGCGACTTGCTCAGAACGTTTCGGCTCGGAGAAAACAATGTGCAGACGGTAGGATTTTCGAGTTGAAAGAACACTTGTTGTCCAGAAGAATGGCATTTTCTCGAAGTGTTTGCGCAAACATGTGATTTGTCCGTATTTTTCAGGCAGCCTTCACGTGGGACCAACTGGACATGGCCCGCTGTCACATTCCGGAGGGGACCACCGCAAAAGACCTGAAAAAGGTCGCCAAAAGAGTGGTAGGTGCTGGAGAACGCTCCAGAGTGATTCGGATTGAATACGTTCTTGAATGTTCAAAAATCGTTTCCAGATTCTGTGCGTGGCGCACTCGAACGTGACGCGCAACCGTCGTCTGGTGGCGCTCGGAACGAACGAGAAGCAGATTCACGTCATCGAGTATTTTGTCGATGCGAACGAGCAAATTGTGAAATGCGAGCACATTGTGACGAGTGTCGTGCCGAAAGCGCCCACTGCTCTCGCGTTTGACAGGGTACTTGTGAAGTTGATCATTAAGTGTCAATCTTTTTGGGATTTTTCTCGATTCCAGGCTTTATTTTTGCTAGAGGTCGGTCGAATCTCATTAGGATGCGTACTTTGCGAGATCTTTGGCGATCAGTTGGGTTTCTTGCCGGATGGGGACTTCCTTTCATCGACGGTCCTCCGACCGGTCATTTCGTGTCTCTCGGGATCCATTTCCGCTTCCGCGTGGTCTACCTGCCCATTATGTGTCCAGCCCATCCTAACTTTCTTTATGGGGCTATTCAGCGTATGTATTCCGGGTCACTCGGACTCTGTCGGCTAGTGACTTCGTACGAGAAAAAATCCGAAAAAGATTGAAACTTATTGATCAACCTCATGATATTCCTCCGAAAAAACGTCGAGTTTTCTGGCAAAACGTTCAATTCCTTCGCATTTATCTGATTTGAAATTTGCAGGAGGATGCGTACGTGATTGTGGGGGATCGTGCGGGAGACCTCGGCCGTTTCTCGGTGCTCGACGGAAAGTACCTGGAGCTGGCCGGGGCGATTTCGATGGTCCTCGATGTGACGTTCAGTCCGGACGGCCGCAAATTGATAATGGCCGACAGGGACGAGAAAGTTCGCTCGATCCGTTATCCTCATGTGAGTTGCCACTGACAATTGTCGGAACAAACGTGATTTTCTACCTCAAAGATGCTATTCGAACTCACTTTTTTTTTCAAAAAGCGTAAAAATTCGTGATAATAGAGGCAATTCGGAAGAATAGTAAAGGCGGGGGTTTGAGGTCCCGGGCGGGCCCTCAGTAGGGAAAAGGGACTCCCTACGATGAAGACAATGGTTTTGCGGCCGCTTCGACGCGCTTTAATACCGCTTTCGAGATGAAACACTCAAAAAGTAATGGAGAATGGAGAGACGCGGCGGAACAATACGTGGCGGGAACGCATACATTTGCATTTTTCATTGTTGCGAGCACATCAAATATTGGAAGTTTTTGTTGTGCAAACGCGGCGTTTTACGGACGCTTTTGGGCAAAATCAAAGCGGAAATTTTGACTGAAAAGGGCTCGAAGAGGAAAACGGAAAGGACGAGAAAGGGAGCACAACAGAAGCCCGAAAATTAACTGAAAAAATAGAGTTTTGTAGTGTTGTCTGAAAAATTCCAGAGATGGGCGCGGTGCGGGAACAAACAGGTTTTTGCTCGAAAGTTTCGAACACGTGTACGCAATTCCGCGTCTGAGTGCTGATGCAAAATTGCGTGCACAGGAACATGTTTGAAAGTTGTCGTCGCGTCGCCAATCGGCGCTCATCCCTGCATGGTTTTAGTGCACGACACCTTTAGAGAATAGAATTTTACAAAATGCTTAACTGAACAACTGAGAAAAGTGCTAAAAGTTGGCCAGGTTATTCAGACGCACGTCATCGACAACTTCTGCCTCAGACACAGCGACTACGTGAAAACGTTGGCTGTGCAGAACAACGATCACGTTTGGAGTGCCGGTGAGTTCCTTAAAAAACTTCTTTTCTCAATTTGCTTGGTTGTTCGCGATTTTGTTGCTGTAAATCACGAAATTGCCGGCCGCGGCTTTTTTGCGGCCCACTTCCGATCGGGCCGCAAAAAAGCCGCGTCCGGCAAATGCCCAGCTCTGTGATTTGCCCAGAAAAACTCGTATTTGTTTGCATTTTCAACATTTCCAGGAGGCGACAAGCTGCTGCACAAATGGCAAGTTCTGGACGGTGTCAACCCGCTGATCACTGTCGATTTGAACGCGTTCCAGAAGCCGATTCGCAAACTCGCTTTCAACGTCGCATTCCAGGTGGGAAACGGGGCGAAATGCTCGAAAAATTACATTTTTGACTTGATGATCCAATTGCTTTCAAACAATCGGTTTTGCAGAAACTGATTGTGCTTCTCGAGAAATCCGACCAGATTCTGATTGTCAACGCGGAAAACACGACGGATCCGGACTATACTCGCACTACCGTCGGAAACGAGTCGGAATTTCTGGACGCCGTCTCTGTCGGAAACTTTTTCGTCCTCTTGGGAAGGTACATTTGTCCGCTCTCCTCGGAAGTTTGGCGAGAAATGAGTCAAAAGTCACAGGGCTGGGCAAATTGCGGCCCAGGCTTTTTTGACCCACTTGCAGTAATTTGATCGGGCCCAAACTTTGCAGGCTTAGATCAGAGGCCGAAAATGCTGCAATTTTTGCAAAAACCTGGCCTTTTCGGCCTCCGATCCACATATCTCGGGACCGGATGATCCGATCGGTCTGAAACTTGAACCCAATATACTTCAATCAAAGTCTCTGCAAAGTATGGGCGCGATCCGATTCTTGCAATTGAGTCAAAATTCCAGGCCTCAAAAGACTGCGCCGGCCTTTTGCCCGCCCCTAGTTTTTTACTTTGTGTAATTTATCATTTTCTTTGCTCGTATCCCTTTTGTAAAGAAAAGTCTGGCTCAAAAGTGTGCTCCAAGTGGTGGAGACGCAGAAGAAGTGATCGTTATCCGATGGGACGGAACAAATTGATGAGAAATGGAGGGACCGCGTGATTCGGTCTCCTCCGATCGGATTGAACGAATGTGCTCTTTGATGAGCTAGAAAACATGCGAATCATGGGGAAAACATTTTTTTTCTTGTTAACAAGTGGAAAGTTAGGGCACAACTGTGAAGTTCCCAATGAAAATGATCGCCGAACTGTTCAGATTTCCAAATTCAATTTGCAGACACTCTGTGAACGTGCTGGACCTGTCGACTTCGGCTCACCAGTCGGTTCCGCTCGACGCGGAGCTCCTGCAGTCGTTGGAAACCACGCTAGACGCGGTCGACAATCTGTACAAGAACGTCACGCACAACAACCAGGCCGAGTATGAAAAGAGAAAGGTTTGTCGCCCTAGAAAAATTGAATAATCCACTTGCAAGGATCCGATCGGGTCCAAACTGTGCAGGCTTATTGGACATGGATTGAAGTATACTGGGACCAAGTTTCAGACCGATCGGATCATCCGATCCCGAGATGTGTGAAAATTGGCCCAAAGCCCGAGCATTTCGGCCAAAATCGGGCAATTTTCACATATCTCGGGACCAGATGATCCGATCGGTCTGAAACTTGGTCCCAGTATACTTCAATCAATCAATTTTGCAGGCGGAAAAGTTTGACGCGATCGAGCAAAAGAAGAGAAGACTGAACGACGATGATCCGCGTTCGAGCCATTGAAAATCGATCGAATCCATCTAAAATATCCACTTTCACTTCCAATTACCCCCCAAATTTTGTTAAATTTGTTGTGTTTTCACACCTTCCCTCCTCAATCCACCTCGTTTTTCCTGTTGATTTCTAATTTCCATCCATCCGATTCGCCCCCTTCCCCCTCTGCGCGGTTTTCCCCCACTATTTTGACGGTATTTTTTCGAGCAATTGTTACATTGAAAATCGGTTTCATGTTTCGTAAGCATATTTACACGTGTGAACAAAATGACAAGGCGTTTGAACTGGGGGGGAAAATACTAGGAGGAATAAATTAGAAAAAGTGTAGGAAAAGTGAGTGGAGGAGAAGGGCCGAAACGGCGAAAATGTTGGCGGAATTTGAGGATTTTAGGTGGAGGGCGAGACGCTTTTGAGCCGTCGCTCGGCAGCAGAAACGCGAATTTCCATTGAGCAGTTGGGTGTGACTGAAACGTTTACGTGTATTAACATGTACTATTTTTTTTTCAGTTCACCAACCGTACTCTATCGGAATATCTGAGTCGAGCGCTGTTCGAGTTGCGGTTCTTACGATCCCGAGTGTCCATACTCCAGTATCTTGAAAATTTGAAAGGTACCACATTTTAAAATTAATTGCTGATGAAATCTGTGTACCTGACGAATTTCTGGGCGACAGAGCTCAGCTGATGATAGGATTTGCAGCCGCTGAACGCGTGCATTCCGAGAATCGAGCAAAGCCGCTCTTGCTGACAAAAACACGATTTGATGGTCCGATCCGTTCGGTACGCCTGGTCGTAGAACCTAGAAATTGCGGTTGTAAGTGTATTGTTTTTCAGTGGGCAATGACATTATTTTTCGAGTTACCTGATGTACTTGGACTCGCATCCCCCGCCACAATTGTACGGATTGCAGTCGCCGTCGATCGGCCCTTTGCACCAGTTCGACGAACTGTGCTCGTGTCGTTTTGGCTCACTGTAAATCAATGCTTTTGTCTCTCTTCTTAGAACCCCGATTTCTGGCTCGAAAATCGTGTAAAGCGAGAGCATCAAAAGTTATCACTTTCCGAGTGGGTTCTCACTCCCCGGCTTTACGAGCCTCCCCCTGGGAGCTCATTATGAGCCGCGACACTTGGGAGGCCATTCTCATTCGCAATGCCGTCAACCAGATGTCGTCCGCAGAGGGATAATATCGAAAACACATAAAAATGTTACATTTTTGCCTCTTCAAGCGGTCTGAACCCGCAAAAAAACGGCTATGACCCGTCTAGTACTTGATTGGGACGTTTTTCAACCAGCTATTCGAGCTTGTCGGTTGCGAAATGTCCCCTAGATGATTCTTGTAAGACAATTTCTGTGGTTTGCTCCCGAGACCGTGAGCACACATTATTTGAAAGTCTCGAAACTCTTATCAGGCGGCTGTAAAGTTTGATTGTTGCGATAGTATTTCTGCCGCATTCCTCCAATAACAATTGTCTTTTTTTGTTGTTGTTGCAGAGTTCAGGAAAACTACGCGTCTTTAATAAGCCTTGGAATGGAAGTGAAAGTGAAAGGACCTCAGCAAAAATCAGAGTCAATATCTAAGACCGTCAGGCAAAATCTAGGTACCTCCAGCAATGTCTTAGAAATTCTAAGAGCCTCTGTGAAAATCGACGGAATTCAGCGAAGTTATAGTAAAATTTAAAAAAAAGGACCGTCTTGAAGGTGTCAAGCGTGGCGCCTAAATCCATCAAAAGGAACCTGTTGACAAGTAGGCCTCCCCCAAGCAATCCATCAAACTCTTCTTACCTGACTGATAATAAACTGTTGGGCGAGTGATAATTGGTGGCGTTCACCGGCAAAGAGCACAGAAAAGTGACGAGAATGATGATGATGGGTCGCATAGTACTTGTATAATATCAGAATGATATCTCGGCGAGCTCCGGGGAGCCGCTTCTTCGATGACAACTGACACTGGTCAGAAACATTCCCCCTCACTCGCACTTGTCTGCGTCTCACCACCGCCACGAAAAGAGAAGCGGAAAGAAAACAATATTTTTGATGATGATGATGATGATAGAAGCACAATCAAAGCCACGCCCACTTTTCTCTTCAATTGATCGGAGAAGCAAGCGAAAAAACGGAAGAATTTTGATTTTTTTGTCTATGGTTCCGGGTATTGATTTTGCAGTAACCTGGAAAGTCTAAAAAAATCGCGGTGTAACATCCGGTCTATTTTCCGTTATTTTTCCGCCAATCTCCATTTAATCCGATCATCATTCCCTGTTTTTCGGCTGATAAAATTCTGAAGAATGATAAGGAGAAAAAGAAGGAATTTTCAATGAAAGCTGGAATAGTTTGGCCGGTATGTTTAGAATTTGGACGCATATTTCTTATCAGTGACGATTCAGCGCGAATGATTTCAATGGGGCGCACTTGCAACACGCGGGCTGTGTCGATTTACATGGCGGCCGATTAATTAATTTTCAACGGGAGGCCGCGTTCTTTCCATGTTTTCTGTACAATACACCTATTTTTTTGTACGCCTGGAACCTGGTTTCGAATAATTAGAGAGCACTAGCTACGTCTTGGTAGCAGAAATCTCACATATCGTTGAGAATTAGCCGAGTTATTTCGATTTGAAGGTTTTCGCCTGGATTTTGATGTTTTTCGAATAGTTTTCGAAAACTGCTATAGAAAACTAACCGCCGGAACCTGAATTTTGTGAAGAAAGATTCAGCGAACATTTTCATCGTTCGTTGGGCTCATGAAATGCAAAATGAGCTGAAATATAAAGGTTTGAAGTTTTGACGAAATGCGAAAAAGACGCTAAAAACATGAAAAACTCTAAATTCTGTAAAGAACGGTTTCCAATCAGTAAAATATTGTTTTCTAGACGTTTTTCAAGTCAAAAAGAAAGAAATAAAAGTCGTAAACTCGAATTGAACTGCATTTTCAGACCTGCAAATTTTCAAAAGTTACAACGACACTCCGCAATTTACGAGCGCACTATGCTTACTATTAGCATTAGCGCCCCCTGGGAGACCGTCTCACACAGACTTTCGAACAATTGTTAACAATTTTTTGAGATTTTGAACGGACGCTGATGATATGAAATGTCGTGGTATAAAATGACTTTGTTGGGTAACGTCGCGAAGTCAGAATTTGGACGAATCGACAAAAATAGAAGAAACAAGTTTCCGTGAATTGTTTACTGAACAATGCACGTCCAGGTACCGAAAAACGTCTGAAAGAATGCGCTGTCCAGTGAGCCTGACGCACAGTCTTTCACAACCATCAATTGTGTGTTTGGAATTGTGAAAAAACCGCTCAGGCCCACCGGAAAACGCGCATTTCGCGTCGTTTTTCGCAGCAAAATACCAGCAAATACTAGCGAAGACAATGGGAAAAAGTGTGAAAATCTGAGACGACCACATGCTTTTTATGCACTTTCAGTGGGAGAATTATGGCGAAATATGCATGTGATCGCGCCCACGCGGCATGGGAAATAAAACAAATGTGTGGGCGGCAGCGAGCAACGACATTATTTTGGAGGAAATCTGAAAGAAACTGGGAAAAAATGGCTCCACGACATTTCGCAACCGCGACGCTTCGTCTGCGCAGTTCTATTATGTTGGACCGCCGTTTTCACACAAAATTGGTTTTGAGAATATTCAATCACGTAAATACACGAATTTTGAGCGCTCAAACAACAGAACTTACCGAAAAGCAACTGAAATTAACGCACTATTAGCTAAATTGAGAAATTGAAAAAGCTTGCGCTTTCAAAATTCGTTTTGACTTATTCAATCGTTCAATCGAGGCACAAATGAGAATTTATCAGTTTTTCGTGGCTAATTCGGCAAAAAACACGAAAATTGGCTGTTAAAATATGGGTTTCGCCTCAAAATATCGTTTCATTTGGCCGGGCGCGTAGGCTCTGGAGACCGCGAAAACCAAAGGATTTCTGAAAGAATAGTGAGTAAAATAGTTGGCAAAACCGGGTGGCCGGCTATGTAAATTCACCCAAAAAGTCCCTCGCCCTCAAAACAAACTGTTTTCAGTTTGTCTGAAAATAGCGCATTTTTTGAGAAACATCAACGTCAGTCGGTGCCGTTGTTCAGTAGAATTCTTCGAATTTCTGCAAAACTACACTCTAAAACTAATTTCAGGTTTCTATAATAGTTTCTCTGAAAATAACGCTATTTTCATTGCCAATTTCCCATTTTTCACCTGCCAATTTTCATGCCGAGCGCTCTTTTCTCACAAAATTATCGCCTTCAGTTTTTTCAGTTTATCGTTGCGATTAGCTGATTTTTTAAAGATTTTTTCTTCTAAAACTCGACGGAAATGACGAGACATCGAAGAAAGTCGAAGGCGATGACACAATCAGGTGATTTTTTGGTTTTTTATTAAATTTTGGCATTGTTCGACGGCCATCAGTTGGAAATGTTGATAGACTGTCGTTTCATTTGACATTCTCTCTTTTTCCTTTATTTTCAGCACTGTTTTAGCCTGAAAATGCTGAAAATTCGGTGGAAATTGATAGGGGTCAGCAAGTGCGCTCCACCGCACTCGCCAACGAAACATTGTCTTTCAGATGTTTCCTTCCTCCTTTCTCAGCTAATTTTCCATTTTTTCTCGCTCAAAACTAGGTTTTTAGATAGAGAAAAATTTAGAGAATATTTTGAGTCACTTCATTGAGGCAATAGATTTTTCTCTAATTTTTTCCAATTTTTTCCAGACAAACACTCGAAATTTTCGTTTTATCAGCATTTTCAGCTATAAGATTAGACGACAAGCAGGATTTTGCAATATTTAAATTCGATTTAACAGAAATGTGACATAAAAGGTGTTTGCAATATCCTCGCAAAATTGCGCAAAATTTTTCTCTCTTTCCCCAAGAAAAAATGATGATGATGATGATGACGTGACAGGTTTCTCCAAGTATTCCACTCAATATCAGTAAAAACAGAAATCTGATTCCCTCAGCTTATTTCCGTCTGGCGGGCGAGGAGAACAGAAAACATATATCGGGCCGAGCGAGTGAATTTACCCATTGATCGTCATGGCAACGTGGCTTTTGTTTGGGCGGCTCGAGCTTATCTTTCGACGGCTATACACCTGCCTCCTCCGTCTTTTCCTTCTTCTTCTTCTCTCCGTCTTCGTCTTCTTCTGACGACGTCGACGAAGAATACGAATTTTCGAGTGACGGCAACGCCCACGAGAGGCACACCTCAGACCTTATCCTCCGAGGAATTCGTTTTCCGACTCTGACACGGCAATACTTCTCATATTCGAATATTCTGGAAGAGAGGAATCCACGTGGCAATCGAAACAAATTCTGAAGATTCTGAAGCCCCCATATCAGAAAGAATCTATTTTGATCGCAGTGTCAGAACAACGTTTCGTATCAAGAAAGAATCCAATTCTGCAGACGATATTATCGTTTTGGAGTATTGACGATTTGTGACATCAGAAAAGCTCGACATTTTTTCTGAGAAATTCTGTCCACATCATCATCCACATCATCATCATCATTTGACCGTCCCCCCGAAAATGACGTCATCATCATCGGCACTAGCGTTGGCAATTCCAGAATCGATGATTCTGTTCGACGTGCAACTCGAAGAGTGGGCCAAAAAATCGGCGAAAAACCACGAATTCGTGCAGTCGGAGAAGGCGATTCCGGCGTCCGCCTACTTTCTGCTCGGATCGTTTTGCTCGGACGGCGACATCCACGTGGCACACGCATCCAAATGTCCCGTACACGCAAGTGCTCTTGCCGAGGTTCGTCCCTTTCCATTTTTGCCAAAGTTTCGATTGAAAAATCACTGAATTTCGCCATTGTCCGTTTGCAGAATGCGTCGGAGAAGGAGAAGCTTCTGGAAGACGCGTGGATGTCGGACAACGCGGAACGGGTGCTCCGCATGCTGCCCGGCGGAATCCACGTCGTCGGCATCGCGTGGTTCTCCGACAAAAAGACGTTTTCCGAACGGAAATCGCACATTCACCGCACTCTGGGACGCATTCAGAAGATGAACAACCAGATCACACACTGCAATTTCGACGACTCCATCTCTGATAATATGGTACGCGTCGGCGCGCGATTTAAAAAAAAATAAGTATTTGCAGGTGACGGTGTTCTTCGAAACGGGCTCAACGGTGCCGGTCGGCTCGATCGTCGACGTGGCGAACCGCGGGAACGACGCGACGGCGAAAGTGCAGTTCCAGAAGCTCGAGTGGATCTCGCTGGTGACGAACGCCTCGGCGAGGATCGTGCACAACGTGCCGCTCACCGCCGGACGCACCGATTTCTACACCGAACTGACGTGCGCCACCAAGAATTTCGTCGGAAATCTGTTCCAGTGCAAACATGTGCGTCTCAGTGCATTTATTTTTTTTTCTCTCGAATCACAAACATTGCAGACACTTCTGGACGGCGAACTGCGTGACAACAAAGAGCCGCTCATAAAAGACATCAAAAAGAATAAGAAGACGACAATCGAGGCGCAAATCTTTTTGGATCCAATGTGTGAGTTGCTAGAGAGTTCTTCAACAACATTTCCGCTAAACACCATTTTTTTTCAGACAACCGCGAGCCGGGCGTATTTCACGATGTCTCACTGAACATGCACGAAATGCTCTTCGATATTGAGGTAATTCCATTCCATGCTTCCCGTTGCCTGAAAAGAAGCTGACAAAAAAGACGGGCGATTAGCGTGTGAGAAAGTAGAGACGCAGGCGCGAAACAACAACAACGAGACAAGTTTCGCGCCTGCGTCTCTTTCCTTTCTTTTAGCAAATTTTTCCGCAAGTAAGTGAGTTTTCAGGTTCGCGCGGCGGTTCCGATCCGTTCGACAGTGAAAGATGCGATTCGAGCGATCAAACAGCACCTGGTGCGCAATTTATTCGCCAGAATCGGTTAGTTTTGGGATGCAAATTGTTGAGGGCAAATGACGGTCCAGGCTTTTTGAAATCTGGACTTTTGACCCACTTGCAAGGATCCGGTCGGACCCTAACTTTGCAGACTTATTGGACTTGGATTGAAGTATATTGGGTTCAAGTTTCAGACTGATCGGATCCTGCGGTCCCGAGATATGTAGATGAGAGGCCGAAAAGGCCGGGTTGTTGCGGCTTTTTCGGCTTTAAGCCAGTATATCTCGGGACCAGATGATCCGATGGGTCTGAAACTCGGACCCAGCATACTTCTATCCTAGTCCAAGAAGCCTGCAAAGTTTTGGCCCGATCAGATTATTGCAATTGGGTCAAAAGTCCTTCGAAAAGCCGAGGCCGGCTTTTTGCCCAGCCCTGCAAAACTATGAAAAATTCAGAATTGCACTACGAGTCGATGGACGTGGTGGAGGAGCCGAAATCGGCGAAAAACGGAATAACGGTGCACCAGCTGCCCCGACCGGCCACGACGGTCCTCTACACGCATCCGGCCATTCTCCTCAACGACTTCCTCTTCGAGGCGGACAATGTCGAGGACGCGCAACAGAACTTTGACGATATGATGGATCTGCAGACGAGCATTGGTGAGGGATCAGGCGAAGAAGAACACGAATTCAAATAATCGGAATTTTTGCAGAGCACGTGGACGAGGGCTGGGAACGAGCGCTGACGCCTGAGGAGATGGAGCACATGCGCACGCCCATCGAAGACGTTCACTTTTTCGACGGCGAAATCGCGAACGACTCGTGGTGCTCCACAAAGACCCTCCTCATCACAATTGCCATCATCATTGGAATACTCGCCTCGATTATCTATTTGACCGTCGCGCATTCTTGATTGAATATTTATCTGCCAAAAAGAGATTGACTTTGCACAATTTCCGCTGTGATTGCACCCGTTTTATTGTAAACCCTGAGCATTAATGTATTTATTTCGGAAATTTGAGAAAGATGTGCCGTTTTTGTTTCCATTTCTCTTATTTTCCCCCCTGAAATCATCAATTAAACAGTGATTAGCGTGTGTGTGTGTGTGCCAAACTGTTTGGTTGTTGTTGTTTCGCGCCTGCGTCTCTGCTTTTTCACACGCTAATCGCTTTTCCCTCGCCGCCCATTTTTTTGTCAGCTTCTTCTCAGTCAATAGCTCGTCCAGACGTGATAGAGTCTTTGAAATGTTAGTACTGAAACAGAGCAGCATGGCCTGGATTTTTTTTTCAAATTCTTTCCTAGTCAGAAATCAAAACTGGTTCCGCGGCGCCCAATGTGTAAAGAAAGAAAAAAAAACGAGTTTTGAAGGTGCATATGATTTATCAACAATGTAAAATAGACATGGGGTCTTCTGGTTTCTCCGGTCATCCAAATGATCAAATTTCTTGATGACTTCGTGAGATGTATTTCGGAGCGGCACAGTCCAGCCGAATGAGAATTCCGAGGGTTAGTTGGCCAACGCGAGGTGCATGCAGTCAATCGATCGGTGTTCGTGTCGAAGTGCTTCAGAATTCTCTCGCTGGCTTGTTGTTTTTGAGAACAAGTTGAACACACATCTGAGTCGATATCATCTCCTTCTATTCTGATGAGCTGAGGCGCCGCGGCGATTACTTCGAATCAACCTGCAAAACATTGCGTGTATATACTTTTTTTTTGTGTTTTTCTAATGGGCTGTGAATGAAAATGATTGTTTTCCGTTTTGTTCGTTTTTTACGTCAAAAAATCCAATTCAACGAGGTAAAAAAACGAAAAAAAGGAAAACAAACATACGCTGAATAGCCCCATAATGGAGTTATTCAGGCTGTGAAAAATGACTTTTTTTCCGTTTTTTCCGTTTTTTTTCACGTCAAAAAATCCAATTCAGCGAGGTAAAAATACGAAAAAAAATGGAAGACAAACATACGCTGAATAGCGCCATAATGCAAAATAGTTAGAAAAATTCGTCAAACTCACTTCGGACTCATTTCGGTTCGATTTTACATATTGAGTGGAACCCTGGAAAACGAAGATTTCGAAAGAGTTTTGTAAAACTCAATGTGGTCCCGAATGGCAACAGAACGCCTAGCTAGCTCGCGAATTTTACGTGGTTACCATTATAACAAAAATTGAAGAAACTTACATTAAATTAAAGAAAATAGAAGAAAAAGGGGGTGTCCGGATGAACGCCCAACGGACAGAATGAGCAGAAAGTCGGTGTGTGTGTGTGTTATGGACCTGTTCTGTCAGCGTCTCCTGGGATCAAGTGATCTCTAGACCGCTACTGCTTTTCTCTGCTCCCCTTTCCTTTATCGATTGCGATTGTTCGTGGTAGGACCCGCCAGCGACGGACTTTCGAAATCATGTTTTTCGCGGTGATTCAAAACGCCGGTATCACGCCCCTGCGACACGAGATTCATGTAATGTTGTAGCAGAAATTGCCAAAGTGTCCGCACAGTTCGCAATGTTCTCACTCTCTTCATTTTATTAATTTCACTATCATAATCTATCAAAATTTGTCGTAAAGTTGCAGTATCCATTTAGTGAGACTCCGTTCAGATGGCTGTAAAGAACTGATGTTATAAAGTTACGTCGCTCTTCAAAACGTACAAAAATCGTGAAGGATTCTTGGTTTTCGGTGTGAGACGCTTAACCTGAAGTTTGAAGGTTTACACCAGAGATGTTGGGAATAAAAATTTTACTCTACGGAACACGGAACACGGAAAACGGAAAAAACTTATTTCTACGGAACACGGAACACGGAACACGGAAATTTTTTTTTTACGGAACACGGAACACGGAAATTTTTTTTTTTACGGAACACGGAAAAAAGCGTTTTCAAGAGAATTCCAGTGATTTTTTAAAAAATAATGTTTTGTTTAATTCGATTATCTGACTGACAAGGCAGCTGTTTGACTCATGTGAAAGTTTTACTGAAAATTTCATAAAAATAACAAAACCAACAACACAACAGTAAACAACTACAGTAAAAAAACGACTGAAAAAGGAATCCACTTGTGATCGAATTTTTCCGCGGAAAATATAGTTTATACGGAACACGGAACACGGAAAACGGAAAAAACTTATTTCTACGGAACACGGAAAAAATATTGAAAAAAACGCGGAACACGGAACACGGAACACGGTATTCCCAACATCTCTGGTTTACACAAGAAAACAGGGTTTCTGAAGCACTCAAATGGCTCTACCGGCACTGGACTCGATTTTCTTAGACCCCGTAATCAGAAAGTGACTCACATTTTGTACAATTTTCAGATCAAGTTCAGCATTGAGTGGAATAGTTGAAGTAATTAGAAAGAATAGCGGAAACGGCAGAGGAGAGATCCCGAGTGGGGTCAAGTACACTCTACCGCGAGTCTTGTAGACCTGTCTGAAATTAAAAATCATTGTGTACATGCCATTGAGAAAGAATTTACCAATTTCAAAGCTAAAAGTTAGCAGATCAAACCAAGTAAACAGAATGATCTGGAAGACGCGTGGACACCCTTTTATGTGAATTATTCTCTGCCCATCCGATGGCTAATCATATCATAATAACGATTTCTGCGTCTCTCCTGTTCTCGTGCTCTTTTCTGCGCCTCCGATATTTTTGTTGTGCTCGCTGCGGATCCTTTATGGGTCCAAAAAGGAAGCATACGCCATTCTCATAAACATTTATTGTTTTAGCAACAAAAAAACAAATTACAATTCAATTGCAGTGTAGTGGTATTCTGTAGGGGGCGCAACAAAGGGGGCGTGGCCTGCCGAATTTTCTCCCCGGTCGCGCCCGCGCATGTTTGAGGGCCTGTACCGAGGTCCCCAAACCAAGTACTATATTCAAAATGTTTTACTTCATGTAATCGGCCATGCTGAATCAAATGAACAGCTCCGTTTTCCGTGAAAACGCACAGTTTTCTCAAAAAAAGGAGAAAACGAAAATGGAAGTTAGTCTGAGAGCCACTGTGGCCGGAGTTTGTGCAACACGCGGCTTCTGAGAAGTGATTCTGACAGTTTAAGAGATGGGGAATCCGTTTTTGAAATAAAATTCGAATTTCGTTCCGGCAAACATTGTTTTTCAGTTCGTCAAAGTGCCAAAAAAGTTAGCGAAAAATTTTCAGCGATGACCCCACTTTTTTATGTTTGGAATGCATAGATAAACTCTCTCAGAAGCCAAATATAAAATTTCAGAGCTCTAGACCCCCTAGGAGCATTTTTGTGTTCGATTGAGTAGGCCCCATTCGGCCGAATTTCTTGTTTTTCGATGATTTGAAGGTGGGAAACAGCCAACACGCGGCTTTTCTCCACGGAATCGGATTCAGCGTGAAATTCTCTACAAAATCCATCTATTTATTCAAAATTTCAGCCCGGCAAACATCTTCAAATTTTCACATTTTTGCGCTGAAATTCCGCAAAAGTCGCATCAAAAATGAATGGCGAACACCGAGCTTCTCATTGCCATTGGCGTTCGCCGCGCCTCCGCCCGGTTGGCGCAGTGGCAGAGTGCTCACTCGGCAGTCTGGAGGTGTCGGGTTCGAAACTTTTGATCTCGAAAGTTGTTTTGCTTTCTTAAAACATCAATTCTGTTCACTTAATATGTTGCCTCTTTGGTGTCTTCCACCAAACAGCGACACGAATCGCCTGCCAGCGAGACTCCGCCGTCTTCTCGGCCGCCGACCGGGGAGAAAACAGGGCAACTTTGAAGGGGTATAACTAGGGACCGCAACGGGTTTCGCAAAACTCCGAATTTCCACAAAATTCTTGTTGGAATGTGTTCCCCTACTCTATATGAGTACGCTCCCAATTTTTTTTTCCAAAATTTTCGGTACATCCCGAGTTACACCCATTCAAAGTTGGCCTGTTTTCTCCCCGGTCGGCGGCAGAGGAGGGGGCGGAGTCTCGCCTGCAAGTCCGCCGCACGCGTTTTTCGCCTCTGTTTGGTGGCTGAAACCAAAGAGGCAACATATAAATTGAATAAAAAAGATGTTCTAAAAAAGCAAAACATCTTTCAAGGTCAAAAGTTTTGAACTCGACACCTCCAGACTGCCGAGTGAGCACTCTGCCACTGCGCCAAACGGGCGGGGGCGCGCCGACCACCAATGGCAATGAGAACGTCGGTTTGCGCGGCCCCCTTCTAGGTGTGACATCAGTGGTTTTGCACACACAAATCCAAAGCTGTAACTGTTTACAGTCACTTTAAAAAAAACGGAGAATTAGAAAATTGAAAATTTTAGCATGAATCGATCGGAAATCGGATGCTGAATCCGATTTTGAAAAAATTAGCCGCGTGTCAGGTACCTATGACGGCTAAATCCCCCGAAAACTGAAATTTCGGCGAAACCGGCTCCACTCAAATGAACACAAAAGTGCTCCCAGGGGGTCTAGGGCTCTGAAAATTTATATTTGAGTTCTCAGAGAGTTTATCTATAGATTCCGAAAATAAAAAAGTATGGTCATCGCTGAAATTTTTTCACAACTTTTTGTGCCAGTTTGAGGGCCTATAAAAAAAAACGGAGAAGACGACATCTGATTTTTATTTCAAAAACGGATTCCCCATCACTTAAACTGTAAATTAGCCAAAAATTAGCCGCGTGTTGCACAAACTCCGGCCACACGAGCTCTCAGACTGAGTTCCATTTTCGTTTTCGCCGTTTTTTAGAAAAACGGTGCGTTTTCACGGGAAACTGAGTTGTTCATTGGATTCAGCATGGTCGATTACATAAAGTAAATCAATTTGAGTATGGTACTTCATTTGTGGACCTCGGTACATGGCCTCAAACATGCGCGCGCGAAACTTGGGAGAAAATTCGGCAGGCCACGCCCCCTTTGTTGCGCCCCCTAGGTATAACTCGGGATTTACAGAAAATTTTTGAAAAAAAAATTGGGAGTATACTCATATAGAGTAGGGGAACACATTCCAACAAAAAATTTATGGAAATTCGGAGTTTTGCGAAACCCGTTGCGGTACCTATACGGTATTCTTAAAGAGTTCTCAACGGCCACCTTTCCTCGAATAACAGAATAATATAACAGAGTGAAGAGTTCCACAATAACATTTCAGTAACTATTCGGTGTTGCTGAAGGTTTTGATGCATTTAATTGAAACGCACCAAAAAGAAACATACCAAAATTACATTAGCTCCGCTGTCATTCACTTAGAGAACTGTAAATATATTGTTTTAGTGATGAAATTGATGTCTGAACTTACTGTGAACGAGTTTTTGATCAAAAATTAAAGAAAATAGGGGGAATAGGTGGGTTTCCGAGTGGAATCCCACAATAGCTGAATACAAGAAGCGAAAGAAAATAGGAGGGAAATGGAGGGGCGCCTGGGTGAGCGCCGAGGAAAAAGAATGAGCAGAAAGGTGATTGGAGAGGAGTGCGGCGATAATAACATTGTTTCTTATCTTGAGCATACACGATGGACGTCACTGATCACAATTTGGCACAAAACTGATTACTTATTCACAAAGGGGATCCGGAACAAGTATACTATACTGCTACACATAAAAATTCAACATGAAAGGGTACAATTTCATGTCAGAACTGTGATTTCATGTCAGAACATTCGGCGCGTCAGTTGCCTCACCCAAACTGGACCAGCTGAGACAGTGATCACCGGATCTGTGAAGAAGTAACTGAATTCGCAACTCTATGAACGTTTTTTCTTTAAAAAAAAATCTCCACCATTTTTTAAAATCTCCACCATTTTTTTAAAATCTCCACCATTTTTTTAACTCTCCACCATTTTTTAAAATCTCCACCATTTTTTTAAACTCTCCACCATTTTTTAAAATCTCCACCATTTTTTTAAACTCTCCACCATTTTTTTAAACTCTCCGCCATTTTTTAAAATCTCCACCATTTTTTTAAACTCTCCACCATTTTATTAAACTCTCCACCATTTTTTTAAAAATCTCCACCATTTTTTTAAAAATCTCCACCATTTTTTTAACTCTCCACCATTTTGTTAAACTCTCCACCATTTTATTAAACTCTCCACCATTTTTAAAAATCTCCACCATTTTTTAAAACTCTCCACCATTTTATTAAACTCTCCACCATTTTTTTAAAAATCTCCACCATTTTTTTAAAAATCTCCACCATTTTTTTTAAACTCTCCACCATTTTTTTAAAAAAATCTCCACCATTTTTTTAGACTCTCCACCATTTTTTTAAAAATCTCCACCATTTTTTTAGACTCTCCACCATTTTTTTAAAAATCTCCACCATTTTTTTAAACTCTCCACCAGTTTTTTTCAAACTCTCAACCATTTTTTTAAACTCTCCACCATTTTTTTAAAAATCTCCACCATTTTTTTAGACTCTCCACCATTTTTTTAAAAATCTCCACCATTTTTTTAAACTCTCCACCAGTTTTTTTCAAACTCTCAACCATTTTTTAAACTCTCCACCATTTTTTAAAATCTCCACCATTTTTTTTAGACTCTCCACCATTTTTTAAAATCTCCACCATTTTTTTTAAACTCTCCACCAGTTTTTCAAACTCTCAACCATTTTTTAAACTCTCCACCATTTTTTAAAATCTCCACCATTTTTTTAAAACTCTCCACCATTTTTTCAAACTCTCCACCATTTTTTTTAAACTCTCCACCATTTTTTTAAAAATCTCCACCATTTTTTTAGACTCTCCACCATTTTTTTAAAAATCTCCACCATTTTTTTAAACTCTCCACCATTTTTTTCAAACTCTCCACCATTTTTTTAAACTCTCCACCATTTTTTTAAAAATCTCCACCATTTTTTTAGACTCTCCACCATTTTTTTAAAAACTCTCCACCATTTTTTTAAAAATCTCCACCATTTTTTTAGACTCTCCACCATTTTTTTAAAAACTCTCCACCATTTTTTCAAACTCTCCACCATTTTTTAAACTCTCCACCATTTTTTAAAATCTCCACCATTTTTTTTAGACTCTCCACCATTTTTTAAAATCTCCACCATTTTTTTAAACTCTCCACCATTTTTTAAACTCTCCACCATTTTTTTAAATCTCCACCATTTTTTTAAACTCTCCACCATTTTTTTAGCTCTCCACCATTTTTTTAAATCTCCACCATTTTTTTAACTCTTCACCATTTGAAGTAGTCTAATTGTCTCTATTAAAGCGTGTTTAGATCGTGTCAGCAGGAGACTTTCACTTTCTGTCTAGAATTGGGTCGGTTTGTGAGCGAGAAATAGGTCGTTCGAATGTTGCCTTTTCTCTTCATTCCTTTATTTCAATCTGGTGGTTGTACATAGTAACTACACATATTGTATTACTATATTATAATAGAATCGACTATTATAAAACTAAAATATTTGACTATCGCTGTTCTCGATTCGCATTGATCTCCGTGCGTTAATTACATGTATTTCTCCTAAATACGCTTCATTTTTTAGACGAATCTATGTTGACTACACTCTTCATCTGTCTCTGCCTTGGGACCAATGCACACGCAGGTTTGTTAGTTAGAATATATGGTTGGAAAAAAAGCACATTTTTTGGCAATATGACGAAAGATGACCCTACAAGAGTAAATAATATTTACTTTTTAAATTTCTACTAAATATAAAGCTCGGTTAATAACGGAAGAACACGGAAGAATTTTTATCTTTTTTAGAAATTTTTTTCATGGAATGTGATCAACTGACGAAATGTATAGCAAAGCGAACTCTGTTCATAAAAAAATAATTGTAAATTTAGCTTTTCATACAAAAAAGTTATTCGAGTTGTTCCGTGAAAATGTCCTTCCGTCTTCCGTCTCGAATAACTTTTTTGTATGAAAAGCTAAATTTACAATTATTTTTTTATGAGCAGAGTTCACTTTGCTATACACTTTGTCAGTTGATCACATTTTATGAAAAAATTTTCTAAAAAAGATAAACATTCTTCCGTGTTCTTCTGTTGAGTTCTTCCGCTCAACTCTGTCGGTTATGTTTAAGCTAAAATAAGTACCAACACAAATTCAAAATTTTCAGATGATATCGACACCCGCGCTTCTTCGACCGCAATGTTAACTTCACCAATAGGCAGCAGCAGTCTCTCTTCTTCGGACTCGATCACTTTGTCCTCTTCACTGATTGACGTGAACGAAGAGCTAGCCAAGATTGCCACAACCTGCCTGACGCCGCAAGATTTCGAATTGCTGACTGGAAACGCTCTGAGATACCACCTAGTAGGAATGTTTATTCACGCTTTAATCGAACAAAGCGTGACGAGCATAGGTCTTGAAGAGTTACGAGCCGCACTCAAATTGTCCGCACTTCCACCCTGGAAACCACTGAATCGAACCGAACCAAGTGAGCATGAGCTGGCATCGGCAACTACAATCGAAGAGTACTACAATTTGAGGGAGCCGCGCTCGAAAATGAGAAGTCTTGATAGCCGATACTTTTTCGAGCATAACATTGATACCGCAATTAGATATTTAAACAAGCGGCTGCCCTCGATACAAACCATTTTCAAGAGAACATTTGAAGAAGTTTGTCCTTCTGCTCCACAAGTGTTGGATAAGAAATCAATTGATAGTATGATTGAACTGTTTCGCGCGACGGTTTCTAAAATTGACAAGGCAACTTCGAAGATGCTAATGAGAGATGATTGTTGGGATGTAATATGATCATTAGATAAATATAAAAATGATTATTTTTAAGTCTTTCAAACGGTTTAATTCCATGATTTTCTCTCTCTCTCTAACCACCCTTCTACTTTCCTTTACTCTGTGTGTCATGTTACAACAATAGCTTTGTCACGATGTGTTGTGCATTTGAATATTCATATATTTTAATATTAAAATTTATTTGTCATGTCTTGTTTCTGTAAAACGCGCCTTCTCTCCGGCACGGTTTCTTCTACTCTGACTCAGATACAACAAGCTGGATCGTACGTTATAAAGATATATTATAGAAAAGATTAAAGAGATATAAAAATGTTACAAAATAAGGGGGATAAAACTCATTTTTCCTGACGAGCACTTCGGGATCCTCGGGTCCAATATCTTCGTTATCTCCGACTTTTGCTTCCAGCCTGGGCGTAGCGCCGCTGGTGTTGCGGGATTGCTCATCCTGTGGTCGGACTGATTTTCGGAGTGCTTTTCGGAGTGCTCGTCCTTGGTACGAAGATGTGTGTTTCTTGACCAGTTGCTTGAAACGATGGGTTCTTCTCCGGCGCTTCTTCCGCTTCTCCAATTGGTATTTCACAGCCGGCCCGGCGCTTCTGAGCTTTCGGTCCGATGGCGTCCGATTCTTGATTCTTGCCCACAGCTTGTCTACTGGTGACGATGTGAAATCAAAAAAAGTGTCGATCGCTGCAAAGATTGCAATTGATTGAGAGAAAACGGAATGATTTCAAACTCACAGAGTTGTGTTGTCGTGTTTCTTTTTACATTTACAGCCGACATTGACTCTGAAAAAGAATCAAAGTGTTACTGCGTATTCGAGCCGAGATATATTAGCTGTTTGTAGAGATAAGAGATATCAAAAAGTGTTGTCAACTGATAAAATGTACACAATTTCTCAACGAATAACTTGTCAGTTGACACCTTTTTGTTATCTTTACACACAGCCGAGATATTTTCCTTTTTGAATGTTTACTTACTCGAGTCCTCGTGTTTTTTCGGAAAAATTCGTAAAAATCCATTGAAATCCAGAAAGAAAGAAATTAAAGAAAATAGGGGGGAAGAGGGGGGCGCCCGGGTGAGCGCCGAGGGACCGAATGAGCAAGGAGCACCGATTCCCGTCCCTTTTTCTCTTTTTCCCCTCCTCATTTCCGATACTTTCTCCTCTCTTTGTCTCCAATTTATTTGCACGTCCTCCTCGATCCATCCATCTTCTTTCCGACTTTCAACAGAGAATTGGGCACATGTGTCGTCTTTTCTCTCCGTTTGCGAAGAATCCTAGATCCTCATGGAATTCTTCTTTTGCCAATCCTCATGACGTTTCCTCACGCTCTACCCTCCAAGAACAACAACTTTCTGACGCTGAACGAGATTCCGGCGCCCATTTTCAAAACAGATTTATTCTAATCACACAATTCTTTTCTTTCTTTCCGACTTGGTAAATGTACACATTAAACCCCAACCAACAGGGTTGGGAGTTTGGAGTAAAAAATCGCGAGGCATCCATGGTGAGTTCAATATTCATGAATGAATATATCGGTGGGTATAAGAAAGGGGGCGGCGCTTATGAATAGACGAATCATAAATCAATTTTCTTTGTTTTCTTCAAGTTTGTCGAAATAGTGAATGTTTCACACGAAATGCCACAGCTTCAATGGGCACCACCATATCGCCGGAAAATAGATTCAAAAGCGAAGCGTTTGGATATCGAAGTGTAAAGTGGTAGTCAGTGTGCCTTACCGAAAGGGTTTCGGTAAATTTACCGGTAAGAATTTCGGTAAATTGTCGGTAAATTTTCGGAAAAACTTTTTTTTTACCGAAAGAGTTTCGGTAAATTTTCGAAACAATTTACCGAAAATTTTCCGGTAAATTTACCGATAAATTTACCGGTAAATTTACCGTTTCGGTAAATTTTATCGGTAAAAGTTTCGGTAAATTTTATCGGTAAATGGGTACTTTTTCGAAACAATTTTCAATTTTGAGAACGGAACTTTGAGGCGACTGTTCAGCGTGTTCCTGATGTTTGGGATGTTGTTCAGAATGTTCTAAATTGGTCACATCAGTCACTTCCCTTGTCAAAAAAAGAACGCCGGTTCCGCGCCTTTTCGGTATCGACGGCACCGCTCGGCGCCTCAATTTTTCTGTTTTCTTTTAACGAACAGTTTATTTTCGAATGAGGAACTTTGGGGACACATTAAATGCGAAACTCGTTGCATAGCATTATAAAAAAATTTAAAATTAAAAAATTTAAAACAAAAACAAAAAAATTATTTAAAAAAACAAAAAAATTGAAAACAAAAAAACATGTTTTAACATTTTTTTCCGCTCTCTAAATTGTTCTTTCGGTAATGGGCCTATTCAGGGGATGAAAAAATGATTGTTTTCCGTTTTTTTCCCTATTCAGCGATGTCAAAAAATGGAAAAAAACGGAAAGAAATGCATCGCTCGCAGCGTTTTTTTCCGGCGGGTCTCGCAGCGATTTCCCGGACGCGATGCATGCGGCTACTGTGAGAGACGTTTAATGAGTGGATTTACGAGAAGGGGAGGATTTTCGAAAATGTTACTGATTTTTCAGCGAAATTACAGCTTTCTTCAGCGAATTTCAGCAAAATTGGCACGTTTCCCCGCTATTTTGAACCGATTTTCACCAAAAGCTCAACGTTTTGAACGATATGACCAGGCACTCGAAACTATCCAAAAAAAAGAAAAATTTTAGTGGTAAAGATAAAAAATCCAGCATAATAAATGTAATAAATGTAAATTTGATTTTTTCCACTTCTTCTATCCGCGCTCTCCCGTTCAATAAGCGTCGGAGGGGGAACCTTCTCGGGATTCTCGTGCAACTCATCGTCGTCCATGTTTACCCTATAAAAACTTATTTCAAGCGAACTCAGTCGGAAACAGCGGTAAAACGTGGCAGATTCGAACGAGTTACAATCACGGCCTAAAAACGATAAAATTCAAGCGATATCGGTCGGAAATAGCGGTAAACTTGGCAATTTCGCATCAGTTACCATAACCGATAAATAAGAACTGAAATTCCGTTGAAAATCGGTTGAAAAAAGCGGTAAAACGTGGCAATTTCGCTGAAAAATTAGAAAAAAAACTCCTCCCCTTCTCGTAAATCCACTCATTAAACGCCACTTACAGTAGCCGCATGCATCGCGTCCGGGAAATCGCTGCGAGACCCGCCGGAAAAAAACGCTGCGAGCGATGCATTTCTTTCCGTTTTTTTCCATTTTTTGACATCGCTGAATAGGGAAAAAAACGGAAAACAATCATTTTTTCATCCCCTGAATAGGTCCATAATTGTCGAAAGGAACGATTTACCGGTAAATTTACCGGTAAATTTACCGAAACTCTTTCGGTAAAAACAGTTTTTACCGAAAGAGTTTCGGTAAATTTTCGAAACAATTAACCGAAAATTTACCGAAAATTTACCGAAATTCACTTCTTTCGGTAAAAAAAATTTCGGTAAGGCACACTAGTGGTAGTGGCGTTCGTAGAATTGTGCCAAAGATATCGTCCCTCCTTGGAACGGGACCATGAAATTCAGAGCAGAATGTTCTGTGGATACACCCCCGAATTTCGAGTGCGCTGCCACTGAATACATTCCAGACTGCGGTAATTCCACGCTTTTGAAGGAAACACCAGAAACGATTCTCGGTTCTCTATGGATAGAATGGAGTGGGACGTTTCGATTGTGTGCAATATGTAAAAAAGAATAATCAACTTCATAACGTGGAGGTGTGAGCCCAATGGGTGGATGGGGGAAAGGAATAAAAGAAGCAGTCTCAATGGTGCTCTGCAGGCCCCACATGTGTGTGAATGAATGAGTTTGGGGTGCGCGGCGACATCGAGCAAAGAAAAGTGTAACAAAATCGAAAACAATTAATCTTGCAGAAAGTCCATCAAGGAAACCAACCACTTCGATAGGAACCAATTCTTCATCCGCCAACCTTATCAAAGAGGCATTGGGGTATTGAAGAGTGTATTGATAGCGAGTTCTGTAGAAATCGGTCATTGTGACTGAATTGGAAAATATAGAAACCAACTTTGTGTTTGCTGAATCGTGTGTAGAAGTACCACGAATGGGTGCAACAAGATCACCAGTACAACGGTTCCAAATAGCGGTCACACAGTTAGAACTCAAAAAGTCCCAGAAGATAAAAGGCTTCTTACAGATAGCGTCGAGTGGGAATTTGTGCTTGATTGCGAGGTTTGTTAGCCCCTCATCGGGTTTCGCAACGAGCTGGACGAATCCAATTAGGCGGGTGAGGAAAATTGGAGGTGTCAAATATTCCCGCCGAATGCCAACACGGATCGTCCGGCTCGAAGAATGTTGGAGATCCTCGATTGATGTCTCCGTACTGCTTTCTGAAGTGGCGAACGTCGGAGTCGTGCGTGTTATTCGACATGATTTGGCGGAGTCTGAAAAAGTGACATCATTTTATTACACAAAATGTTTGAGGTCGGTGAAATCGCGGAGGCGAGAGGGCTGTTCACGCCGCAGACTCTCATGTATCCGACGATCCTGAACAAGTATAACATCAGGATCGCTGAAAATGGCCGCGACGGATGTGAGATAGCGACAGCTAATTTTTTGCGGCCAGAAGTATGGACAGGCCGGTGTTTGTAGACACAGAAGGTCTTTACAATCGCCGGACGGCCCTCGTCCAGATCGCGGACCCCCGACTCGAAATGTCTATTCCTATGGAGAATAGACAGAGAGACAGGAAAAAGATATGGAGACGTGGTGGATACCCTGCGTCGCCTCGCCAACTGCAGGACCATTGTGACGTTCGGATCGGAACCGACCCTCTCAAGACACAACATAGCGGCTCGTGATGTGCAGCGGAACCAGCAAAGCTTGTCGAAAGCAGTCGAAAACCGGTTCGGATCGGCCATCGTCCTGCACAAGACGGAGACGATGAGTGACTGGGGACGCTCTGTATTGCGTCCGGATCAGGGGTGTGCGGAAAATTTTTTTTAGGAAAATTTCGGAAAATCGGTTTTTCCGAATTTTTTTTTTCGGAAAATTTCGGAAAATCGGGTTTTCCGAATTTTTTTTTCGGAAAATTTCGGAAAAATCGGAAAAATCGGAAAAATCGGAAAACTCACTTGTTCATTGGTTCAATAAAGTGTTTAAACAACGTTCTAATACAAAAAAATGCTTATTATGATTTGAAATCACTTGAGTGGGCGGAAGCCAAGCAATGGAATATTTTTTTGCAAAAAAATTAGCCGAGAGAAGCTCTCCGGGTCCAGTGTTTTCCGATTGTCAGTGAGAATCAGGGGTGTGCTGAAAATATTTCGATTTTCCGAAATTTTCCGATTTTCCGAGAAATTTTCGGAAAAAAGACGCTCGCTGCTAGACCCTTCCAAAAATTTTGTGATGCGCCTTTAAAAAGCATACGGTGGTTTCGGACAAATTGACCTTGAATCCACACTAATTTTCCGAAAATTTTGCCGAACATTTTCGGAAAATTTTCCGAAAATTTCTCGGAAAATCGGAAAATTTCGGAAAAGCGAAATATTTTCCGCACACCCCTGGTCCGGATCAGGTGATTTATGCCGCAATGAATGCGGCCGTACTAGAGTATTTAGAGTAAGTCATAATTATCACTGATTGCCTCAACTAAAACTTTTTTAAGATGTGAGCTCGAATCAATCAATCAATCCACCAAGTCCATCACGTCGCATCACGCCGAACCGTTCGTTTTTTGTTCTCCTTTTCTACACAACGCTAACCATACCTTTTTGAAAATAAAGTCTTTACTCACAAAAAAGTAAACATTTAAATTAGTGTTTAAAAAGCCAACTCGGTCGGTGGGTGCTTGCAGCACTCTATTGTGTCAGAGTTCTGCACACAAAGTGTGCAGAAGATGTGGCCACACACTAAAAACAATATAAGTATATTCTAAAAATGAGGAAAACTAACCATTCTTGTGTGCGAAGCGCACAAAGTTGAGGCACTCCATGCACCTTTGCATTCTTCGCATTTTTGTCGCTATTGCGCACTTGTGTCAATTGAACCACGGAACGTTCCGTGGAAATCCGACGTACCGCTGCCACTTGGAATCGCGCCAGTCGGGTGCATGTGGCCATCAGGGATCTAGGCTATCAAGCCATGGCTTACTGACCAAAAATTGGGAAAAATTTTTTTTTCAAGTAACTGACCAAAAGAAATTTTTGGCGCCGTGATATTTTTTTTTTCTTTTGACAGGTGTATAATCTGTTTATTTCGTATTCAACTTTTTGCGGAATGCTACCTCTAATTTAGTGACGTCAAAGATTTCATCGTACAAGTGGGACCGTCTCTCGGGGTAATGAATTCACTCACAGCATCAAGTGGAATGAATAGATCATGTTTTGGCAATCATTTTGATATTATAACTTGCCAAGTTTTGTCGATTCGTCAGTGAACTACACTCACTGAAGTACTATTGACAGTACATAAACGTTTGCAGCCGTGTCAGGGCAGCCGTGATATGTACCTCATCAGCAGCAAGTGCGCTGGATAGAGCAATCCAAGAGGATCATTTTTATACCATAACTTGCCCATTTTTCACTATTTTTCGCTTTGCTGGACTTGCTGACTTTACATCAATTCGTTCACATTTTAGTACGAAAAGCAGAAAGTCTAGCACCGTAGCCATGACATATACATGCCCAGCAGCAAGTGCGCTGTGTAGAACAATCCTAGAGGATCATTTTGATACCCTTACTTGAATGATTTCATCTATTCTCCGTTGAGTTAGACTTGCTGACTTTACATCAATTCGTTCACATTTTAGTACGAAAAGCAGCAAGTCTAGCGCCGTAGCCATGACACATACATGCCCAGCAGCAAGTGCGCTGTGTAGAACAATCCTAGAGGATCATTTTGATACCCTTACTTGCCCACTTTTGACTATTTTTTTCGCTGAGTTAGACTTGCTGACAAAAATCTACCAGTTGCAACTGGTAATTTTTTTGGAACGACCAGTTGCAACTGGTAGATTTAGTCAGGAAGTCTAACTCAGCGGAGAATAGATGAAATCATGCAAGTAAGGGTATCAAAATGATCCTCTAGGATTGTTCTACACAGCGCACTTGCTGCTGGGCATGTATGTGTCATGGCTACGGCGCTAGACTTGCTGCTTTTCGTACTAAAATGTGAACGAATTGATGTAAAGTCAGCACGTCCAGCTAAGCGAAAAATAGTGAAAAGTGGGCAAGTTATGGTATGAAAATGATCCTCTTGGATTGCTCTATCCAGCGCACTTGCTGCTGCTAGAATATTTTCAACATCCAGAGTGCTGCTCGCGGAGCCAAAGTTGGAAAATCAACTTTTTCAGTGTTTTCAGAAACATCCAGAATTGTGCGCGCTAAGGATTTTTTGGGTCGATGAACACGTTCTCAAAAAAGCAAGTGAAATTAATCAGTATTCATCCGACGGCACGCATCTGAACTCAGATAATTTTCAGCGCGCGAGCGGCAAGTGAACAGCAAGTTGCTACGGTAGCATAGGATGAGCATGTCAGCAGGAAAAAGTGGGATGGGAAGGAAGCAAGGTTTTTGAGCGGCATAGAAGCAGCAACGGTAGCAGGGTTCAGCGCGTAGCATGCACGGAATCGGCACCCTTACAGCATTTTGCCGCAGAAAACGGCACGCATGCCGCTTCCGGTCGGCACCCATGAGGATTCTTGCGGCCGCGCTTCTTGGCTGTTCTGAGACTTTAGATGCGTGCCGTCGGACGAATACAATCAGTATTTCACTTGCTTTTTTGGAAACGAGTCCATTATAATGTAAACTAACTAGGGTTGGCAGCGGGGCGCCCCTCGCCCCCGACCGGTTTTTCCAAAATCGAGCAGGAATTTTTTTTTGAAAAATTTTCTCAACGCACGTCGATAGTGAATAAACTCATCAATCTACTAAATTTTTTCAGAATTTTAATTACACTTTAAGGGGCCGGGGGCGAACGAGGGTGTGTGGGGCGCGGGGGCGCCCCGTTGCTAACCCTAAAACTAACAAAATGACACAAATAAGCACGCACGAAACAGCCATATTTCGAAAAAAGCTAAATTACTAAATGCTAGGTCAAAATTCATTTAAAAAAAGACCCTGCTTAGAGAGGCACTTGCTGACCAGCCGGACCTCGCTCACTGACCAGCAGGTGCTTCAGACCATGGGACTTACTGACCACGGACCCCCCTGGGAGTTGGTCCTAGATCCCTGTGTGGCCATGCGCCGTCGCCAACTTCTTCTTCAGGGCCAAATTTTTTTTCCTTTCATCGTTTAGATCGGCCGCAGCAATCTCTTTGCTCAATGTGAGCATTTCTTCCGTCAAATAGACGGTTCGCTCCATGTTCTTGTTGGCCATCATCTCCAGACGCCTGATCTGGCTTTCTAGTTTCTCGATCAGTTGTTGACTGTTTTCGGCCATCTAGAAAAAAAGGAGCATTAAAATTGAAAAAGAAGAAAAAAATATTCTAAATTCTAAATGAAAAAAACTCCAGAAAAATTTTTTTGTTTCTCCCAAAAAAAGGGTTTTAATTAGTTTAATTTTTAATTTAGTTTAATTTAATTTAATTTAATAATAATTTTAAAAAAATTTGGGAATCCTAGAAAAAGCCCAGAAAAATCTGGAAAAATCCCAAAAACTGAAAAGAAAAAACCCGCAAATGACCGGAATAGGTCGGAAATACACTACTGAAGTACAAATTCAACGCAATGGTACGTCATGAAAAAAAAAGAAAATTTTTTCAGAGTTGGAATTTCACACTTTTTCCCATGCAAAATGACCCCCAAATCCGTGAATTCAGGTGCATCGCTCGGAGTAGCATACCGATTTTGGCGCAACTTTTTTTTTGTCAACGCGTCTCGAGATGCGTGTATCCGAATTTAGAGAGAACTCCGAAGAACTTAGTACTAAAATTTTTCAGTATACCCAAAAAACCAACAAATTTTCTGAAGTTTGAAAAAATGATTACTTTTCAACATGAAGGAGGGGAGCTAGAATTTTGATCCCATCACGAAAAATGCTTAAAAAGATGCGGGGAACACAATGCCGTTGAGTTTGAGTCGATAGGACTTTTTTGAAATTTTTTACAGTTTGGGGGTCTGGTACTACAGTAATCCTGGGAAAGGGGGCGGAGCCGATAAAATGTACACAATTGCTCAACGAATAACTTGTCAGTTGACACCTTTTTGTTATCTTTACACACAGCCGAGATATTCCTTTTTGAATGTTTACTTACTCGAGTCCTCGTGTTTTTTCGGAAAAATTCGTAAAAATCCATTGAAATCCAGAAAGAGAGAAATTAGAGAAAATAGGGAGGAAGAGGGGGGCGCCCGGGTGAGCGCCGAAGGACCGAATGGGCACGGAGCACCGATTCCCATCCCTTTTTCTCTTTTTCCCCTCCTGATTTCCGATACTTTCTCCTCTCTTTGTCTCCAATTTATTTGCACGTCCTCCTCGATCCATCCATCTTCTTTCCGACTTTCAACAGAGAATTGGGCACATGTGTCGTCTTTTCTCTCCGTTTGAAAAGAATCCTAGATCCTCATGGAATAGACGTTCTTCTTTTGCCAATCCTCATGACGTTTCCTCACGCTCTACCCTCCAAGAACAACAACTTTCTGATGCTGAACGAGATTCCGGCGCCCATTTTCAAAACAGATTTATTCTAATCACACAATTCTTTTCTTTCTTTCCGACTTGGTAGATATACACTTTAAGCTATTGTTGAAGTGAATGGCGAGTTGCACTGAAGTTTAGTTTTCTGATCATGTGCCGAAGGAAGCCGTTCTCGGATTTACAGACAACCAGATCAGTGGTGATGTTGCAATTGTTTTCTGAAAAAAAAGCGTTAAGAGGCGATTCCTGAGAAACTCGAAAAGCGGATGGCACAAAAAATTCAGATTGATCCTATTTGTCCCATATTATAACCATGAGGTTCTCCCACGACACTGACACCGAAGAATAATATTTGGTCCGGCCCCATGTACCTCTAAACTGTAACTTTTTTCAAAAAAATCTCATCGACTCAGGCTCAACGCCATTCGATTCCTCGCATCTTTTTGAGCATATTTTATGTTGAGACCAAAATGTTAGCACCCTTCATTCATAAAGAAAACAATTGATTTTTGGTCGTTTTCAAATTTTTTTTTTTAACTCGATTTTCTGGAAAATATTTGTACTTTTTTCCAAAAAATGAACGTTGAATTCGGATTCTACAGACAATTTTACATCAGCATGACTAGTTTCCAAACAAAAATAGGGTGGACTCCGGGGTGTTTCAGCCCAAAAAATGGACAAATAGGATCAATCTGAATTTTTTGTGCCATGACCAGTAGTGACCATTAGAGTTGAGCGGAAGAACTCAACGGAAGAACACGGAAGAATTTTTATCTTTTTTGGAAAATTTTTTCATAGAATGTGATCAACTGACGAAATGTATAGCAAAGTGAACTCTGCTCATTGAAAAATAATTGTAAATTTAGTTTTTCATACAAAAAAGTTATTAGAGTTGTTGCGTGAAAATGTCCTTCCGTCCGTCTTCCGTTAGCCCTTTTTTCGCGCAACAGGGATCTAGGACCAACTCCCAGGGGGGTCCGTGGTCAGTAAGTCCCATGGTCTGAAGCACCTGCTGGTCAGTGAGCGAGGTCCGGCTGGTCAGCAAGTGCCTCTCTAAGCAGGGTCTTTTTTTAAATGAATTTTGACCTAGCATTTAGTAATTTAGCTTTTTTCGAAATATGGCTGTTTCGTGCGTGCTTATTTGTGTCATTTTGTTAGTTTTAGGGTTAGCAACAGGGGCGCCCCCTGCGCCCCACACACCCTCGTTCGCCCCCCGGCCCCTTAAAGTGTAATTAAAAATTCTGAAAAAAATTTTAGTAGATTGATGAGTTTATTCACTATCGACGTGCGTTGAGAAAATTTTTCAAAAAAAAATTCCTGCTCGATTTTGGAAAAACCGGTCGGGGGCGAGGGGCGCCCCGCTGCCAACCCTAGTTAGTTTACATTATAATGGACTCGTTTCCAAAAAAGCAAGTGAAATACTGATTGTATTCGTCCGACGGCACGCATCTAAAGTCTCAGAACAGCCAAGAAGCGCGGCCGCAAGAATCCTCATGGGTGCCGACCGGAAGCGGCATGCGTGCCGTTTTCTGCGGCAAAATGCTGTAAGGGTGCCGATTCCGTGCATGCTACGCGCTGAACCCTGCTACCGTTGCTGCTTCTATGCCGCTCAAAAACCTTGCTTCCTTCCCATCCCACTTTTTCCTGCTGACATGCTCATCCTATGCTACCGTAGCAACTTGCTGTTCACTTGCCGCTCGCGCGCTGAAAATTATCTGAGTTCAGATGCGTGCCGTCGGATGAATACTGATTAATTTCACTTGCTTTTTTGAGAACGTGTTCATCGACCCAAAAAATCCTTAGCGCGCACAATTCTGGATGTTTCTGAAAAACACTGAAAAAAAGTTGATTTTTCCAACTTTGGCTCCGCGAGCAGCACTCTGGATGTTGAAAAATATTCTAGCAGCAGCAAGTGCGCTGGATAGAGCAATCCAAGAGGATCATTTTCATACCATAACTTGCCCACTTTTCACTATTTTTCGCTTAGCTGGACGTGCTGACTTTACATCAATTCGTTCACATTTTAGTACGAAAAGCAGCAAGTCTAGCGCCGTAGCCATGACACATACATGCCCAGCAGCAAGTGCGCTGTGTAGAACAATCCTAGAGGATCATTTTGATACCCTTACTTGCATGATTTCATCTATTCTCCGCTGAGTTAGACTTCCTGACTAAATCTACCAGTTGCAACTGGTCGTTCCAAAAAATTACCAGTTGCAACTGGTAGATTTTGTCAGCAAGTCTAACTCAGCGAAAAATAGTCAAAAGTGGGCAAGTAAGGGTATCAAAATGATCCTCTAGGATTGTTCTACACAGCGCACTTGCTGCTGGGCATGTATGTGTCATGGCTACGGCGCTAGACTTGCTGCTTTTCGTACTAAAATGTGAACGAATTGATGTAAAGTCAGCAAGTCTAACTCAACGGAGAATAGATGAAATCATTCAAGTAAGGGTATCAAAATGATCCTCTAGGATTGTTCTACACAGCGCACTTGCTGCTGGGCATGTATATGTCATGGCTACGGTGCTAGACTTTCTGCTTTTCGTACTAAAATGTGAACGAATTGATGTAAAGTCAGCAAGTCCAGCAAAGCGAAAAATAGTGAAAAATGGGCAAGTTATGGTATAAAAATGATCCTCTTGGATTGCTCTATCCAGCGCACTTGCTGCTGATGAGGTACATATCACGGCTGCCCTGACACGGCTGCAAACGTTTATGTACTGTCAATAGTACTTCAGTGAGTGTAGTTCACTGACGAATCGACAAAAACTTGGCAAGTTATAATATCAAAATGATTGCCAAAAACATGATCTATTCATTCCACTTGATGCTGTGAGTGAATTCATTACCCCGAGAGACGGTCCCACTTGTACGATGAAATCTTTGACGTCACTAAATTAGAGGTAGCATTCCGCAAAAAGTTGAATACGAAATAAACAGATTATACACCTGTCAAAAGAAAAAAAAAATATCACGGCGCCAAAAATTTCTTTTGGTCAGTTACTTGAAAAAAAAATTTTTCCCAATTTTTGGTCAGTAAGCCATGGCTTGATAGCCTAGATCCCTGTTCGCGCAACAACTCGAATAACTTTTTTGTATGAAAAACTAAATTTACAATTATTTTTCGATGAGCACAGTTCACTTTGCTATGCATTTCGTCAGTTGATCACATTCCATGAGAAAATTTTCTAAAAAAGATAAAAATTCTTCCGTTGAGTTCTTCCGCTCAACTCTGGTGACCATGTCGATTTTCTGGGAGAGCGCCTCTTAAAAGTTCTCGTTAGTTTTGGTTTCTTTCGGGAAATGTTTATTGAGTTTGGGGGGAGGGCCAGAGTAACCCACCTGATCGAAATGATGACAAAGTCGCGGGTTGCGATGCCTCCGCTATTTCTCCAGGATCATTAATCACGGCCGGCTGTTGCTGGCGCGCTCAAAATGCTCCTCGAGGCAAAGAAGCGACGTATACCAAAGTATCGTGTCACATTAGTAGTGAAGTTTGAATCAAACTCACCTTTTTTCAAAAAAGTTCCGAAAAATCCAGTGAAATCCAAAAAAAAGAGAGAGAAAATAGGGGGGAAAGGAGGGGGCGCCCGGGCGAGCGCCAAAGGGACCGAATGAGAAGAGCAGTTGGAGCTTAGGAGCTCAGGGACCGCTTTACTTTACACTACACTCTTTTTTCCATCGTTCCATCTTCCTCGTCGCTAACGATGAGACCCTGCCTTGGTCGATGCACCATATGTCGGTTAGAACTACGTCAAAAGGTGCTCCAATCCTTTTGTTCTTCAGCTATGATCCCTCTGGCCGATGCACCATATGCCGGTTGGATCTTTTTCTTCTCTCAACGATGAGACCCACTTGTGATGTGCTGAGAGTAAAATAATATTATATTCATTTGTGATATTCATAGCAATAACCCAAACCCAACCCAGAAACCATTGTTAGACAGTAAAATGAAATTTAGATAGTGGTGATCTGGTCGTTGCAGCGGACAGTGGCTCCAGTCACGAAAGAAGTGGTGTCCTTGACCGCTTGGGCGAACCTGAAACAGTAAAAATGCTAAAGTTGTTCTGGGACCGTAACTATACATTATTCATGTGTACGAGCTCAATTAAGAGCTTCAACTTGAGTTAAACTCAAGCTAGACTATACAGTAGTTTGTCAAGTTTGTATGCATCGACTATAAGTCGCATAAACTCACAGCTGAGCCTCTCCGCAGTCGACGTTGTTGATGAGATACTTGAGAACGCTTCCTCCGTCGGTGCCGGTGGCCACTTGTCTGTGTGCATTCGCGAGAAGCTCTCCGTAGGCGGGTCCGACGACGTTCTCGATTCTCGAGAATTCGACGTCGCCTGCAGCAGTGAGAGTGGTCAGCATCTCGATGTGGATGACGTCGGCCGAGTAGACGTCACGACGTTTGCGAGCAGTCGAGTTGGTCGAGTTGGTGGTCGACGTCGTCGTCGTCGCCACGTTTCCGCACATTTCGACGATTCCGGAGAGAAGGGCGAGCAGGAAGATGATTTGGAGAGCAGAAGAAGAAGAAGAAGAAGAAGACGACATTGTTGTAGAAGAAGAAGAAGAAGTCGGATGATTGATGTCTTTTGAAACTTCGCATGCTCCTTTTATACTCCGTCTCCTAGCCCAACTTTCATTCATCACAAACACTAGTATAATGGGATGATTGTATAGTGACCAAACAGTATTCTGAATACGGTCTATTGCCTATGCGCGCCATTGGGCATGAGAATGAGAATTTTGGGCGAGATGTCTAGAATTGGGTCATTTTTTGTAGGCCACGCGGCTTTTGAAGGAGTTTTGAAGTGAAAATGCTGTAAAATGGTATGGGTTTGCGGAAGAACACGGAAGAATTTTTATCTTTTTTAGAAAATTTTTTGATGGAATGTGATCAACTGACGAAATGTATAGCAAAGTGAACTCTGCTCATAGAAAAATAATTGTAAATTTAGCTTTCCATACAAAAAAGTTATTCGAGTTGTTCCGTGAAAAAAGGGCTAACGGAACAACTCGAATAACTTTTTTGTATGAAAAGCTAAATTTACAATTATTTTTCTATGAGCACAGTTCACTTTGTTATATATTTCGTCAGTTGATTACATTCCATGAAAAAATTTTCTAAGAAAGATAAAAATTCTTCCGTGTTCTTCCGTTGAGTTCTTCTGCGCTCAACTCTGCTGTTCGCCCGTTTCAGGGAGAGACGGGCGGTTGCAATCGGAACATTTACATCTATCTTAGCGCTTCAAATGAGCGTTTTACTTAAAGCTTTGACATGAAGTTTTGTATGTACTGCCTGATACGTGTGCATTCTAAGGCCCAACTCACTTGCACATTTTCATTCTTTCGCCAGAGCATTCGGATTTTCATGGCAGAAAGGGGGTAAAGACTCTGAAAAACATGGTACATTTCAATTCAAGTCCAATAGTCTTACCGCCTCGTGGATCCATTGTGTCAATTTGCGGAAGCATGAGTTTGGGACAAAAGTCAGAAAATTGAAGAAGATGAACGAGTTACTGTTTGCCAATTGCTTGGCGTACACCCCAGACAGTAATGAGGTACGAAAATTGAAGGGGGTTAATTGTCTATCTAGGTCTAGGGATGGGATGAGCTCTAGAAGCTCCAATTTCTTGGTGGAACCACTGTACAGAGGTCTTGAACTGTGTGTGGCATCTCTGAGTACATCCTTCAGTGAAAAGGCATAGACGCCAGACATAAATAAGGGAGGTATTGGTGATGAAGCTCTCGCCGAAACACTTGAAACTTCATCAAATTTTCCCACCCAGGGTTCTTTCAGATTGAAAAAGAATACGGCCCCATCAGATGATTTAGCTTTGGCTCTGTCTGCCAATTGCTTGGCGTAGACCCCAGACAGAAATGAGGTGCTTTCGGGCTGTACCAGAGCTTTCAAAAAACTTGGCACAAGGACAATTTGTTGTACTGTGTAGACCCCAGGACAGGCGTGAGGTACGAAAATTGAAGAAGACGAACGAGGAGTCTAGTCCGGTTCGCTTCTGTTCTTTACTGTCTGCCAAATGACTGGCGTAGACCCCAGACAGTGGTGAGGTGAGTCCAGATCCGGGGGCAACATCAATTCCGATTTATGTCCAATTCTGCCAGTTGACTGGCCATTGTTGCCTGAACGTAAAGTAAACTGTAAAGTGGAAAAGAATAGGGAAAAGAAAGCGAAAAGTGACAATAGCTACCACTTTTCCCCATTTAAATCAAAGCGAACAAACCCCATCTCAAGTTGTCTCGACGTACTTCCAACTTGTGAGAATACGGACGGACTGAGGACGGCTCGGAAGGGAGCCGGCTCCATGCCGAGAGATTGAGAGGGTGCCAGACACGTAGAGAAAAGGACACGCCCACTTTTGGAGCTCGCGGCTCGAGGGGCGCGTAGCCGTATGCATGAAGGGTGTGAGAGCCAGAAAATAGTGCACAGATTTCGGAGGCTCGGAGCCCGAAAGAGGAAAATAGAGTGATAACGTAGAGAAAGAGCCGCGGAGCCGGTGCCAGGCACCGAAAAAGAGCATAGGAGCCGATGAGACGGAGCCGTACCTGGCACGGCTTCGGCGGAGCGATAATCATAGGATAAGGGTTTTGGTGTTGATGTTTTGAAGCCTTCTAGTTAGAGATCAGATTTTTCTCAATGCTGTTCGTTCAAACCGATATATCTTGGCAGCCGTTTGAGATATCAAAAAGTGGTCAACTGACCAAATGTTCATTGAAACATGAGGTACATTTTATCAGTTGACAATTTGTTGATATCTTCACAAGCAGCCGAGATACACCGTTTTGAAAATGCAGTAGTGCCTGAAGAACACAAAGAACGTTTCCCTCAGATGCTCAGATGATTTCACTTTTCTTGAGAATAGAATGATGTCAGCTTTGAAGGATTTGGTATACGAATGCGTTTCTCACGTCCTTCTTTCTCATTTCCTGTTCCTTGCGCCGCCAATTTCTTCTCTTTTCTGGAAAACGATGTGGAGTGACGTACATACAGGAAAAAGGGACCAGGAACATAGAGGGACACTTTGCAACTGGGATACTTGGTTGCAAATTGTTCCACTTTTCTACGTTTCCAAGGAGAACAATAATATCGAGAGTTGCGTGACACTCTTCCACGTACCCACAAACTCCCCCCCACTTTCCCAATTTCCGCAACGTTTCACTCATTCTTACGTTTCGAATTCAAAAAGATCCGGCCAGAAAGAATGGAAGTGTCCAGACTGTGAGTAGTTTTTTTTTTTTTGCACTTTTTGCCACACACCCCCTCCAGATATGACAAAAACCGCAAAGACGAAGAGCTGACTCGTTTGGAGGCGCGCAAGAAGAAGCGCGAGGAGATTAAGGAGAAGTTTGCGATGGAGCGCAAAAAGCGGCGAAGCGAGAAGAAGAAGGAGAAGAAGCGGAAGGAAGAGGAGGAGGAGGAGAAGGAACCGAGTCCGGAGACGGTGCCACCGCCGGCGTCCGTGAACTTGTTGATGGTGCCGCAGTATTGAAATGAACCTGAGAATGGACCGCGAGCTCGTGGAGAGCACAAGATTGCTCCAAGTCGTTCACAACTCTTCATTCGGGACAGTAACGCGACACAAACACACACAAAATACACTGTTTTGATTGCGATTGGCTCCGGAGAGCTGTGGGGCGGGGGAGGACGATAAATCACTGGGATAGGGACGATTCAGTACATATTAGGAGGGGGCAAAAAGTGGAGGGACAGCAAAAGATCGGCGCACGCATTTTCTACCGTAAACAAAGCGTCGTTTCAGGGGTTTTGGCATCGTCGTGTTTAGCAGCACAAAAAGTTTTTTGCAAATTGAGTGTGTGGAAAACTACAATATTTTCACACGAATTGAGAGAAAACAGGAGGGAACACATATGGAACGTTTCACGGGCAAAATGATAGTAGAGAACTGGAACGGCGGGGACTATCGGGGGCGGAAAAAAGAAGAGTTGAGATGGAAGAAGTTCGATGGAGATCACTTGATTACGGGCACTTGTTCGAGCGATTCGATCTGAAAATGTGGTTAGAATCAGCGAAATCGGTGTGGAATTTGAGCGCATGCCTTGACAATATTTGAGTGCCGGCCCGGCTCAAAAGGCGCGAATTCAAATTTTTGGGGGAAATCTATTTTTTCGTTTTTTTTTTTGCGGCGATCAAAATTTAAAAAAACGGAACTCGTTGAAAAAGCGCTTCGAACTGCAAGAAATTTAGTGGGAAAAGTTATTATTTTCTTCTTTTTTAATTGTTACTTTTGCTTTGATGCCAATAAAAACTATTTTTGAGAACTACATTTCTTTTTTCTGCTCGATACTTGCAAAATTCGTTAGTTCTACGAAAAACAAACATTTTATTTAGTCAATAGTTCAAAATTTGGATTCCCGCTTTTTGAACCGGGCCGACGGGCCGGGCCGGGCCAAAGTTTTGAAAATTTCGGCCCGGCCCGTGGCAACTCTGATAATTGGATTAATAAATTGTCTAGCTACACGGTCTCCAGAGCTGACAATGGGCGCGCAAGTGCGCCCCGCCCAATAGAGCGATACATTGGCGCGAAATTCAAATTTTAACTGCAAAATTTGTGTTTTTTGCCAGATTAGCCACGAAAAACCGATAATTTCTCATTTGTCTCTCGATAGGCCGATTGTATAGGCTATTACGAATTTTTTAAGCGCAAGAGCGTTAAATTTGGTCAAGTCGAAAATCACATTTATCCGTTTGAAGGTTTTTTGGCTAAAACTGCGTGAATTTCAGTTGCTTTTCGGTGGTTTTCGCGGTTCGAGCGCTCAAAATGCTTGTATTTACGTGATTTATCATTTTCAAAACCGATTCTGTCTGAAAACGGTCAAGAAAGTGCAAAATGCGAAGTGCGGTTTTTAGGCGGCGGCGGCGGCGGCGGCGAAAAAGCGAAATGCGCGAAAAATGCGCCAAAAGGTCATTAATTCTGAGAATTAGTGCAATTTTATGTCTAACAATCATTTTTCATCGCCGTTGACCACAAAAATCAGAGAAAACCTGCTCAATTCATGAAAACGCCATTTGGCCGCCGAGGCCACGCCCATTTTTGTCAGCTCTGGAGACCGCGAGCTAGATTAATAAGTGCTCAAATCAATTTTCACTGTCTGTTGGCTCAAATATCGATTGCGCCAAGAAAAAACAGTCGAATCTAATTAGATCAGTAACTTTCTAATTAGATTAATATCGAATTGCCCCCCTCTTCATACCCTTCACGCAACGGAGTCATCTCGCCCGCCGATCCGTATCCGTTGTTGTTCGCATTCTTCTCCTCGTCGGCCTGAAACACGCTCAAACCTTTGATGACATGATACCTTAAGCCAAAAGTGTTTCAAAACTTACCACAGTGTCCTTCATGAGTTTCGTCGTCGAATCGTCGCTTCCCTTCTTGCTACGCGACGCGAACGGCGACAACTTTCCGGACTCGTCGGCGTTGTTCACCTGCACACAACGAATAGTTGCCTCTATTTTTTTAAAAACAATTTTCCCAACCTGAGTGACTGCTCCGCTAGCGGTTCCGTTTTTCGCGGCATAGTGCGAAGCGACACTTCTCGAGCCACGACGCAACTCATTTTGCGATTTGTGCAGGAGACGATAACGCGCGTAGAACGCCTTGAGCACATGGTTCACCTGAACAAACGATTTGAAAAAAGACGTTGAAAAAGTGGTGCCCGGTGAATGTACCTCTTTATTGGTGAAACAATAGATGCTGGCGACCATAAGTCCCTGATACATGTAGGTGAACGAGGCGGTGTACGTCCACACGGCGAACACCTGCAAAGAAGAGAATGGTTCTCGAATAACTGTCCACAAATTACCATAATATTGTCCCGGGTTGGTGCGAACGGAATCGTCTGCATAATATTGGGAACTCCGAGAAGCGGCAGCAGCATCATCGCCGCCTTCACCGACTTTTTGAGGCCCGCCTCCGACGTGTTGTTCGACTCGCGGACTTTCGAGTACAGCACACGAATGACGTTGCAGATGAAGAACAGGTTTATCTGCACAAAAACTCGAACGTGTTTGAGGATTTCTTCTCAAAACGCTGGACTGACCACCAACTCGGCCATGCGGGGACCGTCGAGAATCCAAAACTCGGGTTCCAAATAATACGATCCCAGACATCGTTCCACTTTGAAATCCTTTTTGACGAGCACCACAAACAGCCAGAGCATTGTGTGGATCAGAGGGATTCCTACAATATGCAGTTGAGCTCGGGACCGGGACCGGACACGGGCGCTTACCGTAACCGGCCAGAAAGTAGGGAAGAAGTTTGGGCTCCGAGTTGAAGAACCCGAAAACGATTTGATTGTTCAGGTAGATTCCCTCTAAAAACATCCAGCAAAAAGTGACCGTTTTGAAGTATTCCAAGAAGAAAAACATTCCCTCGCAGACGATGGGCTGCAAAACATTTGGAATTGTATAATATCCGGAAGGGTACAAGGTCAAATCGCGCCCACCATAGTATTGATTGTTTTTCCTTCGGCCGAATTCGCGTGCGGACCAATGTCGCCGGTGAAAATGAGATCAATGTAGAGGACGAGACGAATGATGACCACCATCAGCATTGCGATCATCAAATGGAGATGGAGCAGGTTTCGGAACACTCGGAGACGCCTGAAAATTTGAATGCGTCACAGTGTTTTCTAAGAAATGAGAAAAGATCGCAAAACGACGTCGAAATATTCGGAATCTCGAAAAAATTCGGCTCACGGGGGCCGCTACTGTCGCCAAATCACATTTATTTCGCTTCCACACCGCAAAATCGCTCTAGTTTTCGAAAATCTACTGAAATTGATGCTGGAAAGCATTTTCCAGCATCCGTGGCAGACGTCGTGAGATTCTGATGGGTCAGGGATTCTGAGAAGCCCGCTGGAAGCAGCAGAAGCGCGTAGAAGGCCGGTCCCGAGCGCCCGAAGCACTCACGGACCTATTCAGCCGAGTATTTTACTGGTTTTTTACGCGAAAAAAATCCTGTTCGTTGCGAGACCCGTGCTAATAAAGGCATGAGCCTTTAAATACAACCGGGCGGTCATTTAAATTGTTGAAAGGCTCATGCCTTTATTATGCCGCGTCCAAAGTTCAAGGAAATTGCAGCAAAAACGCCGAGTGATTTCCGGGTTTTTGTCTTAACTTTTTTGACGCGGCATTGGCACGGGCCTCGCAAAAAAAAACCTCTTCCCCGGGGGGTTTTTTTGTTCTCATTTGAATAGGGTTTCTTTGCGTAAAAAACCAGTAAAATACTCGGCTGAATAGGTCCATCATAGTGGAATTCGATGTGTCTAGGTGTCTCAGAATCTCACGACGTCTCCCCCGGATGCCGATTCCGCATTCTACACCAGATTTGAGCGAAAGAACTCAACGGAAGAACACGAAAGAATTTTTATCTTTTTTAGAAAATTTTTTCATGAAATGTGATCAACTGACGAAATGTAGAGCAAAGTGAACTGTGCTCATAGAAAAATAATTGTAAATTTAGCTTTTCATACAAAAAGTTATTCGAGTTGTTTCGTGAAAAAAGGGCTAACGGAAGACGGACGGAAGGACATTTTCACGAAACAACTCGAATAACTTTTTTGTATGAAAAGCTAAATTTACAATTATTTTTCTATGAACAGAGTTCAATTTGCTCTACATTTCGGCAGTTGATCACATTTCATGAAAAAATTTTCTAAAAAAGATAAAAAATTCTTGCGTGTTCTTCCGCGCTCAACTCTGGTGTCTAGGTGTCTCAGAATCCCTCGGAGTTTCGGTGCACACGTACGTACACCTCAGGTTTCAAACTCACCGAAAATAGGAGAAAATCGAAATGGCGAGAATGAGTGAGACGAGCGAAAGTCCGAGACCGACAAACTCCAATTTCCGCGCATTCCGCGCCACCTCTTGAGCAATCTGAACCTTTGTTGTTTCCGCTCGTTAACCAAGTCGAACGCAATGTGTGAATTTGGGTGAGTGAGGTGAGATGAGTGAGAAAACAGAGAGAGAAAGAGAAAGAGAAAGAGGAAGAGAAAGAGAAAAAAGTTAAGGGGGGATATTATTATGAAATTCGATGAATACACTGTACCGTCAAAGATTCGTTGTTCAAATTCTGCATAATATAAATGACTTCGTCGGTGTAGCACATGGTGAAGTTGGTCCAGCCGGGCAGCCACGGACCCATCTCCTCCGGCGTTCGACCCGACCACACGCCCGACACGTGGCAGCTTTTTGTGATGTTCTCTGTACGTGGATTACTGTAGATATGTGTGTGTGTGTGTGGGTGCGAGACATGGACGGGACAATAATTGTGTTTGTGTGTGTGTGTGTGACGTGACGTGACGTGGACGTTTTCAAAAAAGTGGAGAAGAGCAGAACGCAAACTCAGGCAATAGTTACCATTTAAAAAAAAAAAAAAGGATAGAGGGGGTTGCGATTTGGGGACCATATATAGAGGAAAGAGGAAGAAGAAGAAGAGAGGGAGAGAGAGAGTGAGTGCAAAACCAAAAAGAGTTCAACTATTTCCATACTTTCACATCTTCATAGTCGATTTTGAAGCAGACGGTGAAGTTGGTCCATCCCCACGGATTCTCGTAGTGTCCGGCGGATTTGCCCGCCCAACGGCCCGTCTCGTCGCATCGCTTTTCAATGAATTCTGCAATTGGTGAGGCGCGGAAAAACGGGGAGAGATGGGTCGGATTTTGCGAGAAATGTGCCATGCCAGCCGCGCTTTTTCAATTTATAATTACATGCCTTGGCGCATTTCTCGTGCAACAACCCAAAGCACCACCGAAATTTCAAGGAACATAGGAGGAAAAGTCTCACAAGAGTATGGGGGGTTTAGAATGAACATAAAGACAGAGGAGACACTTCAAATCGCCTATTTTTTAGACACCTCTCTACAGAATCCGGCGCATTCCACATTGCAAAAAAAAAAAGCCAAGCGAGACACATGCCTTTTCCACTTTTCTTTTTTTTGCGAAACATTTCTCTTGTTCCAGCCAAAACCATGCTTTCGGTACAAAGAAAACGACGTCATCATCAGCCACCAGCGTTAGTCACTCGAAATGTTCTTTCCGAAAGGCGGGGGAGGGGGGGATCAAATTAAAAAAAAAAAACTCACTATTCGGATCGAGGCCCTTCATATGAGGACATTGGAGGGTGACGGACGAGTTGGCGGGCGTCGGCGGCCAACAGAGTACGGTATCGTACGTCGCGTTGCACCACACCCGCGTGTCGTTCGGATCTGAAAAAACGGCAAGCGAATTGAATTGCTCAATTCCATGCGCGCGCGAATTTCACGTACCTCGCTCCGGAAACAACATTTTGTGATCAATCATCTTTTTGCATAGCTGCAAAAACATTGTTTTGTTTGCATTGTGAACTTATGGGGACCAGGAGTGTGCGGACAATTTTTTTCGGAAAATTTCGGAAAATCGGTTTTTCCGAATTTTTTTTTTCGGAAAATTTCGGAAAATCGGTTTTTCCGAATTTTTTTTTCGGAAAATTTCGGAAAATCGGTTTTTCCGAGTTTTTTTTTTCGGAAAATTTCGGAAAATCGGGTTTTCCGAATTTTTTTCGGAAAAATTTCGGAAAAATCGGGTTTTCCGAATTTTTTTTCGGAAAAATTTCGGAAAATCGGGTTTTCCGAATTTTTTTCTCGGAAAAATTTCGGAAAAATCGGGTTTTCCGAATTTTTTTCGGAAAAATTTCGGAAAAATCGGTTTTTTTCCGAATTTTTTTCGGAAAAATTTCGGAAAAAAATCGGAAAAAAATCGGAAAACTCACTTGTTCATTGGTTCAATAAAGTGTTTAAACAACGTTCTAATACAAAAAAATGCGTATTATGATCTGAAATCACTTGAGTGGGCGGAAGCCAAGCAATGGAATATTTTTTTGCAAAAAAATTAGCCGAGAGAAGCTCTCCGGGTCCAAATTTTCAAAAATCAAATTTAAAAAGACGCTCGCTGCTAGACCCTTCTAAAAATTTTGTGTTGCGCCTTTAAAAAGCATACGGTGGTTTCGGACAAATTGACCTTGAATCCACACTAATTTTCCGAAAATTTCTCGGAAAATCGGAAAATTTCGGAAAATCGAAATATTTTCCGCACACCCCTGATGGGGACCACTGACCGGATAGGACTCTTCGAGCACCTCCATCGCTCCGTTGAACGCCTGCACACTCGTTGAGGCGAGAACGTTCTGAAAACACGGGATTTTGGGGAGGGATTTGCGACACGATTAAGCATGGATTTGACACAATTCTACGTGCTCTTTGTGCTCCGCGAGAGCCCAGCAGCCCACACTCACCCAACCCGAATCGACCATCTCGCTGATAGTTGTCGTTGTTGTCGTCGAGTTATCGTCGAGAATGGAAACGTTGGAGCGGCTCGCGTCGGCCATGATATGCGATGGTGAACTTCTGAAATTCGAGACGCGACGGATCAATAGGCAGAAAGGGGGGGGGGGGAGGCGAAACGATTGACACAACAAATGACACCCGTTTGGTTCCGTCAGAGAAATCGGATGAAGAGGAAGAACAGTTGGCCGCTGGCCGCTGACATTCTCCGAGGGCAAACGAGAGAGAGAGAGAGAGAGAGAGAGAGAGAGAGAGAGAGAGAGAGAGAGCGGGACCGGAAAGCTATAAATAACCAAAGTGTGATCTTGATATCAAATTTTCTAGTCTGGAATGTTATTCGGGATCACCTTTTTGCGCCTAAAATTTTGGAGAAAGGGGCGTTGCCTAATCTGAGACGCCGCGTTTTCTGAAAATTGCCGCACAATTCCAACACACTTTTCCGATATTTTTTTTTTTTTCATAGCGGCCGATGTGGATCGGTTTTGAGACGAAGTGAGTGTCGGAAGTGATTAAGCACACGTTGATACAAGTATTTTAAGCGTTCAAACGGTGGCAAAAAGTATCGGCGAATGACTGAAATTCGCGCATTTTCAGCAAAAAACTAGAAAATCGATTGAATTGATTGAATTTATGAATGAAAACTGCTCGTTTTAAGCTCTCAAAAAGTGCGCGATGATTAGTTTAACAATTTTATGCAATTAAATTGCCGAAATTTTACAAAATTTGGTTAATTTTTGACGAAAAACATGTGAAAAATCGGGGGGTTAAATTTCGAATTTCGCGCCAAAATGGTGTGATAAACCGTGCACGCCCCTTTTTACGTTTTTCGGCGCCGTGTGGCTCCTGGTCCCGCTGAGCTTCAGAACCAAAGATCTGGTGGGAAATGATAGAGAGCCGCCGCCGTCGCCGTCGCCGCCAAAAGTTGATTATCTATAATCATGGCCGAATGACGTTGGCAAGTCACAATTATATGCGCATGTGAACGAGACTCCGTTCACCCGAAAATGCGAGAGAGAGAGAGAGAGAGAGAGAGAGAGAGAGAGAGAGAGAGAGAGAGGAAGAGGAAGAGGTCATATTTAGATATTCATGAAGAAGAAGAAGAAGAAGAAAAAGTGTCATTTTACTTATCCACACAAATTTGCGCTCGTCTTTCGCTCCGTTTTTGATCACACAATTGGACGTGTTTTTCCAGGCCGAAAAACGGAAAAGAAGAAAAAAAAACACTTAGTTACACATGCAACAACAACAATAATGGGCAGAAAAATATTAATAATGGAGGGGAATTGAGGCGCTAAGAGCACGGAATTCGAGTTCAGGAGGTCATGCGCAAAGTTTTGATACCCACATTTCAAAAATTTGTTTTTTGAGCTCGGCGAGCCCGTGGTCCGTGAGCACAAACATTTTTTGAAACAAAATAGGGGTTTGGGGGGGGTGTTTTATCGAAGGAAATCGAAAATGGAACGACCGGAAGTTGTTTTTTGCACATTTTCCTCGTCCACTTGCAAACGGAACGTCTTGAAGTAATTAGTTTTTGTGATTAGCACCACGAGCAACGATCCGCGAACATTTTCAGATGTTTTTTCGGCCAACGCATGATTATGAGGGGTGGAAAAGGCGGAAAGGCGAGTCAATGAGGCGCGGATAAAAGATGACGAGTGGGACACGGACGGGGGGAAAAAAAGTGAGCGAAAAGTGTTCAGAGATGAAAATGGAAGATGAGCTAGACACTCCGCTTGTCTTTTCCGGGGTGTGCGTTTGAGTGATTTTGACGTGGACATGTCACTTGGCTCATCGGCCGGCGGATCCGTTGAAGGCATCTAATTCGGAATGAGACCAGGAAATTCGGAATCAGCGTGAAATTCTGCGTGATTTGACATACAACAAGTCATGGTTTGACGATTTTCAGTTTTGTGCTTGCTCCACGGGCTCCGCGAGCCCCACCAAAAATGCTCCAAATATCAAAATTGTCAAAAATAGGCCGTTATGGGTGTCAAAACTTTCAAAATCGCGTGGAGAATTCAAAAAACTTTCCAGAAATTGGCCACGGGCCTTGTGATCCGAGATCCGAAAGTCCCTCTAATGAGAGCTTTGATTCTCGAGAAAAATTTTCTCATTTTTCTCCTCATTAGACGCGTTGTTTATCCATAACCGCATAGAAATGTGAGAAAAAAGAAGGTCATTTTTTCGGGGGGAGAATTCGATAATACTCGCCACAAAAATCAATGTTTCTTTCGGCGGTGAAAAAAAAACGAGGGGGAAAAAAGGGAAAAGAGTTCACAAAAAGCTCAAAAAAGTGGGCGTGGCGGGAGCTCGCCGCCGAGCAGAATAAGCAGCAAATTGCGGTGCCGGTCGGATGGGGACCGACACCAATCAGTTGGCCTTTATCATTTGGGACGTTTTGAGGAGGAAGTTTTTCGGTGGGGCAATACGCATAAAGATTCCATTTTTTCATCGTCAAAAAGAAGCCTAATAGTAGGGGAAGAGGGGGGGCAACGAAAACAGGATGGGGGATTAGCCAGGAATGAGCAATACGTGTGTGTTTGGGGACGGATAATATACTTGCGAGACCCAGATTATCCACAAAAAAAAACGTTTTTTTTTCAGGTCAACCCCCAAAAAACTGTTCCCATTCGCACATTTTTTGATCGTGAGACCCTTGGCCCCCCGGTCCAATTGGTTCTCACTCGAAAACTTTCGTTTTCATGCTCCACCGAGCCAAAATCATCATGTTTGTGGGCGCCGAAACGAGTGGGCGCGGCTATGAGTTATTTCGAAAGCGGCGGATTTGTTTGAGCCCCGAGGCGGCGCCACAATTTCAAGTGGAAAGGTAATTTATGCAGAAGCGCGGAGGACAATTTATTATTGGGGCTCTCGTGAGCACATGTGCTCAGCGAGCAATGAAAATTTGAAGGTTAGAGCAGCTCCGTGAGCCCGACCCGAAAAATGGCTAGGTAACGAGAATTTATGAGAATATATACGCCAAGAAAGTCGAAAAACCTGAAAAATGTCGGCGACTGACTGGCTCTGTGCCAAAATTCGATTACATCGAAACCTTTGTGCGCTTAGAAATGCGCCAAAAAGTGGTTGATTTGTGAGAGCGCGATGCACTCGCCATTTTCAGCCTATTTTCAGATTCTCTCTCTCTCTCTCTCTCTTCCTCTCTCTGGGGGCAGTGTTGACGTGTTTTCAAAAAACAAAAAAAAAAGAGAGAGCGAACAAGCAAAGTCAAGTGTGAAAAATAGAGAGAGGGGGGAAAAAGTGTGCGGGTTTTGGACTTTTACACTAGTGGAATGAGAAAAACGAAAAACAAAGAGAAAGAAGAAGGTTTGAAGAACAGACGAACTCTTGAATTTGGTAGGATTCCTCAAAACAGGGGAAAAGGTGTACAGAAACGGCCAACAGAGCCATAAACGGGAACGGGATCTTCGGATCCAACGGCGCTCGCGCAATTTGAGAAACACTGGACTGGAAATGGATGAATCACAATGAGGGTGGGTAAATCTGAAGTTGTGGGACCGTATCCTGACTCGGCAAAAGATACGCAAGGCTCTGAGGGCAAATACATCAAGGCCAGAGTTGAGCGGAAATGGAATTTTGAAATCCGGAAGACGGAAGACGGAAGACGGCAGACGGAAGGCGGAAGAAATTTTTTTTCTCGGAACACGGAAAACGGAAGACGGAAGAAAATTTTTTTTAACGGAATACGGAAGAAAATTTTTTGTTACGGAACACGGAAAACGGAAAATGGAAGATAATTTTTTGTTACGGAACACGGAAGACGGAAGAAAATTTTTTTTTTACGGAACACGGAAAACGGATGACAAAAGAAAATTTTTTTTTACGGAACACGGAAAACGGAAGAAATTTTTTTTGCGGGACACGGAAAGCGGAAAACGGAAGAAAAATTTTTTACGCAAAACGGAAGACGGAAGAACATTTTTCTCACGAAAGACGGCAGACGGAAGACGGAACAAAAAAATCGTCAATGCAGAACCTTTTTCTCCGGTTTTTTTTTTTGGAAAAAAATAACTAAACAACAAAAATTTTGGATCTGGGTCACTGCCCGTGGAAATTCGCGTTATTCGGGGCTAGTAAATGGCTTCTGAACAGCTATTTTTCTTTTACGGTAAGAAGAAAAAATTCCGGAAGACGGAAGACGGAACAAAAAAACCACGGAAGACGGAAAACGGAAGACGGAAGACGGAAGACGGAAGACGGAAGACGGAATTCCGCTCAACACTGATCAAGGCCCTTCCCTTACACACTTTCGGGGACCGAAACCGAATGAAAGCGTGAAAAAGTATCGAAATGGAACAGAAAATGTTGAAAAGGAGTCGAGAAAAACGGAAATTTAATTGAATTCTCTTCTCTCTCTCTGCCTCTCTCTTGCTCACTTTTTCGGCTGCCAGACTCATCGGCGAGAACTTTCGCGTCGCCGACTGCACTCTTTGACACGTTTTCCCCGCGGAATACGTCACCTTCTCCAAATTTCTCAATTAATTTGGCCGAAAATTGACACGCGTTGACATGGCAAATGCATTTGAGCAGAGCCATGGCGATGAAAAACGGGAGGGGGGGAAATTGAGCATTTCAAGGAAATTTGACGTGTATAATGGCTACTTTAAAGACGTGCTCCGCGCGCAAAACTTTTTTGACAACAAAACTTGGCACGATGGGTGTCAAAACTATCGGAAAACGCCGGGGAGCTCAAAAATGAACGTAAAATGTCAAAAATAGAGCGAAAACTGCTGTTCCGGGCGAATAAAAGTGGTCAACACCTTCCGAAAATCACGTTATCACTTCTGACTCTTTTTCACCTGACACCACGCTATTATTCGGGCCGATTTTCATCCAGTTCCGTTTTGCTGAGCAATCAGGGACTGGAAATGGTGGTGGCGTTCAGCGGGAAATAGAGACACCCCCACGCACACACACACAAGAGTAAATTGGTAGAAAAAGGGAAGGGAACGAGGCGAGAAAAAGGAGGAGGAAGAAGAAGAAGAAGAAGGAGAAGAAGAAGCAGTACAAATTGAATCAGGCACAC